CCTAGTATCGTCCGGTCTTGTTGCTCTCGGGACCGAGGGGTTACGTACCATCTGGGCAAAATGCAGACGCTCGACGGCCGCCATCCTCGATTGCCCGTCCGTCACTGCCTGCCAGTCCTCGCTGAGGGCTCCACTTGTCACTGCTGCCGGCTCTGAGTCTGAGGGGCAACCGCACCGGGCAACCGCACCGCACACAGAGGTCTCTCCGGTGGGCATAAAAACCCCCCTCGCCAGACCTGCACTTCCATTTTCCTTCCCAACCCTTCCACAAACAACCTACCTAACCTCTTCACCTTCGACCATCTTTCCACCCTCTCCGCTCCGCAAAGGCATCCAACCTAGGCAAAGCTCCCTCTTCACCTTCTACCTTCTTGGTACACCTCCTCATTGTAATATAATATTTCATCAGCCAATCGCAACCGTCAACCTGCGCAGCACCAGGACTCGCTCGAGTCGGCGTGTGAAGCCACATCGCGAGCGTTGCCTCTTCTGAGGTGAATCCCATCCCGACAGGTACGTTCTTAGTCAAGGGCTGGAAACAGCAGCACCAGCAGGCTATCACCTCCACCGCCATGGCATCGCCGTGACAATCGAGAGTTCATTCGTTACCCTGTCGTGTCGTAAAGCACATGCATCGCTTCACACCTCTCCCTTACCTTCTCGAGCCTCTACCTCCACCTTCATTCGAATGAAGAAGAAAGGAAGAGCAACCTTGGTGCCTCCCTAACTAGTCACCTCTTTCCTTGTGGTGCTCAAGTTGGTGAGTTAGGTTAGAATACCAGACCTTGCTTGGCTCATGTCCTCCTGCCCGATCAATACTGGCGGGTCGGACAAACACCTCAACGCGCCCCCACGCGTCCTCACGCTTGTCAATCGTGCCTTCCGTGCCTGAGAAGCCTAGCTTCCTTGCCTAACTTTCAAGCTTCACACACTTGCTCGCACCTCCCTCCAATTCTGCGTCTGGTCGTCGCCACTCCAAGTCCATTCCAGCTCTCCTGTCCTTCCATTCTTCTTAAAATCAACCTTGGCAGCCTTGCGTGCTGACATGTCTTTTCGCTTAGCAGAGCAGATTGCCTGACTCCAGAATTACCTCCTGCCTCCAACAGCAAACGAGGTTTCTCGGCCAGACTTCGCTATCGACCCGGATCCACCAGGTTATGTTTGCCGTTCCGCGGCTTCTTGCAACAACCCTCTTCTTTGACACCTTCCTCTGTTAATTACCTTACCTACAACAACCTAAGATAAGCCCTCCGGCCACTCACTACATCTACCACCTCGACCTCTTCCTACGCAGAAGGAGATACCCAACCATGTCTAGCAATTTGAACCCGGCCGCTCTGGCCGCAATGATGGTACGTGAACTGATCTTCCATAGTTTGACTCCACATCTCCAGATTCGTGAGGGCGGATTAACTTGACCGTTCAGTTTCCACCCACGTCTTCGACGTTCTACTGCTAACACGACACAAGGATGACCTCAGCATTGATCGGTTGAATAATCTTCCTCTAGAGGATAATCATCGCAACCATAACTCTGCGAAGCACCGTGACCCTGCCTCGAGAAACGCAGGCCTCGAGCGATTGAATCACTCTATCCAGCAGATTTATCCGGCTCTCGACAATGTTTGGCTCTGTTAGTTGAACCCAAATCTTGTGGAAGTCTGTCGCTGTCGGCTGGAGTTTGCCCATACTGATTATTCGTGCTTGTAGCATCAATTCGGAATGGAGTGTTTCAAGACGAGGACGCCGAAGCCGTTGCCGGCCTCGATGATTTGGGCGGCGGACGAATATATCAGACAACCAGAAGCATGATTCAGAACATGAACGGCCCCAGAAGGTTAGTCAAGACCAGAAATAAGTCTTGTAGAGGTTGTCGAGTAGTCACTTATCATTTTGAGAACAGGCACGGAAGCAACCCAAGAGAGTCTCTTCATAAGCTGAGCCGAAACAACCTGAGCGACAAAAACATGCCCGTGGGAAATGGATCTATCTCGATCCAAAACCAAGTCAGGGACTTCACCGCTGCAAATTACCGACGAATCCCGACTGGCCTACGCAATGGCCCGGGTAACCACACCTCAGGTGGTTCCAATAGTCGCAATAGCGCGAGCAATAATCGCTGCGCATCCTCAGCCACTTATCACAACGATGGAGACAACAATGTGTCGACGGCTCGCAACAACCCCAAGGGTCTGAGCAGCAACCGCAGTGTATCCGCTGTCTATGATCGTAATGTGTCTTGGGGCAATAATAATAACGCGCCTCCCAACGCTCCCCGTAGTCCCAGCCGCCAGCAAGGTTCCACCAGACCTATTTCGTCACGAACTAGAAGAAGCGCTGTCGACAACAATGGAACCAGAGGCGCAGTCAACAACAATGGTCGCCCCCAGCAGAATATTGCACCAACCACGGCTCCGGAGTTGCTTGTCAACTCTTTTCCTGCTTGGCCATCGGCTCCTCATGCCACTGGCACTCACGCTCTGCCTCCTCAGGCGCTTCCTCATGCTCCAGACACTCAGAACGCTCCAGCGGGTACCACCATCCCGGTGATCCAGATAAACAACACGTTCTCCCAGTATGAAGCTGGGCCTGCGGACATCAACAATGAGCCTAAGAATGTTGTCTTGAAGCTTCCAATTATATACCGGCAAAACACCTGGGCCAATAATTTCGCTCTGAATTGTGTGGCATACCTCACAACTGAAGGCCCGCCTGACAGCGGACTCTTTATCCTCCAATCAGAGAGGGGGACGATGGCCAGATGGCCAGTAAACAGATGGCATAATTTCACTAGTGAGGATGCACAAATCATTGCCGTGTTCCACAACGACGATAATCTAGGTGTCTCTTATCTTCTTCAATTCCGGACAGGGGAAGATCTGAGGAACTTCATTTCCACTATCCGCGGCCTTCGAGATGGTATCCTAGATGCTGTCAATGTGCAGGTTACCTCCTCAGCCACTCAAGATTCTGTCGATGAGCATTTTGTTTCTGCAACCGCCCGGGATTTCGTCGATGTGCAAGTTGCCTCCTCTGCCACCCGGGGTGTTGTCGATGCGCAATCTGTCCAGGAGCCTGCTTTTGAGGAGCGGGCAACCGTCGCGCAAGTTTCTGAAGAGTCTGTAGTCGAAGATGTTGACAAGATCCCGGGTACCGGAATCCAGGCCGATGACGGATCAACTAGTGCAAATGTCTTGAATGGCTCAGACAACCAAGCTGAGACTCTCGCCGCAGACTCCTCGTCGGCAAATGAAGTTGAACAATCTGAGGCGGCGAATCCATCGCCGTCCAACACAGACGAGAGGATCATGCAGATGCGGAAGTTAGCTCGGGCTTTTTTCAAGGTTTTTGCAGTCCAAGGCATCTCTGGCAAGACCATGGAGCAGATTGCCACTACCTTTCAAGCGATCAAGGACGCGATCTACGATCACCTCCGAGAAGATTGTGGTGGACCAAATTCATACATCGATGAAGTTCTCGATGAGCTTTTTGACGAAGCATTCGAGAAGCCTCTACAACCTAAGCCAGCAGGTCCGCCCGTGGAAGCTGATACTGCGCCCATCCCAGAAATTTCAGTGGAAGTTGATACTGTGCCTATTCCGAACGGCAATGGCCGTATTCAGTACACACGCAACGAGCTACTGTCGTTGCAATCTTTTGCCATCTTACCCCCAGAGGCTCTGGCTAAGGTTAACATCCCAATAAATCCTCACCCCCAGGTTTACCGACCATCGACAACGGCCGTGTCGTCCACATCGCGAGAGCAGTCGGACATGCGTTCTATCTCATCCTCTCAAATTTGCCAGAGCACAGACGCCATGAACTGGGTTCTCGGCGTCAGCGCCTCGCCGCCGGCGGCCTCTGCTAGCATTCAGGGAATTGTCAATAATAACAATACGCCCACTGTCAACGTAAAGCCGACTCACCCAGACGTTGGACTCCAGCAGTCGCTTTGGGCAATGCCCGACGTCGAATTTCTGTCCCCGAACACATTCACTGGGCCCAGTTATGAGAGGCATAGGTGGCCAACAAATAGCTACATGCATGACCTTGCCCAGCTAGACCCGAGTGCCAGTCCAGACCAAGTGGCGGCGGTGTTGCTTCCCCTCGAGGGATATACACCTCAGGTGGCAGGGGGCGCTCCCCGTTCAGTGACCCCTGAAACCATGAGGGAGCTTGAGTCTAGAATGTCTAGACTTTCGATTGACGACCCATTTCGGCCACTTATCAATATTCACCAACATGCCACCACCGAAATTACCCAAAATACTACTGCACAGAGGCAAGTTGCGGAGCCACTGATTCGAGCTACCGAGTCGATTCTCTCTCCGATTTTGACTGCCAATGTCGGTTTCCAGGGTATAACTGCTCGATCTGGCCATCGTGGCCTAGGTGCCTCGCGCCACAACATGTACTAAGCATTGTCCTTGCAAAATGCCACGAACATTCCAGGCATCCAAGTTGATTTGCAAGGTGCGGGTGCACGCGAGCAGCCACAACATGTAAGAGGTAATGCCCTCAAAATCTGGCAACTTCGATCACCCTGCACCGGGTGGAGACGGGACTTAGGTTCCATGTACAAAAAGTTTTGTAATATAGCATGTGAATGTTGATTGTTTGTACTCCTTGTCCCTTGCTCGGTGACTAGGCCAAGATAAATGTTCCGTTTGGTGCCTGCCATCATGTTTGAGCCTTCTACTCTTGCAGGTACGCATAAGAGTTAGATGTTGAGATTTACCAGTTATCTTGCCGCAGTAGATCCATCATGGAATAGTACACATCTCCTGACTGTTCGTTTTGTGGGATTTGGTTTCTAGCCGTCCTCGAGAGTTCTCTCGCCAGCTTTGTGCATCTCATGTCAGTTTATTCCGCGATGTACAGCTGAGCTCTGGGGTGCAGTGTTTGTTTTGTATATCCGCCTTGCGTCTTTGTAAATGTTTTCCCAAGCCTAGATAGTAGCTAGGCGTAGGAGTGGCGGCTGTAAATGTGGCCTAGTTATGGTTCTTTGGACCTTTTCTGCTTCCTTCAAGTCTTGGTTTTGGGTGGTATTCGGGACAGATGGTTTGGGTGTTGAATATTTTGCCCCTGTCTAATGCAGACGAATTTAATTACCTGCCCACCTAATAGTGGAAAACGTTCTTTGTTGCTCCGAGATCGCGATAATCGGTAAAGAATTAGTTCATCATCAAAGACGTTCTTAGGTGTGTTTTTGCTGTGTCTCTGTGTTAGCTGGTTGGGATACAATACGTAGGAGAAGAAGGGGTTTCCCTTCAATGTCGACAGCCAGAGCGCTACTGCTGCTGCTGCTGCTGCTGCTGTTCTCCGCATTGGTGCTTTTGGTACCACGACGGGATCTCTCTCTCGGGCCTGCACCCGCGCGTGATTATGGCCGCCTCAGTGCACCCTGGCTTCTGGGTCAGCTAAGAGCAGAGCCGGAGACTGGGGAAGGTGTCAGGGGCTTGTGGGTGTGCTTTGGAGTGGTGGCACCAAATATGAAAGTATGTGGCACCCCGGTAGAGGGATTATGGAATTGGTTGAAAGAGGGTTGTTTTCTAAATGAAAACAAGAGAGCGCTGCAGGGGGTGTCTACGGGGACTCCCAGACCCTGGTAAGCTCCCCAAAGCAACAGGGGTAATTTTGTATCACAAAATACCAAATCAAAACTAGAGGCGATGTTCATTGCCCGCAGTGCCCGGGCGCCCGGGTAGGTACGAAGGCTCAGGCTAAAAGAAAAAAGGGCCACCCTCCCCACTGCAAGGACCTGAACGCCACGTCCTAAAAGGGGTTAGATTCAAATCGCCAGCTGCCTGGTCAACAAGCCAATCTTTTACAGTGCAAGGAGATAACGGCCTGCCGCGTGTCCAGATCGGAGGATCTCAGGATCTTACCTTGTGGCAAAAGAGGTAATTTTTAATCGTAACACAAAAAGCCGGGTCGGCTGGACTGGTTGAACAAAGGTATATTTATTGCATGTCCAAATAATAGAAAAGCAGAGGAACAAGAATAGAGAGAGCAGCGGAATCGGCTTCTTGGGGCTCTCAGGGACCCCTGACACCTGACAAGCTTAAATCCACCGCCACCCTCGTTGCCCTGGTCGTTGAACTAGGCCAAATATTGACATCGGATCTTGGCATCAAAATTCTATAACACGACGTCATGAACGGCCAAGAGAAGGAACAAATGAGCGATTTCGGTATTTTAATCAAAAGGAGGGACCTTGCACGAGGTAGTCTAGCCAAGGAAAAAAAATTCGCATGAGATTGCAATTGGACAAGGGTGTAAACAGACGCCTTGTTGCCTTGTGCCCCTGAACACCTGACCAGTATCCAGTGTTGTGGGGTTTCGAAAGAAATCACGGGCTCATTCAAATGGCGAGGACAGAGAGTGAGCGAAACTAATACAGTAAAGAACAAGGTCAGAGGGCAGAAAACGAGCAGCCGTCTATGAGTAATTAATTATCTCGGAGCGGCAAGTCAATCAGAAAACCCCAGCTCAAAACTGCTTGGGGGGGGAAAGGGAGGGAAATGATGAGAATGAGATCCACTGGGGAAGTTGGGGGAAGCAGCAGCAAGGAAAGTAAGCAGGGGCAAGCATGTGGTGTCGATTTTTACACGGCACCAAGTCAACTCAGCGGACATTAATGAGATCTTTCAATTGCTAAAATCATGACAAGAAATTAAGCCCGGCATTGCTACCTAATGAAATAGAGATGGCAAGACGAGCAGGAATCAGATCGACCATTGCTGCTATGCTAATTACCAATGAGAGTCAGGGGTAACGGTTCAGCTTTTGGGCGATCGGCTCACAAGCTGCGAGTCTCGAACCACTGACGAAGACGATTCATCACTTTTGACTTGATCCTTGACCCTCAATGCTCCGGTACTGTCACTAAGAATCTCTAAGGCGGAGAGGCGCGAGGAGGCATAGATTGGGAATGATAAAATTGGGGAAGCGAGCCCCACGAGGCCGAAAAGGGGCATAAGTGTCCTGAAACAACCACCTCATAGCGACGCCCAAAAATAGGTCGGTCAGCGGCGCCGGTCCTTATTTCCGTGAATTTGAGGCTCGACGGGGCACTTCCATTCTTAATGGGCGGGCTGCTAGGTGGGGTCAGAGGCAGAGACAGGAATCCTCGCCCGCCGCGCACAAACCGGGAATTCCAGGTTTTCAGGGAGGCGCCTACGTCACAGTCACAGTGATTCCCTAACCATAAGGAAGGCGAGGATGACAGCGAGTCAGGCCATTCGGCCAACCTGGAAGGAGGTATTGCGGGTAGGTGTGGTTACACGGTGTGGCAAGTGCGACGTTGGTGACTGCCGCCCTGCCTCCTTCGGCTTCCTTCAAAGTCATGAACACCATGGATTGATGGTATTCATTACAAATCGCACAAGTGTTGGAGGCTGGAAAATGGAAAACGGAAAATGGCCGCAGCGTCAGGGGCCCGGGCCGCCCGGGCCGCCCTAGCCACCGCGCAGTACATACGCACCCTCTGTGGTGTGAACCATAACACGTTGGCTGCACGACGCAGACGGCATGCTGCTGTGCTGCCGCTTCCCATGGGGAACGCACGGCAGCCAGCCACTGCCCGTGGGGAAGCGGGGGGCGAATGGAAGGCGTGAAGTTCTATTGACCACTTGTCAACGGGAGGAGACAGCAGAGCAGGAATCCATTCAGGCTACACTAAGGCTAATCACACAACCTCCCGGGTCGGTGTATCAAAAACAAAGCAGCATTAGGTAATTGCGCTGTCTCCAATCATTCTTACTTCCCTACCTACCTTGCCGACCTTGGATAGGATCAATAGCCGGCCAAATCAGTTTCAGCTGCACTGCTACCCAATAAGGTAAGGTACCTTAGGCACCTCATCTAGATACGTAAGACGTAAGCGGGACAAGATGGAGATCTGGACTCGGAGATCTGGACTAAGTTAATTGGAAATCCTAAGCCGCGCTTATGCTCTACTGCGAACATCGAATCTGATCAGGCTATATTTTCTTCCTTCGCATATGTGTGTGTGTGTGAGTGTGTGTGCTCAGATCCTTCGACTAGACCTGCCTCCTCCCAGTCTGTGCCGCCAACGCACGCCCATCCAAATCCAACAAATACGCAGATTGAGACGCTGAGCCCTTCCTGCGCCCCATGCCTCAGAAGCCTTCCATAGAACGTGGCATCTGTTTATTCTTTTTCTTTTCCGCTTCTGGACGAAGATGATAGGGAGGGAGAGAGGCAGAGGAAGAGTAAGAAGAAAAATATGCCCCCCTCCCCCCGGGCGCCGGGCCGCAGTTCTGTGCCGCACCGTCTCTGATCCACGCTAAATAATATTACCATTAGCCTTATGCGCGTTTAGGTACTGTGCCTAGATTAGACATAGAGTTCGGTGCTGACGACGTCGCTTGCCAAAAGTCCCCGCTAGTCAGTCACTGGTCAGTCACTAGCTAGTGCCTCCACCAACCGCGCGCGGCGCAGGGGTGTTTGTGCATTTCCGCAGATCCCGATCGATCCGTGTCACGGTCCACGGGGTTTTATTTTCCGCCGCCGCGTTGACCTGGTGTGGCCCGGCAGGCCTTGGCGTGTAAGATTTTGGATTTCAACGGGAAAAGGAGATGAGCGTGAGGCTGTGAGCATTCCAACGAAGTCAAACTCCGAACGAACCGAGCTCTTTGTCTCTCTCCATGTCTCGTTAGGGGATATCCAACAGGAGAGCTTCATAAGGATGAATGGGCAGGGTTTATTTTGGGAAAATCCCAGTCACTTCTATTCAAGCCTTGCCGGGGGCACGGGTCGTCAAGGGGGCCCTGCTAAGACCAAGTTTATGGGAAAGGGCACAGACACAGGCAAAAGATGACGGCACTACACTCCGGCAGCTCCCTTACTTTATTAGTAGTGCTTAATAGCACGTGCCTAGTAAGCAAGTGCGTGCACGGAGTGGGGTTATCAACATCCTCATCAGGGGCCAGCCCAACAACACAACCACACTGGCACGAGAAGGATTGGTAATTTTCAATTACACAACCTACCAGCGATTGGTAATGTGATACTATGTCAGAATAATTACAGATAGCTAGCGTATCCAGATACGCACCGCCTAGCCTTTTTGGTAACTCTCACTCAGGTTAGGTACTTGATCGGAAGGCGACCTGCGCCGGCTCAAGTGCCAAGTGGTCCCCGTGACGCCTGCGCCACCCCTCCGCGCTTTCTAATCGTCCCGCGATTTTCCAGCCAATGTTTACGAGTTGATCATTGTATATGCGAGAAGCCTTGGATCCAGCCGCGCTTGCATGCATGCCTGCCTACCTGCAGCCTGCTTAAGTAGGTCCGGCTAGTTTCGACCCCTTTGACTTTCTACGTGCCGCGCCTGCGCGGACTATTATCACTTCTCTGACACGTGTGGGTAGCCTCACTCTGTGTGCCACTTTCTCATCGTTCTAATACCTCTCGCCGTACTTATCAAAGTCGGCCTTGGTCTCGGCGCACAGCTTGATTCCCCAGGGCTTGATGTTGCGGTGCCACTTCAGGTGCGGCCAATTCGCGTCTCCTGAGTTGATCAAGCCCTCGACATCGGACAGCTTGTGGGCTTCGCCAAAGAACATGGCGTCCTGGATCTGCGGGTAGACAATCATCTCGTTGAAGCGCGTGCCTTCCTTGATCCAGTCCATGCCCGCCATCTTCCCGTGCTTGGAGAAGGACAGGTACGGCTTGGACACGTTGAACTTCTCCATGACCTTCTTGTCGAGCTTCTCCTGCGCCTGGCATGTCTCCTCCATGGTGGAGTGGACGTTGTTGATCTGCCAGGATCCCTTGGACGGATACCAGACCTTGCTGATGAAGTCAAACGCTTGCGAGCTTCGCACATAGAGCTTCACGATATACTGGTCGTCCGGTGTATTCTCCCGTCCCATCTTGGAGAAGAACGCGGCACTGTAGCAGACAGAGTCAGAATCCGCCCCCCTTACTCCAGGGAGGTAGGGAGGGAGCAGGGCAACTTACATTCGCGGGTCATCCGCCACATACATGGCGTAGCCCCATCGTGCCGCGCGGTCCGTCCGGGTCCGCCGTTTTCCTTCTGCGTATCGCTGCGCGTTTAGCATGTCCGCGCCAACGTAACCAATGTGTTGCACTCTGCTACTTTCGGCTCCGGATGCGGGAATGTATCGACGCCATTCCATGAAGCTTCGGTACAGCTTCAGTCCATTCTTGTAGTCATCATATGTAATACCGCGGCCTGGCTTGGCTATTTTGAAAAAGGTAACACCTGTCGTGGAAATCCACGTCAGCATGCTGCGATGGCTCGTGGTCCCTTTTAGCAGCGGCGCTTACCGTTCCACTGTTCAACGTCCATGTTTTCGGCTTTGTCGTCAAAGAGAAGCTGGGCCCCCGTGTCAGAGAATATCATCATTGAAGAGGGGAGTGCGGGCATTTACCATTTTCTTCTGGCTTGTAGGCCTTCCCTTGTCCTGGTTCCACCTTTCAAAATTGTCGAAATGCTCAGTTTTCGGTTGGTGTTCTGCGGCTCCACTCAGTAACGGATCGCGCAAGATCAAGCACGAACAAGGTGTGTGATGATTGCCAACTTACCGTTTCCAGCCTCAAAGTACTTTATGATGTCTGTGACGCGCGTTCCCTTTCCTCTCTTTGGGTCGTCATACTCGACGTGCCAGAGGGCACGGACACACCTGAGATGGAAATCAGACAATGTCAGAAAGTGTTGCGATACGAAGTTGGCAATCCATCCACAAAAGACGTAATAACTCACATATCTTTGTGAGTGTTCTTGGACGAGATGCAGACATCAATGTTCATGTTGTCACTAGAATTGGGCTTCGTTTGCTTTCGAATATCCTGCAGGATTTTGATAAAGTCATAAGGAACCCAGACCTGAGCCTGTTTGTATTTTTTGTTCCTGCAAGACCTGTTAGCGGCCGACGGTATGACAGACGAGGTGAAATAAATAGAAAAATACAAACTTGACATCTCCAATGAGAAACCCGTCGTTGCTCTTGCTTAAGAGGGTGACGTTGTCTTCCTTCTTGCCTTCTGTGACCCATCCGTTCTTGCCGAATTCATGCTCGTTGAGCCAGCCGTCCCACGTGGTGCCGCTGCAGAAACTGTTAGTATGTTTCGGATTTTCCTTCCAAAGTTCACCCCAACTAGCTAGGTGCTTACTCGAGGTCAAAGGCGACGAGTTTTGGATAAATGTCCGAGCCAAGAGCTTTGATCAAGCCCGTGATAAGTGATGCCATGGCGAATACTGATGGATGATAATCTGGGGACACGAGCGTGGTTTGGAGATGAGTAGGGGAAAATATGAAGCTGTGATTAAGAGCTGTTGCTGAGTGGCTCTGAATGCTAGATGGAACTGATGATTAAATCGGAATGAACCATTCTTGCTATGCTAGATTCAATACTATTTATACAGGCTTCCACAGCACTCCTGAGTGCTGACATTGCGACTTGTTCCCTCGAGGTTCTTGACCCGGCGAAGAGCTTCGTGTCCGTTGGTTTCAAACCCGAACAAGAGACATCCAGGCCATCTCGCCGACCACTTGCCCCTCTCTCGACAAGGCGTAGCGACTCTCGCAGGATATTTCTGGAATCACAGTGACCCAGAAGAACCTTGGAAGTGATACGCCGCATGGCGAAGGAGGGCGTCGAGGCGATGAAACAGGAAATCTCTACGTTCCCACTTTCGAAGAGGCTGAGGCTCAAGGCGGTTGACGCTGATCTAGCATGTTTGGAAAGATCGGCTAACGGCCTCTTGCTTGTCTGGGCCCTGCCAATGACCAACACGCCCTCAGAACAACCAACACTCCTTCAAACCCTCGAAGGCGCGGCAGTCATAATGCGGCGACCGAGCTGGGCCTCGGGAAGCCGCGATTTGCAACAGGATGCCCCACACGTTTCAACACTAAAATCAGAGACATACCGAGGTGTGTGTGTGTGTGGGTGAGTGAGTGCGTGAGTGAGTGAGTGAGTGGGCGAGTAAATTTAGATTTTAGGTTCGATGAGATTGCGTGCTAGTGTAACGTAACCTCCCTTTCCAGAGATGCCGGGCAGGCGATCCACAAAAGCGACACGGGACTCATGATGCAGCGGCGGCAAATTCGGCCTAGCCATTGAGAACTGCCTCATGGGTCTCCACCGCCCAAAAAAAAAAAGTCCGTTGCCGCGCGCCGCACGAATACGTTGAAACTCCATGCCACGGGCCCTGCCTCCTCCTCGTGGGGGCGGTGCTTAGTTCGCCGCCGCCTATGCCTCTTCCCGCTGACAAAAATGGAAACTAAGTGACGCCTGAGGTTGAACCAATGAGCCGTTGCCCTGCATGCCAGTAGGGAGCCTTTTCTAAATATTGGAAAAGATTAGGCCGATAGCCAAGACTCGCAGTGGACAGTCGACGAATATATCCACTACATAATGCGTACCGCTCCTCGGCTCATCTACACCCCTTTGTCTTTGTCTTCTTCATTCCCTCAGACACCAGCTTAGCATTCCATCAAACACCAGCTTGACGCCGAAGCAAAAACCAACAAACATCGCCAGCCATGGCCACGCCTACTCCCACTCCCACCCACCAGCAGACCCACTACACGCCGCGCAACACCGAGACAGTGCTCGACATCGCGGCCGACGTGATCCGGCTGCTGCGGGCGGCGGGCGAAACGGTCGGCGTGGGCGAGTCGCTCACAGCGGGCGGCGTCATGGCGGCGCTGACGTCGGTGCCGGGAGCCAGCGCGGCGTTCCGCGGCGGCGTCGTGTCGTACGCCACGTCTCTCAAGCGGCTGCTGCTGGGGGTCGACGCGGCGCTGATCGCGCGCGAAGGGGTCGTGCACAGCGACGTGGCGGCCCAGATGGCCGAGGGCGCGCGGCGGTCGACCAGCTTCGACGGCGTCGCGACGACGTGGGGTCTCGGCACCACGGGCGTGGCTGGCCCCGACCCGCAGGACGGTAAGCCGCCCGGCACCGTCTTCGTCGGCATCGCCCACCAGGGCGCCAGCCAGGCCTGGGGACCCTTCAGCTTCCCCGGGTCGAGAGAGCGCGTGCGCGAGGCGACAGTCATGGAGGCCTTGGCTAGGTTGAGGGACGCACTGGTTGCGAGGAGCGTGGCGATCCTCGAGGTCGCGTGATGGTCGTGTTGGTGTTGCTGCCTGTCTTTCTTTTACCTCAGCACATGCTGGAAGCTGCGGCCGTGGCCGTGGCTGGGTACTGGGCGCTGGCGCTCAAGGTCTCCATCTGGCGGGTTCGATGGATTTTCCCAACTTGTGTAGCATGGCCATTCGCTTTTGCAAGTCTGATGCTGGCTTCAGGATCTGTTGAATTTAAGTATTCATGTACATAATTTATAGTGGAAGCTGGGCAGGCCACAGAACATTATTTTACGGCAGTGCCAGCTTTGGAACATTAAACTACCTCGGGTCCAGGTACTACCTTCCCGGGCTTCCTCATACTTTGGGTGTTGCAGTGAATGAGATCCACAGGCTCGTGGCAAGTTGGCCTAGGCTGTCGTCCGCATGTTATTACACCTCAGCCACTCGTCTCAGTGGAGTCGGTGCCTTCAAGAAACCGGAAGGCTTGTGAGTACCTTGATCCGCAAAGAAAACTTAGCCCTGGTTGGTCATCCAGGTTCGGGATCCAGAGACTGAGCTGTGTGAATTTGCGCTCCAGTCCCTCATCCAGTCCTAACCTCGGTTGCAGGGTCCTAGATGAGGTTAAATGGCTGAGATTCGCTCCTTCCTTGGCCCCATAGGCCAGTTCTGCCTGAACAGTGGCAACTAGCAAGTACGCCTGGCCAAATGAAGGACCTCCCGCGTGTTTGCCTCGATCCTGCCTCTTTCTCGTTTGCACCAGTGTGACTGTGTCTTAGGGGTTAGGGTTATGTGAAGACTCGAAACGTTGCGAGTCGACATGTGAGCGCCTTGTTAAATCACTTCCCCGCTCCTCTTTGCTCGTCCTCACCCGTCAGTGTCACACTTTTTGTCCTCCGCTGGTTCGCTATGGAAATGGAAATCGTGAAGTCGGATCGTCCCTCTGACCTTTCGAGGCTTTCTAGCCTCCCAGACGAGACGCTTGTGCTTATTCTAAGCAATTTCTGTCTGCATTGCCGCGAATTGCGGCAAGAGGAGCCCCACGCAACACCGCTCGCCTTCTTCCCACGCAACCAAGCCCCCAACCAGCCCTCGTGGAACTCACGCGACTGCCATGCACTGCACTCGATGTGCAGGGTCTCGAGGAGATTCCTCCCCGTCGCCCAGGAAATACTCTACCATGAGTTCGTCCCCGGATACGGCGACTCATGGAACGGCGATTACGAATTCTACTGGCGTCTCACTCCCTTCCTCCGAACCGTGACACTGCGCCGCGACCTGGCCGCCTTGGTCAAGAGATTGTATCTCGATCTCAATCTCCTCAACTCTATCACTAACTCCGAGGCCAAGGATGCACTGCAAAAGGCCGCACAGGCCCGTGGCATCCGGCTGTCCGACTTTCTTCGCCCTTACCGGGATCTGTTGCCGCCCTACCATTGCGAAGAATACTGCCCTTCGGGTGATGAGATGGCATGCATGCTTCTGGCTTCTCTCCCAAATCTTAAAACGCTCGTCTTCTCGGCCGCCGCTCCTTTTACGGCCATTCTTTCATCATCTCTGCGCGCTGCCCGTGCAGAGAGCCTCTCCATCCAGACTCTCGACCTCCGCGGAATTGACATCAACTTTCGTGCCCGTTATGATGGTATCCTCGAGTTGGCATCCTCAACCTTGGAAACCCTCAACATTGATACCTGTCTGCGTTGTCGACTCACCGGCTTTGTCCGGCCTTTTCCGAAAATGAGAAACGTAACCATCACTAACAGCAGGCTTTTCGAGTCAGATTTTGCAGCGCTTCTTTCGTGCTGCGCAGGCCTCGAGACGTTTACCTACGAATGCCGTAGTGAGTCTTGAACTCTCGACAAAGCCATGACGGCTGTTGCTGACGTTGAAGCTGGCATACCTGACACTGGCCCTCTCGGTGTCGACTCGCCGCCCAACGACGCTGTTGTCCAGCTGCTCAGGAACAAGGGAACTCTGAAGAAGCTACATCTCGATACCCGACCAGGGCGGCCGACGCCAACCATTAGTGATGGCGAGTTTCTTGCCCGGCTGATACCCAAGTTGCGGGAGTTTCTTGTTCTCGAGGACTTGTTCCTGGACGCAAAATTGATATTTTGCGATACTGGCCAATCGTCAGGCCGCAACAGTCTCCTCACAAGCCTCCTTCCTTCGTCCATCGTTTCACTGAAGCTAGCGGCAAATACCGATCCCCAAATGACCATAAATGTGTCAAGGTGTCTCCTCGATCTCGGAAGGGCGGTTTTGCAAGGGCGATTTCCCAAACTTAAAAGAGTCAGATGGGACACGAAACACCAGGTCGATGACTGTAGCATGAGAGTTGCATTCCGCAAGGCCTGTGTAGACTTTGCATATGATTCCTGGCCGTTCAGCGGCGGGGCAAACAGGCACAAGGACGAGAGCTTGAGTTCGTCGGCAATCTCGACGACACCGGAGACAACAGACGGCGAGACTGATTGACATGGCATGTGTCGGATTCTGCTAGCACGACCGAACGTAGTTTAGGATATTATATATATGCCACCACGGTGCTCCTGGAGTTTATGGCCGCGGGATTGGGGTTGTCTAGACTTGGTGCTAGATTTGATGGACCCGGGTTCTGGTTTGTATTGGTACATTTGAAGGATTGGCTTTGATTGAATTCGTAGCCCATCGCATTCCTTTTTATCCAAGTCTACTGCGTCTATGTCCCCTTTCATCCTGAAGAAGTCCCTAGTCTAAAGCGCCGTGTTTGTTCCAGTTGACGTTCATTAATTCATTAACCATCTCAATGGCTCCCTTAGTTTGCTCATATCCCTGTCTACTACATTTGGTGGAATGCTACCCTAGAGTGCGAGCTAGACTCGTACACAGCCCCCTTGCTCCTTGCAATCAAGTTCAGTCCGAGCCTTTATTCGGCTATCAAATCCGTAAGGGAGTATCAATTATTTGCAGGTCAACGTCTCCGTTGAGGCGTAACTTCTTCAGCGACACCGCACCACTAAGCTGTCAAATTATGACGGAATACTGCGTTTCCTAGTGAATTTTTTCTGCATTTTCGACGTCATTCGACCGTTCGCGTAATAAAATTGATTCATAACTGGACAACTCATGATTATAGACTGCAGTACTGACGTCTATACATGCCACGAGAAGCGCTAATCAATACTCAAATATAATCAACGTTCAACTAGTTATGCTATCACCTCACGCTAGCAAGGTTCAATAACACAGGGCAAATAACCGTCTCATGTCATCTCAGACCGGGGTTTCTTGGGATAGAGTGAAGGACTCTCGACTCATATTTTTCACCCAGTTCTTCCGTTAAGTTATAGAAAGTCATAAAACTCTTCACAGCTTTGCGTTGTTGGGTAGCGGAACATATCATGAGTTAGTGAAGACGTAGAAAGATGGTGTGAGTTTGAGTGACGGAGATGGATCGCCAGGTGTGCGGCAGCTGGCAGGCCCGAACACTGCTGGTCTGTGCACACGACACTCATTAAAGATCCAAAACCAACCGCGACAGGGCCGCGCGGGGCGGCGCGTTCAATTAGCGCGCTCACAGGCTGCAGAGTCGCATCCCTGTCCGTCCCGCATTAACTTTCCGGCGTCCGAAAGCCCGATCGAGAAACTCTCCCCAACAGTTAACTGTCCGCCATAACCCGCGCAAAAAATAACGACGACTTAGGAGCTCTGCTTATACATACAACTCCCAAATCTTGCCATCTCTCTCTCTTTTATTTCTCCAGAGCACGCCAAATAAACAAAACAGAGAAAGAGCAGGCAATAGGGAACCGGCCGGCCGCCGGCCATAATGTTCACCGTCATGCCCGTACCCATATTTACCTTTGGCCACGACGCGTCGTCGTCGTCAATGTCGCCAGCCACCGCATCCTCGCCCTTCCGCCCGGCCGTGTCGTCGCCGCTTTCCTCGTCGCCCATCAGAGCATCGGCGTCGTCCGACTATAGCCCGCCACGGCACCACCACCACTTCCGCGCCACGCAGTCGTCCCCCATCGCGCCACCGCCGACTACGACCACCAGCGCCAGCGCCAGCAAATTCAAATACGCGACGCGCAATCCGAGGCCGAACCCTGTAGTCAAGCGGCGCGAGGAGGCGCAGGACAGCAGGCGGCGGCTGTTCCTGCAGAACGTGCGGCAGCGCGCCGACGAGCACAAGTGGGAGCGCAGAGGCGGCGAAGACGAGGTACGGCAGACATTACTAATCCCTCCCTGCCACTCAGAAATCACGAACCCCTATATCCATCCCTTTGAAGCAAAAACGAGAGACAAAAAAACTAACGAGTGCATCACGCTCACACAGTTACTCAAGCTCGAGTGGGTGCGGCTCAACCGGGAGCTGCGGCAGGCGAAGCACTCGGACACGGCGTGCATGGTCAGCGAGGGCGAGATCGAGGACGAGCCGGCGCAGCAGCTGCAGCCGCACCTCCAAAACAATAACCAAAACCCAGCAATCGACGACGTGGATGCCCTGATGGTCAACGCGATCGAGCAGCAGGAAGAGGCCGAGCTGAACGCGCTACTATCGTCGTTACCAGACGAATCCCCGAACAGGCAGTCCCGGCCGTGGTCGCCTCATTTCTTCTTAGACGACGACGACTACGACGGGCTGTTCATGGATTTTCTCTCACAACAGTCGCACGATGACGCGGCGATGGCCCTCTCGCAAGACGTGGAGATGTCGTGAAATGTGTGGTCTGTGGTTGATGATTGCTCTTTTCTGCTTGTGCTGAGCTTGCATTTTACATAAATTTTGGAGTTTCGTGAATTCATGGCCGGATATGCATTGCATGGTATAGGGTATGGGGATGGACAGGCATTTTTTTGTTTTTTGGTAGCTGGTTTGAGCAAGGGAGGGCGTTCGTTCATATTAACGGACGGAAAAGGGGTCTGTCTGTCTAAAGCTTGCTGGCATGTATGCAAAACGATGGACTTGTCTAGCTATATTAATCCCGGAATCTTGCCACAAATTAAACCAACCGACTCCCTGAACAGTTACTGGGGGTTGCACGACTCGTCGGGCATGTTCAGTGCGTCCTGTGTCGACGGCATGTCTCCCACCAAGTCGTCTGGCGGTGAGCCCGAGGCTTGCATCTGTTGTGATTGTCAGTGAAGCTCGAAGCTAAAGGGGACAGGGGACGCTCCCACGCACCTTCTGCATCCGGTCCACAATGTATTCGCGGTCTGCCTTGTTGGCGTCGGAATATGTCGGCTCCTCAAACTTACTGACAATCTCCTTGACTAGGGCCTGCTGCTCGTGGTACCGCTGGAGGTCGTCCTTAGACGTCTTGTCGGCGTTCTTGTCGAGCCACTCGGGGAACTTGTCGTTGAGCTCCTTCATGGGCTCGTACAGGATCTCCTTGTTGGTGAGCTGGTCCATCATGCCCATGAGCATCTTGGAAAAGTCCTCGGCGCCGCTCTCGCCGCCCTCGCCGTCGAGCTCGCCCGACTGCATCTGCTTGAGGAGCTCGGCCAGGAAGTCGTCCGAGCCCTCGGCAGCGGCGGCGGCAGTGGCTTGCGCGCCCCCTGCCTGCATGCGCTCCATCGTCTGCCGGATCGTCTCCTGGAACGAGGCCTCGGCGCTGGATGCCACTGGCGGGGCCGCCGCCGCAGCCGGATTGGCCGCCCCCCTGGGCACCCCTGAGTGGCCGCCTGCGACCGTTGCGGGGACCGGCTCCGCGCCTCCTCCTGCCGCGGCGGCAGCGCCGAGCTCCTTGAAGATGTTCTCAAACTGCGCCTGCATCTCCGGCTGTAAAGCGCGCGTGAGCAGTCTGGTCATTCATACTGTGCTGCTGGGATTTCACGCCAGCTCTTACCTCGAGTTCGCCCAAGAGGCCGGCCATGCCGTCCTGGAGCTGTTTCGCAAAGTCCTCCTCCGAAAGTCCATCCTCTTCGGTGGCGGCAGCAGCACCGCCACCAGCAGGGCTTGGTATCCCCGGCCTGGATGGAGCTGGGGGCTTTTGGGACTCGATCTTGACAGCCGAAAACTCATCGAGCATGTCTGCGTCCCGGCCATATGAGTGTTAGTTGCATCACAGCATCACGATACTGGCTTCACCGGTGCAGGATATTGAAAGAAGAAAGAAAACATGTGACTATGTGCACATGTATGAAGAAGGAAACAAACTTGCCGTCAAGATCATCGAGGTCGTCCTCATCCGGGTCTGGCACATCCTCATATTCATCGGGAACCTCATCGACCACGGCAGCGGGTTTGGGAGGTCGTTGGGTGGTGGCGGGGGGCGGCGGCGCCGGGGCCAGTGCGGCCCTTGTTGGTCCGGCTTTTGCTACATCGTCTTCCTTGGTGGGCGCGGCAATGTCGCCAGCATTAGAGTCCATATCGCAAGGCCGCAGAGTCCATGCAGGCCGGAACAGAAAATAAAGCCGAAAGTATTTCAAATAAATACACGAATTGCAGTGCAGGAAGGCGTGCGTACGTTGCGCCGCGTGGTGTGTACCGAGGAAGCTTCCTCGGAAAGGAAAGGGGTAAGGCGGGGGCCCCGCGTTGGCGGGCAGTCCGTTCGGGTTACGAGCACGGCTGCTGCTGGCCTGCTGATCAGCGATGAGAGAGTGGAGTTGGTCGTTCACCCAACCCCAACCCCAACCCCACCCGCTCCTTCAAGTCCTTTTGTGAGACTGATGACAACCTAGAAATAAGCGTCGAGAGCATACGACGTTTCAATACGAACGAGTCAAAGGTGTTGTCACGATAAAGTTTGCTATCCTTGCCGTCATCTTGGGTGGACTCCGAAAAGTCTCATTAATTCTTGGCTTGTACGGATATAGGTAAAAGTACCCAGTACATACATGTATGTAATTACCTGTAGGTAAGATACCAAGTGGACCACGATGAGACTTTCAGGCAAGGAAATGACTACTCCAAGTCCTTTAAGAAAAGGAACCAGACATTTATTTGAAGACGGAAGCCGTAGCTGTCTAATGTTTACACACACAGGTGAGCAATATGGATCGGCCGTGGGGGCAATGTGCCATGAGAAAGGCCTGCAGGAAAGCACTCTCGGACAAGGGCGGTTGAGGCCACACAATTTACCCCACATTGAAGAACCCACAGCTGCTCACCTGTTTTGGCAGCAACCCACGTCTTCGGGCCAGCAGAATTTCTGAGAATCGCATGGGTGCCTTTGACCGACAACCTGCAAGAGTTGAACAACCTAGACAAGGCAAGGCCCGCGCCCAAGGCCTCAACTCACCTTCCTTGGCGCAAGGCAACCCCCATTCTCTCCACGCTCGACCTATCGTGTTGCGGATTCTATATCTGACCTGCGTCGGGCCTTTCTCCCCACATTTTCCTCCACGCCTGTCGTCCTCCCGTGACTACAACTTCAGCCGCGTCCCCACGCTCTCGGCACGGATCACTGCGCCGGCCTACGTCTAGTGGTGCCCTCGGGTCCCCGTACAAATAAATCTCCAGCAAATTGCTCAACCAACGATCGCTTTCTGCCCACTGCAGACGAACGAACTATGGCGCTGTGTCAAAACCGCCTGCACGAGGAGCGGTAAGTGCGACACACGCCCACCCCCCGGGGGCCTTGCGCGGCGCGCCCGCCCTTTCTCCTTCAGCTTCTACTTCTGCTTCTACTTTTGTCTGTCTATGCCTCCCTCCGTGACATACTCTTGCTAACTCCGCGTGTGCCACCTCACAGAAAGCAGTGGCGCAAAGACCACCCCTTCGGCTTCTTTGCCCGACCGCAAAAGAATTCCCAGGGTGTGCTCGATCTGAAAGTTTGGGAGTGCGGAATCCCCGGCAAAGAGAAGACGATCTGGGAAGGGGGCCTATTCAGAATGACGGTCACGTTCCCCGATGGTATGTTCACACCTCGATCTCGCCCTTGCCCGCCCGCCGGCTTCAGCTGGGCGTTAAGGACCTTGCTAACTGATCATCCCTACTCGCCATGCAGAATATCCCACGAAACCTCCCAAGTGTAAGTCAAATCAAAAGCTACTCCGTACTGGGACACGTCACTACAGCCAGGTCACAAGATTAACATGCTTCTCTTCGCTATGCAGGCAAATTTGTACCCCCTCTCTTCCATCCTAATGTCTACCCATCGGGTACCGTCTGCCTCTCTATCCTGAACGAGGAGGAGGCCTGGAAGCCGGCTATTACGGTCAAGCAGATTCTTCTCGGCGTACAGGACCTGCTCAACGACCCCAACCCCGAGTCACCTGCCCAGGCGGAAGCTTATAACCTTTTCAAGAAGGATCGAGCCGAGTACGACCGCAGAGTAAAGCGTACGGTGCGCGAGAATGCCGCACCATGAACAGCCCAAGCCCCCCAAAGCTACAATATAGTGGAGGCGACATTTATCTGAGAGAAATGGGTGACTTGCCGGGAAGAATTAAGGAGTTTATGGGATACCATAGTGGCTTGCAGGATGCTTGGCGTTTACACGGCAAAAAGCGGCGGAGCGTCTTGTCCTCGGAGCTGCTAGTAGGCAGCATGGTGTGGGTATGGGTTCAGGGCAAACAGGGAAAGAAACCGGGGATCGTGATGTCCGACATGGGGGTGGCTCAACCCAACGAGCGGCATGATGGCAATTAGCAATGGAGTCTGGGCAGATTCCCCCGCAACGGCCGGATCTGCAGAGCTGGCTGGAATCGTCTGGGGAAACTGCCAAAGGCTCCCGTGACTTGCGCCTCGGGAATAGAAAGGCGCTATAATGCGGCTCTTGGTTGGCCGCGCGAATTGGGGTCTCGCAATAAGCACTCAACCCACGCTAGATTTGTTGCACTTTGACTTGCCCCGACTTCCAGACCCCCACATTGAAGTTGTGAGCTCTCACAATTAACCTTGTTCGGGACGTAAACCGGACAATAATGCCTCTTCATGACCACTACACGCACCCCCTACCAGTAGCTCTTCCCACAGACGCAGGCTCTCACGTGGACGTTTTGTGGCCTCTTTCGGGGCTGTCACTGACAGCTGCGAATGTTGCATGTCGTCAGCAACGGCGAGTCGTCCATTTCTTATCAGCCCGCTTTAGGTAATATGGAGACAACGCCCCCCAGGCCTGAGACAAGGTGGATTACTATCTGGACCAATCGCCGGCTCTCCCGACATCGGCCTGGGGAAAAGATACCTCAGGGTACCTTGGCTTGGCTGGTGGTCCTGGTCACTTCTGGAGCTCTCTTCCCAGCGCCATAGCCAACTTGCTCGAACGGATTGCCAAAATCGCCCTGCAATTGCTCGAGAACCGTTTCCAGGGACTGGGGCCGCCTTATTAGTCAAGGTGCTAAAATCTTGCCTGGGCGAGGCGAGTCTGGCCTTGGGCCGGGCAGGGGGTGGCCGTTGTATTAAGAAAGACTTGGACTGGACTCGAGCCCGGATCTGGAGTCACCACCTCGCCAGCACCCACTCACTCACCACACACAAAACATTTTCCTGGGCGTGTGACTCTTTTCTCTCCTTTTCACACACCTTCCCACGCCCGAATTCCTTCATCCCACTCGGCCATCTGCAGCCTCGTTGTCGACTGCATACTCCGTACGGTAGCTACTTTGCGCCTCGTACCTAATCGCCGCACGACACCCATTGCGACTGCCCTGCCTTGCCCTGCCCTGCCAGACAGAGCAAGCAAGCAAACGACAGCACGGCCAGAGTAAGTATAAAGGCTGGCCATCTCGACGCTGACGTGGAAATAGGCTCCGTTCTTCAGCGCCGCGCTCTCGTACTTCATCTTCAGGTCCCTCTATAAAGCTGTCTCGTCGAAACCTTCGACATCCTTCACAATGTGTGGCATATTTGCCTGTCACAAGTGAGTGTCCCACGACTTCTCTTTTCCTCTACCCTTTTTATCCCCATTGCGCCCACCCGCCCGCGTTGGTTGCGCGCCACAGCATCCAAAGCCCATTAATGGAGGGGCAGGTTCGGCTGCCCCGCTATCGCACCCGCCCCTCCATCCATTGAGTTTCGCCAATTGACAACATAAATCTCTTTTGGCCGTCTGGAAACCGAACTAACAAAACACCTGTCAATAGCCACCCGGACGTGGTCAAGTTCAAGCCCACGGCTCTTCGGCTCTCGAAGGCGTATGTGCTATATGCCTCCCAATTGACCCCATATCTGCACAAAGAACAGCTCAATTGACTCTCTTATCTACAGAGTTCGGCATAGGGGACCTGATTGGAGTGAGTGCCCCTCATCCTCGTAGCCCCTGACTCACACGAGATAACCCGTTATTCCGACCATTCGTGCACCCATCAAAAAAGGGGGGGAACCGTTTCACTAACAGCTTTGTGTTATCTTAGGCGGCAGCGTTATTTCTAACCAAACGAGTATGAATTGCGCCTCCCCTCGTCCTGATTAATGTTTGCGGAAAAAAACATTCTCCTGGCCAGTAGAACGTGAGACGAGGAGATCGCTAACGCTACGCCACAGTACTGTGCCATGAACGGCTCAGTATCGTCGGCGTTGGTGGGTCCCGATCCGTGTATCTCTCTTCGAAGACGACATCTCACCAGAAAGCAGAGAGCGGAGCTCAACCACTCACCAATGCCGATGAGAGCATTGTCCTCGCCGTCAATGGCGAGATCTACAACCACCGTCTTATCCGGAAGCACTTGAAGCACCCGTACCACTTCAAGACCACATCGGACTGCGAGGTCATCATTCCTCTGGTGAGTCAACTCACAGGGAGAGCCGGCTGGGGCAGGAAGCCGCAGCAGTCTCTAACGGAAAGTCCAGTATCTCGAGTATGGCCTCGATGCGCCCAAGTACCTCGACGGCATGTTCTCGTTTGTCCTCTACGACAAGAAGCTAGACCGCACAATAGCCGCCCGCGACCCCATCGGCATCACGACCTTTTACCAGGGTCGGTCGTTGTCGCAGCCCGACTCGGTGTACTTTGCGTCTGAGCTCAAGTGCCTCCACCCAGTCTGCGACACGATCGATTCCTTCCCGCCCGGGCATGTTTATGACAGCCAGACAGACGAGATGACTAGGTACTTCGAACCCACGTGGTGGGATGAGCACAAGACCCCCGACACGCCTCTCGACCTGAAGGTGCTCCGTGAGACGCTCGAGAAGTCGGTCAGGAAACGTCTGATGGCCGAAGTGCCTTACGGTGTTCTTCTCTCGGGTGGGCTGGATTCCAGTCTGGTTGCGGCCATTGCGCAGCGCGAAACCCTGCGGCTGAAGAAGCTGGCCGAGGAGACCAATGGCAGTGCCACCGAGCAGAACCCAGACGGCCTCGACAAGGGCGAAGGGCTGGTTGGTATCGACGACGACAACAAGCTGTCGACCATGACTTTCCTTCCCCAGCTCAACTCCTTCTCCATCGGTCTGCCAGGATCCCCCGACAACAAGGCCGCGTTAGAAGTCGCCAGGTTCCTCGGCACAAAGCACCACGTCATGACGTTCACCATCGAGGAGGGTCTTGATGCGCTCTCGGATGTTATTTACCATCTCGAGACGTACGACGTCACGACCATCCGCGCATCGACACCCATGTACCTGCTTTCGCGCAAGATCAAGGCCATGGGCATCAAGATGGTGTTGAGTGGCGAGGGCAGCGACGAGATCTTTGGCGGCTATCTGTACTTCCACGGCGCGCCCAACAAGGAGGAGTTCCACGAGGAGTGCGTTCGCCGGGTCAAGAACCTGCATCTAGCTGACTGCCTCCGTGCCAATAAGTCGACTTCTGCTTGGGGCTTGGAGGCCCGTGTCCCATTCCTGGACAAGGAGGTAAGTGGCACGACGCAGGATCTGCGGTGGATTTAGGGCTAACTCGCCATTTGTAGTTCCTCGAGGTATCTATGAACATCGACCCCAAGGAGAAGATGATTACCAAAGAGAAGATTGAGAAGTACATTCTCCGGAAGGCTTTTGATACTTCAGACGACCCCAGCGCCGAGCCTTACCTCCCCGAGAAGATCCTCTGGCGCCAGAAGGAGCAATTCTCGGACGGTGTCGGGTACGGGTGGATCGACTCGCTCAAGGACACTGCCGAGAAGACCATCACGGACGAGATGATGAAGAACCCAAAGCCGGAGTGGGGTACCGACATCCCGGATACCAAGGAGGCGTATGTGCAAAGTCTTTGTTTCGATATTTTGCGTGTTGCTAACCCAGAGAAACAGGTACTGGTACCGCCTCATGTTCGACGAGCACTTCCCCACGTCTTGCGCGTCGACGGTTATGCGGTGGACCCCTAAGTGGGTCAATCAGTCGGATCCCAGCGGCAGGTCAGTTAACCAGTTCCCCATATTCGTGCACCAGAAGAGGAAAAGTATTGACAGAGCGGTGACTTTTAGGGCAATTGCTATCCACAACGACAAGTATGAGGATGCTTAGACGTTGGCTCTCTGTTATAATCTGTCTACTCGCTTCACTTTTTGCTCGTCTATTCCACAACCCGGAGTCTGGTTGCGGGCGGGAATTCCGTCGTATGTTGCTCGCGGTTGGATCGTAATTCTAGTCAAAATAGAATGAATAAAAATCTCATCAGATTTATCACTTTTTTGGCTCCTGCTTGTCCTCACTGCTTGTTAAAGCGTGCGTGTTTGTCGTTTACAGGGGAGACATGTTTCATACGGTTAAATGTGGAGGATTCTAGTAGGTGATATTCTACCTTTGAGATTCTCCTTTTCGTGACACAAAATATCACCTGCATGATGAGCCAAGATAAGAAGAGGCGGGCGGTTTGCATGATGAATGACCATCCCATTCCTAGCGCGAGTCATGGACTAGCATCTCGGTGGGTGTGAGTTGGAGGTGTGTGGAGGCAAGCCGATCTCGGCTTAGACTGGACGGCTGCGTCTGAACTTCGGGGCCCTGACCCATTTTGGAAAAGGTGACTTATAGGCAGTCAATGGATTTCGGAAGCACGAACATAGCAAACAAAGTCGGTGAGCGGTGCTCTCAGGTAGCAACTGTTCCTGAATGACAAGTTACGAAGATCTGTCAGATATAGGGGTTAGGGTTTTGTTCATCACATTGTTTATTCGGGCTTGCATGGCCCACGTGGTTTCACAAGCGGATGCTCCCTGCCTGCATGGATGGGATGGCGTTGCCGAACTGCCAATCATCGCGCCCCGAGAAATTTCTCGTTTAACACCCCATTGAACTTGCCAACACCTCTCTTCCCGACAACACCTCAAAAGCATCAACGGCCGCAGAAAGATCATCTACAGCCTCCTGCATCCTAATTCCATCCCAACCAAACCCTTTTAGTCAACCCCCCACCTAAACCCGTCAACATGTCTGTTCCGGCTTTCGCAGATATCGCCAAGACGGCGAACGACGTAAGCGCCGCGAAACGCCATGGCGAGGATCTTGAAGCTCATCTCGAGCGGCATTTCCTTGCTGGTGGCACTGTTCGCCTCGGTCCTGTGCATCGCTAACCTCGCCTCCCTCTAGCTGCTCAACAAGGACTTCTACCACCTGTCGTCGGGCACCATCGAGGTCAAGAGCAACACCCCCAACAATGTTGCCTTCAAGGTCACCGGCAAGAGCAGCCACGACAAGGTCACTAGCGGCGCGGTATGTCAAGTGCCCTCAACCCCTGCCTTGGCGTCAATTAGCCACGCCGAGGACGCTGTGTAGACGTGCAGTCGAACTGACCTGCCCTCTTTGGGGTTATCAAGATCGAAGGGAAATACAACGACAAGCCCAATGGTAAATACGACCAGACAGAACTCCGCCGGCCCCTTATGAGACCACCAGAAACACGGAAGACACCGAGGGCTAGCCGCAGGTGGCGCGTATCGGGCGTGTCGCTCGGCGGTATCCCTGGCCCTACCGTGTTCAATGTCCCACTTCGATGCGTCGTAGGATTGAATCCTCATTCTGCACATCTGCTAATGAGTGGGGGACGAGCAGGCTTGACCCTTACCCAGATATGGAACACTGCCAACTCGCTCGAGACCAAGATCGAGATGGCCGACAACCTGACCAAGGGCCTCAAGGCCGAGGGTGTCTTCGGCTTCCTGCCCGCCACCCAGGCCCGCGCCGCCAAGTTCAACGTGCACTTCAAGCAGCCCAACTTCCACGGCCGTGCCTTCTTTGATCTGCTCAAGGGCCCCACTGCCAACATCGACGCCATCGTCGGCCACGAGGGCTTCCTCGCCGGTGCCTCGGCCGGCTATGACGTCCAGAAGGCCCAGATCACGGGCTACAGCGCCGCCGTCGGCTACCAGGCCCCTACCTACAGCGCCGCCATCACGGCCACGGACAACCTGAGCGTGTTCGCCGCCAGCTACTACCACAAGGTCAACAGCCAGGTCGAGGCCGGCTCCAAGGCCACCTGGAACTCCAAGGGCGGCAACGCTGTCGGCCTCGAGGTCGCCACCAAGTACCGCCTAGACCCCGTCTCGTTCGTCAAGGTACGTGTCCCTCCAGCGGCTCTATCGAGATGTGTTTCTGTGCCATTGGAGTCACTGCTAACCACCACGTCCACCACAGGCCAAGATCAACGACCGCGGTGTCGCTGCCGTCGCCTACAATGTTCTCCTCCGCGAGGGCGTGACCTTTGGCGTCGGTGCTTCTTTTGATACCCAGAAGCTCGACCAGGCTACCCACAAGGTCAGTTCCTGTTTGAACCCCATAATCCGAAGACGGGAGAATGCTAACTGAGTTCACAGGTCGGCACGAGCTTCACCTTCGAGTCGTAAAGCGTTAGCGGGCATTAGACTTGAGAGCGTTGGCGGTCCCTGTGCCGTGGCTTTCCCCGAGAGCCACAAGATGACATTTTGAGGCACAGGGGATCGTTTGTATCACCTAATCTTTTTACAAAAATAAAAGACCTTCCCTGGGATGTCAGACGTCGGAGTGTAAATTAGACAGCCCAGTGAAGCAATCTTGCTTGGCAGCGTGGAAGCAGCTTGACTTACAGCCGGTCTTACATTGGCGGGAAAGCCAGGCGTTCGCTTACATGTTGGCTTGTGCTTCATGCTTCACCTGTGTATTTTGTTCTTCAGTGATGTGTGCGTTATCCTGGTCTTCTACTCTCTATCTATGATTTGACATATTACTACTGTTACATGACTTTCATTGCAACATACAGGGTGGCAGACTTGCTGCTACCTTGCTTTCTTGGACGAGATTTCGATCTTCTCAACTGCTATTGCTGTTCTTAGCGGTACTACTACTACTACTACTACTAGCAGTAGCTGCTGCGCTCTTCCTCCTGCTCGCCACGGCGCCGTCCGCGCTCGCCATGTTGGCCTTCCACCCGCCAAAGAAGACATACGGTACCATGACGGCTATCGCCACAATGCCCGCGATCAGGAAGAAGCCGGCAACGGGCCCAAACTCGCCCGGCGCAAACATGTCGCGGTGGCTCCCCCGCCGCTCGGCCCGCCGCTCGGCCCGCCGCGCGTCGTGCCTTCGGTGCGTCCGCTCGTGCGCCGCGCTGTCAAAGTGCGGCGCGCTGCTGTCGGCGGCGGCCCGCTCCGTCTGCCGGTACGGATTCTGTCCGGGGCCCATGCCGGGAGATGAAAATGAAAATGATGACGGGCTTTGGGTCTGCTGTGTGTTGTTTTTACTGTTGCCGCCGCTACCAAACCCCGTGCTCTCCTCGTGCGCCGCCCGCCGCTTGGCCCCCTGCGCGCCCCACCCCCCGGACCGGAAGAAGCTCGGCGGCGGCCCCGTGAACGTTGTCGGCCGCGGGCCTCGCCGGCTGCTCAGCCCGCTCGCGGGGCGACCGCCCGCCGGGCGTCCCCCAGGATTCGTGCTGTGATACGAACCTGAACCTGCTGTTGGGGAGTGGTGCCCGCGCCGCGGAATCGCGTGCTCCCGGTCGTACCGCGCGCGCTTCTCGGCGTGCCGCAGCGTCGCGTATGCTTCGCTGATCCGCATGAATCGCCGCCCCGCGTGCGGGTCCAAGGGGTTGTGGTCCGGGTGGTGCCGCTTGGAGAGATGGTAGAAGGACCTTTTTTAGGAGATGGGTTAGTGAGGTGTTGGGGGGGTGGGGGGTTTGTTTGGGATATAAAAAGGGGGTGTTAGGGGGTTGGGGGTGTACTTTTTGATCTCGGCCGGCGAGGCGTCCGGGTGCACGTTCAGCGTGTCATAGTGGTTCCTGCTGCCGTCGCTGCTGCCGTGGCCCGCTGCGGGGTCACGCAGGATGTGTGAGGCGTGGAAGTTGCGCTGCCTGTTCTTATTGTTGTTATTGTTGTTGTTATGGAAGAACTGTCTATGGAGCTGGAGCAGCAACCGCCCGTGCTGCTGCTGCTGCTGGACGAGGCCGTGCTGCGCCCGCAGGACCGTGGCACCGATGGGAGCGTAGCGGGGTGGCATTCCTCATCCCGAAAACCTAGCCGGTACCTAGGTGCCTCTGACGAAGGGAGGGAGTGTTTCGTAATACGCACATATGAGATTGAGACGGAGCGTTGAGGATCACAGCGAATAGTACTTAGGGGATGGCGGACGGTAGGCTTTGTCTAGTAGTGACGAAATCGATAGGGGGCCGGCAGATAATTCCAATTGACAAATTGTGGCGCTGAAAGTTGAAGTGGTGGGCATGCGCCACAACTGCCCCGCGTTCGCGCCCTTGAGTAACCAACGAAGGTGGGGCATTGAACAGACCTTGACAGGTGGGGATTTATACAAGGTACGGTATCACCACCCGTCAGATCCAGCTCCAGATCCATCGCCCTGAGATCTGTCGGTAGAGTAAGAGGCAGACCTCTCTCCGACATTCAGAATGGCTGCTCAAATCCCCATAGACGAGCTTAGCAAGCTCAGCGGTACGCTCAACTTGTCAGCGCGAGAACGGCTGTGAAATAGCTAACCCTGCCTCAACGCACCCAGTCGAGGACGCGGCCAACGTGAAAGCCAAGCCCGGTCTTGCTACATCTACGACTACAAATGGAAACCTCAACCAGGACAGCGACGACTCCGATGACGACGCGGAGAACCCGGCTGCAGGGGCTGCCAGCGGCGCTGCCAAGAAGAAGAAGAAGAGAAAGCCCAGGAAGAAGAAGAAGACGCCTACCGAGCAGTCGGATCCCCCGCGCGTCCTGATCTCGCAGCTGTTCCCCAACAACACGTACCCCAAGGGCGAGGAGGTGGAATACGTGAACGAGAACCGCTATCGCACCACCAATGAGGAGAAGCGCCACCTCGACAACATGAACAACGACTTCCTGACCGACTATCGCCACGCCGCCGAGGCACACCGCCAGACCCGCCAGTGGGCCCAGAAGAACATCAAGCCCGGCCAGACGCTGACCGAGATCGCCAACGGCATCGAGGATAGCGTGCGCGCTCTTGTCGGCCACACGGGCCTCCCCGAGGGCGACGCCATCGTCGCCGGAATGGGCTTTCCCACGGGCCTGAGCATCAACCACTGCGCGGCGCATTACACACCCAACGCCGGCAACAAGATGGTCCTGCACGAGGACGACGTCATGAAGGTCGACTTTGGCGTCCACGTCGGCGGGCGCATCGTCGACAGCGCCTTCACCATGGCCTTCAACCCGCGGTACGATCTGCTGCTCGAGGCCGTCAAGGCGGCCACCAACGCCGGAGTCAAGGAGGCGGGCATCGACGTGAGGCTGGGCGAGATTGGCGGCGTGATTCAGGAGGTCATGGAGAGCTACGAGATTGAGCTGAACGGGACCACTTATCCCGTCAAGTCGATCCGCAACCTGAACGGGCACACGATTCTGCCCTACAGCATCCACGGCACCAAGAGCGTGCCCATCGTCAAGACTAATGACACGACCAAGATGGAGGAGGGCGAGGTCTACGCTATCGAGACGTTTGGCAGCACGGGCAACGGCGTGGTGCACGAGGAGGGCGAGGTGTCGCACTACGCCAAGCGCAGCGACGCCCCCAAGGTGGACCTGCGTCTGTCATCGGCCAAGTCGCTGCTGAACGTCATCAACAAGAACTTTGGCACCCTGCCGTTCTGCAGGCGGTACCTGGACAGGCTGGGCCAGGACAAATATCTGCTCGGGGTAAGACTACTCACCGATGCGCACGTCCACAGGGCACCTGCTAATTCTTTGCCGATAGTTGAATAACCTCGTATCCAACGGTGTTATCGAAGCTTATCCCCCGCTAGTGGACAAAAAGGGCTCATACACAGCCCAGTTCGAGCATGTGAGTGTGCACCCAGTTGGATGTGTTCTCGCCGATAATCAGAGTTCCCGCTAACCAACTTGTTCCGTAGACATTCCTTCTCAGACCTACCGTGAAGGAGGTCATAAGTCGGGGAGACGACTACTAAGGCTGTTAACACGCATAACAGGATGCAATCATTGCAATCTTTCCCATTTGACACCGATATTCTGGACATGGGGCAAGGCGAAAGCCTGCTTGCTGTCTGAGAACTTGGTCGAGATTTATGGCAAATAACATTTGGAAGCTGTGCCTTTGATTTCGTAGTGAAAACTATATAAAACCATAAATAAGAAGAAAAAGGACATTGACAATTTTGGCGCTGTCAGATGTGGAACTGCCGAAGAATGCCGGACTAGGGCCGAGGTGCGAATGCGGCTATGTCCGCATTCGAGGTTAGCAGCCTTCAAATTGCGAAAGAACGGAACGCATGAGATTGGAGGCGACATGAGTGACGGCAGTGACGAAAGTGACATCATCCCCCCACCTCCGAAGACGACCATCGTCGTGGATTGTTGACTCTGTTCTGTCTGGCTCCGTGAAAATCTGCGGCCGAATGAGCGCCTTTGACGAAATCCGAGCCGAAACCGATCGATCGGCGTCCCGATGATGACGGGGTCCTGCGTGCGTGTTTTGCCGGAGTGATGAGGTCAGCCTAGTCAGCCGCCACACTGTGTTTGTCCTGTGTAGCCATGACTCGGGAACCACCCACAAGGCAAAAAAGGAGCAAAAGTTTTTTTTTAGCGTATCAAAAGCCGCGCGCTGATTGGGTCGATTAAGCTCCCACTGGGCCGGCCAGGCCGTTCCGAGAATTTTTCATAACCCCTTGCACGTTCGCTGTTCTGGGCTAATCAGACGGCGGCTTGGCGGGCCCGCGTTCGCCTCCGATAAGATTTCGCTGCGAGAGGAGAGGTCAGAGGTTACAATTGCTTCGCCATTCCCGAGTCTCTTTCCATCATTAGAAAAAGGCCTCACATCCTCTGGCCCGTCTCGTTTGGCGGCTTTCTTTTGACGTTTGTTGGAACTTTAATTGTTTCCTTTATTACGTGCCGCACACTAGCCGCAGGCCAGCAAAGAACACTCGCTTATTCTTCTGCTTTTTCCAGTTCGGGCATTTTTTTGCAACTGGTAGATTGTCTTGTCATTCCAGGCACAAGCGACACGAAAAAGGTACCGGTTTCAATCCGGCCCATTACTGTCTCGAATCTGCTACCGGCCCTCCCTACTTACCCACCTACCCTAAAGGCCGCATGGGAAACAACGACATTTGAGTGAGAAATTCTCATTCCAATCATTTTCTGCAAACCCCATTGCAAAGATAAGGGGTCGCACGATCGGCCAAACGCAAAGGGGCTGTAAACCGAAAAGCGAGAGTCCTGATCTCGGTTCCCCCCTCTCGTCCCGACAGACGAAAAAAAATCCACTCAAAACCCACCGGCTCGAAACCAAGTCAGTCACCACACAAAAGCAAAATGAAGGTGTTTTCCAACACGGAAACGTTCGACTACTCGTGGGAGGAGGTGTCGACGGCCAACTGGCGGAAGTATTGCCCATGGAACGACAAGTCGACGCACGTCGTGGCCGTGGATACAGTTAGCAGGACGGTGGACCCGGCGACGGGCATCCTGCGGACGGAGAGGCTCATCACATGTAAGCAGTCGGCGCCGGACTGGCTCAAGAGCGTGATGGGCGGGTGCATGGCGGATGAGAGCCACGTGTTCGAGACGTCGTACGTCGACCCGGCCACGCGCACCGTCACCATGGTGTCGGCCAACCTGACGTGGAGCAATCTCATCAACGTGGAGGAGACGGTCGTCTACCGGCCGCTCAACGAGCACCAGACGCAGTTCAAGCAGGAGGCCAAGATAACGGCACTCTGCGGCGGCTGGCAGCGCATCAAGAACAACATCGAAGACTCGCTCGTCAAGCGCTTCCGCGAGAACGCCATCAAGGGCAAGGAGGGCTTCGAGGCTGTCCTCGAGATGAGCCGGCGCGTGTTCGCCGAGGAGCGCGAGCGCGAGAAGATGAGTACGATCCGCGCGCAGGCCAGCCACATCCGGATGGCCCACGCTTCTTAGGAGGAGCTGGCGGCGGCGACGACGGCGAGGAAACCGACCACAAGATCATCCACGGAGGCTGTCCGGTTCCGCGGCGTCCCTAACGGAGAGGTGGAGCAGGAGCAGTCCCGGGCACGGGCAATGCACAGACTGGAGGCGACGCCTCGCACCACCCCCGAGGCGCACAACAACCCCCAGCATGGCCCCCCGCAACAACCCCAACACCAACAAGACACGACGAGCCACCACAGGTTGGGACGGAGACGAACATTAGCAAGATTTTTTGCAGCATACGTGGAGTCTTTTTGCATGCATTTCAATGCCCTCTTTGAACGAGGGCCGGTCACGGAAAAGGGTAATCATCATCAAAACGGCGGCGGTGGCGGCAGCGGCGACTCTGCCAGCATTAGACGCGGCGACGGGAGTGTGAAAGGCACACATGTATCAGAGGGAGATTCTGTGGTTAGAAGGAGGGGCGTTTTGCGATTAGACTCTTAGATGTGTTTATTCTCTCCACCCTTTATCACTCTCGCCCCTCTCTTATTTGCATAATCACCTCCTACCTCTTTTTTTTACTCTTTGGTTTTTTTTTTCTTTCCATGGGCGGCTTTACAGGAGTCTTTGGAATACCCACACCGGTTTTTTGAGTTTTTGTTTTCTCCCTGTCTTTTAGAAGGCAAAGAAAAGATACAAGATAGAATCAGCCCATAAACATATTATAATTGGGCCTCTGTTCCTTCTCTTTGTCAGCTATAAACATTGGACTCTATGAGTGCGTAAAAGGCACAGAGTATGTCATTGTGAGCTGAGTCCAAGTTGGAAAATCCTGACCGCCGCCTACCTACCTATCCAGTATCCCCATTGCTCAAGTATCCCTACTTAGTGCTGAAGCAAACAAGACGCAAAAGAAATTAGCTGCCCTCTCCGTGGTTGTTATATGAAGAGGGAGAGGGGGGGATGAGAGTGATGTAAAACGATATCATTGTTCAAAGGGCTTTGCGTGTGTTGCAGCCATGTCTGGTGATCTCGGAGTAGCGAGACTTTTCGTTTCTTGACTTATTTTTAATTTTAATTTTTATCTACTTCTAGTCTCTGCTCGCCGGCCCCTTTCTGAATAGCAGCAGCAGCAGCATCGTCACCACTCTCAGCACCAGTAGCAGCAGCAGCTATCCTCGCCGCGCACCGCGTCTCGTAGTACCGCAGCAGCGCCCGCGTCTCGTCGTCGAGCAGACCTCCACCGTCGTCAGACGACGCAGACAGCAGCACGCCCCGCACGAACTGCACCGCCTCGGCGAACCGGCCGAAGAAGTACAGCTCCTCGGCGGCGTGTACGACCTCCTGCGCCTCGGGCTTGCTGAGCTTCTGCAGGCCGGACCCGGACCCGGGCCCATCTCGCGGCGTGCTGCCGAGGGGCAGCGAGATGCTGCGCCAGATCTGTGGGGTTTTGTTAGTGTTTGCTTTCATGACAAGAGCGGATGGGGGTATGACTTAGGTACCTCGCCGTTCTCGACTTTGGGACGGTACGTGGCCCGCAGCACCTGGAAGGCGGGCTCGGACAAGGCCGTGCGGTCGGCCCGCGACTGCTGCTGCTGGGTGTCGGTGTCGGCGGCAGCGCCCTTGTCGATGTCGGCTTGCCCTTCGCCCTCGGAGTCGGAGAGCGAAATATTCAGCAGCCCAGATTCCATGTCGTTGTCGCCCATTCTTGGGGGATTCTTTGCGTGTGTTTGCTTGAAGGGTAATGAAGACAATGGTTTTGCTTTGGCAGTACTGAGTGCTAATGGTAGACTGTGACGCTGTAGATACCTGAAAAGGAGCGAATGAGCGAGTAAGGTACCTAGCGATGACAGGACTGGGCTGCAGTGGGGAGGCGCTGCAACGCCCCCAAACTGGGCAGCAACAGCGCCATCTCCACCGCCGTTGGGGCACTTGCAACTTTAACTTACACCCAACCAACACGACACCAACACGACACCAACACGAGCACCAACATCGCAAGCCATCGTCAGCCACGTCTCGACCTTCATCTCCCTCCCTGTTGGATACCTGCATTGCTTTTGAGATATTCTGGCTGAAACTTCAGCACTTCTTATATTCTTTTTGGCAATTTCCTTGCAATGGAGGACCAGGTGGCTCGGCTGGTTGACAAGGCCTGGGACCGGTTCCTCGAGAGGCCCCCTGACCGCAGGCTGAGTGAGTACCTTAGGTTCATCTTTTGAAAATATGTCTTGAATCTATTCATCTGTTGTGCAAGCAAATGCAAAGACGCCTCTTCCCGACTCTGGCCATCCTCCTCTATTTTACGGTACCCCCGATAGAGCGACATGCATCTCGATCATACACGCTACCCTTGACCCCTAATGGAAGTGCCGTCCACATCAGACCAGTGCTAACCGCTCTCCCAGTAATCGCCATCGCCGGCATCCCTGGCTCAGGCAAGTCCCGCTGCCTGTCCCTGGCCCGGGTTGGTGGGTGACTGACCCCTATCCTTCCCGCGCAGGGAAAACCACCCTCGCCTCGGTACTCACCAAGGCCCTCAACACACGGCACGCGGCGCTGCACGGGCCCGGCGCGCCGCCCGTCACGGCGTTTGTGCCCATGGACGGCTACCACCTGACGCGCGCCCAGCTGTCGGCCATGCCCGACCCGGCCAACGCCCACGCCCGCCGCGGCGCCGAGTTCACCTTCGACGGCGCCGGCTTCCTGCGCCTGGTGCGCGCCCTGCGCGAGCCCCTCGGCCCCGCCACCGCCGATGTCCTCGCCCCGTCCTTCGACCACGCCGTCAAGGACCCCAAGGAGGACGACATTGCCGTGCACCCCACGCACCGCATCGTCGTGCTGGAGGGGCTGTGTGAGTTGTTTTCCTAGTGTCTGCTTTTCTTGTCCATTCTTTACTTCTTGTGTGGGTTAGATACAGCAACTAACGGCACTTGGCAGACGTGTTGCTCGACCAGGAACCGTGGCGCTCGGCTGCAGCGCTGACTGACGAGCGGTGGTTCGTCGAGGTCAACTTTAGTGTCGCGCGACGGCGGCTGGCGCGGCGGCATCTGGCAGCGGGCATCGTGGCCGACCTAGAGGCGGGCGACCAGCGGGCCGTGGGCAGCGACCTAGTCAACGGCGAGCAGATTGTGCGGCTGCGGCTGCCGGTTGACGAGGTAGTCACCAGCCGCGAGGACGGCAGGTGGGTGCACGAGTGAGGCTGCGGTTATGACATGCTCAGTGGACGAAGACGACGGCCCCTTTCTCACGAGACACAAGGCGCAGATGCTGCAAGTAGATAGGTATGTTCATGTTCATGTTCATTTGTCGTTGGTCTGTTCGTTCCCTAAGCTTACAACTCTGTCGATGTCTTTAAGTTGTAAAAGAAAGTATTATGACAACGACGCAGCAATACAGCTAGCAACGCTTACACGAAATGTTTAGGTAGAATAGGCTCGGTTGTATTTGGCATGTTTTTTTATTATCTCGAGATTTAAACTTGGTTGAGATTCCGTACAGACAGCTTGCCCAACATCCGCTTGATCCAGCCCCTGATCGAAGGGCCTCGAATGCCACGACCACCAGATGACAGCGCTGCTCGCAACCACAACAAGTCAAGTAGGTAAGTCATTGGCGGGACGGGGACAGACCGGATCCCGACAGCCTCGGATTTACCATACTGCGTATCGAGCTCGGTAACTGAAACTAAGTGAGGCTGGAGCAGATGGAGGGGACACCTCCCATTCGATAGTGATCTGACATAAATGAAGCAACAGCTGGGAGGGGCGCAGCGTGAGCCGCCCGGCAGCGCGGGGTTTCAGGGGGGCTGTGTAGTGTAAGTAGGGCTGAATGGACCGCCCAGCGTATTCCCAATCCGTCGTCTTGTTAGGGAGGTTACTCCACCAACTCAAGGCAGCAACCTGACCAGGTTTCGCTTTGTAGTCATACTGCTTTCTTGTATAAAAGGACAGGTTGTCTCCATCTTGTCCACTGCACACGGCGGGGGGAGGCTTGTATAAGGAATGCTTCTTTTTCGCAGTCCTCTCTATCTTTCTCGCTATCCTCTCAGCTCTTCCTCGTGGATCCATTATCCAGCCCCTGCTAGTCATCAATAGCCCGGTCGACGACTAACACACCCCCGACAGACAAAAACACAGACAGCCGGACGGACAAGAAACATGTGGAACTTCCTAACCAAGACCAAGAAGCCCGGCGAGGCCAAGGCGGCGCCCCCAAGAAAGCAGCATCGCCAAAAGCCGGTGCAGATCGCGTACGAGTCGGCGCCCGTGGCCCTGTCGGCCGACTTCCTCATCGCAGACCCGCCCGACGCCCGGCCCGTGACGCTCACGGCCGTCGACTGGGCCCAGACGGCCGTGCCCGAGTTCGCCGGCCTATACGCCGTGGTGCTGGAGCACGTGCTCAGCGCGAGCGAGTGCGCGACGCTCCTACGGCTAGCCGAGGACAGTGTGCCGCCAACACTGCGCAACAGCGACAGCGCGTGGAACCCGGCGCTGGTCAACATCGGCGCCGGGTTCGAGGTGCTCGACCCCGGCTACCGCAACAGTGACCGCATCATCTGGGACAACCAAGAGGTCGTCGACCGGCTGTGGGGCCGGTGCCTGCGCGCGCCGGGGCTCGGCGAGCGCTTGGGTGTTGTCGAGAATGACCCGGCCGTCATGGGCCCGTCGCGCCGCGGCCGCTGGGAATTCCGCCGCGTCAACGAGCGCATGCGCTTCCTCAAGTACGCCGGCGGGCAGTTCTTCAAGCGTAGGTCTAGTCTCTCTCTCTCTCTTTCCGTATACATAGGCACGGTATATTAACATGTCATCACTGCTCCCAGCGCACTGCGACAGCCCGTACCGCGAGACGAGCGCCGACGGCAGCAGCACGCTCGAGACCGTGTTCACGGTGCACCTGTACCTGAACGACTCCAAGGCGGAAGCCGAAGCCGGCGACAGGGACGCGACCGAGCTCGTCGGTGGCGCCACGTCGTTCCTGTCGTCAGACGAGAAGCGCCGCGAGGACGTCAACCCAAAGGCCGGCCGCGTGCTCATCTTCCAGCACCGCCGCCTGCTACACTCGGGCGACGACGTCGTCAAAGGTGTAAAGTATACTATGCGCACCGATATCATGTACGAGCGCGTTCCGGACAGGGAGGATGAGGCGGCGGTGCCGGCGCCGGCGGGTGTCTAGGGGGGCTGGGAAAATGTTTAACTTTTGGTCTTTGTTTTGGGAGGGGTGGGAAAGGGGGGTCTAGAATATCACGTCACACACCACAGGGCCAATGGAAGGACGGCAAAAGCCACACAGCATTCGTTTCGTGTACACGATACGCTCTGCTTTCATCAGCTATTGTACAGTATCGTCAATCATCGTGCTTCCATATCGCATCGATCGCCTTGATCATCTTGCAGTCTATCTTGTGGCTGTCGTTCCACGCCTTGGCCTGACATTCCTGCGTGTGGCAAAGAATCAGCATAAACACACGTCCAAGATGTGCGTCATTGGTCTTGTCTCTGGCCGCTGGGGAGTGCCGAATATAGGGAACCGGTGTGTATTGAGGAAGTGCTTGAAGGGAAGTCGAGAGCGAGAGATGGAGATCCGCGAAAAGGGGGTTGAAAAGAGGTGGGTGGGGAGAAAGGGGACACAAGAACGAAAAAAACCAAGACAAAACAACTCACCTTCCCACAATACTGCAGCTCCCCGCAGGCCGTACACTTCTTCATCTCGCCATCCTCGCGCCAGCAGCCGTCGCACCCGACGGCGCCAGCCGCACGCCGCTCGCGCAACCACTTGCCCAACTCGATGACGCGCGGCAGGGGTCCGGGGACGGCACGCACAGATCCCGCATCCTCCGGCGCGAGGGCCACGAAGCCGCGCTTGGACTCGTCCTTGGGCGGGGTGCGGTGGGCGCGCGGCACGACGGCCGTGGAGCCCTTGCGCAGGCCGCGCGCGCGGAAGTCGACGGCGCCCGGCCCGAGCCCGTCGAACATGAGCGCGAACGGCGACCCGGCGCGGTCGAAGAGTACCAGTGTCGGCTGCGTGATGGTCATGTCGTCTTTGATCTGGCCCAACAGGAACCAGTCCTCCTCTTTGTTGTTGTTTTCGGCTTGTTGTTCCTGAGAAGCGGTGGTGACGATCTCGGGGAGGCCCGCAAACGTCGGGAACGCTGCCGTGTCGGCAAAGTCGGGGACTACCATGGCTAACTTTCTCTGTCGGGTATTCAGTATTTGTTGATGCTGATGTTGGTCTATCGCCTGGGCAATTCGTCGCTCACTGACTTGCTCACCCACTCACACAAACACTCGCTCCCTTTCTTTGTCTCAACGACTTGCCCCAGCAACACAACCTCTTGATAGAAGTAAGCAAAGCCCGCCAAAATACAACGATAATAAAAAATCAATATGCTGCCGACTACAATACGAAAGCAACGTCAGGTGCAAGATGCAAGAAGTAAACTGTGAGAAGTGAATGTGAATGTGAATGTGAATGTGAACGTTGAAAAGCGGAGACGAAACAAATCTTCCTCCCTCACTATAACCGTGCGAGAGGCCCCTGAAGTGACGCCTAGACCACCTCCTCTCCATCCATCCTTGGCAGCGGCCCGCAGCGGGCGATTGCGGCGTGTACATCATGCACCCACGCACGAACGCATCCTCCAAATCCCAATACCAATGGGCCCGGAACTTTTTTGGTTTGTTTTGTTTACTCATTCCTTCCAGACTCTACGTAGTAGAGAAATATTGCACATGGCAGCAACGTGAACAGAGGACGTTGAAACAGCAAAAAGCAAGACAAGTTACGTCAAACCAACATTCTTCAGACAGCTGGCTACTGCATTATGTCGCCACGCACTGAACCAAGTGCCTCGCAACGGAACTTCCCATCACCATCACCATCTCCCACAACAACCAAGAGCTACAAAGGCAGTCCCCACATTGTATCGTACAGTGTGTTAACTTGCCTTCAAAACAAAGAACACGACACAACACAACACAACACAGCACTGCACTACCTACACACCGTCAACAACAAACCACCGCTAGAACTCCTCTCGACGAGTGAGATCAGAATAGAAGTTGAAAATAAAATAGGTAAATAAATGTACCTAGTAGAAACACACATACACACATACGCACGCACCAAACTATTTCACGTCTAAAGCAACGATACCGATAAAGTAAACAGGGCAACCTCTTGAAAAGGGGCTGGACCGTACCATACAAGAAGAAAGGAACGAAATGAATGCCTCATATACACAAGTGGGGGGAAGGGTTCATGTACACGAACAGAGCTAAAGGGCAATCCAACGCCAGCAGGTGAGGGAATGGAGGGAAGAAGAAGAAGCATGGCAGCCGCCGCCTTTCGTTTCCTGATTTCGAAAATAGACAGACAGACCGAACCCTTTCGCGCCCCCAAACTCCAAGTTTCTCCAAACGCAAAAAAAAAAGGACAAAGGAGACAGAAGAAAAGATAACAGGGCGATTAGATAGCAAACTAAAAAAAAGCCGTGGATGTGTGTGCCCATCAAGCGCCTGTTTCCGCCGCCGCCGCCGCACGCCCAAACGCAATGTCTATCCGCCCCGACGAACCGCCTTGGGCCCTCGGTACCCAAAGCACCCCCCCCAGAGAATCCTCATTGACGCCTTTAAAGATCTATGCTCATCCATCCAAACGTGCCGGCCGCGCCCGCGAGAATAAGAATCGTGAGTATGCTGGCGCCCGCTTTGTCGCCCGTCGTCACTGGAGCGTGGACCACACCGAACTGGTCGCCCTGGCCTCCCGCGTTATAGTCGCCCTTGCTGGTACCTCCTGTCCCGTTTGTCACGGGCGACTTGGCCTGGCCGATCAGCAGCGACGACACGGCCGCCAACACGTTCATCTGCTGGCCTGCTCCGCGGCTGCCGTCGTACGTCCTGGTGTTCCACTTGAATCCGCACGTCCGCTGGTTCGCCTCTCCGATGCAGGTGGCGATGGCTGCTTCGGTCGACTTCTGGAGCACCGGGAGGATCTTGGGTGACAGGACCGGCACAATCTGCGTCACTGTCGCCAGCCAGCGGTGCATGTAGCCCTTGAAGCTCAGCATGTCCGTCGTGCACGACATGTGCTCCTCACACGCAACTTCGTAGGCAACATTGCCCGGGAAGAAGATCTTGAGCGTCGCATCCAAAAGATCTTCAGTTCGCTGCAACCATCGCGTCTCGTTTGTCTGTGACACCACTGGTCAGTTGGGTTGCCTAGAGTCTTCGTCAACAAGTCAAACCTACAAAGTTATACATGTACGCAGCGCCTAGGAGGAACACGCCGTTGTTGTACGAGAACTGGGCCCTGTTGATGTCTGTGCAGTTATGTTCGACGTGGCCACCGTCATAAATGTTGTACTTGTCGTCCATAAGCTTGACATTGACCATCCAGTCCCACGTCTTCTCGGCCCAGTCGGAATACGTAGTGTTGCCCGTGTACCGAGCAAGCCGCGCCCCGATGTTGAAGAAGCAGCCGTTCGCGATGCCTGGTTCGTGTTAGTCGCTCGCTTCTGCACGCCGCAGGGTCAATAGTTCCCCTCACTGTTCTTGTAGTTGTACCCGTTGTTGACCCAAGGAATCTGCCACCGCAGCCCGCCGTTGCACGTGTCGTCGTGTCGGTCCGGCGCCGCCTGTGTGTTGAAGACGGCCTGAGCAAGCGCGAGCCACTGCGGCTTATCCTCGGGGGGGTCGGGGAACCCGTTCTCGGCCGCCAGCATGGCCGACATGCCCCAAAAGCCTTGATCATCGTTACCCAGCGACGCCGTCACGTTGGGCGGCATGTAGTTCTCGAATGGCCCGACCTGCCAGAGCATCGCATCCGTTATGAGTTTGTTGTAGCTGTCGTCGCCCGTGAAGTGCCAGTAGTCGATCAGCGTCCCCCACATTGCTCCGCCCTCCCACCAGTAGTAATCGCCGGCCGGAGGAGGGCCGGGCAGAATGCCCGGTGTCTGGCCCGACTCGTTTCCGTGGTAGTATTGCATCAGATCCCAAGCGATCGTGGCGGCCGTTTCCTTGATATCGTCTAACATAGCCGAGTTCGCGTGTCAGCAAATCGCCCTTTTCCATACCAAGCTCGTTCGCCGAGCCTATCGATAATACGCACCTGTCGTCGCGATGCTGTAAGCAGCGTTCGCTACGCCGCCCGCGGCTAATACGGCCACGGCGGCCCGGAGTGCTGACGAGACCATAATGATTGAAAGTAGCGAGCGACTGTGGTGGGAAGTAATAGAAAAAAATAAAAAACGACCGAAAAAGATCCAAAAGCCTTCTCCGCAAAATGGCAGTTAAATCGTGACCATCGACGTGGGGATGTGGTGTCGGTTGTTTGTCGCAAGGCCGTAGTTGAACGATATCGCGGTTTTCGGCAGATGACGAAGGAAAGGGGGAACTTGATTCTTTGGACGATGGCGGGTGCCCTGATTTCTCCAGTCTTGTTGACGGATCGACCAGGAGGGGGGTGGGGTGTGACTAGGGAATCGCAGGTTTCTTAATGTACCTGTACAATGAAATTAAAGGCGGCTGTTGAGTGGCGCAGGCCAATACAGGCGGGAGGCCTAACGCATGGATGGCAAGTATTAGGTACTAGTCCTGGTTCAGGGAGGCAGCTTGGTTGCATGGTGGCTTGCACGACCTGGGGGCTGCTGGCAGCAGTGGCTCACGCCGCGACATGAGGTGACGAGCTACGCCAATTTGGGCCACTTCGGCCAGTGAGCAGCGCGCTGCCGGACCCCTCGCCGCCGCCGCAGTCTGGCGCCTGTCCGGCCTGTTTTCCAGCCAAGCCGTTCCGTCTCCGTATTTGGGGCGTCGTTCTCTTCCAATTGGATCTGGGTGGCGATAACGTTTGTGGCGCAGAATCCAAGCGTCTGGGCATTCGTGGCAGTCATTTAACATTCAGACTTTATTTTATGTATAGCTAGTGCCCCGTCCACGAGAAGGCACATGTTTGTTGTATCTCCACATCGTGGTTCCACGATTCCACAGAAGGCGCAGAAAGTGGGGGACTTCAGGGGGACAGCCTCCACCCTCTTAACTGCCAGGGCATCTTGGCGGGAGCGAGACGAAACAGCACATTTTATCATAACTTCAATGAAGAATGCAACACATACGGTATGCTTACTCCGTATCCGTTGTGGTATTGACAAAAGAGTTCAGGTTCTTTACATTCAATGCATGCTGCGGGTGAGATGATCCTTCCCGTCCTCCATGTCGCCTCGTCAGGGGGGCGCTCAGGGCACTGCTCCCATCCCCTTTAAATGTCGGCCAATTGCAGTTTGCGTCTTTTTGCCGCCGATATTACGGCTTCTTGCTGTATTCTACATAGTACATAGTAGTTGCAACCAAGTCGGATATCCCCTCGCATTCCCGGCAAATTTTATTCTTCTTACTTAGTATACATACTAGGGGACGGAGAACATGGCAATGGCGTTGGCCGTGGCATGCCCGCACGTTGTACTCCGTAGTGGGTTCATCGCGGCCTGTCTTCCACTCCTCCGCAACTAGACTGTCCCCACCCATGCAGCCTTTCGGTCATTGTTCGATTTAACTTCAGCCTTGCACAAACGTCAAGCCATCGTCACATAACAATAGAAGTCAAAGACAAGACTTGATAAACAAGCTGCGAGCTGTATCTCTGGCCTCGTCTCTGGCATGAGTTCGTAAACCTGTACTGATGCCGGCCGGGCGGTTCGGGAAACAAAACGATCTGCGCCTGTTTGCTTGTTTCTGATACGATGATTGCTATTGCCCCCCCCTTCTAGAAATACAGTCGATTCCTGCCTTCTTTAGCAAATAAGATCGGATGCTTTGCGGGCCATTCCTTCCCCATTGTGACACCGCATACCTAGGTCAGGCGGGCACAACAATGACGATTGTTGTTCTCGGACTCAGCTTTTCGTTTTTGTACAACAATTTCGTACAACAAAATACATGTAGTAGTGGCAGAGAAGAATGCGAGCCCAATTGACTGCGCACTGATAGACAACTTGAATACTATCTGCACCTGAGGCCAGTACTAGCTCGTTGACGAGGAATTCTCTTCTTTTAATTCATAAGGAAGCCCTGGTTGATCGCGTAGGATGACTTCGTGGGTGGGTGTTCGCTCGACGGTGACGTCGACGCAGCTCGACGCCGTCGCCCGCGCTATCCGGACCACGCCAATCATCGACAACCATGCGCACCCGCTGCTGAAGCCGGAATCGCTGGGCAAGCACCCGCTGCTGTCCATCACGACAGAGGCGTCGGGCGATGCCATTGATGCGACGACGGCCTCGCTGCCCCATATCCGTGGCGTGCGGCAGCTGGCGACGGTCCTCAAGTGCGGCTTCAACTGGACGTCGGTCGTGGCCGCTGTCGAGGAGAAGCGCGTCGACTCGTATGAAGACTGGACCGCCGAGTGCCTCGACGGCATCGAGACCATCCTCATAGACGACGGCCTCGATAATGGCGACGACGCCCAGACATGCTCGTGGCACGATGACTACACGCGCAGCAAGTGCAAGCGCATTGTGCGCGTCGAGAAGGTCGCTGCCGAGATCATCAAGAAGCTGGGCAGGGCCTGTGATTCTTCGAGCCAACCCGACGTTGTCGACGATGCATTTGATGAGTTTCTCCAGCGGTTCGACGCTCACGTCCTCGCCGCCATCGAGGACCCCGACGTCGTGGGCTTCAAGTCGATCATCTGCTACCGCACCGGTCTTGATATCAAAGCTGTCGACGAGGATGCCGCGCGCGAGGCCTTTGGCGAGATCATCTCCAACTTTACTCTCCTCGGCTTTGATCGTCTAGAGCAGGAGAGCCTCAACGACCTCGTGGTCCATCGCACCGCCAGCCTGATCCGTGACTGTGCCTCGCGGCAGAAGAAGCCCTTCCAGTTCCACACTGGCCTTGGGGACAACGACCTCACCATGTCCAAGGCATCCCCCTCCCACCTGCAGGATTTCATCCGCGCCTTCCCGACGGTTCCCATCGTTCTCCTCCACGCCAGCTATCCCTTCACCCGCGAGGCTGGGTACTTGGCGTCCGTGTATGAAAACGTGTACGCCGACATTGGCGAGGTGTTCCCGGCCCTCAGCCAAGAAGGCCAGGAGCAGGTTCTACGGCAAATCTTGGAGCTCTGCCCGTGGACCAAAATCTTGTGGAGCAGTGATGGCCATTGGTTTCCTGAGACATATCTGCTCGCCATCCTGCAGATGCGTGAGGTGTTCGAGACGGTAGGGACATTGCCTAGATGCCCTTGGTTCTCTCTAGCAAGTAATACTGATACCATTGTGTTAGGTTCTGTCTGACTATGTTAGAAGAGGCCACGTCGGTTGGAAGGCAGCGATCGAGCTCGTGCGAGACGCTCTGTTCATGAATTCGAACAGGCTGTACCACTTGGGCCTCCAGTTCTCCGAGCTGCAGGAGGAATCTGAAGCGGACTTAGGACCGTTCCCAAGCGACGTTGAGCTTCTACAGGTCTTTCTGAAGAACCAGTCTGCGCCAGATTTCGTCAGGATCTGCTGGAACGACTTCACGGCGAGCCCCAGGATGCGCATGGTGCCGTTCAGAAAGTTCATGTCGTTGCTCAACGAGGGCAAGTCTACCGACATTGGCATCACCAAGGCCGTTTTCGGCTTGCTTCAGAACGACAAGCTGCTGCCGAGCGTTCCAGCGACGGGCGAGTACCGCTTGCACCCTGACTTCTCGTCCTTGATGAAGGGCCCAACCGAGGGACATATCAGCATGTACGCGGAATTCCGCGAGCATAGCGGCGCAAGGGTGCCTCTTTGCCCTCGATCGCTGCTCCAGCGGGCCGTGGAGCTTGGGCTTACGCATGGATTGACCTTTCTCCTAGGCTTTGAAATTGAATTCATGCTTCTCGACCGCGTCGACGATAGTACAGCAACCCGATATGCGACTCTCGCAACCGACGGCCACGCCTGGTCAGTTGCGCGGTACTTTGCAGACCCCAAGGTGTCGCAGCTGCTGCGCGACATGGTTTCGGAGCTTGATGACATGGGTATTTATGTCGAGCAGCTTCACGCTGAGAGCGCCACGGGCCAGTTCGAACTGATCCTCCCTCCGCTGCCGCCCATAGCAGCAGTCGACACGCTACTACATACGCGAGACGTCATGTTCGCTCTGGCTACGGCAGCTGGCTTCAAGATTACGCTGCACCCAAAGCCACTCACGAACGCCTGTGGTACCGCTTCGCATGCGCACATGTCTATCTCGTCGGTGACCGGTGCCGACCCTAAAGTCTACGAACCGTTTTACGCAGGTGTGCTTAAGCACCTCCGCGGCATCACGGCATTCACGTACAGCAATCCCGCCAGCTTCGAGAGGCTTTCCGATAGTTCGTGGGCCGGCGGCCGCTGGGTAACGTGGGGCACGCAGAACCGCGAGACGGCGCTGCGCAAGATTGAGGGCTCTCATTGGGAGTTCAAATGCATGGATGGCCTGGCAAACCCCTATTTTGCCATGGCGGCCGTACTGTTTGCGGGAATCCACGGTGTTGCCGCTAAGGAGCGTCTCGTGTGGGGAGACTGCGAGATTGATCCGGCGAGGCTGACCGCCAACGACCGCAAGGAGCTCAACGTCTCGCAGATGTTGCCCGCCAGCGTTGACGAGGCGCTCGCCGCCCTCAAGGCCGACGACGACTTGGTCAAATACCTCGGCCCGGAGCTAGTGGAGCGCTACACGGCGGTCAAGGAGTTTGAGTGCGCTTTCCTCCGCGACATGGGCGACGAGGAACGCAGGCAGTGGATCATGGAGCGGTACTAAAATGTAGGCAGACGCAGTAAATGAGACAGCATGGTTGTTAACGACATGAGGTCGAATATCCATGCCCTATCTTTCTCAGTCAGTCTCTACTTGTTAAGGAAGTCCCATTTAAAGAGGGTGTATTTATCATACTCTAACATCTTACTATACGGGGGAGATTCAACATCGATGGCCAAGCCCGACACACCCAGCGTAGAGCTAGCATCAAACCAAGTAGATGCACAGAGCTCACTTGATAACTCCGTCCACATCTTGAAGCAAAAGGAGATCAAATTTTGGTCCCGACTCTAGTTCCTGACAGACATGATATGATGGATGGTATAACAAAAAGAACATAACAGTCAAAGAGAAATGAAAATGAAAAAAGAAAAGCGTTTGCCCTATGTACCCAACTGCCGTACCCGTTTTCCCGTCTGTTTCCACGGACGAGACTAGTCTTCGTAGCCCGCCTTTGACGACCCCAGCATGCCCTCGCTGCGGCCGCCGCGGCGGCGCTTGCCGACGACGTCGGCCAGCCAGTCGCTGAGGCGGTAGCCCCAGTGGCCGGCGACGAGGGCGCCGCTGAGGACGTTGATGATCTTGATGAGGAAGACGAGGAAGCCGTCGCGCGACTCGACAATGTTGAGCAGGATGGGCTCGATGTCGTACTTGACGAAGATGCCCGGGATGGTGCGGTCGTTGACCTCGCCGCTCTGCTCCGTCACGGCGTACTGGTTGGTGAAGATGGACGACGACCCCAGCTGCTCCGGGTGCCCCACGCTGTACGTCGTCGGCACCACAGAGATGAAGTACTGGAACTTGTGGAAGTTGGCCGAAGCCGTGTTGACCGTCCGGTCCAGCGGGTTGACCAGCGACGGCAGGAACGGCCCGAATGAGAGCTCCGACACGATGTGCGAGAAGTTGAAAGCTGGAGGAAAGCTGGTGTTAGTAGCGCGCTTTTGAAGGATAGACTAGAGTGGCTGGTTAGGGAGGGGGGGTTGGGAGGTCAAGGGGCAACTCACTGCTGTGCTCGACGTGCGCGCCTCCGTAGCCGTGTCCGCGGGCCGTGATGTGGAAGTCGCCCTGGACCTTGTTGAGCTCGAGGCTGCCGAAGATGCGGCAGCTGTCGCCCTCGGCACCCCAGAGGCGCGGGGTCTTGCCCCAGCGGGCCTTGCGGCGGCCCAGCGCGACAATGTCGTGAATGTGCTCCTCGCCGAAGCCCTCGTCGTGGCCGCCGGCGGCGCCGCCCGAGGAGGCCCAGCCCTCGCCCGTGATGAGGCGGCCGTGCTGGTCGCGGCCCAGCTTGTGCATGCCCTTGCCGTCGACCCACTGCGACCAGTTGGTCGCGTCGCGCGTCAGCCGTGTCGCCGCCAGGATGTGGTCGCCGGCCGCGTCTTGCACGTTGACGTGCAGGTCCGCGCACTTCATGCGCACCACCACGTCCAGGTTGATGTTCATGGCGCGCGACACGCCCTTCTCGACCGCGAACGTGTGCATCTCGGTGCCTCGCCACCACCGCCCCAGCTCCGACCAGAACAGCACCAGTGACACCACGACCATAGCGACAGTCCACTTGCCGCCGCCCGATGTCCGCTGCACATATTGCGGTTTCGATTTAGCTGTGGGCGTGGGAGAAACAAACGTAAGCATATGTGCGCGCAGCATAGAGAGATAGAGACAAGGTGGAAGGGGTTCTGTGCCATGTCCTGTGCGGCGCAAACGTACGGAAAGCATCAAAGGCGCTGACGATGCCGCCGCTCTTCGGAGCAAAAGGGTCCTCGCCCAGCTCGTGTTTCTCATAGCCGTTCATCATGGCGACAAGCAGGCCACGTGCGCGAGACCTTTAGCTAGCTCCTCCTCTTCCTCCTCCTCCCACTCCAGCTCTTGGAAACCGTTAACTAATCACACAGCAACAGCAACCCTGCCGCAGCTCGTTTTCCCTTTTTGGTTCTCTCCTCTTGAATGCGACCAGTTCCAAAATCTCGAGCCCCTTCGTTGTTTACCCTGCGCGCTGATGTGAGTCGTGCGCAAATAAAGTCTGGTGTGTTTGTCGTCGTTTCGATGTGGTGTCGTTGGCTCGAGCTCTCGCGGTTGGCGTGAGGTTTGTCTCGGGCAAGTCTGTCTGTCTCGAATTCGATAGTTGGATTGTCGGCAAAACCCAATTGGGCCGAGAATCACAAACACTCGACGAAAGCAGAGAGAAGAAGAAAGAAAAAAGACAACGGCCTTGCAGAAAAAAGAATGCACAACCCAGACAAACCCACGATCGTTTGCAATCCCCAAAACCGTTGTCAACCAAATCTAGAGGACAGCTTGACCAAATGGGATCCGGCGGCCTGGTACTTTGCACCCCTGCCCGCTGACTTTCTAGCCGAGCCGGCAGCTTCGAGACCCCTGGCTCCGTCCGTGTCATTCAATTGGGCGGGTGCCCGCATTTGGTGAGCTGAAAGGTAAGGCGTGTGCATTGGCGGGGCAGACAGGGGCGTTCAGCTAGCAGCAAGGACGGATACAGTCGTCAAAAGAACGTAACGTAACTGTTCTAGCAATCTAAAGAAAAGAGAATAAAATATAACATGGAAACAGTTCTAGCACCTTCAATGCCGATATTTGCCCAAAATGAACAGTCGCCTATTCGAGATGCGGGTTGACAACAAGAAGGGGGAAAAAGGGGTGCGTGAGTGACTTTAGAGACTGAACGGGTATATAAACACATACTCTCCCGTTGGTGTAGTACTTAGGAGGAAAAAGAAAATAACAAATAAACCGGCCTAGAAGGTCTTTAACAGGTATATCTAGGATATAAAAAAGCCTCCAAGACTCTACAATAGGGATCCTGATAATGCCTGCCTCCCTCAGCGAAAATCGTCTCGGGCGAGCCGTCAATGATTAAGGCCTTTCAAATCTTGGAAAGTCCGTCACTAACAAATATCCAGGGATGGGATTGTACTCAGTTCAGGAACGAAAAGGTAGGTAATTAATCGCTTATAAGTTGCATTGATTCTCCTTTCTAACCCCTTTCCCGGCCCGAAAGGACCTTGTGCTTGACTTGTCTTAGATATAGCTGCACGGTCATCCAACCTTCTTGAAAAGGCAAGGGCCGTTGAGGACATCGCAACCCGTGTCCGCGTCTCCCCTGTCCTGACTTACGGTTGGTAGCAAAACAAACTCGGAAGCCTTACGGCGAAAGGAAATGGGAATGAAATTCCACTTTTTGGAAGTTTTTTTTATATTGTGTAGGTAGATACCACCTATCTGTCATTCTAAGCCGGTACGGGTATACATTAGCTCAAATCGCCACCACAGACAGCAGCCCTAGATAGTTGGTAGTATTTTTATAACTGCAATTCCCAAGTTTTCCTGTGCCATAGCCAACCCCCCAAGGAACGCCAGTGCAATGCGGAGCAAAAATATGAAGTAGGCGCGATTGGCCCCCTCTAATCCCTTTGCCCATTTTGTCGTCTTCGAATATGATGACGCATGTCGTGAGACGAGTGCCGATTGCATGTATGTGTGTGGTTGTATCTCGCCGGAAACGCCTGTGGTCTTAAAGTCTCTAGGGAGAGAGACGAAAGAGCACTTGTTTTTCCCTGTTCAGCTCGTTCACTTCACTCCATCCGACCAATCATCAGGCTCTCAACCATCCCGGTCGTGATGATGGCCATCTGGGCTTTCTCGACCTCCTTGGATACCTTGCCCCATAGCATCTGGAACTGGTCGGCGAGCTCGGAACTACCGCCCACATATTCACTATATATGTCGAGCAGGTGAAAGGTGACGTCGACGCACACGCTGACGTAGCGCGGGTCAGAGATGTACTTGCTGACCCACCTAAGAAGCGGCAGCACCGTAACCTCGTCGCGTCCCTCGAGCGCCTCGCGCAGCGCGGACCGGTGCCGCAGCGCCACGAAGAGCGTCAGCGCCGTCACGGGCTGGTAATCGGGCCCAGACATGTCGACAACGTCGTCAAGCGCCGCGGCGTACCGCCCCCGCCGGAACTTTTCCTGCCACGGCCTGAGCTTTACCCTACGCGCGCGGCCCCCCGCCGAGTTTGTCGCCTCCGTGGGAATAATGACGTCGACGCTCTCGCCAAGCAGGGCCATTGCCTTGTTGGACACAGCCTTGCGCTTCCGCTTCGCCTTTTGCGAGTCGAGCTTGTCGAGCGCCTGGGGCCCAATGTCGCGCGCGGCTTCCTCGGCCGCCCGCTCCCTCGCCTTCTCGGCTGCCGACCCGGACAGGCGGGTCCGCAGGGAAAGAACGCCAGACTGCATGCCCACCGCCAAGTGCCGGTCTTCCTGCGTCGCACCGGCAGCAATGACGGCGATAGATAGAACCGGAGACGGGTATTTTGAGCCGGCCACAACATTCCACCCGGAGGTTTCGAAGACCTTGACATGGCCGTCCAGACTTCCGCTGACAACGCGCCGCCCGTTGGACGCCAGAGAGAGGGATGTAACCGTCTTTTGGTGATTTGTTATGAGTCGGAGCGGCTTGGCAGCGACAAGATCGAGCACCGAGATGGCGCTGCCGGCTGCGGCCAAGAGAGTTGTGCCTAAGGGCAGGGGTAGCACGTCTTCAATGGGGTCGGCGTGCTTGAATGTCAGGACGGAGCCGCCAGGGGATCTGGCATCCCAGACCCGGACCGTCTCGTCGTACGAGCCTGAGACAATAAGATTACTGTTTCCGCCAGGCATGAAGGCGCCGCAACGCACGTAATCGGAGTGGCCGGTGAACATGCGGCTCGGGTTGTTGGATGGGAGATCCCAGAGACGGACCGTCTTGTCGTCGCTGGCGCTCATGAGCGTCGTCAGCTCGGTGGGCGACCAGCGAGTGACCCAAACGGGCTGCTTGTGGATGTGCCAGGTCTTAAGAATGACAGCACGGGTGCCGCCGCCGACGTCAAAAACCTGCATCTTGCCCGAGTCCTCGCCGGCGACAAGAACGCGGCCATCGGCTCGGATCTCGCCACTGTGGGCCTCGCTGTCGAAACGGCCGATGGTCTTGAGCGGTTCGCGCTTGCGGATGGAGAAGATGTCGACACGGGGGCCCGAGGTGACGGCGAAAAGATCGTTGAGCTTGGCGGCGGCAACGAGCGAGTTGGATGTGGTGGCGCCGACCGTGGTGGGGAAGCTGATGTGCGAGATGGGCCACGATGCCGTCGACGTGTGCGATTTTTGATTTTTGAATGACCGCCAGTATCGCTGCTCTGCCGTGACGGGGCTCGGCCCCGTCGCCAGCTTCAATTGGGCCAGCGGAAGCACTTCTACGGCCATGATTGCTGCTGTGGTCTTGTTCGGAAGCTGCTCTGCAGCGATGAACCAATTCGCTTTTTTTTTTTTTGGCTTGCTTGGGCGCTGCAACAAGCCCCACTCAGCCTCGCCCAGGCGCCAAGGCCAGCTGGCTAGGTTAGCGCGATTCGCTACCCCCACACTGCACTGTCGATTGACGATTCCTGGCTGAAATGGCATTCATCGGAGAAAGTATTCTCCGAAACCTTCAGCTGAAAGACAAACTTGGTTGTACGTCCATTAGAGTCTATACTTAACTCGCAGAGGTTCTGTGGCGTTTGTCAATAGCTTAGCAGCAATCCTGCTTCTGTAGGGTTAACTCCTGAACGGACACGTCGGTGCTTTTACGCTTCATGTGCCTAAGTTTGTGTTGACGAATCTAGCGACTCACGGCTTAATACCGTCCTCGCCTGCCTCCATCCGAAGATCCAAGCTGATATCGTCCTCTGGGTCGTGTGATCGACGCGGGGCTAACACGTGTACTATGGTCTAAGGGTAAGTGTTATTTCCCTTTCCAGTACTAGCAACCATGTCTTGGCCAGTGCCGTCTCTGCTGGTGCTGTATGCGATATATAGATTAAAGTTAGTCACGAAAAACAAGCCATACCCGGCGGAAGCACGAAGCACAAGTCCAACACGAAAGGTTCTTGGATCCGGCTGACTACAACTAGCGCACACATGCCAGCCGCTCCGCTCCACACACCCGAACTTTGAACGGCCCAGAGCTGTCAAGGTTCGGCACAGCCATGGATTTGCTACCCAATGACACGTACACTGAGAAGACGCCTGTGCCGTCGTCTTCAAAAACTCGTCAGGGCTTCAAAACGCCAACTGAACAAGGGGGTAATTCTTTGCGTCAGAGAGGGCAGGACTTGGCCAAGTTCTTATTCAGATTTCATGAGGACTAGAACGTGTGTGCAAGGAAGACCCTTTCGACAATTGCAGCATTCTTGGTGTATTTGTACTCGTGCCGGCCGATTGAGTTTGACACCAAGTAAAGTAAGGTCAATCCGGAGGTCTACCGACCAAAAGATTCGCAAGGGGGTCTGCACTTGGAATACAACTCTTTTACGGACTGCGGGCTACCTAGGAACACATCCCCGGGACGCTCTCCAATTCGACAGCGCAGTTGCTAGTGCGCGGGCAAGGACTAGGCGGGCCGGCGATTGGTTGGCACTTTCCGCCCAAGCAGCGAACAGGGCACAGTCGCCAAACAGCCCGTGCAGCAGCGACCTCAGACAGGACTGAATATCGAGAGCCTCAACCGTTTCTCGACAACGTCACTCCATCTAATCTAGAAGCCAATCGGCAGCAGTCGCGACAGCAGCAAGCCCATCGCTACTGCCGCGCACCCTAGATGTCGCTTGCGGCTTGTACATGAGAGGTCTCGTCCCACGTAACAAAGTCAGTCTCGGACTTCCGCGGCATTTTGGCGGACCTCGGTCGGGAGCACAGGAAAGGTTCTTTTTTCACTGTGAGGGCCACCTCAGGTCTTTCCATGCTTTTCCGGTCCCTGGAAGTTAATGAGGTTAGGGGTTCCTTTTTAACATCCTCCTGGTTTGACTTTCCGTCTGGCACCGCCACATCTCAGCTCAGCTCACTCTAAGTAGAAGGAAGGAACGAACCTCCATTCCAGGGTACTGCATACCAGGTTTAGGTTGAAAGAAAGGTGCCCAGGAACTAAGGTAGACGCCCGGGCTACCCGACCCCCGTCACAACAGCACAGGCCAAACTCCTGGTGATACAGCACCTCAGCGCAGCGCAACAGCACCTCAGGTCGAATACCAACGGTACACCTGCTACGCAACCGCATTCGCAGCGCAGCCGCAATCCCAGCGCCGCCCGCATCTTCGTCCCATCTCGCGCGTCGGGCGCATTTTGACGTGTTGCACGTCGGATATATTCAGTTTTGGGAGCCTAGTCGACGACGCCCCCATTACCTCAGCGCGCAGCACCGCCGTCCCCTGGCTTGACTTGTCCTCCTACGCCTCAGGTCCCGCCTCCCGCCCCGCGCCGCCTCCCATCTTCGATTCGCGCCGCCTTGACGCCTAGACGCCTAGCAAACCTTAGTCTACTCCTCCATGGTGGGTGCTCTGTCCTCCTCGAGTCGACCTCGACTTGTCTGGCGTTCGTCCCCAATGCGTGCCGGCTCGCGCTCATAGCTAGTCTCCCGAATGTGCCAGTCTCGCAACTCGTCCGCCGTCAACAGCCTAGGGTGAACGGCATTGTGTCATGCCTACCCACCAAAGTCCGGGAGCAAGCCAGCTTCCCTCTTTAGCCCCCGAGAAGATCGCATCGTCCAACGCTACCGTCAACTCGTTCCTCAACACACGGCAGCCGTCATGGATGGGAACTGGCCCGTCCAAACCAAACCCTCGCCCTCTTGCCTCTCGCCGGCGAACTGTCCCGCAGACTACGCAGCAGCAGCAACAACAACAAACACAACATCATCAACAACACCAGCGGCAGCAGCAAGGCCAGCAAGACCAGCAAATTCAGCAACAATCGCAACCACAGCCACCGTAAGTGCGGATATCGCTTCTTCACCCGCCCTTTGCCCTCATGCGTCCGTGTCTGCACCGCACCGCCCAGAGCGTTGTCCCGGCCGCTCCCACATGTCACCTTTCTTCTCCCCGGCCACAAGTTCGAATTGCACGCTGACTGATTTATTCGCTTGCTTTTCTCTAGACAGGCCCAAAGCGTTCTTCTTTCACCCGCTCCTAGCGACGAGCCGAGCCCCGTCGTATCAAACCCCCTCGATAGCCCCAATCCCAACCCTGCCTCGCTCCCAGGCCCAGGGGCGCAAACCATGGTGCCCCCAAAGCCTTCTACGTACCTCAATCTACCCGTCACCGACGCCCGTTTTGTGCAAAACTTGACCGTTGAGATACAACCCTTGGATTCGCTAACGTCGAGGATCGCGAGCAACGGGGGCCCTCTCTCGGCGCCCATTCCAAGTCTACCACAGTCCCCCTTCCCGGCTAATCCGCTCTACCAGGCCCCCGCTAGTAACGATGCCGCAACGGCCACGTCGTTCGCCTTTTCTGCTGCCCCGTCAGCCTCTTCCGCCACCCCAGACTCTTATCCACAGCCGCCAAGCAATGTGTCGCAGGTGCAGGCGCAGGCGCAAGCTGGACGTAGTCAGGTTCTAGGGGCGGAGGGCCTCATCCAGTCCCCAACACCGTCGGCGGCCGTAGCACCGCCACCTCTCAAGAAGAGACGCACAGAGTAAGTCTCGAAAGCCTTCGCCGAGGCAGACAGGGTTCCACGATTTTGGTTTTCCTCTAGTGCCTAACAAGTTTTTAGTAGTCGGCAACAAATGCTCCGCTTCAACTTCCCGTCATTTATCGCGAAGCTCGATCAGCACTTCCAGTCGTACGGCGGCGAGCAGGCCTTCACATCTGATATCGAGAGGCCGCGAATGCAACTGCTGAGAGATGCCTGCACTAAGGACGACGGCTTCTTTTTGGCTTTGCATCAGCTCTACTGTATATGGTCGGGTTCTTCTCAAGAGGCGCACAGGTTCTTCAGCAACCCCCCTCAGATGATTGACAGTGCTTTTGCAATTATTGAAACCGTGCTTAAGAAGAACCATCACATTTCGCCGGCGCATCGGGCGTTCTTTGTTCATTTCCCAGCACCGATAAAGGAACTCATGGACCCGACGACCATCTACGCGTCTTTAATCGAGCAAGTAGGAAATTTCCTAATCCATCTGCATACCAACTTCAACTCGCTGAGGCAAGCATCGTTAAACCGACGATACCCCTTCCTGGTCGACGAGCTCCTTTGGTACCTAGCCTGCTATTCGCCCGTGTTGCAAATGATTCTTTTCACGGCATCTAGGAGAATACTGGGCGTTACGGACGGCCCCTATAGCCATCAAATGGATCAAGGACTGAAGGAGGATCAGAAAAACCATCGGAACGAGACGACGAGCCCCCAATTTCTACGCCCTATCAAGCACAGCGCCGAAATCGAGACGAGAAACGCTAAATTTATCAACTACTACAAGGGTGTCGTTGCAAAAGCATTAGCCCCATCCCCACGTCCAGACATGCCTCAGCCAGCCGTCCCGGTCCCACATAACCAAGTCCTGGTATTACAAGAAGGACCTCGAGGGCACGCAGCTCATGCCTCCAGTCGAGGAAGCCATAATTCCCAGCCTCCGAGCCCATTCACTCCGATTTATGGCACTTCGGCAATGCAGGGCCAGTCCTTAATGTCGCTTAGAAGCCCGCCCATGATGCCCCCCAGTCCCTATGGACAGCCTCCCAACGGCCAGATGGTGACACATTTCGTGCCACAAGGCCACACACAGATGCCCCAACATTACTCCCCGGCCATTGTACCAAGTCAAGTAATGGAACAGCGTTCAGTCAGAGCTCAACATCGAACGCACCAACCGCGGTTAGATATTCAACTCCAAGCGCATCTGATATCGCACCAGAAACATCAGGCCCATCTAATGTCACTGCAGCAGCAGCAGCAGCAGCAACAACAACAGCAACAACAACAACAACAACAACAACAACAACATCAACATCAACAGCAACAGCAGCACCAGCAACAGCAACAGCAGCACCAGCAGTTGCAATACCAGCAACAACTTCAGCAGGTGCAGCAGCAGCAGTACCAGTGGCTCTCGAATTCGCTGCCAGGGAATACGCCTGGACAACCGGGCCACCTAGTTGCGCCCCAGATCCAGCGTCCCGTAGTACAACCCCATACGCAGGTCTCTCAAGCCGGGCTAAGTCTCCCTCCGCAGACACTGTCGTTCGCAAGGGAGAGGTCGATCGGTCACTCTGCTAGCAGTGCGCCTCCCATCCCCGCTCCTCACCAAACCACACCAGGTATCACACAGCATCCTTTGTTAGATGCGTATCAGCACCACGTGTCAAATCAGGTCAAGGATCCACTGCTGCCGGCCAAAGGAACCATCATACCCCGTCTGGAATGGCCCTCCGATCCGTCAGATAAGAAGGCCATCCTGATGGCCCTTCACCAGGCCCACGTTCGTAGCCCTAAGCGGGTTGTGAAGGAGAACGAGACGGAACGCTTCTTCCAGGCTGTCAAGTCTCTCCCTGTTGGGCCCACTCTAATTACCCCAAAGAATCGTGTTCAGGAACTTCGGTTTGACGTCACCAGGGAGCAATTCGCATTGAGGTCGGCTATTTTGACGAACTCGGGCGAACTATTGCCAGTGGCCCAGCATTTCAACGGCTCGCTCCGCTGGAGGATCAGGTGCTGCAAGGTATCTCTTCCCGAAAAAGCGATCAGCGAGCAACGTTGGACGACCGTGGACATGTGCTGGCCGACCAACGTCTTTATGAAGCTCAACTCACGGCCCCTAGACATTCGGAGATATTCTCACAATGGCAAAGACCTTGCCACCGAGCTCACCGACCTGGTCATCTGCGGCACCAATGTCATCGAGATCGTCGTCCCGGATCTGGGGAGAGATTCGCCAGGCAACCGATTCTTTGCCGTCGAGATGCTGGAGACACTGAGCTACAGCGATATCCTGAAACTGGTGTGGGAAAGGGGTGTACTGCCGGAGCAGCAGACACTGCAAACCATCAAACGGCGTTTGACTCCGACCGACGACGACGGCATCGCGTTCGAGGCGCCGGATTTGTCAATCGATCTTGCGGACCCCTTCAGCGCCGTCATCTTCAAGATACCGGCAAGGGGTGTTACATGCACCCACATGGAGTGCTTTGACTTGGAAACTTGGTTGAACACGAGGCCGTCTAAACCGCCGACCAAGTGCCCGCACTCTCAGGTAGCGTGCGATTGTCCAACGGCCCTCGAGCCCTCGCATCCCGACAAGTGGCGATGCCCGATCTGCTTTAAGGACGCAAGACCCTACAGCTTGCGCATTGATAGCTTCTTGCTCAAGGTCCGCCAGCAGCTCGAGAAGGATGACAGGCTCCGTACCAAGTCAATGCACGTGATGGCGGATGGCAACTGGTCGGCTGTCATGGAGGACGACAACGTGGAGAGCGACGACGGCGACGACGATGTCTATCAAGCTACGCACCGGCAGTTAAAGAGGCCATCGGTCCCTGCGGCTGCTGCCAAAAGACAGGACGTGGAAGTTATTGAAATCGATTGAACTACCCCATCATCGATATACCAACCAACCCTATAACTACCTACTAACTAAACCTACCACCTTCCCACCTACGCCGCCGTTCGGATCTCGGGAAGCCAATTCACCTAATACACGGCCGGAGCGTCTATTCTCGTATATCCATCTACAGCAGTCGGCGGTATACGCGATATCTCGTTTCTATCTATTATTCCGCTTTGGCCCGGCGCTGCGAGTCTTTTCTATCGTTTAGATCACGACCTATTACGACACATTTGCAGTTTTTTATTTCCATCATTTGGAACGGAGGGGCGAGAACATTAGTCGGCATTCTTCTTTGTTTTGGTTCATTCGGCACAGCACACCCGTCGCTTCTTTGAAGCGGGGCTCATTTCATGGCTATGGGAGTCAGTCTTTTTACCTTATCTACTACTTGCTGTGGGGGAGGCAAGCTGGGCAGGGAAATGTTCAACGGCAATGGCAAAGCGAGGCGCTAAAAGGCGGAACTAGAAGCGCACACAGACACGCTCGCACGGAGAAAGGCAGGACACAGCTGTGGCTTCGAATTCGAGGGTCTGAGCTGCTTTGTCACGCCTTTTGATGTGTCTGGGGGTTTGCATTTTCACGGCTTTGATTTTATTTTTCTCTCGCTCTAAATCTTGTTCAGGATACATGTCCAAGGGGATGGGTGTCAGGGTAGATACCACGCGTGGATGGATAGACGGATGGATGGGAGGGGTTGGCTGATGGCCCGGCGCGTTCTGGTCCCTGCCATAAAAAAGGGGGAGGGAAAAGGGGGAGGGGAGAGCCTTGAGCCAACCAGCCGGCCCTACCATCGAACCGGCATGTATACAGTAAAGTACACACTTTTGCCCCTAGCCGCAGGCTTAAATGGGGTTTGATATTCCGGCATTTCGTTTGGTGGAACTGAAGTACAGTGAAGCATGTATAGAGGCGGCAGCAGCGGCGAGAATCGCATCCAGGTAACTAGCCCCGGCTATCAACAAACAGAACAGCGTTTCGCTACCTACCTGTGTTTCGTTACAAATCTCTGCGACGCCGCAGACGACAATTCTGTTTTCCATGTTTGTTCTAGTTAGTTTCGTCTACGGAGTACTCAAGGAGTGACCTCCACAGTTGGATCTCTATCACCAAAGTAAAATAAAACACCTTGATATACCCATCACCGCATATGCGCACACTCAAATTAACACAACCGATTACGCATTTGAAGCGGTATGTAAATACAGCAAAAAGTAGTCAAAGATTGAACGGCACCGACAGAGTCATGTCATACCGGCCGGCCGACTGCTTTTTCCGTGTTTATGTTTGGCCCCCTTGACCAATAAATAAGCATGCGGTCCTTGCCTAGGTAAGTATGCAAGAACATATTCGGCCTCGTCACTTTTGCTTTTCAACATGTTCAGACCCCCTTTGCAACATGTATGCTCATGTGCTCGAGCTTCTGTTATGGCAGGCTAGGTAGTTAGATACAGTATATTACTTCCAGATACATTGTCTAGGTAGTAGGTACGTAGTGAAATGTCTACTTTGGTAAGGTAGATTAAACGTCAAAATTATACTCTACAAGAAACCCTTTGATTATCCATCCAAACCCTGCTAGCAGCCTTGCCTTGAACTTGCTGGGCTACACCCCAAGGCAGGGCTGCCTGCCGCTGCTGTCTATGATTAGTCTGTCCGGTGTGCCTCCCTGTTGTACTGGGTGTGATCCTGCTCGTTGGTATATTTACACGTGCTTCATTAATTATGGCTCGACCTTCTTTATTTTCTCCTCCTCCTTCGTTCAGTTCTTCTCGGGCAGTGTGCCCGGCGAGTTCTCGTCAGTCTGGCCGCTGAAGGCCGGCCGCGCCTGGGTGGGAAACATGGGTCCCGTCATCTCCTCTGCCATGGCCTCGTCGTAGCTGGGCGGGGCGTCGTCGTACGGCGGAGCCACTTGCCCGGGTGAGAGCTGCGATAGGTAGAGCGGGTCCATCTCCTGCTGCTGGGCGACGTTGGGGCGCGGTGGTAGGTTTGGTGCTGGCGATTGTTGCTGCTGCTGTGGCGACACGGGAGAAGCAGCTGGCCGTTGCGGTCTAGGCGTTACCGGCTTCCTCCCCCGGCCCTGCCGCATCGCCTCGACCAACTCCGGCGGAGGCGCCATGCCCGAGTACACCTCCACGGCGCTAAAGTTTAGCGGCAGGTGGATTTCCTGGGGGATCTCGGACGAGTCAAGTCTGCCCTTGCCCCGGTTGCTACGGGAGCTGGGATGGTGTAGGGGCTTGCCCCATGACAAGCCGAGCTTGACTTCGATTTGGTAGTCACGACTGTTGGATCCACAGGTAAGCATGCAGTAGGGAGAATGGGGGAGGCTGTGTCTCAAAAAGGGCGAGTTGGAAAAAAAATACTAACCCGAGGTTACATGTCCTGAAGCTGGGCATCACAGTGTTGGGAAGGGGGGCGTCACGCCACAGGGCGTCGGACACGACAACTTCGGTTCCGACAGCATCGTCTGGCTGAGACAAGGGGATCGACAAGCCTAAACGCGTGACAATACTCCAGCGCGTAGTCTCTGTGTTTGCCAAGTTCTGGCATCGGACGAGCGTCTTGCCAATCAAGTCAATCTGGATGGCGACGAGAAACACCTCGGCGCTGGCAGGGACCAGCTTCTTGGCAATCAAACGGAGTGGGATGGATTGGAGGCAGGTGAGGATTGCCGGGTGAGGTAGTCGAGCAGACATCTCAATAGAGGGGGCGGCTGTTGACAGATCCTGGGCATCGGGACTGGGGGGTGCTAGGGAGTCGAACCCTCCTCCTCCGGTATTGGGTGTCTGGGGCCTTCCTGGCCCGTTGCCAAAGCCGGGAAAGATGGAAGAACGCTTCCTTGACTGGGGAGAGGCAGTGCTGGGGCTGCGAGGGCGGAAGGTGTATGGGCGGCGGGCGTATGCCTCTCGATTCGACCTTTGGGGTCTTGGAGGCTCGATGGGCAGGAACTTGAGTCCGGTGTGGTATCGCCAGTTCTCCTTGAACAAGCCGGGGCGCTGGATGGTGACCTTGATGTAGTAGCGGATCTCGGCCTCGCCGGGGAAACCAGTGAAGCTTGGGGGCAGCGTCTTTGTGACGTGCGAGTAGAGAAGCTGCCTGCCGCCGTCCATGACGCGGACGCCGCCCAGGCCAAAGAGGCCGGAGCCGGCGATGCCTCCTATTCTGGCCATGGTGGCAGGGTCGCCACACACATTGTTGAAGGGGAACTTGAAGTGGAAGCTGAAGACATGCTGGCCGGCGGCAAGGACTATGGGAGGGGTTATGGGGGCAGCGTTCTCCTGGGGGAAGACCTGGGCAACCTTGTAGAGGATCTTGTGGTTCTCGTAGAGGGTGTCCCCGCCGGTGGGGGCCTGGTCACGCTGTTGGTAGGCGACACCAGCCCTGGAGCCATCGGCGGGGGAGCTGAGAGCGGTCCTAGACTCTCCCTCGAGCTTGACGACGACGGCGCCGATGTGCTCCTGGCGGCTCAGCGAGAGCAAGACCTGGCCGCGGATGATGTCGAGGTTGGTGTAAAACTCGGGCGGGTTGTCCAAGGCCACCCGTATCGACATGATGGGCGTGAGTGCGTGTGTGCTGGGTTTTCTGGGCTATGTCGATGTTCTTTTCTGGCGAAGAGTTGAGGCCTCCGTTTTTTGAAGCTCACTCAGGGGCAGTCCGAGCCGAGGTTCCAGTTCAGGGGCTCAGATGAAAGAAAAGGACAGAGCCCAAAACACCAGGCACAGCAAACACAGCGGCAGCAATCACAACGGGGTATGATTATTTCGTCTTTCTTGTCTGCAAGATACCTAAGGTAGGTAAGGTAGCTGAGTGAGGCTGGACAGCACAGCACAGAACACACAGTCGGCTTAAGCTTATGGAGCCCTTGGCGGGACTTCTCGCTGCCAGTTTTGTATTACCGAGAGTGATGGGCTGAATGTTCTTGGCACCTGTAACCAATGCGTGCGCCTTGATATTCTGGCATGGAAGAGTCAGAAAGAAGGCTGTAGCTGTATCTATCTGTACGGAGTATGTAAGGTATGTACATACATACCTGTCCTGTCTGTCGTCATACAAGTTTGACACCGCCAAAAGAGGACAAAGACAGTCTGAAATCGGTGCTGTGGATTATTGGAATTGAAACCTTGGAAACTAATTACCAACAAGTCGAGTGTCTTGGTGACGGGCAATAATTATTAAAAGGATCAAGGAAGAAACGTAAACCACAAGTCGGGCACGAAGTTGGAATGCAGCTGATTCACTCACTGCCTGAGGTACGAAGGGCAGAGTATAAGTGAGATAAGGCAAGCAGGCAGGAAGGCAGGAAGGTAGGTAAGTATAATAGCCCCGGCCAGGTTCCTGAGTAATATACGCGGGAACCAGCTTCACGGGAAGGAAGGCCCAACCAGCAGCAAGCAGCAGCACCTGCCCGGCACCTCAAACAGTCGCGGGGGTGGAATCGGCGGCAGCCCTGTGAGCGTGAGCGTCAGCGCTCCGCCGCAAAGCTAGCGCGGCCCCGTTACGTCAGTGAAGCCACCCCTGGAAATCTGTACATACATACTGGGCTGCGTACTTCGGTTATCGACATACGCGTACCTTTGGCGCAAACCCCTGATAAATATAGAAAGCCAATTTTACTTGCACACGCCAAAATGGACACTGTGCCTTCCAACACGAGTGCGTGCGACTTCGCATCCTTGCACGCCACATGTCGGCGCTTGTTTTGAATGTTCAGCTGGTGTAAAACGAGGCAAGGCATTTCGCAAGGTACTTTTTAGCGGGGTCCGTCCACGCCTGTCAAGTCCCAGGGTCAATTACGACGCGCTTGGAACCTTGACAGGTGTCGCGGCAAGCAAGCAAGCATCCTTATCTTATCGCACTTGGCGGGGTCTTTTTTCTGACCCTGGCAGCCAGCCAAAAAAAATATTGGGGCTCAACACCAAGAAGGGCTGCAGCGATCGTGATAATCTAGAATCTAGAGAATTGTTGAAACACGGCATACTCGTAAAGACGAAAGGACCGCTCCACCCACGACAAACCCCTGCACTCCCACGAAGCCCACGCAATGGGTAAGGTCAAGACGCCCAAGCGGGCTGGCGCGAGCACCTTGGGCCCCTACGAACGAAAGGCTGCGAAGCCCGCCGCCAACTCAAACATCTTCCGCTTTGACAAGGACTTTGGCCAGCATATCTTGAAGAACCCCGGAATCAGGTTAGCCCAGCTTCCAGGGCATTGTCGCTGTCTCTCTGTGTCGGTGCTGACCCGAGAACCTCTTAATTGGCTAGCGATGCCATTGTCGAAAAGGCATACCTGAAACCCACCGATGTCGTCCTCGAGGTCGGTCCAGGAACCGGCAACAGTGAGCCTCGACCCTCTCACAGCCTGGTCTGGCCAGCCAAGCTAACTCTCGTCGTCAAACAGTCACGGTTCGCGCCCTCGAGAAGGCAAAAAAGGTCATTGCTGGTATGGCACCCCGGTGCAGACTCGGCAACCGGGGGACAACACGCTGACCGATGACACACAACAGTCGAGCTTGATCCTAGAATGGGTGCAGGTTAGTGGTGCAATGGTTGGCTCTAGGTTTGGGGAACTGCCCCTGCTGACAAAACACGAAGAGGTCACCAAGCGAGTACAAGGGACGCCGTTGGCCAAGAAGCTCGAAGTCATATTAGGGGATGTCATCAAGATGCCAGAGCTGCCGCCCTGCGACGCCCTCATATCTAACACACCATACCAAATTAGCAGTCCCCTCATCTTCAAGATGCTCGCCATGCCGAACCCGCCAAGAGTCGCCGTGCTCATGGTCAGTCATCCTCTGCGTCCAGACAACTCCGGCGTCAACTAACACACCGTCGTCGATTAGTTCCAACGAGAGTTTGCCAAAAGATTGGTTGCAAAGCCAGGTATGCCAAGACATATGGCCAACTGCCCTCCGAACTCCCACTAACCCCTCGTAGGAGATGCCCTCTACTCAAGATTGAGCGTTAATGTCAACTTTTGGGCCACATGTAAACACATCATGGTACATTGTACCTCTGGCGCCTGCCATTCCCGCCGCTGAGTTTTCAGGTCACCCAAACTGACATTTACCAAACAGAAAGTCGGGAAACAAAACTTCAAGCCGCCCCCAAAAGTAGAAAGTGATGGTATGTTCGTCTGGGACAACATTTCAGCCCTTTCTCAGCTAACCGTTTTGCACAGTTGTCCGGATAGAACCACTGGTACCTCTCACAGCCTTTCCAACGCTTCCGTAAACCCACTAACAATGGCCAGATCGGCTCGGCGCGCCCGAATATCGCGTTCGAGGTGTGTGCCCCGAGGTCCGGCTGCCCGCCTCGTGCCTCACTCTCTGCTAACGACACCTAGGAATTTGACGGCCTTCTCCGGATCGCCTTGTGAGTACCTGGCGGCATGGACCAACAGCTGAAGCACAAAAGACTTGTCAAGCTAACCATGGCTTAGCAATCGCAAAAACAAAACACTACGAGCGTCGTTCGGGCCGAAGGAGGTACTGGCTATGTGCGAAAGAGTAAGCCCTTCTCCTTCTCTGCCGGCCCTTCATTGTACTCACTTCTCGGCAGAATTACAAGGTGCATTGCTCCCTTAACAAAATTCCCATCGACGAAAGCATCGTAGAGAACGTTGCCTTCGACGACAACGTGGACACGATGGACGTAGAGATAGATGTCGAAGGCGACGATGATGCCGGCAATGACAACTCCGAAGAGCAGTGGCGCGGCCTCGATAACGATGACGATGACGAGGACATGCCCGCCTTCTTCAAGGAGCTGGGCGACGAAGGCAAAGAAGCCAAGACGCCAAGCAAACACCCAAAGACAAAGGTCGCTCTCATCGTCCGCGCCAAGGTCGAAAAGGTCCTCACCACCACCGACCTCGCTGATAGGAGAGCTAGGATGTGCGACCAAAACGACTTTCTCAAGCTTCTTATTGGTATGCCCACAATGCCTTGGCGTGTATGGATATATCATGGCCTTATACTAACATTCTCAAACAGCTTTCCATGAAGAAGGCATTCATTTCTCATAGGTGCTATTGCAATATAAGGAACGGGGCGGCGTTTACGATTTGTCTAATTTGGCATTCGGGGTTGGTATTGGAATGACTGGTCTCTAAGTACCTATTCATGTTTCTTTGCGAGTTCTAGACAAAAACTTTGCATTTGCACGGGGCGTTTTCTTGTTTTCGTCGTGGATCTCGCGAGGCATGATGGGGAGGGAATTGACCAGGCATATATAAAAGGAAAGAAACGAAAAAGCGGGTGTAGTGACAAAAAAATGTTGCTCATGCCAAAAATAAGATAGCTTTTGATACCACGGAGAGAGGACCACCTCAGACTACTTCTCTATTTCTTTTGGCTCTCTCATATCACTGGTCGTATCGAAAAGCAGAACCAAATAATGGGAAGAGGTAGGTGATACCAAATACCCCCTTTCAAAAACAAACCCCCCGATGGTGTATATCATACCATCTATCCAGCCGTGTGAAGGACAGGTCGATTGTTGACGAGTGCATCTGTAAGTGCAACAAATAACTCGTCCCGTCATGGTCTAGATCAGATTCTCCCATTCGAGAGCACGTTCGTTACACAGCATCCCATCAGCGCCCGCGGCCTGCTTGCTTGCTTGCTTGGTGCCCGTGTACGTAGTCTGCGCTTCTGCCTGCATTCCTGCGAGCCTTGCGTGTATGTAAGCCATGCCATGACTCACTCGCTTCACGCAGTGATGGGTTATTACCCCTATTGCTTGGTTAATCGGAGCCGTATCGTTTCTTGAGGCGAACATTAGGAAGCTCTGGGTATGATGAGGTAACTGATCTCTCACATAGGCCGCATCTGGAAGTGACGACTTCTGGTACCGCGCCTCCTTTGTCTGTGTCCCCCAAATATATATTGCTTGAGAGCTGTTTGCCTGGTTGTGATGACGACCAACAAGTAAGCATACTAGATCAAGTCGATAGACAGCTGTTCACAGGTCCGCAACAAGACAAAAAGCGTCGAGAGACGAGAGTATATTTTATTTCATCCAACTAGCCAAGGTCAGCCGTTGTATAGTCGACTGCGGCAAAAGTCGCAAGCGCATTGCATAGATATACTTATATATGTCCCTCTTCGCCATATAAATATAAATATAGATCAAATATTCACACAGGTATCTCCGCCGCCATGCCTGTAAAACGCCCCTGGGTAGCAGCACTCCTTACCAACCTATCCGTTTTCCCACACTGCTGCGGTGTAGCATATATGAAGATAGATGTGCGCTTCAGCCGACATATAAGGTAAGAAAAAATGCAAATATATATGGGTGAGTAGCCAAAAAGAGAGGAAAAAATACCGCCAGGAATAGATGCGATCCCAAAATTGTTCATATAGTCCATCATCATCGTCACCTCATCCTTTAGATAGTTGGATCATACAGCCACTGTCAACACAGCCAGCAAGTCATACCAGCCCACTTAAGCCCACCGCGTATCCAACCCGTCGCCGTCTTCGTGAATCTCGAAGCCGCCGCTGTCTCGGGCACGAAGATGAGAGCCGCCACCGCTATCAGTGCGGCCTGGAATAAGACCCAGATCCACCTTGCCGGTGGCGAGGACCGACCAGGCGTTCGGCTTGCTCGAGTACTCGCTTGGCGCCTGGCTCGAGGCAGCACTGTGTGTTTCATCGGCATCACCGGCGGTGCCGTCCATTATGTCATCGTCCTCGTGGATCGCAATCTCTTGCGAGTGTGGGTCGATATTCTCGCCATCATCCATGAGGTCTTCGATACCGGCCCACGGTACATCTTCTGGCCTCGGATGCGTCGCGTCGGCGGCTTTGACGGGCTGTCCAAACCCGTCCCAAACCATACCGTTATTGCCGATATCAGTATCCACACTGTCGAGTCCGTCGTCCTCGTCTTCGTAAACATCAATATCGAAGTCGGCATCATCTGGATCCGTCGCTAGGCCAAATGACTCATGCACCTGCGGCCTTTTTACAACGGCTATTGCGTCATTCGTCATCTCGCTATCGTAAGGATCTGTTGACGAGCCTTGGTCCTCTCCAAAGTCGTCGTCCATGTCATCGTCTTCGTCATCTGGGTCATACCCGTTCGAAGGCGGCATAAGAGCGGGGCCGCGGCTCCCAGCCCTGTAACCTCTTGGTTCAGGAAGCGCCTCGCTATGGGGTGTTGCGTAATAGGGAGTGGTCCGCCGCTCACGGGCGCGCTCATCAATGAAGCCAAGCTCACGAGGGATTACCGAAGGTGAGCGGCTCCAGCGAGGGGTGTTGCGCGCAAGGATACTAGGTGATCGCGTACCAAGGCGGCGCTTCGAAACAAGAGCGGCCGACGTGGAAATGGCGATTACCGCTGCGGGATGAGCTGGGAGACGAGGGCTAGGCCGAGGGATTAGTGGAGACGAATGGCGCTCATACGGGGCTGCATGGGTGGTGTTTGACGACACCCGGCGTCGAGACTGAGATGGAGATATCAAAGTAGGAGCCATTGGTGGAAGCGAGCCAGTTCGGACATGAAGCGGTCGAGGAACTTTGCGCTCTCTTGATATCATCGGCGACTGTGCCCGTACGGCAGCAGGGCTGTTGGAGAGGCTGGGAGACTGGACGCCGGTGAAGAACTGCTGGGATGGGGAGGTTGACGAGCGCATAGACGTGCGTTGTTGGTATCCCTGGCGAACACTCAGAGCGGACGTGTTTGCGCTTGGTTGCTCGTCGAGGCGGTCGTTCCACGTCCAACATTCCTCCATTGCGTCAGCCTCGGGAATATCGCTGCTACTGCTCTGAGAGTCAGGGTAGACTCTGCTCAGCTCCCTTAGTTTCTGCCAAGACCACCCGGACTCCATAGCCTGATAGCCAAATGGATGGTCCTGAACATACGCCTCCGGTTGTGTAACGTAGAGACGATTCACCCCGGTGGCCTTCATGATGATGCTGGACACGAGGAAGGTGAAATCCCACAGCGCCGGTGTTGCCATCTCGGCCGGAGATAGAAAGCGAAGCCGAGAGTCCTTGTGGAGCTTGCGCAACGGGACCCAAGGCTGCCTGAGACCGAGAAATTCCGACATCGGTGAGTTGGGGCCGTATCCAGATCTCACGCCAGCACTGGAGGAAATACGCAAAACATCCCCAAAGGCATCGTGAATGGCGAGTTGAATACTCCGAGCATCTGGACCGCGGACAAAAACTGTCTTGATAAGACCTCGACTCTTCAGTCTTTGGTCAATGATCCGACCAGAGGCAAACGCCCGAGGAAGCAGCCATTTCGAGTCGCGTGACTGACCCGCCCATTCCCCAAACTTTGGCGACTGAGGATCGGGCGTCGCCCTGCTGACCGTGTTAGGCATCTGTGTCCACTCGTCGGCGTTGGACCCTGTCGATCGGCGCTGGCTTGGGAACTCGTGTGTCTCTATCCAGACTCCCTTGAGGGGAAACGGTAGAAATACAACTTCGAGCTCCCATGGCTTGGTGTAGGATGGCAGCGATGCTGCCTGCAGTTGGCTGACTTGTGCTTGTAACGCCTGGAGTTGACTGAACATCTCAGCTCGGTTGGACGCGAGAATTGTGGCGTTCGTTGAGACTGAGACTACGCTGGCTGTGGCGTCGTCGGCACATTCGGGGCGAACCGTGCGCCTACTGCTGGCTATGCTGCCATTGTCGTTTAGAATCTTCTCCACCTCCTCCACACGAGACTCGAGCTCAGTTACGCGGAGATCGGCGTGCTCGTGCTTGTCGTGGCAGTCCTCGTGACCAGCCACAGAAAATGACGTGCTCTCAAGCCTGTCAATTCGTTGCTCGTGGCTGCCGACAGTTTTTGCCAACTTCTGGAAGACATCACCAGATACCCCAGTACGAAGACCACCTTGGGACATCTCGCGTTCGAGAGCCGCACCCTGCGCCGTCTTCATAGCGTGAGATGTCGGGCTAGGCCCAGTTTGAGTAGGATTCTGTAACGATGCGGCACCACCGTTTTCGGCGCCGCGCTCCGGCACAGACGCTCCCTGTCCCGGCGCTAAGGTGCCGCTCAGCGTGTGCAGACCCTTTCCTGCAAAGGGCCTGAGATACCTAGACTGGCTGGATGCCGCAGTGGATGGCGGTTCAAGCTGCTGGAAGCAGAGGGAAGGGCTCCCAAGCGCACGGCCAGGCTGAGACTGGATAAGGTTTTCCCAGCTATTTAACGTATCGGGCATCGGGCTATCCCGAGTGGCACAGACATCTTCAACGACGGCATGATTCGCGACCTCGGGGCGACAGTCTGGCACAGACGACTGGAAGTTTAGAATATTCAAGTCCAGGGAGGATCCGAGGTTAGAGGGGAGTTGGAAAGACCCAAAGTCCTGGACTGGGCTCAATGGCTCTCGGGAGGTGCGGGGCTTTTGGTTCTCCTGGCCAGCAACATGTATCCCCGTGGAAGGTTGCGCCTGTCCCAGCGGGACGTCCTCGTGGAAGCAAGCATGGTGCGAGCACATGCACACCTCCGCCAGATTGGGGGCAAGACTGTCCTGGAAGCCGTCGCCCAGGGAAAGCCTGCTCCAGAACCGGCGACAGCCACATCGCGGCAGTGTCTGGTCGGTATAGTTGCAAGGCCCCCCGGGGAGGGCGGGCGCGTTGCGCAGTGGCTGGCCGTCATTGAAGATATCAAATACAAACGAAGGGCCAGCAACAGAAGCGTCAAAAGGAGGAGCAGCCATTGAGGCCCAGGACGACCATCTCCCTGGGGCGATTGGGTTCTGAAAGGGGTCGACGAACACCAGGCAAGGTCGAGAGCGCGGGCGAGGTCGGGATCGGGGCGAGGCGGGAGAAGTGGCTCAGCGAAGCGAAGCCGGAAACCAAAAAAAAAAAAAAAGACGAAAGCGACGGTTGGTTACGCAAAGTCGGTGACAGAGACAGGCCCCGATGCGACCCAACACCAGGCCAGGCCAGCTGGGTCGCAACCTGATGAACTCGGCTCTAGAGCTTGTACATGGTACTGCTCAGGATGGTGGTCAGTATCCAAAAGGCTGGACCGGGCATCGCAGTTGCGATATGACATTCAAGTTCGTTGTGTCCTGAGGCAGCGAGAGACGAGAGTCAACCGTCACTCCTTCTGCGCGGCACGAGCAGCGGGAAGAATGCGGGGGGAAAATGGAATCGAGGGACAAACGCTGGGTCAACTACTAGTATTTATATGCAGCCTTGAATCGTTGCCGTGGTGGGGTTTAAAGATCTGACGGAAGAGCGCGCGCAGCCTCGGAACAGGTAGAAATGTGTTGCGACGAAAAGAAGACAAAATAGAGGCCGCAAGACGGTGAGGCGCATTCCAAAGTTGGTACGGAATACCGCAGAGAATTGGGTGAAATGCAGGCAAGGTGCAGGCAGGGTGCAAGGCGGGGTGAAATGTATGGGTGTACCGACAGAGCAAAGCAGGTGTGAGGAGATAATGGGAGTTGTCGGAGCAGGGGTACAGAGGAGTGGAAGGGTGTGGGGACAGGCGCCGCGATTTCGCCCGCAGCGTCTCCTGCTGAATTTGGACTGATGGAGCTTACCGTATCTTTTTTGGTGCTGCCGGGCAGTTGCGACTTGCGATTGCGCTGTTGCGTTGCTTCCAACGTGACGAAACGGGACAGAGGGATGACTCTCTGACTCGACTCGGCTCGACTCGACTCGACAGCTGCGCGGCGGGCGTAGGCGCAGGCAGGGATCTCGTTGGTGAGGGAAGAAGGCAACTCGCTCTCTCATCAGGCCTGCATGCAGCCACGGCATGCACCTGCTCTCCGTGACCCTCTCTTGTTGTGCCTGGCACGACGGAGCACGGCAAGTCATTGGATGCCTAGCCTCAAAACGCGTCCAGGTTCGCGGTCAGCGCGGGCCGCAGTCGAATCGTTCTATGCATCCCTGCCCGTTTGCACCGTTGGAGCTCTCCCATTGGACACGAGGCACTTAACATCCCTGCATGGTTTGACCGCGTCGCGGCTTGTCCCTTTCTGAGAAGCTTCACCTGGTCTCCCACTTGGCATGGCGCTGGCCGAACGAGATCGGCCTCTGCCAGTGACTTGCAGCTCGCTACCCCAATCATGGCCGCCTCTAAAGCCTGCACTACCGTCCAAGAGATTTGTTTCGGCTTCCACCCCTGCAGCCCCAGCATCCCAGAACTTCAAAGTGCACCGCGTGTGCCAGGGCTACCGACCCCCTTATCTTCGGCTTTTTTCTCGTCCTTGATCAATATAATATACTCTGTAAGTAGCGTACGTATATTTTGTGCCCCGGTCGGGCCGCCTTGTCTGCCGTCGGTCTGTCATAGCTTGTTCTTGAATGTAGGTGAAGTGAGGCTTGCGAAACATCAATAAGCAGAGCGGCCAGCAGTATATGTATCCTGGCCCTTTCATAGGCGGGCTCGGCGCTTCTTTTGCTGCTCTTACAATTACCATAAGATGCAAGGCAATATGTGTGAGGCGAGGCGGTTGGTGGTGTTCCAAAGGCATAAGATGTGAATTTCGCCTCCCGGACATGCCTCCCGAATATGAAAAGCCTATGTCGCCCTAATATGCTTATCTAATAATCCAAACGCACTGATACTCCGTATCTAAGCCATCCAGCCCGCTTCCGTGATTAAATGTACCGTGATGTGATATACAAAGAGTTAGCTGAGACAAATCAAATTATTTTGGCGACTGAGTCCCTTGAAAAAAAAAGCCCCAATGGAACACTACGCCAGTCAGACTAGACTTCGCCCCAACTGCCCATAGGGCCGGTGCTGGCGACTATGCTACCGGTCCCTATCGACCCTCCTATGTCCCAGTAATGCCGCGACGAGTGCCGTGATGATACCGATACACTGCTTCGCCTAGCGGATCTGCGTGTGCTCTGGCTCGCACAGCTACCAGAAGGATGCCGCAGAGCCACCGGGCTTGAGGGGACAGTTGCTTTGAACGTACGCCGCTCGGATGGGCGTGGCCGGTGATGTGTGTGTAAGTGTGACACTAGCGGATGGTGCTGACGCACCCTGGCCGCCTTGGCAGCAAGTTCCTGAGTACTCGATGTCGCCAGATGAGAAGTCCCTGATGTGAATGGGGGCGACGATGGGCGGCTTGATGTGAAGCGCGAGCGCAGATAGCGGAAGACGAGCCGAATATCGAGGTCCTGCTCCCACTCCTGCTGAGTAAAGGTCTGTGATGCCTCGCTCGGAGTCATGTCAGTCGTGGCCGTCGTGGGGGCCTCCGACGGCCGCGCGCCAAGGACGTCAGCCGAGTTGCTGACTGTAGGCTTGAACTGCGGTATTGAGGGGTCACTGTCGTCCAGCTTCCGCGCCGGTTCTTGAACATACACAGGCGCTTCTGGTATGACCGGTAGGCCGGCATACGGCAGAGGCACCTGCTGCATCCGAGAGTACGTCGTAAAGGCGCCGGGGTGGGCCGACATCTGGTGAATGAGAATGCCAAGCTCATGAGCTATCCGCTCAAGCATATGCAGCTGCCATGTCGAGTCATGCGATGACTCCGACTCTATGTGCGCAAATGCGGGGGTGGATGAGTCGGCGGTTGATGCCTTAGGCATAGAAGAAAAACTTGTATCATCTGGAAGAGCTTCCCCGAAGAGAACAGCAAGAAGCTTGCCATCGATTCCCATCAAGTCGCAAATGACTTTCCGGGTGATGAGACTCCAGAGGCCATCGCTCGCGACACGGGGCTGTGGGCCATCTTGGTCGTGCCAGTCGGTCCCCGCGAGCTGAGAATCGCCGAGAGTCTCGTCCACGGCGGTCCTTGGTACGAAACGGTCCACCGAGTCTCGGGCCGGGACGGATTTGTCGTGGAGCGAAACCTCCGATTGTCGCCGTCTTCTTGTTTCCTTCTGAATGTCCTCGAGCAGAAGCTGACTTTGTTCTAACCGCCATGCTTCTATCCTCTGATTGCGCTTCAATTCCTGCGCTTCCTGCGCCTCCTCGTTCTCGAGCTCCAAACGAGCCAAATCGAAACTCTCGCGCCTTCGCTTGATGCGATTGGGGTTGAATCGCTCAAACGCGTAAAGGCGGTCTTGGGCCTTGGTATCGATAGTGTGGGCGTCTAGTTTAAAGGAACCCAGGCCGTCGTGTCCCGGAAGCACTGTTGCTGCATGAGCGACTTCTTGCTGGCGACACTGATTTGGCACTGTTCGAAATTCGGGCAGGTGACTGTCAAGGCTGTCGAGCTCTGTGTCGTCCTCGGCAGCACCTTCGTCGATGACATCAGAATGGACGGCAGAATTGTCCGGTTGCGAGTTGAAATCAGAACGGGCCGCGGTGCCCAGGCTTCCCAAATCGCTGATTCTTGATCGTCCAGGTGTGAGCTGGTCGTCCTGGACCGAGCTCATGTACGAGGTTGCGGTCCCCGCGTCTGTGCCAGGCGTAAACAGAACCCATGTCTGTGATTCGTGCAGCTCTGAGTGAGCCTGGGGCGCGAGGATCGCAGACTCTCCATCCTCAGACTCGGCACGGGTGGATATTCGCTGTGGGAGCTGCCGAGTTGGCTGATGGAAGGCCATTCTGGACGGCACTCAGTTCTTGTCTTATCGAAGACAAAAGCGATAAGGGACGAAGTCAAAACCGACGAGAGCAGACGACCACGATACAGAAGACGTAATTATTGTCGTACGGAGTAAGTTGAGACTCGCCTATGGTGGGCGACCGGCCGATGATGCGCGGTTGGCTCCGGAACTCGGTGATGCAGTCGAAGCTAGTAATATGGAAATCGTAGTTGCCGACCACTAGCGACGGCGGTAGGGTCAGTTGCGTGCTTTGCAGCAAGCGGTGACGGGATCGGTCTGGCTGGCCAGCGTGGCTTTGCGGTGGACAGGTACTGTACGATACGGTAGGAACGGAAGGCGCAAATGATGAGCGGGTTCCTAGAAATCCTTTTGCGGCACAGAAACTGATTCCCACTGGGTGTGTAACACGTTGACGTCTTGGAAGTTTAAGACGGCGACCGACACGGGTTGGGCATGACAGGCTGAGCAGCCAGCAGACCTGGAAGGGCGATTAGGCGCGAGCAGGGGATCTTATCAGCTGTGCTTGGTACTTTGCGCTGGCGGGATCACGCGGGGTGAAGATGTCCACCGTAAGTACCTATTCCAACCTAGGTAACGTTAGGGTATTACACCACTTAAAGTTCACTTCCTTACCGTTGGTGGGAGACCCTTTCCGGTTCTCTATACAACCCCACCAGCACCACCTCAGCTGACCTCAGCTCGCCCTATCTCAGCCACCTTTAATCATCTCGGCTTCTCCAGGAATCGGTGCAAGACAAATTATAGTTTACGACGTACTAAGAATGGCGAATGTAGTAGAGCGAGCTTATCATCGCTCTCCTCATGAGACCTGATGCTGATACTGATGTAGGATTGTTGAGGTAACCTAAAGTCGGGGTTTCCTCAGTTGCGATTGAGGGGGTACTCCTGCTATATCCCATGTCGGATTGAGACTTTGCACGATAAGCCCCGCTAACATACTCCTACCTCAACGACACTCGGTTTCGTTGGTTAAAGCTTCAAGAACATCGAGATTGAGAAAGACGGATTGGCCGCTCGGCATTGACGGAATCGATGATAATCTTATCGCTCTGTTAAATCCGCCGATATTTCGTGATCTATCTAATTGCAACGATCGTAGCCGGCAAGTTGCAACCGGACAATTTTTTTGCAGTTCCTTCTTGCATCCCACGTAAGCTCGGTACAGTACTCGGAGCTCGGTTGGAACGGGAACCGCTAGCCGTTTTGGCGCTCTCCTGACAGCCCAGGACGAGTAGTGACCGTTCAGTGACAGCGCTATTCAGTGATTGACTTTAAGCTTGAATATTGTGGTTCGTTTTAGGGGCGAACAAGAGCCGAGGCCAAGCCGAGCAGGCCGCGCGCGGTAAAGCGGGCCTCTTCTCAAAACAGTTCGTGTTGGCAGTTACTCCCGCCCCATCTGTTTCGAATCTTGATTTGTAATTTGTATCTCAGTGAGTCACTCGCCGAATTGCCACTTTAGAGCCACTTTGGAAACTCGGGGACTGAGACTGTTCGAGTATGAGCAGAGAACACGATCAGAGCCTGGCAGGCCATTCTTCAGCCATGACGCTTCATAAGTGCAGAAGGGACAACGAGTGCAGAAGCTTAGTGTAAATAAAATCCCACTGGATGAATAATGTATTGACTGTACCAGAGCAAGTCTACGACCATGATGCTAGTAACATGCTCTCATCTCAGCCCTAAAAATGACCGTTGCGCCACACTCTCAAGCCAGATACCCGTTTGCCCGCGTCTCCTAACCTAAGCCGTGAAAGCTCCAGGGAAGCGCTTCATGTTCTGCTGCAGGGAGCCCTTGTTAGACAGGAACTGAACATAGGCACCATCAACTAGAATGCCACCAGCGGCCTTCTTCTCGAGGTACTCCTCGCGACGGAGAGGAGTGAAACCCCAGTTCTTGGAGATGATGATCTTTTGGCGACCGGGGAACTTGTACTGAGAGCGGCGGAGAGCCTCGAGAGCGATAGCCTTGCCTAGATGGACGTTAATCATCCGCCGCGAAACATGCCAAAATGTGAGAACTTACTGGAGTCACGAGTGCGGACGCTCATGATGATCTGACCAATGCTGACACGGGCGACGGTTCCGTTGGGCTTGCCCCAGGCACCACGCATACCAGTTTGCAGTCTATCGGCACCGGCACAAGACAACATCTTGTTGATACGAACGACATGGTAAGGGTGGACGCGGACGCGGAGGTGGAAGCCTTCCTTTCCGGCAAGCTTGACGAGGTACTTGTTGGCGCAAATACGGGCGGCCTCGAGGGCCTCGGAACTCAGCTGCTCCAACTCGTTCGACACCATGTGGATGCACAACGGGAAGTCATCGACGAGGGCGCGCTTGCGGCCAAGATCGAAGATGCGAATCTTGGGGTCAGGCACACCACGGTTAAACCGCGACTTGGGGTACGGCTGTAGAGACACGGTGTTAGCATACTAGACATGACATGACTGCAAAAGTAGAAAACTGCGGTACCCCGAGCACATCCGCTTCACGGGCGCTTTCGAAGTGTGCGGTGTTCCCCACTCCCGAATGACGAAAAAGTACGGGAAAAGAGTGCTTTTCTTGTTCGCGATCAGAGTCTTACCTTATTCTTGCAATAGCGGTAGCATCTTGCGGGACGGCGTGCCATCTTGACGGATTTCCTCAATGATGTCACGTACGGGTTGTGGTGGTTGTTGGGTTGGTGATGGGAGGACGATTGAAACCGAGCCTCTGGATTTTGACAGAGGCCAGCGATTACCAATCCGGAATCCTCAATCTTTTGCCGATGGGTTTCGATGATTAAAGTGGGTCACTTAGGGCTTCGAGGCCCCACCTCCATGTTCCAGCCAATAAGGATTGACCCCACTATTTGGTGTATGGGTAATATTCGCAACTTTTTTCCGCTTCGCAAACTTCAAAAACGACGAAAACGCCAAACATCGACGAGGACATTGCCGTCAGGAGCCATTAATCTCGCCTTTCCGCACACCCAACACCACCTTCGCAATGGCCCCCAAGAAGTCCAAGTCCGATGCCCAGTCCATCGGCACCAAGGTCCATTTTCATTTGCCCTGCTGGCCCCGAATACCCTCACTGACAATTCCGTAGCTTGCGCTTGTCATCAAGTCTGGCAAGGTCGTTCTCGGCTACCGGAGCACCCTGAAGGCTCTCCGCAGCGGAAAGGCGAAGCTCATTCTGATCTCCGTAAGTCACCATACTCTTTGCACAGACCAGAGCCATGGAACAATTGCTGACTGCTTTCTTCTAGGCCAATACACCTGCTCTTCGAAAGTCCGAGCTCGAGTGCAAGTGCTCCCTATTTATTACAATATCGAAGCAGACGAGAGATTGGCAGAGTGGATTGGACCTTGCAACAGAATTGGATGTCATGCCATGGCGTGTTGCCCGGTCTGGATTTACAAGCCAATCTCAACTTCCAGAGGCCGCTTGGTTGAGAAGTGAGCGCTGAGCTAACATGGTTGTAGACTACTCCATGATGTCCAAGACCTCGGTTCACCACTACAGCGGCACCAACGTGAGTCTACCCATAAAATACCCTTGATTCCGCGCAGACAGAAATATCTTCGGATATTTTATTCCTATCTGCTCTCGGCCTCGAGACTTCGTGTCTTGAGGTCTACCCAGAGAAGAAGTCTTGAGACTTTGGAGGGTACCGTCAGAAGCTTACAAATACCCCGTCGCAGATCGAGCTTGGTACTGCCTGCGGAAAGCTGTTCCGTTGCTCCACGATGGCCATCTTGGATGCTGGTGACAGTGACATCCTGAGCGACCAGACGGCTTAAAGCGACAATATCATTTGGGCTAGCACGGAACGGCGTTCGGCTTTTGAACCGGGTCGATTTATCCCTGGGTTAAAAATGGTTCTTTCTGGCGCTCTCGGGCATATCTTGCCTCTTGTTCACTCAAAGAGGCGAGCAGTGAATTTAACTCGCTTCTTTAGGTAGTCCCAAGAGAAACTTCGCTCACGCGAAGTGAATGTCAACCACAAGAGAATTTCCGGTTTAGGAACCTGCGTTTCTGAAAATCTGGCCATGACACAATGTGAAGCGCGTGCAAGCCGGGTCTTGACAGGTTGCCGATCCGAGTTCCGTTTAAGTGCATCCAAACCCGAGGCTACCGATGTCATAATAACAACAGCGAGCCCCATACTGTTACTCTTTTGAGAGCGGATGATCACAAGGCAGCCACACGCGGACACCGCTCTTAGGGCCCGGTTGGGAACAGCATCGGTTTTGCATTGAGTCTTAAATTGCTATCATTAAAAATACCCGAGCTTGATCCGTTTACCTATCTTGGGGCCCGGACACCACAATGTGTCCCTTTAATGGCCACGCGACAGCGCAAACGGCATCGATCTTCAATCTAAACTACGTACATACCTTGCGGGGTATTATGATATGGTAAAAGGCATCCTGGACAAGTTAGAGGCTTTGTCAGTTACCTCCTTGTTACGGGATTCGCGGCCTGAGATGGCAGTATAACGCAATGGGGAGCTTGTTGCTTGGCCAGATCACACTATATGCAAGCCATAAAGTCTTCAACACATAGCTTTAGAAGTCCGCAAGGTGTCCGGGGGTTATCCTAGGATACTTGATAGTACTGATAGGTCGACCTGCCGAATCGAGTGAGACCACGGAGCAGGCCTGGAAGCCGGCAAAGAAAGGTGGCAACCAGGCAATCGCTGCATGATGTGCTCATGCAGCGAAGGTGTTTGTTTCAGCAAATCCCCGACGCATCAAATACCTCGCTGCTAGTAAGATTTGCGACGCGAACGCGGTTAATGCATGTCCAACAAGGTTTAAAGCTGGCCTGCTCCCCGGATAGATCGCCGTGTATTCGTACGCCGCAAAGAACATAACAACAGCGAGCAGAAGTTGTATTGTGTTGTGCAGGTTGCTGTCGTTGGGGTTTGTTTTGGGATTGGTTTGTCGCTGCTCGAATGTCATTCGATTGTCCGCCTGTCGAGAAGCGGACATCTAGCGGGCGGCTGGAGCCCAGCCAACGCCAACGCGTGCGTTCCTGGCGCCTCTGGGCAACCTCGATTCGATTAGAAACAGGCTGGAAGCAGCACTACGACTCGTCAAGAATACCTGACAGCGCTTGTCAAAGGCTCCAAGCCCGATGATAAAGGACACCCAACCTGTCGCCCGCAGCCAAACACCTTCTATGTAAGAGCAAAGAAACGTGACCTTACACACGGGCTTTCAACTTGTTCTGTTGCAACAGTCCAACGTGACGCAGACTCGCTCACTCCACCTGCTCTTGCCCAGATCGGATCACCGCCTCAGTGCACATCCCTGTGGCTTTGCTCGGCTGAGCCAGGGGCTTGCATCGCCCTGCACGACAGACAGGCCAATCCTCGTTTCCCATTTCCACGCGCTGCGTTTCCAGCTGTTCTGTGCTGGAGAATCAGATGCCCAGCAAGTGACCACACCCCCTTAGCGGACGCCACTGGTGTCGAAAATAGCATTCTCGACTCAACCCAAAGTTTGACCAGTCAACATCTTCTGGAAGCTGACCTCGAAGACAAATTTCGGCCCACCCTCCTCAAAAAACGCACCCATCTACAGCGGGAGCAGTATCTATCTGTTTCTAGCACGGGAACCGCTAGCGATCTGTGTTACAAAGAATCCTGCGCCGCCCGACCAACTCGGGCTCGCTGTTTACTTTCCTGCTCAACCAAAACGACACGGACAATCGAGGGGAGACAAAGAATCACTCAGATATCGCCTGCTTCCCAAAAAAAAAATCAGCCATGGCAGCTGTTGTCAAGAAGCCTCCGGCAACTGGCCGCGAAACCCCAACAGGAACACCGTCGCGCCCGACTCCGAGAGTATCGACGCCCTCGTCCGCCGCTGCAAGCGGAACTGGCGTGGCGCGCACCCGATCGGTGCGAACTGGGACTCCCGTCTCAGCTCGTGCTGCCGCATCGTCGAGGCGCGAGTCGCTACTCGGAAATGGATCCAGCAGCACACTCAACGGAAGTGGTGCCGCTGACGTGGAGCGCGAGGAAGCTGCTCGCGCCGAGACAGTAGCTTTACTCGACGACTTAAAAGAGCGCCTAGCCAAGGCTGAGACTGCGTCGGAAACATACAAGCGCCAGACCGACGTGCTACAGAACAGGCTAGACGAGGCGCTCAAAGAACAAGCTGTCCTCGAAGAGAAGGTTCACGAGAATGAGGAACAGATCGAATCGCTGACTAACGAGAAGCGTGAGGCCGCCCGCCAGATACGCGAGATGGAGAGCATTTACGAGGCCGAACGGAGCTCCATGGTGAAGGAAAAGGACGAAATGGCCAACCGCGAAGAGGAGATGCAGGCTGTCATCCAGCGGCTCAAAGACAGCCTGGCGCAGAGGAATGACGAGGACAGACATGCAAGACAATGTAAACCTCCAGCTCACAATCCCCTAGTGCTTGCGCTATCCCAACTCGCTATCCCAGTCAACTAACACCTTTCCGTCCCAACAGCCGTGACCAGTTCGCCGAGCTTGGACAGCGGGAGCTTTGCGCCGCCGTCATCAATCCACCGGAGTGACTCACGCAACAATTCAAAGCTCGTCCTTCAAAAGGACAAGCTGATCGAGTCTCTACGGCTCGAGCTGGCCGAGGCGCAAATCAAGCTCGTCGAGTCGGAAAACCATGGTGGAGGACGCCTCCAAGAGGTCGAGCGCCTGTTGATGGAAGCCCGGGTGGCCAATGCCCGCCTCATGGAAGACAACGAGAGCTACCAGCTGCTGCTGCAGGACAAGACCCTAAAGGGAGACTTTGGTACAAGTGATTTCAGCTACATGGGTGGCTCATCAGCGAACCAGGATGCCCTCGCTGCCCTCGAGGGCCGGTCAAGTGGGACCAGTCTGGCCGACGAACTGTCCGAAGCCGCCGTGGACGACCATAACCCCAAAGAGCTCGAGGCAGAGCTGAACCGGATGAAGGACCAAAACAAGGCCCTCACACTCTACATTAACAAAATCATCGAGCGCCTACTGCAGCACCAGGACTTTGAGCACATTCTCGATCAGAGCAGCGACTTCAAGCCAGGGCCGAATACGAACAAGGAGCTACCCCCGCCGCCGCCGAGCAAGCAAACTGGCAGCCAGTCATTGCTCCAGCGCGCCAAGTCCATTGCCATCGGTACCGGGCCTGCCGCAAAGCCAAAGCCACGACCCATGTCCTTCATGCCTTCGGCTGGGGCAACAGTCAATGCGTCGCCCTTGGCCAATGCCCACAACAACCCCGACACGGCGCCTAGCATCCCGATCGGGCTGGGGCGCTCTGCCAGCACTCGCCGTGGTAGGCCCATGAGCGAGCAGTACACAGGCGGGGCCGCCAGCATCGTCAACGCCATGTACAAGGGCACGCCCGAGGGCCCACTTTCGCCGACTCTGCGATCCAGCCAGACCTTCTTCCTACCGCAGTCCAACGGCGTCGGCAGCGCAAGCAACCGCGCCAGCAGCGGCGGCGGCTCTAACGTGGCCACCCCGCTCACCAGCAGCGGCAACTTCCCCGGCATGAAGAGCGAGACGAGCAGCACCAGCGGCGACTCGGTCGTCGGCGATGTCACCACGCCCCCCAGCCAGAGCCCACCCCGCCCCCACCACGAAAAGACGACCACCTTTGCCGGCAACAAGCCCCGCCCCCTCCGCCTCGTGCAGGAGAACTCGGAAGCCACGACCAACGCCAACGCTAGCAAGCGCCAGAGCTGGGTCGGCTGGGCGGCCAGCGCGTTTGTCAAGAAGGACGACGCGTCGCCCGGTGAGGTGATTCGGGAGTAGAAGGTTGGGGGGCATAAGGGGTTCGGTGTCGGAATAATGCTATGGAGGTGACGATAACAGGAGAGAGATAAAAGAGTGTACACGGTGAACAGGGGGGACTTGGTAGTTGTGTGACAAGTGTAAAATGGAACGAAGCGTTGGGACCTTGGTATATAATGATGGAGGAAACTTATTACTACGCATAAGGGGGGTTGTTGCAGGGAGACACGTGCGAAGAGAGGGAGGATGAGATGTGGATAGCATAGAAAGTGAGTTTGGTTGGCACTTGCGGCGGCTGTTTAACAACTTGTTTTCTTCTTTGCTTTGTTTAGCCTCTGTTCTCTGTGGGTAGTCGGGTAGTCAGGCAGGCAGGTGGCTGGTGAAGGGTAAAAACTGGGAAACTGGAACTGGAACTGGAGACTGGAGACTGGAGACTGGGATTTTCGGGGACAAAGTGGTTTGGTTTGGTCCTGATTTGACTAGCATAAACTACCCTACGTCGGCCTCCTCTCTCTCTCTCTCTCTCTGTCTCTCTGTCTCTGTCTCTCTCTCTCTCTCTGTCTCTCTCTGTCTCTCTCTGTCTCTCTCTGTCTCTCTCTCTCTCTGTCTCTCTCTCTCTGTCTCTCTCTCTCTCTGTCTCTCTCTCTCTCTCTGTCTCTCTCTTTCTAGACCGGGATTTCTCTTTCTCTCTTTGCCTTATTTCTTTTCTTTTGTAAACCCATAACACCGCTTTATATCTTTTTGTTTCATTCTCGTTTTCTGTTGTCTGGGATCTACTCTGGCCTTGTATTGTTTACCAACTCTCCTGCTCTCTTTTGGTTTTGGCTTTGTGTCCCTCTAAACATACCCCCTGGCCTATTTATTGTATGCTTTCTTTCTAATGAATTGGAATTGATCTTTTCGCTGCTACCCCCTCCGTATAAGTACAAATTTGCATGGCCATGGTGAGATTCTTTTCGTCTTCTTCTTTTCCTTCTGGTCTCAGCTCTGAGTCTCCCTTTTCTTCGGCTCTCTTCTCGACGAGAACTCAAGTTAGTCACCGAATGGGGTATATGATGCCCAACGCGGCACGATGATATAATGCAAAATGAAATATACCTACCTAGATATGTACAGTACCTGGAGGTAGGTACCTAGGTATATCGAGGAATACAATCCAGTCCCTGAATGTTTATTAGCGGGTGACTTTCCAAGATCTAAAAGCCCCCAATGTCTTGCGATTCGCCGCAAAGGTTTTTCGTAGGAGGCAATAGCTATTTGAACTCCTATTACATAATCCTAAATGGCTATATATTCACTCGAAATACCTTCTATTGAAGACCTCTACTAGTCGGTTGATTTATAATTTTTTTTATTTTCCTTCCCAAGCACCACGCTAATGAATATCCACGGATTGGTGTGAATATATCGAAACGGGCCTGTCTACCACCCACACCGACCTCTCTACTACCTTTCACGAGGAAGGGACGGACGTACATGATAAACTCCTCCTCCCCCTCCTCCTCGGAATATATCCTCAGCTACGTTGCCCTTTCTGACTTGTGTGTTCGCCACCGCTCCGTGACGTCAACAAGGTAATTACCTACCATGTCCCTCTTCCCCGCCCACTTGTGCCCCGTTGATTGCTAGCTTGTCATCCCCATTTCACGGGCATCTCGAAGGAAAGATAAACAGAGTCGAGAAAAGGAAATCAGCGTTAGTTTCACACAAGGTGAAAATAATACTGTTATTCTTGTGTAGCAAGCATGGTATATCCATCTCTTTTTTTTTTCTTTTTTTTATCTTCCTCCCTTCTCTCCCTTCTCTCCCTTCCCACAGCAAGGAATTCTCCATGACTTGATGCTTTCTTTCTCCCACGTCTCTGATCCAAGATGCCTGCCTGCCTGCCTATCACCCTCTCGCCTCGACAAGGGAAAATGAATTCCCTGTGAAAAGGATACAGGTAGAATATATTTCTGTTTTTGGCATAAGAGAGAAACTAGAAACCCAAGAATCCAATTGAAACGGGTTAAATTCTTAGATTAGGTATAAAGTCATAAAAGGAGTCAAGGCCAATGATGGCGAGCCATGGAGGGGTTGGGAGACGGGAGAGAGAAGACAAATGAAGAGTCCCTCCCCCCCCCCCTTTCTAAAATGCTGTTTGGGCGGCCCCCATGTTGTGTAAAAAAGAAATACCGGGGCCAGTTTCATCCAGTCCAAGCCTTTGTTCTCCCATTTCCCAATATCCCAGTTTCCCCAGTTCCCAGTCCATAGTTCCAGCGCAGTCCCAAACAATCCCTTTCCTAGACCCGAACTAGTCTGATTCCCAGTGTATGTAACCATGGGAAATACTTTCACAAGAAAGAGCCTGGCGGCAGGAAGGGGGGGTAGGAACACAAAGCACAAACGCCAATGTTATCTATAGATTCAAGGAAAGGAAAAAAAGAAGGAGCTGGTCTGAGAGTTGCCGCTGTCTCGGTCTCGGTCTAGACCGGGTGTGTGTGAGTGTTATTTTCATGAGAAAAGGAAAACAGTTTAAAGCCAAACAAGTCGGCTCACCGACCTGGCTAGATATTGTATGAATACCGGGCCCTTGGTTTTGCCAGGAATCCCATGGGAAATCGCTTCTTTGTGTCTTTTTGTTTTTACCATCCAACGCCCAAGCCCCCCGGGGAATATTTTGTCCACAATGCCATGCACGCTCAATATACAGACGCAAGAATTTGCAACCGAAGAAAAAGATAAAGGAAAGAGAGATTTAAGGTAGTTTGCACGGGTTTCTCCGTGACTAAACCGAGACGGAAACGTCTCCGGTCGTCGTATTTGGACGAAGACTCGGATCGTTTGCCGCGTTGGGCTTTATTTTCATGTTGCCCTCGATAATTTGTGAACGCACGCGCTGGCTCAGAGGGAGCGTGTACTTGATGTAGCCCTTTACGATGAGCTGGAATTCATCCCCCATGATCCGCTCCCAGCGCTCAGGCCCACCGACCGTCCCATTGCCTGGGTTATGGAGGCGGACCTCGCCTGTTGAGTATGAAGGTCCCGAGTGGAAGAACGACCCCTCAAATGTGAGTGGGCTTCCAAAGCCTGTGATTGTACCGAGTTTCATGTTTGGTGCCGAGTCGCTCGGCGGCGGATCGTCTGCGGAATCATCTAGAGTACCAATGGCTCGTCTCGACATGCTCGGCTTCCTGGGGGTTTTTATTTCGCCGGGGTGTGTGCGATACCATTCCGAATCGGTACCGGCGTGGGGGGACTTCGCAAACACTTCGATATTCGCCGAATCCACCACCACCACCACGACATTGGGGTTGTGCGCCCTGATTGTCAAATCAAGCATCAGCTCCTCCGAGCTGACGACGACGTGATCCATTCCCACCAGCTTGATATTCATGAGGGGCTGTGACGTTGCAAACATGAACCCTATTGCTCCCGAAACGACGAGTAGCAACATTACTGTCAAGACAAGGCAGCTCGCGAAGCGATTCAGGAAAGAGGGCTGCGGGCGATAGGACTGCGATTCCATGGACCGCAAGTTATGCATGCCTCTACGGCCTCTCGCCGACCTCCCCGACCGCATCGTTCCCGACGGGATAAGAGGCGTTGTCTCATCATCGGCGCCCGTGGTAGTATCGTCGAGATCGTAGCCGGCGGACAGGTGTATTCCCCGCTTGCCATTAGCAATGGCAGCACGCCCGTTGAAGCGAGGGCTGGGCGGCCCAGATGGTTGCCGCGCGGTGTTACTCCCCACCGACTGTGAGGCGCTGAACGGAGACGGGTCCGTAAAGAGTGATGGGTGGCTATTCCCGCTCCCGTTTCGACCCCATCGCCCGAAGTGGTGATGATGGCGGGCAGTCCCTCGAGCAGAGCCAGCCGTGTTGCTCCTTCCTGTCCCTTTGCCGTCGTCCTCGCCAACCGCACTTTCATTAGCGTTGCTATTGTACGAGTTCACGAACTTCATGCTCTTCTTGACCGCCATCGTGGGAACGGTACTCTCCATCACTGCATGGATCGAGCGCATGCCGTTGCGGTCAACCTGGCTTGCCATTGACGTTGCGCTTGGTGTTCGGGAATGAAACCTGTGGGGACGTTCACGCGCATCGGGCGGGTTAGAGTCGTAGACAAACGTTTCTTCCGAGTCTGAAGAGTTAGCCTCCTCCACGGCGCTCGCCACCTTGGCCTCAAAGATGTCGGCCTTGGATGACGCTGGACGAAGCTTAGTTAGTAACGTGCTCATGGGATTTGCAACCAAACTCGACCTCCGGAAGCCTGGCGAAAGAGCCCTGGGACTCGTCGAGACTTCGAGGTGTCCATAGTACTTTGCTGGAGAAATACACAAATCGGCAGCCGACGACACTGATCTGTCGGACTGATGATGTCGCAAACTAGGGATAACAACTGAATTCGGCGGCTCACCAGTGCCAGCGGCAACGGCGGGCTGTTTCCGTGCCGGTTTCTTCTTCTCCTTCTTTGGCCGAATCGTCTCTGTGCTGGGCTTGGTGCGCAAACTTCCGTTCGACCCCGGCGCCCCGGCCCCGGGCGCAAGAGCCGCTTGCGGCACCGATGTTACCGTCTCAGTTTCCACCGTCATGCTCTGCAGGGAGACCTCGCCGGCCTTTCCCTTCCCCGCGCCGGGCCTGACGGATGCGCTAGATTGCCTTGTTGTTAGGGACGGTGCGCTGGTAGGTCCAGTCCGCCGCTCGGCTTTGATGCTACCGGCCTCGCTGCCGCTCTCCTGCGTGGCCAGATTTGCCTTGCCCAGCAGGTTCTTGGAGAAGGCCGGATCGACGACATCGGTCTGCGAGGTTTCCGAGATAAAGCTATCGTCCAACTTTTCCTCCATTGAATCTTCGCGGTTCCGGGGCGAGGACAGCGGGCTCGCCTCCTGGACTGTCTCCAACGTTGACGAACTCGGCGGCCCGCGCGCGGGGGTTCTCACTCCAGACGGGACGGATTCCTCGGCTTCTGTGTCTGACTGGGGATCTGGGTGTAATGGCGGCTGCGGGGGCGTCGCACGTTGGAGGTTGATCAAGGGTGGCAACGGCGACTCCTGCTCCCCTCTCCGCGGCGGCCCAAGGTTAGGCTTGTTGAGAATCGGTGGTGGAGACCGCAACCTAGGCGAGACTGGCCACCGGGGCGATTCTCTAAGATGTTCTAATGCTGTTGGCGACTTGACAGGTACAGGCGCCGCGATGTTAGGATCCGAAGCGGCAGGAAGGAGAGCCGGCGTGGTAGCCGACGAAAGGATCCTCGACGAGGACGGTAGGGCCGGAGTATTTGGCTTTGCATGCCGAGCCGGACTAAGGTCTTGGTGGCTGTTTTTGCGTGACCTCGTGCCGGGGTTTGCGGAGGAGGCCCTCGAGGTGTTCGTCCGCGAAAGCGGCCTGGTCGGGGAGGGGTCGCGCGATGGCAGTGGTGAAGGCACGGCGGATGATGTTGCCGTCGAGGCGACTGAAGGCTGCGACGGCAACTTTGAAGGCCACGAGTCTGTCTTGGGGGTGATTGTGACTATGCTGGACGCGGACTCGCGGGACAGGGCAGGGTGGAGATTCGGATCCTTAGGAGAGGGTGAGGGCGAAGACGAGCGGGTGGCGTCCGGGGAGCCGTTGGAGATGTTGAGTGGGTTGTCCATGTTTTGCATGCTCGGTTGCGTGGAGCTAAGAATGGAGGTTTATCGCGGCCACACATGCCAGGACCTGTCTTAGCTGGGACGAGGGCATGTCATCATGGCCAGGCCGGCATGCAGGGAGGCTGTCGTGGACGGGGCGGGACGATGGTCCGCGACTGCTCGGCAGCGGTGATTCACCACCGCCTGTCGAATGGCTTAGTTAGGTGCCGTAGATAAGGTAGCTTCTCACTTAGGAACCTATGGGAAGGGCGATATTGCGGCCTCGCATGCACTTCACATGCAAAACAAACGGCCGCCACGTCGAGCTCTTCGCCGTTCGCTGTTCTGACTGACTAGGCGATCTGGACAGTGACACAATGTCGCGCGATTCCAGTCCGTCTTGGTGCAATGCGCGACAGAAAATCTAACGTTGGTGGTTGTTGCGAAGCGGGAGGGTTTGGTTTGGTTCGCGGGAGATTCTCCGAGTGGAGGATGCTAGGCGGGCTGGTATTGATGGATGATGTCGTTGGTCCTGGTCTGGTCGGCGAGTCTCTGCCCTGGGCTGGCTGGGTCAGCAAGCACAAATAGGTTTGGGCGGGGGCCGAGCGCTAGGTAGGTACCCAGTGTTGCACAGAGGGTATTAGGCTGGTTCCGTGCCCATGCGCTGGCGGTTTCCACCCACCCCCAGGATTCGAGCTGCCAGTTGTCTGGCGCCTCCCGCCCCCATTGGTTTTGCTGCTGAAGGCCCGGGCTTTCTCGCTTCTCGGCCCTGATCCCGCCTCAATGCCGCATAACAGCAAACAGGCAACCTTACGAAGGACCGTATGTACGAAGTACCTTGGGTACCTTATCTACCGGGCTGTTCTGTTTCCCCCGTTTACGCCTTCCAATCTCGTATTTGTATTGTAACAATACGTACTGTCTTTTCTGCTCGCCGTTACCTTACGTACCACTCTACCTTTACGGATTTGAATTCCCGGGTCTTTGGCCAGGGAGCTAAACCTCCGGATCCAATTACGGTTTCGTAGTGCAGCCTCTTGCGTTACGATGCACTCCATCATTTGGAAGACATAATAAAGTTGAGGCGTAGACTGCCCCAAACCGGGAGCTGGGGAGCTAAATGGGCTAGTCCAACACGGCGTCGGGTCCGACAAAGAAACTAATGTTCTTCTTTCATCGTCGTCGCCCCAAGAAGCTACTAGCTAAACACAGAGTAGGTACAGTACACAGTAAGTACTCTTTACATCGGTGGGTGCAAACAACGGTTTGAACCGCTAGCCCACGTTGTGCCCCTGGAGGTAGGCTACTTTGAGGCATGGTGAAATACGGGAAAGTACTTCGTTCTTCTTCGAATATCCCCATAATTGAAGTGGGCTCCAAGTACCCACAGGTAGCCTCACCTAGACCGCAAGTTCTTTCGGCCAGACTTCCAGGTTCTCCTTCATTTCCAGATTCCATGCGTTGCGGCACCCCCCCCCCCCCCCCCAAAAAAAGGCGCTCCCATTGCACTTAATGTTAGCGAGGTACATTCAGTACTGCCTATCAGGCCCAGTGTGTCAGCGTATTGTGATACGCCCGTCGGCTCCTTATACACATGCGTCATCATCGGAATCGCCCATGCTTAATCTCTTAGAGACAGTAACAACCAGATGGGAAGCAACCGGATGAGACATTGTTGTTCAGCTCCTGGAGAATAACTTCCAGCTACTCAATATGGCGGCCTAACTATGCTTTCTTGTGTACATACTCGGTACCTTAGTAGTGTATTAAACAAAAGGTTTCAGGCTGCTCGTTGTGTTCAAGAGACTCGTCTTCGCGGCCGGTGCGGGGTTCGTCACTGAAGCCGGATGAAGATCTCCATGATGACAGTGGCTTGATGATGCGGCTTTGTGCGACGCAGATTACCAGGATTTGCTATTCCAGCTCAATTAACCTGTCGGCGACAATGGACGGAGTACCGGCCGTATTTGCGGACTGCCAGTGCTTGAAGCAGTCATGAGTAGGGGCACGGATATACTTTCTTATCTTTCGCACAGCAGCCACGCATCTGGCTGGATTAACGTCGGGAACGACCCGGAGGAAGCGGCCCTGTTTATTCCGTACACACGGTTCTGTTGTGTTGATCGCCGACCGATCCTACATAAAGTTAGTCCTCATGGATGAGAATCAGGAACAGCACCCTCAGAGGCTTAGATGGAGGTTGATCGGCAGAGCTTGGACATCTTCCCGGTGCCGGGTCGTCTCTCCCCAGATATATGAAGGGTGAGCGTTTCCTCCCCTGAATTCAGTACTGGCAGAATAATAAACGAGTACATCTACTCAGTAGAAAGCACATTTTCGTAGTCAGTCAACCACTCAGTCGCCTGTGCGGGTAAGCCTGACACGGGAACATCCGAATTCTCGTCTTTGCTGACAATCCAACAAAAACAGAGTGTTGGAGTACCTGTCTACCAGCCCCACAGCAAACAGGGCAGAACGCCTTCAGCCTCTCACAAACGACCAAGTGGACGGTCGAACACGCCACCCGCTGTGGGTGCAGTCGCGGCGCCGTGGGAGACCCCCCTGATCAAACTATTTTTTGAGAAAACAACGACCGACTGCCTGTTTGGACTGAGCCACTAGCAGACGTTCCGCAGCTGGGAGCTGAGACAATAGCTGGCACGAGCTATAAGTATCTAAGCCTTCGTTACGATGGAATACTCGTTGTAAGCGGATCTGTGTTTTCGTCGAGTGCCGGTGAAACAGAAAAGCTGGGGAGCCGGATCCAGGAAGGAGGAGCAACCTAGAAGCCGACTGCGCCCGACGGTGTGGTCCGCCCAGGGGCTACCCACCTGCCGTTCCCCATTCCCCAACAAGAGGCGGAGGCTGGAGCTGACAAAGGCCCAGGGGGAAGGCAGGGCTGCAGCAGAAGAATTTTTTCCTTCTGCGGTTTTCCTCGCTACCACACGGATTCGGTTTCGTCCTTTTCTTGGACCCTCTTCGTGGGCTATCCACCTCGCCTGTGCCCCTTTTGGAAGAAAGCGAAAGAAAAAAAACCCAAAGCCTTCACCGTCTTTCCGTTGAGGACACCTTGCCTGCAAATACGGGCATCGCTTGCGCAATCCAAACCAAAGCGTTGCACGAAATGATGTCGGGGCGCTGGCTGGCAGGGCCCTGAGCTCCCCCGGCGCCTCTCCGGGGGCCAATCTCAACCATTTCCACGCACTAATTGGGAATAATTATACACTACCAACAGTCGAAGGACACGTGGTTGAGGGTAGGAAGAAGTGGTTTCTCCCTTCCAGTCTAGGACAGACCCCGTGACACCGGCGTTGAGAGGGATGGGAGAAAGGCCCAAACGAGAAAAAGGAAGCGTCGCAATGCCTGTGTGGGAATTGGGTGCAATCCCGCGGTTCCACACCCACCGTTTCCCGAATCGATCGGTGGGCGTTTGGGTTTGGGCGCACAACGCATGGAACCGGTGGGAAAGGACGCGCCAGCATCGCCTTCCAGCCGTCCGTCACGGCGCTGCTAGGCCCGAGATGGTTTGGCTTGGGGTCGCGATCTTGCAATGGGATCACCTCAGTCACGTTTGGGGCCGACCGTGTGCGCACCCGAGGTGGCCCCCCTCGGGTCCCGAGACGCATGACTGACATGTCACCCCCGAACTTCAACCTTTCCCCTCCGCAGTCAGGTTGGTCATCCGCGCAGGAACCCGCCGTGACTGGCTAGGGGGCGGGCCTTCAACCCTGCAGCAGAGAGCACCAGTGTCTGCTGTCTGCTCTGTCCGCCCGCCCGCCCTGATGCACCCCACGCCGCCCAAGACTCGTGGGCGGCCCTGAATGGGTCGAAGAGAGCCCCGCAAATTCAATGCCCGGACACGTCTGCCCACACGGCCACGTCCGTGACTCTTGGTGTCTCCCAATTTTCGCTCTCGTGTCGTTTCTTTTTTTTCTTGTTGTCGACTTCCTTTTACGGTTCCTGGCAATCTCAACTGTTTTTTCTAGTCCCCTCTTTCGGAAATTCGTTCCCCGGTTTGATTTTATTTCTCACAGGTTTCGTCAGGGCTAGGGCGGTCACGAAAAGGTTCAGCCCCTTTCTTCTTCCAAGGCCCGCTTGGAATTAGCACCCGCTGCTCTCACTGTCTCGTGACCAATCCGCGGGAGATTTCATATTTTATCTTCCAGAGCATTGAAGCTCACCTGACCACGCGTGCTTGTGAAAAGGGGTAAACAGGTCGCCGGGGAAACAAGCCTGTCGATAGGCTGTGATAGTAATGTAGAAAGGGAGAGCTCTCACCTCACATCAACAACACGAGGCAGATCGTGTTTATCTCGAATTTTCGAATCCTCATGCCGAGCGAGCGTTTAAATAATGCACTGCTAGATTCTCTTGGTCGAGCGAAATGAAACCCGCGGAATTAAGCCAAACCTTCTACGAAATTCGCCTCATGGAGTCGATGTGTGGATTTGGGCCGCGCGGACTTAAACCCGATTGGGACCCTCTGCGCCCTTTCGATGACTACAATTCCATTGACGACGACGTGACAGCTGGTTTTGAGTAAAGGTTCGAGATATCTCGCTCTAAAAAGTCGGATGATATAGGAACAAAACATACCTATGTGTGGTGGTAGTATATGAATTTACGTTTGTTTGAAACCCGTCCTCGTTGCCCGCCATGTCCACCCTAAACGACTCGGCATATTCAGCCTCGCAAGTCGCAGAGTATCTCGACGTGCTCGGCCTGCCTGCATCGTTCCACCCCTCGGCCAACCCGGTGCTGGACCTCTCATACCTCACCGCGCTGTTCGTCCACCAGGTCACCACCGTGCCCTACGAGAACCTCATCATCCACTACTCGCCGCAGCATGAAGTCGTCCTCGACCCGCAGGCCCTCTTCGCCAAGATGGTGACCAACCGCGCGCGCGGCCGCGGCGGCTACTGCATGGAGACGTCAATCCTGTTCAACCACATGCTCCGCGCCATCGGCTTCGACGTCTACACGGCAGGCGTACGCGTCCGCCCGCGCGACGCGAACAACGTGCCCTGCGCGGATTACATGGGCTACGTGCACCTGGTGAACATTGTGACTTTGCCAGGCCCATTAGCCGAGCCGGCGCAAAAGTACGCCCTCGACGTCGGCTTCGGCGGCGACGGCCCGACGCTGCCCATGCCGCTGACGGCAGGGCTCGTGCACCACAACTCGATCGGCACACAGGAGGTCCGGCTCGTGCGCGAGTTCCTGCCGTTCCAGCGGCGGCGGCGGCCAGGGTACAGCGGGGCCGGAGTCGAGACCGACGGCGATGCGTCGCTGATGCACTGGGTGTACCAGTACCGCAACGACGCGGACCGGCCGTGGGTCGCGTGCTACGCGTTCAGCGAGTTCGAGTTTGGCGAGGCCGACTTCCACATCGTCAACTACTTCACATCCAAAGCACCAACAAGCTTCCAGTCGTACACGCCAGTAGCAGTGCTATTCCTGCGCGGCCAGGGCCAAGAGGGTAGGTCCAAGGTCGTCGGCAAGGTCATGCTGATCCACGGGCTCGTCAAGCGCAACGTCACGGGCCGCACCGAGCTGGCCGCCACGTGCGCCACCGAGGCCGAGCGCGTCGCCGCGCTGGCGGAGTATCTCGGCATCCGCCTCACGGCCGACGAGGCCGCGAGCATTCGTGGGCGCGCGCCCGAGCTCGTTGGCGCTGGAAACCTAGCCGCCGCACTGAGCTAGGTGAACATCATGAGCCGCCGGCAGCATGAGTGAGTATGATGAATGAATATGTGCAGTTTTACATGTTTGACACAGAGCAAGCGCTTAGCTTGGCTGGATGGCGCGTGTATCGGGAGATGGTTGCGATATAGATAGACACATAGATTTCCTCTACATACAATAACAGAAAAGAGTGATGCTCATAATATCTACTCGTTTGTTCAACGTCTGATTTGGTTTCTGACTACCTACGGGTAGATGAACTGGCAACGCGACAGCAATGAGCATAAGCTCGGGGGTGAAGATGGACAATAGACATAGCACTGGAGCGCGTCTTGGGTAGACACGTATTTTTGATACATTCCAGGCTGGTTGGACTTGGATAAATAGCAATATTTGAAGAGGTATATTCCGAGACCAACGCCGGTTCATTAAAATGGTCTGTTTCATATGCTTCTGAGCATACCAAGTTTTGCTCGCGTCCTCTGGGATACCTGTGCCCGAGTAGCGCTCATCTATTTGTACACACGACAGCATTTCCCAGTCTGTTCTGGGAAATATCTATCCATCTCAATGAGCTATCATTTTACTTCAAGCCAATACACCATCGGACCGGAGGCCGGGCTGTGTCTCAAGCCTCAATCTCATCCTCCTCCCAGTCCGCTACCTTGGCCGTCACGGTAGCGGTGCCGCCGCCGACGACGCGGCCGCCCTGCTTCCGCTTGACGCGGCACCGCATGCCGATCTGCTCGTCAAAGATAAAGCGCCACAGCACGTAGGTCCAGCTGCGGTGGTGGGGGAGGTCGGCGTAGAACTCCTTGGCCATGTCGTGTAGGGCGGGGAGGCGGGTCCACGGGACGGCGGGGAAGTCGTGGTGCTCGTTGTGCAGGCCGACGTTGTACGTCAGCAGGTTGAGCGGGCCGTAGTAGCTGAACGTCTCGGGGATGGGGATCTTGTTGGTCGGGTCGCGGGCAGTCGGCGTCACCGTCTCGTACACGTAATGTTCGGCAATAAAGTGGCCCGCCGTGGGATGCAGCGAGCCGGCAAGGAATGACGACAGCAGCAGGTAGAGCAGCGAGTTAGCGCTGAAGTAGCCCGGCAGGAGCGCCAGGATGGCGTAGTCAAAGCCAATCTGCACGGCCACGTTCAGGCCGTGGACCCAGGTAAATGGGATGCGATAGACCATCATGGGCCGCAGGGCATAGAAGAAGATCTGGAAGGTGCAGAAAAAGGCTTTCCCGAGGATCGAGTCCAGAAACAGGGCCTCAAACCGCGTCGGCAAGTCCGCGTCGAGTCCATCGACACCGAGGGACTTGTGGTGGGTTAGGTGGTAGGGCTGCGGCGTGGCCGGTTAGTGTCTTCGCCCAGAACACCAAGATACGACAGCACTTACCCTGAAGGAGGCGCTATACGGAACTGCTATAGGCAGGTTGGCAACCATGGCGAATAAGCGGTTGGCCAGAGGGGACCTGAAGGCGAGGTTGTGGGAGATCTCGTGGATGGCCAGGAAGAGGTTCTGGTTCGACGTTGCGCCGAAAACGTATGCAACGGCCCAGAACTTCCACGACCAGAACGGAGTATTCCTTAGGAGGTGAGCGAGGAGGACCTGAAAGGCGACAACGGCTGCAACAACATATTTGGTGAGAGGTTCGGGCCCGCAGAGCTTGGTGACCTGTCGCAACGCCGTCAGTCAGCCAATTGGTTCGCGCATGAGCTCCCAAGATGTGGTGTGGCTGGCATACCTCAGGGTGCGCCTTGATAATTGCCATCCGTCTTGTCCGGTGAGGCTCCTCGGTGTAGGTCCAGAAAAAGTCTCGATAGCTTGTCTCGGCGGCGTCGCCCTTGGCAGGGGATGGCGCCGCGCCGTTTGCGCTGCCATTGACGGCCATGTCTCTCCTCTTGGACGGCGCGCTAGTCACCTCTGTCACTGAAGGGGCCATGGCAAAGTGCTGGTAGGATTTCGACCGGGAAATATTATGTGGCCGGCTTGGAGAGGACGACGAGACGAGCCGGTGTCCCGGAAATGTGCGACTTGCAGAGCAGCAGCAGCAGCAATTGCAGCCATTGTGGATCGACATTGAATGGGGGCGTGGCAATAGGGACTGAAAGTGGCACGCTTCGAGCCCAGGGCCCTATTGGACTTTGCTTGGGCTGTGAGCCAATTAGATCTTGCGCGGCATGAATGCCCCATGCTCCTGCAGACCAATTCCGACGACATACTCAGTCACGGCGCACGAACCCTATAACGACGACCTACCAAACAGAATACTATTGACCATCTTACAACCGAGCAGGCAGTCGACATATAGATACTTCTCTGAAATAATCACCACTAGTTGTTCATATTCGGATGCAATCATTCTTATCCTCAATTCGAAAATCGCGTCTTACTCGGTTGCTTGACTCGAGGATCTCGATCTTGTCCATATTTTGAGCATCGGCTGCTTGTCAGCTGCCAGTTCCCGTACTCTTGTTTATCCTTATCCCTCCTGCTTGTGATTTAAAGGCTCATATTTAAGTCTGACAGTAGGTATCTGAAGATTGGGGAATCGGCCCCGTACTCAATTGGTCCATCGTGATCTGGAAATGATCTCGAGCCTGCGATTTGTCTCAAAGGTGTTATGAATATCGTTTAGATATATTGACGGGATGTTCTCCGCATGAAGTGGGCAGAAGCAGGAATCATTTAGACTAGCATCTTTTCGACGAGCGTCTGCCGGTCTAGGATGCGTGCGTAGTTAACGTCAATGTCGCCCAGCTGCAGCTTCTTGGGGAGCGTGTCGATACCCTCGGCTGAGTGGCCGCTGGAGGTAATAAATATGGCAAACAAAATGGGACTGATACTCGGCTAATCCTAGGTAAATGCTCCGTTTTGACATCGCCCGGGTTTCTCAGTGGTATCTGAAAGGCCGCTGGCTAACTGGTCAGTCGCGTTGGAAAGAATTTTCACTGTGACTAGGGACGATATTGTTTTAGCACTTGGTACCGTTTCAACGACACGGAGAGCGGCTTGCCAGCGGCCATGGAGAGCGTTTGCCGCCGTTTCTCCGAGTAAACATAGGTTCCTACCTAGGTTGCTGCTGGATACCATTGGTGCGTCTTCTTCTGTGCTTCAGATTATGCAGTATATTGGCAAGCATATAATAGTTCAACAGGATAGAAAGCTAATTCGGTATATGAAACGGCGGGACACTGCTCACTGCCATCTCAGTCCAGTCCTCACCGTGGAAACAGAAAAACAATACCAACGTGGTTGCTACGCACCTTCCCTTAAATCCAACTATATCACCCAACACTGGAAACGTCCACCCTCTCAACTGGTAGAGCATCTTGTCACTGATGTTCCTTAGGTGACTTGACTGTGAGAGAACTCTCAGTCACGGCCAGTCGCAGCCGCTCCTCTGACAGAAAACACCCAATTCCTACACTAGCAGGTCCAGGTGGGGTGTTCCTTCCGTATTCTTCCATACAGTTCCTTCAATACTTGAGCCACCACGCCTTCCGTTTCCCGAAAAGTAGCAACCTCGCGTATCGGCCCGACCAGACACTGCGGTTTGAACTCGACCTTGCCCACTGCAAAATATTTCCTATTTCAAACCTGTCTCTGGCCTTCCGCAGCTTCCTCCACCAAACAACCACAAGTTTGACGTGAAGCCCAACGCACCAAAATTGTCCCGATCTGCGCCGCAGCAAAATATTGAAAGGTAAGCGCGTCGTATTCTTCCTTCCATGTCTTTTTGTTCTTTCTGTCTCCCTCTTCATCACGGCCTTCCTTACTTCACCTGGTCAACCTAGTCTTTGCCTTTCCGCATTTTTGCCCCAATTCCAAAGTTGGACTCTTCGTTGCCCGGCAGCAAGATAGGGCACGTTTGCAAGTACGCTACGAGACATTCTTTCCCTTCTGACTTCACCTGATTTTGCCTAACTCTCTCCCTTGAACCGAGTCAGTCCCGTCACCGCCAGACTGACTCTCCAATCCGCTCGCATCTTGAGGGGGTTCAAAGTATTCGTTAACGACCTAACCAACCAGAATCTTGCCAGTTAATCAAACGATTAATTTCAATCATGGCTGCTTGGCCTGCTGATCCCAACTGGGGTGAAGGTGCCATTACCACCGCCGTTGATGATGACTGGAACGCCGTCAAGACACCTGAGGCCAGCGCCGACTTTGGCTCTGACAATTTTGGAGGTGGATTCAACGACAACAAGGAAAACGTCAACTCCGGTGGCGATGGTCGTGCTTGCTTCAATTGCGGCGAGATTGGGTATAACGAATCCCAGGTCACTCCCTTGAAGGAATTAGAAATTAGACCAGAGCTGACACGCGATTGCAGTCACAACAAGGCTGATTGCCCCAAACCGCGTGCCCCTCCGACTGGCCCCTGCGGTCTTTGCAACGAGGAGGGTCACTGGAGCAAGGAGTGCCCCAATGCTCCTCCCATGGTCTGCTTTGACTGCGGCTCGGCTGGGCACATGTCCAAGGAGTGCCCCAACAAATCATGCAAGAACTGTGGCGAGAAAGGTATGTGCCAAGTTGCTCCCGGAATAAGCAGTCGCTGACATTGCCCTAACTTAGGCCATTCTGCGACTGATTGCAAGAGCGCTCGCCTGATTGACCGTAGCGCCTTCCCCGACATGAGCACCGAGGACGCCTGGGTGTTGATCAAAGAGGCCGTCAATGAACGCGATATCGATGACGTGAAGGAGGCAGTCCAGACTTACGTCAAGTCCTCTCCTAGCACGACTTATCCCGAGCTTGAGGAGGCTTTCCGTTCTCAGAAACTTCCACTTTGGCTTATTGCCATTGAGAAGACCGGACTTGTCTCCACCCTCACCAACATGGATCTCCAGGGCGAGTTAGAGAAGAAGTACACTGTCACGTACCGTTTCCAGTGGAACCCTCCCCGGCCCCGCGACCGCGAAGTCTGGCCCAAAGATGTTGAAGAGAATATTGAGCGCCTCAAAGATGCCGGCGAGGTTGTGCCTCGCGGAGTGCCCAAGTGCAGAAACTGCGGCCAGGTTGGCCATACCTCGAAGTCATGCCCGGAGGAGAAGCTCGAGAAACAAGCCACAACCATCAATTGCTACAATTGCGACGCGGTCGGCCATCGCATCCGAGACTGTAAGCAATCAGCGAGAAGGGTTAACAGAAAAGCAAGCTAACAGAAACACAGGCCCTATCCCTCGTGTCGATAAGTTTGCTTGCAAGAACTGCGGGTACGTACAGCGCATTCACTATCTCTCTTGAGCCAAACATGCTAACGTCATTTCAGACAGGGTGGTCACAAAGCCGCTGATTGTAAGTGCCTTGGTATCGTATGACTGAGTTTATTGGACTGACATCGTGGCAGGCACCGAGCCCCGCTCTGCTGCTAACGTGGAGTGTCGCAAGTGCAACGAGAGTGAGCCCCCCCCTTGCCTTCGCCCAACCCCTTTGTGTCTTAGCTAAGATTTCAAAGCTGGACATTTCGCCAAGGACTGCCCCACGGGAGGCGGATTCACTTGCCGCAACTGTAACAAGGAGGGTCACGGGTCGAGAGAGTGCCCCGAGCCTCGCAACCCTGCGAACATCCAGTGCCGCAACTGTGATGAGTTTGGCCACATGAGCAAGGAGTGCCCCAAGCCTCGCGATAGTAAGTTACTTACATCTCGCTCACGGAAATTTTACTAACCACTTCCAGTCTCACGTGTGAAGTGCTCAAACTGCCAGCAAATGGGTCACTTCAAATCCCGTTGCACGAACCCTCTGGTTGACGAGGACGCCGAAAAAAATGCAGGTGCCAATGGACGTACCAATGGCGGCGATTTTGGTGATTCTGGAGGCCACACCAACGGCGGTGATGATTTTGGAAGCCCCCCTGCTGCTGATTACGGTGATGCGATGGATTGGTAAATTGCTGATGCTATCTGGGTAACTGTGTTGGTTGTTTCCAGCACATTTAGTGACATCTGGAGAAGGTGACGGGTGGAACCTGCAGACTTGAAGTCATGATTTATCACGTTCATGTTCAAGTTCATCTTTAAGGATAGATAGACACGAGACGGATGTTGATAACAAAAAGATAGTCTCATAGGCAGGCGCAGGGCTGCTGAGAATCACTGATCTGAAACTCCGAGGCTGCTTCGGCCTGCCCCCTGCCGGTCCTTGTGATTGCTGCTAGCTGATGTTTCCAGCTGGACTTTGGGGGCTTCTCATTTCGTTAGAATACCAATGACGTGAGGCAGGACATGGAACCACGGCTGCCCGTGCGGTGCCGTCAAGTCTACGTTGCTCCACGGACCTGCCTCCTTGATCCACTTCCCGGTATCTCGTCGTAGCTGACAACCGCCAATAAAAGGTGGCCAGATCAGATTCATGAAACCTAATAATTAGAGGATTCTGTCAACGAGCTGTCCGATGGCTACTCATGCACTCGGAGACGACCATGACAGGAGGAGCTTGGGGCGGACAAATAAACGGGCTAAACAAACCTTGATAGGCGTCGACAACCCAGCTCTGGGAGTGGCTGCACTTTACGTGCTCGTAAACGAACCACCGGCCGCCGGGCTTGAGATAGCCGTACAGCTCCTTGATGTTGAGCTGCGGGTCCGGGATGCTGCAAAGACACATGACGGTCACGATGCAGTCGACGCTCTCGAGCGGCACGCGGCCCGACGACGCCAGGTCCTGGATCCCCACGGGCACAATCTCGTACACGTCCTCGAGGCCCGCCGCTACGATCTTGGCTCGCAGCTCCGCGTGCACGCCTGCGTTGGGCTCCACGCCGAACACCCGCGTCACCTTGCCGCGGCTGCCGGGAGCAGCGGCAGTGTCAGGGTTGGGATTGGAGAGCGAGGCCGATGTTGATGTTGATGACCCCGTCGAGCTCAGGTACCGGTCAGAGAATATGCTCACCCAGTTGCCGCTGCCCGGCCCGATCTCGAGCACTGTTCCACCCACGCCCCGTGCGTGCGCCGCGCTGCGCTCAACGATGCGGCCCCCCGTCACGCGGCCCTCGAGAAGTGGGACTACGTTTTCTTCGGCCGACATCCGCACCAGCGGGCCGGCCCAGCCCCAGAACCGTCCGAACCTGTGCAGGGGGAGAGGGAGGTGTGAGTTCGGGGTATTTTGTTTAGGGGGGGAAGAGAGAGGGGGAGGAAGGGAGAGGCCATACCATGCAGATTGCAGGCGGTTCCACGAGAGCAGCGTGCGCCATTCGCCGGCGAGCACGGCCGACGCGAGCGTGCCGGGCAAAAAAGTCGTCGACGCGATCATAAACCGCCATGGGAAAAACCACGAGGCGGCAAAGTCGGAGATAGTGGAGGTGGATTGAGGGGGCGGCATTGTTCCAATTGAGTTGGGTTGGGTTGCGTTGTAGTTTTGGTGTGGATTGTCTTTTTGGGAAATGTATTTTTTTCTGGGGCAGAAAAAAGGGGTAAAAGGGGCGTTTGTTTTGGTTACGACCCCAGTGATGGTTTTTGGGGCTGGTTGGGTGAAGCCAACGTTGCTCTTGGCTCAATCAATTAGGGTTTGGTTGGCGATCAGGAAGGATGTCGAGGGGATCAGAAGAAACAAATGTATGTGAACTGCAGTTGGAGAAGAAAAGGAGGGAGAAGATGGGAGGGGGCCAGGAACGGTCGGCGGGAGACTGCCCGGTTCATATAGGGACCTCCGGGAAGGGAAGGTCTAGACTGCTTGTCGGACTGGAAGGTACGGATACTGGTTCTGTCTATTCAGGTCGGATCGCGTGAGGAATACTGCCTACAGTGCTATGTCGAGGAGACCCACACACCCAACAGGTGAACATACCTACCGCTAACGCATGAGCCCTAGGACCTAGCCATGCAAATACGCGACTTAGAGCGAGGGATTGGTCATCATCTTGGAACTATAGTGATATTCGTATTTGATAGTCACGGGTTTGTGACTTACAAGCCAAAGGGCGTGATATGGTCGAATTCGTGATGGCTTCAGTTATAATCCGTAGAAATCCCCAAGGTAAGACGGCGGGGTGATCAGTGAGGGCGGCGGGGCGGGCCCTGCAACGTCGGTGGCTGACGGTAATGGCGGGAGCTTGCAACGGGCCCCTTTGGCTGATTACATACAGTCCGAGTAGTCATTTTCTCCAGTTCAACAAGACGAGCCTCCTTATATTAGTTTCTCATGTCTACAGAGACATCTCTTGACAACAACGCCGGAAAAGGCGAAGGGAAGAATCCCATAAAGAAGTGATTCGCGAATCCAATTCGCCAATCCAAAGTTCCATCTCCGTACTCCGTAGTGCGGGGTGAGACCTACCTACACAATATACTCAGCTAACCCCAACCCTCTCGGCGCCTCGGACGTGCTTCTGTTGGCCCCACCGGAGTGCTTCAGTTGGGACTCGGGTGCTACCGTGGTTGGTTGGGCCCCGAAGCCCATATGAGATCATGTCTTTTCTAGGCTGGCGTCTCAAAAAATAAATGTCTCATGTGTCTAGGTATCTAGTTTTCACCAGTGATTACTGTACAACCCGATAGACACGACTCCAGTTCATATCTTTTGATTTGTTTTTTTATATTTCTCACTTGGCTCCTATTACACGCCGAGTTTAGTTTCTGGCTTCAATTTGTGCCAACCTAATTAGGTAACCTGAGGTACCTGAGGTAAGTGAGCCGTGCTTACTCAGTACGGTACCTACGGCAAAGACGGACAGCAATTGCATTGAGTGGTGTGAAACGACAGCCTCCTATTGGACTTTGCAACCGAGACCTGACTCATATTTGAGCGCAACTAGCGACTGCAGGCGCCAGTGCCAGTGACAGTGAATGCCATGGCTACGCTCCAGACCGCCATTCAGGGAGCGGCCGGCTCGGTGGCCGTCATTGTGCCTTCGCGTCCCGACCCCGTCGTCGTCACGTACAGGGATCTCGTCGCCGAGGTTTCGTCGTTCCAGCAGAAGCTCGCCGCCATCGGCATCGCCAAGGGATCGCCCGTCTCCATCGCCACCGTCAACTCGTACGAGTTCATCGTCTCCTTTCTGGCCGCCTCGTGGCAGCGCGGCATTGCCGCCCCGCTGAACCCGGCTTACAAGCAGGACGAGTTTAAGTTCTACATCGACGATGTTAAGTCGGCCATCGTCCTCGTGCCCAGGGGGGCCTACCAGAGCGGCAGCCCCGCCGTCAACGCCGCCAGGAAGTTCAACGCCGCCATCGCCGAATGCTACTGGGACCCCGCCAAGAAGGAGGTCGCCTTGGACGTCAAGGAGCTCGGTCAGCTCCAGGGCAAGGGCAAGCAGCCCGCCCTGAAGCCAGAGCCCGAGGACATCGCCTTGGTCCTGCACACGAGCGGAACCACGTCGAGGCCCAAGGTCGTGCCCCTGTCGCACCGCAACCTGACCAGGACCATGAAGAACATCCGCGACACCTACCAGCTTACCGCCCAGGACCGCACTATGCTGGTCATGCCTCTGTTCCACGTCCACGGCCTGCTCTGCGGCCTCCTCGCGCCTCTCTTCTCCGGAGGCTCCATGGTCGTCCCCACAAAGTTCTCGGCGACCGAGTTCTGGCAGGACTTTATCACTTACAAGGCGAACTGGTACACGGCCGTGCCCACCATCCACCAGATCCTGCTCAAGAACCCCACCCCGAGCCCCCTGCCGTTCATCCGGTTCATCAGGTCGTGCTCCTCGCCCCTCTCCCCCACCGTCTTCCACGCGCTGGAGAAGACGTATAAGGCGCCTGTCCTGGAGGCATACGCCATGACCGAGGCGGCCCACCAGATGACGTCCAACCCGCTGCCGCCGCACAAGCGCAAGCCCGGCACCGTCGGGCTCGGCCAGGGCGTCGACGTGGTCATCCTCAACGACGCCAGCGACGTGCTGCCGCAGGGCGCCGAGGGCGAGATCTGCATCCGCGGCGAGAACGTCACCAAGGGCTATCTCAACAACGCGGAGGCCAACAAGACGGCCTTTGCCAAGAACGGCTACTTCCGCACCGGGGACCAGGGCAAGAAGGACGAGGACGGCTACGTCGTCATCACGGGCCGCATCAAGGAGCTCATCAACAAGGGCGGCGAGAAGATATCCCCCATAGAGCTCGACAACGTCCTCGCCCGCCACCCCGCCGTGTCCGAGGCCGTCAGCTTCGCCATCCCCGACGACCTGTACGGTCAGGACGTCGCCGTCGCCATCGTCCTCAAGCCCGGCGCCAGGCTGGCCCAGGACGAGCTCGAGAAGTGGGTCGCCGATAAGCTGGCCAAGTTCAAGGTGCCCAAGAAGGTTTGTCTGCCCTGTCTTTCCTTTTTTCTTTTATTTTATTTTTAATTTTTTTTAAAAAAAAGCCGTATGGTTTTAAAACCCCAGTGGTATACATGTTTATGTTGACACAAGGAAACGAAAAACAGGTCTACTTCACCGACAACATGCCTAAGACGGCCACGGGCAAGATCCAGCGGCGCATCGTCGCCGAGACGATGCAGAAGCAGGACGACCTCAAGGCGAAGCTCTAATTAGACTGAGGGAAACAAACACACACAAGAGACTCGTCCAGCGAAATACCCAGAGGGAGTGTGATTGTGATCACCCTCCATACCCGCCTAAATGTTGGTCTCTTACTAGAAGTGCTAGAATCCTCTCCGATACAATAGCGGTCGCCTTACCGTCCGTCTGTCCGTCCATAGTACCTATTTAAATATACATGCACATATCTTTTGCATATCGTGTGCTTGCATCATTAGAATGGACTTGGGCGACTCGCAATACGAAATCATGCTCCAATTTTCAAATATGTTTTTCTCCGAGGTCTCGAGGGTGTTCTCATTGCTTGCCAGCACTCGCTCCACGTTGGATGTTGGGATTAGACACAAAAATAGCGTGAGTGCTTCATGTTGTGTTGGGTTTATATACGTATTTGGGAAATAAAGATATGCCTTGGCCACAGTCTCCACCCTGCATTCACTGTCTTTCGTGTCGTTCATGTGCTTCATTGGGGGAAGTACTCTAGCCCATCGATTCTCACTGCCTGGCTTGCAAAGATCTTGGCCCGGTTGCAAGTTTATTTTCCTAACTCGATTCCTAAGACGCAAGTGGTAGACTTTGTCAACCACACTGGCACGTGGCACGTACATGCCGATACTGGACTGGGTCACGTAAATTCAACAAAAGCAGCCACCAAAAAAATGGCAGGTACTGGATCCTAGGGGGCCGGAGGACTTAGATACGAAGTGTCTGTGTTCTTTCGAAGGCTAGGGCGGTAGGCATAAAACCCTAAATACTGAATCCTCTGCGGTGTTGGCAATATCAACCCACCACCCAATCCATCCTAGCTAGACGGGTAGATGAACCGGTGGCTAGGTATCCCGGAGCAAGAGTACCTCGAAAAAATCGACATTGACCCGCGCGTTCAAATCGACCGCCACGGGAGCGATCAGGACCGGTTTGGTTGGTTTTGCTCAAAAGCGCATCTTCAAATTCCATGTAAAGCTACGCCGATGAACCAAGACCCCTGATATCAAAAGCCTCCATCCCTGTGATCGTGTGTGCGATATGCCGTCGCAGATCCATGCAAGTTTTGAAGGGACAAACAGAAACGAGGGTGTCAACGCCAAGTCGCTTAGTCGAAGAGACCGAACCCCATGTCGTCGTCGGACTCCTCCTTCTCTGTAGCAGCTTGTTAGCACTACAACCGGCAACAGGGCAGCCTCGTCACCTCTAGATAGCGAGGGAAACTTACCCTCTACCTTCTCCTCGGCCTTGGTCTCCTCAACAACCGCAGCGCCGCCAGCAGCAGCAGCGCCCGCTGCAGGGGCAGAAGCGGCACCACCTCCGGAGCCGACGTTGGACAGGAGGTCCTTCACGTCCTTGCCCTCGAGAGCCTAAAACGTCCCGGTCAGTCAACCGATTCCCCAGAACGAGATGTCCAGCACCCCGTGTTGCCCGTCGGTCTTGGATATCGTACCTTGGCGAATAATGAGGCCCAGATCGGCTCGACATCGACGACGTTGGCGGCCTTGATGAGAGTGTTAATCTTATCGGCCTATTGGAGAGTAAGGTCAGTGTCCTGGATTCCTCGACGTGTTTCGATTGCACTGCTTTCAGCCCCTCGTGCGGCGGACGGTCGGCGCGGGGCCAAAAGCAGCAGCTTGCGAGTCGTTCCTTACCGTGATCTCAACGCGATCATCAGCGAGGATGAGCGCCGCGTAGGACGTTGCCAGCTCTGCGGTAGACATTGTGAGTGTGGTTTCCGAGGCCAAAAGTGCTGAGACACAAGGAACTTTTTTTGGTCGTGGGATGTCGAGACCGTAGAGCTAGAAATTGGCGACGAGGACGGGGAATTAATTAGTTGTGGGCATTCAAAAAAAGCAGAAAAGCGTGACCCTACTGTGGGCAGCTGTGTGTGGGCCGGCTGCCACCTGGCAGCCAATCGCTCCAGCTTTCGGGCCGGGATTGGATAAGGCGCCCGTGATGTGGGGGTGGCTAGCCCGATCGGAAGGAAGAAGCAATGATCCGCGCGTGGTCACTTTTAGTGGTGCAGCCGCCGAGACCCCACCCATTAGGATCCCTGGCCATGCCCACCCCACCTTGCCGACCTGCATTTACAATTCACCCCTCCACCGATCTTCGCAGGTAGACCTACTGGCTCTGACGTCGTCGGAGGTGAACGGAGCCGACCAGAAGTCAGTAAGCTCCCGTCCTCGCCGAACAGCACATCGGAACCCCGGAGAGAAACGGCGCGTAGAAAAAACACATCAATCAGCACCATTTCTGCTCAGCTGACCCCTCTACTCAGAGCCAAGAAAGCTCGGCACATCGATTAGTTCTTGGACTAGCGGTTGATCCCAGATAAGATAACGCCATCGTCTCCCGCGCGACCCTCTCTCGAAGGGAAGTCGCCCCATGTCTGACGACCTGACGGACTTGCCCACATAGAAATATTCGGTCTCGACTTGTCAGTGTTTTCTACCTGGACTAGGCTCCCAGGTTGCTAGGAAATATAATACCTACTCCATAGATACCCACTCGCTTACTGGATGCCAAGATGGAAACGCCAGCCATCCCAATGCCGAAAGATGAGCGGGAGCGACATATACTAGGCAAGTTGTCGCTGATTCGTGACCAGCTACTCCTCCTGAAGAGGGACCGGACAAATTACATCCGCAGCCAAGATGTCATGGTCCTGTACGAGCAAGTGGTGGAGCAGGTCAAGGAGCTGAACCAAATCCGGAAGCACGAAGAGGACAAGCGGGAGAATCGACGTAAGCTACGAGCGCATGCTTCTACACACTGAGACGTCGCCCGTGTGCAGATAGCTAACTGCCATTTTAGTCGATAGGGTTTTGGAGAGCTGCTTTCAACTTCTCTCGCTGTTCTTCATGACGATCGGCCGCACAACCGAGGCACCCGCCGCGTATGCCCTGACATCGACCATCAAGCGCCTAGTCGACCACCTGACCGAGGCCGGTCTGTTCTCAGCAAAGGACCTGGACAGTATATCCAACACTCTCGGCAATCTGTATGCCATCCTCAAGAACCCGAACTCGGCGCATTCCCCATACATGGTAGAGCTGCTGGCGAACCGCGTGGAGCTCTGCAAAACCTCGCTTGCCAATTTGCGGAAACGGCTACAGCAGTGGGACGAGCCTCTTCCGGCTATCCACGAGAAGCTGATTTCTATACTGCGGTCCATGTCGCTCGCAAGCACAAAGGCAAAGGTACTGCTTAGTCCCGGACGGGAGTCCACATTTCGCCTATAGTCGACCATGTGCTGACTCAGGTCCCAGTTCTCTACAACCGAAGTGCAGAAACTGCAAGCGCAGCTCCAGGAGATTGAGGCGTCTAGAGTCGGCGGCAAGTTTGTCAACTCGGAAGGCAAAGTTCCCAGTGGTAGCGACGAACTGTCGGATCTACTAAGCCGGTGCTTACGGTGGTCTGATATTGTACTCGAGAGGTATGCACGCATACCCCTTATCTCCCAACGACCCTATAACGTCCTGGAGATGGTCCGCTAACTCGATTTCCCCCTTATTCTGCAGACAAGGAGGGATCCCCGAGAACTTCCGTGCCAAATACGAGGTCCTGATAGGGATTCGCAACGACCTAGAGAAGCTGTCCCTCACGCAGGCGTGGTCCCTGCGCGAGACGGACCTGTACGACTTCCAGCGCGAGTTGGATAAGATTGACGAGAGCCGGGTAGACGGCAACTGGCTGGATGACGAAGGCCAACCAGCCGAGCTCTACGTCCAGCGCACCCTGCTGTACCTGATCCGCCGCAGCTACGGCTACATCTACTACCTCATGATCTCGTCGGAGCCCGTATCGGAGGCGCTGCTGCCGATTTATAACCAGCTCCAGACGCTGAAGCGGTGCCTGCTCGAGGTCAAAAACTCGGGGGGCGTGAGTACAGTGCGGGAGCTTTATCCCTATAGCATGAAGGTAATACGCCCATTGCCCCGCCTTTTTCTATTCTATTCATCACAATTATTCTTCTCGTGCTGTTACGTTACCATGCCACGACATTTTCCATTAGCCAAGCTAACCTCGCTGTCTTTACTCTCGTGTAGCTGCACTCGATCGATAACATGAGAGTCGACGGCAAGTTCATGGTAGGTAACGACATCCCCGAAGGCCAGGGAAGCGTTAGCGAGCTCTTGGCCGAGTGTTTCGATCTGAGCTACGAACTGCGCGTCGCCGTTGAGGAGCAACCTGCTGTGACAGCGGATGCGTAGGGGAACGAGCCTGGTGCATTTCCTCTAGGTCGTTTTACCCCTCGTCTCCACGCTATACTTGTTTCTTTTTTGTTGTCTATTCGTTGAAGCCCTCTAAAATCCCAAGGAAGAGTCGGAACTTTTACGGGTTATGCATGACTTACTCTCCCACGAAACTTGTGCTTGTTTGCGCGCCTGTGCTTTTCACTTTTTGAGGGCTTTATTCTTTTTGTTTGTTTTGCGAGGAGTTATCAAGTTCAGGATGGGCTCGACTCTTGGCTGTGGGGCGTGGTTATCCTATTCACTGTGGTATCGTATACTATGGGGTTCATGCTTGGTCAATGGGGGGTTTTTACTAAACAAGTGGATAAACCCAATGTTATTTTTTCGTGGCTTGTTTTTGGTCTTTGCTGTACATTGGTTCTTATTCCTTCAAGGGTTACTTGGGAAGGCTGGCTATACATGGAGGGACGTAAGAATGGGACAAAATGAAAGAATGAAAAGGAAAGGAAATGGCACGGGAGACGGGAGACGGGTTCTCAATAGCACCCTCCTCTGAGGTATAAAGGGGCCGGCTTCTTTTCTTGTTCTTCGCTTCCATTGCTTCAACTCACATATCATGACTACCTGTCTGTTTATATCGCTTGCTTGCTGCCCCTGCATACGTGCATATCTATCTACTGCGTAGCCGCCATTGCGTTCACCCCTTCGGTGATTGCAATCAACGTAGGATCAACACCATTTCACTTCTTTTCAACTAGGGTCCTGAATGCGGTGACTAGCGGCCACATCTGAGCCTGCGTCCGCGGGGTGCGTGATTCGATTCCCCATGTCAGTTGTGTTGCATCTGTGTTTGTTTCACTGAAGGAGGGCACATACCTTGGCGACATCCCACACGCCCGTCTGCGCGTAAATGTCCTTGTTGAGAGCCTCGAGGATGTCGTCCTTGCTCGCCGCCACGATGATTAGCGTGCTACCGCACATCTTGAGATTTGTCGGGTCGTCTTCGGAGGGGACTTCTTCGAGGATGGCGCCTTTTTTGATAAAGGAGAGGGGGGAGGGTTAGTATTGTTTATTTTATTTTATTTATTTTAGTTTCAGATGTATATAGGTAGCATGGTTCTTTGGCACAGACGGATGAATGGATGGATAACTGGAGGGATAGGAATGATGGGATGGAAGTTGGTAAGTGACATGGTAGGTAAGCATGTAAGATAGTGATGCACGTGGCGTGTGTGTGTGTGTGTGCATGTATGTATGTACATACGAGAGAGAGCGAGCGAGATAGAGCAGACCAAAACTCACCTCCCATCTTGAGCAGGCCCGACTCAACCGCCGGCTTGAGGCCGCCCAGATGCTGCCTGCGCCGCCACGAGTTGCAATTAGCTACTGCGGCTTTTCGCGCAACTATCAAGGTAAAGAGACGGAGCCAGAGCCACTTACGATCGGATCTCCTTCCGCTTCTCCAGCGCGCCGGGCGTGTCCGGGACGACGACGAGCCATTCGAACTTGCGCGCCGGGGCAGCAGCAGCAGCAGCAGCAGCAGCAACGGGATCGGCGGATGACGACATGGCTCTTCTTGTGCTATTTGCGAAGACGGAGTGTTTATGCAGGTGGAAGCTCTTCCTGGGCACAGCAGCAGCAGACGACGACGAGATGGAGCGGGGGACGAGGTTGAAGCTAGTGACGCTGGAGTTGGTGGAGAGTGGATGTCGTTGCAGCAATAACAGCACGCGGCGGGACGATGAGGAGAAGGCGGCCGAGGCGGAGAAGGAGGAGGCCATGAGCCGGCCCTTTTTATGAAGAAAAACCCCCGTCGCGTCAGAAAAAAACAGAAAGCGAATGAAATGATAACACTGTAATGGATGTACGAATACTCGGCTTTGCTGGCTGGCCGGCTACCCAAGGTCACAAGGTACGTGTGCGTGTGCGTGTGTGTACCGTACCTTGTCTGCGAACTAATCCGCCGGTACGAAAATCCGGCTAAGGTAGGTAAGGTGCTTGCAGTTTGCTGGTATTCTCGGCTCCTTTTTTGATTTATTATTAGTGAACGATGTTGGGGGAACACAAATACCTTGCCTACCCTACGGATACGGAGTACCTACAGTACATTACAGACACAATCGCACGCTTGCAGGCGACAGGAGTTTGATGATGATGAAGGGCGGGCGAGCGGGCAGGCGGGCGAGAAAGGGCCGGTCAGAAACCCCAACCCCCAAAACCCCTACCTTGGCCCGGCATTCGGGGTTTGTTTTCCTGCACGGTAAACTGCCGTCCACAATCCGCGGGGCCGAGCCAAGCCAAAGGCCAGGGAGCTCTGAATCAGCCTCCATTACATGCACGTATGTAAGTAGGCAGTAATTACACACTAGCCGAGGTAGTACTCGTTGCCGTGGCTGCTTGGAGATTTAGAGACAAATTGGTCGGAGATTCCTTGGGATTTGCCCGTCCTTGCTCACCGGTATCGCCGTCCGAGCAACTTCGCCGCTGGTGAAGTGTACGTTATACCCGGTTAGGTGATTCCCAAAGAGGGGTAAAGTCGACCATCATCCTGGCTTTGCTTCAGGCCAACAGGTGGAGTTGTCACGACTCCCGATTCCTTTCAACATATGCACGTAGGGGTGCGGATACGGAGCATCTAGTTTAGGTAAATAGTTCACCTAGACATCGCATAGAGTGGACGGCAAGGTGCAGAGAGGGTAGATGGTTCTTTTATTTGGCATCCCTTGATGCCCATCCGCTCGCGCAACGCAACGCAACGCGTATCGCCTCTCACAGCCGTACAAATGCTAGCCTCCAAAATTTAATTCACAACCAACACCGAGCTGGGCACAAGTCCGGCCTCCTTCAGGGTCTGGCCGAAATCAATACCGCTCTCAAACTTCTTCCTCGGGAAGGTCATGGTGAAGCTCGTGACCGGAGTCTGTGTCTCGGCCTCGACGTCGTGCGCAACCTCGAACAGCGTCGTCTCGGCCGGGTATGTCTTCAGGATGTTCCCTCCCGGCGTCTGGAGCCGGAGGCGAGCCTCGGTGTGCGCCGAAGCCGGCTTGGGCGTCGGAGGCGCCGCAACGACGGGCGAGGACTGCGCCGACACCCGTCCCTCTCGTGCCGCCTTGGCCTCCTCCTGGAGCCGCTTTCGCTCCGCCTTGTCCTCCTCGATCTTGGCCTTGATGCGCCTCTTCGCTTCCAGGTCAGCTTGCTTCTCCATGCGCTTCTTTGCGGCCTCCTTGATCTGCTCCTTGCGCGCGAGCTCCTCCTTCAGGTCCTGGGTTTCCTTGGTGGCTTTCTGGCGGATTTGCTATAGTAAACGTGAGCACTCGGGAGCAGGGAAACATCGGTCAAGTTATCACTTGGCCATACTTCGTTGCGCTTGTTCTCCTCCTTCTCCTGAGCAGCCTTGGCCTCCTTTCTCTCCGCCGCCTTCTGGCGGAGCTCCTCCAGCTTGGCCTTCTTCTCCTCCTCCGTCAGAGGTGCAATCTCATCTGTTGACTCGGAAAAGTCGGTGTGCTCGCTACAACGAAGATCAGCCATCGGCATTCATACAGATAAACCTCACGCTAGAACAAGAGCTGGGCAAGATTGACCACAGCGTCCTGCCAAAGACTGACGTTTTGGAGGCATGGAAAGAAGCCTGGGCATGAGTGCGGAACTTCTTGCCGCATTCGTTGCACGTGAGCGACTTGGCACTTTCTCCCTCCAGAGGAGCAATCGTGGGCCCTCCTCCCTCATCGTCGTCACCAGCAGCAGCAGCTGGCTCAGCCTGTAAGTCCTCAAGAGACTTGTCCTGGTTTTCCTCCAGCCAGTTCAGAGCTCCCTGTACTGCACGCCGTGTTAGCACCATGAGGGGTTCCTTGGCGTGGCGAGACAAGTGAACTCACGCCCTCCATTTTTCTTGACGGCGAGCTTGGCACGAGCCTCCTCGAATCCCATGTCAAGCAGGACCTCAAGATCTGTTTGCGCCATTTTAGTGATAGTCGAGCGGAATGGATATGGATGAGGTTTGGTGAGGTCTCGATGGATGATTAACTGATTGATGGATTCCTTAGTGAGGCGGGACGGCAGTGACTAGGCCACCCGAAAAGGGTAGGAGGGTCGGGTGAGTACCCGCGGGGGTGCGTCACGAGAAGGTATGTACCTAATGAGGAAAGTTTCTCGGCTCCTCTCTTAAAACGCTCCCTGAAAGTTAGTGATCGCTTAAGAAGACCTTAAATAAGAAACTGAAATCCTTTTAACAGTCCGAATTTACTGGCCGTTCCTGGAGGCTGCCTGATACACGTAGACTGCCGTCGACTGCCCAACAAAAGAGCGGTGCACGTCATTTGTAAGACGGCTATAACGAGTGCTGATTGGCTAGTTAAGTGGTCTCGTGTCCGGTCGGCGACTGGGCAGATACACTGCGCAGTTTGCTAAACTGACAGCCCATCTAAACCCAACCAAGCTATGCAGCCCAATCCCGAGCGGAATGTTGTTGGCGTGGTACCTCGGAAGAACAAAGATTATAGAAAATGAATTAGCTAGGGAAGCCTGATATTTGTACGAGAGAAATACACTTTTAGAATTTATATCAAGTCTCCAAGAGCTACCGCCTCCTTTTCAGAAAAGCTTCCTGGGTGAATTACAAGGCAATTATGCTTTTCTCTCTCAATATCCCGCGCTAACAAGCATCCATTTATTCCGTATGCCTCAAGAATATAACACACGCAAGTCCAGCTAACTTCCAGGGTTCCGAGGTCATTCACTGGACTTTCTAAGAACCGAAAAGTATCTTGAAGGTCTTGCAGGTAGTTCACAGATACAAGATAATAATTAACTCCTTTCTAAGAAGTGCCTCCAATCTACGGTTTTGTTGGTTTCGAAGTTCTTCCCCCAAATGCACAGCCGTATTAAATAAACTGTGCTAGATGTATCGGAGGCAGGTTCATCCGGATTGGTGCTCTTTTAGGCCCCTGGCGGCCTCGAGGTGCGGGAAGGAAGCTGTTATAGGGGCGATCAGCACGGACCCACGGGCCTAGGTTCACCTACGAGCCACGAGCCAGCCAGCAGCAGCCAGGTGCCAGTTGTTGGAAACTTGGCCGCTTTGCCGTCACTGCGCTGGATCATGTCGTAAGACCTCCTACCTCTAACCAACAGTCCAGTCGACTCCGAGTCCTTGCGCGCGCCCGGCTTTGCCTTGGATATTGCGAAAGATCGCTCTTCGCCTTGCCTAGAAGCACTGCTGCTTTAAAGCTTCGCTACCTCGGCTTTTGCATCTTGCGCTGCCTTGATTCGTAATCTCCCTAGGCTTGTTTGTTTGCGTGCGCAGCTTTGCAGCCACCCGCCCCGTTGTCGTCGCTCGCCATCGCGATCAGCAAACACCACTTCGACTTCGATCGAGTATCGCCAACCTCGTAACCGACCACCATCATGCCTATCGGGATCAGTCCTCCGGAGCTCAACTTCCACAGTATATTCCCCCCTCCCCCCATGCCTCGCGCGTCCGGTGTTCGGCAATGTCTGACAAATTCCAGGGCCCTTCACTGTGGAAGTTGCGCAGGTCCTCAAGATCAAGAACAACAACCAGGCGCCCATTGCGTTCAAGGTAAATCAATCCACCGACCCCTCACTACTTTCAAACTCTGGCTAACTTTGGCGCAGGTCAAAACGACAGCTCCCAAACAGTATGCGATTCCGAATGATGTGCCTCCCCCTCCCCCGTTGCGAGCTTAATTTTTCTAACACGTGTAGGTACTGCGTTCGACCAAACTCAGGCCGCATCGAGCCGGGCCACGAGGTTGAAGTTTCGGGTTAGTCCTCACAGCCCTGTTTGGTACCTAGAAGTGGCCGCTGACTTTCTTGAAGTACTCCTACAGGCTATGAAGCAGGAGCCGCCCCTTGAAGCACGCTGCCGCGACAAGTTCCTCGTCCAGTCTGTAGAGATTACCGGCGACAAGGAGTTTACAAATGTAGCGCAAATTGTAGGTGCCGGGGGATCTGTCTACAGCGAAGCTATGCTGACCAAATTTGTACAGTGGGAGTCGGTGGACAAGGCGGCCATCCAGGAGAAGAAAATACGTGTGTCCTGGCTCCTGCCTTTAGACGGTTCGCATGGACAGCAGCCCGAGAGCGTCAGCACGCCGGTCCGCTATCCGCATTCAAATGGGGTTTGTCACCACTCGAGTCCCCGGGGTTTCAGTGGACTGGAAACTAACCCACGTGTCACTAGGTCGAGGCAACTCCCGATGTTGCACCTCCGGCGTACTCGTCTCCCAGCGAAGGCAACGTCATTGCCAGCAGCGTGGCGATCTCAGAAATGGATACCCATGATGCCGACGAGTCCCCTGAACCTACACAGGCTACCTTCTCGGCGCCTACCGTGGCTGCCGTGAAAGCATCCGCCGTCGAAACTTACGAGGAGCTGAAGGATAAGTTATCCCAGGCCGAGTCAAAACTCGCCTCAATCACGAACGAGGCCACGAGCGGCTTGAGACAGCGACAGATGGCTGGCTCGGACGAGAAATCCGGGGGACAAGTCCAGGAGCAGGCACAGGCAGTAAGGCAAAGCACAGAAGGCGTGCCAGTTCAGATTGCGGCATTACTCTGTCTCATCAGCTTTCTCTTGGCTTACTTCCTGTTCTGAGCGGGTGAACCAACCCAGATTTCAAGCGACATAGATTATTCATGGAGCCCACTTAATACTGTTAGTGGATGGAGGCATGAGTGGTGACGAAGGCAACATCTGTTCACTGACTCGACAGGTCAGTTGTGTTGGTAGAGAGAGAGGTATCGGGGAGTGGTTGGTTTATGAATCTGAGGAGACCTAGTCAGGGTCATTCGTCTTGAATGAAGCACACTGGTTTTCGCTTGTAATGTGGTGCTTGCTGCCTTGGGCGAAGCAGTGAAGTTGAGGCAGGGTTTTCTTCTGTCTTGTATTTATATCTTTAACTCTATCCGGGTTAGTAGCATCACGAGGGTATTTTAACATTAACGAACATAAGATGAATGCCATGGGACTTTGTCCTCGCTTTCTTTCTTTGTTGGTCTATGCGCGGCGTGTTTGGATGGACTATGGCGGTGGAAACAAGGGAATATTCGAGAGTGGAAAGAGTGTCTTTGGTTGATCTGCGCTTGCCAGAAGACACGAGTATATGTGTGCGGAAGTGTGAAGGGGCCGCTTGGGCAGAGTGATGACAGCAAGTGTGTGCACGAGAGAGAATATATGTATATATGAGAAGCCGAGTCGTTCCTGCAAAACATAAGCTCGGTCCCCCCTTTGCAATATACACTCCCCAGTAGAGAAGGCCATGGATGCATACTACGTGCCCTATCTAAGTAGGTAGTCGAAGCCCAGGAAGAGATAAATACATGGTAACTTGGGCGCCCCCTTCCCGTATTCTACTACACACGGCTACTTGGTTACCCAGTTTCGTTGGTTGGCATGTCGATATCTCACCCAGACCTCGCAACAGTAATACCACAAAGTAAACTGCCACTCTCTCTCTCCGGTCACCACTCTTACGTAGTGAACAACACCCGATATTCACCGAGAGGAAGATATCAGGGAGGCAGGTGAGACAGCAGTCTGCCTTCCCCCTCGTTCCCAGTCCGGTCCACGTCCCACGGCAGCCAGCCAGCCAGCCAGAGAGCCAGCAAGAAGGCAGACATAGATTGCCCCCCGTTGAACGTTTCCCCGGTTTCACGTCATCTCGCACTGTATGCATCCCCGGTCTCACGGTCTCGCGCTTGATATTCGGTGAACAAGACGCTGGTAGCACGCTCATACTACCTACCCATGGATGTTGTCGGCGGAGATAGGTAGGTGCTATGCACCTTTTTGGGGCGCGGGGAGAAAATAACAAAAGTAAACCGGCTAGCACAGGTCTCTAATAAGTAAGTACTTCTAGATAATGGATATGCCTCTAGGATTCTGAAATAGGGATCCAAATAGCTGCTACCTCCCAGAGCTTCCAGTCCAACGGCCCTCTTTTATTCCATCCTTCGTTCTCCATCCCTTTTTTGAGATGGAGAGGGTTATATGGGACACTATTCCCGAAAAAAATACCTTCCCAGGTAATACCTAAGGTACTTAAGGGGGCCAGTGATACACGAATATGGTTCATCTGCACTTTTCCGTTAGAGGGAGTTTGATATTGTGCAACACTGTATGTACCTATTGTATTGTATGTACAACGACGTAAGGCTACCTCGGTGAAGTCTGGCACATGTTTCTTCTTATGCGGGCAACATAAAGGCAGACAAATTGCAAGACTGACAACGTCAACAGCGTTTTTCGTGATTGGTATGCTTTCCTCGTTCGCCACCCCGTACAGAATGATGCACCTGAAGGCGGCAAGAGTCCCTCGGCTGTGCTGCGAGGACACAAGGCTGTAATGTAGGCCATCGGGTGATTCGGTCTTCTAGAACCCATAGTGAGGCTCTCGACGGAAGGTACGAATACAGTCACATCTAGTCGGCATGGTATATTCTCCATAATACAAAAAGTGTTGCATTTTGGAATGAGTCACCAGAGCCTGGGTTACCCACTTACAGAGGTATCCGGCACTTGGGTTCCTCGACACTCTCTACAGGCCATGAATGCGGGAACTTGGTGGCATGCTCTCGATGCCCAAGTTGGGCTGCAAAGGAACCCCGAGCCTTCTGTATCGACGCACACGGAATTGATACAACCTGACGAGAAGCCTCAGAGGCGGAAATGGGGATAAATGAGGGACCAGTCTGACTTCGGCGCCAGTGGCGTTCGAGATGTGGTTGATGAATGTGGTTGAGCGCGGCTGGGTTCCATGCTCAGCCACAGGAGTGCGCGCGAATGAACGATTCTGAGACGGCCTTTGGTCGTTGGCCGTCTCCCAATATTCCCAGTGCCTTTGACTCACATGAGACAGGCCTGGTTCCGTTAAGAATCTACCATTCCCTTCCCCAGCATCGTTGAGTTTGGAGGGCTTCAACTCGCAGCCTGGTGATGAAATGATGCCGGCGATGGTGAATAAAAATGGTGATAATTGACCCCTAACTGAGGCCTTGGCACGCCAGCTTTTACCTCGCAGCAGGGGTCTTCCGTACGAAGGAAGCTTTATCAGCGGATTACCGAGGCCCTGCAGAAACGGAGCGGGGCAGCGATGACGATGTTGGGCCTTCGGCGGGGTAGACGTTTCTCCCGCATGTACGAAAGACCTGCAAGTCATTAGACGCCAAAGACAAGACAGGAATAACTGCCTACATGATCCGATGGGAGGCTACCCAAGATATGGGCCGTTGAGGTCGACGACGAAAAATTTACCGAACCTGAAGGCACAGGCGAGAGCCTAAAGATTCTTGCTTGTCAAGAAGGGAACATCGGGATTGTCACCGTCATCAGTAACCTGAGACCCCACCACACCATCTGCCTCGCCGTTGTGGCTCTTGACAGAGCGAAGCTCACTTATGACCCCTCATCACAAGGCTGCACGGATTTAAATTCCACGTCTAGATATACGGTCTACGGTCTTGGGCCCTACGGAACTGGGTTGTTAGGCGCGCGCACACGCAACGGGAGGCCACCTAGGCTCCTCACTCCCTTGTGCGGGTTCCGAAGCCGTGTGCCCACGAGACAGCTGGATGGCTTTCCAGGGCTCAGTCTGCTGGGCTGGGTCATCTGCCAAGCGGGTCTCCTGATGATCGAGGCCGCCGGCTCCTGATTAAATGTGTGCCCGGCTGCATAGGATTGGCAGCCTTTTGTCAATGTTTTGCCAGTGCGCTGTAAAGACAGCACAGTACTGTACCTGACTTCTTGAAGCTGGCCTCCCGTCGCTCTCGGCGGTAGACAACCTGGAACCTTGAAGGAAGCCGGTTGGTAAAGAGTGTCGACGCCGCACATTATCTGAAGGCGGCGTAGTGCTCACGGTTAGGTAGTCCGCAACCCGCACAACAGTAAGTACCCATTTCCCCAGGGTTCCTGGCAGGTCCCAGCCTCCCACCGCTATTTCTTTGGCATTCAACTGGGAAAGGCAATGGAACCAAGATAAGTTTGCAGTTTAACCGTTTGGTGAGCCCAACTAGCAGAAGCACACATGAAGATGCGCGGGTTTGGTCTGTTCTGCGTGCATATGCGTGGGAGTCTTTTGAAATCTGAATAGTAATCCTTACCTTGTACAAGTGCAAGCACAAATAGTTTCCCATGCACCTGCTCATAACAGGAAGTCACACACGGACCCGATAACACACCTCGCGGCCGGGTTTGGAGACCGCCTGCTGTCCGTCTGTCTCATGAGGGCAAGTTGGCACGAGCTTCTGGGGTTCGATTCGAGTCGTCTCCTATCGACCCCCAGATTATGGTATTGGATCATATGTAGAACTGCAGCAGGAGAAGCAGACGGCATGTTGTACACTGGCCACGGTTGCTGGCCAACGCCAACGCCAACGCCAAACCAGCTAGGAGTTACGGTTTGCGGAGTTGAACGGCGGGAGGTCCATGTGTTGCAGATGGAACCGAAGGCTTCGGCGGATTGCAAGGGGCCCTTGAACGCTCCGCCTCACCACTGCACTTGGGTTGGTTACCGCTAGCAGATGCAGGTCAGCACTGAACTGAGGAGGTCGTGGAAGGAACCTTGGTGCTTGCCTAGAACCTTGCGAGCAGGTTGCTAGCCCAAGGCAGGTGCAGAGAACGACGGCCGCGCCTTCCTCCACACCCCTCCTTCGCTCCGTTCTCACCACTGGCAGCCCGTCAGTCCCCACCCACTCATCCCATTAACCCCTCTGCCCCTCGTCCCTCCGCTCATATACCGGTTTCCAGCCTGTTCCTCCCACCCTCACCCCATTTTGCTGCTGGTTGGAACCTCGTCAGCGGCCATTGTTTCGCCTGTTTTGAGATACCCCATTGTGTTGTTGGTGGTTGCGAGGAAAAAAAGGAGTGTCTTTTCCCTTCATTTTTCTCGACCCTAACCTCACCTCACCTCAACCCTTGCTCCTCCCTACTCTTAGTTACCTTACCCTACCTTACCTAACCTAACCCTGCCTTGTCGAGTCGGACAGCGACACGGACAGCGCCCCCGCCCAACATGCCCGAGGTGTACCGCGAGTCCCGGTCCTACCGGGAGCGCGACACGTCGCCCTCAAGTGACGAGGGCTACAAGAAGACCACAGTGCGCCGCTACAAGGTCGGCGGCCCGAACCGCACTGAGCGTGCTGAGCGCGAGGTTGACGTCATCGAGGAGGACCGTCGCTCCCGCTACGCTCCCGCTGGCTTTGTGGCCGGCGCCGGCCGCAGCAGCCAAGCCGACCTCCTCGAAGTTGACCGTCGGACCGAGCGTCTGTACATTCCCGAGCGCCCCCGCTCGGCCTTTGACCCTTCACCGCGAAGTGCTACCTATGTTGAACGCCAAGTCATCGAGCGCGAGCGCGAGCCTAGGGACCGAGATGAGCATTACACCAAGGTCGATCGCGTCGAATATCGCGACGACAGGGCCCGAGGCGGCGCCGTCATCGAGCGCGAGCGCGAGAGGGTTGTAGAGCGCGACGATGATTACTATCAAGAGCGCGACCGCGACCACAACCGTGATCGCGACCGGTCGAGGGTCGTCTATGAGTCGACCAAGGAGGTCGAGCGCGAAGCTTTCTCTCCGCGGTCGCCCCGTGATTGGGACCGCCGCTCGTACTGGGATGACAAGGATGCCGATGTACGCATCGAAAAGAGAATCGAGCGCCGCGACGACGGTGAAATCAGGGTGGAGCGTCGCGTCGAAGAGCGCCGTGACGAAGGCCCTGCCGAGATCGAGCGCTGGCGCAAGGAGACCGAGTACTACGAGCCCGCCAGAGAATCGGCACCCATCGTGATTCGCCAACGCGCCCCCGAGCAGCAGAAGATCATCGTCCAGGAAGCCCCTGCTCCTCCGCCCCTCGTCATTCGGGAGCCGGCCGAGGTTCGCGAGGTTGCTGTTGCAAGCCGTCCGTCGCGTGATGAGGAGTACTATTACCACCGTGAGTCCCGCGAGGTTGGCCCTTACCGAGGAGAACGCCGCGAGGAAGAAGTCGCAATCGAGCGCTACGACGATGGCCGCCGGCATCATCACCACCACCATCGCCACGGCAGCGAGGGCGAGTCGGATGATGGCTACTATGTCAAGCGAACAGTCGTCCGGCGTGAGCGCAGCGAGTCGGGAAGCCCCCACCGGAAGCGCCACATAGCCGAAGGCGCCCTAGCTGGAGCTGGTCTGTCCGCGATCCTGGCATCCCGACGTAACAACCAGGGCGAGCTCCCAGAGCATCGTGGCCGCAAGGTTCTCGCGGGCGCTGCCATTGGAGCGCTCGGCACCGAGGTCGTCAGACGGGCACACAGCGCCTATCAAGAGCGCTATGGCGACGAAGAACGTGGCCGCTCTCGGTCGCGCTCTCGGCCGGCGCATTCCCGGATCAAGACCGGTCTAGGCATCGCGGCTGTGGCCCTGGCAGCTGCCGGCGCGGCCAAGTACTACCAGAGCCAGAAGATTGAGAAGGAGGAGCTGAGCCGCGGTCGTAGTCTTCATCGATACAGCGATGACGAAGGGTCTCGCAGCCCCAAGCGCTCAAAGAGCCGCGCCGCATCGATGGCCAAGGCTGCCGTCGGAACGGCGGCCCTGACTGGCCTGGTGCAGCACTACCGCCACAAGAGTAAATCGCGCGACGGCAAGGACCGGTCTCGCTCACGGCTGCGCACCGGCGCCGAGATTGTAGCGGCGGGCCTGGCAGGCGCCGGCGCCAAGAATCTATGGGACCGGCACAAGGAAAAGAAGGAGCGCGAGAAGGAGGGTGATCGGCGGGAACGCGATCTCAGCGACGCCGATGACTACGAGTCTGATTATCACGCCCCACGCAGCAGAAGTGGGAGCTTGTCTCGGTCCGGACCCACGCACCCTGTCGCTAACTCTTCAACCGCTGATCCTGAGTTAGGCATGGTTGAGTACGGGGCACAACCCCTGTACAGAGAAGCCCCTTACCCGACGCACACGGACAGGGACGGCGATGCAGGGTATAACTCGGCTGCCGACGAGGCGAGGAGGAGGAGTCGGCGCCGAAAGGGCAAGGACAATGCGAGATCGAGAGGCGACTACTCGGGCGACAGCGGCGTCGAAAGTGATCGTGAAAATAGGGTAGAAAAGAAACGTAGCGGGAGCAGGCTTAGGAACATGGCTGCTGGTGCCGCCGCCGCGGGTGCCGCAGCCTTTGGCTTGAAGAAGTATAGTGACAAGAAGGAAAAGGACAAGAAGGAGGAGAGGGACAAGGACCGTGACCGTAAGGATAAGCACCGTGAGAAAGACCGGGACAGGGACAGGGACAGGGACAGGGACAGAGATAGGGATAGAGATCGTGACCGCGATCTTGATCGGGATCGTGAACTGGAAAGGGAGAGAGAAAGGGAACTGGGGAGGGAACGGGACCGGCGCCGTGAGTAGCTCTCCCACGCCACCCATTGTGACGACTGCATGGTGTCGTTTGCTGACCGCCTGAACAGGCTTTGAGGGCGAGGCTTCAACAGACCCCGACGGCGGCTTGTACACGCCTCGGACGCCGTCGCCTCCTAACGCGTCCGGTGGCTACTTCTCGCCTCATATGCCTCCCTCAACCGGGTTTACCCAGCACCCCAATGTTGCTGCCACAAACATTGACCAGCAATATCGGCCATATCCCTACAACCCTCAAGACTATGCTGGGTATCCTCCGCCGCCACCGGGGCCGCCTCCCAACTCGGCCGCAACAACCGGCGGCGAGCCGCCAGGCGTGCCACTACCGCCGGGCCCACCGCCGCCGGGCGTGCCTCCAACATATAACGGACCTCCACCGCCGGGCGCGCCCCCAACGTATAACGGACCTCCACCGCCGGGCACAATATCACAAGGGATGCCGCCTCCGACAACTCCAACGGGTCCTGAACATGTGAGTGAAGCTTCTCATGTCGGTCCTTCAATTTCCCAGCCAGAAGCTGCCGCGCGCCCTGACGACGACAGCAAGAAGGGTGCGTCTGGCCTCGCTGCGCCCCCCTAAGTGATTCCCTATAGTTTTTGTGGCTTTTTCTGTGACTTAAGCTGACATGGATCCTAGATGGTGTAACTCCATCATCCCCCCGTGGCCGGTCTACAACGTCTACCGCCGACCAACCACCAGACACTCCTCGCGGACGGTCTGTCGTGTTCATCCCCTTGTCTCCCAAATCTTTCACAACTCTTCGGCGCCATCGCGAAGAGCAAGAGGCAGCCAGGTCCGGAAACGAGGACGAACCTGATGACAATGACGACGGAAGCAGCGACGACAACGGCCCGCCTCGTGACCGTGGTAAGGGTGTTGCCCATGGCGCGAGAATCGACAGCCCTCGTCGCGAAGCTAGCCGCACCGCTACCGCGGACGAAAGTGCACCTCGGCGCCGCCGGAATTCTGAGCCCCCCTCTAGTTCTAGACGACCGCCCCCACCAGCCTCGAGCCGTGCCCGTGACAAAGACAGTCTAGACACAGACAACGAAAGCGTCGTAGAAAATCTGCCAGACCGTTTTGACTCGCAAGGACAGCCTATAGCCGGGGGGCGCGGTCCAGTACACAGCCGACGAGGTGACTTTGAGTACCGAAGCCCCCGAGGCAGTAACGGAACCAGCTTACATGGCGAGTGGGGCGTATCTGGGACAGATCACGAGGCGGTGGACCGCATCGTTAGAAACGTGACGGGCGTGCTGGAAGGGCGTAGTGGCTGGCTGGGACTGATCGGCGGCATCTTGAGCGGCACCCTTTTGCAACCCGGAGCAGGGGCGGAAGAAGAGGGTCAGGGAAGGATTTCTGATCAGGGACGCGGGGGCGACAGGGATCGCGACGATGACAGGAGGCGCAGGGGTGGCGAGGACGAAAGCGACGACACTAGGAGCCGGCGACGTAAAGGCGAAGATGACGAAAAAACTCACCGCAGCCATCGTAGTAGTCGTCATCGCAGAGAAGATGGCGATGACGAAGATGACTATGACCAGCGCAAGAGTTCAAGTCGACGTCGCCGGGACGATGAAGACGACGACAGACGCAGCAGCACTGGCCGGCGGCGCAGAGATGATGACTCTGATTCTGATGTGCGTGAAAGCACGAGTAGGCGACGTCGCAAAGACGACGAAGGAGGTAGGGACAGGGACAGAGACAGAGACAGAGATAGGGACAGAGGTTGGGACAGAGATCGGGATAGGGATAAGGATAGGGACAAGAGTAGGAATAGGGATAAGGATAGGGACAGGGAAAGGGCCAGGGACAGGAGCAAAGATCGGGATAGTAAAAGCGACAGGGACAAGGACAGCGATCGGGAAAGAGACGAGGAACGGGGCAAGAGCAGCCGCCATCGCAGAGACGACGAGCGCGGCGAGAGCAGCAGGCCCCCGGAAACCAAACGGGCCCGCGCTCGCGACCGTGACGACGACTCGCAAGACGACGACTACTACGATGACCGGAAACGCAGGCGCCGCGAGACGGAGCATCGCAGGCGCGACAGGGACAGAGACAGCGACTAGTGAAAGTAGTAGCGGCTGGCGGTACTGGTACATGATGCCATGTCTACGACTTTATGATTTGATATTGTTTTATTTTTCGTTTTATTTGCTGTTCTTTTTCATGCCTTGATTTTTTGGTTTGATATGCGTCGGATTGCTTCTTTATCCCTTGGTCCCTTTGGAGCTATATATGACCTTGTATGGTTCTTTTTACATGCGCAACTTTTTATGTCGAGAGTGTCGGTCTGCTTAGTTGGATAATGTTTCTTTCTTTTCATGAGTGTTACGAATACAGCGATGATATATAACCATTTCCTTTGAAATATCAAACAAATAAAGGGTGTCGTCGCGCTTCTCTTCCCTATTTGCTCGATGCCGTTTACGCCCAGCAGCATTTATATTTTTATTGAAAAAGGGGGGCTGTCTAGTCTTCGGGCGCCCCCTTTCCCTCTCCCGTTAATGCCAACTCAGTCCTGACACCCTGAACCTCCACCACACACAGGGTATATATATGTAGGGGGAAAAAAAGAAAGAACTCCTCCCCCCCGGGAGACTATGGGCCACCACGGGAGGACTACTAAAATACGAAATAAATATAAATGAAAAAAAAAAAAAAAAAGAAATCCGTCACCTGCGCCCCCGAAGGGACTCCCTTGTTTGCGCTCAGTACCCAGAGGTCTGTAGCAGGGGAGCGCGTTAGGCTACTTCACTAAAGTGACTTTTTTGCTGCACTATATCTAGGTAATTACAAGATATGATGCCCCTTTCTCTGCTTCGTAGTATGGATGCTTTCTGCATATATGTATTTATGCATATATGGATGTATACTTTCCTTCGTCTACTCTAGGAGTGACCAAAGTGAAATGTTGCATGATCGATTTGCAGTTCTACAACCTCCCTTGTGTGCGTTTGTTTGTTTGCCTCCTGAAAGTTGGAAAAGCACCTTGATTTCTAGGAGTTTGGCACGGTTCAAGTCTTCGCGGATTCAACATCTCTTTAATCTGCGACAAAACAGCTCGCAGCTCAGCAACGCAGAGGTCAGGGGATGTAGTGCACGCATTGGTTTGAGCATATATGATACCGTTGCCGCCTAGCTTGTTTTACAAACCCGGACCGCGCCCCGTCTCTAGATGGAAAATCTAAATTGCGACCTAAAATTTAACGATATAAGCAAAAAAAAAAGACAAGTGAATTATCATTCGTCCGTCCGTCGGCGTGTCTATAACTCCTCGTGCGCGTGTGCGTCAGCCTGCCTCATGGGCTCGTCGGGCCTCCCGCTGTCCTTGTGCAGGTCGACGCCGAGCTTGCCGCGCCACTTTTGCCACACGGCCCAGAACTCCTTCTCCATGCCGCTCTCGAGTTGGTCGGGCAGCACGACGACGTACTCGACGAGCAGGTTCCCGTGCTCCATCCTGTGGTAGACGTCGTCGACGTCCTCGTGCCACCTGGGCATGCCCTCGCCGGCGACCGTCTCGACGTGGCCGGGCTGGACGACCTCGCCGCGTTTCCGGCCCAGGCGCACAACGTGGCCGTCGAGGTGCGTCAGATTGCGCGACCAGTCGCCCATCCAGGCCTCGCGCAGCGACAGGACCTCCCTCCAGAGCAGGTCGTTGCCCCTGCGGCGGAAGAAGACGCCGTCGACGTGGTCCGGGTTGTCCTGCTCCAAGTCCGGTTCCTTCTCGACCAGGGTCACAAACAAGTCGCCGGCCACGTAGTCGGGACTGGCGTCGGCCTCGTTCTCGTACTGGATCTTCGCGCCGTTGGCCATGCCCTTCTGGACCTTGAGCGACACGGTGGCGGGCTTGCGCAGGACGCGGTCGCCGCCGCAGGCGGAGCACTTGTGCTTGATGGTCTTGCCGCGGCCGCCGCACTGGTCGCACTGCATCTGGACCTGCTGGAACATGCCGGGCGCCAGCTGGTGGCGGACCATCTTGACGCCATGGCCGTTGCAGGTGCGGCACGTGTCGACCACGCGGTCCGACGCGCCGGTGCCCTCGCACTCTTCGCAGATCTGCTGCTTGTCCCACTGGAACTCGGTGTCGCGGCCCTCGTAGAAGTCGCGCAGGGCGATGCCGACCTTGACCTCGATGTTGGGCCCGCGCCGCTGGCCGGGCTGGTTGCCAAAGTGGCCGCCGCCACCGAAGAAGCGGCTGAACAGGTCAAAGGGGTCGTGGCCGTGGCCGCCGCCTCCCTGCTGGCGCTGCTTCAAGCCCTCGTGGCCATACTGGTCGTAGATCTGCCGGCTCTCCTTGTCTATCAAGGCCTCGTACGCCTGCGACACCTCGACAAACTTATCGTGTGCCGTCTCATCGCCCCTGGGTGTGATGGCGCATGCCGAGTCAGCAAGTATGCGGCGAGGGTTGGTATGAGAGCCGAAAGGGGAAAGGGGGATTGACTCACGGGTTTTTGTCAGGGTGATATTTCTTGCTTAATTGCCTGTAGGCTGACTTGATCTCTTTGTCTGAGGCCTGCCTGTCGAGGCCGAGAATCTGCGAGAGCCCGAGCGAGCATATTAGGAGCCTGTCGCAAGTCGCAGCCTGCTGATTGCTGATGGGAAAGGGAAGCGCGCACCTTGTAAAAGTCCTCCTGACAAAGGACAAGCTGCGCCAGCACCACTAGCAGCAGCAAGGCCGCCGAGTGTAGCAGCATGGTGCGCCCGCCGCCGAACTTTGGGCCAAAGGGGCCAGACTGTCCACTTTTTTGCTTTGCGCCCTTCGATAGTCGATTGATTGATTGCGCCCGGGATAAGGGGTACACCGAATGAAGCAGAGATAAAAGTCTACAAACAAACGAACGACCTAGTAAAAGACTAGGTAGCGTCCGTCGTATGTGCTCTGGCCGTAGTTAAGATATACGGCGTCTTGAACCTCAAGGCGAGAGGAAGGGAGTTGGGGGGGGGGGGGGGTGTTGGGGTGTTACTTTGTACTGTGAGCTTCACTTATACCAAAAAGTCCAAAGTAAGTAGCAGCCAGCGTGGTCAAACCAAAAGGCGGGTCCGCCACGCGACGCTTGACGGATTTCGACAAAGCTACGCTCCTACAAAGCCGGAAGCATCATTGGCTGTCGGACAGGCTACCGGGCCCTTGGGCCAATCGGAGACTCCAAACGCCGCTGCGGCTGACATAATAAATATCAAGCTTCAATTGATGGGAACAGGGGGGAATAATCCCGGCTAGCTTATACATGTCGATAAGATAGGGATTTCCAAAAGCGGTGGATCTTGACTTGCATCGCATCGTGACCACGGTTACAGTCGATCGGCAGGCAGAAAACGCAGCGCCGTGGTGTACAACAACAACATCCTCAGGAGACAATAGAAACTGTTGAAAAAGGGAAAGAATTGCGGAACAACCGCACTCGGCGGCCCGCTAGGGTCTTCTCTTCATTCGAAGATGGCGTCCAAACGGTATGCGTTTGTGCCTATGGACGACGACGACGCCTTAGCGCCTGCAACAGTCGATAGACGCGATCGCAAAGACCGAAAAGACCGAAAAGACAAAAAAGACAAAAAAGAGCGGAAGCACGACAGATCGCCCCGCGACCGCTCTCTGTCTCCGCGACGCCACAAGTCCAGGCGCCACGACGACGAAGCCAACGTACCCCGACGCCGGTCAAAGTCGAAGTCAAGATCCAGGTCCCCGCGCCGCCCCGCCGGCAGCAAAAGCGACAGCAAAAAAGACGCCGAGAGCTCGAGGCCAAGTCGCAGCAGTGGTAGTGGTGGCGGCCACGATTCCCAGCGCGAAGACCCTAAAATGACAGACCTACGTCTCAAGTCTCGGCAGGACTACCTAGCTAAACGAGAGTCGGAGAAGCTCGCCCTGTTGCGGAAACAGGTAGCAGAGGAGACGGCTGAGCTGAAATCGGGCGTGCGGCTGTCGGAGAGGGAAAAGGCCGAGTTCGCCAAGAACCGCGAGATCCTGCGGCTGGCCGAGGAGAGGGCGCGCATTGACGACTACCAGGACGGCTACCGCCTGCCCGACCAGTACGGCGCCGACAGCAAGAAGAAGGAAAACGCCCTCTACATGCGCCACGTCGAGCGCGACGAGTTCGGTAACGAGAAGCTCGTGACCGAGTACGAAGAGTGGGAGCGCGAGCAGACAGTCAAGGCCAAGTCGCAGATCCAGAGCCGCGAGCGCGAAGACGGCGGCGAGTACGACTTCCTGCTCGACGAGGACGCCATCACCTTTGTGCGCGACGCCGCCAACAGGCAGGCCCAGCCCAGTGATGGCATGACGCAGGAGCAGAGGATCTTGGCTGCACGCATCGACGAGGCCGAAAGGGCGGCCAGAAGCATCCAAGACGTGCGCAAGAGCCTGCCCGTCTATGCCTATCGCGGCGCCTTTCTAGACGCCATCAAGGAGTTCCAGGTCCTCATCCTGGTGGGCGAGACGGGCTCGGGAAAGACGACGCAGATCCCACAGTACCTGCACGAGGCCGGCTTCACCGACGGCGGCCAAAAGATTGCATGCACCCAGCCGCGTCGAGTCGCTGCCATGAGCGTCGCCGCCCGTGTCGCCGACGAGATGGGCGTCAAGGTCGGGCACGAGGTCGGGTACTCGATCCGCTTCGAAGACTGTACTAACGACAAGACCATCCTCAAGTACATGACCGACGGCATGCTGCTCAGGGAGATGGTCGCGTCCCCGACACTGGATGGCTACTCGGCCATCATGATCGACGAGGCCCACGAGAGAACCGTCCATACCGACATCCTCCTGGCACTGATCAAGGATCTCACGCGCGCCCGGCCAGAGCTGAAGCTAATCATCTCTTCTGCAACCCTCAACGCCGAAAAGTTCAGCAGCTACTTTGACGACGCCCCCATCTTCAACGTGCCCGGCCGCGTGCATCCCGTCGACGTATACTACAGCCAGAACCCAGAGGCCAACTATCTCGAGGCCGCCCTGGTCACCGTCTTCCAGATACACGCGTCCCAGCCAGAGGGCGGCATCTTGGTCTTTCTGACTGGCCAGGAAGAAATCGACCGGGCCTGTGAGCGCGTCGAGGAGATCAAGCGCAAGCTGGGGAGCCGAGTCCCCGAGATCGTCGCGCTCCCCATCTACGCCAACATGCCGTCGGAGCTGCAGGCCAAAATCTTTGAACCCACACCGCCCAAGGCGCGCAAGGTCGTCTTTTCAACAAACATTGCAGAAACGTCCCTTACCATCGACGGCATAGTCTACGTCATAGACTGCGGCTACGTCAAAGAAAACACATTCTCTCCGGTGGGGACGACGGGCCAGTCGACGCTCGCCGTCGTGCCATGCTCGAGGGCAGCAGCAAACCAGCGTATGGGCCGCGCCGGTCGTGTACGGCCGGGCAAGTGCTTCCGCCTCTACACCAAGCATGCCTACCTGTCCGAGATGGACGAGTCGCCGACGCCCGAAATCCAGCGGACGTCTCTGTCGAGCGTAGTGCTGCAGCTCAAGGCGCTCGGGATCGACGACCTCCTCGGGTTCGACTTCCTCGACCCGCCGCCGACGGAGCTGCTGATCAAGTCGCTCAACATGCTCTACGCGCTCGGAGCGCTCAACAGCGCCGGGGCGCTGACGCGGGTGGGGCGGCAGATGGGGGAGTTCCCGGCGGAGCCCATGCTGGCCAAGGCGCTGATCGCGGGGATGCAGGAGGGGTGCGTGGAGGAGGTGCTGACGATTGTGTCGACGCTCGGCGAGATGGCGACGCTCTTCTTCCGGCCCAAGGACAAGAAGGTGCACGCGGATAGCGCGCGGGCGCGGTTCACGGTCAAGGAGGGCGGCGACCACCTGACGCTGCTCAACGTATACAACCAGTGGGTCGAGTCGGACTACTCGCCCATCTGGGCCAAGGAGAACTTTTTGACGCAGCGGTCGCTGACGCGGGCGCGGGACGTGCGCGACCAGCTCGCCAAGCTATGCGAGCGCGTGCTCGACGGCGACCTGGGATCATGCGGCGGCGTGTCCAACATCCAGCCGGTGCTGCGGGCGCTGACGTCGGCCTTCTTCCTCAACGCGGCGCGCCTCAACCGCGGCGGCGACGGCTACCGCACGCTCAAGACGGCCATGACCGTCTACGTCCACCCCAGCAGCGTCATCAAGTCTATCGACCCGCCGCCAAAAGTCATCATCTACCACGAGCTCGTCGTCACGTCGCGCGAGTACGTGCGCTCCGTCATCCCCATCGAGGCCAAGTGGCTGTCCGAGTTCGGCGCCCACTACTACGACAAGAAGGACGTCGAGGCCCTCGAGGCAAAGAAGCTGCCAAAGGAGAGGAAATACTGAGGCGGCTTAAGCGAAGCGGTAATGACTGTTATGTTTGATAAATAAAAAGAAATGTGTACTGTATATACGTTGTGGCATCTAGATATGCGGGTTATCGTTATTCTCGAGGTCCTGAGAAGTGGCCGTTCTACATTGGTCTTTGGTTATGGGAGCATATATTCGCTACATCACTGGTGGTGGTGGCGGTGGTGGTAGGGTGGCGAGTCGAATCAAGGAAACTCTGGACTCGCACTGAACATTACCGTATCGTCATTAAGGGGCCCGTTGAAGCTCGAGCTAGAGCATTGAGAATGAATAGGTATGTATAGGGTTAGGGTTTAATATGTACCGCGCTAACCTTGCCTTGGTTACAAGCTTGCCCCACCTCCAATACCTACCATGCCACTGACACGCCCCAGAAGCTCTTCTATATACTTCCGCCTCGCGAACAAGGCTGAGACCAAACTTAAGCGAGACGGATTGAAGCATGAACCCTTTTCTACGTTTCTTTCTCTAATCGCACAGAGTTGACTCCCCAGACACCCGGTGCTCTCTTTCCAGCAACAGCGAGCAATTCGCACCACCGTCGCCATGTCAGGGCCGCCTCCCCCGCCGCCACTGCGCGGGTCCATGTCGCTGTACGCGAACCTGCTCGACCCCAGCAGTGATAGCGCCGCCTCGATATCGCGAGATCCCAAGCAGAGCGCTGATGGCAGCACCAACGCTCCCCCAGCAAAGAAGCCCATAGATCCAGGTGTGTGCCATGCCTCTCATTTTTCCGCTTTCCACTTCAATGGAACAACAAAAGCTAACACTTTCTAGCCCTCCTCCTCCAGCCCATTATTCGACCCCAAGCCAAGCAGACAGGCAACAAAATCAAAATCGGATTGCTTCCCAAGACGCTCATCCCTACTGCGGCTGCGGCCCCCGCTGTCTCTGCCGCCTCTGCGTCTAGTGGCACGACTGCCGCCGGCAGCAACACAACTGCCGCGCCGTCGCAACGGACCCTAGCCGACTGGACGGCCACAGAGAACGACGATTCCTTCTACGCAGCGGCAGCGGCCGAGGAGAAGCGCGCACGCGGTGGCCGCCGCAAGAAGAAGAAGAAGTTGGACGAGAACGGCTCGGCCGAGACCAACTGGGATGATATATACGACCCCGCGCGGCCCACTAACATGGAGCAGTACCTGCGCAGCGACGAGCGCATCCGCGAGGTCCAGGACTGGAAGAAAGTCCTGTATGCCCACCGCCGGCGCGAGCGGCGCTCGGCGAGCTACAGCAGCGAGATGAACAGCGACGATGAGGAAGACGCTGGTCATCGAGGGCGGCAGTTGGAAAGTAAGTTGACGTCCGTCGTTCCTCTGCTGTTTTTTCTATTGCTAACCTAGCCCCTTTTTCCCACCGTCAAAGATCAGTTTGCTCCTCCAGTATCTCTGACTTTCGCGCCCCCGCCGCTCTCTCCACCTCGCCGGCCGTCGCCAGCACTAGTGGCGAAAGCTATGCTCGAAGATGCCACTGGCGACGACGCATATGCCCGTCGCCTAGCGTTGTCGGGCATGGCAAAGCCACTCGGCCCCCCAGCAGTCAGCCAGCCACCGGCACCTGTCGATGCGGCGACAATCTCACGAGCACCCGTCCGGTACCAAGTCCCTGCAGGGCCACAGCCCCCCAGTGACGACGATGCCATGGACCTTGATGATGATGATGATGATGAAGTAAACTACAATGCCATACCGCCACCTCCACCGCCACCTCCACCGCCAGCGCGCCGTGGCTCAGATAGTGGCAACAGTGCAGAGAGGGATGGCGATGCACAGCCGGCCCGTTCCAGCCGGCCCGGCCAGGCCGGCTTCGCCAAGCGGTTCATGGTGAAGTACGGCTGGAAAGATGGGTTGGGGCTAGGCGCCGACGAAGGCGGCATGACATCGGCGCTGCGGGTGCAGGTTGAGAAGCAGAAGAGGCGGCCCGACTCCGAGGGCGGAGGGTTCGTGGGGCCCGGCGGGCGGGGCAAGATTATCGCGGCGAAGAACGCGCAGCCCAAGAAGAAAGACGAGGATACCGCGTTCGGCAAGACGAGCCAGGTCATCGTGCTCCGGAACATGCTCGAAGGCATGCCCGACCTCGCCCACGAGATCGAGGCCGGCCTCGGCCAGGAGATTGGCGAGGAGTGCGGCGAGAAGTACGGCCGCGTCGAGCGCCTGTTCATCGACCGGGCCGACAGGCAGGTCTTCATCAAGTTCACCGACCAGGTCTCGGCCCTGCGCGCCGTCAACGCCCTGCAGGGCCGCATCTTCAACGGCAACGCTATCGTGGCCAAGTTCTTCGACGCCGACAGCTTCGAGAACGGCGTCTACAAGTAGTACGTGCAAGGCGTTGATTATTATAGTATAAAAATAAAAATAAAACAATATGATAAACTGGTAAAGGCGTCACCCGCCTCTTGTAGGGTCTAGGGTACTCACTTTTCTAATCTTGTCCCTCTTCCTTGCCCCGTTAAATTGTGAATTCAAACCCAAGAGCTGGAAATCGCCAGTCTTCTCACAGTATAGAGGTGTTTGTCTGCTTCCCTCAATGCTGCATTCCAGTTCTGTTGTTTATCTCGAGTACTAACCCACTGGAGAGGTAGGGGGGCACGGCCAAGACGCCTGCAGAGATAACTATCTTGATCACAAGGACGTTCATCGAGAGACTATCTCACCCAGCTACTCCTACTGCCATCATATTCCATACCATACCATGCCATATGGCAAAGTTGAGTTTACATGTTTTCTTCGAAATGGAATCCACCTCCCGTGTTTATTCCTGTTATAGGAAGGTGAGGTACGAAGTACACATCCGTAGCTCCGGGTACATGTTTTGTGCAGTCAGCAACGCCGAGAGCAGAGCAAACGCTTGAATTGGCTTTGCCTTCCTGTCTATTGGGCAGGTCTGGCTAGACAATAGACTTTTGGATAAGATAATAGATGATGGTTATAAACGCGCGGTATGAGCCCAACCTCTGAGAAAATAGATAAGCAGTCTAACCACACAGCATTGTCATTAGGGAGGTTATTTTCATCTTTCTGTCTTCAACACTCGCTGGGGGACCTCATTCATAGTGGGTTCAAAGCACAGTATAATATAGCTTGGTACTCGCGGCCATAGAGGCCAGCCATATGAAACTGACACTGTTGACGGGGCACATTGTATACACTCATAGCAGCTTACCCTGGTCAAGAAGCGAGAATTCAAGGAAGCCGACGCAACTAGGTTAGCAACATACGGAGAGAGAATATCCGTACACGACCCAAGTCATTCACAAATCGACTCAAGGCACCAGATAGAATAATTGCGAGGTTTCTCATATAACCTTAAACTTAGAAGAAACAAAAAGGAAAATGTTACAAACGAAAAACGACGCGCTATGTAACACAAACCAAGGGGGCTGCTCAAAGCCCGCCTCCCTCTCCATGCCACCATTAATTAAAAGTAGTTCAACGACTGTTCCCGCCCATCACGCAACGTCCAAAAAGAAGCCCCCTGTCCAAATATCAAGTTGACCAGACTCCGCTCTTCCCTCTTCAGGCCCCCAACCAGGGAGAGACTGATATTAAATAGTCGTTGCACACCGCACCAGCCCGCCTCGACATGCCACAGCCACGATACAGCCGGTAAGGCTTATTCCTTACATCAGTCCGCCCGCGTTGTCCCGTGGTCTTGTCCAACCTTTCCCAAACAGGTGGTGCGTGCATCACGAAAAAGAGTGGCAAGCCAAGGGAGATGAGGTCTTCTGAAAACAGCATTGGGTAAAGAGTTATTAAGTCTAGCGGTCCCCTGTAGGAAGTATGGGTGTCCATATGGTTTTCGGCCTGCGGCCGCAAATAAACGGAACATCAACTCCGTCGGTTCATCGTGATAAAGAGAAGAGGGAATGGATGAGATCGAGCCCTGGACTTGGTCGTCTCTATGCAGTGACCAACAGAGTATCGACTCGCGGTTCTTATCCCGCTAAGCATCAACGTCGCGACACATCGACTTTCCTCCTTACAATGCCTGGAAGGCGACCAGAGCAGCCAGAACAAGGGCAGCCGTAGTCCCGGTAAGACGGGCAGCGCTGTTCTTGTTGGTGTCGCTACCGTTACCGTTTCCACTGCCGCTGTTAGAGCCACTGCCAGATCCACCGGTGGTGCTGCTAGTATCCGAGTTGGCATCGGCATTGTCGCTGGTGCACGAGTATTTGCCCTGGATGTCGTTGTTGCCACCCTGGGTGGTAGGAGCCTGCTTCGCAAAGTTCTTGCAGGTGTCGTCGATGTTGGCAGTACTGGAAATGTCAAAAGCACCCTTGACAACGTCCAGGCTAGGGAACTCGACGCTAAGTGATTCAATGTTAGCGAGGAGACGTAATATATATAGAATAATGCGACCTACGTTGTGAAGTTGCCCCTCATCTTCACCGCACCGTTGATGTTGGCCAGCTGCGGGAAGCCATTAACCTTTCCGAGGGCGGTGTTGTTGGCAATCAAGAGGGCACCACCGATGCTTGTCAGCTGGGGCAAGGTGATGTTCTTGAGCTTGGCGTTGCCAACGAACGAGATGTCATTGGTCGTGGTCTGCGTGAGGTTGGGAGCACTGAACGTCTCGAAGTAGTTGGAATCAAAGCGGGCGGAGCTGTTGACAACCTTCAGAGCCGAGACCGAGAAGCTGGTCACGTTGGAAATTTGCATGTTGGCAATCCAGATCAGCTTGTCCAACGCGACGGCCAGCTCGAGACCGTTCGCATTGATAGTGAGAGTGTTACTGAGGTTGGCGAGGGACGAAACGAACGACGTAAGGCGCTTGTTGTTGTTGATGTCCAGGGAGGCGACGCTAGTGAGGTCGATGCCATCCAGGCTTCGCAAGAATGTGTCGCTGATCGTAACATTTACGGCCTGGGTCAACGCGATTTTCAGCGTATCCAGGTTGTTCAGCGACTGCCAGTTGAGAGACTGGACGCTTCCGAGCTTAGGGAACGCCAGTGTGCCGAGCTTGGTGACGTTTCGAGCTAGGAAGGTGCCGCCAATCTTGGTCAAATCGTTGGCAGTGAGCGAACCGATACCGCCATTGTTAATGATGGTGAGGTCGCCCGTGATTTCCGAAGGACCAGAGATATCAATGTCGGGGCCAGCACCGGGTGCGATGACGACGGATCCCTTAATGCTTCTGCAGCTAGCAAGCTGGGTAGCCTCGGCCTGGCTGTTGATGGTTGCCGTGGTAGTGCATACACCGGATTGGGCTAAAGGTCATCGATGTCAGTCCAAATGATCCGAGCAGGACCACAAGCCAAGGATTAACTGCGTGAAACACTCACCGGCGACTGAGCCGACCGCTGCAAGGGTCGGGAGCAGATACTTGACAAGCATGGTGACGGGAGCTGTCGAGTTGACCTGGAAGCAATGTTAACGGCTAAGTCTTTTGCGACCTAAGCGGGAGCCGGGCAGCGAAAGGCGGGCCGGCTGTTCGTGAAGGATGAATAAAATTGGCGGACGGGCAGTGATATGGCAATGGAAACTCGAATGAAGTGATATTTCTACAAGTCGGGGGTTTGTCGTGGCCAAAAGCCGGTCCAAAAATTGATGATGGTTCGAGTTTGTGTTGACAGGTTACCGACAACCGGATTCCCAAGATGTCAAACACCAAAAACGGCTGATGTATTGCCCGCCTTTGCTTGTCTCGGGTCCAACTGTTCCCTCGTGGCTGCAGAACGTAGGAAGGCGGGACTGGTGCGGTAGATTGACTTCGTAGTCGATCGGGTCGACGAGGCCAGCGGCTGGTTTGTGGGCGCCGAGGAAGTCGACGAGGTCCGAAGTGGGCAAGGGAGGGAATGTGAAGTGTGTGTAGAGGTGGAAAGAGCTCCCTAGGGCCTGCCCGCTTTCCAAAACTGACGCTACAGCAAAATCAAGTCTCGATTGAACTCACCTCTTGCTCAATTGTGTGGTTGGATGTCGGAATGCCTCGCGTGAAGCAACCTCTGGGGGGCTGCGCTCACAATCTCTCTGCCCGGGGCAAAGACGCGACGCGGATAGTCCGGATCACTTGTGGTACTGCGTTGAAGAGCTCGGTGCTGTCTAGATGGGAAAGCTGGTGAAGTCCGGAGCTTGGTGGTAAGCACGGCGGACGCAATATGGACAGTAACGAATGTATGGAATCGAAATCGAACAACGACAAGAAAAATGGTGTAAAACGGGAAGGAGAGCAGTGTGGCTTGAGGGAGAGGTTCAAGGGGGCAGAAAAAAGACGGGACCACCTCAGCAGAAGGGGGTAATTGGATCACTGGAGCTAAGTTGTTGTTTCGCTGCGGGCACGCCCCTGCCCGACCGTGCAGGTGGAGTGGGGTGCTTTGCGGATACGCAGAGCCTGAGAGCCTGTGGGTGGCAGCCAACGTCCACTGAAGTCTGACTGGTCCGGCAACTACCCATGCATCAATCTTGGACCAGGGCCAGTCTTCAGCAATCAAGGGCTTGGCAGGAGGCAGGAGTCGGGTTTCATTTTCAACCGGGCACCGAGCCACGGCAGCAGCGCCACACGTTACGAGCTCGGCGACACAGAGCTCGTCGACTGGGCACCTCCCAGGACAGACGAAAGACCAAAAAGCCCGGCCCCAGACTACTGTAGACGTGGCAGTTGTTGCCCGTCTCAAATGCCATCACCTTGACCCTCCATCCAGTCTCTTTCGGGCAGGGCGCAACAATACGCAGAACCTTAACTAATAACCTGCATACCTGGCGCTATCAGCCAATTCAGCGGGCCAGGCTCAGTCGTAAAATGCCGAAATGAGGGTGTGGACGCAGCGACACGCAATTGTGAATATGCGCGTGTCAGTCCACGGGCCCAGGGATTCCTTGAATTCACCCAGGCTGCCCTGGAAGTCCGCGCAGCAGTCTTCTGCAGCTTCCAAACTCGGCCGAACGCCGCTTTGAGCCCGCTTGGCTGGTTTGGGTACAAATCTCTGTTGGCGAAATTGGCCCATGGCTCTTTGTTTTTTTTTTTTTTTTTTTTTTTTTTTTTTTTTAGCTCGGCAGCGATTATAATAAACCTCTACATCTTTCAGGTTCCATGCTTGAAGTTTGAACAATGAACACAGCATCCCCCGATGGCACATTTCGCAGGCTACTGCTTCCTTCCGTGGTCGACGGCGGCGGCAGCGATGTCTCATGTTCGCTAGCTACGCCGCACGCCTTTACAACACACTCTGGGAAGGGGCTAGCATTGAAGCTCGTGGGAATTCCCATCGGCCAACCCGTGGAACAGGTAGGCTACTTGTGTCCTGCAGATTGCGGGCACGTCTATTCTACGTACACGTACAAATAGTCCAGAGTTTGGCGTTGGTAGAGCTGGTTGAGCGAGCTACATTATGTGCATCACTGCATACATGCAACTGCATACATTTCTTAGGCTCACGGAGTACGGACACGGAGCATGACGTATCGGCTTTTAGTGTACGGCGATGTCTCCCCACTGCAGTGGTGTTGTTTGCGCTGCGGTGCAGCAGCCCTTCAAGGTTGCTTAGGCGGCGGCAATCGGGACTCTGCCACAGACAGTGCGTGCATGTGCCCTCTCCCCGGGGCCCAACTGAGGTGGTCCTCGATCCCTAGACCGTTTTACAAGCGGCATGGGTCATGACGTAGGCTCCTAGCACGCGGCGGGGAGTGAGGAAAGGGCGGCGGGCGGGAGCCCAGCAATCCCAGGGTCCTCTCGGAATAGAAACACGCCCTGTTTGCTTCCGATGCTTGTTGCTGTGATTGGCACTTGGAGCAACACGAGAATACGGACGAAAAGAGAAGAAAAAAACAAGACAGAATCCTAGCGAAGGCTCGGCGGGCATCCACGAGGGGATGTCGATCCGACAGATTGTTCGGCTTTTGGTGCCCCCACTATTCCTTTGCACTGAAATTCAGAATGTGCTTGCCAAATTGGCCAATCCTGCGCTGCTCTTTGAGGCCCGCTTTTTCTTTCGTGTCTCTCGGGCGATCTGAGAAATGCATGAAAACGGTTACATTTGAGCGAAATCCGACAATCGAAGATCTTCCACGCACGCATTGGATCGACTTTCAAGTTTCGTCTGCCACGGCAACAACATCCTCTGATTCTGGAAACCCAAACTCTCCCCGGGAGCCCCGGTAACCTACCTCGTGTTTTCATTTTCCGTACTCCTTGTAGGCTTGCGCAGCACGTGTATGTACTGTCTTTACGGAATAGTGTTGATCGTCAATTGTCCCACTCCGCCTGAGGCCTGCGGAAACATTATCTGCGCCATGCCACTAATGCTGCACGTTATCACCCGCCAGTGGCCGCCACAGGCTTTTTGATGTTTCTCGATAGGTCTAGAGCTCAAATTGAATCTAAGGGTGTTTTATCAGCTACGCCCACCCCCTTTCAGCTCCCCCAGGGACGACCAACAGGCAGGCCGCCTGGGCTGCTGGGGGGACGATGCGATGCGATGGCTGCCGCTGGGCCCGCAGACCGCTGGGTCTGGCCATGGCCACCCTCACGTCCCTCCCTATCGGGCCCTCGCGAATCTTAAGTCTTGTCCGGATGAAAAACAGTGACGTGTGAAACGCCGAGAATAGCGAAGCGCTCAAGGACAACTCTTTAAGATAGAATTTTGCTAGGCGTTCCCGAGTCCGAAACTCTAATCTCATAGGATATCACAACTATAGTGTGTTTTCATGTATTCTTCTCGCGAGTGTTTATCATCCTCGCCCCTCACCAACGAGCGTTGCCCCCTTTACAAGATCTTAGCTGCGCCTTGACAGGCGTCTTAGCGCAGAGTCTGTGAGCATAGCCACGAGTAGCACGAGAGGAGGCAACAAAGCCAACGCCAACACCAACAATGCCAACAGCTCTCCATCTGTGCAGCTACAACAAATAGCAGAGCTTGGTCCTGGCGGCGCCAAGAAGGCAAGCGAAACGGTTGAGGTGTGCAACTGTGCGTCCGACCTGCCGTCCGTGCCGCAGGCCCGTCATCGGCCATCGACGCTTGCGACGAACAAGGTGGGTGGCGAGCCGCAAGGCCTGTTCTCTCTGAAGTCTGTGGGGTGCGCGCGTGTGTGTGACAACAAGCACTAGACAGAGGGCTATGGCATGAAAATGGAGAAAAAAGAGAAAGAAAAAAAGGGTCCATCTCTGCAGAGCTATTTTGGTACAGGATGGAGGCCGTGTGTAGTCATTCCGAGGTCTAAATACTACATTAAGATCAGAACTCCGCCAGCGACAAGGTTGAGCCTCTTCGTTAGCCAGATCACGATCTCCAGTGATCGATCCAAGCTGAATGGGAGTGGGGTTTCAGAGTGGAGTTTTTTTCCTCTATGTTAGTCACGCGTGGTCGTCGTTTTCCCACAGCTAATGGCGATAATTTTGAAATTTGCCTCCCTACGCACGAGGAGAAGGCTAAATCCCAGTTTTTCTTCCTTTTTTCCACTTTCTGGGGACCGCACTCTTCCTGAGCACGTGTCAATTCTCCCGTTTTCCTTGCTGGGTGCTCTGTCTTTTCTGGCGCGGCTGAAAGCCTTGAAACGCTCCGCCAAGTTCTTCCTCGTGTTGTTTCAACGGGTAATATTCCGCGGGCCGCTTGAAACACATGATGCCATGGACGACGCGTCACGCTTTGTGACCAGCTGGGCTGTATAATTGCATTGTTTAAAAACCTTGTTTTTTTTCTCTTGTCTTCTGCACTCTAAATGCCGGCTCTTATTAGATTCACTGCAAAGAAGCAAGTGACTTGATAGGGCTAAAATGGTCTAAAACGGTCTTCCATAGTCGGTCTTGGTTTACAGACCATCGTATCGTTATTTCCGGACTCACCGCCGTGAATTCATCAATGGCAGGAGATCATTCAGACCAGTCCCGTTTGTAGGCAGGTATAGGAGAACTGCTGGACTTCTTGTTAGAATTATTGATAGCCCTTACAAGAGACAAGCTATCACGTTATCTATCATGTCTAGGTTTCGTTACCTTGGTGAACATCAATGGTGGATATCAGCTGCAATAATCACGCCGAACCACATACCAACGAAAGACCTCAAAGATGAGATGCGGTCGTGGCTCATTCCATCGTGCTAACGTCCGTCTCCTCAACCCTCCACATGTACCACATGAAGAGACTCCGATAGGGTTTGAACCTGTCACTGATCTCCTCCATTTCCTTCTCGCTCATATATTTCCACTTGCCGCCCTTGGCCTTTAGCTTTGCAATGTCCCTCCTGACAAAGGCCGCCATGCCACGTTGGACGCCAAGATCGCCCAGCGAGAAGACGTCCATGCGCTTGAGGCCGAAGCAGGCAAACATCTCGACGCTCCAGCGCCCGAGACCGCGCACGGCGATCAATTTCTCGACGATTTCCTCGTAGGGCGCGTCTGCGAGCATTTGCGCCGACAGCTCCCCCGAGTCAAATTTCTCAGCGAGGCCAATTATGTACTCGGCCTTCCGCTGTGAGAGACCGGCAGTCCGGAGCGTTTCAAGCGGCGTGGGCGCGACCTGCGAGGGATGTGGAAATCGCCGTCGGCCCGAGGAGGAGGAGCCAGTACTCATGATTTCTTGTGGCACCTCGCTCCCATCGCTGAACAGGGCGACGAAGCGGCCCTTAATGGCCTTTGCAGCCGCACCGCTCACCTGCTGAGAGATGATGCCGCTGGCAAGTGCCTCAAAAGGATCAATCTCTTCGGACAACCCCTCGGATGAGAACAGGCGACAGTGATGGTTCTCAATGAGTGACCGCATGCGCTCGTCAACCTTGATGAGGTGAGCGCAGGCTTCTTCGAGTATGTTTTCAGTCGTCGTCCTTGGGGCCTTAGAGCTCCCCGTTGGCGCTTTAGACGGCGACGCGGCATCGGCCGGCCTGGAGGCAACGATGCGCGACGTCTTTGGGGAGAAAAGGGGGGCGTTCGTTTTGTTTGGGTCCGCCAGGCGACTGATGGCCGCGGACTTGGGCTTTTTCACAGGGGTTGACCTGTTCACCTGGGTCTTCTCAGCCATAAGACCCACGGCATTGGGGGTCGGAGTTGCAGGGAGCTCCTGATTATTCTTACGGGCCCGGCGTCTTGGAGGAGTCGAGGGCGCTTCCTCTTCGGCAGGCGCGGGGGGAGGTGCCGGGTCTTTGGCAGGCGCCTTCCTCTTCCGCACGGCGGGAAGGGCCGACGGAGGCAGCGCGTCAGCTAAGACAGTGCTACTGACAAGAGCACTGAGCCGGGCAGATCTGCGGGATGCCATCTTAGAGAGTTTTCAGACTGCCTTGATGATGAGATGCGCCAAATGCGAGGCGAGAAGATCAAGACGCAGAATCGCAATTGAAGTAATGTTGAAGCACAGACAAGGCACCGTGTAGAGACAGAAATGGCGGAGAGGGAAATTCTAGTGCTTGCGTGCCGCGTGACAAATCATGCAACGAGACTTCCATGCACGGGAACTTGGAGGCAGCAGAGCGGCGGGCTACGACTTCCCCAAGTGAGACGCGCCCGTCAGACGCCATGTCCCAGTTGAGTTTAGGCGCGATCGCCTGCTCACGTGAGAATCTCTGAGAGGAACGTGCCCGTCTGACGATAACGCTACGAATTTTGTTTCTCACATTTTGACATAACTGTACACTACTAAGTACGATCAGCGCTGGTCTCCGAGACTCTAGTCTAGCTACCTTCCTTATGCTCGTCGTGGTTGCTCTCTATGCCCGGTGACAGTCGCCGTTTTACTTCCCAGACTCAAGTGGCCGTTCAGCCTATACCTTACATCACCAGCACTTCTATACTGACTCTACTTAGGTAGGTAAGGTATCTCATCTCAGGGCACTGTATCTGCCCACGTCTGATTTGGAGCAATTTCTAGTATGAGCTCACCAGTCAAGTCTGTCTTAATCGCCATTCAACGTTGGTCTAACCCAACTCTGCAACTACATGCGAAAATGTGGTGTGCAAGCCGCAACAGTGGTAGGAATATGTGCCCAATTTTGCAGGTAGTTGCTCTTGCCGCCTCGCCACAGGTGGAATTCCGCCTCTCCACGGATCGAGCGGAATTCCTCATCATTGGATGACTAGAAATTTCCTTGTACCTTAGTGCAGATCGTGCTCTTGCCACAGGGTAAAGCATCGACATCGTGCGTGTTGACGCCGGCCTCGTCCAATCATCTAAAGAGGCCAACGCATGTATGTCATAAAGTCCTATGCTTTTGTTTAGAATCTGACTTCGAAGCCCTAGGTTCACTCACCCTAAATCTTTCCTTACCGCGTGCCAACCCCCCGTACGCGGACTCTAGGCCGACTCGGCCGACTCGGGGTGAGGGACCGGCGGTAGGATCCACTACCTGACCTAACCTACCAACCCACCGGCGGTCTAGTTCTAGCACATTGGAAGGTATATCGGCGAAGTGATTCAACATGTTGAAAGCTCGAGGGCTCTCATGTCGCTCTGCGTATCCTTACGCGTATATGTACTCGGTTGGGATAAGAAACATGCCGAATCTTGTATTCCTACTCCTGCGCTAAGCTATAGCCTGGCATAATGGGTATAAATGAACCATCATCATAGCTGCACTGAACTGCTGAGTCTCGGAAATTACTAAGTATTTTGAACACAAACATTCGTCCATGATGGCGCCCTCAAGCAGAATTATGGAGCTCGCCTCCCTCATCTAGGAGCATGCCGCCACCTTTGATCAGTACCTTGCCAGCCACAACATGCCACGCCGTCATTTGATGAGTCTTGGCCGCCGGTGCTGGAGCTGCCCGAGCATATATCAGCAGTACAGATGGCTGCAGCTGTGGCTGCTGAGGAGCTACAGACACTTCTCATGGGGCCCGTGGGCACAAATTTTTATGAACTCCAGAGCAAGGTCAGTATATAATAATTCTTCGCCTGTGTGAGCTGCCCTGAGGAGGCTGCCGTCAGTAGTGTAGCTAATATGGCCATATTTAGTCAAGCTACATGATCAGCGTAGATGCGGTGCCCAAATTCAAGCTCGCCCACACCTTCCCCCTGGACACCACGACCACAATACCGCAGATGGCCGTGGCCGCTAAGCTCGAGGAAGCCGATGCCCGGCGCATCATTCGGCAGGCCATCACCAATGGAATCTTTACCGAACCTACTAAAGAAACCATCGGCCACTCGGCTCAGTCTCGCGCCATTGCCACCGTCTCCTTCCTCCGCGAGACCCTCGAGCTATTCTGTGAGAACATATGGGCAGCGGGACCCGGCCTTACCAAGGCCATAGAGCGCTGGCCCGGCTCGCAGGAGCCGACCCAAACAGGCTTCAACATCACCATGGGAACCGAGCTGCCATATTGGCCGGAATTGGCCAAGGACCCCGAAATGGTTGGGCGCTTCCGTGACTGCATGAATTTTATTGCTTCCGGGCACGGCTTGAAGATGGATTTCATTCTTGACAACTACGACTGGGCCGCTGGGGCATCGTCAGGGGGGCTCTACTGACATCATAGCTCTCGCACTTGCCGAGCGGCTGCCCTCGTTCAGATTTCTAGTCCAGGATCTGCCCGAAGTCATTGCCGAGGCCCCTAAAGACAAAAACCCCAGGGTCGAGTTCCAGGCCCACGACTTCTTCACCGAGTAGCCCGTCAAGGGCGCCGACATCTTTATCCTTCGCTATATTATGCACGACTGGAGCGACAAGTACTGCTGTCAGATCCTCCAGAATCTGATTCCGGCGCTGAAGCCGGGAACCCGCATCGTTCTCAACGAACAGGCCCTTTCTGCACCCAACACTGTCAGCAAGTATCAAGAGCGCATCAGCGTTACTTCGATCTGCTCATGTGGCGGCTGCTCAATGGCAAGGAGCGAGACGAAGACGACTGGCGCAGCTTGGTGGAGGGAACGGAAAGACAATTCAGGATCACCCAGACCATCAGTCCGCAGGGATCTGACCTCCAGATCATCGAAGTCACTTAGCAGGGCTAGAAGGCCCAGGCAGGAAGTGACATGAGAGGGCTGCGCCAGAGTGGCTTTCGAGACGAAAAAATGATCCGACGGACACAGGAAAAATAAGAGAAGAAAACTAGAAAAATATTAACTACATGTTGAGAGTTGGAGCCTAATACTGAGTTGTGAGTAATTGTAAGAGACTGGTATCCAACAGTATTGACACTAGCCATCTCTCCATGGGAGTGCTAAAGTAGGTAACGAGTCTGCTCGCATGAAAGTCGACCTCAATCAAACAAGCATGTATTTTTAAGACCAACACATATTTGCAGTCACTGACCGACCGTATTTGCATCTTGATACGGTATGCGGTTGGTGATAAGGGCACTTACCAACGGTGTAACACGAAAACAGGGGCGCTTCGATTGGGGGGGAAGAAGCAAAGGGGGACACTGTTTACCCTAACCCGCAGTCCTGACGTGTATTTACGCGTGTTCCGAGCCCCCGGGGCGGAGTTGGTACCAACGAATATATTGCCGAGTTTGACCGTCAGGAGCTGTTCGCTTTTGAATGTCGGATGTGAGTGAAGAAAGAGTTAATGCCTGTGATCATTGTCCAAGAGTCCGATGTATTGCATACCAGGTAATCATGTTAGCGTAATCGAAATTGGCTGTCTGTCAGCTCGGATTTCGACCTTAAATTTTACAAAGTAATTGAAATCTCGTCATCCTTGTCGGCCGCCGTGGCCTGACGTTTTTCACACGAATTGATGTTACGACGAAGAAAGAAAATGAAGGATAAATAAGCATATTGTAGTGCCTACAATGCCGTCGTATCGAGTCTCACACGCCAACGCCGAGTCATTCCTTGGAATTTCCGTAGATTAGCGAGATGGGACTTGTCTAGATTCTGGAGACGGGTTGCAATCCAAACCTGGAATCTAAAGCGGGCTGCGCAATATGGGGCGTGGGTGGCCCCCTTTTTAGCGAATGGCGAGCCATTAGACGCTTTCCTATCGAATTATAGCGTACCTAGGGTACTACGGATAAGGCACCCCAGTCCTGTAGTACAGCTCCTGCCACAGCATTCAAGCCTGCCAGCACGAGGATCTCACATTTGCTCTCATTCCTTGAACAAACCTCCATGCCATCACCAAACGAAACGCGACGGCAGACGACGTGAACGAGAAAAGCCGCAACGCTCCTCTGCACCCGGTACCGCGGATACGGGTATATACGACGGCAGTTTCTTGTCAGCTCCTCGCGGCGCGCGGAGAATTTTCGCGTCCCCCATTCCCGTCGTACGTCGCTGTGGCCCACGAGCCCGTCCCGGACGGTCCCACGGTCCCACGGTCTCACGGAAATCCCGTCGATTGGCACTCGTCGCATTGTATCCGAGCACAAAGGGACGGCGGGAGGATTCTTTGATCTCACCTACTTGCTATTGATCATCTAGGGTGGTGCCGAGGGCCACCCGGTGACCTCGACAATGCTTCTCCCTAAGGGCGGCGTCAGCTGGAAAGCTGCACGGGCAAACCTACCACCTACTAGGGCGATATGGGTCTTCTTGATGAGGACTCGGGTTCTTCTATTTCTCGTCGTTGCAGGCATCACATTATTACTATGGCGTGGCATCAGATCCTCTGCGTCAGAGATGCAAAAGTCGGTTGTCCTCTTCCTCGCCCTTCCGTTTCCCGCCTGTGCACGCACACCTAGTACCGTACCTATGATCAAGATTACTAACCTGTCATGTTTCCACTGATCACAGTTTCTACTGCTGGGGGCCCTCAAAATCCCCCATGGACATGACACTAAACGAGCAAGTGGCCTGGAACGCCCATCACAACACGCCCGCCCTCTGGAACCACCACGCCCCCGTTGAAGTCAAGTCCCCGTCCATCACGCACGCCGACCTGAACCCGATCAAGTCGACGCCCAAGGGCGTCACCAACCGCGAACGGGTTCTCATTCTCACCCCCCTCAAGGATGCCTCCCGCTTTCTCTCCAAATACTTTGAGCTGCTTGTCCAGCTCACCTACCCCCACGACCTGATTGACCTCGCCTTTCTAGTCGGCGACACCTCCGACGACACCCTCGCGGTACTTGGTGCCGAGCTCGAGCGGATCCAAAAGCGCCCAGACAACACGGCTTTCAGAAGCGTTTTAGTGGTCGAGAAGGACTTTGGGTTCACGCTCAGCCAGGACGTCAAGGACCGGCACTCGTTTGAGGCCCAAGGGCCGCGCCGGAAAGCAATGGGCAAGGCGCGGAACTACCTCTTGGCGACGGCACTTAAGTCCGACCATTCCTGGGTATACTGGAGAGATGTGGACATCCAGGACAGCGCCCCTCAAATCCTCGAGGAGTTCATGGAGCACAATCGGGACATTCTCGTGCCAAGTATGTAATCCTCGCAGTGTCTCGCCTACCCCCATCTTGTTATGGGTGCGGCTAACAACAATCACGCAGATGTCTGGTTCCATCGGTACGAAAAAGGACGCGATATTGAAGGAAGATGTGAGTATCAGCTCGATATGTGGTAATGCATGAACTTGGCTAACCAGTCAACAGTCGACTATAACTCGTGGGTCGAGTCTGAGCAAGGCCTAAAACTAGCCGCGAGTCTTGGGAAAGACGTGGTCCTTGCCGAGGGTGTGTTATTTGATGTGCTGACCACTTTCATGAGCCTGGCACGGCTGACACTTTTCTTTCCAGGCTACAAGCAATACGACACTGGCCGGCTCTACATGGCCAAAATGGGCAACTGGCACGACGACAAGCACAAAGAGATTGAGCTTGATGGTATTGGTGGCGTTAACATTCTTGTCAAGGCAGACGTCCACAGATCAGGTATGTTTCTTGCTACTACCTCATTTCTGAGGTTCTGATGCACGGACTCTTGCGCTGACACGAGAGCTAGGTATCAACTTCCCGTGTTATGCCTTTGAGAACCAGGCCGAGACAGAGGGCTTCGCAAAAATGGCCAAGAGGGCAGGCTATGAAGTCTACGGCTTGCCCAACTACGTCGTGTGGCACATCGACACGGAAGAGAAGGGCGGTAACGCATAGAAAACCAAGCCCTTGGTTTAATTTTTGGCTACCGTTAGCGGCGCGCCGTAATAACTCTTTGTTTTAGTTCTTGTATGCGCCGTTGGAGGACGCGCAGCTTTTTATCGATTTCGCGGAAATCGATCACTCTGTGCGGTTGGGAACGCAGGGTGCTGCTTGTACGAAGGCCTACGATACACATAACCAGATCACTCATGTTTCGGCTGCTACCTTTTTTTTTAAAGAGATGAGAGCGAAATGGGAAAAGACACAGACTATGGCGTTTTTGGGGTGAGGTCGGGAGTGAAATTGGAAGGGAATTTTTCTTACTTTTTCTCACCCTGGATTTTCTATTTTTGTTCATTTATTATCTCTGTCGGATTATTATTTTTCTTGTTCAGGTTTTTTTTTTTTTTAGGCAAGCTAATCAAGCCTAGCCACCAGAGAGCATCTTCGCAGACGGGCTAAATTTAGCACAGAGATACCAAAGTCTGCCCTTGTCTGGGCCATGTTTTTTCTCAAGCCACCTGCCTATTCGCCTGTTTCTCGCTCTCTCTTTCTTGTCCGGGGAGCATTTCCATGTTTATGCTTGGAGGGCCCATATCTCGCGTTCTGCGTTACGATCTAATACCGGGAGGAGGGGGTTCTCACATATTTTCACTGGCGGGATTTCTCTTATTAGATTAGCTGAGCGGTTCTTTCATTGCGTTTTTCTTTCACGATTGGCGGGCTGTCCAAACGGGTTGGGATTTTTGAAGTCTAAACGTATGAAGGGATTAATTCATTAACGATAGATGGTTATTTGGAGGTAGATATCCCGACTGGCCGGATCTGCTCTGTTTTAGTCTGTCACTCAGTCCTGATGTGCTTGATTTTGTGTAGTAATGTACTTACTCTAGTTCGTGTCTCTTGTATGTACATACAATCCAATCTTTGAATGTTTGTTACTTAGTGGGGAACTCTGAAAGGCCTTGATAACTTACGGCTCGCTCTGAAGGTGGTTCGCTGAGCGAGGTAGCTGTTATTAGGATCCCTATTATAGAATCTTCCTCGCTTCCAGCCAGTGGTCCTTTAGTCACCGTGCAGAACAACTTGTCGGTTCGAATTATGCAGCTATCTTCTGCGTATACACTACCGACTTCGTACTTAATTGTTCTATAGAGGCTATTTTCTATCTTAGAAATACCTACCTATCAAAGGCTTTTACTAGCCGGTATACCCCGCTGTGATCTTTACTATTTGCAAGCAAGTATCTAGGTACTACACCAACAAACATTCGGGGATTGGACTATGCCTGTGTGCGGACGTGCCTTAGGCGTCTTGTAGGCAGTGAGTGGGTAGGGAGATACTCTTCTACTAGACATGGATCATTAGGAAACACGGGGGGAAGGAACACGGCAATCCTAGATTCAAAAGATAAATAATTGCTGGGATTAGGTGGCTGCGTCATTGTGGTAGCTACAGACTTGTAGAGTTTCTTCACTGCGGTGTCAAGACAGCTTCGAAGAAAATAAAAGATAGGATATAAATGATTTACTCAGGTATTTGCCTCGTGTATAACTTGATGTTGGTTTACGTGAGTACGAGATCCGCCGTCGCTCCTATCGACACTCTGGCGGGTTGATATAGACATTGTAAAGTCTCGATGCTCAAAAGAGCTAAGTCAATTGCAACTCCCCTTCTTCTCCTGAAGGTGTAGGATACGCGACTGTCACCTGGGCAATCTTGAGCTGGGAAAACGGCGATCGGGGTTCTAATTGATGGAACGGATGCCCCTAGAGGCTATACACACAACATTGCTGCTCGACTTTGTAAGCAATGGCCCTCACCCGCAACAAACGTCTAAGGTCTTGAAAGCGCAACCTTCGTCTCCTGTAAATGTACATTGGTTTGTGCTGCGAGTTGCGGTCCTCCTCTTCATTCCGCCCGCCCAGCACGCAAGCCTCAACTACCCCCCTAAACAAAACATCGAGACTCAGTGCTTCTTGGCAATTGTCAGGGTATCCAGCGCCGCGCGCTCCTTCTCCTCGGCCTCAACCTCCCGCAATATCGGACCAAGGTACTCGACATCCTCCTCGGGCTTGGTCCATTCCGCCTTGGGCAGGATCTTCTGCTGCATGCTGAGCTGCTGGGCGCGGCGGATGCGGTAGATGCGGTCGTAGCTCTCGCGGGGCGGCAGGCGGCTCAGCGCCTTGAGCACCGTCTCGTTCTCCTCCGAGATGAGATCGTCGGTGCTGTTACGGGGGGTCAGCCATCGACGCGGACGGGGTCAGCGGGGGCGCACGGGGGGCAGCCGCAATGGCGGTAGCAGAGTTGGCGACTGGGAAGCGAAACTCACCGGAGACCCATCTTGCGGTAGCCGGCCTGGTTGACGTACATCTGCGCCAGGGGCTGCAGCATCTTGACCAGCCAAGGCCGCTTGCTGATGAAGGGGGCTAGAGACATGGCGGGCAGTTTTCGGCTCTCTCGGTGGGTTTCCGGGGAGGTGGGACAGCTTCAATTGAGGTTTATCTGTCTGCGTTGCCAAATTGCCGCGAAGTCAGACGTAGGCACGTCCGGAGCTCTGCCGAAAAACACACTAGCTCCAGTAGCTCGTGCCTGACTTTGACTCCTGGATGCCTGAGGCTAAAAAGGTGGCAACTTTTGGAGCGGACATGGGCCAACCAGGCAGGTGCCTGTGGGGGCGAGCTATGAGGTAATGTCCGCCAAGATCTGTACGCCGCTGATAACATGCATGATAACGCTCCAAATCTGCTTTCACAGGGAAGTCCCAAGTTTCACAGGCTCCGTCGGAGTTTTGGAGATTCGAAACCAACAAGAGCAAAATTTCAATAGACTCGCTCGACAGAGACATCGGGAGGCTCGGGAATCAGATGAGATGACAACCTGGGAACTTGTGGGCTCCGGACCGGCAGATTTTCTTTAGAGCCCTGAAGACCGAGGTCGGCTATCCGTACCTATCCGTATCCGTGCAGAGCACCTCCAACAACGAGGGGCCATCCACCTCGGTGCTGTGCCTATCCCTCGTCTGGAAACCGAACCCGCGCATTCTGGACTGGCCATCCATTTCACTTTTTACACATGTACATGTACCTGCGGTACAGCGGTGACATAATTCTGCCTCCAGCCCAGGATTGCTAGCGATTGGGTAGACAGGCGCCATTTAGCGGGCCAACCACTGTGGTAGCACTGCGCATCCTGTCGGTCGGTACTCACCGGCGCCGCTGCTATCGGTTTCTTGGCGCACTCCGTCATTTCCACTCCTCACGATTCTCAGAACGCGAGGCCAACTTCCCCTCCACCACCCTCGCCTCCAGCGTGCGAGCCCAACTACGGGTAACCCTTCCGCCCGGCTCTAAAACAGCAGCATTCACGAGCTAAAGCGCATGGACGGCAACGATTACTAGGAGCAGTTCAGGGCCGCTGACCTCCTCCGCGGCATCTTTCCCCGCACCTCGTGACGACGGGCAAACCAGCAATACCTGATCCTAGAGTAACTTTCTCGACCCAGAGGCCCAGGCTGAGGCTGGAAGAGTGGGGGTTTGTGTGTCTGGGCGTGTGCGTCTGCGTGTGCGGCTGCGTGGGAGAAACGAGGAAAAGAGACCAACGGCTTGTCGAATCTCTCTGCCAACGCCATCGTCTGACCCCCGACCCGCGCAAAGTCGATTTTCTGGACGAGGCATGTCTCTCGACGAGCCACACCTTGTGGCCTCGCCCCAAGCACCGAAATCATATCCCAACCCGACAAGGGAAGCTCTTCCCAGAGGCGCAACCCCCGCGGGAGCGCCACCCCCCGAGACAATGCTCGACCCGAACCGCCTCACGCTTGTCGAGCGCTGGGCCATCAATGCCTCTGATTCCCAGTTCAATGCGCTCTCTGGCGCAATAGGAGGCTTCACGTCAGGTGTCGTCACGTGCCCGCTGGACGTGATCAAGACCAAGCTACAGGCCCAAGGGGGCTTTTCCGCAGCTGAAAAGGGCCTGCGAGGGGGGCAGGCCAAGGTTTACGAGGGCTTGCTCGGCACGGGGAGGGTAATATGGAAGGAGGAGGGTCTGCGTGGAATGTACAGAGGTCTTGGTCCCATAATATTAGGGTATCTACCGACCTGGGCTGTGTGGTTCACCATCTACAACAAGAGCAAGATATGGCTGGGACAATATCAGCGTAGGTGCCGGCTCGACTCTCCCCGTCCCTACTAAGAGGAACATGATAGCCGGGTGCTAACTTGAATTTGTCCAGAAAACTCGTTTGTGGTCAACTTCTGGTCGTCCATCATAGCTGGTGCCAGCAGTACTATCGCCACAAACCCGATATGGGTCATCAAAACTAGGTTAATGTCACAGTCAGGCCGTCACAGCAGACAAAAAATTTTCTTGCATCCTAAAGGCTCCAACACACCAACGTCCCGGCCAACCCTCCACGCGCCGTGGCACTACAGGTCGACACTGGATGCGGCACGCAAAATGTATAGCTCCGAGGGCATCCTCTCGTTCTACTCGGGCCTTACGCCGGCCCTCCTCGGCCTCACTCACGTTGCGGTCCAGTTTCCCGCGTACGAATATCTCAAACTAAAGTTCACAGGGAGGGCCATGGGGGTAGCGCCCATTGCCGGCCAAGACGAAAAGGCGCACTGGTTTGGCATCTTGTCGGCCTCTATTCTTTCCAAAATCCTCGCCAGCAGCGCCACATACCCTCACGAGGTGATCCGCACACGGCTGCAGACGCAGCGACGGCCAATACCTGGCCAAGAGTACATGCAGGGTCTTGGAGGGGCCGCGGCCGAGCAGGGCTCCCAAGGGGGGCCATCCCAGCCGCAAGAACAAGTCCAGAAGCAACAACGCCAGACGCCGAAGTATAGGGGCGTCGTCATGACCTTCCGCACCATCCTCCATGAGGAGGGCTGGAGGGCTTTCTACGCGGGCATGGGCACCAACATGATGCGGGCCGTGCCGGCGGCGACAGTCACCATGCTCACATATGAGTATGCAATGCGACAGCTCAACCAAACGCGAGCCCGCGGCCAGGAGAAGCTACAGTACCAACTCGAGCACCCGAATTTCTGAGGCGCAGCATAGAGAATGGCAGGGATTATTCCTCGCACATTGCGTGTTTCTACTTTAGACGTCGTTCCACCGCCCGCCAATACCAGCATGCGTTTCAAGACATGGTTGATTGGCTGTTTGGCGCGATGGGGATCTCGGCAAATGCCGGCTGGTCTCTTGGCCGTGGGGCGATTGACATGTGGTCGGGGGGATACAGGCACGGCAGATATACCCCGAGACTCTGCGCGGAAAGAGTAGGGAGCACCGGCATGAACATAATATCGAGGGGTTGAAGGGCTGTCGTGTGTGTTCCGAGTACTAGGTCAGGTGCTTTGTGCGATGCGATACCCCAAAGCTATTCGAGGTTGTTGGTTTCAAGGCATAGCGCACCAGGTAGACAGGCAGCAAAGTACCTTATTTAGTTGGTTTTTGCGTACGGCGTTAGCCAGAAAGGCGGGCAAGCAAGCACACAAGCAAAACATCTTCGTTGATACATCCGTAGATCTATCTCCCTTGTGGGAATTCTCATTGCAGTGTTGTGAGCACTGTCAGGGGATCGACTGGCGGGTGATGCCGTCGCACATTTGACTTGGTGAGTGGATATTGTAAAAATTAGCCAATATATTGTAAGAATTGGAACAAAATAAAGAGATGCATTAGGAATTTAGGATAGTACTTAGTTGGTTATTCATCATTCGGTGTTGCAATACCATACAGCGTTGTATGTATGGACGTAATAATCCAAGCCTGGAAGCCGAGGCGCCAAACAGCCCCCCAGAATGTAAATGCTCAGGTTGGGCACCCATTCAACGCCCCGGACTTATACCCCATCACACCGCACCACCCCAACCAATCGATCAGACAGATACCTACCTGCACCACCGAGCTTGCATCTTGTCGAAACAGCACATACCCTTAAGTATACATGTGTCCAGCCCGCGCGTGCAGACTAGTAAAGGAGGAGAGCAATGGCCGGGCCTAGTGTCAATCCACGGGTATGTAATTATGTTCTGTTTTTCTTTCTTCTAATGAAAGGCGCCTACCGACGTGATCCAAGGACACAGCCCAACTCTTTGAAACGCAACTATCACGATATACATATTTATATATATATATATACAATGAGTGGATGTTTTCCTTCTTTTGTCACTGTGCTAACCCTGTGCCTGCCTTCTTGGCCCGGCGCAATATCTATTTAGAAACTTGTTGCGCCGCTGGCGGCGTTCACTATGGCCTGCGTGCTTCTTGCGTGAGTGAGAGCTGCCTGGCTTGGTTGCTATTTTGCAAAGCCCCCGTTACGTCATGTCACATCGTCGTCCGTTTCCCTTCATGAAACATGCGCGCGTGTGTGTCTGTGTGTGTGTGATGTGTTTAGTATCTGGTATCTAACGTTGAAGCGGGCTGTTCGGCTCCCTGCGTGCCTATCTAGGTACACGCGCTCGTCTATCAATGCTGCAAGATACAATGCGGTGAGTCTGTATCTACCTATCCTACCTACCTCGTATTTTCGCTCGGCACTCCGCTCGCATCACTTGCTGCTGCGGGTGTCGCCTGTGTCTGGCGCGCGTGTAAGATGGAGAAGGATGCGTGCTACCTGGATGAAGGTTTCTAAGGACAAAAGGAGAAGAGCTCGGAGGGGGTTTTGAAACAATTCCAGCCTTTATCAACCCTCCGCTTGCAACTCACTAACAGCCAATGCAGAAGATGAGCCGCGAGGCCCAGCAGCAGCAACAGCGTGACGCCCGGGAGAGAGGTGGCAGTGGCAAGGGCGAGTGAGACGGGGCACATGTAACGAGACAGAGAGCTTGCTTCGCGTGAAGACAATCACGGCCGTGACGCTTGGCGGACTGTCCAGCTGTATGTTGGAGTCACACGGGCGTTTTGTCTTGTTTGAGGGCACAAGGACAGGGCAAGGCAAAGCAAGGGGGGTGGAAATGCAATCGAGTGCAACCCGACTTGGGGGTTTGGAGACGAAACCCAGTCCGTAAGCTATAACTCTTATCATTACTCTCTTCTCCCTCTTCATCTGTTTTTATTTGCTTTGTAATTATAGACCCGGGGAGTTTCTGCAATACATCTTTGACTTGGGTGTTCTACAGTCTAATCCCTGAATGTTTGTTCGCGGGAGACTTTTCAAAATTCGAAAGGCTTTAATACCTTAGGGCTCGCCCTGAAGGCCCTTCGCCGAGGGAGGAAATAGCTTGAAGAACCCCTATTATAAAATTAATCTTGTCATGACTGGAAGATGTGTGCAAGACCCTTTCGTCAATTGCAGCATTCTTGTTCTATTTGTACTCGGGCCGGCCGATTGAGTTTGACACCACGGCATGGCGTGAGTCTTCTCGGTGTACGTGTCATCGGCAAATCTATGGTTGTGCCGAACCTTGACAGCTCCGGCCGTTCAAAGTTCGGGTGTGTGGAGCGGAGCGGCCGGCATGTGATGCGCCAGTTGTAGCCGGATCCGAGAACCTTCTATGTTGGACTTGTGCTTCGTGCTTCTGCTGGGTATTGGTTTTTTTTTCGTGCCTAACTGCAATCTATATATCGCATAGAATTAATCTTAGAGGCTTTTTCTCTATCTGGTATATTTGCTCCTTATTCTTCTCGAAGTATTTAGGTAGGAAGGAGGTATCACGCAAATAAATATTTAGGGATTGTGTGATGTCATGGGTTGGATTTCTCCCAGTTCAAAGATGAATAAGAGCCCGCAACTGTGTCTTTGCGCTATTTTATGAAGCCGGCCTATGAGAATCCCTCCTTGTTTCGCAAAGAAAGACAGAATTTACAAATACAAGAAACAGTAAACTCATAATCCCGAGAGAAGAAAGAAGATAAACAAAAGGGCAGGGTACTCCAATAGACCTACATCTATGCCGCAGCACTCGGGACTACAGCTGCATAACTCCGCCAAGAGGACGAGTAAACACTAAAATGGACTAGAAGCAAAGCTAGAAGGAAAAAATGCATCAACATCTCATGGCTAAAGCTACCAACTGCTACCTACAATACGACTAATTGATTCTACTGCCTAGAACACCTCGTAGTGTAGCAGCAGCAGTAGTGCGCAAAGGCGTTAGCAAAGCAAAAAAGGAGAAAGAGCTCTAAAAAAATAGGACACAAAAGCTGCCATGTTTTTACCCCACGCCTTCTTGAAAAGCGATACAAGGGCCGAAAGAAAGAATTACAAAACGACCAAAGACGGAAAAGAGAAACAAACCAATAACGAAATGGCAAAATGTACATTTACACAGCTTTGTGCTGCCAGTGATTCAAGAGACAGAAGCAAAAACAACAGCTAGGCAAGATTAAAAACCAAGGAAAAGCCCGTCCATCTTCCGACCCGACAAAAGAGAAACAAAAAAAGACACATGGCATGAAACAAGAACAGCATAGCCACGTTATCCCCCCTCCCCGCGGCATAACAACACAGACAACATGACTTCAGTTCATTTTTGCTCTCATTCATTTTTCACTCATTTTTTGTTGTTTTCTCTTTTTTACTCTTCCATCTTGTCAGCATCTACCTTCTTTTCCGCCTCTGTCTCGGCCTCTGCGGCAGCCGGCTTGGCCTCGCCGTTGGGCCCATCGGTAGTGGTGATGGGAACGATGGCAGAGGTGGCGGCGGCGGTAGCAAGAGTGGGAAAAGTAGGAGAGGTAGCATCAGCAGCGGGCTTCTTGTCGGCGGCGACGTCCTTCTCCTTCTCCGCCTCTACCGCGGGAACCGCAGCAAGCTCCAACTTGGGCTCCTCGGGCTTGAGCTCCTCTTTCTTCTCCTCTTCGGCAGCCTTGTCCTCGGTCTTTTTCTCTGCAGCAACGACAGTAGCACCAGTCAGGGCAGGGGCATCAACAACGGGAGGGGCAGCAGGGGCGTCATTCGCGGCGGCGGCAGCAGCGGGAGCCTCATCGGCCGTCTCGGTAGCAGAGGCAGCGACCAGGTCCCGCACGACTGTCACAGTGTGTTCGGGGCCGCCGGCTTCCGAGGCGAGGACCTTGCCGGCCTTGTCGACGACGAAGACGCCGCGGGTGGTGCCCTTGGGGACCTTCTTGAGGCCGATGGCGGCGATGAGGGTGGCGGCCGTGTCGCACAGCAGCGGATAAGGCAGCTTCTGCTTCTCCTTGAAGGTCGTGTTGCTCTTGGGCGAGTCGTTGGACAGGCCGTAGATGGCGAGCCCGCCCTCGGTCAGATCAGTGTACGAGTCCCGGAACAGACACGCCTGTCTAGTGCCTGAGAGGAGAGGTCAAGTTAGCATGTCGATATTTATTTTGGCATGTATGAAAGTGAAAGCTGAGTGAAATGATATGTGGTAACATTTCATTGTTCAATACTGAGATAATGGCCGGAAGGGGTCGTGAGTGAGGGAGGAGGGAGATTGGTTGCGGCATGCCCATTGAGGTGAGATGACTAAGCAACCCATACCACCACCTCATACATGCTTTGGGCGATATACATGAACAACATTGGATGGTAAATCCGGACTGAATAAAGGAGGATGCGACACTTACATCCGGGAGTCGAGGCTTTGGGATACGTGAAAAGCACGACACCAGCCTTGCTCTCGTCAACGAGGGCCTTCAGCGTGGTCTTGGCGCCGTCATTGGTCTCAATCTCGCCACCAAATCCATCGAGCGAGATGACATCGCCGGCCGCTGGGGGGCCGGCAGGAGCGGCGGCGGGGGCCGGTTTAGGAGCGGCCGCGCCATTGGCGGCAGCGGCGGCGGCCTTGGACGTCTTTCCCTTGACGACCTCCTTAACCTTGGCGGCAGCTTTTGCGACCTTGGACTGCTTCTTGGCGGGCGGCTCCGGCGGCGGCGGCGGGGCCTTGCGCTTGCGCAGCTCAACAGGCATTGCGAAAGGAGGGCTGGGGGCGCGGAACTCTAGATGTGTTGCGCGCGGTTTTTTATATGTGTTGTGAGCTTCGCCGGCAACTGGCAAGGGCTAGAAGGCTGTTATAGACGTGATGAGGGGAGCAAGCACGGTGATAGGCGGCAGTAGAGCGAAGCTAAAGAAAGGCTTAGAGAAACCGACTTTCGGCGTCGCAAACGTTAGGCAACCGCGGAAACACTGGATATGGGACGGCCAGTTGGTGCGGCGGTGCCGAAATCGATGGAACAAAACAGTAAAACAGATAAGGTGAAGAACTTGGGCTGACGCTGGGGAGGTAGGTAGGTAAACAGGACGTCAAGCTGGTTGCGCAAGCAGCCAACCAATCATAGCATGCGGCGACGCTCGAGACGAGGCCAGGTCAGGGGTGGCTTAGGGTTCTGCGGCGGCAGAGAGGCACGAACGGGGAGACGGGGGTAAAGAACAGAAGTCCGTGGGAGGGACACCAGCAGCTGTGTGTATGGACATACCGTGTGCTGTATTGCATGCCCATACGGTGCGTGCCATAATACACAAGCCAACCCGCTACACTACCGACCGGCCTGCACGGCTGTTGGAGTCGGGTGCCGTGCCTTCTTCAATGGACGGAGCTGGATGCATGTGTTAGAGCTGCGACAGCGACGCAACGAACGGTGGAGGGTTAAAAGGGCGGAATGTAGTATACACTAAGTGCCTTAGCTATGGACCTTACCTATAGCTAAAGTCCAGACCAGAAAGAGGTAGGTTTCGTGTCAAGCTCCATCTCAGCATTACCTTTACTAGTACGGAGAGTATACACTTGTTTTCCATGCCTTGGCCGCGAGGGAAGCTCTCCAGCCGTCCCCGCGCCGAGTATGTAATGCGTACCTGCACTGTGCGGTATAGCAACTGCAGGACATGACGGCACCTGGGCAAAACGAGAGATTTTATATCCGAAGCTCGCTCCGAAGGCCAGCAATTGGGCCATCTGCCGCCTGGGAGCGAGGAGGAGGGGAACGTGCAATCAGGCAAGGAAACCAACCCAATTTGCCCCAAACCAAACCCTGATGAGAGCTTGCCTCAGCTCCAGGTCGCTCCTGCCGCTTCCAATGCTCGTATACTGTATTTGTATTTGTAGCTGTAATCTGTGTCACAGCACGTACAATACCCACACGGTGCTGTGCTTTCCGGTTCCTGCTCCTTCTCTGTTCCTTCGACCACCAACTCTCGGCCAACAGCACGCGCCGATGTCATGCAGTCATGTGAGATGGTGCAATTGTCGGCATCCCAAACAGGGTTAATCGTTTCCGGAGCCAGAAGGAAAATGGCGTCGATTATTATTGACGACGTTGCAGTACTGTGTTGACGGGCATGTGGTCCCGGCCAACCCTGTTACGCAGTGCTAGGCCAAAAGTAATAATAGAAAATACCGGAAGTAGGGAGCTGGCCCACCCCCGGCTTTCTGCTTAAGTGAATCAACCTCGACCCGGCTAAACTCCGGCCCCCAAGCTGTGCAAGGCATCAAGGAGCAGTCTTGCCTCCATCACCAATTGACAGGGCATGTCTGAACCTTGAACCTCGTCGCCCTCATCCCATATTGGTCGCCACCATGGCCTCGAAAGTCGCAGCGAAAGCTGCTAGCGGCGTCATGAGCATTACCAAGGTAAGCCCATCAAGCTAAAATGACTCAATGGCTCGATGCCCTGTCAAAGTCGTTGGTCGGTGTCGCGATATTTGCCCGCCTCGACCGACGGGCTACAGCATTGCACCGTCCCGATCTGCAAACGTATCTTCCAGCTCCGAATCTGACATTGGCGCCCCATAGAAACACACACTCCAGTCGGAAGGAGTCTGGGAACGCGTCCGCCGTGCCTTCGCCCTCGACCCGAACCGCTCGTCGGGCGTGCCGCTCAACCCTCACAACCGCAACCCGAGCCCCGGCAGCAATGACCCACTGGAGTACACGGACCCCGTTACGCTCCCGGCCGGCGACATTGCCGACAACCCGTACTGGAAGCGCGACGCGCGCCGCAACTACCCGCGCCCGAGCATCGTCGGGCAGGCCCAGCAGGTCGCTCTGCTCACCGTCGGAAGCGCCGCGGCGCCGCGCGTGGAGCTGATCGGCGAGGCGGGCAGCAAGGCCCTGGTGGCTGCCGAGGAGACGGGCAGGGAGGCTGGCGGTCTGGCCGCGTACCTGGAGAAGAGCGGCGCCGAGGCCGCTGTGCGCTTCCTGGAACTGTCCGGCGGCCTGCCGCCCCTTCCCAGCGGGCAGAGCTTGGCGAGCGGCAAGTGGGATGTGCACAAGTACAGACTAAACGAGGAGCAGTCATATTCGGAAGAGTAAGATTTAAGAGCCCACAGCTGTGCCAGAAATACGACGCTAACGAACTGCACAGCTACCCGTGTAGAACATTTTCTTGAAAGGCCCAGCTCGGATTCAGAGGTATAGACGAGGCGTCGGAAGCGTAGTCACTGTACATAAATAATGGGCTGGCACGAGGGAATCCGCCACGTTAAAAGACACCGGCAGCTCATCCCTTCTCTTTCGTCTCTTTCCCCGTACTCTTGAACCTCTGTGGAGAAGCTGTTTGACAAATGGCCGGCTGCGAATGACAGTGATCTCACAGGTGCCGGGTACGCGATTTAGATGGTGTTGCTAATTAATATGGATACCACTCCAGACTTGAGTTTGTGGATGACCCTTCAGATGCTGTTGGTTCGTTCGGTTTTTGGTTTGCCGGAGCTTGCGGTCTCTTGGAGCCTGTTCCTGTCCCCTCCCCCGACCATCTTCTCGATTATCTTTGCCTTTCCATGGGCTCTCTTTAACCTGTCATCAAAGTCGTTGACTGCTTCATCTGTGTTTTCTGTCGATAAGCTCTCGGCTTCGACGAGGGCGTACAGAGTGGTGATGTGCTTCTCCAGCCTCGGGTTTCTTGGGAGGGGCGGGAGTTGCCGGCTCTTAGTCTCGCGGTCCGGCGTCTCATCCGGAGTATTGGCGGCGACTTCGTCCTGTGCGGGCTTGCTTGCTGCCTTCTCTGTGGCGCCCATGCCGCTTGTCCTGGGCAGCTGGTTTGCCCAAACTATAGCCCTGCCGTACAACGTGCCGCTCTCGACAAACTTTAGGAACCCCTTCTCGAGGCCCAGTGAGCGCCCCTCTGCTCTCCCAGCCCGGATGCCGTCTGCCTGGCCCTCTTTGTAGCCTTCTTGGTAGAACTGCTCTTCCAGGTTGAGAACGTCGTCAAAGGGGTCCTCAGCCATTCTGCGTCTCTTGTGAGTCAGAGTATTGACAGCTTGTTGAGTAACTAGGTTATGACAACAGGATTTTAGCTTTTATTCTGGTTAGCTTTTCTCTGAGCAAATTCCTGCCTGCTATGGCTGGGCTGAATTGGGAGCTCGGAGCTGCTGGAACTGGAATAACGGGCTTTGGCGGGGTCAGGTTTTGATAGAATCGCGGGGCCAGATTTTTTGTGACCCCGCATTAACACCCAAACCCCCCGATCGCAAACTGCATTGACAGTGGAGGGAGGCACAGTGCGATGACTCAACCGGACCACCTCTTTCCTTGAATGCCCAGACCTGCGAGTATATGAGCAATTGAGGTGTGTACTCTGCCCAGATTTCGTGGTTTGGTGTTGCGCAGTACTGACTCCCCATCCGACTGACTAGACCTTGAGTTTCGTTGGTGGCTCCCTCGACATCTATATATCTAACCTCTGGCTGCGACTATCCTCGCCCTTCCTCTGTTATCGACTCTCTCCCGTCGCAACAATGGTGTCAAACCCAATCCTTCCCATACCGGGGAAGGAGAATATTCTTATTACGTCGGCTCTGCCCTACGTCAACAATGTGCCTCACTTGGGCAACATCATCGGGAGCACCCTGAGCGCCGATGTTTTCAGTCGGTTCAGCAAGCTGCGCAATCGCCCAACACTCTGTAAGTCTGAACTTTTACTTTTTGAGTTTGAGCTCTCTGACCTCCTTGATCCGCTAACACAAAGCTTCTAGTCATCTGCGGGACGGACGAGTATGGTATGTGCCCGATATTTCCATGCCCCTGAGCAATCAACATGGCATTGGACGGGGAGGGGAGTGTCCCCTAGCAACTCCACACCCTGGCCACTTCTCGACTGCTCTACGCATTTCCAACGATCTATACAGTATATATAAAGAGGGAAAAGGAACCGATGGCGGGATTGGGATTGCTGACCCCGAACCTCTGCAGGTACTGCGACAGAGACGCGCGCGCTCGAGGCGGGCGTCACCCCGCAGGCGCTCTGCGACGAGTATCACCTCAAGCACAAGGCCGTCTACGACTGGTTCGACATCGCGTTCGACTACTTTGGGCGGACCACAACAGAGAAGCAGACCGAGATCGTCCAAGACGCCTTCCTCAAGCTGCATTCCAAGGGGTTCTTGGAGGAGAGAACCACGACGCAGCCGTTCTGCGAAAAGCACGACGGCTTTCTCGCTGATCGCTTCGTTGAAGGGACGTGCCCGCGCCCTGTACGTAATATACTAGAAATGCACCTCCTTGTTATCTACAGGGGTGTCTGCCATCAATTTGCCCTTCACCCTTCTCTTCTGTGCTGGGCGCAAGCTGACTCCTGAATCCGTAGGGCTGTGGATATGAGGATGCTCGTGGAGACCAGTAAGAAAATGCACCGTAACCGTGTTGCCGGCATAGTCTAGCTTCTTGGTTTCTGAAGTAGGAGTGAATTTTTCTAATCTAACATTTCTTTAGATGCGACAAGTGCGGCAACCTCTTAGACCCCTTTGAGCTCATCAACCCAAGATGTAAGCTTGATGGAGCGACGCCAGTGCCCAGAGACACAGCCCACTTCTTCCTGCGACTGGACAAGCTACAGGGCGATATCGAGAAATGGTTTGAGAATGCCTCCAAGGACGGGAACTGGTCCTCCAACGGAGTTGCCATCACAAAGGCCTGGCTTGACTCGGGCCTGGAGGGCCGCTCCATCACACGCGACATGAAATGGGGTGTTCCCGTGCCGGTGCCTGGCTTCGAGAAGAAGGTCATTTACGTGTGGTTTGATGCCTGCTTTGGGTATCCATCCATCACTGCGAACTATACCGACCAGTGGGAGAAATGGTGGAAGAACCCCGATGAGGTGGACCTCTACCAGTTCATGGGCAAAGACAATGTAGGTCCTACAACCAATGCCCATATTCCTTGGACTAACACTGACCTAAACAATAGGTACCATTCCACACCGTCATTTGGCCTGGCTCCGTCATCGGCGCCGACAATGACGAGTGGACCCTTCTCCATACACTCTCAACATCCGAATACCTCAACTATGAGAACACAAAGTTCAGCAAGTCGAGAGGCGTCGGTGTGTTTGGTGATGGCGCGAAAGAGACTGGTATCGGGCCCTCTGTTTGGCGCTACTATCTCCTGTCCAACCGCCCAGAGTCTAGCGACACTCAAGTAAGCACCCGTCTATTTTTGCTTTCAGAGTCTCATGGCTGACCTTTCGACAGTTCGAGTGGAACGGGTTTGCAGCCAGCAACAACAATGAGCTCCTTGCCAATCTGGGCAACTTTGTCAACCGCGTAATCAAGTTCGTAAATGCGAAGCTGGACGGCGCAGTCCCCGAGTTCTCGTCTTCATATACGGATGAAAGCTTCGACTTCCCCGGCTGGATTGCCGGTGTCAAAACGCTCCTTGCCGAGTACAACAAGGAGATGGAGACGGTGCACCTGCGTGCTGGTCTCAAGAAGATGATGGAGATTTCTTCCCAGGGGAACCTTCTCCTGCAGTATAGGTTGGATAACGCAAACCTGGCCTCGCATCCGGAACGCACCAAGACGGTCATTGGCCTTGCCCTCAATCTCTCGGCTCTTTTGGCCTCCCTTTGCTCTCCGTACATGCCAGGAACTGGCGAGGCCATTGTTCGCCAGCTGAACACGGATCTCAAGTTCATTCCCGACACGTGGGAACCCGAGGCGTTGAAGCCTGGTCATAAGCTAGGCAAGGCCGAGTACTTGTTCCAGCGGATAGACGATAAGAAGATTGCCGAGTGGAAGGAGAAGTACGGAGGCACCCAGGCTAGCCGGGCTGCCGAGGAGGCGGCAAAGGAAGCATTAAAGAAGAAGAAGCAAGAGGACAAGGACAAGAAGAAGGCCAAGAAGGCGGCTAAGAAGGCGTCTGAGGCAGATGAGAGCGTCCCTGCAGGACTTGCGGCCCAGGTCGGCGGTTCTGCTGACGCTCTGAAGACTGCAGCCACAGAGGATGTCAAGCAGCTGCCGATCCGGGAGAAGCCGGTGGAGAAGTGACGGGTATGCTGAGAGAGGGTGCCGATGTCAATGTTTCTTAATTTTCGTCGTAGGCGGATACGGTGTTGGGGTAAGGTCTTGGGAATGAGTGAAATGGCAACGGGCTATGTTCGACAAAAGCAAATTGGATAGTCGGGTTCACGGCGGGACTCCTTTTAGGTGACGCTTCAACCTCGAACGATGTCGCCCGAGATAGAGAACACGTAGTAGAGCGCCTTGACGTAGGGTAGTAGATAGATGCATTCTAGTTTCCCAGTTTTCTAACGGTTTTTGTAGAGAATAGACGAGGACTATTGTTCTACGCACGCCGTCCGTCTGAGAGAGCAGGATTAGTGCAGCATCATCATGCCTCCGTTGGCACACACGACCTGGCCGGTGCACCACGCGGCGTCGGGGGTGCACAGCATGCCGACGATGCCGGCGATCTCGGACGTGTGAGCCAGGCGGCCACCGCCCTCCTTGGCCTCCTCAATGACTTCCGGGCTGTCGACGCCCGGGCGCGGGGCCATGCTCGGGGTGTGCATGATCCAGCCCTTGATGCCGGCCAGGAACTCGGGAGAGTTGCTCGCGTACAGCGGGCCCTCGACGGGGCCCGGGTTGATGGCGTTGACGGTCGCCCGCTCCGCCAGCTCACGCGCCCACGTCCGCGTCATGGCCTCGAGCGCCGCCTTGGTGCCCCCGTACACCGTCTGCCCCACGAACCCCGCCGACGACGACACCGACGAGATGTTGACCACCCGCCCCGTCCGGTTCCGCGGCAGGAACGGCTCCACAGCCTGTGTCACCAGCAGCGGCCCTAGCACGTTGACCCGGTACGTCTCGCTGAACTCGTGCGCCGTGATTGCAGGCAGCGGCGCGTTGAGCGCGATGCCGGCGTTGTTGACCAAGATGTCGATCTGGAACTCTGATGTTGGTGAGGCAAAGGATTCGCGCGCAAACGCGACGATCGCCGAAGCCCCCTCGGCCGTGCCCACGTCGGCCTGCACGCCGACGGCGCGGATCCCGTGCGCCGAGGCCAGCTCGGCGCAGAACGTCGCCGTCAAGGCCGCAGAGGACGCCGACGCGTGGTTTAGTACGAGGTTGCACCCCTTACTCGCGAGGTTCGACGCGATGGCGGCGCCGATTCCTAGGACGAGAGGGAAAATATTGAGGGTTAGTTTAACTGGGGGATGAGATAACTGTTGATGAGACTTGGGGAGAAAAGGGGGGGGGGGGGCGCGAAAAGGGGGATGAGGTTGGGAAAGGGAAACAAGGGGGGGCAAATACCTCGAGAGCCTCCAGTTATTATTCCAAACTTTCCTTCAAGTGGGCGAGACATGGTGAGGTGTTTGGGATGTGATGCCTCCACTCCGAGTTCTGCCTAGGTGTGGTTTGTGATAGTGTATGTATGGAGGGGTAATTAGGATTAGGGGTGAAGTTGTCACAAATCGGAGTCAATCAAAGAACAGAAGGAAGAGAAGAAGAAGTCAATTGAGAACCAGGACAACAGCCCTCTCACATATATATACACCTGTAGGCGGATGCGTATCTGTCGCCACGTTGACGGCTCTCTGGACAGCGTGCGGATTCGTTGTTAGGTAGGTCATTTGCCTCGTAGTTGGAGATCCCCGCATCGACGCTCCGCCCTCAGGGCCCGGCGATGTCAGGCAGACGCCTAGCTCCCGCCCATGCTGCCACGCCATTTGTGCGGCTATAGCAGTGTGGCTCCAGCACCCCCCACCAATACCCTGCGGGGGCAAGCTCGAATCAATTACGGCGCGGCGGTCCAACGCAGAAATCCCACCGGCCCACTCACCAACGGCCTAATTCGAGCTTCCATTCTTACATCGCCATCAGTCACCCAATCCGATCCGGCAGCTGTACCCTGCGCATACATCTCTTCTCGCAATAGACTTTCTTGAAAGATCCGAGGCGTCGTGCTCTGCTCGAGCAGCTGTCAGGATCTCTCTCTAGACGCAGCTCTCTGCCGGAAGCAAAGCAAGCACCAGCGGCACCGGCCCGTGTCACGACAAACGAGACTAAACAAGCAATCAAGACCGCATCCTCCGAGAGCCAAAAAAAAAAGGAGAGATAATTGAAACCGCGAAAGACAAGACACCAGACCGCCCACCATGGACATCCGCTTGCTGCGCCCGTCGGACATCCCGCTGATCCAGCACGCCAACCTCGAGAACCTGCCCGAGAACTACTTCCTCAAGTACTACCTGTACCACGCCCTGTCGTGGCCGCAGCTGTCGTACGTGGCCGTCGACGTGGCGCGGCCGCCCAAGACGCCCTACGACTACCCCAAGATCGTGGGCTACGTGTTGGCAAAGATGGACGAGGAGCCGGCGGACGGCGTGCAGCACGGCCACATAACCAGCTTGTCCGTCATGCGCACGCACCGCCGGCTGGGCATTGCCGAGAAGCTGATGCGCCAGAGCCGTACGTTTTCTTTCTTTCTCTACTTCAAACCCCGACGATAAAAACTCATGGCATCTACAGAGCTCGCCATGGTGGAAACGTTTGGCGCGCAGTACGTGTCGCTGCACGTGCGCGTGTCCAACCAGGCGGCCATCCACCTGTACCGCGACACGCTGCGCTTCCAGACGGAGAAGACCGAGGCTAAGTACTACGCCGACGGCGAGGACGCCTACTGCATGAAGCTGGACCTGGCGTCGATCCGCGAGCAGGTACGCGAGGCGGCGGCGGCTGAGGCCGGCGAGCAGCAGGAGAAGCAGAGCAGTGACGACGCGGCGAGGAAAACGGAGGGCGGTGACGAGGGAGAGGCGACGGATGAGGCGAAAAAGAAGACCAACGGGCACGGCGGCGGTGATGGTGACGGCGGGCACGAGGACGAGGGCGAGGCTGTTGGCGACGTCGGGAGGGATCCCGCCGCCAAGAAGGGTAAGGGTGCTGCTGGCGCCGACAGTAAAGTCAAGGTCAAGGTCGGGAGGGCGCTCGGCGTGGGTGAGCTGGTCGAGAGGGTTGTCCCGAAGCAGTCATGACGGCGTTGTTGCGTGTTTGCTCTTTTTTTGTGAAAAAGAAAAGAAATTGATCTCTTCTCCTTGTTGGGGGGGGGGCTGCGAAATATTGAAAGCGCTTTTAGACCCTCTAGAGAGACAAAAAGGGCAACGTCTGCGTCTGAGGCCAGAGACGGAGACTTGGTGGGTGGGGATCTAAGTTATTAGACGAGTTCTAGGGAGCTATTGCTATAACGTAGACAAAATATATCTCACAGGGGTCGGTCGTAAAAGTTGCAAGCTGAGCTGGGCTGAGCTGAACTGCTGAGGATCGTCGTGCATGCCGTAGTGGCTCTGCAACTAGTGCCATTGCCTAGGTACTAGGTCGCGAATAGAATGCCCCTATGATTTGTGATGCGCAGAGTAGAGAATGGCCGGGCAACAATGTCGTACATACATACAGCAATACAGCACATGAATGTACAGTATACTACAGTGAGTGCATATCTTCTTCCGGTTTCTGGTTCAGCCTCTGCCGCGTTTACTGTGAGGCAAAATGGATGATGAGATCCTCCAAGGCGGTTATTCTGCTCGTACAGAGGTGGACCCTGCAGGACCAGGCAGCTATTTAGAAGATAGATAGTAGACAAGAAGACATAATCCACGCCGTCAGCTTGAAATTGAATTACTGCCCATATCGAGCCACGAGTATCCGTGGGCATCATCACGACCTTGGCTCTGTCTCGGACAAAAACGGGCGTTTCTGATTCTCTCTCGTCAGCAGCCTCGCGGAATGCGCCCGCTTCGGTCGGCAGTAGGACAAGAAAAGGTTGCATGCGCATACGGTCGGCCGGTCAGTGGTATACAATAATTAGAAGAAGAAGATGGCCATGTAGGCAGGTGTAGGCGTGAGGACAGGCGTGAGGACGGAGGTTGGGAGATAGGTAGAGATGTGCAGTGTAGTACCTAGGTAGTCATGCGTGTTTGCCGAGCCAATGGGTGACGGGATGCACTTGTTGCTAGGTTATTAGAGTGCTTGCTATTCAGGGCTGACAACGCCTATCGACTAAGGAAGGCTAAGGGGGCAAGCTCCTTATTTGAGCTCTGGCAAGTTGGAGTGCAAGGTAGGTAGCACGGACATCTTTTCTGCTCCCATCTTTCTCTTATTTACTCTGCCGTCTAAGCGACGAGAAACAAGAAAGGAACGCACCAAGAAAACAAACACCATGTTGCACACGCATGCTCCGTTCCAGAATTCTACCCTGTACCACTGTCTGTCTGTCTCTGTCATTGTGTCATTGATTGTTGAATGCGTGGATTCTTCCTTGAAAGCCTGCTCCACTCCCCCCTTTTCCCGCCGCGGCCCCCCAACAAGAGATGCTGGGATTGCATGATAAAGTACGAAGACGCAAAAAAGTGATGGCCCTTATGAGCGAACGAATGAACTCATACTCCTAGATATCACCACCCGTCGTCGTTCAAGCCCTGCAGCTTCTCGCTGCGCTTCCTGCGCGCGTTGGTCTCGAGCCACCAGCCGCGGGCCGGGTCGTCTCTCCCCCCGGCGGCCGCACTCTCGTCTTCCTTATCCCACGGCTTGGGCGCGAGGATGTAGTGGACGTTCTTCACGCGGTCGTCGCGCCACAGGGGCGCGTGCACGCCGTGCCAACGCAGCGTCTTGAGGGCGTTGTAGACGTAGGGCAGCGCGACCCAGCGGCCCGCGTACAGGCCCGACAGCAGGCTCTGGTCGGCAAAGTCCATGCGCGCCGCGTCGGCGTCCATGTGGGCCACGATCTGCGCGAACAGCGCCGCGCTTGGGTTGACCACCTGCAGCCCGCCGTTCATGAACCCTAGGGGGCCCGCCGCCGCCGTCCCGGGGGCCGGAGCAGTTGTTTGAGCCGCTTCCGGGTCCGCGTGCTGCGACGTGAACGCGCAGTTAGCCGGCGTCCAGTCCCGCGGGTAGTGCGCCTTGCCCAGTGGGTTGCACACGCAGGCGTGGCCGGCGGCGAAGACGCGGCGGGTTTTTGCTGGTGCCGCTAATGGTGCTTCCGGAGATGTGCCGTTGGCGCCGGGGAGGACCGTCTCGGCGGCGGCTTCCTCGGGGTTGTCGAGCTCGAGGTCCATGAGCTCGTCCATGTTGCGCAGGACTAGCATGTCGGTGTCAAGCTGGACGATGCGCTTGTATTGGGTCAGCGAGAAGGGCACGAGCTTGCTCCAGCAGTCATAGAAGCGGGGGTCGTTGGAGTAGTCCTTGCCGCCCGCCGCCGGCATCAGGTACTTGATGCGCTGGCGGGGGATGCCGCGGGCGTCGAGCGCCGCTATGCCCGACGCCGGGAACCCGTCCGTGTAGAGCACCACCAGCGGGTATGCCGAGCCGACGCTCTTGAGCGAGTAGTCGAGCGTCAGGAGCCCCGGGAGGTAGTCATTGTTGGTGATGAGGCAAGTCCAGACTGATGGTTTCTCGCCCTGCTGGTCAGCCAGGGGTCGGCGACAGGGCAGCATGGACTCGGAGAAGAGAGGAGAAGAGTATCGAGGAAACAAAGAAGGACGGAGATAGGCTAAAGTGTAAATAGACTTGCCTTTGTCGGAATCGACCGCCCGCTTGCCGTCAGACATGCTAAGGGTAGGTCGCGTAAGGCTTGGAGGCGATTATTCACACCGTCACCTCTCGAGAGCAAGAACAAGAAAGCAGCATCCGTTGGGACACTCGAGACGGAAGACGCGAAGCACGGCAACCGCCGTCTCCTCTCGAGGGAAGGGCCATCTCTCCACATTTAACGTTATCAAGGCGTCAGCCATGGCTGGCTTAGACTTTCACATTCCAAGTCCGAGGCTCACCTTCTTGGCCGATACCCACGTCACGCTACAACTCGCCCCTAAACCCCATCAAGTATCAAGAATCCGAAGATTGCGGTGTGAAGTGCGAGGAACAGTAAAAATAGGAAGAATAGAAGTCCCATGGATTACATCTCGTTACAAGTGATTCGATAACAGGGCCGGCCCATTACCAATCGGGTCCTGGCCGTGCGTCCTGTTTTCCGACCCCAGCACAGGATTTAGTAACTTGATGGTATTTTCCCAATCCCATACCCCTATGTTCGGCTCTCTCTTGTTATTGCCCTCCAACGGTCGCTCTTAACTTTTGCTTATAAGCTCACTGCTGCATTCGGGCTAACAGCCAAAGAAATATCATCAAGCCCCCTTCAATGCTCAAGCCCGTGACTGGCCGTCCTCAAGAAATGTCTCGGTCAAGCGGCCATTAGCGGGATTCTTCTTAGCGCCAGGGGGGACAAAGACACATTCCACTAGAGTCCATCCAAGTCTTTTCATATCCTGCCATTTGTCCTGCACTTTGAGTCGCACAAGCTCTCCTGCAGCGCGGGCGTCCTCAGCACTGTCATGGCCCACAATTTTGCCGTCGACTTCGGTTTTCTGGATAACCTTGTTGAGTAGTGTATCCATAAGCATCTTAAGGCTGTTGCGAAGTGGCAGGCCCCGGCGGTGAGGATACAGGAGTATGGTGTCGATGATGGTAGGGTGGACGATACGGAGCGCGTTCAGGTCGTTCTCGAGGCCATGCCCTATGAGGGGAGTCTCGGGCGAGACGAGCGAGAAGAGGAGATCACGCGCTACGATTGGCGACGATACGATCTGCATCCTCTTTCGCTTGGGCTGCGGGTCGTCAACCTCGCCCTCCTCTATTTCTCCTTCCCATTCTCCGCTCCCGTCGTTTGCTGTCGCCTCCTGTTCGTGGAAGCCTTCGGCAGACCACGGCTTGGCATTCACAATGTCCTCGGCCAAGATACCCGAGAATCTCGAGTTCAAGTCCAAAACCTCACCGACGGGGTGAACTAGCACGTCTAGCAACTCTTTACCGTCGGGCCAGCTCGTCGCCGTGAGGCGGACCAACTCGAGCCCGTATACCGTGTAGCACATTTCGCAGTCAAAGCAAACAGCACGATCTTTTGGCGCCAAGGGGTTTGGCGGTGTCTCGGCAAATGGCAGTAGTGCTGCTAGGCGAGAGGGAGAAGGCGCCTTGAACACATGAGTCTCGCCCGTGGTGCAGCCAGTCGACTCGCCCACCTGCTGGCCGCAGCACCGGTATCGCTGTGCCGGCTTGTCCGAACTTCCCATAGTCCGGTCGGGGTAGTACATTTTCCCCCAGTGATGGATACATTTTCCACCCGAAGTGAGCGCCCCGTCCTCCTCGCGGCGGCCGGGAAAGACGCGGAAGCGGGTGGTGCAGCGGTCGCATACCTCCCAGCCCCTCGACGCCTCTTCCCCGGCCCGCGCCTTAGCAATGTCTTCGTCTGTAGGAACAGTAGTCACGTATCCCATGTGCGCGAGGGAGGTGACGGGGGTAAGGAGACGCGACAGGAAGTCAACCTCCTGTGCCGGGGTTAGACCAGTGTCAACCTCCTTGGGGGGGCCTTGGAAGAACTTGACAACGGGTTTCTTTGCGTCCTCCTTCTTCTTTAGCTCAGCGGCGCGCTCGTCCTTCCATTGGACGACGGTCATGCGCTTGTAGCTCATAATCTGGTTCTTGATGACGTTTTGGTAGATGGAGGGCTTGTCGGTAGCCATTTTCTCCTCAATGTCAAGTGCCATCCAGATGATCTCTTGATCCGAAAGCACAAACTTGGCCTCGCTGTCGTTGGCGTCCTTCTTAATTTCCTTGTTGAGGCGCTGGTACTGCTCATGGAGCATCTTCAGAGCCTTGTAGCGGAAGTCATAAGCGGCAGGAGCTGTGGATTTCAAATGCCTGGGGTTCAGTGATTCCGCCTTCCGGGGGGTTGCGGCTTGAATAACGGCGACCTTTAGGGTAGAGGAATGGGTAGCAGTAGTGCCAGCTCTGGCAGGGGTGGTGATGGGGGTGGTAGTAGGGCCTTCTGAAGATCCTGATATGAAAGGGTTCCGGAATGTGTGAGATGAAGGTGCCGGCTGGGGTTCCTTGCGCTTCAGAGGTGGCGGTGATACAGCCTTCTTTGTCGTCAAGAGAGGTGCAGACGCGGGCACGTGCGGGCGGTGGTTGGCACTTTGGGATTCCGATGAGAGCCTGCGGCGTTTCCGTGGTCCGCCTTGGTCGTGGTCTTGGCCGCGGCCGTGGCCGTTGTTGTGCGACTCAATGGGTCGGGGAGCAGTAGTAGTAGTAGTAGTAGTGGCTGGGGGACTGGCGGATTTCTTATCCCAGGCGTGCTGCCACTGGCAGTTTGTTTTTAAGCAGCCATCCCCAGAAGGGCAAGGGATGGTCTTGAAATTCCTTAGAACGGCGTCCATGGTGAGAGCGGCCGTTGGTGCTGTGCCTTTGGCGCGATCAAGCCGCTTAATCCCGTGCCTGTTTGCGTTTGCTGACTTGGACCAGGCCGATGACGTCGGACCACCCGCATGTGAAGAGATGGCCAAGTCGCGGACGAGGTACCGTGCCGGTAGCTAGTCCCAACAAGATCAGACCTTTTATTAGAAACAGCAGCCTGTCCTGAACTGATGCAAACGACAAGACGGGGTGGCGGTTTGCTGCGTCAAAGGAAGGGAGGAGGGAGAGGCCAGATAGGTGATGAGACCCTGGAGTCTGGATGAAGTAAAGGCGCATGCGTACCAAGCCAAGACCAATACCGAAACGAGCACCGATGGTTTAAGACTGAATACAATGCCTTGTGCGGCATCGGCATCGACGTCGTCACACGGCAGTAAAAGAGCTGTAAGCAGGGCACCTGGGAGAGGGTGAGGCTGTCAGATCGCACACAAATTACTGAGACCAAAAGCCCCACAGGATTCCATCCCCGGCACTGTGCTGTGCTGTGCAGCGGCGATGCAGAGAGCTTGACGGCCACCCGAGACGAATGAGGAAGAAAGCACAGGCTCGCCGGGCTGGCTTTGTGCTAAGACAAGTCGCGGCACAGGCGGGGGGGTGGGGTAGAAGGGGGAGGGAGGGTTCAGGTTCCACATCGTGTCAGTCAGGCAGGAGGTATGCAAGGTACTGTACCTATAAGTAATGGACAGGCTGGCAGGAAACCCGAACTGACAATGTTCGGAATAAAGACGTCGCCGTCACGATCTCTGAGATAGGCCGGCGGTGGTTTCGTCCAAAAGGCGCAGGCAACGGGTGGCTTGGCCAGCGTTTGTCTCGGAGACTAATGAGTGATGGAGTGGAAAGGTACGGAGATGTCTGACGAGTTGGCACTTGGCAGGCGCAAGTCATAATTCGTCTGGCCCCGCCTGATTCAGAAACGCATGGTCTTCAAAGTGGGAATTCGCCAATCTGCAATCTACGTTATGAATTCCCTAGAGGGAACCGGGGCTGCTGCTGCGGCAGATCTGATGAGAAAAAGCAAAAGGGTTGATTGCTGTTGGGCCGCTTTGTTTCAGAGCTAGTTCTTTATTGTCAAGCGAAGCGGATTGTACCCAACGCGTACAGTACGCGGATACCAGGTTGTACAGTATCGAATACCTTAGGTACTCTGTTAGGGCAGCCGTTTGTCCAAAAATTATTGGCCAAGAAATGAGGCTGCATTTAGTGCCTCTCAGCCTGTGGGGCTTGCAGCTCAAAGTGGGCACCGACGACGCCGCTACGCCGCTGCTGACAACCACTGGAAACGCCTCCCAACCCCATGATGATTCAACCAACACAAAGGTACCGTAGGTAATAGAAGCGAAATCAGTGCCTATATAAATGAATACTAAAACTCTCTCCGGTTACTTCTTGGATTCAAGACAAAACTTAAATTAACATTAGGTATCGCGCGACGAGCAGATGCTTTAAATACAGTCACTTGCCATACTCAGGTTTACTAAAGCATGTCTTGAATACAGGTACCAAGTCATGGCTTAATGCGTTGCAAGGCATGCCCAGCCTGCTTGGCTGGGCTCTGTTTGGGCTTTTGGGCATTCCGAAGCGGGGATATACATGATAGTCAACCTAGTAATACACAGAACGCAGCAGTTCCGATTTTGACCATTACCTCCTGCTGCCAGGACCTAAACGCGCTCTCCCTTATGGCCTGCCCACGTTCATCAACAGATTCGTCCCCTTGCCGCCGCCCGGCACGTACGCCACGTTGGGGTTGCTGGCCAGGACCTGCGCAATCTCCCTGCTGGCCTCAATCTTACGGATCTGGATGAGGCCGTCACCGGCCTTGGCGATCGCCCGGCTGATGGTCTCGGCACTCTCGGCCTCGCCCTCGGCGCGGATGACGTTGGCCTGGCGCTCCTGTTCGGCCCGCTCGACAATGAAGCGCGCCCGCTCCGCATCCTGCTGCGCAATCTGTTTCTGCTCGACCGCCTTGGTGAACTCCTTGCCGAACGTCATGTGCGTGATGGACACGTCTTCGAGCATGATGTTGAACTCGCGCGCCCGCTTCATCAGGTCGGTCCGGATCCGGTTCGACACCGCCTCGCGCTGCGTGATGAGCTCTGCCGCGTCGAACTGCGCCACGATCGACTTGAGCACCTCATTGCCGATCGAAGGGAGCACACGCTCGTCGTAGTCTTGGCCGAGTTGCTGTGGTGATGGATTAGCCGAGAGAATGATATAATCACGTGGCGATGGCATCTGCCGCTCACCTGATAGATCTTGGGCAGCGCCCGCACATCCGGACGGTGCAGCACTCTCAGCGTCAGGCTGACCATCTGGAGATCCTTGCTGCCGGTTGTGGTGGGAATGTTGCGTGGCTTTGTCCGCACGTCGAAGACAATGGCCTTCTGCAGCCACGGCACCAGGAAGTGGGTGCCCTCGTTAACCACCTTATCCTTCACTCCCGACACTCTATCGAAAATGACAGCGCGCGAGCCGCCCTTGACATCGTAGATGGATGACTGGAGGAGACCCCCTAGAACCGCCGCGGGGACCGCAGCCTTGTAGAGAAACCCAAGCCCGGCGGCTGCCATTGTGATTTTATGCTGGACGCTTGCGCGCAATTGAATCTGCCTTCGAGAGTAGCGGCCGGTTGGTCGGTCTGTCGATTTGTCTGTATTGAGCTTTCGATATGTTCGGCGATGGGATTGATGGAGCTCTTCCCAAAAGTGGAGCTAGGCTGGCAGTGCTTGTGTGAGAGGTGGTGTGTGTCGTCGGCTTAGTCGCGGCTGAACTTTTTTCGGCGGAATATGCCGTTTGACCGCTAAACCGCTTTTAGGTAGCGGCCCTGCTTTCCCGGCCTGCTTCCTGGTGATTTCAGAACCTCAATCCAACGAACGAGAGCTCCCTTTCCGAGTCCGACCTGCTCCGCGAGTCTGCGATACCCACACCCAATTGAATCCCCGACGCGTGCCACCCCGACCGACAAGCGATTCACGATGCGTCCTACAATGATGATGAGATCTGGCGGTGGTGGTGAGGTTGGCAAGCATAACAAGTCAGTCTCCATCTTGTCGGATGCGCTCTTTTTCCATGAGGCCTGCTACTGCAGCTCCAGCACGCGCCGCGCTCGCTGGAATTACTGCGTTTTTGCTAACACTTTGTACAGCTTCATCGGAAACTGGGGCAACTTCGGTAAGTGAGACGCACAGGGCTGCCGGGACGAACTGGCTCGATTGGCGAAAGGAGGCCTGGTCCTCGGACGAAGCACGCCTGTGGAGATGGGCAACGAGATCGATAGACGCTGGACAGTGGCACGTCGATCCAATGGATCTTGTCTGACTTGTTGGTGTGTGATGCGAATAGGTGGTCTCAAGCAGAAGGGCATTGTCACCTATGGCATTAGCATGAACCGCCAAAACCCGTTGGCCGGCACATTCCACGATGCGATCTTCAACACATGGAGGCGATTCAGTGGCCAGGTTCTCTACTGGGCGCCCCCGGCGATTGCCGGCTACTACATCGTGAGCTGGGCCATCGAACGGTATGTCGTGATGCTGGCATGTGGACGGAGGACGCACTTCTAACCAGTTTACAGGAACGAGTACCTGAACTCGAAGGCCGGCCGGGCCGAGTTTGCCGATTCGGAGTAAGGCGGAGACGGCGTAGGGCGTGAGGAAGAGAGTCGTGTGCCAAATAGACAACCCCTGTACATCACCGATGGGCTCAGCAAGGCCGACTTGGAATTGAGCATAGACCTTATTGCTATCATGCCGCTATGTTTACTCTTTGATTGCCTGGTGAAAGTGATACGACAGACTAGCTAAAGTCCCTCTACCCCTCGCCACTCTCTCCATTGTGGCATTGCTTCCCTCTGCCGCGGCGGGAATTTCTAGCTAACTTGGAGGGAATCGCCTCTGCGAGGGGTTGTGGTGCCAGATATTCAGCTTTTGCAGGTGGCAGTGGAGCGTGGGCAAATACTCCATATATTGAGGCTTCCAGACTAATTGTTGAGTCTTTTGGGAAGGCTCTCCGGACTGTATCTTTAAGATAGATCGGAGTGGGTATTATGCAGCCTTGACCGTGTCTGTGGTATTACTCGGAGATCCGCTAGAGAGAGAGTCTTTCAAATTGTACAAATCAAAATTTATTGTCCTTGCTCCGAGAATGTTTTGAGCTTCCAACTATAAAATGACTAAAATCGACCACGCGGCTTTCCTGCTTTCATGAATTGAACTATAGTACAGTGAACACTCAAAGGTAGTTGTGTTCCTTTTACTGTGTATTGGTGATGAGTAAAAGCTACCTACCTATATCCCCACTGCGGTATCCGTAAATCTATAGACAACATTGTATATGTGCAATACTCACAGAGTCCGAAAACAAATAAATATGCTAAGCTGCTCCTCGAGGACTATAAGAGGTGTGGAAATGGTAGCCGAGGATTAACCTGAGGATCCTGAGGGAAGCCCGAAGTGAAGGGAACACGGCTGTTACCTAGTTGGAATCCAGGTCGCCTGAAATGTGTTGGAACTTGAGTGGCGGGCGCCTGATTGAAGATTACTAGGTACAGGTATACCTTAGCTCTCGAGAGCTGGCTATCTGTTTAGCAATTTCATGGCAATTGTCTAAACGTGGCTTACAACTGCCTTACGTATGCCGCCTCCCGTTGTCGTGGCTCCTCTCTTATTATTGATATGAGCACAAGCCAAGACAAATTGAGTTACAAAAAGTTACCGGTGTCTTCAACTACCGTACCTCCTTAGGTCCCCAGGCCAATGCACCTAAACTTGACAGGACTTGGGCTAAATGTTGTCCTCGGTTTATTTTTGTGAGAGCCTTAACCTAAACCAGAACGCACCTCTCAGAATTGATGCACCGAGACGCCGTGGTCCCTGCCAAATTGTCAGTCGAGCAAGGCACGTGAATAGATCTGGGTGCTCAGGGTCTTTGCATTTGTTGGGCTTTGACAAGGAATGGGCGCCGCCCGTTTTGGCGAACCTCTCGCTAGCGCTACGTTTTAGTGCCAGGACTGCCCAGCAATGAGATTCACGAGAGACGTCGGGTCTTATTACTTCACCTCGTCGGCCCCAGCAGAACTACCTAACGTGAGACGGCCCACGGAGGTTGCAACCTGGCTAGTTCCTGTCAAATCCTTTTCTTCGCCGAGAGGCTGCGTTCGCCGGAAAACTGGTTTGGAAGGCGAAAAAGAAACCCATCGGGCTCCAATTTAGGACGTGCCGAGGCTGACGACATTGCTTCTCGTCTCATCCAGTCTGCCCCTTCTATCTATTTGCTTGCAGGCAAGCAACGCTACGCTACCCTCGCTACAGGTGCGGATACGGTATACCCCAGCGCAGCGCCCCAGCGCAGCGCCCAAGCCTGTGCCGCTCGTCGCCGAGCGCCCACTCTCAACTTTCTCGGCAGCATCGTCAACAACCGAACGCTCCCGCTTTTGGGTGCTACTGCGCATCAAAATCCTCCCCTCCCGAGCGGAGCGCACACAAGCCCGTCTACCTATTCGAGGCCGCGCAGCCTCTAATTGCAGATTGCCGCATCCGCCACAGCTGCAGGACGAGCGATTCCGAGACTAATAATTGCAGCGTTTCCCCCGACGCAGTCGCATCCATCGCATCGCATTGCTTCCCTTCATAGCTTTCTCGACATCGATGGCAAGATGAACTCCCTCAACATCATATCGGCCCGAGTCTCCCCCGCTTCAAGTCCAGCACCCACTCGAACAAACTCCCTCAGTGCACTAAGCATCGCCGTCAGCCCCGACGATGACCGGCCACACGATGCCGACGACAAGTCTGCCGTCCTGGGCAAGGACAGATTGACAGCCGAGCCCGATGTTGAGACGTGGCCTTCATCGTCCGAGGACCGCGACCATGCGATCGACGAGAATACCCCCTTACTCCCACATAGCAACGCAAAGCCGTCCAGCCCGCGCGGCTTTCCGTGGTCTCTCTTACCCAAGCGCATTGCAAACACATTCATCAACTCGATACGATGGGTGCTTTCCACACTAGCCGCACCTGGCGTATATCTGATCGCCTGCCTCTATGACCATGAGGGCAACTTTGCGCCCCTTTCCCAGCTAAGGAAGCTCTTTGGCCTTCACGGGGGCAACGTTGAGAAGATGGCCGTCGAATATCACGAGAGCATGTCGTTGTCCGAGAAGGGCGGCCAGGTAGACAGCTCGGACAACAGCAGGGCCAGGGCATCGCGCTTCCTCGGCTCAAGCGGCTCTTCCTCATCCGGACTCTCATCCGAGTCGGACTCAGATCCAGACCGGAGGCGGCAGGGGGGCAGTCGGACTACAAGCGGAAGGCACTTGCGCTCCAAGTCGCTTCAAGACTCGGAGGAAATAGCACCGGCGCGGCGGTCCATCCGGATACGACTGCACTCGGATGACACGCTACGACAGCGGAAGCATAGGAAAGCGCAGTCGGCGAGTGCTCGGTCTAATGGCGAATCCAGTGCTTCGTCCAACGACATCTCGGCGCATCTCAAGTCTCCCACTTCGCCAGTGGGAGCCCTCACCAAATACCCAAAGACACCGGCCCCCCCTAGGCCCCTAATACCCCGCCGGCAGCCCTCATACATCAACATCGACCCGGCAAGCCTCAAACACCAAAAGACTTTGATCCTGGATCTAGACGAGACGCTGATCCACAGCATGTCCAAAGGAGGCCGCATGAGCACAGGACACATGGTGGAGGTGAAGCTGAGCACGACATATGTGGGCGTGGGCGGGCAAGCGAGCATCGGCCCCCAGCATCCTATCTTGTATTATGTGCACAAGAGGCCGCACTGCGACGAGTTCCTGCGCAGGGTCAGCAAGTGGTTCAACCTCGTCGTCTTCACCGCGTCGGTGCAGGAGTACGCGGACCCAGTCATCGACTGGCTCGAGTCAGACCGCAAGTATTTCTCGGCGCGGTACTACCGCCAGCACTGTACCTTCCGGCACGGGGCCTTCATCAAGGACCTGAGCTCGGTCGAGCCCGACCTGAGCAAGGTCATGATCCTCGACAACAGTCCGCTGAGCTACATGTTTCACCAAGGTGGGCCTAACTTCATCCCGGACCGACCCTCGTTCTTCCCCTCTAACTGCAGCCGCAGATAATGCGATCCCAATACAGGGATGGATCAGTGACCCGACGGATGGTGACCTGATGTATTTGATACCCTTCCTCGAAGGTCTGCAGTACGTGTCTGATGTCCGGGCGCTCTTGGCTTTGCGCGGCGGAGAGGATGGGCAGCACATGGCCTGAGATACCGTTGTACATGTGTAATTGAGAGAAGAGATTCGGGAATGATGGGAAAAGGGTCCATAGCAGCAGTTATTAACACTCGCAGAGCCGTGAGCATCAGACACGGGGATTTTTAGTGTAATAGCGAACACGGTGCTGCACGCTCCGGGAATGGCGCTGCACCCACATTTTTGGCGGGGTAGTTCTGGACGCCGCCCTCACAACCAGTTCCTTCCTCTTTCCATCGCCAACAAGCAAGCGAAGCAATCGCCCTAATAACACCTGTTCCTTCCGTCGTCAACAAGCAAGCGAGCCCTACTCCTTGCAGTCGCCCTAGGTGCACGCACATTCAATCTTCATCATCATCAAAGCCATCCGCCCACATGGATGACAAGAGAATAATCACCGAGCTCAATCGGCTATCTCTCTACCCCACAACGCCCCCAGAGACAGTATCTCCCGCCTCCCCCATACCGTCTATAGGCTTGCCGGTCTTGGGCATCGATAAGATTATCGCCGAAATTCGCAATCGCATCTGTGGCCGAGTCGAGGCCGAAGAGGAGTGGTGGTGCATCAGCCTTAGTCGTGACGAGTTCAAGGCTTTCGAGGCGCGTTTGGAAGCTGAAGGAGATTACCGCTGGCCAAAGTAGGTAGCCTGTCCCTCTGTCCCTCTTTACTAGCTGTCCCTTGTTCAGCGTTGCAGTGGCTAACCTCTGATTAGGTACGGCTACTTCCCTTATATCTTGGGACAGTGACAATAACCTAGGCTGGAGTGGGAAAAAGATGGCGAATGGCTGCCTTGCCAATCCAAAAGCTTCCAAGCTCTGGAATGAAGAAAAGCGGGTGTTTGCAGCGAGCCACCAAGCCCGTTTGGGTGGCATGGTGGGGTCACCTGCCGGGGGTGACCAGGGGGGAGGAAGCAAAAAGGTGGTGACATCATACTGCAGCGTTACAAAGGTGCCCTGTCCGGGGGAAGCTACGAGGTGATGATGTGATGCTCTGGAAGGGAAAAGCGCACCAAGGTTAGAGAGAGAGCTGGTACTATTATTGGTGTGCATTTTCCCAGCTGGGCTTGAATCGTGACGCACAAAGGAAACCAGTGCCCCATCTTTTTTCCCAACCGGCGGTTTTTTATAAGCCTCCTTGCTGCTGCCCCTTTCAGACTCTTGTTCCCTTTTCAATTTCTTACTCTCGTGAACAAACAAACCAAAGCCAATTCAACAATAACATCGCTCTCCAGAAAATTCTTCGATCACCTCGCCCTAACAACCAACAATCCCCAATCACCATGTCTCTGCACTGTTAGTGAAGCCCTCTCCGCTCTCTGCCCTCCTCCCCCGGCTTTATTGCCTGCCTGGTGGTCTCTCTGGTGCTGGATCGGCCGTCGTGTTACGCCACCCGCACTGGAAGATGGACTCGCTTCTCGGTCACATCGCACTGGCCTTCAAGTTTCAGCATTCAGCCCCAACACTGGTCGTTTTCTGTGTGCAATTGGCGGCGAGGAGCGCAGAGTGAGATTAGTTGGTCGATGAATGTCCAGCTCCACTGTTTAGAGAACATACTGAATGCCGATGGATATTTGTCGGCTTATTTCTCACCAATCTGCCCAACATTGAAACTGAGAAACACCAGTCTTGGGCTGGGTGATGATAGAAAAGACGGAGCCACATCTAGGTGGACCAGAAATTGGCCATGACGAATCTCGATACATCGTCAATTGAACGATAATCCATGTCCGCGGTGCTAACACAATGACCCTTTCCAGACCTCCCTGCGGTTAAGCCCTCGGCCATTGCCCTTGGCACCGTCTTCAACCAGACCGCTGAGCTGGCTGTTTTGGGGCCGCTCTTCGGCCAGACCTACCAGCGCGCCAAGGCCTCCAACACCAAGGAGGAGTTTGTCCGCTCGCGGGAAGCTACCGGCGCTGCTGTCGCGTGGGGCACGACCCTCGTCGGCTCGGCTCTTCAGTCGTACGGTGTTGGTGCCCTCATCAATGCCACGGGAACACTCAGCTACAAGGGTGCTGCCTACCTCGGTGCTCTGATCTTCGCGGCCAGCAATGCTCCCACCGTAAGTACCGTCCCCTCCGTGAAAGTCTCACGCCAAGACCAACCCGCAATTCAACGCTCGAGAGCGGCAAGTATCCTGTCGACTAACACAATATGAACAGTTCATTAGCCAGATTTTTGTCGAGAAGCAAACCCTTGAGACGGTAGGCGTCAGTGTCTTAGCCAAGCTCTTCGAGACCGTTGGTCTGTCCGTATTCCTCACCTGGTGGGGAACACGCACCAACCCCTTCGAGTAGTAAGTTCGCCCTAGACATGACGCCCCTCGAGATTCGGATGGGAACAGGAGCAAGCAACCTAGACAGTAGGCTGACCGTGCAGAGAAAACAGCCCCGGTGCTGGTGGAACTCCCTTAACGCGTAATGCTTTCCGTTCCGAGTAGGGGTGTTTCGGGGTGAAGAGATGAGAATGAACATGGAGAAGATACTTCTTCCGTGATGGGAAAATGACGCTCCTGCAGTTAAAGAGTACATACCCTGGGTACAATGGGGTGGTGGATCGATCTCTGGGGGTTTTCCTTGCCTGTAATTTTACAGTGGCTTTTAGCATCCAGAGGAACGAAACTTTTTTTAGATGATCATTGCTTCCGTGCCGTGATGCCGTTTAATGGGTACACCACTGGGTTGACCATGCAACAACACAGGAGAGGCAACACCGAGTCTATGCTTGAGAAGGGAGTAAAAGGATGTGCGTTGACTCAATCAATGGGACAAGATACGATGCATCATAACCCTTTCGTCAAATGCTGCGACAATATTTAGAGACCCCCCCCCCCCTCTCCAGGTTGAGAAAACGCCGTTCCGTACACGGAGATATGAAGAAAAACAGAGACACCAATAGAAACTCTCCCATGAACCCGGCAGTGGAAACGAAAAAAAATAGTCAGACCCTACAATTCTTTATTTCTGAGTGCCCACTCCCTTCCCTCCATGCCCACATCCCCGCCTGTTCCATTTCAAGGCGTGTGATGGAGCAATACACACTTCGGTAATTCAATATCGACACCAATACATCCGTCCCAGAACCATCCACATCCGTGTATGGCACGAAACCCACCCGCAAACATGATCCTCTGGGCTGCTGAAGGGAAGGAACCAAGGCCAGGGGAATGTGCGTTTTACAAATTCGGAGAGTTTTCGTTTTTGATGTTCGGAGGGGTATTTTTGAGGTTGGTCCGAGGAAGGGTATTCCTTTATTTTATTTTTTCTTTTATCGCTTTTTTCTCAACTGGTTGGGTGAAACAAAATCAAGTCGACTTGGTCCGCTCCGCAACCTGTAGCGGGTGAATGTCCTTGACCCACGGCTCGACCTGCGCGTGCCACTGCTTCTGGGCGAGCTTGGCGAGCTCCTTGAAGGCCTCGGAATACTCGGCCGCACTGGTCTTCTTGTCGTCTCCGTCGGCCATGTCGGCGTCGTCGCCGCTCTTCTTGCCGCCGGCGGCAGCCTTCTTGCCCTCGGGCTTGAGCATGACGACGCTGGTGGCGCGCTTTGTGCACGCTGCCTGGCCGAGGTCCGACCGTGAATTGACGAACAGATACGGCACGCCGTGCTCCTCGCACAGGATCGGGAAGTGCATGATGACCTCCATCGGCGAGATGTCTGCGGCGATGATCACGACCCCCCCGGCCGTGGATGCTGACGTCTTGTTCGACGCCTTCCGCGACGGGCACTTCTTGATGGCCTTCTCGCACTCCTTGACGCCGCGGTGGATCGCCTTGAGCTTGGCGCCTGAAAGGTGGAAGGAAAAAAGGTATTGTGTCAGTTCTCAAGTCTTGTAATGATGGAAAAGGGGTAACCAGGTTTCTTCATTTTGGAGCTTCCCAGAAACAGAGAGAAATAGAGCAAAGAGAACGGTCTGGGTATTTACCCTTCTTGATCGTCTTGAGAATCTTCTTGTGTGCCTTCTCATCGGCGAGCGGCAGCGCAAACGGCACCAGCTCCTCCGTCACGGTTACGGCGTCTTCGGGATTTGTGGTGGGAGCGGCGTCGGTTTGCGACGCGACGTCATCCTCTATATCATCGTCGTCCTCCTCGTCCACGCCCGCAGATGCGGCGGCGTCGGCTTGAAGGTGGGCATCGAGCGCGCGCGCAAGCTTGTCCTGCTTGGCCTTATCTTTCTTCTTGTCCTTCTTCTCCTTTCGGATGCCGTCGGACTCGCTGCGCTTCTTCTCCTTGTCGACCCTGTCCGACCTTTCCGACCTGTCCTTGTGCTTCTTGTCCTTCTTTAGCTTCTTGTCGTCGACAACGCCCACAGCCTTGTCTCTGGACCCCATTTTTATCTTTCGGAGGGCGGGTGGTCGGGTTGGAGCGGGTTCTGTAGTGATAGCAGGAGCAAGTCGGCGGAGGAGGGAAGGAAGTAACTCGGAAATTTTTTTTTCTCGGAAGGAAAGATGCCTGTCAAAAAATGTGCTGTCCGTGGTAAGGGCCCCGTCTCGTCGCGTGAGATTGTGCAAGGAATTCGATTTTGTGCCGAGTGTGCTGGACCTTCCCACCTTAACTTTACCGAGTCCACCTGCAGATTTTCAGTCGAGAGGTTCCCGCGAAATTTTGTAGGCCAATTGTAAGGCCGTTCCGTTTTCAGTTTTCTTCAATTGATTGTCCTTATCGCGTCTTATCTGACTATTAGAATAAGCTTTTAGAAGTGGGATAAGTGGGACCTGCCGTTACTATTGTCCTAGGCGAATAGCTTAAAGACTTTGGGTGAATGCCCCACCCCCACCGCCCGCCTAGAAGCGCAAAGCCGGAGGGGAAGCTTTTAGTGGCCTAGTTGACTCACAGCGCAGCCAGAAAAGTTTGGGCCAACCTATTCAATTCGAAGCTACAGAAGCCGAACTCGTAGAGAAGTGACCTTGTTTGCTCTACACCTCGTCCGTTTCCGTCCAAGCTCGCAGCTCCCTCTAGCCGGTTAATTTTCTTTCTGGAGCTCGCCCAGGTTCGTAAGGCCGGTGGAAAGCTCATCCCTGTCCGGACACTTTTTCTCTTGAATCTCATCACACCTGTCAGTCACTGTTCTCACAAAACAGGAGCCCAACATCAAAGGTAGCGACGCCTAGGCTCGAGAGACGACCAGCCATGGCCCCCTCACAAGCAGGCTACGCGCCGAGCTTGGACAAGCTACTGAAGTCGCTCAAGAACCACCCGCTCGAGGCGTCAATTGATGCTCTAATCTTGTGAGTACCGTACCGTATAATAACTCGACGGCAGCTGCTGCACGCCATGCGCAAGTCTCCTAACTCGTGTCTCTTTATAGTCTCTTGACGCGGAGACAGGTCCACGGGGACGACTGCGCCATTGCGACTGCCCACATCCTGCTCCAGGTCGTTGCGAGGTCCAAGTGGAACGACGTCGACCAGCTGCTTGCCCGTGTGCAAAAGGCCGGTTCAAGGCTCGTCTACGCTGCCCCCGATGAGCCCGTCATCGGTAATATTGTGCGGCGAGTTCTCGGCCTCATCCGTGACGAGGCATCCGAGGAGAGGAATGCCGACGACCTCAGCGAGTCGGCTTCAGACATCCAGACGCTTACTACGAGCTCAAGCCCTCCCCCGAGGCCGCCGCCTCTTGTGCGGTCGACCACGGCTGGAGGAAGCATGTCGGTCTCAAAGTCTATGTTCAACCTGCTTTCGGTAGCAGATCCAGCTGACCTGCCCACTGGAGCCTCGACCCCGGTGTCTCAGGCGCAGCCGGCCAGCATACAGGCATTGCGCTCCGAGGTCATTGACGGCATCGAGGAGATCATGGATGAGATCAGCCAGGCCGACGATCAGATTGCGAGCTTCGCCGAGATACAGATCAACCCGGGCGACTACGTGCTCGTGTATAGGCCGTCAAAGACGGTCGAGAAGTTTCTAGTCAAGGCGGCGTCAAAGCGGCGATTTACCGTCTTCATTGCTGGCCTCGAGCCGCACAAGAAGCAGGGCGCCGAGGCCCCCTACGCTGCGCTGCGTAAGAAACTCAACGCAGCCGGGGTGAATACGGTCAACCTCGCCAGCAATGGCTTGACGGCCTATATGGCCAGGGTCAGTAAGGTCGTGATCAGCGCAAAAGCCGTCTATCAGAACGGGGGATTGTTGGTTGACAGCGGGTCTTGCATCGCCGTCCAAGCTGCTGAAGCGTATTCCAAACCCGTCATCGTCCTCTGCGGCGTGTACAAGTTCTGCCCCCAGGACCCGTCCGAAGAGCTCTCGTGGGGCGGCGTCAAGGGCAATTCGTCGGCCGAAGTGAGTTATGCGGAGGGCGCCGAAGTAGACGAGCTCGAGGTTGAGAACACAGTGACGGATTATGTTCGACCCGAGCACGTCGACATTTACCTCACCAACTTGTAAGTCGGCCCTGGCAGCGAGTTTGTGATATTGTTTTTGTTTATTAACGCCATTTTTTGATAGGGGGCCGCAGACACTGCACCATTTTGCTGGCATTCTAGCGGATCACTACAAGCCTGAAGAGATGCTTTTGTCGCTGCAACTTGGCGAAGCGTAATGAGGCTGCTGGTGGTTGTGCCATACTTGCACCATCGCCATGTTTGTGCGAAAGCGACCATGTTTGGGAGCGAGGCTGGCACACGAGCCACGACAGGTCTTCGCGGGGCCTGCAAGCAGACTTCTGGAAAGGCCCGGTGCTTATTCGGCCACTCAGATGCTCCGCCTCGGTTCCAGAGCGGCGGAATGGAGCAGTGGTGGGCGGCGTTAACGGTCGGAGGGCCGACTTCTGCCTTATGGTGGACGCGTCAGCGGCATGCTGGCTTGCGTGGGACATGCATTGCAGTATCAAATCAAAAGGCGTTGGCGAGGGAGGCTATGCCTGCCAAGGCGACGGGAAGAGGCACTCCAGCGGCCTGATTGTCGCTAAATCTCGAAAACTGTCCACTGACAAATGGGTGGGCTTGAACAAGCTGCAGGGGACATTTAAGCTTTTCTTGACCGTCCTTCGACAGCCCGAGCTTGGATGGAAGCCGTGTGGAAGCCGCCCCGCTCTGTTGTTTGGGCTTTGCCGTTGAGAGGCTTTGAATCCCAAGCCGCCCGCAGATAGTCACCTCATTCAGTCGAGGCCTGCGGGGCTGTGACACATCCATCTGTATGTATTGTACTCGTGTGAATCTGGCTACCCTGGGGCCAGCTCCTTTGCAATAAAACCCACATCACCCCACCAGTGTTCGTTCGCACTGCGCCTCGCATTTCATGATACAACATGCTCATGTCTGTTGTTTGACTTTCATGCTGGTTTGTGCTGCTTGGCTTCCCCAATAAAACCCAATTCTACTCGTGAGCTGGACGAGGCTGTTGATAATTCAGACTAGTTCTCCACGTGCAGATTTGGTTTGAAAGAAGTCAATCAGACCAGGCAAAGGAAAACAAATTCCTGGGAACACGGCATCCGCCATGACCTCACACCTACCGCCTCCAGAGGACCTCCCTCCGCCGCCCTACTCCGAGACTGACATCTACTCGAATTCCGGCGGGCCGAGGTCACCAGCCATCTCAGTCCCAACCCACAGACACAACTCGCATGGCGGCGACGATGGTACCTCGCACTCGACGCCGTCGACCAACGGTGATATCATCTACACGCCGCCCCTGACCCCCCGTTCGTCCCACCAGTCCAACTTTGCCAGCGACGTAGACCACCTCACAGTCGCGTCTGCCACGGCCTACTTTGACACGCGCCCTGCTCCCCCGCTCCACAGCCTGCCGCAGATCGTGCACTCGCTCGTCGTCGGGGACGACGCTTCGCCCGACACCCTGCCCTATCCGCTCCAGTTTGCGGCCCACGACGTGCACGTCCAGGACTGGCAGACCTTTGTCAACTACCTCATCCCCCACTACTCGGCCGCGAGCAACGAGCAGCTCATAGACCGGAAGCTGCGCGCCGAGGGCATCATCGGCGACTCGGATGCCCTGCCGCCGTCCCAGAGACACGCCGCCGTCGCCCAGCACCTCGACCGCATCCGCTCGCCCGCCGACGCGGCGCAGCGCCTCCAGAACGTCGAGGCCACGGCCCGCGAATGGAACGACGGCTTCTTCGGCCCCCGCCGCATCACCATCCGCGTCAACACCTCGGCGGCGGTTGCGGCGGCTGCCGCTGTCTATGACGGCAGCAGCGAGCAGCTACGCATGCCAGGCGCCTGGGACCAGTCGTTCGACCAACCCGCGGCGGCCGCGGCAGCAGCAGGTAACGGCGGCAGTGGATTCGTCCCGTCGTCGCGCTCCCGGCTGGGACGCTTCAACCCGTTTGGCAGCGAAGGGCGCGCGGGCGGTCGCGGCGGCAGCGGCGGGTTTCGCCTCGCGGGCATCGCCATCGACGGAGACCGCGTCTCCATCGGGAATGGCTTCGTCGCCGACCGGGGCGGCGTACGCATAGGCGGGATTCACGCCGGCGCGAACGGCATCTCCATCAACGGCACGCCCCTATTCGGCGGGCCCCAGCCGCTGCCGCACCAGCAACACCAGCAGCAGCAGCAGCAGTTCGGCATGCGCGACGGCCCACCTGGCTTCTTTGGCGCCTCTCGCGGTGCCGGCCCCGGCCCCGGCTTCGGGTGGGGAAGAGGCCACGGACCCGTTCGGATCGGGCCGGGCTTTGCTGGTCCCCGCGGCGGTTTGCCCTTTGGAGGAGGACCCGGGGGCGGGCGTGGAGGCCGCGGCGGGGCCAGATTCGGCGGTGATAACGAGCCGCGAGACCTGCAGGAAGATCGCGGCGATGCATGTGGCGGCCGTGGGCGCCGCCGGTCGCACGGCCACCGCCACGAGCGTGGCGAGCGTGGCGAGCGTGGGCCAGGTCGCGATCGCGAGAAACACCGGTCACGATCGAGCTCCACGTCGAGCAGGTCGTCTGTGTCGTCGGCCAGCTCCGCGTCCACGGTGGGCTCGCTGCCCGACTACGACGACCTGCGAGACACGCAGCTGCCCATCACCAAGCAGTTCCTTCAGAAGTGGTTGGACCATCCAGACCAGCCCATCACCAAGGAGACGGTGCGGCAGGTCAAGGAGCAGATCAGGGAGTCCAAGAAGGCCGGCGCCAACCAGGCAAACGGCATCAACGAGCCCGCCAACATTGCCTTTGACAAGGCGGCGCTGCGCAAAGAGGTCCGGGCCATGCTGCAGGAGTGGAAGTCGCTGAAACGGCAGCAGAAGAAGCAGCGGCGCCAGCTCAAGAAGGAGCAGCGGAGCGCGCGCCGCGCAGAGAAGCGGGAGAGGAGAAAAGTCAAGCGCGAGGTGAAGCGCGCCGTGAGGGACTTGAGGCGAGGCGAGCGTCGCGGCGGCGACAGCAGCAACAACAACAACAACAACAACAACCACGGTGAGACCAGTACTAGCAGCAAAAACCTCGGGGGGGTGACATTCCCATTCCACAATATCCCGCAGGCCAGCCGCGTGCCAGGTTTCCCGCACATTCCCCCCGTCCCGTCCGTGCCCGGCGTCCCGGGCGTCCCTCCAGTGCCAGGCTACGGGGCGCCCACGTACAACCAGCAGCAGACAGGCACCACATCGTACTTTCCCCCGGGGGCATGGGGGGCGAACGCGACGACGATGGGGAGCCCCTGGGACAGCAGCGCTGCAAACCACCGCCCTGCCGGCTCCTGGCCCACCGATGACAACGATATCAACGTCAACAGCTACGGCGCGTCGCAGGCGAAATACCAGGCAGCGCGCGAGCTCGAGGCGCAGGTCGCGCGCAAGGAGGCCGAGCTGCTCGCGCTACACGAGATACTGGCACTAGAACAAGAACAAGAAGCGGCGCAGTGGGCGAAGAAGAGTAACAGCAGCAGCAGCAGCAGCAGCAGCAATAACAGCAACAGCAACGCGGCGGTTGCTAACGCCGTCGCTGCGGCGTTTGCTGCAGCCGGCAAGGACGCCAAGAGCCGCTCGCCGACAGAGCTCGCGGCCCTGCAGATGGAGCGAGACATTGATGCGCTGGCGGCGGATCTCGACCGGCTGCGCACCGAGGCTGACGAGGCGTTTGCGCGGGAGCTGGAGGCGGAGGACCGGAGGAACTATTAAGGGACTCTCTCTTTCTATGGGTTTATGTGTGTGTATGTGTGTGTATGTATGTTTATGTGAAAGCGTGGTTAAGCAAGCAAAGCAAACTAGCGCCGGTTTATGGTTCCATCCTTTTAGCAAAATATTTTGGATATTTATTGCTTTTTTTGTTTTTCTGGCCCGGATGATGATGATGATGATGGTGATGATGATGATGGTGTTAGTGTTGGAATACCCACCCTCCTCCCCAAACAAATCGGCAGTGTACTACACAGATAGACAATCTACCTTTCACGCAGCAGGAGCTGTGATTACAGTCTGTCAGTGCCTCGTGGCTATCAGCAAATCTACCAAATCAAGATCTATTCTGTGCTCATTCATCCCGGCTTCTTTTCTGGCGTGCACCTGAAGCCATGATTTATTCAGTTTCACAACATGCGAGGCCCTGGACCTCGGCCCTTCATTACTCGCCTCATTATACTGCTTCTCATTACCTCATAGCTGTGGCTAGGTAAACAGGCGGCCCAAGAGAAGGCGAGAAATCCTGTGATTCGTGTAAATAGAAGACACGATTTTATGAACAACCATACACACATCAACTTCCACACAAACATTTAGGCAAGGGACAAGGGTGCAAAAATTGCATCAATCATCAATCCCGCCATTTTTATCTTCCCCATCGCGGACCATGGCCTTTTTACTTGCAGGACGTACTACACTTTCTTCTTTCGCCACTAACTACTTCCTCCTCGTATCTTTCTTAAAAGCACCAGAGAGAGGGTTTGTTCGAAACCGGGGGAGGAAGGAGGAGGAAGAGGAGACAGACGGAACGGGGAGGGGATGAGAAAAAGGGGTGCGAGACTATCGTGGTCAAAGTAGGTATGTAAATGGAATTTCTTTCCTCCAAGATCCATCCGTCCGCCGCAAGATAAAAGCTATGTAGCATCACATCTTGCTAGCCGGCTCTTTTTAACGCGTGAAGCGGATTGGCGCCGAGGGGGAGGCTGCTGAGGTAGGTAAGGTGGGTAAGGCAAGGTAGGTAGGTGGGCGTGGGAGATAGCTGGTGGAAGTTGAGGTTATGAGGCGGGGGTCGTGAAGCAGGCTAGCACATGTGTGCAGCATATCCGTCCAAACCATTCTCGGTCGGCACACAGGCGAAAGGCGCCAAACGCCAAACTAGCTTCCTCAAAGCCATCATATGACCATACCAGCACTAACAGACCAGCCTATGAGCTAGGGAGTCTGTACCGCCATGGCCCTCGATGAATCTAGCGAGACGGAGTGCCCTTCCGTTGAGCCCGTACGCTTGCCCAACTCAAGCTCTGTCCCACCCTTGCCATCCCCAGCCAGAGGCATATTTCTTCATAAGTGGGTCAGTCTCCACGCTTTTGTACGCCGAACTGTCCGTCTGCTCTGCATTAGGACCGCGAAATGTTCCATCCTCGACCGATCAAACACCTCTCAAATCCGCTGGTAGAACAAAAGGTATGCCACCTTGTTGTCCTTGATGCTGTCCTTGTGCTTCTTGGCCTTTGACCCGTGGGTGGGGGGCGGTGTCGCGCCGTTGACAACGCTGCTCCACTTCTTTCCACTGGCCGATGCTTGCTTCCAGCCCTCCTCGTCGCCAGTCTCTTCGTCGTTGATACCGACGAATCTATTAGCGGCCGCAGTGTTGCTGGCCTCTCTCCGGCCCTCGCTCGAGCTCGCCTTTACCGCGTCCTCTTCAGCGCCGCCCTCCGCGACGTCTTCGCTCCGAACCCTCGTAATAACAGTGTCATCGATGCGGATCCACTCACGGCCGTCCTGGCGGCGGACATCAACCGTGTAATGGCCACCGCTAGCATTCTTTCCGTGGTGATAGACGACCGCTGTGAGCTGGTATTTGGGCAGACCATTCTCGCCGAGAATGGTGTTGCGCTTCTGCCGAGCCAAGATCTCGCGGGGGATCTCAAGCTCCAGCGGATAACCAACCTTCTTCCAGATTTTGACTGTGCCACCTTGGCCTTCGGCATCGAACTGGAAGCGCTTGAGGTGGAGAATGAGGACGGGGGGGAGGGATTCGATGAAGATCTGCTTCGTTGCCCGCGCATCCTTGCCATGAGGCGAGTTGAAGTCTCCGTGAATCGTCTCGGGCCGCGTCAGGCCCTTTAACGCGTCCACGATATTTCGGATCTCGGGCGAGCCAATGTCGAGCTGGAGAGGCTGATACGGCTCGAGAGTGACCGAGTTCTTCAGGCCCGGAACACGCAGTTCAGAGCGCAACTGTCCGCCAAAGATCTTTGTGATTGGTGACAACGTATGTGAGTATCCAGAAGAACGGGTCACGGCTGCCCGCTGCCGGGGTCCAACCTCTAGCCAGTCATCGCCGCCCTCGGCCGTGTCGTTCGCTCTCGACGACGTCGAGGGAGACGGCAGAGACGAATTCGGAGCCGTGGAGGCAGACGAATTAGGGGCGGCACGGATCACCTGGGCGCACTCGTCGTGGAGACCCTCGAGAAGAAAGCCAAGGAACTCCTCAGCATCCTGTTGATGGCCGCGCTAGAACACCAGCCGTTAGCGCATGGTTCACGCCCCATATTTCTGCGAAGACTTACTCTCATGCTTGAAAACCGCGGCAGGTTTCGAATAGCATCGTACACGAACTCTGGCGTAAACTGTTCACCGTATTCTTCCAGCTCCTCGTTCTTGAGGCGCCGTCTCAGTTGCTCGACCGATACAGCTGAGTCAATCACTTTGAATTCACGCATAAACATAATCCTAAAACGAATAAGTAAAAGACTTTTGAGCACTCATAGAAATGGCCGACCTACATGGAATCGAGGAGCGGAGTCTCGTTCTTGAAGCTGTGAACGGCCCTCTTGCTCACTTGATCCAAGAAGTCAAAGAAAGGAACGCAAAAAATAAGAACTTGCAAGACCTAGAACACTGGGTTAGAATTAAGAGGGCAACATCATCATCTCTCTGGGCAAAAGCAGCTTACCGAATTCATATAACACATGTTCCCCGTGTTAACCAGTCCCCGGGGTTCGAGAAACGCCAGCTTCTCCGCGCCACCAACGCGGAATTCTTGAAGAGCTTCCGCAACCGAGTTCACATTTAACATTGAAAAACCGGCAACGGCCCCAGAAGCAGCGGTCGAGCCATCTGCAGCCACATTGCCGTTGGTATTGGCCTGGACAGCAGCAGACGCAGTCGTCGCGGCAGCAGTTGAAGCAGCCTTGGCAAAAAGATTCGTCCACAGCTTTGGCTTGGCCGGTGCGGCAGCAGACTGTACCGCGTCAGAAGACTGCTCCCCAGCCTCAGCAACCTCTCCGTCGGGCTTCTCGAAAGACGCAACTTGCTCATCGGAAGACGCAGTAGCTACAGCGGCAGGCTTGGCATCGCCAGGGGTCTTCTCAGCGCTGCTCGGAAACTTCGAGTCCTTGGGGCTGGCTTTGGGCAGAGCAGGGATAACGGGAAGAGCAGGGACCGGAACAGCCGAGCGCGTGGCGGACTTTGCCGGCTTGCTAGGAGTGACTGCTACGATGATCGACTGCTGAGGCTGGTTCACCGAGCTTGGAGTAGTAGGCGAGGTCGACGTTGCATCCTCGGAGGGCTGTGCTGGAGTGGAAGGTGTCTCCGGTCGGTTCGGATTATTGGGAGTGGGGGTGCTAGAAGTCGCTCTGGGGGTGGTGACGGAAGCTTGATCTTCGACCTTCTCGACCTGGGTGGCGGTGCTCTGGGTGGTCTCGGAGGATATATCGGGAGAGGATCCGTGTTGGGTATGGGGGAGTTCCACCCGCTCGGCATCGGCATCCAACATCCTTCTGGGTCTCTTTGACCTCGCGGCGCGGGATGGGAAAGGGACGCCAGGACATGACAGCCAGGGAAGCTAGAGATAATTAACGACTAGGTTTTAGGCACCTGAAAAGGGGGTTTTACATACCGGAGGTCTGTAGGGCTCTCTTAGTGGAGACACGGACGGAGATAGCTTGACCTGGGGCTCGGGTTGCTGCCGAGGCAGTGTTGCTGGCAGCGGTGGTTGTGTCAGTGCCTGGTGCTGTGGTTGTGGCTGCGGTGCGGCAGGTTGTTCTACGTGGACTGGAACACTCTGTTGGTATTGCTGCACAGGAGGAGTCATGGGAGGCGCGGCGGCAACAACAGGATGTGGGAGAGGATGAGAAAGGGGAGGAGCAGCAAGCGAATGGGTAGATGAGGGCGTCAGGGGAGGAGGCACCAGTACGGCAGCAACGGGCGGAGTGGGCGCCTGGTATGGAGCCGACACGACCGGGGACTGCTGTGGAGGACGCGCATACGTCTGTGGCACCAGCGGGACGTAGTGCTGCATCGGGGGCGGTGAACGGTTGTAGGCGGCCGGCGGGTAGGGGGCCTGCATGTACGCGGCGGGCATGGCGCCGTTCTGATAGTGCGGCGGCGTGTAGTATGGAGCGCCCGCATACGGACCCATGTAGCCGGCGGGATACATTGGCTGCTGCTGGTTGACGTGCTGCTGCTGCTGCTGCTGCTGCTGCTGCTGCTGATGGTAATGATGGGCGGCAACGTAATGCTGAGGTCGACCGCCGCGGCGAGGACCTCCGCCGCCGGGACCGGGGCCCATGTCGGCACCTCCCTGCATGGGCTGCCCAGCCGGCAGATGCCCGCGATTGTTCATCATGCCGGCCTGGGGACGGGAATGATGCGGTAGCTGCTCACCCGAGTGAGGGCCACCGCAGCGAGACCGCTTTATTGGAGCCAAGCGAAGCTAGCGCGAAGGCGAGGGCGATGTCGAGGTCGCGGTTAGACGGGCTGCCGCTTGCTGCCGCTGCCGGTGCTGCGGGTCGCGTTGCGTCAGTGCGTTGACGGTTGAGGCAGGCGCCGAGATGGCAATTTTGTCGCTTGCTTTGCTCGTCAGGCCTTGGAGCTCTGGGTCGCGAGACGAGACTGAGACAGCCGGATGCGGTTGAAGGTGCGCTGCGACTGCGACTGCGACGAGCAACGTTAGTAAAGCCAGTGCGGCTGCAGAGAGGCCAGGCAGGGCATGTACGTCAACGTGATTGACGGGGACGCGAGATTTTGGGGTAATGGAAGGTAGTTGAATCTCGTCGACAGGCAGCTGGAGGTTGCAACACAAGGGAAGGAAGGTGTCTAAGTAGGTAAGGTAGGTAGAGGTAGGGTCGGCACCGTACCTTTGGAGACCTTTAGTAGGTCGGTCGACACAGTAGGCAATCAACAACAAGGCAAGCCAACCTTAAATGGTAGATTCGAGAAGGCAGAGAGGCTCGCGGCTTTCCTCAGCTGCTGCTGCTTCTCTCTAGGCTGTCACCTAAACACACAAACCCAAAGCGACCAAAAAAGCCGAGATGCGATTCGAGCTGAACGCACAATGCCACGCCAAGAGACGGCGATAGTTGGTCGGCGTCGGTCGTGACGTTGAGCTGGGGGCGACGTTTAGGTTTCTCTTGACGAAATTTATGCCGGCCTCGCCTTCTGCAACTCTAATGAGAAAGAATATCCGTAACCCTGGAGCCTTTGACTGCCCGCCGCCCAATGAGGTGACAAAAGCACGGGCGGCACGGCGCAGCCGCACGGACCACTCATACACCAAAACCCATGCCCGCATACAAAACCCTCCCGGCTGCCAGCAACAGCAACAGCAACAGCGGGCACCACAGCAGCGCAGCAGCAGCGCGTCCATCCGGTGTCTGCCTGCCTCCCGTTATTCATTATTGAGGCCGCGCGCGTTACACCGAGGCCTGCCCGCCCTGCCATAAGGCAGTAATCCGTCTCATAGTACCGCCGTACGCAGTAGCCTTACAATTTTAGACTCGCATGGCAATTGGATTGGGATTATCAAACCTGTACCAACTCTAACTGCAACTCGTCAGGCGCCGGCTTCTCGTTTGGTTGGCTAGTGTTTGCGCTTTAAGCCCTAGGAGACTCAAAGTTCAATCAAGACTGCACGCTAAATACACGAGTTAGGTTGATATAAGCCGACCTTGGTTTAACGTGAGGTACTGAATATACCTGCAATACGGATACGCTTTTCATCAGAGGCCTGCCAAACAAAGCCATAAAACTCACGTATTTTGTGGTCTGCAAATGCCTAGATAATTATTTGTTTTTATCTCCTAGGACTACGGGGTTGATGAGTAAATTGTGCTACTCTTTCCTCTTCCCAAGCGAGGTCCGCATACCAAGCCAGGCAAGGTAGGTACAAATTGTACAATTCATTCAGTCCGACGCAGAGAGTGGCCCCCAAACAACATGCGTCCCTTGGGCCAGCAAACAAATACACTTTACGTGTTTGCTCGCTGGTGTCAGCTCCTGCCGCACAAGCACTCTGTTGCAGAATCCAAAACAGCGTGACAGGTCAGGTCAACGATGTGATGAAGATACATCCATCCATACACGGATGGAGGAAGCCAGATCGGCCTCTGCTCGCCTTACTCGTCCCTAAAGAGCCATCTACCCCCTCCGCTCTTCATTGCCTCTCGCCATCGGTCCTCCACCAGCCTCCTCTCAATCTTTTCCGCTTCTTCCTTTCTCTGATCTATCTCCTGTGTGCTGGGAAAGTCGGGATTCCAGAACCCGGGCGGCGAAGGTCTGCGGGCGACCCTTTGCCGGTGTCTTCCGTATTTATTGGCCATATCTTGCGTTTTGACCTTGAGCCACAACTCCTTCCATTCCGCCAATGCCATACCGGCGAGACGGTACGCGCTATCGCCCAAATGTTTCTCGAGCATCTCCACGTCCGCTGGTCGGAGGAGGACTGCTGAGCCGCCGTGGCTAAGCTCGGACTCTGCCATGGCGCGGAATTTCTTGCCACAGCAGTCTGGGTCGGTGCAGCCGAGCAGTTCCTCCCGGTCCGCCTTGCTACGCACAACCTCCGAGAATGCGTGGTTGTACCCGTCGTTGAATTTCGGGTTGATCTTGAAATCCTCCGTCCGCAACTCTGTGGCAGGTCGATCCCTGAGCCGGCCTGCCTTTGCTCGGCGTGGGCTCCCCTCGTCGGGGCGCGATTTAGAAGCACTGCGGTTTGCTTTGGGCGCGGGCGTTGCGCGGCCTACCGCCGCAGTGTGAGATGTATGATTTTCAGATACAATCTTTGAGCTCCCAGTGTCGCTTCCACGGCCCTGGCGACCCCGCCGTAGCAAGACAGAATTAGTTTCTGACGATGGTTCATTGAGAAGAGACTGTAACTTTCCCCCGTTTGCCGGCAAACGGGTTGCTTCAGCCTCACTAGGCCGCGCCTGGGGCGAGTAAAAGGCCGGATAGCTTTCCTCAGCCACGTCTGCAATCCCGCTGTCCAGACTCAAATTTAAGCGGGTAAACAGCTTGCGACCTTGGTATGTTCTCGACACATTTCCACTTGACACCGCCGTCTTCGTGGATGAGCGTGATGCAATAGAACCCCTAGCACCCTTCTGCAAAATTGATGTTGGGCTTCCAGGTGTTGTAACATCGGGATGCTCACCAAAAACATCCTGTAGACGATGCCCTCCCGTCTTCTCTTTATCATTGTTGGCCCAGATCTGTTCCTCTTTCGGGGGCCGCTGCTTTCTTGGTGTCGGTACTATATCCTGTCTAACATCCAGATCGATGCTCTCGTGTGGAGAAAAGACAGCCAATTCCTCGGTGATCATGAGATCTGAGCTGTTCTCATGTTCACTCTTGATCTTGGCAGAGCGCGGTGGAGTTTTATGGTCAGCACCCGTGTGCTTCCGTTTCCGTAGGCTCCTTTCAAAGATTATTATCGGGCCATCAGAAGAAGGCTCCTGCTTCACAGCTACGTCATCTCCTGCACTGAGGTTTGGCGGTATAGCGGGCAGATCGTCGAAACCTTCGGCATCGTCCGTGGTCTCATCGTCGTTTGGCAGGGAGGACAACTCTAACCCAAGCTGCTGCTGCTGATGGTTTGGTCGATCTGCGATATCTTCAGGCGTCGAGGCTGATCTCTTACGGAGCCACGATTCAAGTGCAGAATCATGTCCATAACTTGTTTCAGGATTCGAGAGAAGGCTTATATGACCTGTCCTCTCTGGATGTTTGTCGATGGCCGATACTAGATTCGCTCTCGCCCCGGAGACAGTGACGCTCAACGTCGAATTGGGGCTCCTGTCTCGAGCTTTCAGGTCACACACAGTCGCGTTTCCGGTGTCGATATTAGGTAGAGGGGTGTAACCCTCGTCTCGGGTTTTCAGCTTAGCACGAAGCTTCTTTTCTTTGGTTTCCAGCTGGTTGGCGTAGCGGATCCAATTGTCCCTCTGGTCACGAAAGCTCCTTGCTGCCGCTTTCAGTTTCTCAAAATTGTCCTTCAGTAACGTGAAGCGTTTGGCGAGCTTCGCATATTTGTTTTCTTTATCGGACCTCTCTGCGCCAGCGCCAGCGCCTTTATTGGCAGATATCTCAGCCAGTGCCAGTCGTGGGGCTTTCGATAAAGATAACTCAAGTACCGCTGGCACTATAATGGGGGCCACTTCAGAGTCATGCTGTCTCTTTTTCCGAAGTTCCTCAAGCTGTCGGCGCAGAATGAGGTTCTGTTGTTCTAGTAGACTCGCTTTGGCAACCGCGTCCTTTAACCTGCGGACCTCATCCTCAAGAAGGGCATGGGGCCTCTGGTATTTGTCGCGAACCTCTGGTAGTGAGTGTTAGCTAGATCAGTCGATTTTTTGCCAAAATCCTCAGACCTTAGCTACGAGCGAGGACTCACCAGCAGCTAAGTCTTTGCCAATTGCGTCGCACGCAGCCTGTACCGCTGCAATGAAGGCCGGCTGCGCATTCCGGTTCCAAAAATCCATTGCTCTAGATTGAATCGTTCCGACTCCCGACCGTGTCCGACAAGGGGAGATTCATCGAGGCATGAGGTCAGGACGGGATGTATGGTACTTGGGTCCTGCTGAGGCCGGAGAGAATGAGACTGTGAGAGCAACACGCGTCGCGTCCATTGGCCGTGGCGGGGCTTGCAGTGCACCGTGACTGGCAGGGGGAAGCGGGAAGCTACGGGATAAGGCAGGTAAGGCCAACCTAACGCCACTTCACGTGAGACTTGTAGGACCTTCAAAGCTTCGCGTTAAGCTTGGCCTGTGGCGCACAGCGCTAAATTATTAACGTTACGCTAGCCACACTTAGTCCCTGCATCCGATGCCCTGCTCTGGCTCGCCTGGCTGGGCGCTGCCCGCCATTTCGACGTTTCGAGTGACGACGATTCGAAGTCGGCATACTGGCCCTAGAATCCCGCCCCGTAATATCACTCGGCCAGAAGCGCGACCGTCTGCCGTTGCGTTGTGGACGAACACGCTGGATAATCCGCACCAGGGCCTCCAATTAACTGCTGCTCCTCGCCCCGTCGGAAGCTGGAGCAACAAGGCCTTTCATTTCTTTTCCCCCTACAGTCCGTAGTACGAATTTGTACCTAGGATTTGCTGGCGTCATTGCCATTCCGCGCAGCTGGCATCCCGAGCCCAGTTGCCCCGCCCCGCTCACCCTTCCAACCATCTTCCTTCTAGGTTATTCCGTCCTACGGATACCGCACACTACTACGTAAGGTAAGGTAGCCAACACGGATAGCCGTCGGAAAATTAAACACTTGCTAGTGCTGCCATACCGTATCTCGATACGGATACGCTAGCGCTGCTTCGCAACATGTCTTTGGTCTTACCTGCCAAAAGCTGCGCGCATCCGCTCGCGTTAACGCCCTCGTAATGTGCCCGTCAGTGTGCCTCAACCCGTGAAATAATTTCGGGGGCTACCAGGAGGACTTTTGACAGGCGGACGACGAGATTGCATTGCCACTCCCCTTGCCTTGAGACAGTCTCGTGGGTGACGTTGTTTATTGCATGGCTTGCCTACTGTCCTCTAAGGTCTCAGTGCCACTCCAATCACTTGATCCAGGACTCTTATCTCCTCCCTTCAGGAGGTCCGAGTCCGCATTGGTGTTCCTTCGGCTGCAGCTGGGGATAGGGGGACAGCAGCAACATGCCCAACCAGATTTCGAGGCCCAGTTCAACCTTGGTGTGGGCAACTGACTGTAACTGACTGCGCGTGCGCATCGAGACGGGAGCCACGCGATGATCTTGTCTCCTCCTGAGAACCAGACACGCGCGCGCCCGAGGCCCCATCGGTCGTGATCTGCCTCTGTTAATAAGAGGGTAGCCGTCTCTACGGCACGGGACACAACCTTCCGGCATGCCAGTGCCGCAGCTGCTGAGTCCAAGCGACTCTTTGGGCCTTATGGATAGCCCTCGGGAGAACCATTGCGTGTGTGTTCTTCCTCCACCTAAGGGAAGGAAGGCGCCGCTGGCACTCAAGTCCCTGGATCGGGGGCTAGAGTGGCAGCCGAGAGTCGAACAAGGCCCTGGTGAACAGGCTGAAGGGAGCTGCGCTAACAGGGGTCGAGGCGCGTTAGCTAACACCGCCCGCGAAGCACTGCTCTAGTGATCCTATATACGTTGATATATACTCCGCACGTGTGGCTTCACCGGGTCACTTGGCAAAGTTCAACCGCAGGCGGCGCTAACGCGGCACATCGGGCAATCAAACGGGAACAGCCAAGATGATAATCTGCGAACATGCTTCCAGCAGAGTTCCAGAAGACATCCAAAAAGGGATAAAGGGATTCGCTATGGGCTGCTGTTCCAGGATAAAAAGTTCGGAACAGGACCAGGAGGTCGCTCCGGCTCGGCTTCTCTAGAGCCAGGGGGGGAAGGAGGGAGACAGACGAGACTAACAAGGGAACGGTCCGCGACTCGATGGTTCGCACTCCGTAAGAGCTGCGCGATCCGCCTCTGTAACCCAAGACAGCCTGTGCAAAAGGCATTAAGTCTCGAGCTCCAGTCCTGCTCGGCAAAGTTTCTGCAAGTCCAAGACTACATCGGCTCTTTTCGCGCAGTGGTGGAGCTGGCATGTAGTATACACAGACTAAGATTTGGAGGCGAGGTATTTCCTTGCTTCGCTTGTGCTGTGGTGTGCTGTATATAATTTCAGTAGCTGATCGTTAAAGGTACTGCAGGTATGTATAGACACTGTACGGCCGTGATTCCCGCGGAGAACAATGGAACTTGCGAGTCTTGGGCAAGCATGGGCCGCATCAACGTCCCAGAGCGGCGCCCGTTGCCATCCTCATCAGCCACGTATCGGCGCGGTATTGGTTAGGTTACCGCCGTGACCCGTCAAATAAAATTCACATATGTGTGTGTGTACGGATAGGTTTGTAAAAAAAGAAAGTCCTATGTAAGCCAAGCCGCTCAGGGAAGGTACGATAGGTGTACCTTGGCTGCGTATGTCAGGAACCAGCAGGCCAAGGCTCTAGGTGATGCGAGACTGAGCGTTGAACATTCTGCCCCTGGGTCAAAGCTGGCGTTGGAAGGCAAGCACAGGGGGCTTGCTCCCGAGCACGTTTCCCGCGGACTGCCCGCCCACCTCGATGGAAGCTGCTGCCCTGCCCTGGCAGGCAGGCAGGCACTTGAGTGGCTCGAGGGTACTCCCGCCGACTGAATGGCCGCGCAGGCAAGTACCTAACGGGAGGTGATAATAATGAGAGGACCACTGGTTGAAGGACACTGGGACCACTAGCGCCTTCCCTCCCTGCCCTGCCCACAAGCCTGCATACAACCGAGCACTTGCATCTGGATCTCGCCCATCTGTGAGCCCCGACTCGAACACACTAAGATCGGCACCCACGCCACACTGCTGATTACTGGGGGAATTTGAGGCTGTCAGAGACCGGCTTGCAAATTCAGGCGAAGGAAGCAAGCTCAAGCAGGGGTGCCCCGCACAACTCTTGCGTCCTTCCAGAAAATTTCAACCACAACCCAAGCAGCCCATTTTTCCATTCACGCGTGCTCCTCCGTTTTTTTTCGCCTGACCCAGCAAACGCCCCCGATATTTATCTTCTCTGGTCCTCCAGTCCTTGCAGCTTTTCTCCTTCCTTCCTTCAATACTCTCTTTCCACCTACCACAGCCATCATACGCCTTTGTCAACTTTTGCCTATACCAATCCTATCTAGGTGAGTTTGCCGTCATTGAAATCTTGCTGCAACTCTGTACCCCACATCAATCAAGCCTCCCCCACCTTTTCCCACGGAATTTTTGCACCCTTTTTTACTTTTTTAAAGCACAATTTCTACCTTGCCTCAGCACCTCACGGAACTGTCGCAAACTTCAGCCCGGTAGCTTACAAGATCAAACCCATTCTACGCAGATTCGGAACTTCAATATCAACCCTATTCTCAAGATGGATCAATACCCGAGCGGAGGAAACCAGAGCGGCGGCCGCGCCTGCTTCACCTGTGAGTCCGCCGCCACAGTCTCTTCGCACCCTGGCTTTCTGTTTGCCCCGCCAGTGTGACGGCATTCTCGCCACGCGCTCACCTTCTTTGGAAGGGCGGGTTGCGCATCGCATACCACACACCACCGGGCTATCTATCTTGCCTTTAAAGGCTTGAACTGAAGAACCTACGGTTGCAACTGCGCGTGGAATGTACGCTGCAGGAGCCTGTGCTTCTCGGAGCACTGGCGCATTGCAGGACTCTTTGTCCCTGCGATTGTGCCGATGCCCTCGGCAACTTTCCAGGCCTTTCACCACTATGGCTGCTGCTATGGTTGCGAGGGCTCAAACGGAGAGCCGAACCAGTTCTACGCGCCAGCTCTCGCGGCCTTTGCCAAGCAATTGTCCCTACATCACACCATAATGTACACCCTACCATGCGTGAGGGAGAGATTATCTGACTTGAGAGGTTCTAGGCGGTGATCTTACTCACCAGGTATGCGCTCTAACAACAAGAGATCCCTCGGGGACGGAAAGGTACAGGTTGTTAGTCTCCAGCTGCTAACATGTCGCTCGATAAATAGGCCCGTGACTGCCCCCAGAAGGGAGCCGCGAGATGGTACGCTTAGCCCCTCCGTATACCCCATCCAAACCCTCTCAAACAGTCCATCGCTAACCTATTGAACCCTATAGCTACAACTGCGGTCGTGAGTGCTCGTTTTCCGGTCTAAAACTGAACTGTGAGAATGAAAGCTAACAACATTATCTCGATCTCAGAGGAGGGCCATATGAGTTAGTCCCCATGCTCCACTTCCCTCTATGAACGCAGCTAAATTTTGAATAGGCCGCGACTGCACCGCTGCGTCCAACAAGGATCCCCGCGACAAGACATGCTACCGCTGCGGACAATCCGGCCACATCTCGCGTGATTGCGGCCAGTCCCCTCCCATTGGTGGTGGTGGCGGCGGTATGGAGGGCCGCTCCACTGGCCAGTGCTACAAGGTAAGCAACCTCAACTCTGAAGTCAAAGGCGCTATGCTGACCCAACCCACCTTTTCAGTGCGGCAAGCCCGGCCATATTGCCCGGAACTGCCCTGAGGCCGGCCCCTACCAGGGCGGTGGCGGCGGTGGCGGCGGCTACCAGAGCCAGAAGACCTGCTACTCTTGCGGCGGTCTTGGACACATGTCTCGTAAGTGTTATAGAGTGATGGTTCCTAAGTGATTATCGGCTAATTTTGTACTAGGCGACTGTGTCAACGGCACCAAGTGCTACAACTGCGGCCTCCCCGGACATCTGTCCAAGGAGTGCCCCACCGCTGCCCAGAACGAGAAGACCTGCTACAGGTGCCATCAGCCCGGCCACATCCAGTCTCAGTGCCCTGAGGTGGCCGCTGAGCCCATGCAGGAGTAACTGCATCTTTCTCTCACGACCTTGTTCTTTCGCCGGCCGGTCAGCCTTGCATTTGCTTCCCCTAGCATGAAGATATGGACGGACAAGGGGACTGCCAATGAGCGGCTCACTGGGAGTTGATGACACAGAGCTGCACCATACACTGCCTTTCTGGTGGATGCGTCTCGACGCTCGCGCGTAGGGCCTTCACAGGTTGTACTGTTGGTATCTCGATGGCTATCTGGATATCCCTTATTAGCATATCCTTGCCCGGCCTCCTTTCTCGCTTCTCATTTTTTTGCCGCAACAGAAGGCAATTTACCTCTAGTTGTTTGCATTTTCACATCACAAAACACAAACAACCAGCCTCCCAAAAGAGGGAAAAGATTTTTAACGCTGTCGGCGTCGGATGGCGAGGGCTGCCTTTTGGAGGCAACCGAGTCTAGGGTGGATTTTCTGCTTGGTCCACATCACATACACACGATGCCGCAATATTCGTTTTCTTTTCTAGGGGAAATCTCATGGTTTATTTATGACTAGATTATCGTTCTGGAATGGGTTCATAAGGCTCGATAGAAATGAAAATGGCCGGGTTGTTTGATGTGTCAATTGTACTCGTCTCATCTGCTGTCCCCTGAAGATTGAGATCGCCGAGATAATCATCTCTTTTTGACTGTTCTATTTGTTATATAAAACCGCCAGGTAGTTCGAAGCCGGAGTACGTTACTGCCACCTTATGCGATAATTTCACCCATGTCGCGAAGACACAGAGCATGTTGCCACCCGTAGTCAAGGCTTGGCAGAGTCAAGGGCGTTGTTGAATGTTGGTTGTTCATGAGGCTGAGAAAACAGCGGTCCTTTCCCCCCCCCCATTATATGACAAGTCATTTTTAAAGGGGGGCTTCGCCCCAAGGAGTCACCAATTGTAATTACGTACAGCGTAGGATCTGAAATACATTATGGGCAGGACTTTGAGTATTTATTTTTGTTATTCTAGTAGCATAAAATCATCGAGAAAACAATGCTAGTTAAACTAGCCAGTCCAAATAATACAACCTATTTATTCATTATGAACACGAGCGAGCATTATTCATCATTAGGGAACAATGCTGACTGGCTAGGTGACTATTCATGATAATGTACTATACTGGTTCAACTGATCGTCCGCGCCATATTGTACTACTTTGATCAAAGATCCCAAAGGTATATATCGTTCCATCCCAGTGAGTAAGTTCGCCTTCTATTATTGGTTTTTGTATTTCCCAACATCCATAAACAAAAATAGGCCCGACTATACAAAGACGGGGGAGCGCGCAATAGTATATCGAAGGTATAATATATCTCGTTTCGTGACCGTTGTTAATTCCCCCCTTTTCTTTTTTTCTCTTTTCTTTCGTTTCTTTCCTTTATTTTTCTTTAATCTTTTTTTTTCACAACACGGCCTTGGGCATGTTCTTCATGGCTTGGCGGACGCCGAGGTCGGCCAGGACCTCCTCGGCGCCTCCCAGGATGGCGTCGAACTTGTACGTGCGCTGAAAGTTCTCGATGACGCGGCCCATGCCCGTCTGCGTGAGACCGCGGCCGCCCCAGATCTGCACGGCGTCGTCGGCAATGTCGTGCGCGGCGCGCGTGCAGCTCATCTTGAGCAGCGCGATCGGCCCGCCCAGGTGCTTGGCCTGCTGCGCGTACGGCATCTGGCACATTTGGTATCTGTGGGAGGGAAGGGGAAAGTGTGAGCGTGCTGTGTGATCAAGGGGGTGGAAGTGGAATGTGGGGGAAGGGCGGCCTTACGTGATTGTCTCGAGCCAAGATTGGTGAGACTCGCACAGCGCAATCATCTTGGCCAGCTTCTGCCGGATCACGGGCTGGTCGATCAGCCGCTTGTTGAACACTAGCCTCTGGTGCGCCCACTTGAGGGACTCTTCGACTACAAGCCTCATGTACCGGATGGTGGCGCCTGGGCAGACACGTTAGTGGCTGATTGTTGACTCAACTCAAGGGGTAGGCGATAAACTCACAAGCCATGGTCCACCGCTCGTGGTTGAAGTTGGAAAGGATGACATAGATTCCCTTATTCTCCTCGCCGAGCAGGTTCTCGACCGGGACCTTGACGTTGTCAAAGGTGATGTAGGTGGTGCCGGCCGACGGGGAGTACGAAGTCTTGATGGGCTTCGTCTCGACGCCCTCACCCCGCGGTATGAGGAGAACACTGAGGCCTTTTGCCGTCTTGACGCCGGTGACGAAGTAGTCGCAGAAGACTCCGTTGGTGATCCACTTCTTGGTGCCGTTGACAATGTAGTGCTTGCCGTCGGCGGTCTTGACGGCCGTGGTCCGCAGGCCGGCCACATCGGAGCCGGCAAAGGCCTCGGTGATGGCGAGGCAGATCTTCTTCTTGCCGCTGAACACCTCGTCCGAGACGCGCTTCTTCATCTCTGGGTTCTTGCAGAAATTGAGGATGCACGTCAACCCGATGACCATGCCGGCCATGTTGCCGTCCTGGAAGCCGCGGCAGGCGACGCGCACCTGCTCTTGCGACATGATCATGTCGTGGAAATAGTCGAAATCCTTGCCATCGACGGCGCCTCCGAGCAGATTGACCCCATGGAGGTGCTTGCCGGGGCCCATGCGCATGTGCAGCACGCCGGCGGCCGACATCTTGTTGATCAGCTCCTGGCTAACGTACTCGCCGGTACGCTCCTTCTCGAGGGCCTCGGGGGCGATCTCGTTCTCGGTGAAGACGCGCATAGCCTTCTGCAGCCGGCGGTGGCTGTCATTGAAGTATGGGGACTTGAACTGGGGGGTAAGCCAGAGCGGCTCCGCATAGGGGACGGTTGAGAGGTCGCCGGGCTGGGGCGCAATGATGGACTGCTTCTCGCCCTGGATGGTGCCGACGGCCAGGTCGGCGTACTTGACGAGCACCTCGTGGCGATGCAGGTTGTAGAAGGCTACTGTGGCATCCTGGCCGGCGACCTGGCGGAGGACGGCCTCGCCGCCGGGGTGAGCGTCGAGGAAGTCCGAGACATCGTAGACGACGGCGTCGATGATGAATTGCACCGTGTCCTCGGTGTTGTTCTTGGCGACCTCGACGCGGGTGAAGGTCTTGGTGGGGACTTCCATCTTGGAGATGAGGCTGTCGAGGTGGAAAGAACGGAAACGACGAAGTTCGGGCGAGTACGGAATACAATAATATAATAGCACAATGGAAACACAGAGATGCAATCACCGGCTTGACAACAACGACTCGGAACAGCAGGAGCGACGAGCCGTTACTATGTATATAGGTATTTGAAGTCCATTCTAGCTGCAGCACACTGTCGTCACCTGGACACAAGTCCAGAGCAAGACCAGGGGCGCTTCACCCTCTCGTCGGACCGCGCAACTCGCTTTTGGTTAGTGAATCGTCAGCGTGATCTGAATCGACCTCGGCTTGGGCTGCCCCAGGAATGTGGGGAACGCTGGGATCGGTATTGCCTTGCCCGCCATTGGCTGCAGCGCCTGGGGCCCTGGTCGTGGCCCCTGTGCCTCCCAAGCCGCACACTAACCGGTTCTCCTTACTGCATTTGAGCATGTGATACAGGCCCAGGCCCGGCGCGGCCTCTGGGCTGGCCCGTCTCGAGGAGGTGGGGTTCATGACTCGGCTGAACCTGGCTGTCGGTCGACTCTCTCACCATCAGTCTCTCAGCTACGCTAGCTCCTACGGCATCGAAATCCATACGCGCTGCTGTTGGGACGGGAAACATGGGATATATTTCCTTGTCTCTACGGGCCGGCGGCCACACCTCGTCTTCTGAAACTCGCCTTCGTCTTCAGACCTTCTCGAGACTACCTTGGTAAGGTAGGTTTATTTAGGGATATCTGGGCACCTTTACCCAACGCCGAATCGGTGACGCAAACAACATCCATACTTCTTAGGGAACGTGGGACGAGAATACACAACGAGTGTATGTCTACGTTAGTGAGCTTACTGTCCGTCTATATGCAAACTGCCCGACATATCTTATGCACTTGCATCCCGCCCCGGGGGAAACTCCGGGCATCGAATTATGAGGGACGCACTAGGTCTTCAATACTGTTCTGTTCGCCAAGGTTTGAAGGCACAGTGGCTGCCAGCTGCCTACCAAGGGCAGATAAGGCGAGAAGTGTGTTGGTTCAAAGGGCTGTTTCGACTTTCTAGGGCCCCAGCGAGGACACGGTTGTGCTCTTTCCACCTTAGAGCACAGAGCTCGAGGAATATGCACGCCCGTGTCTTATTCTCGCCTATCCAAATCACCATCTCATCCTCTCTACTCCACTCCACTCCCACTACTAGCACAGCGACCTCACACTTCTGGATTCCCCCCCTCGGGCTTTAAGCTTACACTAAAGTTCTTATGCGCGCACAACGGACTGGCCTGCGACAAACCACCAATCTCTTAGGATTACCTCAGAACTGACGTGGACTGGGCTATTGTAAGCCGGCTGTTTCCTTTTTCGGTTGGGTCGCGCCAACCACAAGTCTATGTACGAATATGTACATACATCATAGATTGCGCACCCGCTTCGCGATACGGCAACAATCGAAACAGCCATCCACGGGCATGGCCCGGAGCGACACTGCCATTGGTCGCTTCATATGGTCCTTTTATGCTTCTACGGTATCACCCGCAATACAGATACTTCCCTAGCTATCCGGCCTTGACACCCGGCCCCTTACCCAAGATGCCTACCTAAGATGCCTACCTACCTTGCCAAGTGGTTTGTGCTGCAAGCTTGTCTTTGGCTTGTGTGTTCCTCCGAATTTGCCGTAGTTTGTTTGTCCGGTGGAAGAGTTTCTATGGGCTGCTGCACTGCATCGTCGTCGCAAGCCTGCCCCTCGTCACGTCTGTTTCCGCCAACATCGTGGATCCAAGAGCGTCAGTAGCACTGTCGCGGTCTCTTTCTTTCACCACCTTACCTTACCTGAATTCTTGCCTGCCTACGTACTACCTTTGCCTGCGGAGTCTTCGGGCAGTCATATTTCCGGCGGGGCAATGTGATGCCTGCCCACTCGCCCTCGCTGAGCCTTTCCTCGCGGCCATGCCCATCCGATTTCCGTTTCATCATGGGCAGAGCTACTCTGTGTGTGGTCTGAGTTGCGGCGCGCAGGGCATGGCAACAGGCCTGGACGTAGGGCGGAAATCGGGCCCGCTGTGTATCGGCTCGACGACCTAAGAGCATCACCCCCGCCCTCCTCGTCCATGTTCATTCCCCTTGTTTTTCTTTTATATAAGCCGTTTCTGTCACTTTCTTGACGCCGGCCGTTTTAAGTTTGCCTTACCTCACGTTGTGGTTTTCAATCTCTACGAGATTTGCCCCTTTCTAGCAGTCACTGCGCCGTTGAAGCAAACGACACTTCCCGTCCACACGCTTCGCTTGAACACGGTGCCTACTCAACCGGCTATTATTTCTGCACTCTATATTTTCGGCGGCTAGCTTCGCTTCGTCAAAGCATCCCGTTCTCTCTCTGCCGGGTTCCGGCCAGTAATGAGCTTTTGCCAGGCCAGGCCAGGCCAGTTTTACCAGAGTCAGCCAAAATGGACGCTTATTCAATGTCTGTGAACAGACCCTCGCGTGAAACCACGTCCCAGATATACCAGGACCTGAAGACGTCGCGCCAATACGGTGCCACTGACCCGGTCCCTGGCACCGCGCCGAAGAGACTAAGCATTATGGATAGGATCCTAAAGGTACTAGGACCCCCGAACCTTCCCTACTTACCAGTCTACTCCCCGTCCCGAGCCTGAATTAAGTGGGGAATCCTCAAGCAGTTGTGAAAAGGATGAGAGGGGGGCATCCGATTGTGTCAATTATATATGCTTGAGAACCGTCGTGGTCATGTAATACCTGCGTCCCTGCGTGCTACATGAGTTGCAAGCGTTGCTTACATTACCTCTACACAGCTTGAGACTGTCGAGCCGAGCAGGAAACCGCATATTGGTGTAATAGGGGCTGGCCTCGCCGGCCTCCGCTGTGCCGACGTACTGCTTCGCCATGGCTTTCGCGTAACCATTCTCGAGGCTAGGGACCGCTTGGGAGGCCGAATGTACCAGGAAAGACTGCCCAACGGCCACTTAGTAGATGTAGGTCCGAACTGGGTACACGGAACCACCGGAAACCCCATGATGGATCTGGCCCGAGAGACGGATACGCCAGTCGGCACCTGGGACACGGGGTCGACCGTGTACGACGAAGATGGCGAGCTCATTAGCTCCGAGGACTCCGAGTTCTACTCCACCACCATGTGGAATATCATCGAAGATGCCTTTGACTACTCGAACCAGCACGGGGCCGAGACAGATCCCAGCAAGGCGCTGTTGGACTTTTTCCGCGAGCAGATACCGCATAAGATACCAGACACCGAGGAGGACTATGAGAAGAAGAGGAGTATCATGCTCCAGATGGCCACGCTTTGGGGTAACTTTGTTGGCAGTCCCGTCGACAAGCAGAGTCTGAAGTTCTTCTGGCTCGAGGAGTGTCTCGACGGCGGTATGTTTTTGAATCCGTATCTGAACCGAGACGGAGTGACTAATAACGACTAGAGAACCTCTTTTGTGCGGGGACCTATGAGAAGATTCTGCAGAAGATTGCACAGCCGGCAGTGGACGGTGCTGACATTAGGTATCAGACTCGGATTTCCGAAATATATGGCAAGTCCACCACAGCCAACAACGACTTGGTCAACGTCAAAACCACCGACGGCCATAGTTTTGAATTCAACGAAGTCGTCGTTGCCGCGCCGCTGGGGTGGCTGAAGCAGAACCCCCAAGCGTTCATCCCCCCTTTACCGCCACGCATGACCGAGGCGATCCAGAGCCTCGGGTACGGGTGCCTCGAGAAGGTCAGCTAGTCTGCCAGAGAACCACAATCGGTTTTAGCAAAGGATGACGCTGACATTAGCTTCATCGCAGGTCTACATCTCCTTCCAAAAGGCGTTCTGGCTTACCCCGGACGCGAGCGGGCGGACGGTCAAGGGCTTCGCGCAGTGGCTGTCGCCCAAGTACGCGCCCGACTCCAACCCGGCGCGGTGGACCAACGAGATCGTCGAGCTGGCGTCGCTCGCGCCGTCGGCGGCGCACCCGACCTTGCTGTTCTACATCTACGGCGATGAGTCGCACCACGTCACGGCGACGGCGCGCGCGCTGCCGGCGGGCAAGGAGCGCGACGAGTACATCTTTGCCTTCTTCAAGCCGTACTACTCGCGGCTGCCGTCGTATGACGAGGCCAGCGCCGACTGCCGGCCCACGTGCTGCCTCGCCACCGACTGGCTGCACGACGACCTCGCCGGCAACGGCAGCTACACAAACTTCCAGGTCGGCCTGCGCGAGGGCGACAAGGACGTCCGCGCCCTGCGCGCCGCCGTGCCCGCCGAGGGCGTCTGGCTCGCCGGCGAGCACACGGCCCCCTTCGTCGCCCTCGGCACTGTCACGGGTGCCTACTGGAGCGGCGAGGATGTTGGTAAGCGGCTCGGGCAGGCGTACGGCCGGGCCGGGTTCGACAGGAGTCTCGAGATGGCTTGAGTTGGCTTTCTCTCTTGCAGTTTGTCGGATTTTTTTGGATTTTTTTTGGGGGGGGGACGGTGGTGAGTTTACATTTATATTGAACCTTTTTGGGGGGCGGGGCGGGAAGGGTTGAATGTTTGGAGTTTTTTCTTTCTTTTCTTTTGGATTTCTTTTTGTCACTGTACGGATACCTTTACTCTTTCGTGTGATTGCATGCCACTTAACTGGTGGCTGCGGGCTACAGTTGACATTTGCATAACCGGCTTTGTTTAACCTTGACGGAGATTTCCAAGGTACGGAATAAGTGCTCATCAAATCTTAGTGTAAGTACTGTACCGATCAAGCTTGATCGTTAGCAAATGCTTCCGTGGCCAATTGTGCTCCCTAGGTTGATAGTTCTAGGTTGTTTATTGAGTTATTTCCCTTTACCTAGGTAAGGAGGCAGGCAGTGAGAATCCATCTAGACAGCCAACTAGGAATTTGCTATTTGCGGGTTTCTTCAAACCTCTAGTGGGTATTTAACTCGGCACTTTGGCCGCCCCGCTTCGAGGCCACCTACCAGCCGGTAGGTTCGCGCGGCACCCCAGAATTTTGCTGGTGAGCCGAACAATCAAACAATGGAACTTTGTGTGTTTATTCATACAATGTGTTATCGATGCACTTTGTGAACGAACGGGTGAACGGCGCGGCGCGCATATCAGTCTCTGTTGGTCGTCTTACGCCTCCCCAAGAAAGACATGTAATCCATATGCTACTGTACCTTTGTTGCTTCATGCCTGTCGATTTCTCTTGTCGTTGCCTCTCTCTCCCCCCACTCTGTGGACCCCAGGCGAGGTGGGAGGCAAACTGTCAGAACCAGTGGACCTCAGCAGCTGGGCTGGGCGCTGTGGGGCGGGGATCTTATGCCTTGTGATAGCCGCTGACGGAAAATCGTCATTGGTGTCGCATCGGATTTATGGCGGGGCAGGGCGGGGCGTTGGGCCGGTACGGTCAGTAGTATGTACAACCTACGCTATATTACGGATTCACGGCGGCGAGCACGCCTTGACTATACCTAGACGGGCAAGCCTCGCTCACTCGTATGTATGCACTGCTGAGTGCCAGTGATACGAGTGATGCTATCTACGGCCTTGCGCAAGCCCGATAAAGGCCGATCAACTGATTGGGTTGGAACTTGGAGCTGCTTCCAATGACACCTCAAGCCTAACCTAGCTTTCATGTCACGGGTCAGTAGGTGGCCCAGCCCAAGCCCAGCCCGGGCCCGGCAACAGCCCACAGACACTCCGGCCACTGTGCGTGTGTGCGTGTTGCCCCTAACCTCTGGGAGGAGGCTTGCATCCTGCATCCGTGGTCCCGTCTTTCGTCAAGGCTGCATCCAGCCTTTTTGTTTTTCTCTGGAGCCTGGGCGCTCTCTTTCGTCCCTTTTCACTCTTGGGACTCATCTCCCTTTTGATCCGAATCCTTGTCTGAGTCGACTCGGTCCAGGGACTGACTGAAGGCCCAAGGGAGCAGCTAAGCTATAGCTACGCTACAGCTACAGGGTACCTGCCGTCGTCACTGATGATGTCCTCCCAAACATGACCTTCCCCGCAATCCCACCTCGGCCGCCCTGCTTCGCTGTTGCTTGTTGGGTGACGAAGACGGAGGCACCGAGAACGCCGACGACGACCAAGAATAATACAACGACGACTAGAGCGCCGCCCACCAGTTTGGGGCCGAACCGTCTCCCCACCATTTTAGCACACTCTGACTGATCTTGCTCCGGAGGGAGCTAGGTTGGGTTGGTCGCAGCCACCCCGCTTCCCCAAACGGACACCCTCACGTCCCTTCTACCCGTACAGTACCCGTACCCTGCGCTGTACATAATCAGTAGTAGGCTTCCTCGAGTTCCTGGAACGCCTGCCCCCCCCGAAGCAGCGGCAACAACGAGAAATCGACAGAATAAATCACAATAACCGCCATCATGGCCTTCTTCCTGAAATCGTTCCGCAGCTCGCTGATGCCCAAGCAGCTGCTGCGCTTTGCGCTGTCGCGGCTTGAAGTGCTCGACTCGCAGACGCTCGACTTGGACAACCTCGACTTTGCGCTGGGGAGGAATACCGTGCTCGAGTTTCGAGATGTCGGCCTCGTTCTGCAGGTACATCCATCCAGTCTCATTTCCGTCCTGTTATTCCCTCCCGAGTCTCGCCCGAGCTGACATCAACTCTCACATATAGAAACTCGAACAGCTCCTGGAGCTCCCCCCGACCTTCTCAATACAACGAGCCAAGATACTCGTGCTCCGCGTTACCATCCCTATGGACTTCTACACAAGCCCGATAACAGCCGAGATCGACGGCGTCGACGTCAGGTTAAAAGTGGCGTCCAAGGAACAAGCGACGAAGCGGAGGAAGAGCCAAGATAGCCACGAAGTCGTCCCCACCGCCGTCGACCTCGCCCAGTCCTTCTTAGAAACCCAGCCGTCGTCCGAGAAGAAGGAGCTCGAAGAAGCCCTGGTAGCCGAGTCGCAGGACCTCGGAGCCTCGATAACCTCGAACGCGTCAGAGGCCGACGACGACAGCTCCTCGTTTGGCACCGGCCAGGCCTTGTCTCTGCCTACCTTCCTCGCCGATTTCCTTCAGGGCATCGTGAACAGGATGCAGATTCGTATCCAGGGTGTCACATTCCAGGTCGATATGGAAGTCCCTGTTGACCCCAGCACTCCGACTGCTGAGCTGGTCACCTTCCAGCTGTCGCTGGACAGCGTCAAGGTTGAGGGTGTTACGACGACGACAGGTGAAGCGGACGGAATTCCGGCTCTTGTTCCCAAGGAGGGCAAGCGGCACATCTTGCTAGACAACATCCGCGCCTTTTTGATATTAGAGGCGAACGTCTTCTCGACGCTGACGCGGTCTCCGTCAATGCCATCTTCGGCTGCCTCGCGGTCGCCAGTCACAACCCCCGCACAATTATTCTCCCACCCAAGCGCTGGACTGGAGATGAGCATGGGTTCAGATGCTTTGGCGAGGTCAGAAGAGCTTGCGCAGAGCCACTACACTTTGCAAGACAGCGAGGACGCTTTCGACATCCCATACGACTTTGACCCTAACGATATTGAAGACGACGTTGGAGAGCCGGCTTCGTCCTTGTCCACCCCGAGAGCCTCCATATATCAAGACTTCTCCCCGCGATCACCCCTCGAGGAGCGCGCGCAGTCGGAAATTGTAGAACCTGAACCAGCTCCATGGGCGACCTTCGATCGGGAGGCCCAGTCTGAACCCTATCTCCGAGAGTCAGAAGACTCATTAGCGCTGCATACCACATCACCAGGCGTCTCTGTTTACTCTGGATCAGGCAGCTCTGGCTCTGGTGCTTCTAGAGCAGAAGACTTGACGCAGTCACATCTCTACAGCCACGAAGACGCCGAGAGCATGTACATGAGTGCATTTTCCCAAGCCCAGTCGGTCAAGCTGCGTAATTCCATGCCAGGGTCATGGGATGAGGAGGAATCATCACTAGAAGAATATTCCTCACCCCGGGACGTGGTTGCGTCTCCTCCCCGAAGCCCTCAGTTCCAGTCGTCACCGGAGCCGGAAATACGAGATACACCGGCTCAAGAGGACGATGCTGTTGCTGAATCGACGCTGTTGCAGCTACTAGTTGAGCGGCCCCTGACCCCTATTGACACGGCAGTTTCTAGCGAGGTGAAGCCATCATCTGCAGAAAATTCCCCCGTTGTAGACCCGGAGCCGCAGCAGGATGATATTCCCACGCCTCGCGGACCAACCCGTTTAGTCAAGGAGATTGTATCCTTGAGCTCCATTTCGGTCTATATCCCATCAGCACCCAAGCGCATCCAAATCTACAGCCCTGACCTCGGCAAGTCTGTTTCGCCGAATCTCCCAGGGACATTCTCCGTCCACTCTGCCGCACCTACGAGCCCAGGGCTTGCTCCTATCCCGGTGATCTCAGAAGAAAGACCCCACGACAACTCTGTCGAGATTATCCTGCGTCCTGTGGAAATTCGGTTTGATGCCTCAATTGGTTTTTTACTGGCCATGGTTGTTTCGCGGCTGCTCGAGGCTACCCAAAGCCCGCCAAGCGAGAGCCGCGATTCAGGGGCAACCAAGCCGAGCCCGAAGACGCCAGATATCAAGCTCATTATCGAGGAACTGTCTTTAAATTTCTTCGAGAAGATCGCGGGTGTGGCAGATACGCCCCAAAGGCTGTTCGAAAAACGCACTGTCGGGTTCGACTCGGACATCCTGCTCAAGGCTAGCATAACTGATCTCAGAGGGTCCGTTTCTAAATCGGGTCCGCAGACCGAAGCGAGCATCAGCATCGAGAAGTTCCGGTTTGGCTATGCAAACGATGATATCATTTCGTTCGACCGTCAAGTCCAGATGTATGAGTCGGTGGCAAACACGTTCCCAACGGCTGGGCAGGACATATCTGTCAATGTCACCAGCTCGTCTGATTTCTCGAGAGCTGAGATCAACACGCTGCCACTCCATGTTAAGCTGGACCTACAGAGACTGGATGAAACATTCAGCTGGTTCGGCGGGCTGAGTAGCTTCCTTAACATGGGCTCCTCAATTACGTCAAACGCGCCAAAGGGGAACAAGAATCCAACGAAGGCGGCCCAGAAACCGCGCGGCGTTCGATTCGAAACCCCCATCAACCCGGATGACCGCACAGCGAGCAAGGAGAACAAGACCGACTTGCGCATCAACGGCCTCCGTGTGGATGTTGTCGGCAAAGAATGTAGCGTCGTATTGAATACGAGCGCCCTCAAACTGGTCAGCAGAGAGGAGGGAATCGGCATCCATTTCAGCAGGGTGCGGTTGGCCGGCCCGTATCTGAGAAATTCCCGAGCCGAAGTCCCGGTTGTTGTAGAGATTGCAGATACGAGGCTCGAATACATCATGCTTCCTCGAACGAAGGACTTGGAGAGACTCCTGGAGCTTATTACGCCCTCGAAGGTGAAGTTCGACGAGAACGAGGACGAGATTATGGTGGACACGCTTCTCAGACAACGGAGAAAGGGCCCCGTTCTTTCTCTGACTGTCAGCAGGGTTAGAGTTGATGCGGGTAGGTTACAACAACTGGCCTGCCTCCCAGGCCTTGTCGAAGACCTCGCCAAGCTCGGAACGGTTGCCAAATACCTGCCCGAAGACGACCGGCCAGGTCTTTTGACGCTCGGTCAAGTCAAGCATATTGAATGCGAAATTGAGATTGGGGGTCGATTTGGCGCTATCCAGGCATCCCTCAGAGACGTCGACCTGGCGAATATCTCGGTGCCCTCGCTGGTAGCTGTCGCCGTCGGCTCAATCTCTGTCAACCGGAACCAGATAGAAGAGCTTGTGGGCACCTCGAGTACGGCAGCATCCGGCATCACGCAGAAGCCGCCGGTTCTAATGATGAGGATGATTGACGACATCGAGCCGGTTCTCAAGGTCAAGCTCATGGGACTGAGCGTCGAGTACCGTGTCCCCACCATTATGGATGTGTTGGGACTGTCAGAAGATGCCACGCCCCAGGACTTTGAAGCCGGGCTCGCCGCCTCGGTCGCGAACCTGGGAGATCAGGCACATTCGGTGATTAAAGGAGCACCTTCAAGCTCAGCAAACCCTGTAGAACAGGTAAAAGCCGCGAAACCCATTAAGGTTGATGTTGCTTTTCGCGACTGTATTGTCGGCCTTAACCCACATCACCTCCCTTCCAAATTGGCTCTCGTGCTTACGGATGCGCGTGTCGAGGCGACTCCCGGGAAGAACAACACGGTTCACGCGGTTGCTTCCTTGAAGAAGGCCTCGGTTCTCTTGATTGACGATATCTCGATCTTGGACTCGGACGAGCCGCCCTTTGCCTCAACACGGCAGTCGGTCGTCACGCCATCCCCCCAAGTCAGGGAGCTGTGCGGTATGGGATATGTCAATATTTGCCAGATCTCCTCTGCCAAAGCGACGGTGAAGATTGTCAAAGATTCCGAGGACGAATCCCATGTAGAGATTGAAGTCAGGGATGATCTCTTGGTTCTCGAGACTTGCGCCGACTCGACTCAGACGCTCATCGCTCTGGGCAATGGCCTTAAGCCGCCAACCCCGCCAAGCAAAGAAGTCAAATACAGGACGTCGGTCGTTCCCGTTGAAGATCTCTTGGCATCCATCACCGCAGATGCATTCGGCAAGGCTGAGGGCGACTACGATTTTGACAATGATTTTGCCATGGCCCAGGAGCTTGGTGACTTTGGAAGCGAATACGACGAATATGAAGACCACGACAGCCCACTTCAACTAGACTCTCAGTACTACGACGAAGGCGCCGTCCAGGAGGAGTTGTTCAATGCCACGTCTTCTTCCATGTTGGGGGAGCGCACGACTGTAGAGGAAACCAGCGATGGCATCCTGCTCAGCACTGCGAGCTTCGGAGCTGACAGCGGCAGCGATGACCTTCGCGTCGACGACAACTTCTTCGGCTCGGCATCTGTAGTCCGGGGCACAGCTCACCGCTGGAACTCGAAGAAGAACACATATGACCAATCTAACGATGTCAAGGTCCAGCAGAGCCCCTTAAAGCTTTGCGTCCGCGACGTGCACGTCATCTGGCACTTGTTTGACGGCTACGACTGGGCACGCACTCGAGAGGTCATTACCAAGGCCGTCCAGGATGTTGAAGCAAAGGCGTACGAGCGGCGCGCTCGGACCGACCGCCGGGGTGTCTACGAGAAAGAGGTTGAGGATGGGGATACCGTTATTGGCGATTTCCTGTTCAATTCTATCTACATCGGTATCTCAGCCAACCGCGACCCTAAGGAGCTGGCGCAGGCCATCAACCAGGACCTGCAAGACAACGCCACGGACACGGAGTCAATTGCCACCACGGCCGTCACCGCCACCACGGCCCGGCCCGGCGGGCAGCATCGATCAAAGTCCAAGAACCTGAAGCTGAACAGGAGCAAGCGCCACAAGATCACGTTCGAGCTCAAGGGCGTGAACGTGGACCTGGTCACCTTCCCGCCCGACTCAAGCGAGACTCTGAATTCCATCGACATCCGCATCAATGACATCGACGTTTTTGACCACGTCCCAACATCGACGTGGAAGAAGTTTGCCATGTATGACCACGACGCTGGCGAGCGGGAGCTGGGCGCGAGCATGGTCCACCTTGAGCTTCTCACCACCCGGCCCGTGCCGTCCATGCCGGCCTCTGAAATAGTGCTCAAGGTTACAGTTTTGCCGCTGAGACTGCATGTCGATCAAGATGCGCTTGATTTCATCACTAGGTTTTTTGAGTTTAAGGACGACTCGGCTCCGGTCCACGCCTCCCCAACCGACATCCCCTTTATACAACGCGCCGAGATCAACGACATCCCCATCAAACTTGATTTCAAGCCGAAGCGAGTCGACTACGCTGGCTTGCGTTCGGGCCACACAACCGAGTTCATGAACTTCTTGATCCTCGAGGATGCTCGCATGACCCTGCGCCACGTCATTCTATATGGTGTGTCAGGGTTCGACCGCCTGGGTATCCAGCTGAACGACCTCTGGACGGACAACGTCAAGAGAACGCAGCTGCCTGGAATTCTGGCTGGGCTGGCCCCGGTACGCTCGGTTGTGAATGCTAGTAGTGGATTTAGAGAATTGATCGAGATTCCTATCCGGGAGTACCGCAAAGATGGCCGCATCGTGCGCAGCATCGGAAAGGGAGCAGCGGCATTTGCCAAGACCACAGGCACCGAGGTCGTCAAGCTCGGTGCCAAGCTCGCGATCGGGACCCAGTATGCTCTGCAAGGAGCCGAGGGACTCCTCACTTCGAATCCCCACGGAGAGGGAACGTCAGCTGCTGTGGCGGTAGGGGAATGGGAGGACGAGATTCCAGAGGAGAAGAAGCAGATTAGCCTCTATGCGGATCAGCCCTTGGGTATCATCCAGGGCATGAGGGGTGCGTATGCCAGCTTGGCCAGAGATCTCTCGATGGCGAGGGATGCCATCATTGCGGTGCCCGCGGAGGTAATGGACAGCCAGAGCGCTCAAGGGGCGGCGAAGGCGGTGCTTAGGCGGGCCCCGACCATCATATTCCGCCCCGCCATCGGAGCTACCAAGGCCATCGGACAGACTCTTCTCGGGGCGACGAACTCGCTCGATCCCGCGAACAGGAGGCGAATGGATGCCGTGAGTTGCAACCATCTTGGACCAGTGCGAGACTACAATGCTAACAATGTGTGCAGAAATACAAGAAGCACTAAATCTCTTGTGCTATCTACCGCGGCTGGTCATGACCGCGCTATCTGAGAACGGGCAGGTGTCTTGTGGAACGTGTGTATTCTCACCGTCGTTCTACCGATATCCCCGACATGTTTTTTCTTCTGTCACTTTCCATTGTACTGTACGAACCTTGCATGTTTTCTTTTGTCATTCTTGTCTTACACGAGGCCGCATGAGCTCTATGAAAGACGGCGCACTATGACGATCTCACACACCAGAATAATCTGCATCTAGACTGGCGCTGGACGGAGCATGAAACATATTTGTCCAAATGAGACACGTTCGAGAACTGGGTTCCACTGCACCAGACAGGGTAGGGGATGGAGGAGCAGGCCACCAGGTAGGCAGGCGCTTAATGAGCAGCAGCATACCATAGCATAGCATATTGTGTTTTTACGACACGCCACGGCGGAAACGAGTGGAGAAACGGGTACGAGATAGTCTAATTGATCGCGGTTTGAAGTGCCAATGAGCTGCTGCTTGGCGAGGTATTGATTCAGAGATGGTTTAATTGTCAAAATTATCTAACCCCTTTCGTGCTCAGTGATAAGTCTACAGCATGATATTAGAGCTGGGTTGTGGGCGGTTTTGAGGCGGTATCCAACGAGTCCGCGTGAGAAAGGGGGGCCGAGTTGAGTTTGTTTGTTTCTCGGCGAACTTGCCTCTTTTCTTTTCTCCACTAATACGGAGCAGCAAGAACATAAACACACATATAAACATACGAAGACACCCACACCCATCATGGCCAATTCACGGGGCAGCACTAGAGTCATCTAGTCAATACCTCCACTTTCATCCTCGACATCCCCGGTCCGCTGCACCCCACAAAGACCCATCTCAATCTCAATCTCAACATGGATGGATACACATACTAGGTCAATAGGCAAACAATCAAGCAACACAAAGACAAAGACACTTTTGCGAAGTGGCCTAACGCGCTTCCCTGCTATCGAGCTATGCCTTTTCATACAGGGAATTAATAGGAAGAAGCAACCTAGGGAGTCTCCTCGGAGGCGCAGGTTCGAATCCTGCAGGTGTCGTACATTAATATATTTTTATGTTCTGTCTTTTGTCTTTTTACTTTCTATTTTATTTCGCGGCTTTGTCCACGAATCTACTGCCTTCTCCCATTTCCTTTTCCTTTTCTTTTTTTTCTCATGTTTTGCATGTTAAGGTTCCTCCCGAGTCCCATCAGGCAGTTAGCAATCACCACTGACACTCACCTCACTTATAATCAGCATTATAGATTTCATCGTGATTCATGTCATAGACTTGGATTCATTTCGTCTTTTTTCTCTTGTTTATAAAAAACGACGGGCATATTGCACGAGTATAGGCTGCCCGTGTTGCAGTAGTCGTGCTTAGCAAGGCCGTTGCTACTGGCGTCCTCATTCGGTTTCCCAGGGGCGGGGGAGCGTTTCGAGACAACTATGGTGCCATATGCCTGACGAGAGAATGGGTAGATCTGCGCTCGCTGATTTGACGGGCGAGGTAGGTAGGATGGTGAAGTCTTGTAAGTACCTTGGTTTCGCTACTAGGAGTAATGTTGGAATTTTAAAGTCTACTAATACTGAAGAAGGTACTAGAAAAAGAACTCGGAATTTTTAAAGCTCCGAGGAAGATACTGGGAAAAGAATTTTTGACACCGAGGAAGGTACTGAGAAAAGATTTTTTAATTTTACTGACACCGAGGAAGGTACTGGAAAAGATTTTTTTTCCAGACACCATAAATAACTACCCTAGATTCCTGATCATCGCGCGTCTTCCCTCCAACATTCCCCAACACTCAAGATTGACCAGCCGCGATAATGAGTTCCTCTGCCCCTCCCTTTTCCGCACCTGAGCGACGTCGCCTCAATACGACAGAATAATCTATCATGTCCGATGGGCTTTGGGAAGATTTCTTGTCGCACCTGCGAGTTTTCAAGGCTCTATCCGCCCACAGCGAGTCAGAGTGCCGCATTCCACGAGTCTTCTCGTATGTTAGCAAGGATAATGCAGGATGGTGGGATATGAATAAGCCATTTCTCCCGCCAAGCTCGGAATTCCCTCTTCCCTCGGTGGCATTGATTACGGAACGTATTATTCCTCTCCCCAAGGCCATTCGCCATGCCCTGATCGATAAGTTTTGCCCGGAGGGATTGCGGGAGGCTGCCAAATCCTTATAGATGAATAAAGACTGTGTCGCTCGTATATACCTCGGCCGCCGTCGCTGCTCGGATGCTCTGCTCTCGCCCAATTTCTCTCTACGGAATTTCAATTTCTGTCTGGATCAAATGCTCGATCTCGGCCTCCCTATCAAACATTATGCGAGGGCAATGGCTGAGTGTCCCGCTATTGTCCACTGGGAAGCTCATATAGATGGGTATGATATCGAGTTTGTCCTGGGAAGTGAGGCCGAGATTTCATATACAATCCACGTCACGCAATCGCTCGGCTTGGACGTTGAGGAGCTAGAGAAATTGCCCAAATACTCGGACATGGAAGTTTTAGAGTGTATCAACTTCCAGAGACGTGCAACCCGTCTGTAGATTCTAGACTTTAATCTCTATAACCGGTTTCCCAACGATGTCGCCTTTCTCCTTAAGAATGAAGAGGAGTTAATCCAGCACCTAGTTATTGCCTTTTTGAGAATGACCACTATTATTCTTTACCCCTTATGGAGCTGGATATTGATAAAAAACCCTGGTCTTTTTCAGATAAGAGTATGAGAAGAAGGCGGGAGAGATTCTTGATAACTCGGGTGTTCTGTAACATCTTCCTATAAAGTTCCTAGATGCCTGCGTAAAGAGGGAGCAGGGAAAACTGGAGCAAGGGCTAGATCATGGACATAGGAATTTGAAGGGATAAGATTCTCAGCCTCCGCTCTGTAGTATTAGACGAAGGAATCTATTAGTAGTAATAAGCCGATTATGCCCAACTCTGTATAGTTATTAACATCTAAATAGCCGTCGTAATCATATAGTATCGCTTGCTACATCTATAGGCTGCTCACCGCCGCGTGACAAAAAGATTCGGTTCTTACTAACGGACGTAGAGCCGCAATCAGCCACCCGTACAGACCCTATTGATATCCGTGAACAGGGCACAGCCCCTCAATTGAGAGCAGTTGGTTTGGCTCAACAAGGACCTAACTAAGTCTTTTCAATAGGTCGTAGCCCCCGAGTTGAGAGCAGCTAATGTGCCCCAACCAGTACCCATACGTAATCAATAGTGCGTAGCGTCTAAATTGAGACTAGCTAATACACCCAAACCAATATCTAAGCCCATCGACTGAGCGTAGCTCCTGAGTTGAGATTAATTGATGTGCCTCAATACGCCTCCAGGTTTGATTTATAGGACGGTAGTGACTGGGGCTCATGTTACCGGTACGGCACCGGTCTTGCTGGTAGACTTCATTATGGGGACTTGCCCCTGTTTTTTTAGTGTGAGTTGGTTATTTTCCAGTCCTTGACCGAGCTACTGTATAAGAGGGCGGGCTCTATATCTTCCTTATAGAAGGAAGACATGCTATTCTTAGTCCTTGCTTTCAGTACTACTTTTTCACTTCTTTTCTTTGAAATGTAGTGACCCTAACTACTGCAAGCCTACAGCATACGGTCCCCTATGATTGAGGAAGTAGTACTTCACGCACTAGCCACCTATGGTGGCCGAGATAGTGTGTGAGTATGTGGCCTAGTGTCTGTTCTGTTGCTATTATTGTTATTTAGCTATCCTTAATCTTGGTGATATTATCACTACCTCATCGGACAGCCACTACACCTCGGCATCTAGGCGACTCAAAGCGACCCAAGACTATAATTGAGAAGGGAAGGCGGTCAATAGCATGTAGTCACAATACCAACGCCGCTCAAACCTGCCTCGCTTTAGGGCGTTTATGTAAAAGTCTAGTAGGGTTTTAGAACCCTGTATGGCCGTGTTTGATGTTCTTCGTATAACGTTAGCGGGAAATTAACCCAGGCTATGTATTGATGGCCAATAGACGCTGGGACCTGGTACGAATATTAGAGGTTAGAGTTTCAAATGCCGTATAGCTACATCGTCTCAAGACAGGCGACTCTGGGGTTGTGGTTGTGGTGTATTACGCCTCGGAGCACGAGGCGCTGTAGTGAGGGTCGAGACGCGGGCATTGTTTCGGGTCAGTTCTAAGGATTAACGCCATACGTGAAGGAAGACATGTCTTGCCGCTAGCATTAGTTCGAGTCAGAGGACTAACCCCTTGCGCCTCGAAGGCGCGTCTGGCCAAAGTGCGATTCGGGGCCCATCCATGACCGTAAATGACGCAGCCAACATCCTAAACCACCAACGACCCCTCTAAGGCGTAAATACTTATATAAAGCGCGTCTAAGCGTCACCTCGCCGAACTCCTATCTCAAGCTAAGATACAAAGGATCAACCAACTCAATTCGACTCTTGCCATCTTCTATAACACAAGATCTTTAAAATGGATTCGAAGAAGAATAGAGTAATACCAGGCTTTCAACTCAAGAGCGGTCAGCCAGTCAAGACAACCAGCCGGCAGCCCGAGGCCGCTCAGCAATTTCTCGATCATTTATCACCTATTGCCTTGCCCCGAGTTAGAAACTTTAGAGGGGAGTCTAAAGGCAAGTCCGACGGCTATAGAAACTATTCCTTTGGGTTAAAAGAGGTTAGGATTCACTGGAGCAAACATATAGTCTGAAGGGACCAGGCTAGTCTAGGTGTAGCATATTACCTTTCCGGAGATCGATTACAATGACCCCGAGATAATTAAGAAGTGGGCTCCACAGGGCGGGGCATCAAAGGCGAAGTAAAAGTTCATATACTTTAAATAAGATTAGGTGGATAGTCGTCGTATTAAACTCTATCAGCCTCTTAATCGTGCAGGATGATTGTACCTTTTAAGCATCTGTCGGAATGTATCCATTTGCCTCCCTCCATGCCCCCTCCTCGAAAACGCCTCGCCTCGGACTTGAATCCTCCTTTGGTATTCGATAGATGACATCCCCCCCACAGAATAAACCCCCGAACAAGTTTTCAGGCAAGGCCGCTAGGGCCACCGCCGTTCCATTGGCCAGCAAAGTAAAAAAAAAAAAAACAGACCAAAAAAACGCGGTTGGGGTAGTAGTATTTGTAAACCAAAAAAAGCCCGCACAAAATAAATACCAAGGAAAAAAGACAAAGGCTACACTTTGACACTGACACAAGCAAATGAGACAAAACGAGCTGGCAAGCACTGGTAACCAAATCTGGCTGCTGGCTGTGGGATATCTTGCCACACGGCCACTATTCATCAACCAAAGCTTCTTCAGACCCGGCCATATCCCCCCTGGCGGCATCAGAAGGCATGTTCGCAAGAACTTCGGGGCTCCGTGCCCCTGAAACCTGGACATTGGCTCGTGCCATTTCCTGACTTTCGACGAAGCGGTCCCAATAGACGGGGTCCAAGGTGCGAAGTTTCTGGAGAAGGTCCTCCCTGTTCTCCTGGAAGACGCGCACGACGCCCTTTTCTTTGACATCGGCGGCCATATAGCTGCCATTGGCGTCGCCGAGATCGTCCAAAAGCTCGTGAAGCATACGGACATGTTTTGGGTCGGCGCCAACCATCTCGACACCTGTTAGCAAGGCGTAGTGCTCGGGCTTGACGATGCCGACTCGGAACTGGTGGCCAGCGCGCAGAACGCGGCCCTCTTCGTCGGCGAGCGCCTTGGACGTGAGGCTAATGGCAGAGTTGGACCGCACCAGCGGCGCCCGTATTGCGAGACCGTCTGTGGTTGTGTCGTCTTCGTTGTCCGAGATGGCGCCAGCCTGTAGGTCGGAAGACGACAGTCCGGCGCTCCAGGGCGGGGTTGGGGCGTTTGCGTCGTAGTCGGCGTCCTCTGCAGGCGACAGGCTGACAGCACTATCACTGGACTCTCGTGTGTCCGGGAACTCGTCCTCGAACCGCTTGATAATGCCCTTGAGCGTGTTATCAAGGAACATCAGACGATCTGCATGAAAAATCCCGTTAGTAAAGAGGCCAATCAAGAAATGGGGCTGGGAACAAATATGACTTACGGTACGTATGTTGGTCATCGACCATGGCCGCCTTGGCCTTGCTGATTGCCGGCTGTAAGCGATGCCTGATCTTCCTGGCACTGAATAGCAGGTGCTTTGACGTCTCCTTCGCCTTTCCGGTCGGCAGCTTGTCGGGTCTCGGCTCCGGTATACCGTTCTCAAAATCCCGGATGAATTCTCCCGACTGCCTTCGCGACTCGTCGCCACGGTTCTTCAAACAACACGCCAGCGCCTTGACGACGCCGGTACCGCTAATAACATAATCTTCGTCAGGCGCGACATCAACGTCGGCGTCCAAGTCAACCGGCTGCATGACGTCATGGCCAATGAGGCGCTGCAGCACGTCTGGGTACTCGGGCTCATGCACCTGCGATTCTGTAGCTGAAGCAACGGCAGCAAGATCCCCCACGGGAAGCCGCTCCATGTTGCGCAGGCAGTAGGCAACCACGTGTTTGGCCATGGCCTTGATGAGATCACTTGATTGCTCGCTGGGCACCTCGATGTCGACGGCCACGAGGCTTTTAGAAACTCGTGCAGCCGCCAAGAACGACGCGAAGAGTGCGAATGCTTCTTCTTTGATTTCGTCCGTGTTTGCATTAGTCGTCAGCTGTACCAGTGCCGGGTTTTCCAGGAAGCTGATGTGGGCAAGGCCAGGGACTTCGGGAATGATCTCTGTCAGAGAAATGACTTGCTCGGGGGTCATGGCACAGTCGGCGAGGTGAATGCGTTTCAAGCAAGCCATCTTGGGGAGATATCTAGAGCCATTAAGTCAGCAAGTTAAAGTGCCAGGCAGCAAATGATCCAGATTTGACTGACCTTCTGAGCAGGGACACTGCGCTGGGGTTCGAGTTGAAGAGTTCGTGGTTGTGCGAAAGGTCGATGAACTTGAAGTGCGGAAGCTTGACGAGCATCGACATCAGCTTGCACAAGGACCACGGCTTGAGGTTGCAGTCTGCCAGACTCAGCGCCCACAAGGGGCAGTTCTTGGCCTGTAAAGCATCGGCAATAATGCCAAGCCGATCTCTCATGTCATTGCCGCCCAGATCCAGCCCTTCACATTGACCACTGTTTATAAATTTAGCAACGTGTTTTATGCCCTCGTCATCGATATCGTTGTGGGCGAGGCCCAGTCTCCGTACGCCGCATTTTATGACGCCGTCAATGACAATACCCAGCTGTTCTGCGCTGAAACCCGCCTGGCCTAAGTGCAGCAGTCCCAACGTGGAACCCCCAAGTCGTTCTGCGAGGGACCTGGCCAAGAGGCGGCAAACATCTTGGTCCGGGCGTGTCCGGTATGCGTTTCCATTCACGTGGCTTGCGGCTCCGGGGGCCGGGGCGGCAGGCCGGGGCAGTGGTATGCCTGATAGATCCAGACACTTGAGCGTCCGACATAGATAGAGGAATAGGCAGATGTGCTTCCACCCTTCGGGGCCGGCCTTGTTGTTTTTCAGCACGAGCCGCTCAACCACTCCGCCTTGCGGTGCCAGCCCGTCAGGTTCGGTCGGAGGTTTCCGCCTCTTGGCCGAGACTTTCCTGGCGGCCAAGAGGCCTGCCAGGATGACACGAAGACCCTCGTCTGTCAGGCCGCAGTTCTCCAGAATGACCTCTCTCACGGGAACCACAGCCAGATAGTCGCCTAGCGTCACCAGGTCACCCAATTGCATCCAATACCCGGTAAGGTCGAGCTTTTCAACCATGCCGGGCTCAACAGACGAATTCGCCGGGTCCAAAAGCTGCTCTGTGATCTTTTTGAGTATCGGCGTTTCTCTGAGCTGGCAACACCGGCGATAGATTCTAACTGGGTTGGTTGTTGGCACAGCCTGCGTTTTCGGCGTCGACGGGCGTGGGATGGAACCGCTTGACGACGAATCACTGTCCACGTAAATTTCCATGGGAATGGTGCCGTTCGCTTCAGCAAGCTTCCTTTTCCTCTCCTTTCTTGCCTTCCTCTCTTCTTCGCTCTTCTTTTTCTTCTCCTTTTTCTTCGCCTCAGCAGAAGTCGTCTTGTCAGCCAAGCCTTCGGAGCCGGGCGTCTCGTTTGATTCTGGAACTAAATCTAGTTCTTTGATACTGTTAGGGCCGTCGGTGCCCTCGACAGTGGGCTCCTTGGGGAGCTCCTCACCCGTGGCAGCGACCTCGCCGTTCTCCTCTTTCTGGGCTACCACCACGCTGGGATTCTTGAGTGCTTCTCCCTCGCCCTTCTCCTTAATTTTGCGCTTTTGGTCCTTATCGGGATTGGCGACAGCCTTGGCGGCCGGTTTCCTCTCAGTAGACTCATCCATGTACTTGGGCATGGGCGCAATCTCTACGTCGACGCAAAAGGCTACTCTCCGGAGTTTGGCCTGCTGCAGGCCCGAAATGTCGCAGCGCTCTCGGTTGCGATCCACATTTAGGACCCGTCGCTCGACTAGCCCATGATTGTGGGGTTTTACGCCGGGGCTCAGTGTTCCGTTGGACGAGGATAGCCTCCGAAAGACGTGCATGATTCCGGCCTGGGTGGATCGGGGCGGTGCCGGGGTGTACGGCCCCTCACCTTCGTGCTTAGAAGCATGCTGCAAGACGGCGTTCTTGACCGGGTTTGACTTTGGTACTGAGAATTCGGCGGGTTTAGGCGACGCCGTGTTGGCCTGCGGAGGGCTCTGACCGCTGTTTCCTGTGCCCGAGGAAAACTTGGACGAGATGTTGGAAAACCAAGAACCCCTCCTCTGGGGGATTGGAGGGGAGGTGACGGGCTCGGGGCTCGGGGCAGGAGCGGACGACGAAAGCAGCGTCCCCTTCTCGTCCGCGTTGGGCCTTGACAATGGTGGGCGCACTGCGATCGCTTGCCTCGGGCTCGGGGGTATTGTGGCGGCGGCGGATTGCACTATCTGAGGGCCATTGGGAGTTGCTGGGGGAGTAAGTGGTGAAGGCAGGGGCGGACTCTGGGCCAAAGAACCGCGGCTCAGCTGCGACAGTGACCTCGGGCGCGTCGTCACTTTGGTTGTCTTGTCTGGCAAAGAGAATTATGTACGTATTAGAATGCTTGTTTCGAACCTCGCTCCGCTCGGAGCTGCAAGCATCAGGCGCAGCTACCTGTCGGCCCGGGAGCACGAAGGGGACAAAATTACCAACCTTTTGGATTCCCGTGGGTCATCCAGCTCACGTCAACGCCATGAATGTGCTCCATCTCAGAGGGGGGCGGGAGCGCAAGGAACGGCTACCAACTCAATGGTAGCCGCGCGCAAGGCGAACGAGGCAAGTAAATGGAAAGGCGGGATAATTAGCCCGTGCTACCGAGTCGGGTAGGCGTCGGTGTCCGGAGCGGAATTGAATAATAAAGCTGAATAGACAGGAAACCGGCGGGCAACAGCCACGAAATCGAAACAGACGGCAGTCAAGTCGGTCCCCGGCAATTCAGCTGGACGAGGAGGGCGGAGGACGGAAGACGGCGAGTGGGTGCTCGAGCTGTTGCGGGCGGCGTTCAGCCTCTGGGAGCCTTCCGCTTTGTCGGTGGCGGGGTATCCAGGTGTGGTATGGTATGATGCAGTTTAGTATGCCGAGTGCGTCTAACTGTTGACTGCCAGTGTTGCTATCTGGCGATAACAGAGGTAGCCATGGTCTCGACTGATCCGAGAGGGTTGCTAAAGTTTGCTACTAAGTCAAGTAGACCTAGATGGAAGACGCTTTGATAGAACGACGGCAACAAAAGGGTAGTCCGTCTGTCTCTCGCGTGGATTTCAAATGAGAAAGTAAGCAGCTGCGGTGTACTAGTAGTGTGTGTTTTCGAGGTGCGCTGATGCACGGCTGCACTTGTATTATGCGGGAGGACAAGGAAGGCCACTGGACTGGACTCTAGTATGTACTTAGCCCGGGCAGGCTGGGGAGCTGAGTCCGCTGCCGCTGCCACACCCTACCCACCTTAAGGTATGCACTGCACTATAGAACAAGAGGAAACCCTGATGCAAGGGCACGGGAGCTTGTAACAGACCGCGCCACCACCAGAAAATGGGTCGGGCGAGCAATTAAGAATGTGGTCGCCGAACTGATATCGCGCAGCCATCCACCGGGCCGCTTACTTATCAAAACCAAGGACGACCCTGCGACGGCCAAGGGACCGAGGGACTAAGAGCAGCGGGACGAGCGCCTCACAGCGCGCAAAGCTTCTATACCACATAACTTACAGTAGTACCCTTGGTATGCAATATACGGGCAGTGCTAGACTGTCTTGGTAACCCGGCGCACATGTTATGTACATATGGCGACTGTCTGATTGGACAAGCCGCTCGATCAGCCAGATAGCTTTCCCATCGGGAGACGGTGGCGGAATGAGAAGTAGCAGACAGACTGGCCGCGGGCAAGGGCGATGGGGAAAAGCGGAGTGAGATGGCGAACTTTGGCCCAGAGAACGAGCCAGGCAGGTGCGTCTAAGTGCACCGTGTGACCCCTTGCGATCCCCGGATTCCGATCAGGAACTGGAAAGAAGGGAAAATCGGCCACCTACAGCGCCCCGGCATGTTTAAGGGTAGAGAGGGAATCCCAGTACGCTTGAAAGACCCAACTCAGTTGTTGCTGTTGGGGGTTTTTGTGGAATATTATGTGTCGGTCCTGCTGCCACTTCGGACATGGCAGACATGCACACTCAGCTCAGCTCAACTCAGCTCAGCTCCAGTCAGCATCGTAAGCCCCAGTCCAAGGAGATGACGATGGGCGGTTGTGCCACGAAAAGCTCAACCCATCATTCCGCTGCTCGCCGTGCGAAGTCGGATCGTCCTTGGGCCATCTGGTAGACCATTCCACTGCCCCGGTTCAACCTGGAAGTGAAGGGGAGGTGGGCTTAATTCCTTGCTCGACTTCCGTCAGGGGTCGACAGAAGGTCAACTTAATCTTTTTGGGCCTTCTACTAAGCTTTTATCCCCTTTCCAGTTCGCCTGCGCTGTATGTACTGTACATGTGTCTTTCCCCTAGTATAATTACTAGTATGAGAGCCATGTTTGTGTCATCAGGAAACTGGTGAGGTCCGTCTGCCCTGGTCCACGACTTGTAAATTTTTTGGAGAAAGCCGTACCTCAGCTTGGTCACTTCTGCTTGGTAGCGGGGTCTTGTGGCAGGAAGATCCGAATCCTTCCGTGTCACTCAATACACGTAGCAAAGGGCAAACAAAAAGAAAGAAAAAAAGAACTGGCTGGAATGAACCTATTGGTTCTAATGGTGTACTGTGCTACTTATTGCCATTCCCAGTCTGATTTTGGCAATCCGAGTCTGGCCGTCCACCGTCGTTTCGATTCAGGGCGGCCGACGGCCTTAACGCTATGACGCCATGACGGGCATTTAACGTAAGTCACATGTCTGCAATGTTGGCCCGGCGCCGCTGGGTCTGCGACACCCTGTGCCCGCCTCAGCCGCCTCCAAATGTGGTAGTATGGTCTCGGAAAATTGATTGGCTTTTGATGGACCTTCATCATTAACCCCTCCGATGTGTGAATGAGAAAACTCCCAAAGAACAAGCAGTCATGAACCCATCCATCCGAACCAGAGACCTGTCCCTGTAGACTTAGCGAAACCCCCCCTTTACTCCTCCGCAGCACGGAGCTTGGCAATGCGCTCCTGCACCCTCTCGGCCCGCTCGGCGTGGGTGAGCTTCTTGGTGCGGTACTTGAGGGACTCCTTCTTCCACTCCTCCTTGGTCTTCTTGGGGGCGTCACTCTCAGCCTTCTTGAAGGGGTCCTCGCGAATAGCCTTGTGTGCCTCGGCGTACAGATCCTCCAAGCCATCAGCATCAACATCATCCTCAGTGTACTTTCCGAACTGGCCCTTGAAGCGCTCCTCATCGTCGTCGGCCAGGGTCTCCATATACTCGGCAACGTGACCGCCGAAGATGTACTTCTTCAGGGTCTCGGCGTCGAGCTCCTTAGACTCCATATCGAAGCCGGGGAATCGGTTCTCGGAGTGGGGAACGAGAATGCCACCATCCGAAGCACCCTTCATGGCGCCGAAGACGCGGGCACCAGTCGAAGTGCGGGCAAGGCCAACGTCAAGGAAGGCCTTGAAGGGGCGGCGCTCCTCACCGTCCGTCTCAGCGGCCTCGGTAAGGGTGTACTCGCCATCAGCCTCCTCCACACCGGCAAAGTCCTCGTCCAGGCCGAGCTTCTTCAGCACACGGCGGGCGATAAGCAGACCGGTGGCGTAGGCAGCAGCCCAGTTGGTAAGACCGTGCTCAATTCCATAGGCGCGCAGCTCGTGCGAGTAGGCCGAGCAGAAGACCTTGTCGCCGCTGATCTCCGAAGTCACGATCTGCAGGATGATGTCGCGGTTCGTGAAGCGAACGACCAGGCGGTACTTGGGCGCATTGTACTTGTTCTTGGCCTGGGTGATCAGGCGCTTGCGGGCATAGTAGTCGGTCTTGCCTTGTCTTCTACGCTTGTACTTGGTCTGGAAGCGACTGTAGCGCACACTTATTAGAATCCTTACCGTTCTTACTCATCCCGGAGCCTCGTCGACTGGAAGATTATTTTTGTTTCTGGACTCACCTGTAGTACGCGCTGTTCTTGACCAGCTTGTGGAAAACCTGATGTTTGCAATCCCCGAATCAGCAATTTGCGCTTCAGAAAACCCCAATCCTCCGAAGCATCTTGCATTGACTCTCTCTCTCTTCAGGGTTTCCGGGAAAGGGAAAAAAAGCGAAGCGCGGGATCAAGATGGAGCGATTTCCATGCCGTGATGGCGGCTTAATTGTTCCTAACTCACCATTTTGACTGTTGTTGCTGATGTGCGAGTACAGCAAGGTCGATGGATGGGCTGGTGTTGGAAGGAGTGAAATTCGAGGGGCCGAATATTTCGTGGGCGCAATTTTCACCCCACAGCCCTAAAGGTGCCTCAACGGTGGGGGACGAGGGCGGTGAAAGAGGAGGGTCGGCGACGACTGATTATGTAATGGCAGTTCTTGTTCTGGGGGCAGGGTCATTCCTGGAAGTAAAAGTAGTCCGTGCTCGGCATTGCTGAGCCGAGGCACTCAGAAGTTAAACTCCTGAAGGCACATTGCACCGAATTGGCAAGTCCAAATGGGACATGAGAGGGGTCGACTCGGTCGCGCTTCCGAGTACCTCCAATCCTTCCTTCTTGCCTTTGTGCAAAACAGAAGGAGCATGTAACCTGGAAGGCGCCTTATCCTACAGTGCTGTAATTGCCGCATCTTAGATACCAAGGTATTTATTCTTTTGATTCCTGGGCCAGCAACGGGAGCCATGGAGGTGGACGAGTATCCCGTCGAGACAATTCTCGAGGCCATCGACGACCTCGGCGTGCCACCAAAGCAACGACTCAAAGTTTTACTGTTTGATATTGGCGGTGTCTGTGTGAGTGCAGCGCCGATCGCATTGTTTCGCCCTCTTTCCCTTCAATCTCACTCATTGGGGTCTGTTCCATTTACAAGACAACTTACCTCCATATTCAGGTTGTGTCGCCCTTCCAGTCAATTCTGGACTACGAACTGAGCCTCGGGATCCCGCCGGGCTGGGTCAATTACTGCATATCCAAAACAGCCCCCGATGGCTTTTGGCACCGCCTCGAAAAGGGCATCATCCCCATGGACGCCGCCTTCTATGCCGGTTTCAACCGCGATCTCCGCGACCCAAATCGCTGGGAGACCTTTTACCGACAGGCTCAGCAAGCTAGTGACATCCCTGCCGACCAAGTTGTCGTGCCTCCGGTCCCCAATGTCGATGGCAAGTGGCTCTTCCTGGACATGATGGCGGCGGCGCGGTCTCCCGACCCTTTCATGTTCCCCGCCCTGAGAAAGCTTCGTGAGAATGGCAAGTATGTGGTTGCTGCACTTAGCAACACTGTGATTTTCCCGCCCGGCCATGAATACTCGCAAACAGACTTCTTCTTGGATGACCCAGTGCGCCGGTTGTTTGATGTCTTCATCTCCTCGGCTCACATCGGGCTACGGAAGCCAGATCCCGAGATCTACCAGCTCGCCCTAAACAAGGTGGACGAGTTTGCACGATCCAACGCAACCACGGACAGGGGGAAAGCGCTCGGGTTTCCTGCTGCAGAGGGCGTCAGCGCCGGCGAGATTGTCTTCTTGGACGACATCGGGCAAAACCTAAAGGCCGCTAGGCATGCGGGCTTCCGTACTATCAAAGTCTCCCTAGGCAAGGCATACGAGGCCGTAGCGGAACTAGAGAAAGTCACGGGTCTTTCTCTGGCCGGCGATCATCCAAAGACTCCCATCAAGCCCAAATTATAAACAATGCAAGGTCAAAAATATGAATTTCGTTACTCAGAATCTGCGATGTCCGAGCAAGGAGTCGCCGGGATAAAAATAAATACAGCACTTGGTTCAGTTGGCAGTCTTGGGCATTCAGAGAGCCCTTCCACATGTTAGAATGAAAGTCATTTTGTCATCAGGCATCTTCCGTCATATAGCCGGTCTCTCACAGTCCCTTCCACCAGAATGTGCCCTTCAGATCGAAGGTTTTCTGGATGGAGTTTTCGGGGGTGAAGGCGCTGCTGCTACTGGCAACGACGGTGTATTTACCGCAGTCGGAGCACCACTTGGCGCGCACTTCGTCCCAGTAGGAGGTGGCATACTTGGTGGGGACGACCACGCAGGCCCTGGTCTCGTCGCCCGGCCCGAGAAGCACCTTGGTGAAACCCTTTAGTTCCTTTTTCGGGCGGCAGACCACCACCGTGTCGACGGTCGCCACAGGCTGCGATTTCATGTCTGGAGGCAGAATATAGACCTCGACAACCTCGGCCCCCTCAACACTGCCCGTGTTCTTGACATTCACCTCGATGACCAAGTCAGTCTGCACCACCGGCGTGGCGTCTTCTTCGTCGTCTGAATCCGGCTCGGCATGCTCGAGCACGCCCTCCCTTGGCCTCTCAGTCACGGTCAGATCGGAAAACTCGAACGTCGTGTAGCTGAGGCCGTGACCAAAGGGAAACAGAACCGGGCGGTGCGCCTGGTCGTAGAAGCGGTAGCCGACGTATATGTCCTCGCCATAGAGGGTCCGGCCGCCCTCGGCGCGGAAGTTGAGGTAGGCCGGGTTGTCCTGCACGCGGATGGGGAACGAGAGGCTCAGCTTGGCCGACGGGTTGACGTCGCCGAAGAGCACGTCGGCGATGACGTTGCCCGTCTCGTTGCCGCCATACCACGCCTGCACCACGGCCGACACTTCGTCGATCCACGGCATGGTCACGGGTGTGCCGCTCTGGTTGACGAAAACCGTGTTCTTGTTGGCACGAGCCACCCTGCAGATCAAGTCGTCCATTGGCGCCGGCAGGTCCATGACCTCGCGGTCGATGCCCTCGGTCTCCCAGTCGGCGTTGAGACCCCCGCAGATGATGACCTGTTCGGCGCCCTTGGCCAAATCCACCGCGTGTTGGATCTCTTTCTCGGCATCGATGTCATAAACACCACCGAGGCGAAGAGCACTGCCGCCGAACAGGGCGTTGTTGTCGGGCAGCTTGGATGTCGGGGCGCTAGCAAACTCTACGTGGATCTTGTAGGATTTGCCCTTCTCGACGGGAATCTTCTTCTTTACCTCGATAGTGCCAGCACCAAAGAAGGCGTCGCCCTGCTGCTGCTCCGAGGCATTGTCGACCACCACCTGGCCATCGACAAAAAGCTTGGCCGTGCCGACGACGACAACGCCGAATTCGTAGTCGCCAGTTTGTTCAGCCACAAGGAGGCCATCAAAGTCGGCATACCAGAGTGCTTGTTTGGGGACCGTGTAGTCGGTAAACAGCATTTCGGTGCTTTGCACGGTCAACTTGTCGATGTATTTGCGGTTTTGGACATCGGGCCCCTCATCGTACACTGACATAACGAAGCCAGTGCTCTTGTTGAGGTTGATCACCTGCGGGCCTAGAATTGGCAGCATCTTGTGCGCGTGCGACCCGATGGTGTAATCGGGAATCTCGGGCTTCAACTTGTCGGCAATGCCATCGAACGGGGTTACGGCGTAGTAAGCTGGTATGACTGCGGAACCACCTCCGTGGTAGACGGCAACCTTGGCATTGGGGCCGATGACGACCGTCTACGCCTCACACGGGCGCGCAAACGCACCAACTGTCAGCCACATAATTTCGTGTTTAGAGGGTTGTCATGGGCGCCCGATCTCGTACCTTCTTGTCCTTCTTCAGCGGAAGGACATTGTTCTCATTCTTCAACAACACGAGGCTCTCGTTACCAAGTCTGCGGAGGAATGCTCTCAGCTTCTCGGTGTTGCCTGTCGTCTCTGGTCCGCGCTCGGGAATGCCCGAGGCATAGCACTTCTTGAGGAACTTGAGAAAGGACCGCGTTCGCTCGTTAATGACATAGCGGGGGACTTTGTCGGTGCCGACATTGAACTTGAGCACCTCGCCTCGGAAGCGCGGTGGGCCCGGCATCTCGAGGTCCAGACCAGCGTTAGCAGCAGCCGTAGTACTGTAGGTTCCGAACCAGTCGCTCATGATCAGACCCTCGTAGTCCCACTCCTTGCGCAGTATGTTGAACAGGTCCGTGTTCTCGCTGCAGTAGGTTCCATTGATACCGTTGTACCCTGTCATGAGGGCACCTGGCTTGCTGTCACGGATCGCCAGCTGGAATGGCAGCAGGTATATCTCACGCAGTGCACGCTGCGTCACGACGGCCTGCATAGCATTGCGGCGGTGCTCTTGGTCGTTGCAGACGCAGTGCTTGATAGTAGCCTGCACACCGGTGCTTTGTATGCCGTTGATCAGCGCCCCGGCGCCGAGTCCCGCAAGCACCGGGTCCTCCGAGATGGACTCAAAGCCGCGCCCACCCAGTGGCGACCGCTGCATGTTGACGGTCGGGCCCAAGATGACATGGGCGCTCTTGAGCCTTGCCTCGGCTCCCATGTGCTCGCCAGTCTCACAGAGCAGCTTCACGTTCCATGTGGCGCCCAGGGCCGTTCCACACGGGAAGCAGGCCGAGGGCACTCCGTTGAAGAAATGGGTGCCGCGGACGCCATTCGGACCGTCCGACATGCGGATGGACGGGATATCGTGCTTTGGAAGAGATTTGGTATGCCAGAAGTCCTGTCCTGGTTGGTGGCTGGGCGTCAGCTTCTGCAGTGTGCTCCGGTGACGTCTTCACTTGTCTCTTTCTCTTTGCCTCGGGGAGACTAAGACGACATCACAGGAGAAGGACATGATCTGGGGCAAGGTTGGGGTCCCAAAACGCCATCCTTCGATCATCTTACCTGCCAAGAGGTCACACTTGTCGCTCACGGAGAGCTCCCTAAGCTTTTTCTCGACGTCGAGGTCGGCCATGGCTGGATAAAACCGCGCTGGATGAATATAGACGTGGTATTTTGGCGCTGTCTCTTCTATAAGAGACGGTTGTTTAGGATCTTGCATAAACACCGCTTGGCTGGTTGGTCCGGATCGAGAGCTTGGTTTGGAGAGGGGGTTCACAACAAGACAAGATGAAGCATCCTACTATCAAAAGTTAGGGAGCTAGTTTGGATATGATATATCTTCCCCTATAAATAAAGGGGACCAAGGAAAAGCGGGGCGGATATCGGTTGAAGTTCAGCCTTGGGATTGTAGCAGCTGTGGTGCCCCCGGAGCCCTCGCCTCGCATCCCGGAACCCGCAGCCCCGACGCCCGCACCCCGACCAACTTCGGGGTTTGGGCAAAGGGACACACTGCGCACCACGGCTGTCTGCGGGGCTTGTCGGGTCCTCGCCGGTGACAACATACACAGTCACAAGTGACGTCTATATCTTGGCACTAGCCGTACGTGGTTCCAGCGAGCCCTTCAGCCAGCCACTCACCCCTTTTACATGTTACGGAGTGAGGATCCCGAACGAAGAGAGCTGAGACAAAGCCAAAGGAAGTTAGACATTGTTCTTTGCTTTCTCGACTCGCAGAAACAATACCTGGGGTCTAGAACTTGTTCTTGGTGGAGAGAACGAGAAAAGGGTCGTTGTTTCAACCTCGGGCTTCATCGAGCGCGTCCTATGACAGCATCTCGCTCTTCTCGTTGGCAGTGTTACGCAGCGGGGTCTGCATATGCTGTCACAATGTGGAGAGAAGGTCTGTTTGATCGGCGGACAGCTGTACAAACGCCTGCAGTGTCTTGGATTTCTTGACTGCTCGTACTTCTCTCTCCCTTGCCTTTCACCTCGCTCATTGTATAACCCGGGTCATAGCTAACCCCCCCTCTTCTCACGGCTCATATTCCGACATTGTGATCTCGTCTTTAGAGAGGAGATCAGGAAAGTCACAGCCGGCTGGCTGGGTTGTGGAATGGTATTAGGAGTTGACGAGTTGAGAACACTGGGTACCTCCTTGTCTTGCCGTACCTACCTACTATGGAACAGCTGTAGGCGTGAAGCCGCGAGGCCCCCTCCAGGGTCTACAAGTTGAGACATGACAGGTAAGACAAAGGGTAGCAAATGGACAAACCTTCCCCAGATCCACCCCAACCAACCTCTCGGCTTCCCATGGGCTGGATGTGCCCGGATCGACCTCTCCCATAGGTCGGTATGTACAGAGAGGGATAAGCGAATGTAGGAACCTCCCCCTCTCCTCCCCGGATTTCTTCGCACAAGACCTGCCCGTGTGACCAACATCAACGCGGCAGGCGCCCGGCCGCCGGGCGTGTCCCCGTGCCGTACTGTGTCTAGCTCGAGCCCCCCTTTTTTCTCCCTCTTTTTCTTTTTCGCAATGCGTATGCGACGGCGGCGGCGGCGGCAGCATGCATATCTAGATCAGGCAGGCGGGTTCTCGTTACGAGAAAGAATCTCCCTCACTGTTTCAGCTGAGAAAATGCCGTGCAGCTTTGTCTTGCTATCTGTCTGTCTATCTGTCTTCTCCTGTCTATTCTCTCGTTACGACACCCTCTCAGTGCTGGGCTTGGTGGCGGACGAAGAAAGATAAGAAGAAAGAGCCTGGCTGCTCTGTATTCACTCCTAACCCGAAGGAAAGCACCACCGCATGGCTCGTGTTGCTAAGTACCTACCTGCTTGATCTCTGTGGCTTGCTACATGACCTTGAGGGACAAAGCTCCCGTACATGAAGCAGATGCGTAATGGTCCCTCTCCCCATATCCTCCCCGTCTACACACAAACACACACACACACACACACTTACCTGCGTTCGTTCGTTCATTCGTACACAGTAGCATGTCTCTCCCGCGGCCCCGGCCCAGCCAACTAAACAACGAACCAACCGTTGCCGGCGTCTCCGATCTGTCTGTCTGGAGAAACAAATCCCCATGACACGCAGTTCTGCTTCCGCCTCCCTGCGGGCATCGTTCTCCTCCTTTTACATGGAGGAAGAAGGGAGAGGCGGCTCGGGGCCGCGGGGATTACGCCCCCGAGAGAAATAATTGGAATTCAGGGTTGGAGGCTGACAGACAGACAGACAGGCAGACACATGCGAAAAAAGGAGAGGGAGAGAGCCGTGTCGTCGTCCCGTTGCTACTGACCAGGTAGGTAGGTGGTATTGGTAGACATTAGGAGTGAGAAAGACTCTCTGTCTCTCTATCTCTCTCTGTGACACCCGAGAACGATTTCGGATTATACTTTCTGGACTTCGTAGACGACTTCCCGACTTGTCTATCTGGATAACGTAGATATGGAGGGAGACAGTCGCTTGCTCAAATCGGAGCCGAGGTACGTAGTAGGTGGGTTGTAATAGAGATTCCACTACTTGCCTCGTTTTCAGTAGACGAGAGATTGTACACCCCGAGCAAAAACAACCCCCCGTGAAGTGCTGCGTCTCGATATTTAGGTATTGTCTTTCCACTCTCGTCCTGGACAGTGCTGCCCGAGGCAGGGATTTTCCAGTAGGTAATTACACCCGGCTATTTTCGTTGTTGTTTCTCCCATTTCCCCTCCAGTTTATACCCCCTCCCGATATTTCAGAAACAAAAAAAAATTAAAACAAGCCCCTGATGAGAGCTTTTCTAATTGGAGGCCGGAAAACTCCCACGTCTTGTACCGTCCGCGTAAGAAAGAGAGAGAGAGAGAGAGAGAGAGAGAGAGAGAGAGAGAGAGAGAAAGAGGGAATAGGAACTTGCGAACCCATCTGGGACAAAGCCTCGTTATAAAATATATAACAGAAACAAATAATGTATCAAACATCTATCATTACTCGACTCAGCCACAAGGTAAATAGTTATTTACCTTACCTATCTACGTTCATCCCATGTATCCAGCAACAGTAAAGATGAGAGAAAAAACTCGTCCTTGAACCACATACGAACTGACATGACACATGTTTGCTTCCCCTCAGCCCCCACACACCAGCCCACGCCAACTAATGTACCAAATTTATGACTTAAAATTCATCAGACAAACAGAAGCATGCTACCCAGAACCAAAGACCCTCGAAACGCCTCGTGACATACCCCCAAACCCATTACAAACCCAGCGCAGTTATCTCCTTCGCCAAGCTTACGCCCCTACAGCTGTAGACCTGCCGCTGCCCGCGCGAGCGCCAGCAGCGCGCTTCCCGGCACCAGCCCCGGGCCGAGCGAGGGTGTACTTGGCAAAGGCGCGGGCGAGGGCCTTTTTGCAGCTGACCTTTTGGCTGCCGACAAAGCTCTCGACCGTGACGGCGATAGCGCGGTCCATGTCGTGGGCCGAGCAGTACTCCGACAGACGCATGCGGCAGAAGGCTTCGCTGATGCGGATGATGGCTTCGAGATGGCGGACCTGGATTGCGACTGTTAACGTCCAAAAACTATACACGCGAAGGAAGAAAGCGAGAGAAAGGGGGAAAAGAGGAACGCACCGTGATGGGGTAGGCACCCGTGGCAAGACTCTCGCGGCGCATGTCGGCAAACAGCCGGGCAACCTTGTCTTCGTCCATGTGGTACAGCTTGGGACTGCACCGCTCGCGCGCGTATAGGATGTACTTGCGCAGCAGCTCCTGGGGGATTTCGCCCTCTTTAGTCGGTGGTGAGGTGGAAGTAGCCTGTGTGTCGGGCTGGCCGGACTCGGGCTGTTCCATCTCCATCGACTGGCCAGCGGCTGTCGCCTGCGTGTTGGTCAGGGGATGGCTTCGGCTGTGGGAACCGACGATGAAGCGTGCGAGGCGCTCGTCCTCGGCAGGCTCGACCGTATCGCGGACGACGCAGAGGATATCAAAACGAGACAGAATGGGCTCCGTCAGCTCCACGTTAGCCGAGAAGGGGATGGTCGAGTTGTAGCGGCCGCCGATCGGGTTGGCTGCGGCGATGATGCCGCAGCGGGCCTGCAGCGTCGTCACGATACCCGCCTTGGAGATGGAGATGGTCTGCTGCTCCATGGCCTCGTGGATCGAGGTACGATCCTTGTCATTCATCTTGTCAAACTCGTCAATCAGGCAGGTGCCCTTGTCGGCCAGCACCAGCGCGCCGCCTTCGAGCGTCCACTCGCTCGTCAGCGGGTCTCGACGGACACTAGCCGTGAGACCGACGGCGCTGGCACCCTGGCCAGTGGCGAATACGGCGCGGTGCGCCGTCTTCTCAACGTACTTGAGAACCTGCGACTTGGCCGTACCCGGGTCACCCAGCAGCAGCACATTGATGTCACCGCGAATGTGGTGGGCGCCCTTGGTTGTCTTGGCCACGCCGCCAAACAGCGACAGCGCGACGGCCGTCTTAATGTCGGTATGCCCGTAGATACTCGGGGCAATCGAGTTGATAATTTTGTCAACGATCTGCGGGTCTTTGGAGAGCCGGCGGATCTCGTGCTCGTCCTCTTCTGTCATGCGGAAGCCGGCGAGCTGGTCGTGAGACTTGACAACGTTGTTGGCTTCGAGGATGGTGGCAAAGACGGGGAAGCCATTGCGGTTGTTGAGCTGAGCGTCGTAGTTGTTTTGGTAGATGCCCGTGACCTCAATCTCCTCGCCCGGCTTAGCCTTATCAATGAGATCCCAGAGCAGAATCACCTCGCGGTGGCGGGGGAGGCGACCTGCAGGGACAGTGCCGGGAGACTCCTGTAGAGTAAGCTTCTGGTAGTTGCGGTAGACAGTCTTCTCCGAGTTGAGGGTAAAGGGGCCGCGGGACTGGCAGCTCTGGCAATACGTGATCTTAACTTCGACGTTGGACTCCTGCTGGAAAGGGCCGAGGGTGACGCCGCACTTGGTGCAGTCAAACTTAACATACTTGAGCTGCGGGAAGACGCCGGTTCTCCGTGTCACGACGCCGCTGACGCGCACCAGGCAGTTGAGATGCGACTGGCGAAGCTGGCGGAGGGTGTAGTGAACAGGAAGGTCAAAGATCCTAATGTGGATCTCGGAGTGAATACGCTCGTAGTCAGGGTAATGCAGCAAGACAACCTCCATGGCGACCTCGTCGAAGAGCTTCAGCATCTCGGACGGGGCATTGGCGAGGAAGTAAGCCAAGATAGCCTTGGAGGTGGAGAGGTGCTCATACGAGACTTCGAGCGACTCGGCATTGATTTCACCCAGCGTTCGGATGCGGTTTCCGTAAACAGACGAGCCGCTGTCGTCGGTGTATTCGGTGAGGAAAGCCTTAAACTCGCGCTTGATGGTGCGCTGGACTGGGGGCTGGGATACCCACTCGGTCAAGCTGGAAGCCTTGACGTCGTGCAGGGCCTCGAGCGAGAGCTCCTCGTCCATGATGTCGCCATCCATGTCCTCGTCGGGGTCCTCATCGTAGAGGCGGTGCCTATGGCGGCGGGGCCGGGACGTGAGGTCAATGTCGCGGTCGTCCTCTTCGCCCTCTAGAAACATGGCGGGCAAGTTCTTTCTCCGAGCCACCTCCCGGTCTCTGCGATCCAGCTGCGCCTCAAGACGGCGCCTGTCACGCGGGTCCAAGGCGACATAGTCTCCGTCGTCGTCAATGTCGATGCCTTCGTAGACATCATTCTCGGTCCTCTCTACATAATCGCGCTCGAAGCCCTCGCGGAAGAGGTCAACGTCATCTTCGGCCAGCTCGTCAAGGTCGTCCAGGTCGTCCTGGAGCTCGACATCTTCCTCGATTTCGTCATCCTCGTCGCCGCCATGGGCGATGGGGAAGGCGGGAGGGGACGAGGGCATCATGGGGCTCGAGGCGGCGGCGACCGACGACGTGGCGTCATCACCGTTAGTGCGAGCACGCTTGCGGTTTGCCCGGCCTGGTGTGATGCCCCTGTTGGCCGAAGCCATATTGTCGCGAAGCGGGGAACTAGACAGGCTGGTCAGCAGAGTGCGCCGAGAAAAGTAGACATCAAATTCAAATGGGAGCGGGGTTGGCTTCTACAAACCTCATGTTTGCAAGAATCGAGGCAGATTAACTCTTTTTTTGCTTTCCAAACTAAATCTCTTAGCTGGGGGATCAAAACGACAGAAAGTCGGAGTGCGGTGCGGTGCGGTGCGAAAGGAGAGGAGTGGAGGGGGCTCCAGTCGAGATCGCGGAAGGGAAATGAAAAATGCCCTGCCTGAACTGACATAAATGGCAGGGGGGCGCCGTTGTGCACTTGCCTTGCCTTGCCGCTGGCGCTTCCAAGTTTCGCGTCGCTGATTAAAGAAAACGCGTCGACGTGACCCCACTAGTCCCAAAGGAGAGTTTCGCGTAAAGAGGTTGCCGGGGTGTACGATCGTCACTGGTCGGCAGCCGGTCACTGCCAATGCGATTTACACGCGCTGAAGCTCACCGTCTCACAGCGCCGGATTACATTCGTCTCCGAAGAACAATCCACAGATAACACGCAAACTCACATTCATCCTCCTCACCATTTCCTCCCGGCGTATTTTACAGTCAAGAAGCTATCACGGAATAACAACAAGCTCAATCATACATCTTAGATACAGCGCGAGGCTACAATTGCGATGGCCTCTCCCACAGCAAACGAGCCCGCTGCAGTAGGCAATGGCAGCACCGATGCGCCCACCAAGGCGCGCAGCGACAGCTTCTCGCAGAAGTCGGAAACATCCCAGACAGCCGCCGAGTAAGCCGTGCTGCCCATTCTCGCCCCATCTCCGGGCTTAAGTCTATACAGTCAGAAGGGACTCAGTTCTAAATTTATCGCCCTAATCGTCAGCTTCATCCGCGATCAAATGCAGCTCGAGTCGGATGCGCGCGAAGCATTGCCCTATGTGCGACACCCTTTCTCTCTCTAAATACTCTCTACCATCGGTAGTCGCCGACTGACGCGCCACCACAGAGTATCGAGAGCTGCACGAAACCTCTAGGTCCCCTCCGCCAGACCGTTTTCGCCTGTCTTACCTGCTGCCCGCCTCCTGCGAACCCCGGCGATGCCTACGAGGCCGCCGGCGTCTGCTATGCCTGCTCGGTCCAGTGCCATGGCGAACACACGCTGGTCGAGATATTCAACAAGCGCAACTTCACTTGCGATTGCGGTACAACGCGCTTCCCCGACACGAGCCCCTGCGCGCTGCGCTTGAACCCTGCCACCAACACCAAGGGTGGCGTCCACTCGGAGTCGCCCGACCCAAACAACAAGTACAGTCAAAACTTCCGAAACCGCTTCTGCGGCTGTGAGTGCGACTATGACCCGTTTCAGCAGAAGGGTACCATGTTCCAATGTCTCGGGCTTAAAACGCACGATACGGGCGGCTGTGGCGAGGACTGGTGGCACCCAGGCTGTCTGGTCGGCTTGGGACCCAAGTGGTTCGAGAAGATGGCTACGCCTAAAGTAAAGGACGAAGTGAAGACCGAGCCCAAGGACGCAGCCGCGCCCGGCACGCTTGCTACCATTTCAGAAGACGCCGACGCGACAGCAGCCACCGTACCACTCCAGAATGGCCATATTGAAGAGCCAGCAGAAGATGAAGAGGATGACGATGACCCGCCGCCGCCGCCAGGCTTTCCGGCGGATGACGAGTTTGAGGGCTTCCTATGCTATAAGTGCGTCGACTCGGCTCCTTGGATCAGGCGATACGCTGGCACCCCGGGGTTTCTACCGCCCGTCTTCTACAAGAAAGATGACGGCGCCGCAGAGCAGCAGCCCGCCTCGACATCGTCGGCTGACGGCGACAACTCTAAGAAGCGGAAAGCCGACGACGATGACAACGACGTCGACGACGCAATGGCCCTAGACTCGCAGGCCTCCAAGCGGCAAAAGAGCGAGGCCGGGACCACCGAGACGTCCCCGGTCCCTTCCGAGACTGAAGTCGATATGCCTGGGACACCACCTTCGCCCGCATGCAAGCTCACCGCCCTACCACCGGCTCCCACGGGCCAGTTCTCGCTCTTCTTCCAAGAAGGGTTCCGCGACAGGCTGTGCCGGTGCCCGTCGTGCTTCCCGCAGCTGGCGCCGCACCCGCAGCTGCTCGACGAGGAGGAGACGTACGAGCCGCCCGTGTCGGGCGACGGGTCGACCAACGGCGGCGGCGGCTCGACTCTCGGCAGCGGCGGCAGCCTGCTTGACCGCGGCGAGAGCGCTCTCAAGAACGTCGACCGCGTCCGCGCCATCGAGGGCGTCATGGCTTACAACCACCTCAAAGACAAGCTCAAGCCCTTCTTCCAACAGTTCGCCGAGAGCGGCCAGGCCATCAGTGCAGAGGACATCAAGGAGTACTTTGCCAAGCTCCGCGGCGACGACCAGGCCATCAAGGAGGCCGGCGAGACCGCCGGCAAGTCCGACATTAGGGAGGAGCAGAGCGGGTACTGACGGCAAATTCTTTCTGGCGTGGATTCTCTTATTTTCCTGTGATACTGGGTCTTTTGTTGCACTTTTGGGGGATTAAAAATGGGAGCTGGCTGCTTGGTATGTATGGGCTGTGGGATAGGTAAGTAAGGTAATCAATGCCCCTTTACGGCTCGCTCTTTGCCGGGATAAATGGATATTATCGGTGTGTCTTGGCGGAACGAATTGTACATTTTTTACTACTCCAACTTTCTGGTTTAGTGTTATTTTACGGGATAGGCACTCAGCCTATCTAACCTACCCGGCCTGGCGACCTGTTTTTCGAGGGCGGCGGGTTGTTGGGACTTTTGGGTTTTTTTTTCTTTCTGTAATACAATCTAGGGTATTTGTTTGATAAATCAAGGGCCGGTCGGCTCTGATCAAGGTACAGCAGACTGTAGGCACCGAGTTTTGACGTGCTAGGATGCATACATCAACGCATACAAGGATGCGTCTGGACGCATAAGTCTACAGTCAAGGTCACTTGTTATTTAAACACAGGCCATCTGGCCCTATCATAAGGGGAGGCCTTGATTCACTGCCCCCCTGTCGACCCAGTGCTGCTGGCGGCACTAGATGGTCGCGGTGGCGGAACAGGCGCCGTCATGACCCCTCCGTCGTCTCGCTGCATGGGCACGCCACCAGCAGCAAAGCCCTGTGGAACAGGTGGCGCGGGCTGAACTGGCGGCGGGGGATGCTGTTGCTGTATGTCTCCCGGGCCTTCGTGGTCGATACCAAGTTCGGCCAGCTCTTGGGCGGCGGCGGCGGCGGCAGCCAGCTGTTGCTCAGCCATGGTCCTCTTAATATCCTCGAGCCGGACCTTCTCAGCTGGGTCGATGAGGTCGTCGTCGTCACTCCAGTATGGATCGTCGCCGGGCAGATGGGGCATAGCCATGCGTTTCCAGAACCGCAGCTCCTGCCGAGCCGCGCGGGCATCGACACGGCGTTCCCAGCGGCTGACATCCTCATCGTACTTGGCACGAAAGCAGCGCACTGTCTCGTTGGCGGCGCCGGCGTGGGCCTGCATTTCCCATATCTGCTCGCGTAGCCGGCTGTTCTCTGCGCGCGCCTCGGCCAGCTGCGCGCGATAACTGCGGTGCCAAGCTGCCACGTCGGCCACGTACCGCGCCTTGTAGTCGTGGAACTGCTTAAGCATCGTTGATACTACTGTCGCATACTGCGAGAGCAGGGCCGCGTTGGCATCGCGGCTGAACCTGACCTTCTCGAGCGCTTCGGTAAGGGCGGAAACGAGGAGGTCTAGGTTGGGCTCCTGGGCTGTAGAGTATGCGTTAGTATCGTAGTTTTCAGTTATGGTAAGGAGAATGTAGCTGTTGTACATTTAATCTCGTCGGCTGAGGCATTAATCAGCTCCTCGTTTCCGAGCGACTGTGCCCTCGCGCGACCGCGCACGCGACCGACGCCGACCACGACATCTTCTAAGGCTCGCTGGTTTTGGGCAAGCTGGCGGCTCAGCTCCTCGACCATACCGTATATATAGTTCAGCTCGGCTTGGTGACCAGCAGGCGTCGGAAGGCCAACCATTGCGGCGGGCATGTTGCCGCCGTTGATGCCGTTCATGACGATCAGCTGTTGCTGTTGCTGCTGTTGCTGTTGCTGCTGTTGCTGTTGCTGCTGTTGCTGTTGGGGTTGTGCTTGGAGTTGTTGTTGTTGGTGGAGCTGCTGTTGAAGATGGAGCTGCTGCTGTATCTGGAACTGTTGTTGCTGCTGCTGCTGCTGCTGCTGCTGCTGTTGCTGCTGTTGCTGCTGTTGCTGCTGTTGCTGCTGTTGCTGCTGTTGCTGCTGCTGGGGATGGGCAGCCAGCAACTGTTCGCGAGTCGGTGGGGGTTGCTGGAGACGCGGGATGCCCGTTAGGCCCAAAGACAGGGGCGTCGATGGCGATGTTGAGATGGGAGTTGGTGGGTAGAGCAGCGGGTCGTGAAAGGATGGCGGAGCTGGAAAGTTCATTGTGCAAAGGGTACCTTAGGCAAACACGAAGCACCAGAGCTCCACGTTTTCCTCGTACAAAAATTGCGACGGTTCGCAAGCGCAGCGGAGCGCAAGCGTGCAGACTACAGCAGCAGTAGAGGCACTTGCACTTGGGGGCAGGGGCAGGGGTTGCGCGACGGTGTCGATGTCCGCTATTTGCACCGTGACGTCTGCTGTGTGACAAATTGGCTTTAGGTTTTGAATCTTGCGAGTCGGTGTAGTTTGCTGCCTTCAAACGCTACTGCGTGTTGACGCGCTTGTAGTAGTAACTTGGAACTTTGTTTTTGGCTCGGGGGAGCTCCTGGCATGTTTTGGTTGCGGTTTCTCTGCTCGTCTTGTCAGGCTCGGCGGTGTGAGGACGGGAGTGGGAGTAGGTTATTATTGGCGCTTAGGTTCCATCGGCACCACAGCACAGCGCAGTTCCTCCCTTCGCAACAGTTAATAAGCTTCAAGGTGTGTGCCGCGCGTTTGCAGCAGCAAAGAGTCACTCTACATAGTAGTCTTCACGGCAGGCCAATCTTGCTCTCACTTTTGGCTACGTATGTGACTTACATGAGCCAGGCCATCGTGAATTCTTAATTACTCTAGAAATACCTAGATCTGCTTGAATACGTTGCAATTGCTGATATGGAGTATGGAGGAAAGCCTCGGAGTCGATCTTGAAAGAACCCAAGATTGGAACGAGGTCGTCGTCGAGTAGGGATATAGAGTGCTGGTAGCATTTCTAAAGCACCTCTAGAGAGTTTCTTCTTTCAACGACAAAGTCAGGTCTAATGCAATGAAGAAGGCTCCGTTGGTATCTGTACGTTGAAGGAATGTGCCTAGATTAAGAGGACTCGTATAACCGAAAAGCAAGGCACGTCTACTAAGCTACCATCCATTCTACGGACTGTTGATTGTATATATTGTTTTCTATATTTCTTTACACTAGCTTGCGCGGTATCACTTTGCAGTCGGTACAGTATAGGTACGTACTCCGTATGTACAGTGCTTCTGCCCAGGCTTCCCGTCCCACAAAAATTTGAAGTCAAAGGCAGGTGGAGTGTGGGGGGTGGTCAAAGCTCCCCTCGACCTCATCTCCATCAGGTAAGGTCACACAGGTTGAGGTACTACCTCAGGTTGGCCGTTACGGACAATGAATGACAACTGAACTCCAAAAAAAGAAGAGAACTTCCTGCCGACACAACACCGGTCCAATTGACAGGGAGCGCGGCGCATATAATCCCGAAACCTGCAAGTGCTTGGTAGCCTCCCAATACTAAACCTGCACTTCCTCATTCATTCTTTATCTGGCTCGAGGGATCGGGCTCGATGCCGGTCGAAGGCGTGTCTGAGAGCGGGCCGACATCATCGCTTTGAAGAAAGAATTTCGCCTCAAATTTCCGGGGCTTGGAGGTGGCAGCCATGGCGACGCCCACACCAACGGCCATGAAGCATGCGCTCTCGCAGCAGGGCAAAACGCCTTCGCAGTCGCAGCAGCAGCAGCAGCACGGTGCGGCGGCCACTCCGCCCGTCTCTACGCCCTTCTCGGCAGCCCATGCCGTCTTCTCTCCACATGGCCCTCGGTCCTCTCCGCAGCAAGTTAAGAAATCGCCTGCGACCCTGGGCCATCCGTCCAATCCAGCCATAAACTTCGACAGCCCTTCTGCCGCTGCCGCGTTTGGTGCTTTGCAGGTAAACACGTCGATGGACTTGAACCTGCAAGGCTTGGGCGGGCTCGGCTCAATGGCTAGGAGCACAGGTGACGAGTTTCTGAAAAAACTGGATTCCGTCATTGCAATTCTCGGCGTAAGTCTCTCTCCGCTCTTGGGTGTCATGGTCACTGGTCGCTAATTGCCACATGTAGCGTAGCAAAGGCCTTGTCAGCGAGGCTGGCCTTGAACGGCTAGCCACGAGACTGGGCTTGGAGTGCTTGTGGGAGAACGGGATGGGACCAGAGCCTAAAAAGACGCTTATTGTCGCTGGCTCGGCTCTCGAACTGCTCGTCGTCTTTTCAAAGGACATCGTCCAATCCGTTTCATTGTCTTTCCCGGAATCAGCCGACGTCGTCAACAAGCATGCCGACGAGGCTGGCCGGATCCTCATGAAGGACCTCATGCTTGCACCAAATCAGAGCCCTTTGAACAAGCAGCTAGATAGCTTTGCCGCTAACTTCGGCCGCCTAGCTGCCCTGGACAGGCTGAGCATAAACCCCGGACTTAACTTGTACGAGGCGGTCGCCGGCATCCACGAGAGCCTGAGTCGTCTGAACAAATGGGAAACCCAAAAGGTCAGGGAAGACAGTGCTCTCGTCGGAAAGAGTGAAGAGTACCTTCAAAATCTCGTGCTTTGCACCAAGAGCGGACTCCCGGCAATGAATGCAAGAGACCAAGTGGGCTTAACAATTGCCTACTGGAAGGAAAGACGGCTCGTGCCATCAACGAACCCGAGTTTGTCTTTCTGGAGGGACAAAAACGAGAAGATATGGGCTCTTCTCATTGGCTGCGCTCCTCTCGGGGAGCTCGGTGGCCGCCCTGTCCGAGTTTCAGACAAATGGATCGGTCCAGACGTGGAGAAAATATCTCTTCATGACGGACTTCGCACCGGTCCAATTCTCGACTGGCTTGAGCCCGAGAGCACGCTGATTCCGGCGCCCGATCCAGCTAAGCCCGGTGTAGGAGCCGACGTTCTTCTCGGACCGCGCCTTCCCGAGGTGGTATTCCATGCAACTTTCGACCCCCCTATTCATGTCTCCCTGAGTCTCTGGAGCCAAATTGGCCAATCAGGATGCGGGTTGCCTACGAGCAATGAGCAACTCAAGAGCTTCGATAGCCTCTTATTCCCAATTCCTCCTGGGGCCCATCATGACCCAAGCGAACCGCGGACCATTACTTGCACCAAGAAGATCCCTTTCACGCCGCGAGGGCCAGTTCCGCAATGGTCACTAAACACTCATGCAAACACTCTATACGTCTACAAGCCGATATACGGAAAGACTCTGACTGAGCTTTCCTTCTCTCAACCGGAGCATCTCGTGAACATGCTTCCTTATCTACGGCAGTATGCCTTCCTCGCCACACTACTCGAAAACAGCTTCAAGGAAACGACTAGTCCTCCGGCTCCTCCCGCGAGCCACCCCTCGATGGTTTCTACTGGAACATCGACAAGTCAGAACCAATTTTCGGTGTTCATGGAGGGAGAGGGAGCGGTTGAAGAAGTTCCAAGCGACGACGGGCCGGTAAAGGTGGACGTCACTTTGACAGTCCACCGGTTTCCACGACTGCAGGTCATGTTTCCCTTTCGGTCTTGGACAGCTAACATCTTGCTCGAGATTCAGGAGAATGGCCACGTCCACGTCGAAGCCCAGAATGTGTTGGATGAGAGCAACGCATTTGCGCCAAACGGGAAACAAAGGCGGATAGAGGATATTGGGGCATGTCTTGAGACCATTGAGGACATTGGCAAGTGGTGCAATCATATCCGGACAAGATGGGCTGTCGGGTATGGAAAGCAGTAGTTGGAGCTGCGCTAGCGACGACCGTAGATACAGTGTAGTCGTAAATTGATACCCATTTCTTGTAATTCTCACAAAATCTGACCGTGTCTTTGGTGATCATCGAAACCTTGACTACCTACCTGTTCCTTCCCAGGAAATCGGTGACAGTTTAGGGCTCCTTCCTAGTATGTACTTTTTCACCAAAGTTTTGGTGCCATTGGGACAAACTTTTTTAACAAATCCTCGCAGCACCAATTCTTATGGTTTCCTCCCAAAAGCATTCCATTTTCCAACTCTTCTTGCAAGTCGCAAAGTCACATCCGATGGATGATGTCTGAATTTCCATCAGCAGTCAACCCTAAATGTTTGTTAACGTAGTACTTGGGAAGAATATGCTATTAGCCTAGCAAATACACCAAAAGCCTTGAATAAGAAACAATACGCCCCTGGGATTCTAAAAATAGGGATTCTAACAGCTATTACATTACTCGGCAAAAAACCTTTAGGGCGAGCCGTAAGGTATCGAGGCCATTCGGATCTTGGAAAGTCCCCCTCTGATAAATATTTCGGAATTGTATTGTAAGTGAGGTGGCTCAAGTAAGGCTAGGGGGACACGGACACTTTCCCGACTCCTATATTTCCCTCGCTGTTTCCTTTTTTAGCGTCGCATTGTTAAAAAAATAGTATAAGAAAAACAAACGAACTGTAACGTCAGGAACAGGAGGGGCACAATGGAGAGTCCTAACCCCGGAGTTTCCCCCCCCCTGCCCCTGCCTTCCTTCGAGAAGATTTGCTTTTTTTCCTTTCTCGAGTCATACGCCAATAAATGCACGGACGGGACTCCGGACAGGAGTGGGTGGCGGGGGAAGGAAGGCAGGCAGGCAGGAGACGACTGCCACAGGAGTCTAGAGTCTGGAGTCTGGAGTCCTGGACGCGTGATGAGCGAGCCTGGCACCGACAGAATGCACGGGAAAAGGAGAAGCAGGAAATAAGAAAAGCAAAAAAGTAAAGGGGGAGTAAAGAAAAGTGAGGGCCAATGGAAGCGGCAGTCACGGGCATCCGCTCACTGCAGTGACTGCACCGCCGCCGCCGCCGCCGCCCCTCACGCTGCTGCAAGCACTGCTGTCTCTGGCACAGTTCCCTAATGCACATTTGTATGTATGTTCCTCTCGTATTAAAGCACGTCGAGATTGCTCTTCTCTTCAAGCTTGAGTGACCTGTGGTCTTGTCTACAGAGTAGGTAAGCACGGGAGTGTCACGGTCCGATGCGATGTGTGCTGCGCCGGATATGTCTCTTGCTGCCATTACGTGCCTAGTATCTGAAAATGGCCGGATTCGGATCATATGGCGCTCGCTGCGGAGCACAATGCGGTACTACCTACGCACGGAGAGGTTCTCAACGGACAAGGAAGGAAACCCACACTGGATCTAAACATTTTGTGGGGGAAATGGGAGGACGGGACTGTTAAATCTGGGTACGTATTTTTGCCCGCAACGTCTAGACGGGTGTTAGTAGGGCGGTTTATTTTTGGGGGTTGGGGACGGGAAAATGGGTACGCAGGCGCGCACGCGAGCCTCGTTGAGCCTGTGTTTGGTGTCGAAAAGGGGAACCCGTCCTGTCTTTCCCCGTTCGAGCTTCATCAAGCTTGTCCTTGTACGATGTGGTGCAGTGCGCAACTCACTGGAGAAAAAGAGGGGGCGGGCGGATGAGCGGGCGGTTTTTGGAGCCGCCAAAAGAAGAGGAGGAGGAGAAGGAGGGTCTTTTCTTTTCTTTTTTATGTGCCCCCTCCTGCCCCCCGTCAAGAGGGGGGAGGATTGAATGGAGTTGGATGGAGATGCAAACACCACACGGACCGGATGGAGGTGCTGGTGCTGGGCAGATCGGATCTGGCTGTTGAGCTTGGCCTCTCGGCGGGTGGAGTTTTGCCATTCGTACTTCCCCTGCTAGAGGTGGAAAAAAACGACAGGGACGGAGGAGAAAAAAAAGGGAAGACAGAGGAAAAAGAGTGGGACCCGGAGAGCGCACCGCAGCCCCAGCAGCATCAGCATGAAAGGTGCAATATTATCCCCTCCCCCCCGGTGTGCTCTTGTTGGATGTCGGATATTGGATGCTCGGGAATGAAGGAGGCATCTACTGCGTAGGAAAGAGATACCTATTTAGGCATCTAAGTATCAGCCAACCGAGATTCGTCATTCATGCTGCTTTCTTTGTTGTTTGTTTTGATAAAAGTAAACAAAAGCATTTACGAGCACTCATCGCCTATTGTAAGTGCCTACTACGTAGCTGGTTAGGTACCAACGAGAGGACGGTAGAAACAAGAACAAGACCGCGCGTTTTTTGATAGGTGGCATGTCTGGGGCAAAAATGTCTTGTCCTCGGTCAGACATGTTTGTCGGACAGTCAGTCAGTGATGCCGATCCAGGGTCTTGCCCTTTGCTCCTTTCCTCTTTGGAGAGGGGGAGGCGGGTGGTCTCGTTTTGAGCCCGAAGCTGGTGCTGCGGATGGGTGTGAGCCTCTCCATGCTGTATGACCACACCTGCAGAAGCTTTTTTAGGCATCTGTCAGGCCACACCCCGTGCATCCTTTCACATGTTTGTTCTAAACGTTGCACAGCTTGCCTCCTACTCCTATTGTTGCAAGCCGCCCGTTTTTCTTTGACTGTTTGGTCGGACACAAATGTCATTGATATGCTGCGCCTTTTCAACCCTTTGTGCCCCTATGTCATGCTTTTCAGGGCTATCTCCCTCGTCTCTTGTAGGGCCAAGGCATCTATCTTTGCATGCTTGCAACGGTCTTCTTCGTCTAGCAGATAGATGGAGGACTCCGCCAGAGGATGGAGACTCGGAGCGGTGTGATTCTATCTTGCATCGACTATCCACCCCTCTGGCGGAATCTCCCCTACCCCTGCGCTTTATTGGCTCGGGTCGATTGACCGCGGACCCAACGCCACGGGTGATCTGGCAGCTGCCACGCAGATGGGAACCACACCACAAGGCGGACAAGCTTCCCTGTAGGATGTCGTCGCTGCGTAAGCAGTGAGTTGGCTACCAGCGCAGTAAATAAATACTTATGGAATATTCGGATGGGATTCAGCCCGTGGTAGACATGCACACGTGTTGTGCCTCTCGGCAGGCGCCATGCGGCGTGGTAAGTAGCGTGCTCACGTTTCTAATGGGATCAAGAAACTCGACTTTGTCTCTTGTCTGGAAAAGAGGTGGGCGGGAAGAAAGGACGGGAGCACAGTCGCGGCGGGCAGGTGGGCGGCAGGAACAGCAATTGGAGAGCAAGCCACACAAAGCCCCCGTCTGCCCACCCTGACCCGACTGGTGGGGAAAACGCACGACGCTAAGGCAGGCACGACAAGGGGTGCCCTTGCCACTGACCACGACCCACCGCAACCTCCAACGCGAAACGCGTTGAACCCCCAGCTAAGTAAACAACAGTGGCATCCCATCTTTTCTGGTGCGTCTGCTCCCGCGTGATCTACCCTCCTCCTCCACAATCTGGAAGCGATCGCCCGCAGTTTCCTCTCGACACTTATGATATTGTTCGTGTTTCTCTGTCCGTCTTTTTGTCATTAGACCGACGGCCAACCTTTTTTGTCCACTTCCTGCCTGGAGCATCGGCAGTCTCAGTGTTGCGTCAATCACCGCTCATCGCACGCTGCATTTGCGGGCCTATCGCCCAACTAAGTCGCCTGTCCCCCGCTCGTCGCAAGCTGCAGGACCGATACCCATACTTATTCCCGACACCTTGACTTGCCTACCAGCGCACCACATTGCGGTATTCGCGTGGAGAAGGAGAACTAAGGAAGGAGCTGCGGAGGGGCTTGGACTTTCCTGTTACGGAAGTAGGAAACTGGAAGGCTCAAGGGGAGCAAGGAAGGCGCGGTTCGGAAAGCTGCTCGAGCTGAGGACCCAGGACCTCGAAGATGCCTGATCTGGACCGCATTTGACGACTGTTCGCTGTCTTCCACTGCTGACGCGCATCCACGCCCGCCTGTTGCTTCGGAAGGAAATACCTTCCTGAGCCGACCACCCTGTTTGGACCCTTCCTAACAAGGCCGGCTGCACTACCGCCTTACGCTCTCGTCCTTTCGGCGTCGACTGGCTTCGCCTCTGGGAGGACGAGAACTGTCTTGCCGACACTGGCACGATTGGGCCGCTGTCGCGCATCTCTACGTCCGCAAGGCGCTGCGCTGCCTGTCGCTCTAGTCGTTTGAGTTTGCGCTTGTCGCGCCACTGCTCTGAGAGCTGCACTGTTTTGATTCATACCCGGCCCTCGGCTGTCGTCGCCCGCGGCTAGTCTGCCATCGCCTTGTCCAAGGCGCTGCTGGCAACTACAAGCGTCTATCTCCTGTTGGACCGCCCAACCCCCCCCGCCGACTCGTCGACACTTGATTGACCTGGAACCTGGCCGCGCTCTTATGCCCGGCCATTGAGGTGACGGGTGGTGACGAGAACAGCTGTGTGCGCCTCGTGTATTTGTCCTGCGAGAAGCAGTACGGGTGCACGGGTTTTGCTCGACTCCAGGGAGCTCGTGAGCAATTCCAGTACAGAAATGTCATACACAAATGGGAGCGGGGGAACACTTACGCTTCCCTCGCCGACGCATGCCCACCGCGTCGACGTTAGCTCTGCGGTTCGATCATTGCGAAGGTCGCTTTCGAGATCCCCCTCAAAATTCAGGCTTTCAGGAACTACCTCTCCAACCCCAGAGCCCAGCGTCGGCTATCACGCTTCGACGCCCTCATTTTCAGGCCAGTTTGGAATCACCCACATTCACCAAACTTCAACCACCCCAACGGGACCCACACCACAGCCCCCGTTTTTGACACCACAACCCGCAGCCCTCGCGACTCCATTTAAATCCAACGCGAAGCTTTCAATGCGCCCTGCGCGATCCAAGGCAGTAACTGGACGACCTTTGTCGCGCACCCGCGTGTCGCCCAAAAGCCCCCTGAAACGGGTTTTTGGCCCTTCCCACGATTCAGGAAATCCGATCCGGTCATCGGTTTCTGGACCTGAAGCCCGTGGCCAGGAAAACCCCTCCTTCGCCGAGTTCGCGCTCACACTGAGCCCCGCATCGCGTCGCAATCTCGAGAAGCCGTCGCGTCACTCTATGCACCTGGATGTTTCTGGATCATCGAAGCACGGCCTGACTAAGTTTTTCGGAAGTAACGCCGATTTGTTCTCCTCAACGTCTGTCAGCCCGCTAAAGCGGAGCGACGCGACAATGAGTCTGGATCAGACCGATCCTGGCAGCCCGGTCGCAAAGCGACGCAGTCTCCATGGCGTGTCCAGTTTGGGCAGCGAGTTCAGCATATTCGACTATCGCCCTCCTGTGATGCAGCAAGGATGCGACATACACGACGAGACGAACCACGAGTACCAGCTAACGGGTTCTTGCGTGCCGACCCAGTTTCGAGAGCCTCTTGCTTCTCCAACCCCGTCGGCCGTGCCCAAGCGGACGTCGTCGCTGCGAAAGAGCACATTGCAACAACGGCATGGCGACAGCCGGACGTCTTGGGGCCGGCGCGCGGGAGAAAAGCAGCTCGCGCAGATCTCGAGCGAGCCTGCTGCCACACCTGCAGCCAGGAGCAGCAGACCTCGCCTATCTCTCGACCAATATCTCCCCCCCGATGAACGTGGAAGCCCATTCACTTCGCAATCTCCTCTTCCAAACCCGTCTATCCACCCTGTCCAGCGGAACTCCGGCCATCCTCACCCTTTGTCCCGGACGATGACGCAGTCGTCTTCCGGCTCCAGCCTTCCTGACGACTCTCCCACCCACGTTCCGATTCACGTTGGTGAGAAGCCACGAGTGCTACTGAACTTCTCCAAGTCGTTGCCTCCAGGCGCACCTCGTCCCATCAACGACTCAGAGCCGGTAGCTACGCCACAGTATAAGCGAGCCAAACCCTTTCAGGCAGCTTTCATGTCTACGGGCTTGATCTCGAAGATGAACAGAAATCCAGAGCTCGGACCGCCGCAGAAGCCGGGCGTGAAAGTTGCCATGCCTGATACGCCTTGCAAGAAGCAGCCCTACAACTCGGCGACATACCCACCACAGTTTGGCAGTGGACGGCGAGGATCGCGGCCATCATTTGGCAGCCCGTCAACACCGTTCGGGTCGACGCCTTTCGGTCCACCATCGGGCCCGATTCGGGGAAACCCTTTTGGGGTCCAAGACAAACCGAGCGGGCTCTTCTTCCAAGTGAGCTCTGGGCATAATCGGAAGTCCAGCTTGTTGGGCTTGGATGGCGATGACCAGACTGAGCTCCCTGGACAATGCGACGACTTCCCACCGACCCCGACGAAGAACCTATTCTTCAAATCTTTCAGCACACCGGCGCAGGGCACACAGACACCAGCTGTCTCAAGGGCGTACCCCCGCACAACATCGATTTCTGGCTTGGGCAATGAACAACCGGTTCCGAACTCGAGTTGTAAGTCTCAGACCCCTCACGAGACTCCCAGGGATAGTGGGCAGAAACAGAATGACCGGCCTCTCGAAGCCGTCGTTCGCCCTTCTACCCCAAATCCTCGGGGCTCTCCGCGCTTGAGTCTTTCTCTCTCTTCTCTGGGTGGCTACCGGGCGCGGCAGAAGCTCTTTGCTACTCCAGTGCCACCCACCAAGTCCACTCCGTCGGTATATGTGGTGGATAACCAGGCAAGGCTATACGAAGTGGCCCAGACTGACCCTGCCGCTATAGCGAGCCCTTTAAATCTCGAAGACTTTGCGGTGGCTTCATCACCACAGACTCCGCAGGATTCCATGGCGCCCCCTGACGCGAGTCGTCTAGCTATCTCCAACTCTCGGGATGGCGCGAGCCGATCTGTTCGGCCACCTGCGACCCCAACGACACACTCGCGCCAGGTGATGGAGGTTCCCAATCGGCGAATGAGCATCACTCCTCAGAACGGCCATGGCCCCAAAGACATTGACGAATCTTTGGTCCGTCGCTTTGATACATCAGAAGTGATTGGAAAAGGCGAATTTTCCCAGGTTTACCGGGTCGTGAAGTCGACCATCCCCATGTCGCTTTTTGTAGACACGCCGAGCAAACGCACTCCGTCTACTCCGGATTACGAGGCAGTCTACGCAGTGAAGAAGGTACGCCTTCCGGCACACGGCGCAAAGGAACGCGAGTCCAAACTGCATGAGGTTGCCATCTTGAAGGCCTTGGGCAACTCCATGCACATCGTGCATTACATGGACAGCTGGGAGATGAATGGCTACCTCTATATCCAGACAGAATACTGTACTGAGGGTAGCCTGGATGGATTCCTGAAGGCAGCCGGCCAGGCTGGAAGGTTGGACGACTTTCGAATTTGGAAGATCCTTTTCGAAATCGACCAGGCGAGTAAACCGGCATTGAACTTACATGCTCCAAGCGCTAACTGTAGTGACAGGGCCTGGCTGCCATCCACGACGCAGGGTTTATCCACCTCGACATCAAACCCGCGAACATCTTGGTCAATTTTGATGGCTATCTAAAGATAGCCGATTTTGGCATGGCCGCGCAGTGGCCGGCACCCATGGGGATTGACGGCGAGGGGGACCGCGAATACATCGGCCCCGAGATCCTTCGGGGTCGGTTTGATAAACCTGCAGACGTATTCGCCCTTGGTCTCATCATCCTGGAGATTGCCTGCAACGTTTATCTTCCGGACAATGGCCCAACCTGGCAGGCGCTCCGAAATGCGGACATGTCCATGGTTCCGACTCTCACATGTGGCAAGGCAAGCGCGATTGTCCGAGATGCCAACGGCGTTCCTATTGAGCACGACTCGAATAACGCCAACGCACAGGAAGGTGGGACTCCAAAGCCGAAAACGGGGCTCGGAGCCTACGGGAGGCGTCGCGGATTCCCATTTGAAGCCATGACTCATGATCCGAGTAATCTCTTTGGGCCACAGAAGAGAAGCGAGTTGTTGGATCCGCCAACCTTTATGACAGACCCGGCTGACGCCAATTCGCTGGACAGCATCGTCAAGTGGATGATCCAGCCCAACCCAGCCGATCGCCCGACTTCCCAGAAGCTGCTGATGTCGGCGCCTGTCTGTTGGGTGTCGTCCCGTCGGGCTGCCGGCGCGACTGTGTATGAAGGCAACTGGGGCCCTCAGCCTGGACCATCGGCTGAGGAGCTCGTCGATACCGAGATGACGGATGTTTGAGATCACGATATTGGCCTTCTGATCTTGGAGCATCCATCTTTGCTCTGCGAGCCTATATCGCTCAGATACTGGATACAGCGTCACTTTGGGCGCGAAATCACCAGGAGCATATGTGTGTCTACTACGGAACTTGAATTGGTCGGCTATTGTAGCTGGATATCCACGGCGGACGGGATATCGAAACCATTTGGAATTCACAAAACAGTGGAAAGATGTCTGGCTTGTATCGGATATTACTATGGCGGGATCTTTTTCGCCAATCTCAGCACTCTTCGACACCGAATCAGAAATGACGGCATGGTCGACTTCGCCGAGTTGGTCCTCTGCGACGCCTCTTTCGAAAGCTCTGGTATTTTTTTTGCGGATCATCCTCATGTTTTCTGCATTTACCCGCCATTTCGGACTATTCTTTGACGATTCACTGCATGAGTTGTCGGTGGATCTGCGCACTGGTAACGGACAATATGTGCACTCGGCAACGCGAGCAGTTTCGATGCAAGCTACAGCGCTATTAGACGACATTGTACTTATCTCCGTTTGGGGCCAACGCCTGGCTGGCTGGCTGAGTGGTGACGACGGTTGTTATTATGTTGTATGGGAAAGTAATTGGGCGTGGTCTACATACTTTGCTGCTGGGGTGGCGGACCCTTTCTCATAGCTTTCAGAGGCATGCTAGGATTTGATACAAAGCATGAAAAGGCGTGAAACCGGTTGCAACACAGCTGCTTGCTTGCAACTATCATTGCTGGGGGTGGAAGCACTTGTATTCATAGGGGCATGATCTCCATGTATATAGATTAGGACGGGCTGGCATTGCCGTCGGCGGTTGGTTTTGGTCTTGGGATGATGGTACGCACCGGCGCTGTTACGGTTGGGCTCATCACAACGATATTATGAACGAACGAAACGAAATTAGAGCAATCAATTATGCCTTGTGGCTCTGATCTAACATGTTCTCGTACCTTGGGCTTGGAAGTGAAATCTGTTAGATGCTCGAGTTACCTAATGTGCACCGAGCGATAATGGGAACAGGGGGCAGAATTGTTCGTATCATCTAGAGCGGGAAATTGGGCACTGAATAAAGACGTGACTAACTACTGATACTTGACGCAGGTGCATGTTTTGTGGCAAAGGGGATAGGGGTGCTTTGCGTGAACCCGCTGAATTGACGTGAGACCCTGATGGTTCGAGGATATTTTTCTTCTTTTTCTTTCTACACACCCTGACAGTATTATCCTCCTTCATCGCAGATACGCCGGTTGGCTTCGCCCTCTCAACTGCGAACATACTATGCCATTCTTGCTTGCTTGATATCCTACCCTACCCTACTATCCTGCTAAACCGAACTGTCCCTCCCACACCCATGATACGCCGACTGAAAAACAGAAAGGAAAAAAGAAAATGGATAATCGTCCAACTCCGGCTCCGGCTCTGACCCCTCTCAGCATGAATGAATGAATGAACGAATAACAGGGCTAAAGTACGTATACCAAAAGGAAAAACGAAAAAAAACTATTTGTCCTGCCCATCTGTGATACAGGCGCTCGCTCAACAAACAACACACAACACACAAGGCGTGACATGCTAAGACGACCCTGCCTGCCGCTCGCTGTACAATGTATGAAGCCGACGAGTTCAACACGCAGCACATAGACTCATTCAAACGTGCCGGCGCCAAACACACCGGCGCCCTGGAGGGCCTTGCCGCGGCCTTCGGCGCCCTTCCACTTGCGGGCCTCGCGGCGGCGGTCACTCTCGGCAAGGGCGGCGCGGCGTTCGGTCTCGCGGGCGAAGAAGTTGATGCCGGAGCGCTTGCCGGCGGTGCGCTTGATCTTGGCGTCCTCGCCGAACCCACTGCCTCCGCTGTTGTTCTTGGCGGCTGTGGTGGCGGTGTTGTTGGTCGTGGAGGTAGAGGACGAAGTGGAGGTCGAGGACATGAGCGAGTTGGTGGTGGCGCGCCGCAGCAGGGCAGGGACTTTGAAGACACCGGCGCCGCTAGCGGACGTGCTGCCGTTGGCCGTGGCAAAGGCGGCGCGGCCGGTGACGGACGACGAGGCATTGCGCTTCAGCGAGATGCGGTCGACAATGGCTTCTCTGTTGCTGTTGGTGTTGCCGCCGCGACGGCGGCGAGGATTGGGGTTGCAGTTCTCCTTGTTGCTGCTACTACCGCTGCCACTGCTACCGGGTCGGCGCGACGGGCTTGTGGCTGTTGTGGTTGCGGGTTGCTGCGGCTGCTCATCCTCGCTCGTGTCGTCGTCAGACCTCAGGTCTGTGGCTGGAATGACCGACGACGAGTGGAGTGAGGGCTCGTCAAGCAGATTCGACAGCGACTCGCGGATGTCGCCAATATTGGAGGGCTTCTTGCCATCCTTGGTGCGGCGGAGACTGGCTGGCGGACGGCTCCCTGCCGCTGTCTGCATCGGCGGCTGGGAGTTGGGGATGATTGTTGTGGTGGCCGGCGTCTGCGAGTCCTCCTGGCTGTCTAGTTCGGCTGCGACGGCGGGAGTCGGCGCAAAGATAAAGTCCATGTCGTCATCGCTGCCGCGGTCCTCGATGGTGCGCAAGAACGCCTGGTTGCGCGGGTTCTCGGCCACCTTGCTGATACGCTCGTCGGCAAACAGGGCGCGCTGCATCTTGGCGAATTGCCGGCGCTTCAGTCGACGGCGGGCCTCGCCGCCGTCGTCTTCGTCTTCAAGGTCGTCCCAGTCACCGCCACGCTTGCGGCGCAGCATGCCCGTTGTGATGTCGTGGAACAGCTTATCTACCTGCTTCTCGTCCGACGCGCGCTCTCGATCGCTACAGGATCCAGGTCAGCAAGGGTTGGTATTTGTGTTAGGGGGTTCGGGTAATAGGGGTTAGGGGCAGAGGCAGAAGATAGAAATCAAAACCTACGCATAAAACGCAGCGAGCTTTCTTTCGTCGCCCGCGTTGTTCTTGGTCTCGTCATCAATCATCTCCTTGACCGAGTGGTCATCATCATCGCTGCTGTATTCGCCGTCTACACCGCCGATGCCGGCATACTCGTCCTCGGACTCCTCGGCCTGGTCCTCGACCATGTCGCGGGCCTTGCTCTTCTTCTTGTCGAAAGCCTCGGCAAGTTTGGGGGCCTTCTCCCTGCGAGCAGCCTCTTTCATCAGGGCGAAGGCCGTCTTGCTCTCGACTGTACCGAAACCAAACTCATCGGCCTCAACGCCTTCCATCTCGTCTTCGGGATCGCTATCGACGGCGGCAGCGGCAGCAGCAACGTCGCCTCTCCGCCGTAGCTTGCCAGTCCTGCGCACTAGAGGCGACTCGTGCTCAACCTCGGCCTCCGCCTGGGTCTGGCCCATCTTGACCGTATCGATAGTCGAGGCAGGCGGCTCAACAAACCGCTGTTTTAAAGGGGTGAAATTATGGAAGCCGCCGTCCTGGGTAGGCTCGAGCTCTGACAGTTGGGTGAGGTCGTGGTTGTCCTGGAGCAAGCTGTCAAAGCCATGCACCTGCGACTGCGAGAAGCGGATTTGGACGCCCTGGGTGTCGGGGTCCTGTGTTTGCGTCTCGGCTCTGCGGGCTGGCTGGCTGTCTAGTATCATGTCGTCTGAAGCCTCTTGGGCCGTCTGTGAAAAGTTGGAATCGGGAAACTCTTCGACGCCCCCAAAGGTCGGCCGTGGCTGCGACGGGGAGCCCATCACAGAGCCAGGGGCTGACTGGCTGTCGTCCATGGTCCCAGCAAAGATCTGAGTGAGGCCAAGGCCGGCAGCGCCTGCAACAGGGAGACCAGGGATGAAGGTCTTGGTTGCCGATCGCAGGACCGACGTGGGGACATGTGGAGAGACCGTGTTGGGTGCTGCCGACGGCGATTTGGGATACTTGGCCTTTGGCCTTGGGGTGGCTTCGACAAGATGACTCTTCTCTGCATCCCCTTCAACTTCATCATCGTCGTCGTCAGACAGGATTGTGACATGCTTCCTTGGCCTACGACGGGCCGCCTGCTTCGAACTGGCCGTCTCTCCGTCTGAATCTTGCGCGTCAAGCTCTTGCTCGACGTCCTCGGCCTCGGATTCTTCGGCGCTCTCTGCAGCGTCGTCGAATAACCCACCGACAGGATCGACTTCTGCATCCTCTTCCTCATCCTCGGCCTCATCATCGTCTTCGTCTTCGAGGACGTCCTCCTCTTCAGAACCAGAGAGCTCAACCTCGGCTGCTGCATCTCCCTCTCCCTCTGACCCTGTCTCGTCGGCATCGGTATATTCGTCATCGCTGTCATCCCACCCCAAAGGATCAAGTTCGCCAGCTGCTTTCCGCACTTTGCGGTCTTCCTTGGCCGCCTCGCGCTCTCGCTTCATGATATCCTCGGCCTCCTTGCGAGCACGCGCCACGATGTCTTCGACCTCGGCTATCTGCTTCTCGCGCTCCTCGGCAGTCTGCACGTGGATGCCCTTGGAGCGGAGCAGGTCGAGGTGGCTATCCCGCTCCAGCTTGGCCTGCTGGCGGGCGCGCTGCAGCAGAGACACCTGAAGTTCACTAACCGTCATGGCCGGCTGCTGGTGTGCTGTCTTGGCGTGCTTGCCAATGGAGGCGGTGGTGGCCTTCTTCTCCGGATCGTCAACGTGCGCAAGCCTGCGCAGCATCTGCATGGAGCGAGACTCGCGCGCTTGGTTGACAGGGATGCTGTCAAATATGGCGTCGATCTTGCTCTTGCGTGCCGGCCGGACCTCGAGCTCGTCGTCATCATCGTCGTCTAGGTCGAGACTGACGACATTGACCTGCTGGGCTGGGAGCTTGATGCGGATGTTGCGCTTGGCTCGCAGGATCTCTTTGGGCTGCTGCTCAGCCTCGAGCTCAGCGGCAGTGGCCTTCCCTTTGCCTTTCTCGAGTCTCCTCCGGGCAGCAGCCGCCGACTCAAGAGCAGCTTCGAGGGACGGCAATTCCCCGTCTTCGTCCTCCTCAAGGAAGGGCATATCGGTGTTTTGGGGAGCTGTGGCGGTCTGGGAATTTCCCTGTGCCTGGCCCTTGGCAGCATCCGTGCCCTCAAGCGGAGGTGAGCTTGGCGGAGTGTCGGCATCCTTCATCTCGGCATCTGTCTGGTGGACTGACGATGGCGATGCGGGACGACTCGAGCTGGGTAGCGCCTGTTGTTGTTCAACTGCTGGTGTTGCGGCGCCTTCGGGCTTGAAGTTGAAGCGCTCAAACAGGGCCGTCTTTGTGATCTTCTTCTTGACCTTTGCCTCGTGGGCGAGCTGCAAACTCCGTGTCAGACGCTGCGTCTCACGGTGCATCTCTTCGAGAGCCTTCTTGCTGGCCTTGCGCGCCGTGGGACGGGCGGCTGTCTGGGTGAGCTTCCGGCCACCCTCATCATCGGTGACGCTGGAGTCTTCGTCAACCGACAATATGTCGTCGTCGTCCTGCGCAGCTGCTTGCTGGGCGGCGAGGCGGTCGGCCTTCTTGCGAGCTTCCTCGGCCTCGCGAGCTAGGCGCTCCTCGCGCTTCCTCGCCACCAAAGCTAAGAAACGGGGCTTTTTGGCTAGATTGCTCGGGCTAGGCAAGTCTTCGTCATCGCTTGCATCGCTTTCTTGGGCATTGCCCTGCGTGGTAGGCGAGCAGGATTTGGAAGGCGATACAAAGAGGCTGGAAGAATCAGGAGCAGGTGTGGATTTTGATCTTTGCGGCGATTCAAAGCGGGAAGAGGGAGCGTCTTGTTGTGGCGCCTCCTCTGGGGTCGAGCTGCGTTGACGTCGCGGCTTCATCTTCCTTGCGCGAGCTACAGGCACGATATCGTCCTCATCTTCGTCGTCGCGGCTGTTATTTGTGCCGGCTGCCTTGTCCGTGGTCGACTCAGTCTCGGATGCTTGGTATTGGCTTTCATTGTTGCTCTCGGCAAGCATTCGCGCAGCAAATCTGCCGCGTGGGCGGAGAATGGTTTCGTCGTTGTCGCTGCCGCTGTCGCTGTCGCTGTTGTTGGTGATGCCGGTGCTGCGGGAATCGCGTCCCAACGCCAACGTCGACGAGGCCGACAGAGGACTTGACGCCGCCATTGCGCTTGCCAATTGACGGCAATCTGTGAGCTAAAAAGGGTGTCGTAAACGCTGCTTCGTGAAGCATCGGTCCAGGAAGCTTGCAAGAAAATAGAGTCGTGGGATGTCAAGGTAGAGCGTAGGTACAGTACCTGCGGTATGTATGGGCTAGGTAGGCCGGGTGGTAAATAGCTTGTGGTGGGGAAGACGCGTTGGTAGCGCGCAGCGCGTCGTGTTTAAGTGGGCTGTCAATGGCCACCCCCGTCCTCCGTACTGTATCCGTACGAGATGGGATACGGCACCGTACAATACAGACCCAGCCACCTCTGTTTCCGTCTTCAAACACGCCCCCTTTTCTCCGTTCTCCGTTCTGTACGGATGGTAAGTCCGCCGTCCGATGTGCGCCAACAGCGCTCGTCGCAAAAGAATGCAATTCTTGATATTTGTCATGAGTCTTCTATGCTAGCCGTGTCTGTCTGTGGTTATATACGTAATAGGTGAATAATAAAAAAAGTATCGAGACGGCGTCCGTCCCCGGCAGGGCTTTTCGGGTATCGTTCAAAAAAAGTACAAGGCCCTCCTCTCCCCCAGTCCACTACAGAAACATGCCTCCCAATGACGCCCAGTTTGCCAGCCGCCCTTTTGTTAGTAGTCCAAACAACAAGTATACATAATAGCGTAGTCAGGTGCTTAGGTAGAAGAGAAAGAGAAGGAGAAGGAGAAGGAGAGAGAGAAAGAGAGAGAAAGAGAAAGAGAAAGAGGGTATGGTGAAAAGCCGTGGAACAGATACCAGTGCCCATGCAATCGATGCACATGCAAGCCGCCCGCCCCCTTTTTGCGACAAAGAGGAAAGGAAACGCCCTAACCCAAACCCATAACTCCGAAAAAGAAAACCGCTCGCAAAACCACCCAGCGTTCCTGGTGGTGAGGTGAGAGCGGTATTGGTGCTGTACATAGGGGCAGTGATGATAGTGTCGTTGTCGTCGTCTTCGTCAACGTCGTCTTCGTGCTTGCGAGGCCATGAATGGCGTAATCGCCGACTTGTCACCCCACCGCCAGGCACGAGTCGAGGACACCGTCGAGAAAGTCTCCATCACCTGGGTCAGCCCCTTCCCACCACACGTCAGTGTCGATATCCATCTGATCCCCGTGGTGCACTCCGTTGGGCAGGGCGTCCAATTTTGTCCCATTCGTCGTTGCTCCGCCCATTTCCACGTCTTCCTTCTCGCCTTTCACCTCACGCCCGTCGGCGTAAGTGTAATCGTCCCAGTTCTCCAGCTCTCCTTCCCTGTAGCCGTAGACGGCCGACTTGGCCACGACAGGGAAATTAGCCAAGCCGCAGTCGCCGATTTCAAGCGCAAGTCGGAGATCCGACATGCCTAGCGGGCCACGATCACTCGCAGCTTTAGCTTCGATCGGTAGCAGTCCGCTCTTATCCCGTGTCAACTCGCCCCTCGCAAACGCCTGCTCCTCCCTTGCGAGTTGCCGTCGATACTTGTTTGTCTGCACCCACGCGCCCCCCGGCCCAAACCCGGCATTGCCCGAGTCGCCGGGCCCATTACTCCTCGTGCGGCTGAAAACCAACGACATGATCTCCTTGATAAAAGTCTCGGTGGCTATAGACATGAACTGGGCCGCTTCTGACGCATGGCCCGAAACGAGACCAGCTTCGTAGCAAAAGGGCAACATGCGGCCTTCGATGTTGCCAACGTCGGGAAATTCGCCCGACTCTACCGCCAATGGCTGCGCAAACCGTTTTCGGATTTCCAAGTCAAAGTCTAGAAAGCACCAGTTAGCCAGGAACCCTTCTCTCGCGCTTGCCTTCCTCCCGGGACAGACACATACTCATCCTACTCAGGCCGCCTGCACTCGCGGGAACTTCAGCCGTCCTTGAGGGCTTGGCGCGGCTATTATCTGTGAACACACTGGCCAGCGACTCGTAAGGGTCGATCTAGAGACGGGTCGTTAGCATTTCCGGAGCTACAGTACCCCTGAAGTACGGGCTGGAAAGGAACATTGAACGTATGTCGACCTACCTCATTTAGCGCGATATCTTTGATGCGTTTTCTCTCTTTGGGAAGGACGTCGATGACCTGCTTCTTTAACCGCCGCTCGGCGGCGTCGCCGGACACGGGTTTGCTGCCCGACGTGGTCGAGGGCTTGTCGTTTGCGCTGACCCAGGGCGCAAGGCCCTGGTCAGGCATCTCGCGCGTGACATTGCCATATATGGCAGCGAAAAGCTTATTGTGGAGGTGTTCCTTGGAGCCATCGGGGGACACGAGCAGGGGGTTGATGCGCTCGCTGAATTCGGCTTGGTTGAGACGGCCTGGGCAGCAGAGCAGTAAATGTTAGCAGCCGGCATGCATCGAGAGCCCGTTGGGCCCAACGGAGGAGACAAGAAACTGACCGATCAGGAACTGGGTGACGGTCTCTTTGTAGATGGCCCATCCCTCTGGACCGATGCTCGACTTGAGGGCCGTGTATATGGGCTCGAGGTCAATGCGGGCGGGTATTAATTGGCTGGTCTTGGGGGCCTTTGTCGATGACGGGACCGAGACGTTGATGGTCTTGTTGGCGAGGATGGGGGTTGAGAGGCTGATTGATGGCCGACTCAGGGCGGCGGGGTTGATATCGACCATGTTGCTGCGAGACCCTCGGGCAGCAGGGCGGCAGGATCAGCGATGCGGTTGTCGGAGACGCACGGCGAAAGGCGACGAGCGAGCGACCGGCGTCGGGTCAGTCGCGTGCGGAAAGCAGCACAATCGCGACGCGAAACCGCATTTATAGTCGCATCAGGAGATTTGCCGAGCTTATGCGATCCCGATCCCGGATTCAAAAGGATGGATTCGGCATGCTGGCGCTGCCAAATGGATGGTGTTGTCGTCGGCCTAGCTTACCGCGCGTAGTCGGTCCTTGGGTTTCGGTGTCTGGAGGGTTGTCGTTAAATTCGGCTGAGGCTACAGGGGCCACGCGCTGATAGATGGTGGTGTTGGGGGCGGGGATAGAAAAGGTACTTGTGCTGCTGCCGGGTTTTGGTGCGGGGCAAAGTCTTTGGAATTGCATTCATCCAGCGGAGGGCATGATTCTTCAGCAGACGGAAGTCCCAGGCTTTGAGTTCACAGTGTGTGGCTTGTATGTGGACTGTGCTGCAACCAGCAAAGAACCCCATGGCCACCAAAGCCATTGACAGATAAAACAAAACTAGTCCGAGATGATCTTATTTCTTGAATCTACAAATTCAGAATATCTGAAGCTCAATTCTTTGTCTATTTCCAAAGACAAAACGCGGTAGCATACAAAAGGATGAGGAGAAAGAAAAAATCATTCCTGGTAACCAACTGGACAACCGGATCTTCTCTAAGACAAGCGTCAATATTTTGAATAATCTCTTCGTTATTCAATGCGTATGACGAAGGGGGCGGTCCAGTTGGAGTTCGAGATCACAAGCAATGGAACCTACCTACGCAGGCAACGTCAGACCAAGCTCTCCCCACCTAATGTCTCGTGTTACCTTACACATGGCAGCCGCAAGATGGCTACGATAGAGCCTCAATTTCTGAAATTGTGTGAGAGTCATAAATTTCCAGGAAGTAGGTGACCCAAGGCGGGAATCTCGAGACAGTTGGCTCAACGAAGATTTGCATTTCCGTGTTTTCAACGAGCGCCTCCAGCTTCCACTTTTCCTTTGGGGTTGGTTGAATAAATGAAGAAAAAAAAAATAAAACACACAACGTAGAGGTACGAATTTACATACGAGACTAGAAGTCAGCAGGCAAGTATGTGCAATACAATCGATTATCCCCAAGACACAACCCTAAATTTTGAGTTGAGGTTGCTTGGACAGACGGCCTGGCAGTTGGACGTGTCGCAGGCCGGCACTCAGCCCGCCCCAACCCCAACCCTGGGAATACAGTGCCGCCATGGGTCGGCCAACTGTACAGTCAAGCCTTCTAAAAGTGGCGCTCCGACCACCAAAAGTCGCGTCGCGTCTCCCTCTAACCTTCCCCTCCAACCTCGGGAAGCTACGAAGCCACTAAACAAAAAGTGGCTTGCTCGCAGCCAAACCCCAGCCCAGCCCAGTGCCAATCCCAAATCCGAATCCGAATCCGAATCCGAATCCGTAGCCTCCCCCAACGCCAACCAGCTTAGACACGCCGGGGATGGGATGACAAGATGTAATCATGTCCAACGACCGCGGCCATAGAGTCGCCAGTGCAATTGACAGCCTGATTACGCACCTGCTGCCCGCAAACCCCGACGACGATGACCAGGTCGCCCAGGACAAGCACGATGCTTGCTTCGAGCTCGTCCGGTCCATCATTGAGCGGTAAGCCTCGAACCCCTGGTGCCAGTCATAAAACACAGGACAGCAGCAGCTCACTCTCGCATTGCAACCCCCACAGCCCTAGCTCCCCAGCCGTCTCGGCCGACGTTAACCATGCTTCGGACCTGATCAAGCGGAAGCTCATCCAGAGCAATCCCACCCAGGCACTGCGCTTCTCCAATCTTTACACGCGCCTGCTATCGCTGCCGGTCCTCAACCAGAAATGGGCCATCCTATATCTGCTCTACCAGCTCTCGGATTCCCCAGATCCCAATGAGCCTCTGCCCCTGAGCCCCTTGAGGCAGCCAGGTCCCGTACATCGAGGCCAGTCGCCGCCGCCGCCGCCGACTCGAGGCGTAGAATGGGGAGAGTCTTCCAAAACCGCGACCCCGGCCACTATTCCCGAAGAAGATGCCTTCGAAGATGCCTTCGCGTCCTCAGGCCTGAAGAAGCTGCCCCTTGAGAAGACGAGGCCGCTCCCAGACGACGACGCCTCCCCCAAGAAGAGTGCAAGGGATGTTTCGTTAAAGTCGACGCTCCTTGCCGATAATTCCGTCGACTTGGAACCTTCAGAGACGGTTCTGCTCCGAGAATTGCCCTACACGCTTCAGGGGCTCTCGTCTGCAGCACTCCCGTTCGTCAATGATACGACACTCAAGCTACCGCGAACGCTTCCGCCCCCCATCATCTCCCTCCTTCACACGCTTGCGGAGCCGTCTTTGCTTTACCGAAGGCTTGCATCGTTCGTCAAGTCGCCTGCGAGGGGCTTGCTCGGGCAGAGCTTACGGGCAGCCATCAACATAGAACTGCGCGCCTATCTCACTCTCATTGCAACTCTCGAGGGGGAGGTCCGCCGTGCACTCTCGTCGCTCGACGAGGCAGCGCCCCGCCACGGCATAGGGAAGGCTGGCGTGACGTTGAAGCGCTGTGTGGTGTGGACTCGGGAGGCAACCATGGGCTTGCGCCTAATGTCGTTGATGGCCGAGCAGAGCACGAGTAAGCACGGCGGGCAGCTGATCAGCCTGGTCCACGGCTTCTCTTCCTCACACGGCGACCCGGTCGTGGCTGCGTTTGCAGAGCGTCTCCTGGCCGACGTGACGCGGCCCTTTTACGACATCCTCCGCCGCTGGATCTACGACGGCGAGCTATCGGACCCGCACTTGGAGTTTTTCGTCCGGGAGCAGAGCCCCCACGACGAAGACAGGAAGGAGTCCAAGGCTAAGGGCCAGGCCAGCGTCTGGAACTCCAAGTACGAGGTTGTCGACGCCATGGTGCCGAGCATCATTACGGCTGATTTTGCGCAAAAGGTGTTTCTTATCGGAAAGTCACTGAACTTTATCCGCCACAGCTGTGGCGACAGCCAGTGGGTCGAGGCCTACAGCAAGACGTCGTCAAAAGAGCTCAAGTACGGCGACACGGCCACGCTGGAGACGTGGATCGACGAGGCCTACAAGACGACGATGCAGCGACTGATGGAGCTGATGGACAGCCGGTTCCACCTGTTTGAACACCTCCAGGCGCTCAAGAACTACATATTGCTCGGGCAGGGCGACTTCATTGCTCTCCTGATGGAGTCGCTGGCCGCTAACCTCGACCGGCCCGCCGGAGCACAGTACCGCCACACGTTGACGGCGCAGCTCGAGCATGCAATCAGAGGCTCGAATGCGCAGTACGACAGTGACGAGGTGCTCCGCAGGTTGGACGCGCGCATGCTGCAGCTCAGCCACGGCGACATTGGCTGGGACTGCTTCACGCTCGAGTACAAGATCGACGCGCCCGTGGACGTGGTGGTGACGGAGTGGGGCAACCGGCAGTACCTCAAGGTGTTCAACTTCCTCTGGCGTATCAAGCGGGTCGAGTTTGCACTGGCGACGACGTGGCGCAAGTGCATGACGGGGGCGCGGGGGGTGCTCCAGACGAAGGACAAGGAGGTGCTGCAGACGTGGAAGGGCACGCGCGGGGTGCTTGCCGAGATGATACACTTTGTCGGCCAGCTCCAGTACTACATCTTGTTTGAAGTGATCGAGAGTAGCTGGGCGGAGCTGCAGAAGAACATCCGGAAGGAGGACTGCACGCTGGACGACCTCATCACGGCGCACACAAAGTACCTCACGTCCATCACGCACAAGGGCCTCCTCGGCGCCCGGCGGCGCCAGCACCACGACTCGGTCAAGGAGGCGGCGCTGGCGAGCGGGAGCCGCGACCCGGCGGCCGAGGTCGAGGACCGCAACTCGTACATGATACAGCTTAGTGAGTTGCTGCGCACCATGCTGGCATACCGCGACAGCGTCGATGGGCTCTACAGCTGGTCCGTGTCCGACTTTACGCGACGGCAAGAACTGGGCGCGGTAGGACTCATGCGCAAGAATCAGGTGTCCACCCCGTCAGACGGTGGAGGTGGCGGCAGCGGCGACCAACCGGGGGCCGGGCTAGACTCGGCTGCTGGCGGCAGCGGCAGCGGCAGCGGCGCGGGCATCGTTAAGTCCGAGCTGCCGGCGCTGCAGGAGCGGCTCAAGCAGCTCGGGCTGACGTTCCGCACGCGGCTGCAGATCCTCCTCGGCGACCTCGCGTACCAGCCCGACGTCGACATGCGCTTCCTCGGCGTCTCGATGAACTTTAACGATGTCTATCAGCCCGTGCGCAGGAAGACCAAGACGAGCGCCGGGCCGGGGGCGGTGGTGGCGGCATCGGGGTCCGGGGCGGGGTCCGGCGCCGCAGCGGGATCTGCGGCTAACACGTCCAGGGCCGCTTAGGAGGATAGTCCCTCGCGTTTGCCTCTGGATGATGAGATGCGGTTGCTGGGCATGTGCGTTCCCAAGTGAGCGAGGTTTGTTGGGGGGTTTATTATTCTTTGTTTTGCAGAAACTAACTGGCTTGGGGGTTTCGTTATCTGTTCAGCGAGTGTGTACGGGTATGTCTCATTTGGTATGGCATGGTTTATGGGGTGGCTGTGGTGGTGTGTGTGTGGGCAAGGAAAAGGGGACATTTTGGGTTGGGGGTTTTTGGTCTTTTTGTTTTGCGGGCAGCCCTTTCCTCCGTCGTGCAAGGAGACTGGCAGTAGATACCATAGCGTACTGGGGAGAGTGAAATGCATGAATTTCCAGCCTCTGTCAGAAGATGGGGGCAGTGATGTCTCTTGTTGTAGTTGTCTCGTGGTTGTTGTCTGGAAGGCCAACAGGGTTAGGGTTGGCTTGGTTTTGGTAGTGGGTCCCAAGTTTGGTTGCCAGTTGCCCATAGGTGTGCAACCAATTACACTGAATAAAACACCATACGGATCCGTAGATACCTCTTCTTTTTTCCAAGTACTATGTATAAATGGAGCTAACGCTTATACGCCCTTATTTTGACTGAAAGGTTCAAGTGTCTGCTAAGTTGGATCAGGCAAAGTCGCACGTAAGTAGTCTAATGGTCACTCCCGGCAGCAGCAAGTAATCATTATTACCAATCCATTCAATCCAGCCGAGCCGAGCCGACTTTCCTTTTGAAGGAACAACCAACACGCAACGCCATCATGACAACGTAGCATTCACCCCCCGATGCGCCATTTCACTTTGCACTCTCTAGTGTAATTTTCTGACTAGGTAGGCACAAATGTGATCAACAGACTTGGTAACGGTCTTTTTTGTTGTTGTTTTTATTTGTTTTTTATATCTTTTTTGAGGGCTCAGTCTGCGACTTTGGTGGTATTACAGAGTACTCGGTTGAGATATATCATCATCGGAGGCATCGGGCGCATCGGAGGCATCGGGCGCATCGGAGGCATCGGAGGCATCGGAGGCATCGGAGGCATCGAACGCATTGGACGCATCGGCAGTAAGTAGGCATGGCTGCTGCTGCTGCTGCTCTCGACGCAGGGCCGCGGCTGCGACATCCCGGCGGTGACGATGATGGCGCCAGCATCTCGACCTCGGCGTCGGCAGCGGCCACGGCGACTGAGGACACGCCACTGCTGCGCTCCGAGACGGCCAGCTCCCTCACGGCCCGCGACGCCTCGCCCGCGCCGCTGCTACCGCCGCCTATCGGCATCGTCGGCGACGGCGACGGCTTGCCGCCTGGCTACGCTATGGGCCGCGGCCAGACGGTTTGCATCGTCCTGAGTATGTGGGCGCTGATCTTTTTGCAAGGCAAGTTTTGGGCTACCTACCTACCTACCTATCTACCTGAGGAGAGGCATGTCTGACAGAAGAGCATCGCAGCCAGCAATATGAGCGGCATCACGACGACGCAGTCGACCATCGCGGCCGATCTCGACGCCTACGAGTACGCCATGTGGTTCACGTCGGCGTACATGATCACGGCGTCATCGGTCACCCCGCTGGTCGGCCGCCTGGCCATGATCTTCTCGTCGGGCCCCATGATTTTGTTCTCGGCCCTTTTCTTCTCTGTCGGCGCCCTCGTCACCTCGCAGGCCCAGAGTTTCGTGGTTTTCATCCTCGGTCGCGTACTCGTCGGCGTCGGCGCCGGCGGCATCATGACCCTCTCCCTCATCCTCGTCATCCAGCTCACCTCGAAGCGCCGCAGGGGCCTGTGGGTGGGCCTGACCAATGCCGTGGGTTTTCTTTTTGCTGCTGCTGCTGCTGCTGTTCTTGTTGTTGTTGCTGGAGCTGTTAGACTGTAGTTGTAAACTAACCAGCGACATCAACACAGGGCTTCTCTATGGGCGTGTCGACCGGCGCTGTCGTCTTTGGCGCCCTGCTGCCCGTGCTGGGCTGGGTAGGTGTCCCCTCATGAGCCACGAGGTTAGGTCTTGTTGGCTGACCAAATACCCATCTTCACAGCGAGCCCTGTTCTGGGCCCAGAGCCCCATTGGTGTCCTCGCCGGCTTTGGCGTCTACTTTAGCATCCCTCCTATGGCTGCCCAAGGAGCATCCAAGGACATGACAACGCGCCAGAAGCTCGCCCGTCTCGACTACGCCGGCGCAGTCACCCTGGTAAGCCGTGATTCTTACTCTTGCCCAGCGTCTATGCTAGGGGCCAACTGCTGACGTCGTATCGCCGCAGACTCTCACTATCGTGCTCTTTCTGTACGGCCTCTCGGGCACGATCCAGATGCTTCCCATCGCCCTGTCGCTGGTCACGCTCGCCCTCTTCATCCTGATTGAGTCGAGCTTCGCGCTGGACCCCATCATCCCGCTCACGGTGCTCAAGGACCGCGGCATCCTGCTGTCGTGCTTCTCGCAGCTGGGCTTCATGGCCGCGCGCTGGACCGTGCTCTTCTACGCGCCCGTCTTCGTGCTCGCCGTGCGCGGCCTGTCGCCCGCCGTCGCCGGCTCCATCCTGATCCCCACTAATTTGGGCTTCGGGCTCGGCGGGCTCGTAGTCGGCTTCTGGCACATCCGCCGCGCGGGGTCCTTCTGGGCGCCCTCGCTGGCCGGCCTGCTCTTTTTTGCTCTGTCCGTCTTCGCCCTCTCCTTCGTCGGCACCGCCACCGCCTCCCTCCCGCTGTACGTGCTGGTCGTCTTCGCCAACGGCCTCGCCACCGGCGCCGCCCTCAACTACACGCTGGCTCACCTGCTGCACCTCTCGGCGCCCGATACGCACTTCATCGTCACGGGCCTGTTGTCCACCTTCCGCGGCTTCGCCGGCAGCTTCGGCACCGCCATCGGCGGCGGCATCTTCGTGCGCAGCCTGCGCGCCGCCCTCGCCGCCGGCTTTGAACGTCTCGACGACGGCCACCTCTCCGACACCCACGCCAAGCTCATCACCGTCCTCGTCGGCAGTCCCGCCGCCGTCCAGGACAAGGACCTGCTGTCGCCCGCCGAGCGCCTCGTCGCCGTCCACGGCTACGAGCATGCCCTCCGCATCCTCTACCACACCACCGCCATCGTGTGCGTCCTCGTCATCGCCGTCCAGGCCGGCACCGGCTGGGCCCTGCCGCCCGCGGTCCATGTGCCCCCGACGCGCGCCGAAGAGGGCGAGATTGAGGAGGCTATTCTGGAGCATGACGGCACCATGGAGGCTTGAGCCGTTAGGCTCTATCCTGCCATGTCCTGGTGTCATTGCCACTGCCTGCGCCTGCCACATTATGCCACCTGTCTGTCCATTGTGCTGGCAGTGTGTGGATTGGACTGGATTGGATCGTATATACATACATACGTGCAGATAGACACTTCTTACAAAAATGAGGTCATCTTGGGTTGATTTAGAATAGAATAGACAGAGATATGCCTCTTCTTGGCTGGCAGTTTTGCGATCTGTAAATACATGCCTCCATCCTTACCTCCCTACCTCCCCCTACCTCCTTACCTCCTTACCTCCTACCTCCCTACCTCCCTACCTCCCTACCTCCCTACCTCCATCTCTACCCACATACGCGGCCTCACTAGAACTAGACATAACGCAGAAAGAAAAACCGAGACAGACATCTATTTTATTTAGAAAGACGGTTGCTTCTTATTTTAGTAAGTTTTTTATTGATTTATTTATCCTCTTCTAGATTCTGTCTCAACAGCAGAAAGCAGATCCCAAAACCCTAGAGATAACGAGGCTAGGAATGCGTATACATACATACAGACAGACAGACGGTTATGTCACTGCCTGCCTAGACGAGATAGCTGTGCCGAGGGTGTTATAACAGCTACGCGGTACGCGCAACCCAAGTTAGTATCTAGCTGAGCCTTCCATGTATGCATAATATGATGATATGATATGATACGTCATGAACGAAAAGAAAGAAAAAAGAATTCCCTAACCATGTGTTTAGAAAAAGAAGAAGAAAAAAAATCAAGAGCCAGACAAAAAAACACATTCGTCGTTCGTGCCCGTCTATCTTTACACATACATGACCCATACATAACCCCATGATAAGACCTAGGTAGGTACCGCACCGTAATAATAATACTAATAATAGCAGTGGTGATAATAATAAACACCACCAAAACAACCCCCCCTCCCCCAATCAATACCTGCGCCGCCGCGACCTGCCCGGCCCGAGATCGATACGCTGCATCTCTTCTTCCAGGGACAGCGAAGACCCATGGCCGCCGCCGGCCCGCACATCTCCATCACCTCCCCTACCGTCGTAGTCGCCGTCGTCGTACCCGCCCTGGTAGCGGTCGTCCATGCTGCCTCGTCTCGCCAGGCTGCTGCTGTGGAGCTGCAGGGCGCCGCTCATGACGGGGGCCGGCGGGTACTGGAGCGGCGGCGCGGGCAGGGCGAGCGGCACCTTGGCGGGGAGGGGCGGCGGGGGCCCTCTATTCCCCCCGCCGCCGTTGTACATGACGGGGGGTGGGTAGTTCTCGCTAGACCCGCCGCCGCCGCCGTACGAGTCGAACGTCGAGGCGCGCGCCAGCTGCCGCGTCGGCGTGTAGTTGTTGTTGTCTTGGTGCGGGGGGTATGGAGCCAGCGGGCTGGAGTCGATGCTGTTGCTGCCGCTGCGGAAGCCGCCAGGCCCGTTAGCGCCCGACATGACGGGCCCGGCTGCGGTCATCGGGGAGCGCTGTGCCTTCTTCTGCAGACGGTTGCGGCCCGTCGATGTCGGCGGCGAGGGCGTCTCCGGCTCGACTGGTCCTGATAGCGCGTACTGCGCACTGCTGACGCCGCTCGGCAGCACCGACTGCGGTCGGCCAGCGACGCGCAAGGGACGGCGGCCTGCTAGGGGAAGGGGCTGGGCGCCCGAGGGCGAAGGGCGGGCCGAGGCAGGGGCCGACGAGGTTGGCGCCTTGGGCTTCTTGGGCTCGGGCTCGGGTGCCCACGTCTCCATGGGCAGGTGGTCCGAGGGATCTACTTCTCGGCCGTCGTGTGTTATGATTTTGCCCCGTGACTCGTCGTAGTCTGGGCGTGTGATAGCAGGCTCTCGGGTGGCGGCCGATGCAACGGTCGGGTTGAGAGCGTTGTAAGAGTCAGGACCAAATGGGACTGCCGACAGCCGCCGACTCTCGGCCGGCGGCGGCGCCGGACTGACAGATTTGCGCCGGATGGTATGATTCGGGTTGGGGCTCGGGTCGCGGATGGGGTTTGGCGAATATGCGCGTGACTTGATGACGACGTTAACGCTAGAAGTCGACGGCCCCTCGGAGTACATCACCGGGCTCCTGCTGTTAGGCGGTAGCCCCGCATTGTAGGATCTAGGCGATGTGTCCTGGTCGTATCTGCGAGGCACGTCACCCATGGGCCGGCCCCTTGGTGGCGTATCGAAACTCGCTGGCTGCGTGTATCGCCGTTCATGATTCTTTTCTGGCTGGTACCTCTCCACAATGCCCTTGGAAGCAATGTTCGGATCAATTCCAGGGACGAGAGATGGAGGAACCGGCGGCATCCCATAGCCATTAGATGTGTCGTCGAGCTCGCTTCGATATGTCAAGGCTCGCTGGTCCCCGTGGGAGCCGTACGACACAAGCGAGCTTTCCGAATGCCTGCTAAGATCCCTCGGGCCTGGATAGCCAGGGTCTGATACGTCGGACGCGGATGTCATGTACCCGCTGGAACCCTGGTATCTCTGCTGGTCTGGCACATTCGGGGCGTTGGAGATCCGGCGGGGGCCAGCGCCACCCCTTGGTCCCACAGCTAGCGGTGCAGGGCTCACAGAGTGGTCGAAGTCGGACCGGAGAGCCGACGGGTAGGATTGAGCGTGCGGTAGACCAGGCATGCTTCTCCTAAAAGAAGGGGCAGTGTCTGGCGACTCGGGCACATCCTCCACGGTAGCCTGCATAGTCCTGTGAGATGGGTCATAGCTAGAATCGTACGAGTGATGCCGAGGGGGAGACGGCTGTTCCGTGTCGGAATACTGGGCGCCGCCCATTCCCGCAGGGGCCGAGTCGTAGGCCTTGTACGTTGGACGTCCAGGATAGCTTGCCGAGGCCGAGTGGCGATGGGCTTCATTCCGCAGCACGTCGTGTCGCATGGTAGGTGGGGTTCCTTTGGCCAGCGGGTCGAAGCCGCCTTGGTACGTTGCGTTCATGGCGCCGTTGCTGCCGGTTCTCGTGCGATGTGCTGGGGGAGGCGGTGGCCTGTCGTCCTCGGCCGGTCTCGCCCTGTCATCCGGTGGCATGTAGTGAGCATCGTGAGGTCTCGAGTCGTAACGGTCGTAGGGAGGTTGTTCTTGGTGAGGGTTGTAATCTCGGTCCTCGGCGTGGCTGGCATACCTGTCGCTTCTGTCGGGCGTCCGGTACTGCGGGCTGCCAAAGTCTCCAACAGGATCCCGTGGAATATACAAATCGGGCTGTTGTTGGTAGCGAGCGGCAGAGGCTCCTGCTGCACCTGGTGGAGGGGTGTTGTACTCGAGCTGCTGGAGCGGCGACTGGCTCGGGAGATGTGAAGGAGACGGCTGGGGTCGCGTGGGTGTCTCGACAGGCTCAGGGCTGGGGGAAGGAGGCGCCTGGCCAGTGACAGGGTCCAAGGGCAGCGGGCGGCGTTTGGGCATGGACCGGGGCCCGGCGGCGGACTGGGCAGCTTCGGCATCGGCGGCGGGCCCGGGCTGCTTTGCCACGACGGCAGCCCTCTCTGGCTTGGGGCGGCTGTCGTAGAAAGTGATCTCGATACGGATCTCGCCCGTCTTCTTGCCACGGCAGAACAGCTGGTGCCACTGGTCGCTCTGGCCGCCGCCCGAGATGATGATGTCGCGCAGGTCGATCCACGCCTCGCCTATCAGCTCTGTCTTCTTGTCGTCGTTGAACACGGACACCTTCAGCTGGTAGTAGTCGGGCGAGTCGTGCACTGTGAACCTGAGCTCTTGGTCCCTGCACGGCAGCCCGGTTAGCAACTACCGTAACTAATTGCGGCTGCTGCAGCTGGGCTGCTGCTGGCGGGGTACTGTTCACTCAAACCTACCACTTGGGGACCTGGCCGCCGCGAATGTCGGTCGTCGTCTTCTTCGCCTCTTTGCCCAGGCGTGCAGCGCAGTAGGGGTCCTGCTTTCCAATGGTGCGCAGATTGGGCAGGTTCTTTGCGCGATCGACGACCAGAACCAGGGTACCAATCTGCGGGCCGTCGACCGTCATGTCCGAGAAAATGCCCGCCGTGTGCATCCCATTGAGCGGGTGCCCTTTCGTCTTGCTCGCCATCGTAGAGTCGGTTGCCGTGGTGTTCGCGATGCTGCTGGGGTTAGTAGTGGCGTGATGCCTGCGGTATCCGTAATGTCGTCCTTGCTCCGCGAGGCTGTCTCATGGCCTGAGCGGGCTCCGCAATTGCCAGACAAAGGATTGTTTACTTTGCAGCCCGCCCGGCCGTTGTTGTGTGCTGACGACAGGTGCGGGGCGTTGCAAGACGGCTCAAGCAAGGAAATCCTATAAAAAATAAAACAAACCGCCCCTGAGTCGAGAAAAAAGACAGAAACAACAATAGGCTTCGTCTCGCAATCGACTGGGTGAAACGAAATTTGCCTGACCGCCCAACGCCAAATGTCGCGAGATGAGAAAGCTGAAAGCCCAAACTGCAGCTGGCGCCAAATGCATGCGGCGAGAGGTGGGGGGGCTGCGCGTGTTGATGCCCGCTCCTTGCTGCAAGTTCGTGTGGTGGCTGGGTGGAATGTTGGTGGCTGGTGCGAGCCAAGCCCCCCAAATTCCACGAGGCTGGCCGGCCAAGGCCCCACTGATCTCCCGAGCATCCATGCCTGCCTGTTGTTACCCACTGAAGTCTCCGACCTGGCATTGCCGGTCTCCCGCAAGAAGAGGGCCCCTAGGCCGGCTTCCATTGGGCACCTTGGCCCCCGGTCGGGGGCATTTCCACCAGGCATTGCGTCGTGCGGCGCGCGCCCGGGTCGGGTCGCGGCGCTCAAAAGTGGAATCCACAAACACTGCAGTCTAAATCCAGCCCGGATTCACGCTTCCAAAGAAACGCGCGTCAAATTTGTCATTGCCTGCCTTTCATTCATTCCTTCCTCCTTCTTTCCAATGCCCCACAAGAGAGAGATTGCGTTCACCTCCCATGTCACGTCGTGTCGGAATATCCATCCTTTCCTATGCAATTGCGGGCCAACACTAACCACCTGCACCTGTTCCGTACCGGTGTCATCTACCCCGCGAACAGAGAAGTCCTGCTGCGTTGTATTTCTATTCCACAGAATTCCGGTCTATCGGATCAGCTTTAGACTTGAGCCTTGATACGAGGGCTAGCGGTATGCACATTGACACGATGCACCAATAGAATCCAGATGATGGTTGTCAAAGCAATAACACACGCGCACGCAGACATATATCTCAACTTTTTACCATCGGAATGATGTGTATTCATGAGTGAAAGCGTGTCATGATATTGACTTCTTCTGTCTGTCTTCCCGTAACTATACCTAGGTAACGTAGCACAGCACAAACACTACACGACACACTCGCACCTTGACCCCTTCAACACCCAACGGACCGCACTGACAACAAAAGTTGCTGCTGTTTGTGTTTCTTTCGAAACAGCCGCCCGCTCTACATCTGGTTGAGGCGCTCCTTGGCCGACTCCTTGGCCTCGTCCGAGACGTTGGGATTCTTGAGGGTGCTGCAAGACACAAGAGCAAGTGTCAGCTCCAAGTCGTTCGTGTTGTGTTGGCACATGACGTGACGTGACATGACCGCGCACCAGAAGTGGTAAGTTGGAAAGGGAAGGGGGAAAGGGAAGGGGGAAAGGGAAGGGGGAAAGGGAAGGGGGAAAGGGAAGGGGGAAAGGGAAAGGGAAAGGGTGAAAAGGGTAGCAGGAGACAAAACTTACGCCTTAAGCCCGCCAGCAACATTTCCGGGGTTCTTGTTCTCCTGGTCGCCGGCCTTGGGAACTAAAGTGCGTCATGTGTCAACAAGGGTGCTGCAGAGTGAGAGCAAGAGCGACATACCGTCGCCGCCGTTGAACTCGTTGTCGAGGATCTTCTGGGAGCGGTCCTTGGACTCCTGCGACGTGTTGGGGTTGTTGATGTTGGCCTTATGGCCGCCGGCGACCTGAGCTTCGGTAGGCATGGTGGGTAGGTGGGTGATGATATCTTTAACTGTGTGGAAGAGGAGTTTGAGAAAATCGGTTTGTAGACGTAGCGAGTACAGAGTTCTGGTGTTGATGTCTTTGAGGGGCTGACATGGACTTTCAGTCCTTTTAAATCCCCATTCGTCCCCATAACGCTGCGCGCAAATAGAACGGCCACGTCCGGAGCTTCCTCCCGTGAGGAGCAGCGGCCAAAAATGGCGTCCCGAGCACGACTCTTGCTGTGCTAAATGTAGGCGTCACCACTCCGGCCCCAGGCCAGATCGTGCGATGATCCAGGCACAATAGAGTCAAGTGTATGGACTAAAAGCTACTCGGTCGAGCTAGGGAGGCGGCTAGGGCCCTCTTACTTAGGTATCAAGGTGGGTGCGTCTCCGCAGCCGGCCATATAGCTCCATCGAGGCTCCGGTAGTGAGTGGGCGGCTTGAACATGGCTGAGAAAGGGGTTTTTTGTATGGAAGCTCGGTATGTACTGTACAGTCTAATCCCTGAATGTTTGTTAGCGTTGGGACTTTCCAGGATTCGAAAGGTCTCAGCACTTTACGGCTCGCTCGCTCGAAAGGCTTTTCGGCAAGGGGGGTATAAGTTATTAGAATCCCAGAGGCCTGTCTTTTTAAAGGCTTTAACCAGCCGGTTTATTTGCTGGGCTATGACATTTATTCTGCCCAAGTACCAAGCCAACAAACATTCGGGGATCGGATTGTAGGCATCTTTTCGGATGCATGTTTTGAGTTGTTCATAGATGAGACTAATTCCTGGACTCTCACATGCTCGGATGTTCGACTGAAATATTTAACCTAGAGAGGAACCATGCGGTTCCTAGACCTAGTATTTAGCATTCTTGGCTATTCCTGCGACTAGTCTGTCAAAGATTGCCTTCCCTCTGATCTTTATTCTAGTAAGGGGCTTATCTTCTATTGACGTCAGAGACACACTTGGGTCTGATGTAATGGCAGCGCGTATTTGGATATTGGAGAAAGATACCAAAACAGGTCAAAAGTAGCATTGTATAGCATCAGTCGAGAGAAACATTTTCTTTTTGAGACAACCAGGTAATCGAGGAAAATTCACCCGAGTGTTGTTGATTTCGTAGTATTGGCAGAGCTCGGGCTACTGGCTAGTGCAAACCCCACCATTTTCAGCAGACTGGTTCCTCCAACAGGCCCGGCTTCACGTTGTCCCAGCCCCACGCTTCACCATGGCGTCAATCACATCGAGGTCGACGACATCTACGTCGGTGTCGGCTTCATCTACACCTACTATGCCTATCTCAGTAGAGTCGATGTAATCGTGCGATCCCCCGACCTTCCAATTCACCAATGTGCGAGATCTCTTCGACGCAATTGCTCACACGAATGGGGATTCCCTCGCCGTCACAAGTATAGTTTTGCCCTTTTGTTTCTATATAGGATACTAATTGTTTAGACATCTCTCCTAGTCATTTCACCAAAATCGATCGTGCTCGAGAGAAGCAAGGCCGCAAGTTCCGCTTTCGCGATTAGATAGCAATTCTCGGATCCTTATTATCACAATCACAACTGACCTTCATAAGCAACTCCACAACCCGCTATATGACGAGTTTTCGGCGCAGGTTCATAATATGGGTTTGAAGTGGAGTTGGAAAAATATCGGCGCCGCTATACTCCCAGGCTATTCTGGACAAGACGGTAAAGAGGGTGATTCGGCTGGTGGCCCAAGGCCTCAACGAGCTGCTAAATTGGCCTGGCCAATACTTGTTATCGAGGCAGGATTCTCTCAGTCGTTGGGGGAATTGTATATAACTATGCGGCGGTGGTTTTCTATGTCGAACCACGAGGTCAAGATTGTTCTTCTTGCCAAGTTCAACAGTACCACAATCCTTTGGAGAAGTGGGGGGGAAAAATGCAAGTTCGCCCTGGAGCTACCACAACACAACACTTTCTTCAACAGCCAGCACCTATGCTCCGACAAATCATCACCATTACCCGAAACACTACTACCAACCCGACATCGTACAATGTCACTAGCGGCGCATTAGTACTGTCATTCCGGCTTCTCTTCCTTAGAGATCCGGGCCCTGGGGAGGGAGACTTCGTTTTCAGCGTTCAAGAACTGGAGGAGTACGCGGAAGATGTCTGGGCTCAAGTGTAGATTAGCAGCCAATCAAATTCGGCATAGCCAACCAGTCAAAAACGGCAGTGTTGTCTGGCCTTTGCACTTTGGGGTTGACAACAACGCCGCTGCGATGTTGATCATAGTACCCGGTTATAATGGGCGTGAGCGTATTGGCCATGGCGTGGCAGCACTACCTTAGATGCACGTGTACGAGTTGCATCATGGTCTCGGGTCTCCGAACCCATGCTGGGGGTTGGGTTTGTTGCATGTGTCTGCACGTGTGGTTGAGGTCGCAGTTCCAACCTTGAAGTTACAACCACCAGTGTCGGACCGCTATCCAATTCAACCTTTTCGTGTTCTTTCTTTCTTTCTTACCTACAGTAGCTCCGGAGGGTAGTTTATGGTTTCGGTGAGACTACAGCTCGAGACGGAGCTCGAGATGCAGTTCGAGAAAACAGGGCCGACAAACAAACAACAAGAAGTCTAAGAAGGCCCGATATCAGCAGGCTGCCTCACAATACGCTGTCCAGGTGGACTCTTTATCCATTTGAGGCATTGAAGACAGGTAGGATTTAGGTTTGCGGAAGCCTGAATGGGGAAGAGGAGCCCGTGGGAAAGGAGTGAGGACGTGATGGAGAAGCCGAAAGTTGGAGAGATGCACGCTAGTCCAGACACGGTAAGTATGCTCCGAGAAAGCTAAAATCAGCCACGCAAACGGACCTGCAGCTCATTCAGGTGTGGCTTAGACCCAAGCCAGGTCAAGTCGGGCCACCGCTTTATCGATAAGCCCGCGTCTGAGACAACGACGGGTCTTGCGTCTCTCACTCCCCCTACTCTCACAACGTGCATCATAGGGCTGAAGAGGCGAAACCCCCCAAAGAGCCAAACAGACAAGCAGCCGTTCAGCCCCAGGCTGTGGGCCTTTGTTTAAACTCGTCATTCTCGCTAGACGTTGCTGCAAACCATCTCTTTGGGAGATTTCCCCGGCCTGCTTTACCTTCGTGTTCCTAGGAGGCCTTCCGACGCCCCGCCTGCCGCCGGCCCCGTCCGTCCGTACTCGCATCTCAAGCCCGTCATTCGACCTCGTGTGATCACAAAAGATATCCCACCAAAAATAAATCGCCGCAGTGCACACATACACACATACGTACCTACATGGCGGCGCATCTAACCCTAGTTTGAATATCCACGCATACGACCCCCCTGACGCAGAGGTACTTCAGGTACAATCCCCCTCGCAGATCAGATCTCGTATTGCACGGCAGCAGGTCATCTGCGGCTGTCAGGCGGCGCAGTGCGGGCGAGATCTACCGAGCAGGTGGTTTCAAACATTGTGTGTAAAAGAGGTGTCTGTCTGCAGGGGTAGCAACCGAGAACCGGCTAGCCGGTTGGACCCATCGACCCAGACCCAGGGGAATGGAACCGCCACCACCAGCAGCACCAGCCCCACGGCAGCCGCCAGCCATCAACTATGTGCTGGGGTTCCTCATGGTCGGGCTGGCCTGGGGCCTGACGACGCCCTTCATCCGGCGGGCAGCCAAGGAGCACCGCCCAGGCGCGCACCAGCTGCTCGAGTCGGACGCCGTCAGGAACAGCTGGGTCCGGAGCAAGCTGTTCGGCGCCCTATTCGCCGTCGTCGACCTCCTGCGCAACCCGCGCTATGCGGTCCCGCTACTGTTGAACCTGACGGGTAGCGTGTGGTTCTTCCTGTTGATTGGCAAGGCAGGTAAGTTTCAGTTTGGCTCTAACACCCCCACACTCTCCTTTCTCGCCGCCTGCCCCAGGTTCAGGCACTGTTCGTGCCTGTACCCCAGGCAGCGAGATTCAGGCCGTCTTGTTGCTGACTGCATGCCCCCCATTTTGCTTCGTGTCTTGACAGAGCTGAGTCTCACCGTGCCGATTGTCAACACCTTGGCCTTTCTGTTCACCGTCATTGGTGAGTGGTGGCTTGAGAGGAAAGTCATTAGTCGAGGTAAGTAGTTCATATCGTCATCTTGCTCTTGGCCGGGGATTCTCACTGATGACACCACCCCAAAGATACGTGGATTGGAATGACTCTGTCTCTTGGCGGTATTGCGCTATGTGTTCACAGCAAGAATAATTAGGTAACACATCGGAATCTTTTCAAGTTGACTGTATTGAGACACTCAAGCATAGAACTACGTAGACAAGAGGCGTATCACATGCGTCTTGAAAGCCCTTTGCAAGCGACCGGGTTTGAGAATGATTACCCGTTTGGGGTTTTATTTTCCGTATTCCCATTTCCTGCTCCCTGCTCCAGGCAGTGCACGCTTTATTCCTCCCATACCAAAATATATGCCTCCTAATTGCTGCTTTTCCCCTACCAAGTCGGAATATTTCCAAATCCCATGTGTTCATCCCCAATTCGAAAGAACCCCAGCCAATCCAAAAGCAGAGAGACGATAAACAAACCAATGGTATAATGTCATTCTATGCGAAACGAACAGATAAACGAAATGATAAAGCGTGCCCGCGCAAAAAAGAAAAAAGGAGGTCAAATATATACAGTCGAATGTGTCCGTCCAAAGATAAACAAGACCGAAGAAATAAAACTCAAACAAGCCAGTGTGCTCCAAACCCCAGTGAAGAAAGGCATTTCCCTGCGTGTATTCCCTTTTGCCCGTGGTATCTTTCAAGCCCGTGCAGTATGTATAACGAATGAAGAAGGAATTGCAAGAAAAAGAAAAGAAGAAACCCATTTTCAACACCCCCAAAGACTTTTGTGCCCCTGAAATAACAATTGGGATATACAATGCAAAAGATGGAAAATAAATCGAAAGTGAAGGGCAAGAAAATAAAAAAGGAGATTATATGAGTGATATTCCCTGCCATCAAACCGTCGAGGACGTAGACGAATGAAGGAGTGAGTAAAGAGCGTGTCGGTATCGGACGGGCCGATAACTTCGATGAACAAGAAGGGGCTGCCGTCGGGTTTCTGTCAATTATTGTTGAGATATTATCGAGACATTTCGGGAGGCGGTGGTGCTCAGCAGGGGTGAGTGGACAAATAAAATATCTAACGGCGCCGGGCACGCACCCACCGCTGCACGCTTCGAATGCTTGGGTCCTCGTCAGTCCAGCGACCCATGGCAATGTCAGAGGCCAGCAGCTCCGAGTAGATGGCTTCGTCGGTGATGGTTGCAAGTTCCTGTTATTGGAGAGGAGCAAACGGTCAGCAGGTGTCGTACTGTGTAAGGCACAATGTGTCCCGATGAAATAAATTACGGAAAGGGAAGGCTGTATTGTGTAGCCGGAGGGAGAAAACAGGCACCGAAATAAAACTGGTAGATGAAACGAGACGAGAGATAATACTTACAGTGCGCAACTGCTGGTCACATCCCCTCAGCTGCGAGTGGTTCCCCGAGTGCGGCCGGCCGCCCAAGAGGATTTGTTCCCGCCACTCGATCCAGCGCTGAGCCGCTGCCTGGCGGAGATAGATCTTTTGACCTTCGTGTCTGCGGGCATAGGCGTCGAGATAGACCCTGAAGATTTCAGGGGTTAGAAACACTCCGGCGAGTCGATACAACGATGGTGAGAGTAGATGAACAAAGACCAAAAGAACTTACTGCTTCAACTCAGCCTTTGCCTGCTCCTCCGGGCCGCCGGTGGTGCGTGGAACGGTGATGTCGGCGGCACAGTTGAGGATGTGCTGGCCGTCGAGGGCGCACTGGCGCAGCGCCGCCCAGCCTTCGGTGTAGTAGTCGTCCATGTCGTTGGGGTTCACAGGAGCGGCAGCGATGAAGTACTGAAGTGTACGGAAGTCGGAGAGAACCTCGGCGACTCGCGCCGTGCGATACTCGTTGACTGTTCATCGATAACCTAGTGTCAGTAGGGGTTTTTGTTGTTCATGGGCCGTTTTTGGGAGTGGTGTCTCCTCTACGCGTCTCTGTCTCTTGGCTGTGCGCATAGGTGTGTACGTGTGAAAGAGAGAATAGCGCGTGGGTATGGGTAGAGGGAAAGCCCGGACCATATAGGATAAGGCTGGGGCAAGGAGTATAGAAAGGGGAAAAGGGGGGGGGGGGGCGGGACAAGGTTTATCAGGAGGGAGGGGAGGGGGAGCGATCACATACGTCCATCGGCCATTGTGGCTGGCGATCTAATAATATGCTGTCGACTAGTGGGAATATGTCCGACGGTGCTGTTAGACGGCTAAGAAAGCGTTAACGGGTTGGCGATGGCTAGACTGGTGGATGATGTTGAAGAACAAGTTTGTTGATAGAGAAAGAGGAGTTGCCACAGGCAAAAAGAATAAGAGCAGGACGGCGGCAATATGCAAGGTCTATGCAAGCACAACGAATGGTAAGGCCGAAAAGAGAAGAGATTGGCGCTCTCCAGTGTGGACTGATGGCTTGAAGGTTCATGATGGTCGAGACGGGGAGGCGCCCCAACGGCTTTTGTAGAATTTGCCATCGAGGCGGCTGCACGACCGTTGCCAGATAGTCAGGAGGGGATAAGACCAGAGGAGTAAGTGGTGACTTCTCCTGACCGGAGGTACACATGGTACGTATCCGCAGGGTGTGTGTTTTTGTTGGCGAGGGGGAAGCAAAGAAAGTCCCGGCCGAGTTCTGTTGACGGGACATGCAACCTGCAACCTACCTAACCTGCAACTCGGCTGCAAGTGGAAGTCAAGTCGCAACAAACTACAGCTGCAAACGCAGGCCCGTTACTGACTCAACCACAGACTTTCGCAACGACATCATCCACAGCACGGCTGTCAGCCCATCGAGCGACATGCGGGCTGATGCCATGTCGCACGTCGACGGAGTCGATGCTACGTGGGTGTTTTTGTTGCAGCCGAACGCCATGCTGCGAGGGGAGAGCTAGGGCAGGCCCCTACCAAGCTGTGCAGGAACCTGCAGGAACCCACCCCCCCTCTCACATCTAGACACCCAGAGGAGCACTAAAAGGCTGTATTTGGGTCTCGGCCCTAGTCGTCAGGCTGTCTAGCCAGGGAATGCACCAGATTGGACGCAGGCCTAGCAAGTGCCAACGGCGACGAGAACCGAGTATGCCGAGTCGGAATAGAGAATCGAGACAGGTACGTGATGTGATGGCGGTTGCAAAGCTTGGATGGAACAAGCGCTGTTCAGTTGGCAATGGAGGGACCAGATGACTTTTCGTTGTCTCTTTCCTCTTTCCCCTCCTGTCTTCTCTCGTTACAAATCCCTTTTGATAGGCCGTTTGTTCTTTCTGCCTCAAGTCATTTTGACAGTTCGTGGTTTCCAAGTTGAGGTTTACAGGTTCAGGTTCAACAGTTTACTCCACTCTTCTCGCCTACCCCCCTAGCCTCGCGCCTTCTCTTTACCCAAACTTGTTGCAGCTCTGCTTCTGCAGCCACGAAACTCTCCCTTCCCGCTCTTTTTTGTTGACTTCAGGTGTCTCATCTTCTCGATTTATTTAAGCTAGGTTAGTAATTCTCCTGGCTGCATGTTACAAGGCTCCCTGGGCGGGGCGCCATCGGAACAACTGGCTGTTAAGATCAGACGGCGCAATGTGGAGAGAGAGAGAGCAACCTCAAAGAGCCTCTCCTGCGTGGCTTGGGCCCGTTTTGGGGATCCGCTAGGGAGGGAGCACGCTGTGGGTGGATCGTGCGTCCCGGCCAGCCGAGCCAAAACGGAAACTTAGGCGAGCTTTCAGCGACGCCACAGGTGTCCGGCAGTCCAATCCAGGAACACCTAGCCCAAAGCGTCCAGTTCCGTGGGAGGGAGCTTGTGTGGCTCAGGCCTGCCGTGAGCCAATGGTAGGCCGTACCGTGCCATTCAACGAGCTCACCACGCCCCTCGACGGAGCTGAACCGAACCTGGGCGGATATTTAGCATCTCACCCACATTTCCTCTGGCAGTACTCCTCCGTACTGAGGGCCATCCCGCAGGAGAATCCGCATCTCGTGCCGTCACCACGGGAATACATGGCTAGATAGGCTACCCTGCTCCGGGAAAAGCAAGAAGAGGGGGGGGGCTTCAAAGGCCACCGCTTGTCATGTGCGTCCTGCGCCGGCCCTATTTGGGCGTAACCCGTCTGCCCAGTCACGAGCTGGAGAAGCTGTCGTGCAGCGAGAACGTCGACGACACAAGGTCGCGCCGTTACTCGATCCGGCACGCTGATAGACCGCCTCAAACCGGGAGCCGACCCTTTCTTGCCAAGACCTCGAAGACGGCTGCAACAGTCAGCTCCTCAGGGTCCGGCCCCCTCTTTGAGATGCTCCCAGTAGTATGAATGTCTCTCCCCCACCACCAATATCGGGACTCGACGTCGATGGGCCCCCCTTGTACTAAGCCTCATTTGCCTTACCCAACTCCAGAGCACTGGGAGGCACAGGAGGGGGGTCGGATTAGGACGCTCCTTTTGAATGAGGCTTGCATGTCGGCCGTCGACTGCGGTCAGGTACGGGTTTCTTACCTACCCAAGTGCACATCGGCCCCCCGTGCCATCTCATTGTGAATGGTCGCCTTATGGCCATGGCCCGCTGGATATACACGTGCTGTTGCAGATAATAAAAATGTGCCCAGCATCGTTTCTAACGTTCGCCACCGCCTGCAACGGTAACTGCACCTTTCAAGTCCGCCAAGGCTGAGGAGTAAGCCAGAATACCGCCGAGATTCATGCAAACGCTTGGTCGTGATATCTGCGCCTTGCTTGTCTTGTATTTCCGGGCCGCTTAGGTTGTATGTGGTCGATGCGAAGTAAGGTGTATGAGTGAAGCAACGTCTCGGTCCGTCTTAGACCACCAACCAAGACGGCTCACTCCGGGCCTCTCCTTCAGCCTTCAGCTCCAGCCACATCGGTACAAGGCTATAGGGCTACTAGTGCACAGCTTGAGAAAGGCGTCTTGGCCCCAGTCCGGCCTGCACCATTCTATTTTGGCATGTCCCGTCTGCACCTCATCACACTGCATAGCGATGCTCTACGCGGTATGGCCTGGAGTATAATGAATATTGACACACGAGTAGCGCGGGATAGGCGTTTTGAGGCTGGGACGATACATTTCTGCCTGCTGGATTACCCCCAATCACCTCGCAACCACCGCCCACCTCCCGCGCTCCTCAACCCGCCCCGAAACTGGGCAGCGAATAGCCGTCGTAATCGCCCCATCGCCGTCCAACTTACTTAGGCGCACCGACCACATCAGCTCCCCTCTCGGAGGGTAGCATTTTCCCTCCGTCAACATCATCAGTCCTTCTCGGCAATGGCTTGTAATCGCTCGTCGATCTCCTCTTCCGTTAGCGTCCTGAAGCCCGGGAAGGTCCCCTCTTTGCCGTCTGCGCGCGGGCCTCCTACAATTCCAATCTCAATCTCCGCCTTCTTGAAGTCCATGCTAAGGACCGTGCTGAGCGTCGTGATAGCCAGCTCCACAACGTCCTTCCAATCACCGTCGGCATGGTCCTTATTCTTGAGCTTCTTCTCCAGATGGTTGAGCGCCTCCTGCTGCTTGGGGCCTGCCGCGGTGCCCTTGTACCCGATGTAGTAGCCGGCGGGGTCGCACTTGAACAGCTGGGGACCATACTCGGAATCCAGCGATATCAACGTGGTCGCAACACCGTAGGGCCGCATGTATGCCTAGCCAAGACACTGTCAGTATTGTTGCAGTTGCCCCCCTCCAACAGCTCGCTTGCTTGCTTACCCGTTGAGTGTAGACCTGGCTGATATTGGCGAGCCGCTTGGCCAGAGCGTCGCATGGCATCTCATAGCCATTTGCATATTTGAACTCTGCGGCTTCCGACTGGGCACGCTGTGAAAAGGCCCGCGCATCGGCGATGGAGCCCGTCATGACGCAACCAACCGAAGGCGACAACTGGAAGATGTGGGAGACGGAGGAGGGGTCGATGAGTTTATCCTGGTGGCAAATGGTCGGTCAGTTCCCATCTCATCCGTCCCGTCGCTGACAGCCGCATCGGATCCCGACCTACCGGCACCTTCTTCTGCGACAGGACCACAGCGCAGCCCTTGCCCCGAACACCAATCGACATGATGTTCGCAGCCGTTATCGCCTTGAAGGCATATTCTGCAACAGAGTCCAGCCGTCAGCATCGCATACACAAGTTGTTGTCCACACATGCGAATTCCCGTTCTCTGGCTGCCTAATCGGTCCGAGGAGGCGTCGGCCAGCTCCAAGCCGGCTTCAGGTTGGCAGCTCCTGGTCGCCCTGTCCATGTCGCAATTCGTACGTACCGACTTGGTACAATCTTCCCTGCTCAGAGAAGATCGTAATGTGTCTGTCGTAGCCCGCGCTGCCTATTCGCTGAGTGTTAGCAGGAAGGTCCAAATAGGCCCCAAGCTCAAGCCGTGCAAGCGGAGCCCAGGGGACGGGCTGAAAGCTGACAACATACCCGACATTTTGAGAGATGCGGAGATGAATCAAAGTTATCTCTAATGTACCGAGTCGGAGTTACGATCGATGTGGCTTAATTAGGGGGAATCGATTTTGCTATGTTTTGCCTCGGCGTGGTGAGAAGTTGCGGTGGGAGCAAGGCGGGAGAGAGCTTCGTCGTTGGGGATGATTGAGAGCTCCAAGTTGGCGCCGACGCGTTGCAGCGGTTTGCCTGGAGAAGACTGAGGCCTGGGCTTGGCACTGTGGCCTCAGATGCAAGGCGGTAGGATACTGTGCCTGTTTATAAGGGTTTTGGCCTGAGGCAGAAGGGACGTGCTGGACTGTGGAGCCCCGCTGTCAATAGTGCTTATCGGTAGAATTATGCTTGGTTTGGGCTCCGATAAGGCCTCGCAGCAGAAATTTGCTGCAGAGCTTGAATTGAGCAGAGGAAGTAGCGACGATACCCAATGAGACAACCAGAAAATCCGCCCAATACTATCGCAAATCGGCTCCGTTGACCTTATTACGAGGAATAACGCTTGGCTAGGTGTCGTAGCGTGCCGCTCCCTGTTTCCGGCCGCACTCTGCCGTCGTCGAGTAGGAAAAGCTTGTGGCCCCCCTCCTTCGCCCATCTCCCTGCCCGACTTTCTGAAAGGGCTCCCTTTCCCTTTGGTCGCCATGTCCACCCACAGCGCGCCAGCGCAGCGCCTTCCAGCCTGGAAGCGATTGGGCCTCAAGCTCAAGGGATCTGCATCTGACGAAAGCCCCGCCAATTCCAATTCCTCTGTTCAGGCCTCCCCACGGCCCAATGCTCTCACCCACGTAAACGGCAGCAGTCCGGCGAGCGCCCTCAAAAGAAAGTTGCCAGATTCTGCGGCGTCGTATCAATCACCGACGTCGGGTTTTGCCCAGACCCCCAACAAGAAGCTACGGAGAGACGATCAAGCTTCGGACCGCGGCACGCCATCGGGGTTGCGGAGGCAGAAGTCGGTCACCTTCACGGAAGATACCAAGATCACCGACCCGTCCAAAACAACGCCGGCGAAAACGATCAAGCCTGCCAAGCCTAAGAGGGAGAAGAAGCCCAAGAAGGCTTCGGAATCGGCTTTCAAGCCCGACTTCAGTCTCGAACCCGCTCTTTCCTACATCCGCCAGTGGCACACGGCTCGCGACTCGTGGAAGTTCAACAAGAACCACCAGACGCTCCTGATCAAATACCTATTTGACGGGGATAGGGTACCGTCCTCCGACATTCCTATCTTCTACGAGTACGTCCGCGACCTAAAGGGTGCTGTGCGGACGAGGTTACGAGAGACAGCAACCGAGATCAAGAAGAAAGACATGGAGCAAGGCGAGGCGGCCTTCCCCGCCTCGACCAAGGACAAGGAGACCAAGCAGAAGCAGTACGAGGAGGTCATCTCTCGGTTCTTGGAAGAGCAGCAATTACATCACGAGCAGAATGGGGGTGGCAGCTCGTCATCCGCCAATGCCAATGGCAAGCGCAGCTTTGACGAGGTAGAGCTCGTCCTCCGCGCGGCCGATCCAGAGGTCAAGCAACGGCTGCTGAAGCGCATCCGCGCCGAGATGGTACTTGAAAGCCTATCAGACAGTGAGGACACGACGTCGACCGAGACGACGACAACGACGGCTACGGCCTCGAGCGGGGCGGCTTCTTCCTCGTCTGGCGGGGACGCCCTCGCTGCCGACAGGGCTGCGGCCCAGGCGCCGGCGCCGGCCAAGCGGGCTGTTGAAGCATCACAGCAGCCGGCCAAGCGGCGCAGATTAAGGGATGTGCGGACGGCCATTGACGATAATGATGATACCAGTAGCGACGATAGCAGCGACGAGTCTGCCGCGAGCGACAGCGGCTCGAGCAGCGACAGCAGCGACGACGATGATGACGACGACTCAGACGAGGAGATGGAGCTTACACCGAACCAGAATGCCGCTGAGACGTCAAGCAGCAGCTCATCGTCGTCCTCGTCGTCCGGGTCAGACTCGGAGCCCGCTGATGCGGACGATGACAGCGATGACGACGACGAGGAGGATTAAAGGTTGCATTAGTTTAGAAGGGTATAGTGATTAACACAATGTAAGCACTTCCGTTCCACCAGCGCGGGATTGAAGGATTGCTTGCATCTGAAGCTGGATATTGCAAATAGCATGTTGAAACGAGAGATGTGTTCAATCGCCTTGGCCGGGGAGACATGAAGCGAGTAGCAAAAAAATATCATACACATAACGTAGCAACTAGCCTGGATACATCTATACGCGCCGTTATTCGCAGATGTTTGTACATAGGCGGTTGTACTGAGACAGCGAAAGGAGGAAAATTAAACAGGGGACTGAGTGTATACAGAATACTGACACTGTGAAACTTTTATGCATGTTCTACATTTACGTCACCATCGTCTGTCAGGGCTGTACGAAGTACAGCAACGGCACCGACATGGCAACGAGCAGAAACTGTGTGTAAATGCAAAATGCATTCACCTTTCTATATCTGACCGTTATTGTATGTATGAATATGGATGATATGTTAGGTATGATGTGTAAACAAGACGGCACAAGCATCTATGATCAAAATATCCCGCCCGCCCGCCCATAACGCCTTGCTTCTGAGGGAAGGGGTTCGTGGTAATAAACGAGAAAAAAGACAAGATCTCCACGTCTCACTCTCAGCCACGCCTTAGGAATGGAATGGGGAGCGAGAGCGAGACCCAAGACATCTCTCCTAGATTCCATATGCACGAGAGGGGTGAATAAGAGAAAAATACGTGAAAGAAATTTTAAAAAAAAGTCCAGCGTTAAGGGGAAAAGACAATGCCCGCCTACCTAATAGCCCAACAGAAGAAAATAACACCCATGTCCAGTTATGCCCACCCAAGACAAAAATTCACAATATTGCCGGCCCAATCCGTCTCTAGCTTTGCTTCCCTTCCCTTCCCTTCCCTTTCCTTCCCCTCGCCGCGTCAGATACAGTAGATATAAGCATTTGACGATGTAGTTTCTAATCTCTCCTCGCTGCCAGATATGATGAAAAAATGATGAGATGGGATGTGCGTACTTGTGTTCTTTGCATCGTGAAATATGTATCGGCGAAAAAACGCCACCGATGTAACACCCTCCGCCTCCTAAACCCTGGTTGGATTTTATTTCCAAATTGCACACTGAAAAATGCCGACTTTTTTTTCCTTCTTTTTTGTCGGTATTTCTCTTTTATAGTGTTACGTCATACAGGCTGAGGTCTTCTGTCGAAGCCAGTCCTATAGATTTTTGTCGGCTTCTTCTAGTAGCGCCCCGCCCTCGAGAAGGCCGATGCACTCGCCTTTTTCCATGACGGCGACGATTGTGTTCTCGGGGGTATCGTCGTTGCTGCTGCCGCCGCCATTCTGTTGACTCGGCGGCCTGCCCTGCTGTTGCAATGCCCGGATCCACTCGGCAGCCTGGCGCACCGTGGTATCGGCCGCCATGGGCACAAAGTCGCCCGTCGCCGTCACCAGAGCCGCGGCGAGGCCATCGGCCATGATGCGCCGCACTAGGTCGCTCGCGCTCAGCTGGCGGATGCGCCGCGGCGAGATGACGCCCGTGCCGCTGCCGCTGCCGCCGTTGCTCAGGCGTACCCAGCCCGATGGCGACGCGTAGCCGGCGCGCAGCACGTCGGCGCCCGTGGTGGGCGCGCTGGGGGTGCCGGTACTGAGGTCGGCAATGTCGCTAAGCGGCACGGCGAGGTGGCGGACTAGGGCGTCCTGCGGCCCCCGCAGCGCCGCACCGATGGCGCCACCGGGGTGGTTCTTGGCGAAGACGGAGGAGACGCTCGGATGCAGCTCCCGCGAAACAACAATAGCCAGCGCATCGCCGACCGTCAGGGCCACCGTAGTGGATGTGGTGGGCGCCGAGACGCCAAAAGACTTGGTCTCGGACTCGTGTATAGGCGCGGGTAGCAGGATTGTATCGGGGCGGCAGCGGATCAGCTCGCAGGTCTCAGGCCGCGTGTGGGAGGTGAGCAGAATCAGGGGCAACGCCTTGTCGAGGTGCGGCAGGAGCATCAGCAGCTCGGGTGTCTTGCCCGAGAAGGTAATGAGGAGAAACGTGTCGTTGGCGCCGATCTGGCCGAGGTCGCCGTGTAGGGCCTCGGTCGGGTGGAGGAAGACAGCCTGGATGGCGAGACTGTTGAAGGTAGCGACGAGTTTCTTGGCGATATGGCCCGACTTGCCCACGCCTACGACCACCACCTTGCCATTCTTGCCGCGGTCGCTCTGGCGCCGGGCAATGGCCTCGACGGCACGGTTGAAGCCGCTGCGGGCGACGGCATCGGTCGAGTAGAGCTGGGTGACGCGCTGCAGCGCCGTTGTCTCGGTGCTGAGGACGTGCACGGCGCCGGCGAGGCGCTCCTGGACGGCCAGGCGCTCGTCGCAGGTAGCAATGGATGAGGGGCTCAGGCTGAGGGCCTCGATCGGGGTGCAGAAGTCGTCTTCGGCTGGGGTGATGGGCGATGGCGGCGAGAGGGGGGGGACGGTGGTGAAGGGCGTCTGGCGGAGCAGGTACACCTCGCTGTTGTGCACGGGGCGTTGCTCAACCATTTCAAGCTTATTTTGCCGGCTCCTCGTCGAGGACGAGGACAGCACCGTATTGCAAGAATACAGAATTCAGCGCCTCTTACGCGTTGTGGTCAAGTCCCACACAGGCTGGTGGAGCTCCCAGCTTTTGTGTCGGGAACCTTGCTGTTAGTTTGGAAGGGGTTGGACCAAGGACGGCAAGTATCAAGACCTGTCGGCCAGTGCCCTGGTGCTCTAGGTGGTCAAGGTGTAATATCCCGCCGATGGCTCTTGCAGTGTTACGGATTTCGTGTGCGTAGGCGTTGCTACACGTTCCTTCCGACTTTGACGACTCAGGTTTGGGTGTGTGTGAAAAGGTGCTTGATAGTCGCAGCCAAGGAAGGGTTAGGTTCAGGGCAGCCTCGAGGGGCTCGTCAAGACATTGACATTTCTCCGCTGCTTATTTCCTAGTAGAAAGAGTCTTCCTGTCCGATAGGAACCTAGGCAGGTGCCTAGGCGGGCAGTCGCCAGCTTCCCGCACGCTCAGACGGGATGTCGGTCTCGATACGATATATCGCTTGCTGTCCGCGTGGGGCAGCGTGTTAATGGAGGGTGGGCTCTACACCCTCGGCCCCTCGGCGTTGTTGGCTTGCGGATCCAGTAGAATAGGTAAACCAAGCGCCCGGCGGGATCTTGGACAGTTGTATTACGTGTTTTTACCTCTGGGATTAATAATAACCTGAGTGCTCGGAGCAAACGCGGACGATATAATTGCACGTGGAGGAGAGTGCGGGCAACGAAACCTAGGTTCAAATAGACACCGTTGGGAGTGATCGCCAGCAGCCGACGACGTAATGATACGCAAATCTATCCAAAACCCACGACCAACGGCGTTGTTATCTTACACGCCTCCCTCCTTCTAGCCTGGAAGCCGGGAGGCGCGATCTCCTGGGGTTCGATCTTCCCCCAGCATCGAAATTGGGTACATCATGGGGGGAAAGAGCTCTTTCCGAAACGCTAGCAGCCCGGTTCTTGCTTTGTCTGGCTCGCTATCAATCTTGATCCACACTGCCGGGCAAAGTCTTTGCTGATGAATCACTTGATGGCGGGGTTCTGCATTGCGCGGGTGGCGGACACTATAGACCATTCACAACGCTGGCTGCAGACATGTTTACTATTCGTGCACGAATGCGACTCGTCCTGTCTATGCGCACATGGGCAGCTTGCGCAAGCTTGCGTGATATGCTTGCATGCTATTTTACCGCCATTGCAGGTGCATTTACGTAGCGTACGCACTTGAAGGCATGGTAGATGGGAGAGATATCGGCTCGACTTTTGGGCCGGGCTAGCCGGGTGGGCTGCGACCGTCCGGTCTGTTGATTCTTTCCCTCTGTATCTTCACTTGCTCTAGAAGGTTCACATTTAGAGGCTTAACGAGTAGGTAGGCTTCCAAGTTCCATCCAACTTGTCAGAATTCGTTGTTGTCTCAAAGCCGCCATCTTTGTCGGCGATCTAGCCTCATCTGGACCTTGTTCCATCGACTGTCGTTGGTCCACGGATAGGGAATTTTGAGCTCGACAAGGGGCGGGGTGACAACGGCCCAGCACCGATCGCGAGGCAGATTTCCCAGATTTAGATCCATAAATGATAGAGCACCTATCCCTCACTCGACCGGACGCGGGGTGCGGGCAGACCACCAAAATCAAGTTCAAATGCGAGCCTTTCAAGATCTCGAGAGCAGCTGCAAATATCATGATGTTTCTCGAGCTGTCGATCTGCCGTCCGTTTGGTGATGCAGGCTGGGTGCAGCGGAGGGTCAGACCCCGACTTAAGCCATGCTGCAAGCAGGGACGACTACTTTCCCCAACACAGCAAGCACACTTGGGTCGCCCCCCAAATGCGCAAGACGGTGATGATGATTCCGACTTGGGCCTGTGGGGTTCGATGTCGTCTCCTTCCCAGGCGGGAGTTTCTTTTCCGTGATCATTTTACTGGATCGCCCCCAAAAAGCGCAAGACGGTGATGATTTCTTGGACTTGTCCCTAGGGTTCGATGTCCTCTCCTTCCCAGGCGGGGGTGGTTTCTTTCCGTGAGACCATGGCTAGCGGGTCTCGCGTCATCGCAATCACATGGATAACATCGCACATTTCCACAACTCCATCAGGGCAAGAAAAAAGACATAAATACAGTTATGATATGGAAGAGAATCGCATTCAATAAAGACACACAGCACAGATCGCGCACCGAGTGCGATCGCTCACATTACAGACCTACCACCACGACTTTAAAATCTGTCTCGATCGTTATGCAGATTTCACTATACGCACATATTTCTTCTCCATGGCCTGGCTCGAAAGCGAAGCTCACAGTGAAAAAAAAATTAAAAATTAGGTTGGTTATCAAAAATTCCGACCGGAACGGCCCCGAAGGACAATTCATAGCGACTGGCACCGCGGTGTGCAATGCAGGCCCTTCGCTATAGTACGAGGGTTTCTTGATCTCCCCGCACTCAATCAAGGTAAGTATGAAGGAGAAAAAAGGGAAAAGAAACTTCTAAAGAACGCGGGCGAGGTGCGGCGTTTATATACCAGTGTAGTTGGTCCGTGCACGGCTGCAAATTTTGCCTGGATCCGCTCGGCCCAATCCACTCTGCCCCAAATTTTCCTCTGGTGCTGGTCCTCAGGTTCAACCCCAACCCTAGGATTCACCATGAGCCACCGAAAGGAAGTTGCGGGGCAAGGGCAATCGAGTTGTTGCGATTCAGATAATTCCTTCTCTTGGTTGCTACTTCTCCAGACCCTAGTGTTAGAACACTGGAAACTCTGCTGAATGCCATATTAGCCGTGCTTCCAGTAAACAGTATTATTCATTCATGATGTCGTCGCCGTCGTTGCCGTCGCCAATATCGGTGCTCTTCGTCTGCCTCGGCAACATCTGTCGATCGACAATGGCAGAGGGCGTTTTCCAGTCCATCGCAAAGGCTGCGCCGTATACGGATCTAGTCGCCGAGATCGACTCGTGCGGAACGGGTATGTGTCTTTCTTTTGCCCAATGAGAGCCCCCATTTCTTCATATTTGTCCAGGTCTTCCACTTGCGGGCATGGCTCCCCCTCGACGGCTTCTGATGGGTGACCAGGAGGCTATCACACCGGCGACGACCCAGATGACCGGACGATGGCGACGCTCGAAAAGCATGGTATAACGGGCTACGAGCATGCGGCTCGGAAGGTATGATGACGTCGCTCGACAGCAGGCGGTTCGGCTCGGGCTTGGCTGAGTGGGCAGAGTGCTGTTTGTCAACTGCTTGGCTGACTGGCTGCAATGTACCGATGAAAAGGTCAACGCGTCAGACCTTGACAGGTTCGACTACGTCTTCGCCATGGACCGCGCCAATCTCGGTGACCTCCAGCGTATCCAGCAGCGCAAGCCTGGCAGCAAGGCCAAGGTGATGCTCTTTGGGGAGTACTCGGGGACGGGTAAGCCCGAGGTAATCAGTGACCCCTACTATGGGGGCCAGCAAGGCTTCGAGAAGGCTTATGAGCAGGCGGTCCGGTTCTCCGAGAATTTCCTGAGGGACGTGTTTCCAGATGTCGAAGCCGAGTTATGATGCGAGTCTCGAGGCGGCGTTTTTGTGTGTTGATGGCGTTTGGAGGTCTATCGGCATAGACTAGAGTCTAGAGGTGTAAATGGGTATCTAGCGTTGCTTTCTCCTCAGTGAGGCTACCAGTTGGCCCGCCATGATGTTGGTTCAACATGTCGCATATACACACAAGTCCGTCACGGAAGCTGCTCGATTGAAGACTTCTACCTGTGTACAATACATTCCAAGGGAGGCCCATGTGTGAACTTATATGTTTCCGCTCACAGCCCAAGTTACCCAACTGATACAGCGGCCTTGCTGTTGCCTTACTGTCGCCTTGGCCCCCTTTCCCGTCTCGTACACCAGTCAGTCACAATGATGCCGATGTCGTAGTAATGGGTGGGTTGCCTGTGCTGGCCATAGAAGCGATGCGTAATTGGCGGCCGGCCTCTGGATGTCCTAGATTGCATAATGCAATGTCAGCCCTACGGGCCTCTCAGATTGGCCGTCGGGGATTTACACGGCTTTGGGTCCAGGAAACCTCGCACAGCGGCCCATTGCTCCCTCGCACTCGCACTTGGGCCAATGCCAAGGCAGCACAGGCATTGAAGCAATGGATGTTGGGGTCGATGAGACATTACGGAGTAGAAAACAGGAAATTATGACCAAGCAGCTCATTCCAGAGGTGAATCCCGAGAGTGAGTCCTTGACTGGTGTTGGCAGATGGTCGATTTTTTTCGCCGAGACGCGAAGCTGCACGGCAGCATCACCAACACAGACCATACTACGACGCTGCAACGCCCAACTCTAGGACTCTAGGGATCCCACCGCGGCTATGATTACTAGATTCCACGTTTGTTTGGCCGAGGGGGCGCTTCGCGGCGCTTCAGCAACGTGCCGCGAGCGGCTATTGTCTTGGAATTTGCTTGTAAAGCTGGCCGTGGAATGGCCGGCTTCTCGACTGAGCTAGAGCTTCCATATCAGTATCGCACACGCGGCCCACGGTATTAATTTGACGTTGCACGAGGGAAAGATGGAAGCCGGGAAGGCCGTGCAGTCCTAGTGGAGGGCCAGCCTTGGGGTCCTTGGCTCCTCCCGAAGCGGGGCCCCGAACCACATGAATGGAGTTGTCGCGCGCGTACTGAAGCAGAAGTTGGTGATTTCTACAAATCACATTGAAGCGAGGGACGGGCCAGCCTAAGTATCCCCCTCGCATGGACTGGGCGCTGGGCAGGGTGGGCAGTACCTGGCAGGCCCGCCCTCCATCAGGCCATCCAAGTGGCCAGCCAGGGACGATCGCGGGGGGCTCCTCCACTTGCCATTAAGGCCCTAAGGCGCCTCCGCCCCCAACGCAAACTTCACCCCGCTAGCCTTTCCCACAGTGAGTGACTAGCATCCCCCCCCCTTGTCATTTGTCACGCCAATTGATCCCGCTTCCGTCCAAGCTAGCGGACTGCAATCAGGCCCGCGTTACCTCAGCCCCTCCATCCCATCTCGTTCTGGTCGTTGCCTTCTCCTTTCTCCATCACAGCCAGCAGCAGTTAAATACCTAAATACCATCCATACCCAGACCACCTATAGCTCGCTCAGCCTTTGAGTTTCTCCTAGCTACCTCCATTTCCATCGAGCTCAGCTGCATTCTTGAATCGTACAGCCGGGCTTTGTTCCTTGGGGTTTCGACTTTGCGCCGCACACTGAGAGAGGAGCTGCTGTCTACCCCTCCTTCTTCCCCGCCTCCACTCGTCCCGCATTCAAGGCGCAGCGCCATTTCCCACAGGTCGCGAACGCGCTTCAACCAGGCTCGCTCGCCATGGCTGATCTACAAGGCCGCAAGGTGTTCAAGGTGTTCAACCAGGACTTCATTGTCGATGAGCGATACACGGTCACCAAGGAGCTAGGCCAGGGAGCTTACGGCATTGTCTGGTGAGTTTGGCCGCGGCCTCAACCCTGTCAGCCTGTTGCTGGGCGGCGAGTTACCCCTCGTTTTGTGCACCCTCGCGACGGCGTGGGTCCGACCCGGGCCTGGCCTGGCCTGGCCGGGCTAGCCTGGGCCTCAACCCTTATCACCGAGACACGGGGGTGCTGATATGATGCTTCGACAGCGCCGCCATCAACAACCAGACGAGCGAGGGTGTCGCCATCAAGAAGGTCACAAATGTCTTCAGCAAGAAGATCCTGGCCAAGCGGGCCCTGCGCGAGATCAAGCTGCTGCAGCATTTCAGAGGACACCGAAATGTAAGCAAGCCCGTCCACACCCGGCACACGACCTCTTCCTTTGTTGCCCCGCTGCCGCAGCCCAACGATGGGGATCCCCCAATGATGCGCTGCCCATGCTGACCATGATGGCCCGTCTGGGTCGTCTCAGATCACTTGCCTGTATGACATGGACATTCCGCGGCCGGACAATTTCAACGAGACCTATCTCTACGAAGGTACGCAAGCCGTGCACCTGCTGCGGGATGGCCCGCTCCTCTCCCCCTTTTGATGTCTTGGCCGCTGACACGAAGCTTTTGCTGGACCTGTACAGAGCTGATGGAATGCGATCTTGCCGCCATCATCCGATCTGGCCAGCCTCTCACTGATGCCCACTTCCAGTCTTTTATCTACCAGATCCTCTGCGGCCTCAAGTACATCCACTCGGCCAACGTGCTTCACCGCGATCTCAAGCCGGGCAACCTGCTCGTCAATGCCGACTGCGAGCTGAAGATTTGCGATTTCGGTCTTGCGCGTGGCTTCTCTGTTGATCCCGAGGAAAACGCTGGGTACATGACCGAGTATGTCGCAACTAGGTGGTATCGCGCGCCCGAGATCATGCTGAGCTTCCAGAACTACACCAAAGCGAGTGCGTACCCCTCTTGGAGTTCTCATTCCCGGTCTTTGTCTTCCATGGCAGCACCCCTGCCGCCGACTGGACCTCCGTTCTTGCTTGGTAGTGTGCTAACGTGAGCTTGTCTAGTCGATGTCTGGTCGGTGGGTTGCATTCTCGCCGAGCTGCTCGGTGGCCGGCCGTTCTTCAAGGGCCGCGATTACGTAGACCAGCTGAACCAGATCCTCCACATTCTTGGCACACCCAACGAAGAGACTCTGTCGCGCATAGGATCCCCCAGGGCCCAAGAATATGTGCGGAACTTGCCCTTCATGGCCAAGAAGTCTTTTCCTTCGCTGTTCCCAGCTGCTAATCCCGATGCGCTCGACCTTCTGGACCGTATGCTTGCGTTTGACCCGTCGAGGCGCATCAGCGTCGAGTCTGCCCTCGAGCACCCGTATCTGTCCATCTGGCACGACGCCAGCGATGAGCCTGACTGCCCGACCACCTTCAACTTCGACTTCGAGGTTGTAGACGAGGTCGCCGACATGCGGAAGATGATCCTGGACGAGGTGTTTAGGTTCAGGCAGACAGTTCGGATCGGCCATGCTGCCGGAGGACATGGTGCTGGCGGACCCCCTGCTCCAGGCCAGGTGCCCATGCCTTCAGGCGGCGCCGGTCACCAGTGGACTGCTGAGGACCCTCGGCCCCAGGAGTACGCTGGCGGGCTAAACGGCCTTGAGGCTGAGCTGGGCGGCAGATGATGGAGCCATATATCACAGGCAAGAGGACTAACAACCTGCTAGCCCAGTGATAATTTACTCCTCTTTATGCCATTATGTGCTTGGCCAGGGAGAGAAGAATAGGAATGAAAAGAAACACAGGAGTCCAAGCTACTTTGGCGGAATCGGTTGATTAGCTGGGTGCCCGAGACAGCGCAGGGGGTTTATACAACCAGTCTGGTCCCGGTGGCACTCAGGCACGTCTGGCCGGCGGTAGGCCGGCCAGTAACCCCGTCAGCGGAGTGATGGGGTACGATGGATGTAACTGTCAGCAAAATAGGCGGAGACTATGGAAAGCATACCTTAGGCACGTGGGGCAGTGAGCGACTTAGGGAGTTTAAATCTCCCAAAGACTCAAGAAAGGAGGTGTTCGTATTTAGGGGGGGAGATGTCTGTCTACCAGCTGTTTGGATGATTTGAGGACTGGATAAAGCGAAGTTTTTTTCTTCTCTCGTTTCTTCTTATTATGACTCCTGTTTTTTCCTTTTAACATTTCTTTTCTCTTAAAAAAAATCTTCGTACCCCACCCGCGATCACATCACCATAATCGTGAACAACACCCAACACACAGCCCCCTCCCATCTAGTCTACTTGGGCAGTCAGCCAGGTAGAGAGAAATAGGCAAGTAAATTCAAGAAGTATTGTGGGTTTGACGTGGTTTTATGTAGCACGGAGATCGTATCATTTGTGCTCCACTTGCCGTCCCTTTTTCTTCTTCCGTTTCTCGTATTAGCCACGCTCTGCTGGATGGATGAGTGAAGCTTGGAAGTGGGTAGTCCATGGGCTTGAGGGCCTTCAGGGGATGTCATTGCTACTGGCTGTTCTACTCTTGGGTAGATAGGTAAGTTAGGTAGCTAGATATATAGTATTACGGACAGATTTGTCTGTTTATGTGGCACCCGGTGGGAGGCTGCTTGTTGCTTAGGCAGGTGAGTATGTGCAACAACCGTTGCTTGTTGATGAAAGTTTTCTCTCTGTCTGTCTGTCTGTCTGTCTGTGTTCGTGTCTGTGATCACGCGGGCGTTGTATTAGGTGACTACCTGCCTACATATCTAGTGGAAACAGGTGAAACTCCTCACATTACAAAGGATGTTCGTGCTGCTTGGGGAGGATGGAAAGAAGGTTTGTTCATGTCGTGACAGGCCATCGTGGTATGAATTGATGATCTCCCGTGTCCCTTTCCCTTGTTTTGGCTTGATTGGAGTATACAACACAGAGCTTAGACTGGACTAGATGATCTCTCTCTCTCTCTCTCTCTCTCTCTCTCTCTCTGTGTGTGTGTGTGTGTGTGTGTCTATGTGAGCGAAAAGAAAGAGAGAGAGACTGTTCAGGGACAAACGAGGGCGGTGGTGAGAATGGTGTTACTACTTATGTTAATCATGGCTGTTGGTTCCTGCCCCCCCGGGCTCTTGGTCCATTACTGACCCAAAGGCACGAACAGACAAGGTAAGGGATAGACACATAAGGTAAGAATGCGGGTATGTGGGTGTGTGTGTGTAAACACCGACGGGGATTTCTCCCTTCCCTGCCCACCTCCCTACCATGCACAGGATGACCGACGGAGAGACAGACAGAAAAGGCCGCCTACCTACCCCCGTCCATCCGTCCGTCCCCCGCCGTTATACTGTCTGTGCAGGTGTCTGCCGACCCCGGGTGCATCACCAGGAGCAGCATCTACGCCCGTCTTCATCCACACCCGTTTTGTGTGCCTGCCTGGGTCGTGCTCACCCACTCAGCAACAACCGCCGCCACCGCGCACAGCAGAACGGCACGGGGACAGAGAAAAAGAGACAGGAATATTTGCGGCGCAAAGTGACGGAGCCGGACCAACACGCGCAAGTTGCGCCGTAATTAGCGGCGGGAGGCCGAGAGTTCGTATTTTAGGGCAAGTGTTGACGGAGATCTCTGCTTTGTGGGAGCTTGACGGCGAATTAACTGCTGGTTTGGGTTGTTAGTCTCTCTTTCTCTCTCTCACTGCGCGCGCGCGTGTCTGTATGTCGTTGGGGGCGGGCTCAACTTAGTTCTCACTGTCGCACCGACAAGTTCAGACTGACGAGGTTGCTTACCTTGGCGCCGTCCCAATATTGAGCAGAGTGCCACATGGGAACGTCAAGTGCTTGAAGTGCTTGGGTTCCACTGCATTCATTTATTGCACGAGCAATCGAGAGAAGGGAACACGAGTTTTTAAAAGTTATGTTTTCAGTTTTTATTTTTTCCCCCTTTAGGGCGGTGGGACCCTCACCAAGCATGTTCGTCTTCCCATCTTCTATAAATAAAAAAAACTCCCCAAAAAGAAAATCTTCTCCATTAGCTGTCCCCAAAGCGTCGGTCCTTAATGGAGCGAGCGGGTGACATTCATTACCCGAACTCTTTCTGCCAGGCTTTTTTCGTTGAGAAGGAAAATCGTGTCCAAAAGTGAAAGAAAGTTGCTGTCGACTCTTTGCAGACGTCAGACAGTGATGGCTGCTGGGACGGACGGGGTGGGTAAATCCGAGCCAAGCAACCAACAAATGAGCCCCCGGAAAGGAAAAAAAGATCAAGACCAAAAATCGTGATGATGCCCTGTGTTCCCTTTTCTCTTGCCTGCGTCATGACCAAGGGGCTTATGTACTAGGTGTATAATATGTCGCGACTGTGAATGCCTCGAAATGAAGAAATTCGGATCTTGAAATGACGGGAAAATGCGGATATGTGCATATCGCGACGGCGTTTATTCGTCTGAGAGGGCCGGAGCGGCAAGGGCTGGTTGGCGAAAAGCTTGGGGGCTGATGAAACAAGCAGAGAGGATTGTGAGTGGTTGGGTAAAAATACCAAAGAGGGTGTCGTAAAGAGGTAAGGCGGGGTGATGGTGTCGAGGTAACATCAGCCGAGGGCGACCGCATTGGGAAAGAATGCGCCGCGCCGCTCGTGTGCTCCCCAACCCGGCCGCTCGGTCGTCAATCCATCCCAAGATCTAGCGTTGGTCGGTCAACACCAAGACTACACAAATCCTTTCCGTTCCGTCCCACCCAGAAGCACGCCACCGCCATGCCGAAGCCCTCGGCGTGAGCCCGGCTGCTGCACGACAGGCGCTCACTTGGGTCCGTAGAACCAGTAGTAGGTGGTGTACGGCACGCTGTCGACGACGCCAGGGCCGATCTTTGAGCACGCCTCGGCCGCGCCACCCGCCGTCACGACGCGGTACACGGTAGTCAAGCCCTTGTTGAAACCCTTGCCGTTGTCGATGAGCTTCAACCATTGCACGGCGCCAGTGTTCAGAATGCCCTTGTCGGCGGTGGCGGGAGCGTTGAAACCCTCAAGCTTCTTGACACTGGCCTTGAGATTGACCGTGAGAAGCTCGAATGTGGGAGAACCAAACTGGTCAAAGTAGTGGTGGCCCAAGAAACTGGCACGGATGTTTCCGAGAGTCAAGTCGGCCGCTCTCGGGAACGGGCTTGCGGTCGCGCCGTAGCCGGTATTTGGGTTGATGAGGTTGAGCGGGACAGGCTTTCCGTAAAGGAGATTTTTCGGAAAGTCGTTCCAGGTGGCGTTGCTAAGACCCGTTCTGAGCGTCCCAGGAAACAACGACGTGACATCATAGAGAATGGCGAGCGCCCCAATGGCCGATGCTGTAGTAGCTGGCGCGCTGTCCGTGCAGGTGTAGTTCTGGATTCCGTGGCCGATTGCGATCTTCTTCAAGACCAGGCCTGCATCCGGGGCGCTAAGCTGGGTTCCTATACAGGCTCGTGTTAGTAAGAGGCCCTCCGGCGGTATATCGTCCAGCGCCAAGAACCTGGGAGGGCGGATGCCAAAGACTTACCACTTGGGTTGACTGGGAGAGTCGGTGTTGCGCAGGGGACTGCTGGTAGGGCGGATGTCATTGCCACCAGGGCCGCAAAGGCAAATGCGGTTGCGGAAATCATGTTGAGCTTGATAGTGTGTATTGGGTGTTGAGGAGGTTGAGAAGGGCGATTATGCGGCAACTGGATGCTGAAGGTGCCGAAGAAAGCTGAACGGTGAAAAGTTGAAGAGTTGTACAAATTTTTGAAGCTTCCAGAGCGGGTTGGTTGAAGTGAAGAGTGTTCTGAGACACTGGCAAGGCTAGAAAGAAAGAGGCTCGCAAGGGATAGAAGACAAGGCTGATGAGATGATGAACTAAGAGGTCGAGGTGAAGCCGGATGAGAGGGCGTCTTATATCTTGTCCCGACGAAGGCAAAGAGCTCGGGCTCAGGCAAACTCCCGAGTTGAAGTGTTGGTGAGGCTGGGCTAGTGAGTCGTGACAGAGTGACTTCTCGAGAGGCTAGTGTACTTCTCCTGACGCAAGCAAGGTGTATTAGGTCGGCACAGACAATAGCATGGGGATGGAACGAGAGCAAACAACCTGGAAGGCCAGGAGACTGTTGTTTTGTATTCTGCAGGAGTAGAAAAGAAACCCAACACGGAAGAGGCATGCCTTCAACACGACATGGGACTGAAGACCCTGGGACCCAAGCTCCCTAAGGTACATCAAGACCGTACTGCAGAACTTGGACCTGGGCTGGGCATGGCATGGGGGGTGGAGAAGACGGCTGGCGCAAAACGGGCAGGCAATTTTGGGGCGTAGGTACATCCAGAACGTTACCAAAGCGGAAGAGCAGATGAGAGGCAAAGCATGGACAAGGGTGCAGCATGGTACAAGCGGCACAGAGGTACGTACTGAGCGGCTGCCCTGGTGGGATGCATCCAAGGCCCTTGGTCCCCGCCGCCATTGACAGGGGGGCCGCCTTTGCTTGGCTAGCGAGCACCAGGAGGTATTTTTTTTTCATCAAGGCACCTAGTGAAAGCTCAGAGGGTTGCGTCTAAATATTTGCAGGGATCGCGCGGCGATGGTGCACACATTTGGTGGGCGCGCCCACGCACCCACGCAGTTCTTCGGCCGAGCCTTGAGTGTTGCTGTTGCTGGACACTCGAAGTCGATGTCGATGGCTGGGACGGGATCGCGGGGCTCTCAATATTGCAACCTAGGGCACTGTGGCGGATTACTCGGCGGTGTTCTTAGATCGCTTGTTACCACGTTCGCTGAGGCCCTCTTCAACCGTCTGTCGCCATTCCCGTGCCCCAGTGGGCTAAAAGCCACGGGACAGGGCCACTTGCCGTGGTCTCGCATTGTCGTCGCGCGGAGGTGTGGTGCTCAGGCGGAAGACGGAGGGCTTCCGCTCACTAAAACGGCCTCTTTTCACGCGGCATGTAAATTGTACAGTACTGCACAGCACTGGGTCCGTTCCGGCCATGATAATTTTTTTTGGCCTTCGTTATTGCCGCTGTCTTTCCATCTTCGGTCCCAAGTCCAATATTGGCGAACAGAAAATTGGGGCGGTCAACCATGTAAGAATCGGGCTAGGCAGTGTCCCGTTCTGGAGTCCCGTATCAAAGCCCCAGCAATTAAGTGGTCTGTCCTATTTATGGGTTTTGGTTGGGACTTTGGTACGGATTATCTCCGTAGACGCAGTAATTTTGGTCTCTTGTGAGAGGCCGGGCGTGCAAGGCGCTTGGCCTGCAAAACGGGCCTCTCAAGGTTGTTCGAGTCTTATTAGACTCACCGCTGACGCATCAATCGACACGACAAGACACGCTCTTGTGACAGCTGCGGCGGCAAGCCCCATTGGCGTTTGACGGCCGTGTGCAAGTGCAATCCGTCCTGCCGGGTCTGCCGCATCCTCCTGGGGCCGGGCCTCGTTCAGACGTGGCAATTGAGAGTCAAGACGCCTCAAGGGACGAGAGTGAAGCCATGCGATGCCATGCGATGCGCATCCTCCGCGAACGTGGCGGGCCCTGGGCTGGGGCACTCACGCACGGGGAGCCGGGAGCCATCTCGACGCCATTGGGTTCTTTGCGGTGCAAGCTCCGAGGACTCAGTAGAGCCGGCGAGCGGGGCGAGGCCGTGGCCAATGCGGGTGAGTTGCGTGGATGTGGCGACCGAGACATTGCCTCGAGGACGGCATCCTCACAGTGCAGAAGATACGTGTAGCAAGCAGCGCACGCTCAGCCAGCTGACGAGGGGTTTAGACCTAGGCATTCACTAGCCGTATTCCTGTAGGCTGCACTACAAGTAAATACATACAGCACGGGGCATGGGTGATGCCGTGATGTACTCCGTAGCCCGTGATCCATAGCCGTACGGATTAGTAGCGAGCCGTGGCATTGGAGACTCGGATATCTGAGCTTCGCTGTGCCTGCCGTCCGGGAAAGAGACGGGTTAGCGGCTGACCTGACCTGACCCAGCGGCCGCGCGGGTACCCCGTCGCCTTGCCAGTTGCCACGGCCGGGGGCCGCTGCAGACCCAGATTGTCAATCAGATTTGTCAATGGCTCAATGTCCTCCCAGCGGCCAAGGTGAGCTCGGTCAGACCGTCCATCGTCCATCCGCTGCCCGCTCATCATGGCTCCAGGTTGGCGGTCGGCTGGTCGCATTCATGGGCAGCGATTGTATCGAAAACTGCGCGGCTATTCATCAGTCTTGGGCCGATTTTCCTGCAACTCTCAGTGGCCAGGAGGCCGACCAGCAACGGCCTCAGGTCGCTTCGGGTAAGGTCCCATCGCCGTTCCCGCTTGAGCCCTGGCCTTGGCCCTAGGGCCGACCGCTAGCGATACGGATACAACAATCCTGGCCCACTGGGGCGGCGGCCTTGGGGAGGGCAGGACGGGGATCGCGGGTGCTTGGGCGAGTGCGACGAGACCGGAGATGGGAGACACCGCTGGTGAGTGGCTGGATAGCCGGCCTTCCGTCCTAATTTTGGACGGCGCAGCATCCGCTACCGAACTGACAAAAAGTTCTATGGAGCTTTCAGCTTCGGACGGATTTGTCGAGCTTTGCCATTGTCCAGACTCAGACTCCAGACTCCAGACTTTAGCCCGGGGCACGGAAGAGTTGTGCAGCCGCGTGTGCGCTCGTGACCTCTCCCCGCTTCGATGTCGTCTCCTGGGATCTTTCCTAGGAAGGTACTCCGTAAGGTGGTTGATCATCTCGCACTCCAAACGGAGCATCCTCGAAACGACAGGAACGCTGATGAGCTGCGCCGATGCCTTAGCTACGGTAACTGCTTGTGGCAGGCACTTGAGGGCCCGAGAATCGAGATGGTGTGTCTGTGGTCTCTGTGGCCAGGGTCCATGCTCTGATCTTCTCTTTCGTATCTGAACCGTCGTCTGGACTCTGGGAAATGTTTCGTTTCCTCGCTCCTGCCTGCGTGCCCCCCCACCCCCTCCGTCGCATCAGGTGCAAGCCGCGGCAGGTGCAAGTCGCGTTCAGATGCGCACCTGTGGACACCATGCCCCGTGCTGGCTCTCCCGTCAAGGTTCTTTTTTCTCTTTCGGCAAGGGCTGGTCGTCGCCCGGTTTGGCTAAGCTTTGGTCTGTGCTGCTGACTGAACCGCACCTTCTCCACGCTCGGCCGCCCCCTTGCGAAAGTGAACAGAAGCGACCCGACGCGACCGTGGGGAAGGAGAAGGAGCCCCCCAATCTATTGAAGACAGCGCTGGCAGTGAGCTTGTCCTTTGAAACATGTCGCCCCGAATGAACAGCCGCCTCCGTGTCAGTGTCGCAGAGTTTGTGCTTCCATCTGTCCATGACAACTAGAGCTAAGATGCGGAGCACGCATACCTGGCTATGATCCTCTAGGCAGGTACAGTACGACGGCAACAGTACTGTACTGCAGTCCACTTCCCCCCCGGATTTGCAGATTTGCGGATTTGCACACGGCATCTCATGGCACGGCCCGGATCAGGAGGTCGAGCTCAGACCAGTTCGCGGGTCTCTGGTGCTTCTCCTGCATTCTACCTGTGTAGTCGTGTTTGATGTTCTGCAAGTCCGCCACTTTTTCTCGGATTGCCTATCGTCGCCTCAGCCCGGCCGTGGTCATGTCTTTCGAGGACTCAGATGAGCACTACCGACGGGAACTGCCCATGTGATGGGTTCCCGGCAAGAGCTATCACCAACAAGACGTCTGTGTCTCGAGGTTCAGGGGCTCTGCAAGCTTACGCTCCGCCGACTCTGGGGAGCCTCGGGACTGGTGCCGACCGCAAAGCCGTCTCCCGTCACATCCAGAGATCAACTGACATATCCGCACGCCTTCAGTTGGTTTTGGTACCGAAATACCAAGCATCAAATAGGCGAGTGCCCACCTCGGCGGCTTGTCATGTGAAGCGACGAGGACTGCTGAGGTCGAAAGTCTTGGGTAGTCTATAGTCTCTACACATTAACTATGCTATGATCACAAATTAGACTAAATATAGGTGAGGTTCAATGGCGGGCTGGTTTACTAGAGCTTTATGAGATATTTGTTCCTAATTTGGGCATACGTTTCTGGAATTCGGCATGCTGGGCCTTTGTGTCTGTCTGTTTCTGTCATGAAGAGCAAGCCAAAATGGCAATGCCACCGCGTATGTTGCGGCACCTGCCACACAGACATTCCATGGATGGTTGAGCCTGCTGCCCCAGGAGCCTTCCAGCGAGGTACCTCCTCCTTTTTGCGGCAGCTCCAGAAGCCCCCACTCTGTAGAGTTCTGGAGCTGCCCGCATCGGGGCAGGCAGGTGTATGAAGCTTACATTCCACCGCACCTTCCATAGGGTGCAGTGCCTTAGCTCACCACAGAGCTTCGACGTCTGCAAGGGGCCTCTCAACAGTCCTGTCAGCGTCTCGACTGAAATTGGCTTTTCCAGACCTTGAACTGCACAATCGTCAAAGAAAGCTCGGTTGGAAGCCCGTGCGACACCGTCGGGTAGCAGCGCCCTGGCCCTGAGAGCTTAAAGCAGTCCGATGTTTTCCAGGCAAGCTGCCAATTGATCAACAGATGAAACCGGGATTTGCCGCCCCTGCCCATCAACTAATTGCTTGCCCTCGGATTCCTGGCCCAATCACTGCCTGCGATGGCGCTTTTCCTACTGTAGGGCTGCGGAGGCCAGGTGGCTGTTGGTAGCAGCCCAATTGAGGCCCCTTAAAAATGCCCGATGCTCGGAAAGGCTGGCCGAATGTTTCGTCGATCAAGCAGAATGCAGAGTGCAGAATGCATCCAGATGGAAGACGCCCAACGAATCACAGCAACCGATGTCTCTCAACATTTCGCAAAGTCTGGGGGGGAAACTCAATGTCGTCTGCTTTGAGTAGAGAGCAACTACTATTAGTGGCACTCGGAGGCGCATTGCCTCTCATCGCTATCAAGTTGAGCCTCTTGTTATCTAATAGCAGAAGTATTCTGCGAAGGTGCAAAATACATTACTAACCAGCTGTTTAGGTACAGACAGCATTGTGAATGGGTGTACATACCTATCCAAGTGAAGTGGTGTAGTACATGCATTCATTTTCATTCCTGTGCCCCACCTCCTTGGGGCCCAGACTTGCGGCAAAATCTCAACACCTCGGGAACCCGTGCCTGAATGCTGCCGAGAGAAGCACCCCTACTGCTTCAGACGGGCTCGAGAACAACACCATGACATGCATCATGACAACTCCCCATTGGTAGTCGCCTCGTACAAGCTCCCTGCAAACAGTTTCTTATGCTTATACTTGGTGCAAACAGAATACCTACCAGACTATGATATACCAACACTGAATGACATCAGCCATTTTGGCTTTTGGTTTCAGGTCAGAAGCCGGCATGTTAGTACGTTTGACACCCCTGGCTAGCCCTGGAAAACCCAGCGCACTGGCCGTGGAAACTCTCCGATGGTATCTCTGTAGTAGTCTAGAACGTCGTCTGCGAAAGGCGTCTGCGAAAGGAAGGGATCATCACAGTCATCTTGATGGCTACCCCCCGTCTTGTCTCGGCATGGTGAGGCACGATGAGGTAAAGTTGGTTGTTCAACTGTCGACGATATCAAACTGCAACGCCAACAAGAACAAGTGCGCGTGTTCCTCGCAGTAAACCTCCAGCTCAATGCCGGTTGCACGAAGGATCACGCCAGTGCTTTGTGCCCCAGCAAGCCAAAGCAGAAAAGGCGAAATACGCGAGGCAACCATTCTAACCCGAGGCAGCAAACAAGGTTGTATTGGGACCCCAACTGGAGGTGTTTAGGGCTTACTTAGCACCGAGCTAAGAATCTGCGACACTGTCTCTTGCTGGTTAGGTAACTAGCTTCCTCTGCCTCCTGAACATACTGCTACCAACAGTTCAAAGAGTCTCCTTGAACCTGCAGTTCTAGTTCTGCGCAAACAAGTCTGGGCGGGAACCTCTGGTCCCGCGTTGATGTCAGTCTTCACCTTGAACCTTCGTTACTGAGTCCCGTTTGGGTTGATCCTGGCCGGCTTCCGCATGCGACCCGGCCGGCCTCGTGGACTGCGCCGCAGCTTTGCGGACAAGTGCGAGTTAAGTTAACCTGGCTGGTGCGAGCTGGGAGTTAGGTGCAGACGCGGAGAGTTGCCCAATAAAGGCAGTTTATAGTTCCGAGCACGTCGGCAGCATGGAGTTCCACGTTCGCATATCCGTCTCGCCTTTCAACCTCGCCTCCTTCTTTGGGCACCCTTCTTTGGGCATCTCGCATCACCTCGCGTGCAAGCTCGTGGTTTGCGGCTCACTACCTCGTCGTCTGCCTGCCGCACTGGACAAGGAGGGAGGGCTCGTTCGCTCTCTCCATGAGCTCATCTCGTTAAAGCCAAGTCGTGGTAACGGAACGGACATCAACGTTGTAACGCACAGGCGTGCACAACGCTAGCAGCCGGGCTAACGTATTTTCGCGCAGCAGTGCAACCTGCACGCTATGGTCTATTCGTACTGTACATTCTACATACATACAACTCTGCAAAGTGGCCATACGGAGCATGTACGAAGTAAGAAGGTATGGTCAGCATCTCGAAAAGGTCCGGTCGTTACGTACATACAGAGGCAGCAAGCAGCAAGCAGTCGGGCATTCCCAGTCCCGTTCCCACAATTCAGTCACGATGGATCGATGGTCCGCCGAAGAGACTCTTGTCAGGGTCACAGCTCAGGCATCTCGACTCAAATCTCCACACATCCATGCAGCTGCTAACGCACCGTATCAATATTTCAATCTCTGCGTGGCGTCTTAATGGCCGCACATATTGCCCCGGCGATCTGGTGGCGTAAGGCATGGCCAATCGAGGGCATCGAGTATGCGCTGCCGGCGCTTAGAAGCGCGTCAGCTGCATTACTTAGTGCCGGACCTTCCCTTTCTCGTCGACAACAGCTCTTTCAAGCGATCCAAGCGCAAGAAACAGCCGAGAGAGGGCCACACTACATATCTCCATCCCGCACGAGTACGACAGACTCGGAGCCGGCCAGAGCCCAAGACAAGACAAGACTAGACCAGACAGAGGACTGAAGTGGCCGTCTTGTCAATTATTTGCCGAACAGCCGCGAAAGGCCTCACTAAAAGCTGCCTGCAGAACGGATAGTTTGGTCGCCGCTGCAATGGACTTTGATCCTGGCCTGGCTTGGCCTGGCGGGGAAACTAGCGATAGAGCTACACAACAGCAACGACACTGCTACCACCCAGCTCTGGCTGCACCATTATTCCCCATCTGGGTTGGAATCATCAGACCTTTGCCGATTCGAGGCGTATGGCCAGCCGCGGATACGTCTGTTGGCCGCGGCTTACAGAGCAGCCGCAGCATTAGCCGACCCCCCATCAAGTGTGCTTCCCAACCTCGTCCAAAGGATTGCGTGTGTGTATATGCCACATGGAGATGGGGTAGATGCTAAAGTTCCGCCGAGGCCTCTGCCAACTCTTCGCTCTGTGGACGGGCTCGAGAGTCGAGACCGGATGGGATACGTCTTGTGCAATACAACTTTGCGTGCGGATACAACCATGCCGACATTGTCACGGCGGCATCTGTATAGTAAAGCCGGCAGTAGGTGGGAGCGAAGCTCCCCCAGGTGTAAGCAAAAAGCAAAGAAGGTGTGCGTCACAACAGCCTGTCCACCCACTCACATGACGTCTGGCCTCTGCGGCGGAGACCGCATTTCGGACGCCGCTGGCAGCAGCTCAGACGGCTGCAAAAATGACAGCCATCAACCCCGGGGAGAGAGAGCTGACAGATCACGATAGCCCGGAGGGCAGCAGCGGCTGATTGACTCTCTCTCTGTCTCACCGGTTCGACGTCGATCCTGATGACCCGACAGTCTGGAAACTACTCCGGCGCTGCCTTGCCGAAGGAGTAAAGCCAAACTCCCTCGCCGTGCCGCTGACGATCCAAAACGACGGGTGCGCTGCTTGCTTGGAGGATCATTCCTTCCCATTCACCTTGCTTTGGCTTGCGAGATTGCTTGCATGCTCGGGTGAGCTGGCATGTCGATTAAGGTTCTTTGCCATTTTTTCGCAGGAGACTGATATTTTGACGAGTCATAGAGGCAGGAAGGCGGAGCAGCGGGTTGGCAAACCTGTGGCTTCGAGATGCTTCTCTCTTTCTCTTTCCGTATCTCTATCTCTATTCCCTGCCTATAGATTGTCTGCACTCTGCAGAGCGGACAGGAGCGCGCTTAACCGTGGCCTAACTGCGTCGATTGTAGTCTCGCTGCCCGGCGGCTGAGAGACGGTTCCTTCCCGACCCGAGCTTGTGGGATCTTGGAATCAGCACAGGGCGTGGCGACTGAGAAGATGATATGTGGCTGGGTTTTTCTTTTCTTCGTCTCTGCTGTCTGAGCCGGGGCGAGAAAAGCAGACAAGTAGGCAAACACGAAGCAGGCAAACACGAAGCAGGCAAACACGAAGCAGGCAAACACGAAGCAGGCAAGGCAGTGGCCATCGTGTTTCATCTTTTCAGTTGTTTGCGCTCATCTTGAGCGAGCGATATGGTTGTCCCGTGGAGGTACTGAGCGAGGCCACTCGAGCCGGCCAAGTGCGAGGCACACTCCGGTCTTGTCTTCCCGTGTGCAGAAGGAAGACCTCTGTGCCTTCTTCCTGCTTTGTGGGTAAGGTACTAGTCGCAGCCTTTGCACTCTTGTTGTGTCTTGTGGGAGTGCCCGTCATCGTGGTTTCTTCGTCGCCGCAGCTAGTGCGAGGCGGATCAAAGTTGGTCACGTCCTCGGGTCCCTGTGCAGCGAGGCCGCTGTTTGCTTTTGTCTGAAACTGCTGCTGCTGCCAATGTACAGATTTTCCGGTGAATTTGGTTCTCGCCGAGCTGCCAAAGCAAACAGGGAGCCAAGGCGCACCTGTTTCTTTCGCCGTTTTCTGCCTTGGAGCGAGGCCTTTGTGCGTCGTCCGCGCTTAATCGCTCGGCCAAGTCGGCTAGGCCCGCTTGTGGTTGGCCGTGGGCGTCTGCACTTCCAACACCCAGAAGCGCCCAGCTGCCAAACCACGCTGCGCGGATGCCATGCCGTTAGTGCCAGCGGAGCGTCGCCGTGGTCTAGTACCCTATGTCACCAACGCCGGGCCTGGCAGATGCACTTGCGCGCCAGAAGAGAGGATGATCTGCGCTGTTGGCCTGCTTATGCGTCCTAAAGTACATCGGACGGTGTGAGAGCAAAACAGTGCTGGCTGTGGGCTGCTGTTCTGTTCCGCTTAGCCCTTCACTCACTCACGACGGCGTGTGGCGGCTACTGCTGCTAGTCGGTGCCCCGCGGGTCTTGCCATCCACCCATCTAGTGATGGCAGCGGCATCTGGCTGCCAGTGCCTGCTGGGATCATCCTCCGCCAACACGATAGTGGTGTCGACTTGGATATGGCTGGCAGCCTGCTGGGAAGGCAAGCGGTGTAGTTCTTCTGAATGAAGGTGTCATCGATTACAAATAAGCGCGTCTAGACCTCACACTATTAGACGCCCCAGCGGCGATGGCGGGGCTGAGGTTGCGGGGCCCCATCATCCCAATGCTCATCGCCGGGAAGCCGGCAGAGTCAGACGATCCCCGGCGCCTGCTTCCTTCGTTTAGTAACGCGGAGCGGCGGGTTTCGGGGCGGCCGAGATCAGACCAGTGTGTCGAGTCCAAGTCAAGTTGGGCACATCTCTATTGCCTACATTATTGGATGAACCACTGGCAGCAGACCTGTTGTCGATGGAACCCGAGCTCGGCGACCTGCCTACCTACCTACCTACCTACCTAGGTACCTAGAGTTACCCGGGTTGATGTTCCCACTGCTCGGTGGCCTGCTGCCTGACCACGCCCCTGGCTGGCTGGGCGTCTCGTCTGTATGTTCAGAACTTTGTCCATCGAGCGCCGCAGGGGGGCGAAGCGGTTAATTCCGAGCCGGATTTCCGTTTCCGTTTTGGCTTTGTGGGTGGGTGTATACTAGAATTGTCAAGTCGAGTCGGTGCGTTGTAGTTACCGCCGAGACGCACACACTCACACTCACCCTCGCACTCACACGCAGAGGGGAGGGAGATACAGAGAACCCCAGACGTTGGCGCAAACACCACATACACACTGGAAGCAGATACAGGGAGAGTGGTCCCGTGTGTGTATGTGTGTGTTTGTTTTCTCGTGATATATATGTATGTATCTACAAGCCGGTACCTACCTACCTACCTACTTGGCTTTGGTGTCACGCAATACTGCTGCCGGGGGCCAAGCAGAACAGACAATAAACCAACAGAAGATGCCTACCTACCTGAATCTAGTGTGTCGCGCAATACTTCTGCCGGGGGCTAAGCAGAGCAAACAATAAAAGGAACAGAATGAGATGTAAGCGACGCATTCCGCACATGCAAGGCTCGTTGTGTGTATATGGATGCGTATGTGTATAGGTGTGGGTGTGTATATTAGCGCAGAGTGTGTACGTACGACGTGTCCTGTGTGTATTTGCCGATCTACATGGTCTATGCAGGCAGGTATGTGGTGGGACGGGACGGGATGGGATGGGATGGGATTCCAGGTGGACTCCAAGCAATACAATACCCACTACCTATGCACGTTGTTCAACTCATATGCATGGAGCAAGTAGTACGCGGGCTTGGAAACTTGAGCAGCAGCAGCGATACATGGTAGCGGAGGGCATCTGCGGGCATGTCATTGGACTACCTAGCTAGACGAGTTGGCGGCAGCTGGCTCTGTCTGCCTGTCTGTGTAACCGCAGCAGTCTAGTCAAATGTGGTTCAGTAGGCGGCCGGCAGGTAGTTTGTGTCTGCTCCGAGGGGAATATTGTCTACCTACCATACCTACCATACCTTGCATGCATGTATACATCCATCTTTGTTTGGGAGTGTAGTGTCGTGCAGTGCTTATGCGTTCGGCGTTGTTAGTCGTGGTGGCGGCTGCAACGTCTTGATACATGCTAAAACCCGGTCTGCGGCTGCATGCTAGCCGCTTTGCTGCTGGTGCTGGTGCTGGTGCTACTGCTTGTCGGTCCCATGTGTCTATTTGCCTGCGTGGGTGCTGACTGGGTATTTGTGAAGTGTGCTGTGCTGTGCTGTGCTTGAAGGATGGCCGTCGTGGAGGGCCGGCGAGGCGAGAGAGGTGAGTGACTGAGTGGCGACATCCGCGCGTGTCTGTCTGCTCGACGAGAGACACGGGATGTTGGGACTGTGTTGTGTCTAGGGCCCGGTACATCAGGGATCCGGCTGTTTTCTCGGGGGCGGTGGGTGGCAGATGATGGATGGTAAAGTCCTTGCCAGACTACACATTCCAGAGGAGGCGAGACTTGGGGGAGTCTGGCCTGCCCGTCTCTCGTTCATATTTGTCTCCTATGGTCTGAGACTCCTTTCCTGCTTCAGCTGTGGCAGCAGAATCGGAGAAGCTACCGCCGTCTTGGTTCTTCGTCTTGGTTCTTCGTCTCGGTTCTTCGTCTCGGTTCTTCCTTCGTCTCGGTTCTTCCTTCGTCTCGGTTCTTCCTTCGTCTCGGTTCTCTCGTTGACCTCATCTCTTCTTGGAGTCTTCGAAGCGGCACGATACGGCCATATACAGCGACTCATATGGCACAGAAGAGAGGGCCACGACTACTCTTGATGTCTTTCTTGGTTACTACTGTTATTACCACCGTCAGTATCCTGGCCATCTAGGCCTAGCTCACAGTTCAGTAAAATGTCCGGTTCGGGTTGGACAACACTCGAGGGTGGGCTGGGAGAGTAAATGACGGACGAGGCTCAATGACAGCCAGAGTACAGGAGAATAGAAATGAGGGGACGACCGTAAGATACGTCCCTAATTTATATGCTTTCATGCTAGCACGTTTCTGATATCGCTGGTGTTTTTAGACCACCGGAGGCTCTTCTACCGCTGTATGCTCACAATTTCGTCAGATACGACGAGCCTTGAAGCGGCCAGTACACCTACCCGTCACGCCGCCTGCAGGTAGTTGAGACGTTAGGCGCCGTTATTTTGCTCGCAACAGACAAAACAGGCACTTCACCCAAGACTTGAGCTACGGAGTTATGCTTGGAGGTAAAACAGCCCGTTCTGTTCAAATCTTGAGCTCCCACTTTTGGAGACAACTTGGAAAAAAGGATAGACGCAAGTTTCTGGAGACCATTGCTTTCTAAATTGGGGAAAAACGGCAGGCGGTGTTAACCGTATGGACTACGTCTAAGATGTCTAGCTGGCTCTGGATAAACTTGTCTTGTGGATCTTGCCATTGCCGTCCGTCCATTGGCAAGGGAGTTGGGATTTACGGAATGTCAAGGCCAAAACCCTGGTTTCTGGGAGTAACTCTCGAGTTCTGTTAGAACCGCCTGTACTGGTACGAAATTCAGAGTGACGGTTTGGAACCCCTGGAATTGTTGCTATGCTGGTAACAGCTAGTCCCGGAGGATACACGAATTTGTCTAGTATACCCTACTAGAGAAATGAAGAATATTGAAGGTTTGCTGTAAACTTTCTGCCATAAACTTGCTACAAGAGATGCTTATGTTCCTTCGACCTAGATGTCATCTTACCTAGATACTCTGAGCGGTGGGAGCCGTTTGTCGCAGCAACAGTTCTGTTGTTGACAAAAAGGGGTAAACAGAGCAAGACTCCAACCCCTAACCCTGAGCCTCGGCACCTCGGTGCCTCGGTTTACTGATATTGCGCAGCGGCACAGTGGGGGTGAGGGGGCGGCTTATCGGCGTTTCGTATCGAGCCAACACTCGACACTCGACATCCACAAACCCACCGCTCTCCTCTCTTATTCCTGCGCATCCACTGCTGAGGAGAAGCGGGCAAGACGGAAGAAGAAAAAGAAGCCCGAGAATAGAAGAAAACATTCGTCAACCGCGTCAGCATACTACTGATCGATCCTAATTAGACACGATGCCTATTTCGGGGCTGGCGGGCAGCGCGTCGCTCGCTTCAAAGTGCGGCAGCACGCTCTTCTGCCTCGGCCGATCGCTGCCTCTGTGGGTCGTTGCCGTAGCCGGTTTGGTCTTGTTCGCCGTGCGCTCTTTCCTCGTTTCTGCAGTTGTACCTGCACCACCTGCACCACCTGCAGCTTCGTCTCCAATTCCATCGTCGGCATCGGCGACTGGCAAACGCCGCCGCCTGTCGCCCCCGCCGCCGTCTCCCCCTTCGTCGCCGCCGAAGCAGCCCAATCCCTGACTTGGCGATTCGTGCGTCGCGTCGAGTAGACACATAAACACCTCCGGCCGCGTTCTTTCCCCCTCCTGCCCGTTCTTCGCGTGCTGCCGTTCCGTGTCCCCCCCCCCCCCCAATTCCCTCTGTGACTTCCTGTTCCTGGCCTCGCGCGCCGTCGTGGGTCAAGATGGCGTCGGTCGGCACCCTCTCCCTCTTCTACCCCGTCTTCTTGCCTGCCAGCGTGGCCGCTCTCGTCTATGCTGGTCACCGCGCCTCGTACGTCAACTGGCGCATTTGGCTGTACAACTTCCTGACAGGCCCGGGCCGGACGAGCCGCATCCTGCTGCTTTTCTTTCTGGTCTTGAACTGGAAGAGCCTCCCGCTCGCCTGGACCGTGAGTTTTCTTCTCTCTAAAGTGGCGCGCCTTAGGCTTGTCTTGCTTATACGTCTCTGCCCGTCTCCAGGTTCGCGTGTTCCATGCCTTTCTATACCATGTGCTACGCCGGCCCAAGGTGCTACCGCCGCGGGCTCTCTTCCACTTCTCCATCTCGTCGAGCCGCACGTCGCTGCTCGAGACCGACTACAACATGCACAAGAGCAACTCGACCTACTTTGCGGACCTGGACGTGAGCAGGTCGCACTTGGTGACGCACCTGCTCGGGCCGGCCATGCCGGCGGTCGGCGACAATGCGCGCAATAAGCTGGTGCTCGACAAGGACGGCAACCTGGTAAAGGGCGGGTTCGGCATCGGGCTGGGCGCCGTCTTCTGCAGCTTCAGGCGCGAGATTGCGCCCTTTGAGCGGTACGAGATGTGGTCGCGCATCCTGTCGTGGGACCGCAAGTGGCTGTACATTGTTACGCACTTTGTGGCCAAGGGCAAGGTGCGGCCTACGGGCTGGGACGACCGCCGCATGGGGCCGACGCGCATGCGCGCAGTCGACGGCGGCGACTGGACTAAGCACGTCTTTGCCACCGCCATCACAAAGTACGTCTTCAAGCTCGGCCGCTTCACCGTGCACCCGGCCATTGTCATCGAGGCCAACGGGCTCCTGCCCGCGCGGCCGGGCGGCTGGCGCAGCGGCGACGACGGCACGGGCACCCCCGAGGAGCTGGGCGAGCTGGGCGGCTCGGCCGAGGACAGCGAGTGGGACTGGCGGCACGTCGAGCAGGAGCGGCGCAAGGGGCTCGAGTATGCTAACCACTTTACGGCGCTCGACGGGACCAATGCCTTGTTTGACGGCGGCGAAGACGGAGCGATTGGTAGTTTCCCCCTGGGCTGATGTGGCTGTTACATTGTTGTCTAGACTAGAAGGAAGATGGAGTTTAGGAAAGTGCTGTTTACGGTAGAGCAAGCAATTACGGATAGAGATGCATGGACGGTAGCGCCTGTCTTGATAGATAGAAGGATGTAGACTAAAATCCGAGCCTTGAGGATGGTTTTGGAGATGTATGTTAAGGGCCTCTGGAGCATGTAATTCCTTGACTTCTGCAATTCCCACCAGCCCCCACACTGTGCATAAATTCGCTCTACTACATAGTATGTAGCTGCGCCATTCCATCTCAAGCGACACAGAGTAGTGGATCGCGCCCTTGGTTCTTGATTCAGCCCTGTGTTAATGTCATGCAGCCGAGGCCAGTTTCGGACTCGCCGCAGTAACCTCGGCAAATCTGGGCGCAGAAAGAACCTAACCCACTGGCCCCTGCCGCGAACGAGCGCGCCGCGCATCACCGATTGAACGTTAGATGCATGCTAATGATGCCATGCAACCTTGAACTGTTTAGGCCCATCCCGTCTTACGCATCCTATCCCGCTAGCCCGGTACTTTTTTTTTTTTTAACCTTGCTAAGATTCGGCACCAACGCTGGCGGAAACTTTTTACGGGCAGCGGGGTCCGCACGCACCACATATAGTAGATTGTTTCGGCGCCATGGCCGTACGAGATGGAGCAGAGGCGCAAGCGCGGAAGCAGAGCCTGGAAGCGGCGGCGGAGCTCGCGCACTTTGACGCCATCCCGTGGGTGCGAAAGCAAATCGTCGACGCCGTGGCCCGCGACAGCAGTGTCGTTGTCGAGCAGTCGTACAGCCGCGTGCTCAAGCCCCGCGGCGAGGACGCCCTCGTCTCGCGCACCCTCAACCGGCCTGACGCTATTGCTGGCTTCATCACCCTCTACACGCCCCCACCATCACCATCACCATCACCATCACCATCACCATCACCAACATCAGCCCCACAACCCCCACCGCCCCTCGTCCGCGAAATCACCGCCTACCTCACCCTCGGCGCCTCCGTCAACGGCTGGGCCGGCATCTGCCACGGCGGCATCGTCATGACGGTGCTTGACGAGGTCATGGGCCAGCTGCCCGCCGTCAACAGGCTGCGCGGCGCCATGGTTCCGGGCTTACCCCTCATGACCGCCTACCTCAACACGCGCTTCCTGGCCCCGCTGCGCACGGGGACTACCGTCGTTGTGACCGCGCGGCTAATTCGTGTTGACGGCAGGAAGCATTTCATGGAGGCGGGGATTTGCGATGAGAGGGGGGAGGTGCTTGCCGAGGCGGATGCGTTGTTTGTGGTGTTGCGGGCGCGGTTGTGATGAATTTTTTTGTTTCTTGTTCTTGTTTGGGGGTTTCTTTGGGGTGGTTTGTGGCGGTGCATTGAACTGGTTTAATGGTTTGTTGTGTCATTGTTTAGACCAAAGTGTGTACAGGGATGGATGCTAGAAAGATGGGCACGGGCTAATTACAGGCAATCAAGTCGGTGGCAACACTGGCTAATCCTTTTTTTATTTCCTTTTAATTGGGCTTCTTCTTACATTTCTCCATGCCCGCCAGTCTCGGAGGCCCACGTCCAAGAAACAAGCACGCGGCAGAGAAGGAGGGAGAGGTTCGCACGGGCAGCCATGTCAAATGAACAGAGTTCGTATTTTCACAAGTCGCAACGTCGACCAATATCTTGCGTGGAATGCTCCCCTCAAAACTTAATGACCACCTTGCCCACGTGCTTCCCGGCACTCATGTAGGCGAATGCCTTCTCAGTCTCGTCAAAGCTAAAGACGCGGTCGACCAGCGGCTCGAGCCGCACCTGTTTGTCCTCGAAGAACCGGTTGAGCTCTTCGAAGTCGCGCTTGCTGCCACCGTCGATACCCCTATCGTCAGATGGCGATATTAGTTTGAATTAGTTCCAGTTCACACAGGCGTCGGCAGCAAGACAGCCAGACAGAAACGGAAAAAACCCACGAAATATGCCCCCCCTTGGCAATCAACCCCAGAATCTCCGACGGGCGCCAGTCGCCGTCGGGCCCGCTGAGGAAGCCAACGACGGCGACGGTGCCGCGGCGGCGCAGCGACGCAATGTCGGCCGGGACCGACGCCGGCCCGTCCGTGTTGACTACGACGTCGACGCCTAAACCGCCCGTGAGCGCCGCCCCGCCGCCGCCTGGTCTTGTCCGGGGGTGGCGCCGTAGTTGTACCCCAGCACAGCGCCCGGTGCGCCCAGCTTCTGGACTGCTGCTAGCTTGGCGTCCGACGACGACGTGATGATGGGCCGCACCCCGGAGGCGAGTGCCACCAGCAGCCCGAACATGCTGACGCCGCCGGTGCCTATTTGCGTTGGTTACTGTGGGATCCAGACTTGACGGGCCGACAGCAAAGGAACCTCACCCTTTAGCAGCACGGCCTTGTCCTTGCCCTTGCCCAGCGAGTCGGCAACGACCGCTTTGAGCGCATTCCACGCCGTCACGCCCGCACACGTCATGGTTGCGCCCTGGATGAACAATGCACAGGCAACGCACTTGTCAGTAAAGTAACGAGACTCTGCTCTGCTTTGTTTGTTTTTAGGGTTGTCTGTCCTTGTCACTTCACTACACTTTTCAAAAATGTAACCAAAGCAAGGAAAGGGGAAAATAGTGAAAGAGAGACATGGAAAGAGAAGAAGAAAGAAAAGAAGAAAGAGAAGAAGAAAGAGAAGAAGAAAGAGAAGAAGAAAGAGAAGAAGAAAGAGAGAGAAAAAGAAAGAGAAGAAAGAAATAGATGAACCTCCTCCCAGCTCAGATGCCGGGGCAGGTGCACCAGCTGCTCGGCCGCAAACACGGCGTACTCGCGCAGGACACCATCAACGTCGCCGCCCAGCACCGTATGAAAGACATTGTATTCATCGCCCGTCAGCGAGTACCGCGCCAGGGTAGGCGCCACGCGATCACCGGCCGCGAAGCCCGTCACGGCGGCGCCGACGGCCACGACCTCGGCCGAGCTGCGAAGGGGATTAGTCACCGTTGTCAGCCAGATGTGTCTCCCCTCATCATATAGGATTGTGACATGAATGCTGGATAGGGACGAATTACCAGTCCGACGCCGGGACGCCGCGCTCGAGCGCGGAGATCGGGTACCGGCCGTTGAGCATAGCCACGTCGCGGAAGTTGAGCGACGCGGCGCGCACGCGCACCAGCACGTCACCCGGCCCGACCTGGCCCAGCGTCTCCGTCACCAGCTCGACGCCCAGCGGTGTCTCGGCGGTACCTACGCCCCGGGCCCGCCGCGCCGCGCGGTATATCGTGGGGATGGCAGACATTCTGCTGTTGCTGTTGCTGTTGCTGGCGGTGGACTGATAATTAGAAGGAAGAGATGATTATTGGAGATTCAGCTCTGCCTCTTCTCAGTTTGCCATCACCGGCCTGTTGATATTTGATGAAGGAGATCAGCTTCTCAGCAAGTGAGAAAGTCTGGCCATTATCTCATAGACTGAGAGTGGAGCGAAACGAGGCCGTATTTATCTCTTGCCCTGGCCTCGGACTCTCGCAGCGTGCCCGCCCTCATGGCCAGATCTAGCATGGGCACTCGCTTGGTAATACGTTGTTGTTAACCGCGCGGATTGCGACATTGACAGCGCGGCTCTTATGTCCCGTCTCGATGCTAGAGACCCCGGCGTGGGCGGACTGGCGGACTTCCGCAGGAACTTATTTGGCCAATCAGTCTGGGGGTCAACTCCGCATCTCCGACGCTCAAGATCGGTTGCGTTCACTTCTTCCCTGTCGTCAGCTCCGCATTTCCGACACTCAGAGTCGTTTGTTGTTCGCACGGCCTCGCTGAGCACCGGCATGTATTCTTTCTCGGTAGCATCTGCAGCAGGTCGAACCACGCGGCCCGCTCCGGGATCGGGTTGAGAGAAGCCCACGAAAAGCTCGTCGCCATGTACGAGGACGGCGTCTGACTCTGTGGCGTCATTGTACCGCTTCAAGTTCCGACTCCCGGATGTGCGGAGAGGTCGAGGCTTCCAACACATTGATTGGTTCTACACCAAAAGCATCAGACCCAATGATTAACAATCTCGTGTGACGGCAGTGGTAGGACCTACATTTTGCGCACGCTTTGTCGTGGCTCCTCCTAGCATATTCCAAAAGCACCAAATACAACCGATGCCGGGCTTGTCCCTGCCCCGATGGCCGTTTACATTTCTTCTTTTGCAATATATTCGCAGACTATTTCGTCGTCAAGCCCCAACCGAAGCATAGAACTCCATGCCCAGGTCCTTGCATCGTGAGTGTGCTCCTAGCGAGAAGAAAAAAGAGCATGGCTTTGTTCCTCTCTCACGACTCAAGAAAGGAAGGATGAAGATGCGAGTCCACTTCTCGTTTTAACCCACCACATTACGATACTGACAAGGGTCCGCTAATTAGCTATCTGAGGCATATAACTGGTGCAACCTGCGCGGAAGAGAAACCCCTCGGGCCCAACTAAAGACAACATAACTACAACTGTTGGAATAGCGATACTGGTGACCGCACACTAGCAGGGAGGAAGCAGAGATCGCGCGAGTACGCACGTGCAAGTAGGCACGTGCGGCGCGCGGACCTCTCACACACACACACAAAAACCCCGGTCGCACGCAGAACTTACCTTAGTTCCGGAGAGAGAGGGATGGAGGATAGACACAACATTACCCCTGGTAGATCTACCAACCCTTCGACCTGTAGGATCCCTACGTAATTTGAGTACCACGAACAACAACAACACAACGTACCAAGCAAGATAAATAAAACCAAAAAAAACAAACATACAACACCAGGGATTCGCTGGTCGTCACCGACCCAACTACTAGTCTGGCCCTCATTGGCTTGTCTATGGGAGAGCGGACGGGATCCCGAATTTTCCAATGGGTGTGGTCGTATGTGACAGTTATGGGCAGTAAACGCTGCTATCTTGGCAGCTTTTTGTTGCTGAGGGGAAATGCTGGCCAGCGACTCGTTAGGGTTAGGGCTCACGATCCTAGAGGTTTATCTGAAATAAGGATTTGAAAGTGAAAGGATCTGAAAATACACGGCACTCGTCTAGTGTTCTCTCAGTCCCTTGTGCCGTTTGCTGTTTTGTGTATGAAGCAAGGGGGTTGAACGCATGTTTGCCCACCACTCACATGATCAACAAAAACAACAGATTAATTAGAAACGAGGTTTTTTTTTTTACAAAGAGCTAGGCGCCTTTGAACCAAGATGGATGTTGATATTGCTATCTCCGGATAGATGTTAAATCTGCTCTACCTGTAATTATCGCTCCTTTCCAAGGGGCTTTCTACCTGTAATTATTGCTCCTTTCCAAGGGGCTTTCTACCTGTAATTATTGCTCCTTTCCAAGGGGCTTTCTACCTGTAATTACTGCTCCTTTCCAATAGACTCTCTACCTGTAATGAACTAGCCCCGAAGCTTGAACCAAAGCAGGGAGAACTTGTCAAGACCAAATGTAATCAAGAATTCCCACTGGGGACTGCTTCATGTCCGCGAAACTCCATGGTCCTAACCAGAAATAAAAATCTTAAAGGTGTCCCTCGAGCAAACCAAAATGCCAGCCATCACACAAACCGTCTAATCAAGCCACAGAGCGCTTCGCCGAAGAGCGCCTCCTCGCCGGCGGCGGCTCGATAGCCACCCGATAGCAGCGCGCGACCTCATTGCCGAGGCGGATGGCGTCGTAGCGGCTCCTGCGGCTGGCGACGAGCAGGTGCGCAACATACGTGCGCACGCCGTTGGTGTACATTTCAACTCTGTCGCCGGGCTTGTTGTAGTCGACGCCCAGCACGATCTCTGACTCGGTCAGCTGGAAGTTCTTGAAGGAGCGGCGGCTCATGAGCTCGGCACACGGCGAGAGGTCCGGGTTGTGCCACCACAGCGTGCCCGCGGCCGGCGCCGGCACGTACACCAGCCGCGCAAAGTACTGCGCGCCGCAGGATATGCTGCTGCCCTCCGGGGAGAGCGTGTGGCGGAACGGGCGCGCCAGCATGCGCAAGCGGTCGTAGTCGCCGGCAGCGGCCAGCATGTGCGCGGCAAAGTAGTCGACGCCGAACGTGTGGCGCGCCGGCACCGAGACGCGGTAGCCGGCGGGGCGCGCGTTGATCTCCAGCAGGCGGCACGACGGCGGCTTTTGGGGTGGCGACTGCTTGCGCACGAGGTCGACGACGCCGCCGCCGACGTCGCGGTACTCGCAGCGCGAGTCGACCATGCGCGCCTCGACGTGGAACACGCCCGTGTGGAAGCCCGCCTTGACGAGGATGTCGCGCAGGGTGTTCTTGGCGATCTCTTGCTCGTCCTGCGGCAGCGCCGACGGCAGGTTGAGGGCGACGGGCGAGAAAGTGGCGTGCACCGTGGCGTCGCGGGCGTCGGCGTCGCAGGGCGGCTCGTCGGCGATCTCGCAGAACAGGATGTCGCCGTCGCGCAGGATGAAGTTGACGTCGATCTCGGGCCCGTCAAAGAAGGGCTCGATGACGGCCCGGCTGCCGTGTAGCTCGGTGGCTTTCTGCACCGCCGTCGCGAGGTCGTCTGGGCTGCTCACCTTGGACACGCACTCCGAGGACCAGCCTTTGCTGGGCTTGACGATCATGGGGTATGATGGCAAGAGGGCGGGGGGCTGGCCGTCCCCGGGCGCTGCGAGGAGGGCTTCGAGCTCGGCTACGTCCTTGACGCATGCCGTCTGGCCGGCGGCGTCTTGGAGAAGGCGCGAGCGGTACTTGTCGACCGAGATCTCGAACGAGGAGACTGGGTTGCCGGGGAGATCTAGGGCGTCGGCGACCTTTGCCACGTCGACGAGGAAGTTGTCCGAGCACGTGAAGATGCCGTGGACTGGCTGATTGTATTTCTTGAGCGAGTCGATGATGCGGTCCGCCGTGTGCTCGTCCTCGGTCATATCGGTGGCAAGGAACGCCTTGCGCCGCCGCCTGTTCTCGCTGCTATCTTCCTGAATCCAGTGGCCTTCTTCATCGACAACAACAATGTCGATACCCAAAGCACTAGCTACGCTGTAGATGGGATCTCCGACCGTGGAATTGGGCCGTCCTCGGACAAGAGCGAGGGTCTTGCGCGCAATGGGATGCGGGGAAAGCCACAGTGAAGGGCCCAGTCTGACCTTGAGTTCTTGATTGAGGCTCAGAAAATGGCTCTCGAGGTCCGGCACAACCGAGGGGTCCATATCGGCCCATTGCACTATTCCTGGAGCGCGCTCAGCGAGAGTCGACGGGAAGAGGGGGCCAGGATCACAAGAACCAGGATGAACCCAGCTGATATCGTAACTCTCAAGAGGTTCTAGTTTCTCGTATATGTCAATCACCGCTGGGCAGTCCTCAAGGCGGACTCGCAAAAAGTCAGAGCGAGTGACATAGCCGCTTGCTTTGGGGACGATGATGGTGAAGATAGATACACCAAGGTCGTAGCAAGTGGTGAGATCAAAGTGGGCATTAGTGAGGGCCTTGACAAAGCGGATGCCCACCGTCCTGTACACCTCGTCGAACTTGCTGCGGTAGATGGACGAGGACGGTGAACCTGGGGGTGACTCGTATGAGACAGGGAGTAGGACAACGTGGGTGAGGGAATAAAGGTCGCAGCTGTCCACGGAATAAAACCTATAAGGGCGGCGTGAATGAACTAAAATCCCCGATTATCGAGTTGTCAGTGAGTACTCGGGTCTTCCACTCTACGAGAAACGGGCGGCCCACCTTGCTCCAGCTGCTCCTGAAGGGTCAATGATGCTGGCACATTGTCAAGCACCGACAGGGTGGCCAAGGCATCGGACACGTGGCCCCGGAGCGGATAATCGATCTCCATGATGTTCTGAAGAACGATGGGTGGTTCCTGGGAGACCAGCCTCAGAAGTGCTCCTAATTGAGTGATGGATTTTTGGGCGCAAGAGTGTGAGAAATTGGATTCTTCACCGGCTGCGGACCAAGACGGTACGCAACTGCAGGAGCGTGCCCAGCCTCTCGGTTTATATGCAGTGTGAGGGCATGAAACAAAGAAAGGAAACAATCATTCACGGGGTTATGGCAAACAAAGGCTGAAGCTGTGCGAGGACGAGCGAGCTGAATAAAAGTCTCATGCCGGGTTTCAAGACTTGGGGAGCAAGACATGTGAGTCACGGCGAAGTCGTGGCGCAAAGAACTCGGGGAGCCGGGAAGCAAACGAGACCCATTGCGAAGCACGGCTAGGTCGGGGCGCTTTTGAATTGATTACCCAGGCACTCAGCGCTGGCCAGATTCAGGTGTCCGGGATGAGACGAGAGTGCCGAGGTCGGTGCCGTACGAGACGGAAAGGCGTGGCAGGACTGTGCCCCTGCAGCGGCAGGGGTTCTCGACTACCTTGTTGGCTGCCGGGCAGCCCAGGGGTGGTGATGGTCGGTATTTCTGTAATCTGATGATCTGATAACACAAGCGGGCCCAGCTGTCCCACAATGCCATATTAGGCAGCCAACGACCATCCACAATCCGCGACTTGCAGGTGGATCAGGCAATCTGTGGCTAATGAGAGACGAAGCTACCCCGGCAGCATGCTTGGCTCTGGTCGGGCGACAGAACTGTTGGGGACTGTGAAATCTGCTGGGAAATCTGGAACTAGGAGGTGCAAACCAACCAACAGCGCCGGCACGGCCTGAGGTATAGAACTTTAAACCACGCCGCTCCTTCCCGAGTAAGCCGCGGTACCTTGATGGACAGCCCGCTGCGAGCGCCGGGCACCTTGCGGGCAGCAGCGAGAACCTTGATGTCCCGGTCGACCCCCAATCAAGTGGATCGGCCCCGTTTCACAAATTCAATTCCTGCATCATTTTTCCCTCCCAATTTGGCACGGACGACACGGACGCGACGTTACGACGGCGGCCGCTGCGGCCGGACCGGCACGTCTCCCCAGCTGTCCACTGCCCAGTGCCCCTTTGGACCCAGCTGTAGCACTGTCATCTTCGGATATAGACGTCTGGTGGCCTCTCCTCAGTCCGGCTTACGTTGTTGTCGCAACGCTTAGCCTGCAGTCGTTTCCTCTCGTCCAAGTATCTGTCCTACTCTACCGCCTTTGCGCCCTCTTGGTTTGTTGTGCTGGCTGCGTGTTTTCGCTCATCGCATCGCCCACCAGGCCAGGCCAAGACCAAGACTGGGCCTGATACACACCAGATCACCCGTCATTGAAGTCTCGACCCAGGTCTCGTCGTGCGCTGCCAAACCTCACTCTTTCCATTCGAACCTCAGCCATACGGCAAACCACCGGCCATGGTCTTTCTTCTCTCCTGCTTGAGTCTTGGGCCTATAAAGCCGAGCCGCGATGCTCCGCCGCCTTGTCTATGCGACTCGCAAGACTCAATCACCATCGTCGAGAAGGTAGAAGTTGTCCAGACTCAGCGCGAGAAAACCAACATGGATAAAGTGCAGAGCCTCGTCCAGGCCATCACAGAAACTTATGCTAGGCTGGTCAAGCTCCCCGACCTCGGGCCTGGCAAGGAGATCAACGAGCTGCTGGGCAACCTCGTTGCAGTCTGCTCCGAGATCCACGACCAAGACACGGTCCAACAGGTAAGACTGAGAGGCCCCCAGACAATATGAAGGTAGACTAACCGCATTATCCAGGTTCTCAACCATGCTGGCGTCAAGGCAGTGCTACCGTGGTTACGAAAGATCTGCGCCGAAGCCGAGTCGTGTCTCGAGTCGCACTGGACAGCGCACATCTTGAAAGGGAGCAGTCCGGACGAGGTAATCACACGCCTCGAGAGCTTCCCTTACTACGCAAACTACCAAGACCTTGCCCGGCTTGAGCTGTGCGCCATCCTCTCCGTGACGAAAACAGCGCCCAGCCGAATCGCCTTCATCGGCTCCGGCCCGCTGCCGCTCACGTCACTGTGTCTGCTCGACGCGCTAGAGAGCGGCGCCACAGCCAGCGGCCTGCCGCCGCCCCCACAGCAAAAACAACCGTCGCGAGTCGTGCTCAACATCGACTTCAGCGAAGCCGCCATCGCCGCGTCGCTGCGCCTGTGCCTGGCGCTCGGCGCACGGGGCGCGGGCATGGAGTTCTTGTGCGCGGACGCGGCGTCGACAGCGCAGAACTTGGCCGAGTTCGACGTCGTGTACATGGCTGCGCTGGTCGGCATGTCGCAGGCCGACAAGGAGGTCATCGTGCTGCACGTCGCCGGCCGCATGCGGCCCGGCGCCCTGCTGCTCGTTAGGAGCGCCTGGGGCCTCAGGACCTGCCTGTACCCCGAGGTCGAGCTGGCCACCGAGGGCCTCCTGCGACGCCTCGAGCCGTGCGTCGTGGTGCACCCGTACGGCCAGGTCGTCAACTCGGTTCTTGTCGCCAGGGTCAGAGGAGACGACTCGCGGGAGGGAGACGTTCGCAAGGGCCCGTGATATTTATTCATGGTTAGGGTTCTTCAGGGGCAAACTTCGGGAGGTTCTGGGTTTCGCTTTGGTTGGGGCCGGCGCTAGCAACGGAAAATGACTATTATGACTAGCATGCGGGTGTGACTGGCTTTGGATGATTGGTGGGAGTGGGTTTAGACAGACAGCCATACATCACTCGACTTAATTAAACTCAATTAGAGGGGAGGGGCGGCAGGCGGCGGGAGGGTTGTTTCTGGATTTCATCAACTGCAATAGAAATGAGATTATGTCTAATGGCATGTGAGATGTAAGCGTAATCGCAGCACGTCGTGGTTGATATAAGTGAGTTTGTGGTTCGTGGATGCTGCGGGGGTGGCGCTCTTGACTCTTTGAGAGGAGCATGAACAAAAGTAAGTGTGAGTTGCTGGTTGGTTCAAGGTTGCTGTTCAAAGCCATTAGCTTCGGCAAGGGAAAAGGTTGGCTTCGAGAGCATAGCATCTTTAGCATTGAGAACTCGAATATTCACACAAATTGCCAAGGATAAAAGAAGGGCAAAAGGGGTTTAACTGCAAGTGCGCAGTTAAGACCGCTAGACTAGTTGGCTGATTGGTGATTAGGCAGCTCTGTCGTCAACATCTGACGTACATGAGCCGAAGAAGTTGCCAATGACTATAGAAGACAAGCTGAAAAGATTACCCTTGATTCTTATTCAGCGCTGTCCCCTAACTTGCTATTCTAGAAGAATGCCAGATAATTTCCAACGACTCTTGTGGACATCAACCAGACAGAAGCCCAGAACAGTCAAAACAAATGCGCTCCGGATTGGCGGCTACCCGCTTCCTTTCCCCCTTTGTTTCCAATCAACGATATAGGCATACCTAAATAGAAATTGTTTGTCGGTCACAGACATTAAAGGTCCCAAGTCTGTACACCTTCTTCTTCCGCTTCTTCTTTTTGGGCTTTTTCTTCGGGATGTCCTCATCGGCCGCGTAGCCAGCCTCCAGCCACGCCGGGTCCGTGGTTATGTCCTTGCGGAGGTAGAAGCCAATGTTGAAGAGCATGGCCCCGGGTTCTGGTGGCGGCTCGTAGATGAGCGCGTACTCTTCCTCGAGCATCAGTCTTACTCGCGCAGACTCCTAGTCCTCGCTGTTGATTACAAGACGGTTAGCTTGTAGACACATGGGGGGTGGGAAGAGTCAAACGTACGTTGGGGTATCATTTTCATTTTGGGACCCCATGACCGGATCCGGCAGGGACAGGTCCCTCAGCTTGTCGCAGATGAACATGGCTGGGCGGACCACAAAATCTGCGAGGATGGCTCGCACCGGCGCGGTAGGGTGGATGGACATGACAACGGAATTGGGGGTGACCACCATAAGCCCGTCGGGGTCGCTGAGAGTGATGATGTCTACCGCGTCTAAGACGTCGACGTCCGTTTCATCGTAGGCCGGGTCTTGCGCGATGCAGGTGATATTCTCCTTGGAATGGGGCTGAAGAGCGTCGCGGAGGTTTAATAGCATTGCATGCTGGAAATTGCAACGTTTCTTGCGTTCCCAGCACTGTTTGGGCCCATCCTCATTCCTAATAGCAATGCTGCCCAGGCCAAACCCAACAATATATCTGATGTTTGTCGGCAGGTTTATCTCGCTCAGAGCCTCGGCCATGGCCTCGTTTTCTTTTCCTTCTCCCCACTCGACATAGCATTTGTTGAAGTACTCCTACGTAGCGTCAATGTCTGGGCTCTCGTCGAACATGACTCTGGTGTGGTCGGTTTTGTGACGCCATCGCAGCTTGTATTGGATCTGAATCGGAAGCAGAACATCCCCGGGCCTGTCGTTCGGCTCCATGGTGGAAATGTCGTCCAGAATTTCGTCGGGACAACGGTAATGACATATTGGCTGCCACCTTTCATTTACCTGTCAGCTATTCACTGCCTTGGTTGGTGGATGGGTGACAGATGTGTAGAGTTGATCGACTCCAGAAGAACAGGGGGAAGACGACCTACGCAAACAATTCGAGATGGCTCCTGGAATCAGATTGATATTGATCCTCGGAAATAGTCTTTCCAGTCTCATTCACGTACTGCCAATGGAACTCTCCGAAGACGTCTGAGATTGCCAGGTGGAGATAGAACGGGGGGCAGGGTCCTCGCCACGCTTCAAGGATTCGCCCGACTTTGTGTAACGTAAATCTGTCCCAGATGCGGTGTCTGACATTGCCACGGGCCAAATTCGTCAACGTTTCCTGGCATTGAGTCGCCGTTCTCACAGGTCTCGGGCTAAAAACTGGGCAGGATGTGGTTGGTGGTAAACGCTTGGGAGTGCTAAGATTACGGATCTGCGGATTCAAATTGCGATAGTTTATCTCGTGTAAGTAGAACCATTGGAGTGCGTAGTTAGGGTTGAGACCGTCATTATCGCCAATTGTTGAGGGACCGCTAATTGATGACGATATCGTCGGATCATCGTCCTCCATCTCGGGGACAGCCTCTTCCGCGACAGATGGGGGGTCGGAAGAATCGGGGCTGGACGAGCAATAGAAGGTCCCTCGGGGCCCTTTGAGCTCGTCGATCCCCATAGAGGCCGACGTAGAACAGAATCGCACGCCAAAATTATTGATGAATTTTAGGAATGGAGAGGACTGGCTGCGTCGGCACGCTGCGCAGTGATCAGAGACGGCGATTACGTGGAACAGATCAGCCCGGGCCAAGGTGTTTAGAGTGCCACTGAAGCACTGGCTTTCCGTCTGCCATTCTCATTCATTTCACCATACATTCCATATCTGGCCGAGAAAGCAGGAAGGCACGGATGGTCTCTGAGTTGGCCGAAGCTAGAGCTAGTATCGTGACACGGGCAATGGCCAGAGCGCGACTTCCCGAGCAAACAAGAACCAAGGCGGGGGTATCCATAATACCCAAGGCAGGTAGAACTTGGCTTACAGATGTGACCGAGGCCATTGCCACATGTGGTTCGCGCCTGCCTTGTTTACCTTTACTGACTGGGAAGGCCGAAAGCTCTCAGACTCTTGCCAGCAAGCATACTCCGTAATTACACGCATAATGATATTACGTGGGCCGCAGTGACAGGACTGGAAATTTTGAATTTGAGACGATTGCAGGTTGCCTCTGACCTTTGGGATTTCCTACCATTACACCAACCTCTACCACTTCAATCTGGCCGATTGTTACTTTCCTGCTCCAGCACCAATATATTTCAAGTACGGCCGAGATGCCTTACCTTTGAAGCCTGTCACTGCAATGCAATGGCAGGCCGACTGGTCTGACAGTCTCTGGCAGTCTGACACTGGCGGTTGGTAGTCCCACGATAGCGATAGCGGGGTTCCAAATCCGGCCACCGAGTAATTAGTGAAGAATTAGAACTTGACCAGACTCGGCTTAGAAGGCCGCCACCGACACCACTCCGTCAGCACTAGTTGTAGGTGCATGCGACCGTGGGGATAAGTGCCAAGACTCCGAGGACACGGGATTAGCCGGCGGCCCACGGTTGATCCTAGATTCCAGCCCTCGCGGATTCCATTTGTTCATCGCCATCGTCGAGACGGATAGGTAGACCGCTTTCCCAGCAAAGCTTATTCCGATCTAGAGCACGCGCACTCACTGGTGGCACCCACTTTTACCTTTCCGATCGAATTGGTGGCAGCCCAGCAGCCGCTTCTTTGTTAGTCTGTCTGTCGACTTTCGGCCTTGCCAAGAAACTTCCAACCTTGAAGCTGCCCTGCCCTGCCAAGCCGAAAGTGCAAGCTTCGGCGACTTGTTCTTCAGCCAACGAGTCGGTGAAGCCGCGCAACAGCCCCGTCTGATTTGGCTCGCAGATTTTTATACTCGAGGGCACCGGATTCCAAGCTCGGTGACAAATTGACCGATGAAGTTAGCAAGAGCGAGCAAGCGAGCGGTGTACGGGTCATGTCGGGATGGTAGCGAGCAGAATCCTGGCTAACTGAGATGATGACAAAACAGGAGTGCCGGGGGCGTGAAAGCGCGGGGGAAGCGCCCGTGAACGGCGCCGAGAGTCAAGGGAACGGGCAAACGGCCCCCATATGACAGGCGAATGCGATGCAACCCAGGGCAGGCGGGCTTACTCAGCTTACCTTGCACGCACTCGAGAAATCTTCGCATTCCCGTTCCCACCTGGGCATGACAACGCCCTGCTTGGTGCGGGCTGCTTGGCTGCTTGACATTATCGATTATCACTGCAAGACGGCCAGCCACAATGCTTGGAGGGTGTCCGCAACGAACCAAAACGTGCAAAGATCATCGAGTTGCATTCCATGTCGACCCGTTGACAGGCTGATGCTGACGCCACCTCGCTATGCCTGATGCTCGCCCGCACCTTGTCGGGTGGTGAGCCTTTTGCGCTCCCAGCACAACATCGCATCGCGACCCTGCCGTCGTGCCCACAGGTACCCTAGCTGCAAGCACTTTACCTCTCAGGGCACCACTCCGTATGTCTGTACATGTTTTATGTTGCACAGAACATGCCTTGAGCACCATCTCTCTCCAGATCCCCCCCCGGCAGCTGTCTCTGCGCGGATGGGGCGGCTCACCCTACGCAGCGACGCCGGAAGAGCTGGGTCTCTGCTTTCCCCGTTCCCCCGTCGGATCGAGTGACACGAGCTGGGTGGCGCACTGGCACTAGCACTGGCGTTGTCACCGCTTCGGCAGTCACCTCCTCAATGAGCGAGGGCGTCAAGCCCAAGGAAGGCCATTCGCCAATGGCATTGCAGCTGAGCAGCCCGTCGACTCACCCCGGCTCATCTCTGCATCCCGCCTTGCAGTCTGATGGTCTAACCGGCATGTAAGCTACTACAGTATCATTGTTGACCGGCGATAGCCATGGCTCCGGCTAGGGCAGGCCAGAAGCCACCCTTGGACCCGCGAGGGTGCTTCCGGGCGCATTGAGTTATGGCGCAGCGTCGCACCCGACTAGAGGAACGACCCAGAAGTGAAATGGGTCCCGCTCGAGCCTTTTGCTTTCTCTTGTCGTCTTCTCTTTGCAACCTCTCCCCCGCGATATCTCTCAACCTGGAACTTACGTAGCTGTTGCCCTCCCCGCCGCTCGTAGCTCTCGGCCTCGCCTTCGCCTGCCTCCGTCTGGCTGCTGCATATAGCTCTCCATATCGGCATCATGGCCGGGTCCTGGATCCAGGGACGGTGGCTGTTCCACTGGTCGCTGCTGCTCTCGCTGTCTGGACTGGCGCGATGTGGTTCCATGTCGGGCTGGTGGACCGACGTCGGACCGTCGTTCGCCGTCCAGAACCTCACGACTGGCCTCCTCCAGTACAGCACATGCAACAGCAACAACACGCCGCTGTACCCTCTGGACCCGCCCAACGTCTTCTTGACCAAGTACTCGCCCAAGAACGGGACGTCGCTGGCGGCGACGGGCTGGTTCGATAAGACGACAACGTGGGCCTCGGTGTTCTACCAGAACAACAACGACGACCTTGTCAACGCCATCTACACATGCGACTGGACCAAAGGCGTGTACAACCATGTCTCGAGCGCCGTAATCTCGGACCGCGCCGGCACGCCTGTGGTAAACCCGCAGACGGGTCTATCGGTGGCCCTACTTGGCGAGCAAGAAGGCTATCGCGTCTTCTTCAACGACAAGAACAGGGAGATGCATTTCCTCAAGTTTACCCAACAGGATAGTTGGTCGTATGGCGGCCCGGCATCTACCAACAGTAACAGGACCGGTCTGGCGATCCACTCGCAGTTCTCGGGTGTTCGAAACGTGAGCGTCGTGACGCCGCGGGACATCTCCAACATGGAGACCGTGCGCCTCAACATCGACGGCACCTGGCATGTTTGTGAGTTGACCCCGAACCCATCCCATCTGTGGAGATTGCGGGCTAATGCGGCCTCCTTCGCGCAAAGCCACGTTCCCCACGCCGTTGAAAGGGTTCAACGTCACCAACCTGTCAAATGCCACGTCGTTCCCCTACGATACGTCGGCGAAGCCCTCAATGACTCTGGAAGCTTGGAGCGGCAACCCCAAGGCTCTAGGCTTGGCCGTCGACGCGGCGCTCACGCGGTACATCTTCTACGTTGGCACCGATAGCATGGTTCACTCAGTGGCGGCTTTCGTCACGGGCTCGACAGAGAGCGGGTGGCGACCGCAGCCGGACCAGACGGCGGATATCTGGCCCAAGGCTGATGAGGCTAACGGCGACTTTGCCATTGCGAGCGACTTCGGCACTAGCAGTATACGGCTCTACTACGCTAGCGGCGGTGTCATACACGAGGCTAATTATCTCGCCGGCAACTGGGGTTCCGCGTCCAAGCTCAATGCCTTTAATACTTCAGCGGCGCAGGGCGGCAGCGGCGGCTCGGGGTCAGGCCTATCGACGGGCGCCAAAGCGGGCGTCGGCGTCGGCGTGTCGCTCGGAGTCATCCTCCTCGCGGGCGCCGCCGCCGGGATCTGGATGCTGCGCAAGAAGCGCGCAGCCGACGAGGAGAAGGCGCTGGCGGCCGCAGCGCCCGTCGTCGAGGTGGCAAGCACGCATGGAGACGGTACCGCCAGCCACCACGGTTCGTTGGCGGGGGTGGCACGGACGGGCAGCGGTGGCAGCCGTCCATGGGACACGGATGTCAAGGACAAGCCGGCGACGCCAACACCGCGCGAGCTTGAGAGCCCGAACCTCGCCTCGGAGCTCCCCGAACACATCGATCGGACGGAGCTGCCGAGTGACCGGAATGTTACCGAGCTTCCTTGATCTTGACGGGGCTACGAGTGCATCTCATCATCTGGAGCACTCATTCTCTCCACAATTACATAATTTACGCCGTCTCATGATAACGAATACGGGAGGCTTCCCCGGAACAACTCGGACTTGGACGGTCTTTCTTATCGGACGAGGCGGCGATTTCCTACTCTTGCCTTCTGTGTACTGTTACTGGAGTCTTGGGGTTTATTGATCACGGAGACAGGACTGGCTCCCTGCTCTGTCAAGACAGTCTGTCCATCTGGTCAAGGGTAGGAGCTACGGCGGTAGCACCCTGTACGCCGGCGGGAGGGATAAATGGCGTTGGGATCTTCAGGTGGGTTGCTGTCTCGCTGGGCTTGCTATAGTGTGGGATTAAAAGAAAGCATGTGCGCAAATGACCTGGATCTCCGCTGTGAATCCCCTCATTGAGGACGCATTGCGGTCTCGATCTCCAGCCCCAACAACGGTCACCCGCATGACGACGTGCACCACTGGCAGCTCGTCGATTTGCTGATCGTGAGCACTTTTGTTACTCTTTGCAATCTCTGTGTTTCTGCGAGGACGACCCTTCGAGGATGGATGGACGTCTGGCACCCCACACCCCGTCGCCGATCAATGGAGGGGTCTAAAAGAGGCGGGCGAGTCACGACCCGAGCTCGCCCCCCACAGCGAAGCACCGAAGAGTTTGGGCACGCAACCACAGAGCCTGGCCGCACACCGGCTCACTGGGGCTGGGAATTGGGGACTGGGAGGGGGGCGAATTGGGACGACATGGGACGAGCCGTGAGGGGAACCAAAGTGTGTGGTGTGCTTGCTTTGCATTTTCGCCTGGGTCTCATCACCCTCTGTTGCTGCTAGGTGAGCAGTAGCACCCGGGATCGGATGTGGTGGTGGTGTCAGTGGGTGTGGATGAGGTGTGTCATGCCCCACTTCTTCTTCCTTGGACTTCTCTCGCTTCAACTTCCACCTTTTCTAGCCCCGCGCAGGCCTTTCCGCTGGTCGTCTCCTCTCCTGCAGCCGAGCGCCAAGACATGTTTATCTTTATCTTACCTTACTGATTCGCAAGAAAAAACCGCTGCTGTGCAGATAGCGATATTTGCTCACGATGGCGCTGCATGCTGTTTGTTGGTGTTGTGCAGTCAGTCGGCAGTTGCTGCTGACGAGCCCGACTGGCCTCGGTCGCATTCACTGCAGACAGAGAAGAATTTGCACAAGACGCGAGCGGAGACACGGCCGGCCGCTCGGTCGAGAGGGAGGTGGAGTGGGTGCGGCTCACAATAAAGTTAGCACTCCTCTTTGGATTCGATGTGGTGCCCGAGTGTGCTCGTGCTTGGGTGGCGGCTGAGAGGACGACAATTACATTATTCCATTGCAACCACACAGCAGCAGCTCAGATGGTGAGTCGCTACAACTCCAGTGCCCAGCAAAAGGCAATATTGTCACGTGCAGTGCGGGGTTGTGCTGCCAAGCATGGGCTGATTAGTGATCAGTGATTGGCTGCTTCGTAAAGGAAAAAGAAAAGAAAGAGAGAAAAACAGGCCCGGCGTCCCGGCGGCCGGAGAGAATGGATGGATGGCAACCGCTGCGGAAGGGGAGCGGGGTTCGGCAACACCCCCTGTCGACTTTTTTTATTTGTCGTTTTGCCACTGGGTTTACGGGGCATTTTCTAAAATAGACGGCGGCAGCTTTCGACCAATTTCGAGAATGAGCGAGTTTGATGCGGTAAGAAGTCAGACAGCGCAGTTGTGTGGGTTAATTGCTCCAGTTAATTCCCAATTGGCTGCCACAGGGCTGCAGACACTCCATGCAGGGCTGTCTGTCTGTGTGGATGGATGCATGACAGGTTTGGAGCGGCTGCGCAAACGGTTGATCGAGCGGGCAAGGCTCCGATGCGGATGACGCTGGAGATCCCACAGCACGTTAGGTACGCTCTTGCCGCCGCTCCCCATCCATATCGTCTCGTCTTGCCCTGGTCTGGCCTGGCCTGGTCTGGCCTCCCGCTGTGTGGAACTTGTGGTCCCCTACCTGCGGTCCCGGTGTGAAGCTTAAACCGGGGTCCCAGTTTGTTCCTGTTGCATGCAATAAACTGCCCATAATGCCTACTTGGGTAGGTTAAATAAACAGAACTGTGCAGTCTCACCAGGAGTCCAGACTTATTCGCAAGCCGAGCGGAGAAGCACCGTTACCAGGTCGTCCGTCATCCGGAGCTGGGACCGGCTTCCCAGTGTGCCACACAACACTGTATAACCATGCTCGCAAAGCAAGCCTGCACTTTCTTTTACTAGTCACTTGCTTGCTTGCTTATCAGACCTACCTACCATCCATCTACTTATCCATCAGTCAATATAGTATCACATATCAGCATCTCTAGGCCCCCAACCCGGCGCGCGCCACGGATCCGCGGGATTGGACAGCAGCTAGTGCCGGCGCACACCAGCGACGCACGGAATCGCTAGCGTTTCTCGGGCGCGCCCCGGGACACGGGACCTTGCGAATAACTACCCTGCCTTAGTTCCAGGTCATATGCAGAGCTGACCGGCTTTGCCTGTTCGGGGTTCTGTCGAGATGCATATCATGGTGGATTTTTTTCTGGTCGGGCTGCTTGCGTGCTCCTTGAAGGCTACCTAGTTTGGTCGTGGGCAGTTTCTTGTTGTCTCGAGATTAGTCGGGGAGGATATACGGATAACTCGTGGTAGTTTTGTGTTCTCTCTTTGGGTGTGAGGAGATGTGAGAACGACGACGTTCAAGGCTGAGGTTCTCAACCCACTGTCCTCAGAGCAGAGGCTGCACAGCTATCCAGTGGACTGCGGCTTGCCCTTGAAGTTGATTGCCTCAAGGTCGGTTGAGAGGCAGATATCATGCCTGATTGCAATATTGAGTAAAGTCCAAAGACACCGTGCTCAGCAGGAGGGAGGAGGGAGAAGGTTTGGGTGGATTATAAAAAATTACGGCCACAACGGCCCCGAAGGACAATTGGTAATAGCAGAGCGCGCCGCGGTATGCAATGCAGGCTCTCTGCAATGCAGGCTCTCTGCTATGAAGCAGGGGATTCTTGAGCTCCCTGTCCTTGACCAAGGTAAGGTGTGAAGAAGAGAAAGAGAAAGAGGAAGAGATAGAGAGGCTCCCTCAGTTGATACTTCTCGTCGTGGCACTAATAGACCAGCAATATTGCAACTCACATATAAGGGAGTATTGGACAGTTTGAAACCGATACCTGCCGTGTACTAGTTATTGGAGGTTGTGAAGCCGATAGAAACGAGGCAACCCGCCGCTCGGCAGACCGCTGTATACACTTTGGTGTGCTTCGACGTGACAGAACTGATGTCTGACGTTTTGGACTGGGAGACTAGCAATGAAAGCAGAGCAGCAGCAGGGAGAAGGTTTGGGTGGAATGATATCTTTGAAAGCAAATGGACGGCCAGTAGAGTACACAGTCGAAATCAATTCATTATTTTGACCCCCTCGCCCCTATTTACACACTTCCATCGTCCTCATATTTTGATATTCCACATTCGACAACACCCCATCCGATCCTTCAAATCCTCAAGCCGTAACATTGCGCATGATAGTCAGCGTGTGCACAAACCGGATCTTGCCCTTCTCCACACGGAACTCGTGGCTATCCGGCCGCGTCGCAAACATATTCAGCACGTCAACCGTCCCCACCGTCTCGTCAATAACGTACCGCCGATCATGAATATCCACGCCCGTCGGCACGCCCACATCGCAACTATCCGTCGCCGACCCGTTGCCCGTGTAAAAACTGCCCTCGAGGCGGTCGCACGGCGTGCCCCACGGCACGACCACGGCCGGGTTGTTAAACAGGTCCAGATACGCGTCCGCCGCAGCCTGGATCACCGCCCTAGAATCCTGCTCCGCGGCGGGGATCGGCGCCCACTTGCCGTCCTCGCGCGCCGCGAAGTACAGCGTGCCCGACGCGTTGAAGCCCCAGTCGCCGGGCTGCGTGACGAGCGACTCGGCTTTTAGCAGCTGCGCGCCGGCGGCGTCGAAGCGCAGCTGCGTGCCGATGACGCGCGGGTGCGCCGCGTCGGTCACGATCAGCTCGCTGTACGTCGCGCAGAGCGTCGTGTCCAGCACGCTGCGGTTGTGGTCGATGCGGAGTGCCGTCGCGAGCACACCTGTCTGGATGTTGCGCGCCACCCCGTCCTCGGTGTAGACCAGCCCCGGTGCAGCGAGCGCCACCAGCCCGCCGGGCTTGCCGGCGGCTTGTGCCGCGAGGTACGTTTCGGTGTGCGCTTGCAGTGTCGCGCGCGAGCAGGCGGCTGGGGTAGCTGCTGCGGCTGGGGCAGCCAGGGCGGTGCTCGTGCCGAGGGCGAGCCACGCGGTGAGAGAGGCGAGCATTGTTGCGTGCGGTCTTGCGTTTGTGTGGTCTTGCGGTTGTGTGGTCTTGCGGTTGTGTGGTCTTGGTGGTGCTGGTGCTCAAGGTCTCGCAGAAGGAAACTCCGTTTCTCGGTCACTAGATCACGCCCAGCCGGAAACTAGGTAAGCGCTTTTACATACCCCATCTCGTCTCGCTCCCACTCTAATACTCACTTGTCGCTAATTACAGCCGGAACACAGCGGCACCCAGACCTACCGCCCGAGACGAACTCGAAGGCGCGGCCCGACGTGCGGGGGTGGTGTCGTTGGCAAGCAGAATTCATTGACCAGTGCTCGCTGTGATATATAGCCACGGGCTTTCTTCCGCGCCTGCGTCCTCTGCGTTGCCGAAAGCAGCCGTGTTGTCTCCCCTCAGCCAATGGCGGCGCACCTCTGGATATACCCGGCCCCCCCCCCCCGTCCGGAAGTCCCGCTCCACTCGGTACCTGCAGGAGTCAGTCTGTCGTTGAATTAATGTCCTCCCCGTGCCGAGCCGTACCCAGCCTGTCAGCGCCGGGTGAGTGAGTGGGGTAATTACCAATTAGTAGGCAGGCAAGGTGGTGATGGTGGTTAAGCAAGGGCAGCTTGCCCAGCGACGGGCATTTGTGAAGGTGAGTGAGCGGGCAGCCGGAGGATTTAGGCGTGATCCGCCGTTTTTTTTTTGATTTCTTGTCTCACATTCTCCTCAGTTTGAGTCTGATTTCAATCTCCTTTTACTGTCAGGGGTTGATTTGGGTCGACTTGTTTGGCGCCCCTGAGGCAATCTCAGTTTCACTATTCATTTCGCTCCGCAGTTGTCACGACAACGTAAACGCATCGACGGTGATACCACCTGCCGTCCATTAAGGGGTCCTGGCGAGGCTGGCAGGAGAGTGATCTAGAATCAAATGCATTTCAGAAGGCAGTCGCTTTTTCTAATTTCCCACCCGGCCACCGTCGTCGGCGCCTCCTTATTTAATATTACTCTCTCTTTTTTAACTTTTCCAAAACCGCAAATAAATACCGCATCAAATATGTACCCCGAAAGCTGCCAAAACGCCGCGCCGACTCCAAAGGAGAGAGAGATCAAGTCTAGGACAATGCGTGTCCATTAATTACCACCAGGCGGTGGTCAGTGGTAGTTGAGATACTCGGCCGGCACGCGCGGGAACTTATCCACGCCGTCCTGGATGACCATGGCCATGCCGCCAATCAAGTGGCTCTGGATGTGGCAATGCACTAGCCAGGCGCCGGGGTTGGTGACATGGTAGCGGACGGCCATCCACGCGACATCCGTGTTCGCCGGCGGCGTGACGAAACTGTCCCTGCGCGGCGGGTTGACGAGGTTGAAGCTCTGCGGGATCGCCTTGGCGGCCTCGGCGACGGTCGCCCACTTGAACGGCCCCGACCCCTGGCCGAGCAGCCACATCTTGTTGCCGTGCTTGTGGATGGGGTGCGGCGGCATGGGGACGGTGGTGCTGAGGAAGACCAGGTCGACCCACGTGTTGTTGCGCGTCGACATGGTCAGGTTGTCGTGGCGGTTGGCGTCGGGCTTGAACAGCACGACGGGCGATGTGGGCGTGTCGGCCTGGGCCGGCCCCGGGAACTGCGTCTCGTTGAGCGCCCAGTCGAAGCTGCGCCCCGCGATGCGCAGCGACAGCTTGAAGGTCTGGTCGGCGGGCCCCGCGAAGAAGGGCTCGGGCGGCGAGAAGGGCCGCTGCGTGTCTTGGCTGAAGAAGACGATGTTGGCGCTCGTGGGGCGGCCGGCATCGTCGATGGAGGCGGGCGGCTTGACCGTGGTGCTCGGCAGCGGCGCGATGACGCCCTTCGACTTCTCCTCGCGGTACGCGATGGTCGCGTTGGCCGAGATGACCTGCGGGGCGGCGAGGGACGCCACGCGCAGGGGGTAGTCGCCGGGCTTGGTGGGGTGGACGAGGACGGAGAAGCGGTCGCCGTTGGCCACGACCAGCACGTCGACGGTCTGGGGCTGGATGTACTCGCCGTCGACGGCGTAGACGTACATGGGTAGGCCGTCGACGGCCACGGCCGTGGTCAGCAAGCCGAAGCCGCCGATGACGTCGAGCGCGAGCCACTTGTCGTCGTCGCACGTTTCCTTGACCACCGAGATGACCTCGTGGCTGCCCTTGGTCGGCGTGCACTGGTCGAAGATGTCGGCCGGGATGGCGGCCAGGTTGGGCTTCGGCTGGCCCGGCAGGGTGAGGGCGGCAAAGACCTGCGGCGGCAGGCAGCCCTTGACCGAGAAGCTCGACACGTTGGCCAGCTGCAGAAAGGCCAGCTGGTCCGGGCCGAGCAGCGACGCGATCTTCTGGGCCGACCAGCAGTTGACGTTGCCCTTGCCGTTGAGCAGGATCGAGTCGAGGCACGTCAGCTCGATGCCCGACGCCTGCTGGATGGCGTTGGTGTCGTCGGACACGGTGTGGCGGTAGTCGGACAGCATCAGCGGCTTGGGGCTGGCGGCGGCCTTCTGGATGGCGTCCAGCGCTTTGGCGTCCTTGCTGATGAGGCTGAAGGGCGCCGGCCGCGACTTCTTGGGGTGGATCACGATGGGCCCATACAGGCCATCGTCGAGCTGACCATGTTGGTGCGCGTGGTACCAGTAGCTGCCGTACTGGCTTGCTGTCCAGGCGTAATTGAACGACTTGCCCGGCTGGATCGGGTGCTGCGTGATGCCGGGGACGCCGTCGGACCAGGGCGTCAGGTACTGCTCGATGCCTGCTGCGTGTTAGCTTGCGTTGCGGTCTGGGGCTGGGCGGGGCTGCACATGCCGTGGAAGTGCACCGTGGTGTTGAAGGGCAACTTGTTGTAGACGACAACCTCGACGTCGTCGCCCTCATCTATCTCCAGGACGGGGGCGGGGAACTGGCCGTTGACGAGGATCATCTTCCGCGTCTGGCCGTTGGGCGAGTAGTTCTGCCATGTCAAGGTCAGGTCGAAGTGCTTGGGTTTCTTGCCCCAGTCCAGCCCGCGGGCCGGCACAGCAGACGCCAGCGAGTGCGGCAGAAGTGCGGCGAGGGCGGCCACAGCCAGCGACAGCTGCGCACCCCGGAGTAGGCCCCACATGGCTGGTTATTCTTGACTTGTCTGCAGCCGAAAGGAAACAAAACGGAGATGAAGGAAGGAAAGGAAAGCGAGCCAGCGAGAGCGTGTCGTTGTGTTGTCCCGAGGTGCCAGAAACAGCACCGAGGGTCTCTGATATAACGACAACGACAACAACAACAACAACAGCAACAGCAACAACAACAACAAACAGTCAGAAACTGCGAGACACGAGACAGGCAGAGCCGTCGGTCGGTCGGTCGGTGCAGCCGCTTGCTGTTGTCTTATAAGCCCGACGTCTCACTCGGCCGTGATCGCCGGTGGGGTGGCAGGCAGGCAGACTGGACTGCAGTCCCCCAGGAGTCCCGATCGGAACGCTAAGCACAGCACAAGCACAGCACATTATTACAATCCTGCAGCCCGGCCGCAGCTCCTCTTCTCACCACCAAATTTAAGGGCCGACCCTATCAAAAACACGCCTTGGTTCTGGCAGAGGCCGACCCCAACCCTACTTTTTGCCAGGGTGATGATGGACGCGCGCAAACAAACATGCTGCTGCTGACCTTGGCTGGGGGGGCCGTTGGTGTCGGCCTCTACCAGAACAGGGTCGGCCTTAATATTAGCCGTAAACGGCAATGCGTCGTTACGCAGCGCAGCGCAGAGCAGAGCAGAGCAGGCCAGGCCAGGCCTGGTGGTGGTGGTGCTGGTGATGAGGCTGGTGTGTTGTAGCTCTGCCCGAGATGAGCCCCCCTAGGGAGAGGTTGGGGCGGCCGCTTACCCAGCTGCCTGGATCCTCGAGCGGGGAGTGCGGACCTGGAGGCTGGCGGGGACGGTCGCCTGGGATGCGGCCTATGGGAGAGGGCCGTGTTTGCTGTGGTGCGGTGTGGTGTGGTGTGGTATTCTGTGGTGTGGTATTCTGTGGTGTGGTATTCTGTGGTGTGGTGTGGTGTAGTGTAGTGTGCTGTGCTGTAGTGTAGTGTAGTGTGCTCTGCTGTGCTGTGTGCGGTGGTGAGCGAGCTCGCAGGCAGACAGACAGACAAGCGCGCTGGGGCTCTGCTCATTCCCATTACCACGTCAAGTCGTGGGTAAGCAGCATGCTACAGTGTGCACGTGTTGGTTTTGTTCTGGGTGGTATCGAACTTGGATTACCACCCACCCTGCCTGAGCGACCCGCGGATGGACGCACTTGGCAGGGGGTGATATCAGCTGTCTGCCAGCCTCAGCGAGGGGCTGGGCTGGCTGGGGGCTAGGCCAGGATCTCGAAGAACCGAGTAAGCTTTCCTTGCCGACGGCTTGTCGTGTGAATGTTCTGTGCAGTGTGCATGCTCTCTCTTTTCTTTTCTTTTCTTGTTTTTTTTTTTTTTTGTCGGCAATCTTACGGGAGCGCTTACTGGTAGCGTCGAAGCCATCTGACATTGGATGCTGGGAGGGAGGCTTGGCTGTTTTTGTTACCCTACCAAAATCCCCACAACAAACCCCTTTACCTTCCCTTTCCACTCATGCCTATTGTGCTTGGTATTGTGCTTGGCAGGGCTGTGCCTCATTTCCTTCCCCGGTTCTTGCTAGCGTATCCGTATCCCGTAATCCGTAATCCGCTGCGCCGCCGTCATGCCTGATATTGGGAATAAAAGTCCCGCGCCAGCGCCCAACGGCCCGGGCTCGCATAACGCCACCGTCCAGTAATTGTTCGCTAAAAAGTTGGAAAGTCTTGCTATTCGACCCTGCTTGATTACGGGTTGACGGGTTCGACCGCGGGCCATGTCGCGTATGACAGCGCCAAAACTTGTTGGCAGCGGTTGAACAACGCCTTTTTTGACCGCAGTGAGACAATGGCGTTCGGGTGCGGTGTGAGACTGAGTGAGACAGGATCGCCCTGCCTGTCAGCTTTATTGTTATTTGCCTTGCCCTTGCACCCCACCCACACGCTCACGCTCGCGCATGACATGGCGCGTTGCCATTGGGGGGGGGAGTCGAAAAGAAGAATGCGACTGTGGGATGCCCTTGGGGGCGGCAACATCGCGCTTAACGGAGTCCGAGGCTTACTTGCTGTTTGTGCGGGCTCGCTCGCTTGCTTGCATTGTTTGCTCGTACGAGGGAAGGACGAGTGCACCGCCGGAGGCAAATTGAGGCCGTCAGAAGCAAAATAAGTCGAAAGGGGAAAATAAATTTCCTAAACCGGGAACCAGGATGTGTAAGCTGCTTGTTCAGATCAATACGGCACAGACGCGCGCCTCGGCAGCGTCGGAAATGATTTCCTTTGTTTGTTTCATGCAAATTGTTCTTTTTTTCTGAGGCTCTCGTTTTGTTGCTGCTTATGAGTGAAACCGCAGAAACGTGCACCTCAACACCGCACTGACCTTATTTGACCAAGAATATGAACACAGCGAGATTGGGCGTGAGGATCGTCATCGGCGAAAACTTGAATTTTGACATCTCCTTTTTTGGCTCACTCTCCTTTTTCTTTTCCATGACCACACGTCGATTCAACCGATGCACCTCGGAAACCTTCGGCTTCCTGGCCGTTTGTTGATATCGTCGGGATTCCGTTCAACGTAATTACTATTTCTCACAGATGCAATGGCTCATTTCAGAGCCTGTTTGCTTCGGGCAAGTGTTTATTAATTGGCAGACAATAATTAGCGAATGATCATATTGAACAGAGACTCAATAACCCGAGCGGAGGCAGGCTCTAATTCACCTGGTGAGTAATTCAAAAATATGTTTATGGCAACGAATGTGTCGAGAAACTGAAAAATTATTCATCACTGATGAGGTACCGTGTGCAGCGCAGCTTCATTCGGCCGAACACTCTGCCATGCCTTGTCACGCTGAATCGGGGCCAAATTGCTGATCGTTTGCCAAGATGGGATTGGTCAAGTGACGAATCTCTCCTGCTTCTAATGTTAGATCGAACCCCTGTTTGCCTCTCTATCATCATGTGTAGCTGCATGCCGTTAGAGGGAAGACTTGAGCCTGGAGATAGGTGCAGCCGGTGGCGGAGCCGGCTTCTCGGATTTACGTCTGTCCCTCGCATTGCATGCAGGACACGTGGTGAGCAAGGACAGGACTCGACTTGGCCCTGTAACTATTGGTAAATAATTAGGTAACGATTAGGTCTAGAGATCCTGGCTGGCTCATACACACTTGAATTGAGGACGACGGTTGCAAATCTCCAGAAGCCTCCCCGTTGTCGGCAACAACACGTCCGAGGTAGTTGATATCCAATCCAATGGCATCAAGAACAAACGGTTTCTTTGCCACTTGCTGTCCTCGAGCTCATCAAAAACAGGGAGCGTATCCGTGATAATTGCGGGCTACCGTAATTAGGCAAGGTTCACGCTATGTGGAACACTCACGTGCACCCACAGGCAAATACCTACACCCTCACTAGCCTTGGCTTCTTTTCTTCTTCCTCTTCCTAGTTCATCGATTCATTCCATTCATCCTGTTGTGTTTGGTCTACAATGACGTCCAAATCTCGTACCCTCTCCTGATCCTGCCAACGCTGTGTATCATTTCAACACGCTCAGGTGGCTTTTCAATACGCTGCAGTGGCTCCCTGTTAGCCGCTATTATGGACGGCCTGGATCAATCAGAGGGCAGGACTTACAATGTGCTCGGTAACCACAACTCCTTCGTGATTCAGTGTCCGGTCGCGGACATAGAACCCAAAGCGGTTCCGCACCGTGGCCCACAGCAGCCAGTAGGTGGCGCCGACGAGCAGCAGGCCCGTGCCGACTGTGGGCACCACATACCACGGGATGGCCGACGTCGGGAACTGGCGGAACGGGACGAAGTAGGCCGACACGGCGAACACCAGCGATAGCGCCCAGAAGACGACGACGAGGGTCGGCGCTTTGTAGAAAACTGACTTCTCGGTTACAGGGTCCAGCAGCCACTCGATGTTGCGATGCCGGAACCTGGACAGTAGCCCCGCGGCGAGGAACAGGCTCACCCAGCTCTCGGCGTAGAAGAAGGTGACAGAGACATACCGGGCGCCGTCGGCCGCTGTCGACGCCAGGATGACGACAACAGTGATGATCCAGTGGAGCAAAATGGCTCTGGTAGGCGATGGCCGTGTCGTCCAATTTCTGAATAAGAAGGCCAATCTATCGACCCAGCGCCGGGGCACGGCCCAGAAGGTGGCCGGAAATAGCTCTTCGCGGGCCCAGAAGAGCGACCACGGCAGCAAGCCCTCCTTGGCAATCTCCTGCTTGACGCGTGCCATGGCGAAGACCTGCGCAAAGACATTTCCCAGTGCCGACGTGGCAAGCAGGATGGGCACGCCAATCTGCACAAAGCTGCCGTTGCCGACGACAGCTTCGAAGAAGGCGGCGGCAACGCTGCGCTGGTCAATTCCGGTGAGGGCGATGTCGTTCTTGGACAAGGCGGCAAACTGCGAGTAGCGTACTAGTCAGCAATGGCACATGAGCAACGAGGCAGCCAGCACTCACATAGGCCACATTGATCAACATGTAAAGGACAACGACTATGCCCACTGTAATTGGGACGGCTTTGAAGAGCGTCCTTTTGGGACGCCTGACCTCGCCGAGCACATAGTTTGCGTTCTGCCACCCGAAGAACGAATAAAGTATGTGGAGGAGGGCCACGGCAAAACCCGCGGCCGACCCGGGCGTTCCCTGGAGCGCGTCCGCCACCTCGACAGTGCCGGAGCCGTCAAAGACGATGAAGTTTCCCGGCGGGGGTGTATTTGATCGGCCACCGAGCGCCACGAAGCCCGTGACGGAGATGGCTACGAGAAAGCCCAGCTTGACGACGCCGAGGATGTTGGACAGCTCGACACCGTGACTGGGAAGAAAGGCGTGGATGAGACAGACGGCCGTGACGATGGCGACCGCGAGCCCGTTGCTAGCGTAGCTGCCGGACCTATCTATCGATCCGGCCTGTAGAATGTTGGCGGCGAAGCTAACGGCCGACGACGCAGACGTCGCGAACAGCACGAACTGAACGGCAAATATGCACGTCGCGAGATACCGCGGCCGACGGAATATCCGGGGCAGCTTGAAGCATGGTTAGCCAGGGACATAACATACGGAGATAGGGGTCGCTGTTCTCACATAGACTAGCGGGCCGCCTGATCTAGGCAGCGCGGTTCCGAGCTCGATGAAGACATAAAGACCAGCTAAGAGGTTACAGCATCAGTCACCAACTCGGAAGAAGGAAGCAGACCCTACTGAGCAACTTACCAAGCGTCACAATCCCGCCCAGGGCCCAAAGGAGTAGCGCGGCGCCGACGCTGTTTGTGCTTGCGATGATCTGCGCCGGCGTCGTGAAGATGCCCGTGCCGACCATGCTGTTGATTATGAGCAGGCCGGTGGAATAGGGGCCGAGTTTCTGGTCTGTATGGGAGAGTGTAGCGTCAGTGGGATGGGTTCATAAAGAAAAGAAAAAGAAAAACCAACACACCCTCAGGGAGCCCAAGAAACTCGCCACCGTCCTTCACACTGTTCCCCGGCGCCCCCGAGCCACCAGGATTGCTATTCCAGCCACCCTCGGCAAAATCCGGGTTGATGCCCGCGGACGAAGGGCCGGCCAAGTCGACGGGCGGCCCGCCACTCGGAAACAACTCCGGCGCCCGCTTGACGCGGAAGGGCAGCATGCGGCTCGCGCGAGAGCGCGAATGGGACTCGGGTGGTTCCTGTGGGGGAATGTCGTGGACAAAGTCGTACTGGCCTTGCAGTTCGCTTGTGGTAGCGTCTGGGCCGAGCGGCAGTGCGTGGAGATCTGCTCGCAGTTCGCTGGGGCCGCCACCGTCGAGGTCGTTGTCGTTGGCGACGTCGAGAACTATGTTGGAGACCGTCATTGGCGACGGGGGGGTTCTGCGGCGGCTGAAGACACGGGTGGGGAATGAGGTGCTGCTAACTGGCAATTCGCTAGGGCCGCCGCTTTCGATGTCGTCGTCGAGAGCCATCCTTCTCGGGAGGCGGAAGAGATCGCGGCGGCTGCGGCCGGTGCGGACAGCGTTCGAGCCGGTGGGCGATTCATAGACGCTGACTTGATCGATGTCCATATCGTGAGCCGTTTCTTGTCTTCTTGTCGGCAGGCGGAAGAGATCGCGGGCGCGACGGCGGGAGGGCGGTTCCGGAGAGGGAGGCGAGCCTGTTGGTTTTTTTACTCCTTGTACCGGAGAAACTGCTACCATTTGTTCCACGACGACTTCTGGTTCCACAAGCTGTTCTACCGCTATTCGTTCCAAGACGGTTGTATGCGGACGCTCTGACACCGTAGGCTCGGCTGGGAGCTCTGTTATCGCCTCTGGGATGTCCACTAGCACGGGACTGGCTAGCGACGGTTTCGGTGACGACATGACGCTGAGGCCTGCAGTTGTTGCCGGCGTGGTCTCGTTGCTGGGCGAGGTTTCGGTCAGTGTTTGCGGAAAGGGAGTGCTCTCCGCCGAGCCTTCAGGCACGGCGTAGCTGTCGACGGGTCCCGTCTGCCACCATTCGGACGTATAAGGTTGGGTTTTGGAAACGCGAGAAGGCGGGTTGAGGGCGCCTGACCAAAACCCAACCTTATGCGTCCGAATGGTGGCAGATTCAAAGTTAATCGGATCTATGAAGCTGCCACTGGGGACGGCCGCAGAGGCAATGGGAATGGTGGTCTCAGGAGATGGCGGAGACAGGCTGATGTCAGCGCCTCCAAGCGAGATCTGGATCGAGTTAATCAGGTCGGCGGCGGGAATCATGTGGGTGATCGGCTCGTTCTCATTGCCTGCCACAATCATGCCGACTAGCGTGTCGCCACGCACGACCCAGGCACCAGACGACCCCAGCGCTGTTGTTGATTTTTCAGTCTGGACTCAACTTGGCTCAGGAGCGGGAAGCCGGGGTAAACTCACCAAGGGGTTGGTCTAGACCTATGATTCGGGTGTTTAGATTGCTTGTGGCGATGCTGAGACACCCTTCCTCGGGGAGGAGTGCTCCGTTTACTATTTCGCTGGGGCCAAGAATTATCTTGACCTCCCCGGGCAGCAGATCCTTGGTGTCTGCAAAGGCGGTGATGGAGACATCAGACCCAACACCTCGGCTGTATCTGTTGGTTCTAGTGCTGTTGGTTTCGTCGAGCTTGATGAGAGCAAAGTCAGACATCGACGACGGGTCCACGGATGTGACAAACTCGGTCTCTGATGAGCCGTCGTACACGACATCGCGGGTAAGGAACTTGACGTCGAGAAACTTCATGGCCGGCCCTATTTCGGCCGGCACCCATTTCGCGTTGCTTTTCGAGTCCTTTTGCGCTGCAAGCAAGGGCTTGAGCCGGAATACCTCGTAGCAGCTGTAGTCTTCGGATTCGCTGTCCGAGATGTCGTCCTCTGAGCCCAAGGCCAGCTCAGACTCGTCGTCAACGTCGGAATTTGCGTAGTGGGGGTTTTGAGGGTCCCAGTTCACGACGCCGTGGGCTGTCGTGACTGCGTATTTGACGCCATCGACGTATACGACGCCTCCGACAGTGGAATACTTTTGAGTCCAGATGGTGCTGTCGTGGCCTACCACAGACGCCCGACAGGTGAGGCCGTTGGCTGATGTTGTGTCGGCCATGTCTTCTTGGACATGGTAGTAGAGCCTCAGGCCGGGCAAGAAGCCGACGCCGTTGCTGAAGATGAACTCGTTGCCGTCCGCAGTGGCGGGCTCTGGTGTCATGGCGAGCAATCTCGCGGCATCGGCGACCTTGACGCTGCCAAACGGAGTGGTCCGTGTCCACTTGAGACAGTCGTCGCGCAGGGCCTTCTTAACTAGGCGCTGGTTCTTTTTCGAGCAGCGGATCCAGATGGTCGGCGCCAGAGTCACCTGGCCGGTTGCGCCGCCGGTCGCTTCGCCCGACATGCGGATGAAGGGCTTGAGCTCGAGGATCATGTGTTTTGGTAGGCGTGAGCCGAGGACAACGGTGCGCTCGACCTTGTTCTTGACCTCTTGCAAGTCCTGCTCGAGCCTGAATTTGATGTCGCGCTCCCATATCTCCTTTGCCTCGCGCGGCACGGGGACCTGGTCGTCCCTCGCGACAAAGACATTACGCTCAATGTTGTAGATTCTGGGAGACGATACCGGGAAGGGGCCCTCCTGGAACCTGACGGGGCCCGAGTTGACATCTTGCCGGGGGGCTGGAAGCTCGTCGAGCGACTGCAACGCCTCCTTGCGATTGAGTCGGATGCCCGAAACCTCGTCGTCAACAGCAACCTCTCCCTTGGCTGGTTTTCTTGCTGTGGCCTTCCGCAGGATGGTCTGGAGCCAGTTGCCCGGTTTTTGAAGCGTTGTTTCGCTCATTAGGCAAGCAGCTGGTGCGCGTTGCAGCATCTAGTTCTAGACCTAGACATTGGCGAGAGTCTTGTCATCATATGCCCGACATGGTCAACAAAACATGACTCTCGCGACTCTGCACAAATGGTTGGAGTCGCGTCGAAAACGATGAGCCCCAGAAAAGGATCGGGAAATTGGGGATGCGCAAAGGGAATTGGGGTCCTGGCGCGTCCAAACAGGGAACCGAGAGTGCCTTGGCATAAATAGGCTGTGGCGGAGCGTCTCAGCTCGCCGCCACCGGACCTTCATTGGCTCCCACGGCAAGGCTCTGAGGCTGTTAAGGGAAAATGGAATTTATCGATCGCTAGCGCCCAGCAGCTAGCCCGCGCACGGGGTCCTTCCCATTTTCGGTTCTGGGCCAGACAGACATCAACTCCAAACTCCAAGAACGCCGTGATAACTAAGGGAGGAAAAGAAGAAAAGGAAGAAAACACACTCCCCGAACAAAGCCAAGATGTCACGCAGATGGGCGACATTGCGCCGCCAGGCGTCAGACCTCGACGACCAAGTCGCGCTGGCAAAGTGTCTTTGGCCGCAGCTGCCCGAGACAGACTTTGAGCCGGGCCAGTACCGGCACGTCCTCGAGCACCTGCGCGACGGCATAGCCGATCTCGAAACGCGGGCGTCGCTGGAGCCCAAGCGGGCGCGGCAGGCCATTGTCGCCGTGGCGGGGCTCAAAGACGCGCGGAGGAGCGACGTCGAGGCGGCCGTCAAAAGCCACTATGCGGCGCCGCCGTCCGACTCCACCGCCGCGCAAGCCGTCGAGACCATCCTGCGGCTGTGGACCATGCTCGACGTGCAGCTGCAGCGGCCGCGCCACCGCAGCCCGCCCGACGCGCTGATCTGGGACGACGACGCCGCGCCCCTGACCGCCGTCATCAAGCAGCACTTTGACAACCGCCGGCCCGCGGCACCTAACAAGAACACCACCACCGCTGCCGAGCCAGACGGCGACGACGAACCCATCGACGCGGCGCTGACGGCGGCGTACCTAGCCGCACACCACGGGATCCACGTGTTGTGGACGAGCAACCTGGGCGAGCACCTGGTGCTGAACGGGCGGGTGCTCAAGGTGTTCAAGCACAAGCTGTGGGCGTGGAACAGCCTGAGGTACCAGCATCAAGCTCAGAACGGTAACAACAGCAGCTCGCCCATCCCGGCCGACGTGCTCGAGGAGCTGGTCGACACGTGGAACCTGCTGTTCCCGGCGTTCGACGAGGCCACGCGCGGGCTGCTGCGCACGGCCGGCATGGTTGCGCCCTTCTACGGGCTGGGGTACTGCGGGCGGGGGCGGACGCTGGCGCTGGCGCGGTACGGGGTCTGGGGCGGCGAGGTGGCGCGGCTGGCGCGGGTGCTGGACGAGCCGCAGCGCGGGCTGCAGCAGTTCCTGCGGCCAGACCGCAAGAAGCGCAACGCGCTCGAGCTGGCCGCCTTCTGGCTGGCCGGCGTCGTCGTGCTGGTGCTGACGTTCGTCGGCTGCGTCTGCGGCGTGCTGTCGCTCAAGTACGCCGTCGAGCAGACAGACCTGTCCCGCAGGCAGCTTGACCTCGCTCTCGCCACCACGTGTGCCGACCCGGTCATGGCCGCGCGCCTTCCGGGGTTCTGTTGACTGTACCGGGTGAGCTGTTGGGGCTAGCTATGTAACTGACGAGTCTGTAGAGAAATTAGATAAACACAGACTGCTGCACAATGTGTGAAAATCACTGCGTTCATGGTGAAAACGACAGTACTGAGACCTACCTCTGTACTTATCTATAGACAACCTGATTAGACGCAGACAAACCGCTGCCCTATTTACTGATATGTGAGTGCCGCTGTTGAGTGTTGGACTCTTGAATAAGTATTGGCATGGGGCGTGTCAGACGCCCGAGTCTTAGTTCTCCGCGGTTCGCCCTCAAGGCTTTCTCAAAGGGAGGCGACGGGTCCCTGATATGTACCTAACTAAAATTCACAACGGAGAACCGGATAGGGGCCCGTAATGGGCGACTTCCCGCGCCAGGGCTGCACTGCAGCAGAGACGCACGCAAACTCGACTCCAACTTCGGCGAAAGCGGCGTGCAGCTCAGCCACATGCGCCGAGACCTCTTCCATTGATTGAGGAGGGCGGTCGAGTCTTACCTCGACGTGGCGCAGAAATGGGAACCGAGGGCACTCGCTGGCAAGCGGCCGGAGGCGCTCGAGCTCAGTTGCAGCATCGCCCTAGAGAACGGGGTACGCAAAGTTCTGAAGGGCGAGAGGTAAATCGCGGTCTCTGGCTTTCGGTCCTCTCTCTTCAAAGAGACACAACTTGACGAGGCGGAGCGGCAGATTGATGTGGGGAGGCGGCTTGTCGCCGAAGACCAGGTGGATGGGCATCTCGAGGTATCTGAGCCGTTTCAGGCGCGGCAGGCTGTTGAATCGGCCCTTGGGCAGGAGCAGCCCTTTGGGGCTCGGGGTGGCCTCTGAAAAGAGCCGCGTGTCGGCAGCAACATCGCCTGATAGCTCGAGGTGCTCGAGCGTGCTTGCATTTGAGAGCAGGACTATGTCCCAGTTGCGCTTGCGTTCGGCATGATCAAGAATGGTTAGGTGAAGATCGGAATGCGAGTAGCATAGCTTTCGTAACTTGCGTTGATCGCAAAGGCAGCGAAGCCAGGAGAGGCGCCAATGATAGTCGCCCGACAGGTGAACCAGTCTCGAAGCTGTAAGGGTGATGGTCTTGAGGCTGGCTAGGCTCTCTCGGTCAAAGGCGAAGCTGTGACTGTAGGGATGGCCGGGAATCAGCAGCGACAAGTGGTTGACTCGGCCAAGCTTGAGTGGGCTGTGGCTCCCAGCAAGGCGTGCAAAATCAGACCCAATTCCCAAGTCCATTCTCATAGTCTTTAGTTGCGGGCACGGACGGGAGCCTGAAGCCAATGTGGTGGCTGTGGCTCCAATTTCCGCGGGACGTGTGGTGACGCGATTCATGGCAATGGCAGAACGTACCAACTTCGAATATACATAACCGGATCCTGCCAGCCAAAGAGCGTTCAGGTTCGGGGTAATAGAGAGGGCGCCCAGCAGCCCCATTTCCACGAGCTTGGTCCAAGATCCAATGAGAAATTTGGAGTTGTGTGCCTGAGTATAGTGACCGGAGCCAAGCCACGTCGTGGAAAGAATCCATTTTTCCCGATTCTAGAGGCTCACTCAAAGCCCGGAGAGCGCGGGCAATGTCCACGGCGCGCTTGGAATTCCCTGATTCTGCAAGATAACCATGGATAACGAGGCACTGCACGTTCTTAGCGGGCCCGGAGTGTAGGATCAGGGTGGCAACAAGTTTCATAATTGCCACGCCCCTGTCGAGTACGAGAGTTGTAAAGAGAAGTCGATTTGCCAGTCCCGAGAGAGTCTTTGACATGCTTGCAGGTCCGACTAGTTCCCGTAGTCCACTCCTGAGCTGTTGAGTATATTTGGAAGGCGGCATGCCCATGACATCTTCGCTGGAGGCTATGATCAGGTAGCCGAAGATTTCAAGTATTATCTTGGCCGGAAGGCGTTCAAGACGCGATAGGCCGGTTCCGGCTCGGGCGGGTGTCTCGATTTCCATTGTGGGACCGTTGGTGTGGCGTGAAAGGGCCAAGACCGGGTCGTGACCGCCGTGGTTAGTCGCAGAGGTTTCTCAAAGCTCAACCTCAGGTAGGGCTTGCAAAGAATGGAAAGAGAAAGAAAAAGGAAGTGCAGTAGCGACCGAGCTTGTAATTGGGCACCGCTAACTGTATTGCGCCTTTTCGAGGTAAGGGAGGTACTACCAACTCCGGGACCCTGCAACAGGAAGAGTGGGCGGGAGAGGCTTCGCAATTAGGGACTTGGTCAGTTGGACGGATAGTAGGGTTTGAGCTCTTGCCTCTATCTATCATTCGACTGCCATTAGGCAAGAACGGCGGGACGGTATCAGACAACACAGGGCAGGAAACAGCACATAACTAGAAAACAGATAGCAGACATTTGCCATTTAGAGTAAACCAGCAACCATGCCACACGTCCAGTGGCGCAGAATGAGCTTGGTGCAGGGTGCCTACCATCACAGGACATGGTTACATGCAGGTACCCAACCTCGCACTAGACCCCGAGCCCTATACCCGAAAAGATCAGACGAGGAGTATTTTGACGGCTTCCTTCTGTGCCTCGAGAATCCTGGCATGGGACATGATGCGGGCTCTGATGGCCTCGGGAGTGCGCTTCTGCGCGGTGGGGGTCACGATCTCTAGGACCTCCATCAAGGCGGAGAGCGCGCGAAAATACTCCTCCGACATGGCCTGCGTTCCTTCGCCCGTGTGGTAGACGAGATGCAACCACAGCTCGCACATCTGGCCGCTGCGGATGGCTGAGTTGACAAGATTGGCAACTAGTGAAGCGCACCGCGGTAATCAATTAGCGAATAAGCCCATCCGACGCAGTCTGCAAGACACTCCATGCGCAAGCGCATGTCACATTAATTGCGGGAGGGGAGGAAGACATACCGCTACTCCACTTGGACTTCTCCTGCCGTTCTCTATAGAATGAGAAGGCATTCCACGCCAAGTAAGCCAATCCAAGCCCTACCTGGATGGCTTGTGACCCCCGCTTGCTCGGCAAGTCTTGCAGCACGTCGGCTCGCTCCTTGGCCGCCTTGATCTCGCCATCGGTGTGCTGGATGAAGCCTAGTGCCTTTTCAAAACCTGCCACGTCGAGTCCCCAGCCGACTTCACAGGCGTGTTCTCGATAGCGGTAATGTTTGCTGAGTAGGCCGCGTAGTTGTAAGCGCTGGAGGCCGTGGTGGGCTCGGTGTTGGAACAACGCGCTAGTCAGCCACAGATGTGGCTGTGGAGGCGCAAGCAGCCACATGTGGCTGTGGAGGGGCAGGGGGCAGGGCCACCGAACCTAAATAAGTGGCCTACGGCCACTTCCACCTTCCTCCTCAGAGATACACATAGACAACGAAAATCCAACACTTGAACCACCAGTATACGGCGCGCAGCGCGCCCTGTTGATTCCAGTACCGGTACCTGGTGATTCCAACACTCGGGGTAATGCTGTTGACAACAGTGGTGCGCTGGGAGGACAGGAAGACGTCCACCGCCTGTTTGCAGACCGTCGCTGTCTCAAAGCCCGTGGCGAAAAGAGCCTCGAGGTTCTTGAGGACTTCCCGGTGCTGAATGCTGATCTCGCGGGAGGTAGCTGCGTGAAGTACGTACTTGTTAGAATTTTCTTTTTATATTTTTATTCCTGTATTTTATTTCATCTGCTCAAGGAGGGACTACCTCTGTTAGATTTATCAGAAAAGTGAAGTGGCTCATATCCATCACCACGCACGCATTCAAGGCAAACAATTGGTACTTGTTAGAACATTGCTGCAAGCTGTGTCCTGCGGAAACAGTGTGCAGTTGCAAGTGGGAAAGACAAACACTCGTCGCCAAAGAGAAAGAAAGAAGACAAAAAAGAGAAGAAAGAAAAGGGAAAAGAGTTCAATTACACTTTCCTGGGTCATCGTTCATGATACTACCTGCCCAACCAACCAAGTTACTGTTCGAGGTGGAGACGAAGCCCGGATGCGCCCTGGATTGAAATGATTCGGTCACTGGGAACCAAGTATGTCCGAGCGAGGCGGCCATAAGGCCGGCTTCTAGCCTGTTTGTGTCAACAACGATGGGGCGGGGGAGTGGAGATGAACACCCTAATTACCAGTTTGGGAGATAGGAGCTCAGAGCCTTTGTCTTTTTCTTAATATCTTCTATGAAGCCGTTGAGCTGGTTGAGCTCCTTGCTGCCAAGGTTCTGCAGCCACATGAAGAGCGCACTGTACCACAACGTGCTCATCTGCTCCGACTCGGGCGAGTATCCCAGGACACCAAACTCGGAGAGGGTGCCATAGATCCTGCTATCTCCATTGCTGAAGAAGCAGTCGCAGAAAGCCCTAAGGCTCTCGTCAAGAGAACCCTGCTGATCGGAGCACTCGAAACGGATCTGGTTGGACCGGACGAGGCTTAGTTGGGACCAGCCGGTTGAGCATGAGATGGTGTTGATATCGCGGGAAGGCAACTGACCTTGAGTACGCATTCGCCGTCATCGGAATAGGAAATGCGATGGGAGCTGCGTCTGATAGGAGCTCCCCCATCTACTTCATAATATAGGGCTTTAAGAAATCGGCGGATCACACCTGGCGTCTCATCGTCCTGGCCGTCAAAGCCACGGACAACGACGTGGTACGAGTCTGGAACTACAATGACAGTCATTGCGAAGTCTTGGCAATGAGGAACTAAGTAATTAATGGATTCCTGTGGGCAATCTGGCGATACTCGCTGTCTAGGAGTCGAGAGAAGCAACAGAGTCGACTTGACAGGTCAACCGGGAGCCTTGCCAGAACAATTACGGGCTTACAGCGCTCTCTATCGCCTTCCCAGACACCGCCGCGTCTATCGCCCGACCTATCGGCAGCCGGGCAGGCCATCCCTGGCGACAATGTATGTGATATTCCTTTGTAGGCTGGCATTGGTAATACTAGTGATTTGGGTCAGTTCTTCGATTTCTTGACCGGGCATTCTCGTCGCTAATTCCCTTATCGCTAATTCCCTTATTAGGAAGCCCGAGCCTAGGTTTTGATACCGTCGATGATAACGCTGGCGATTCATTAAGGCACGCAGATGACGGTGCCTCTAGACCGCAAAAGGTCCAAATACCTATCTCTCAAAGCTCTACTGGGACGTTCCAGGACTGGAGGCTTGAGGACGCAGTCCTCAAACGCGTGATAGTGGACGGCGTAGCAACTTTCCAGCTATAGTTCTCTTAGACGCCTTACGCGGATTACGACCGCGAAGATTGCGTAGCTGGAAGCCGGTAATTCGATTCGCTAGCCAAGATATAACGTTCCTGTTGAACTGCGTGTTGCAGGCAGGCGGAGCGGAAGCGTTTTAGCGTAGGCTGGGGAGCCAAGTGCAGGGTAGATCTCAGGGAACTGTGCCTGCGAGCGGGCTTGAGGTATTAAAACACAGCAATTGCTTTTCCATCATGTCATGTCACATCTGGCCGCGGGACTGAAGTAGTTTCGCGCCAGTACCCCGCGTGCTTTACGAAGAGAGTCGTGCAGCTTTGAGAGAAGAGTGCGAAGGACCGCCGGACCGTCTCTCTTGCCTTCGGTGTAGTTCATAGACTAGATAACTATGAATACCTCCTAGTACTCCTGTTCTCCGACCCACCCCTCGTCCCTTAAATTTTGGAATAACGACCCAACTCGAGACCGCTTGAACTTGCCCGACACCTCCTTGAGCTTGCGGTAGCTTCCCTTGAGGCTCAGCTTGGAGAGCTTGGGCGTGAGCGTAAGCGTCTCCCCTTCGCCATTATCAGTGCCCTTATCCTTGTCAGTACTAATACTCATCTTCTGCTTTCCCTTCTCTCTTCCCTCCGGCACCCCCTTCTACTCCTCGTAGCCATCGTCATACTTGCTCTGCTCTATTAGTAGACGTTCCTTCTCCTTCTTCTCCTCGTGGCTATCGTGGCCATCATCATGCTTGCTCTGCTGTATTGGTAGACGTTCCTCCTTCTCCTCCTCCTTGAGACTACTAATCCCACTGCCCGTCTTGGTATATTGGCTGACTTGAATACTGTTTGTACGTAGCGCTGGGAGTATGGTGTTGGAGAATGAATTCTTGTCGTCCTCGTACTCCTCTCCTGAGGCCTCCAGATCGGAATCCCTCTCGCCTAGCTCTCTTTGCAATCGCTTAGGAAACTGAACTTTCCGTACAGCTTCATGGTACGCCATCTCGAGAAGGGATTTTCTCCAAATCGCTTCTGTCCTCTCGTTCAAGATGCCGAGCTCGAGAGCCTCTTTGAGCATATCGTCCTAGTCGGTAGGTAAAAATACCTCGTTTCGAACCGAACCTGGTAAGTTATCGTCCGGGGGGTCGCCGCCAAAGATAGCTTGAAGGGCTCCGGCGGCTTTTATACCGGCAAATATCTGTGGCATGGCATATCGCATCTGGAAGAAGCGGATGTGTGGTAGCGGGCGTTTCTCTAATCAGACGTGCTTAACTCGTAGATATCGCCGTGTACGACATACCTGGCGCCAGCCCCAATCGAGTCCTGTATCGTCCGCTTACGATCCATCAAGTTGGTCTCCTTGCTATAACCCTGGCCGCCACTAGTAAGACCTATCCCGTTATGCCGTTCTTTAAACCAGACGACTTGAAGGTACATCTTATGCTCTGGATTGGTTAGGTGCTGGATGGGAGGGAGGGCAAATTTATGCCGGTCCCAGAGCCGATGGGCGGTAGGCTGCAACGGGAGGATGGGACAGTGGGACTGCATCGGACAACACAGGGTAAAAAACAGCACACAGTGTCATCTATCTGGTTCTTTTGTAAGCCAGTACTAGCCATGCCACTCCTCCAGAGTAGCAAATTCTGTTCGTCAGTCATAAATCGTCAATCATCCAAAAAAACACACACTGGTCCGCTCCACCCTCTTGCCATTTTGTCCCATGTCTTGAGGCTGGCTTTCTAAGGAGGCTGCTCCGTGGTCCCACACTTGGAACGCACCTCGGGCAAGTGCCACCCCACTTGAATTTGAAGGCATGAACGTGCCTTCCAGAGTTAGTCATGCTCCACCTTGATGTCCTCGGCGGCCTTCGCAGCCTTCGCAGCCTTCACAGCCGCAATCCTCGCATTTGCCTCAGCAGCCTTTCTGAGAATGGTCTCCGTCTTTTCGGCAGCAGATTTGGACCTTGACGGCCGCGAACGGCGAGGCCGCTTTGGACCACCACCATTCACAGTACCGGCATTGGCACCACCATTGGCACCGCCAGCGGCGCCATCGCTGCCGCCACGATTGCCGTTGCCGCCAACAACGCCGCCACCGCTGCGGAGTTGTCTCCGCGGCACCTCGCACTGCTTGCCGCAGGTGGTGCACACAAAGCCCTCCCTGCCAATCTCGACCCGCGGGCCGACGCACGAGCTACAGCGCCACCACGTCGTGTCAATCGCGCGGCTGCTCCACCACTCGTCGGAGCCGCGGCGCGGCGCGTGGTCTGCCTCGCGAGGCATGCTGGGCTTCCTGAGGTGCGAACGCGGCGCGACCATGTCCTCGCCGTGGACGTCGATCAGGTGCTCGCGCAGCTGGCTGGCGTACTGGAACGAGAGCGGTGCGCGACTGCCCTCGCTGCTGCTGCTGCCGCGCCGGAAGCACCGCGGGTAGTCGCAGACGTACTTGGCCTTCTTCTTCTGCTGTGGATGGGGCTGCTGCTGCTTCCGTGGTGGGCGGTGCTGATCCTCGAGTGGCTCCTGCTTAATCTTCATCTCCTGCGGAGCTTTCTCCTTCGCTTCCACCTTCGTCGCCTCCGTCATCTCTGGCTTTGCGGCCTCCACGTTGCTGGCGCGGCTGTCCACATTGCTGGCGCGGCTCTCCACGTTGCTGGCGCGGCAGTGCACAAGCTTGTAGTGGTAGTCAAGGTCGTAGATCTGGCTGTACGCCTTTTGCCTGCATCCAGACACAAGACAGGTGAACTTGGTGTCTCCCGTGCCGGTATCCGCACTGCTGCTGGCTTCGGCAGTACCAGCACCACTATGACCAGCAGCATAAGCCTCGAACTGCTTGCCGTTCGCAGCTGTGGCTTTCCATTTGGTTGCCGTGTTGCTGCTGGGCTGGCCTACTCTAAAGCTGGTTGCATTGGCGTGCCCCAGCAGAGATGGCGCAAACGGGTTGCTGTCGCCGGACAAGGACGACGAGGACGTGTAGCACTGTTGGGAAACCCCCGCCTGGCCATACGTCACAGGGCTGATTGGGCCGTACTGCGAAGCGCCAAGGGGGAAATAGCCAGTGTGGTTTGTGTTGTACGGGGACATGGGGGACATGGAGTACGAGAACGGGGACATCAAGGACGGAGACATGCAGTCCGGCGACATGGCGTGCGGAGCGCTAGTCGAGGTGTTGCTAGTGTACGACATTGTGCGCGCGCAGTACGACGCGCCAGCGCTGGTTACCTGGTCATGGTGGTACGAAACGCCAGTGTCAATCGAGAGGTAAGATGGCGCCGCGGGGTAAGCAGGCAAACCCGAGTCGCCAACTGCGGAGTGCTCTTGCGAGCTCAACATCTGCTCGGTGTCTTTGGAAGAGGATGCCATGGCTTTGATGCGAGACTCGAGCTGACCCCCCTGACTTAATTCTGAGTGTGCTGATTATAAAGTGATGTGCCAGGCTCTGGGAGAAGAACCGCAGACGGTTCAAATGACGCGAGAGGGAGATGGGCATTTAACAACTCCATTCTTGCTCGCGCTCTTTGGCCGACGAGTCTCGCCCCTCCTTTCCGCAAGCCACCATTGTGCCACTGCATGTGTCTCAGTTGGTAACAACCGATATTGGCCGCCACAACAGTCCAGTGCGGCACACAGTCTGCCCATATCCTGCTAGTAAGCCCTACTTTTCTTGCTTGGCCGTCAGTCCCTTCTCGGAACGAGATTTTCGACCAGATCTTGGAGGCCTGGGTGTTCCCGTTTGTGTCGAGGTGAACATCTGAGTGGTAATTCCTTTTGTTCCGGATCGGCTCTGTTGACCCGCTTATCAGCAGCTCACCATCAGCGGGCCAAAGACACGTACAGTGCAGATAACAGCCAGGGTCCCAGTTTTGTGACTTCATTGGCCAGTGTTTGCATGCACAGTGTTAGCTCAGATTGCGGGGTAACGTGGAGCAAGAAAGCAAGACCCGGGTGGTGGAAAGCTCTTTCCCCCCTTTGTTCCTTTTTACAGACCTGGTGTTTTGTGTTTTTCCACATCTCACCTTCTTATTGTTTTTCCTATTGTTCATGTCTTTCGGACTCTCCACTTTTTAGGGTAAAGAAGTCGCTCGGGAAAGCACAATCCCGTCTCGAGCAAACAGAGCTCATGCAGGCGTCTGGATAGACAATTGAGCTAAGGCACGACTCGGGAACTACTGTATGCTGTCATGGTGATCGGCCCTATAGGGGTCCGATCTCTCCTGCTGCATGACGAGCGCTCTTGATCTAAGAGGGGGAACAGGCGGTCTAGAACCGGGCCTGAGAAAATTTTCCCTGTTCATGCCAGCTAATTCCTGTCAACGTAGGAGCACAGTGCCTGCACCTCGGGTGGTGTGTTCAGCTTCCCACACTTGGCCAACTACACCTCCCCCTTATGCTATGCCATTCGCTAACCAATGAAACAGGTCTCAGATACCCCTCGGAAAAGACGAAAATTGAGAGACGTGCAGGACAGCAAACCGGTCGAGCCTAGCTCTGTCGCTTCCCAACTAACCGTTGTTGAAAACCGGGGAGTCGAAACGAAGCTTATCGTGACGGCAAACACATAGAAGCTACTATAGGCAGCTGAAACTAAACCTAAGTTTAATTGATTAGATGTGGATGAATTTGTTTAAGTTTCTAATCGTATCTGACTTTCTAAGCCAAATCTGTCTCTTTTCTCCCACCCACCCTTCCATTTCATCTCCCCTCGCACACCGGTCATCGTGAGAGCCGTAATCGTAGCGGGCGGAAGCGCAGCCACTGTCGTCTCCCTCATTACGTGCACCTCTAGCATACTACTCCGCACAGACTCCGATGGCGGGACTTCAAGTACATGAGAAGATACCCAAGGACGAAGACCGCCTGCCCAAGATAGAGGCAAATGAGACCAGGGCCAAAAACCGAAGAGGGTCACCAAGGCGTGTCCACACTGCGAGCTCCAGTTCTGCTCCATCTTTTTCGGTGTTCCTTACGAAACAATGGCAAATGGTGGCTGGACTGTGAGGTGGCCCTTACGTACATCGACGACAGCAAAAGGTCCTTCTCGAGACGCATATCTGCACGCGCCCTGCTCGCTGGTGTGCTTGCCACTAATTTTCCGCAGGACTTTTGTTGCAGAGACGTGCATCTCAAGTGCTTTTTTATCGCCTACTGCAAGCCCACGGGATCCGCATCCCTCGCCACCGCCGCTTGCTCCTCCCTCACCCGCGCGTCACACACCCCAGGGAAGCTGCACGTGCATCCAATGTCTAAACCGCGCCTGGTGGTGCGCATCGTGATCGAGTACCGCCCCTCGCGCGGCACCGTCTGCCCGCCCACCACGTCCGTCTTGCGCCCCTTGATGCCATGCGTGTAGCCATAGCGCGACGCACCCGTCATGAGCAGCAGCGACCGCGCCGGCAGCAGCAGCTCCCACGACGGCAGCTCCTCTCCCTCGGATTCCTGCTGCTCCGTCCCGCCTGCAGGTTGTTGGGTGGCTGGGGGTGCCGGGGGTGGGTGCGCAGGGGCAGACTGGCCGCTGGGCCCGCTGGCTTCCCCCGCTGACGGCGGTTGAGGTTCGGGGGGGTCTGGCGACGCCAGCAGCGACCGCTTTGGGAGGCGCATCTTGCGGGCGTCGTTGGTGCCGGACTTTTTGAACGCCATTGGCACGGCGCTGCCAAAGGAGAGGCTGTAAAGCGCCTCGCTGAACATGGAGTGTGTGTCGACGTGGGGCGGGATCCCCGCGCCGGGCGGGTAGTACTGCACGGTGAACTGGTCCGGGAGATACCCCTGGACGGGGAGGCGGGGGAGCAGGTTGGCGACGTATGGTGGGAGCGGCGTGAAGCGCGTGTCCGACGCGCCGAACGTCGTATAATCGAAGTGGTAGCCAAAGTGCTGGCTTAGCCGCTTCCGGCCGCCCGTCCGCGGGTCCGCGGCGTGGAAGGCCGCGATCATGGCTGCCTCGTCGGCCGCGGAGATGAAATCGTGGATCAGTACCAGCCCAATGTCGTCCCATCGCTCAATGTTCGGGTCGGCTGGATCCCGAGTTGGAGCGGGTGCACTGTGTATGGCATTCGCGGATGTCATGGTTGTGGATTATGGGCGTGGATTTGAAGGTTCATTTTTGGTGATGATCACGGGAATCATACGATTTTGAGCATCACGAGCGAGACGTTGCTGCAAATTTGGCTGCGAAATTTGCTCAGATAATCTGATACCAGGGTTAGGGTTGTGTAAAGAGGCATGCATGGATCCGCTCTTGTCGGCCCGGGGAGTTCATCTTCAACACCGGGACCCGGGTGTTACACAATGCGGACAAGAAACTCATGTTAGACGGCGGAAGGAGCCAGAGTTCCAGTAATACCTAATAATGCTAGACAAAAAAGAGAGACCCTGGTGGCCTTGGATACTGACGAGTCGCAAGAGGAAAGCGCATGCGAGATAGCGTGATTAAACGGCAGTCGGCATCCGTAGCGCCTGCCGCCTGCCGGATTCATCTGCACCAGGGAGGCACTACTGGCAATCTTGTTGCCCATGATCCAGTGTTTTGGCTTTTCTGGGATGGCACGGCCTCACCAGTGGCCGCCGGTCCCGACCCCGCCGCCAGCCTGCACGAAAAGAATTCGATGCCTGAAATAATTAATTAATGGATTTGTGCTCTATCTTATTCTTATTCATTGGGCGAGAGCCGACGTGTTCAAGGGATATCGAGCTCGTCCCAGGACGCCAGGTCTCGTGCTCGCGGCTCTGCTCGGTTCCATGCGAGCATTCCCGATTCTTCCCGAATCTCATTCTCCGCACGTTGGCCGTCGAAGGAAGTGAGTGCACCGAATTCAGATCCCTGACAACCGGCCGAAACAAGGGAAGCCCGAATTTGCGGTGCAGAAACCCCTCGATTGGTGACTTGAGAAGCGGCGCGCACGCACCGATGATGATGAGAATCTCCTCAAGCCTCGCCCACATATACCCGGGTATCTGGTCGATGGCGTTGTCCTCGGCCGTGATGTCGTAGCCCTTCAAGACCTTGATCTTGAATATTCCAGCCCCAACGGCTAGAAGTCCCAGCGCCAGGAGAATTGTTATCAACGTCCGTTCGACAACGGACCGGTTCAGCCGCCAGATGGTGACCATGGGTAGCAAAGCGAATATCGCGTCGCTAAACATGGCAATGGCTTCCTACCTGTCAGCACGCCAGCTTCCGGTGCCTTGAAATGGGCAGCACTCACAAATGAAGACATAGGCATTTGCCCACATGCCCTCGATGGGAAAGCACTCCGAGTCGGGAACAGTCTCCCACGCCGCCCGGATTGGCCGACAGGCGATTAATTCAACAATGTCGCAGGCGATGAGCGCAGCCAGCTGAAACCCAATGATGACCCATAACAACATCTTCCACCGCGGCCATGGCGTGATGCGCAGTAGCAGACAGGCAACCGAGATTCGTCCGAAGCAGGATGCCCACAGCCCGATGACGAAGACGACAAATGTGAATGTTCCGATGTCCGACGCTTCATCTTTGTTGATGTACCAGACATGCCGTCCGAACCCGCGGCTCACGGCTGCGATGGTGAATACAATCGCGATTGTTTCGGCAACCTGCTCGACTGCCAGTCAGGACATGGTCAGTCTCTCTGGACGCGAGGGAGGCACTCACCACAGCGACCGTTATCATGTAGTCAGCCGCAGTCAGCCTCGGCTTCGGCCGTAAGCGGGACCAAATGCGTACCGCGTAAAGGACGAGGGCGACTGCGAACAAGGGAACTAGGACCGCCAAGAGTCTGGGTCCTACCGAGTCGTTGGGCGGCAGGTCGTTGCCTTTGGCGCCCATGCTGGCAGGATCAGAACACACAACGCCGAGGCAGAGCCGCAACTCGAGCCGGAACTCGATCCGACTGATGCGGTTAACTGATGGGTCAAGTGGAAGAAAATGCGACAAGTCTCCGCACTTGAAGGAAACCTAAAATGCCACGCTCTTCACCGTCCAACATACCCTTGGCCCCCCCTTTTGCGCACGGTCCGTCACTGTTAGCTGCTATTTCCTGGTTTTCTATGGCTCGGTGGCAGGAGACCCCAAACCTTGGCAGCGCCGGGATGTCACCTAGTCGCCCGCGTCGCGTGTATGATTGGCTAGCCAGCCTCTTAGGCTTCCGATAACCTGGTTATGATCCCAGAAACCGATTACACAGTCAGCGTGGCTCGGGGGGTGCACATACTGGCCGAATGTAGCCGGGGCCGCTTTTAGAAGGCCCAATCGCATCTGTCGCGATTGGGGGTGCGATTTCATGTGCCGCAAAGCTACACTGAAAGCATTGTTCCGATCTTCATATGCAGAGGCGGGCTCAGATATCACGGCCGCCGGCACCCACCTCGGACTTGCAGCCGCGGTGCTCCGCGGAAAGCCTGAGATTGCTCATCGAGCCTGAGACAAACCAACACGATGGCTTCTTGGCCGTCGTCACACGGTTACACTCTGCTCTGGCCTTTCAGTGCCGTTCTTTGCCTCTCATCTTTCGGTCAGGCATTGACTCAAGAGTCAAGTTCAGCTAGTCGACAGAAAAGCCAAGCTCTGCAAACAGAACGGAACTTTTGACATTTCTGGAAAGGTACCCGGCTGCACGCAAACATGCAGCTAAAATGGCGAGCACTGCGCTTGGGCAACATTGACGAGGTCAATGAGAAGTTGTGTGGCTGCTGAGAGCCTTGAGCGTGTAATCACAGCACCTCCATGCCGGGGCTCGCATGAACAAGTGTTCATGTGACACATTGCAGGAGAGCTTTGATCTGGGTACCCCATCTAAAAATCGGCGTACACCCCTGGGGGTCATTGGCAGCTGCGAACGCAGGGACCGCTTTTTGTATAGTAAAATGCCGTATTTCTAGGCAGCCACCCAACGCCATACAGGGCGCCAAGGAAGCCCAGCAAAGTAGAAATAACACTATTTACACTCTCAGATGCCGGTGGCTTCAAGTCCGTACAGGTTTCACGCCTTGTTGGCCCGGGCGGCCGGGCTAGCACATGGAAGCGCACAGGCGGTAAGATAGTATTTCACGATTTTACCGGCCGAAATTAATCCCTGAGCATCTCAGCTACCAGCAGCTGGCAAGGACCCCCGAGGGGGTACGCCGATTTTTGGATTGGGTACCCAGATCAAAGCTTATATACAATCTATGCGGCACGGTCATAGAAGCCTGGGTTGCCAGGATGTACTGGGCGGCCGGGATGTATTGAGTGGCCGGAATATACTGGGTGGCTAGAATAGCATGCGTAGCTGGGTCCGGTAACGTCAGGGAAGATAGCGAGCGCATGAGGTTCTTGAAAACTAGCCGCGCGCTGTCGGCGAAATTCGCGATGCCGTTGATACCGAGGCTGCAGTGCCCTACGTGGAAGACTTTGGTGTTTGACGGGGAGGCATACAGAGCGATGTCAACAATACCAGTTACCCGGTCCCCGAGCCGCGCGAGCTGCTCGTCGTACGCTCCCCGCGCGCTGCCCTTGAGCCGCGCCCACTCGGCCGAGACGTCGATCGGCGGCGCCACGCGGTCGCGGTGATACAACGGCGCCAGATAAATGACTGACTGTGAGACGTCGATCTCCTCCTCGCCGTCGACCTCCTCCTCGCCGTCGACCTCCTCCTCGCCGTCGACCAGCCCGTCGACGCAGTGCACGTAGGCGGCGACGGTTGGTCGCGCGGTGTCGTGGTTGGTTGCTAGCTCTGGCGGCGGGGTGAGTGTCTCGTCGCCTGACGTGAGCGGGCTTTGACTTCGTCGTCAATTTCTAGAATATTATTCTTAGCAGTCTCTAGAGCTGTGATGACAGCTCCCGTGCTATCGAAGTTAACCTGCACCAAGAGCAATGCTTTCCCCTCGCCTGGGCGGTTGCAGTGCGCGCACAGGCCTGGCCACACGATGTAGTGCTTGCAGTCTCTGAGCCTGTTGCCGTGAGAGACGATCTCGTCAACATTAGGGGTTAGCATCGCATTCTTGTGTCTGCTACTGATCTGGGCCATGGCTATGGGACACTCTAGCTCGTGGCCCTCCTGCAGAACCGGGCTGCCGCTGCTCGGTACCGTCCACTCGGACTTGTACGTCACGCAGTGCTGCCAGACGGCCGCCGGCCGGGTGACTTTCTCCAGTAGCGCCGAGCGGGTAGGGGCGTCTGATTCACTTGTTCCTACTGCTGTGTTGTCCACGGGCTGTTCCGCTATATGCACATGGTGCGGGCAGCTAGGGCCATCAAAGCCCTCGTCCGGGTCAAAGCAATCGCACCAGGGGTGCATGGGCACGACACGGAGACACATTGTGGGATTAGAGTCGCAGGTCAGGTCGGGAGTAGAGTGAGAACAAATTTTCTGGCGTTGTTTAGGTGAGTTATTGTCAATCTTATAGACAGGGTGACCCACCTTTGCAATCGCCCCACTTTGCAATTTTTCCCCCACACCGCCAACTTCCTACTCTCTACCTTCCACTACTAACAACTTCCTCAATACTGGTCGGAATAGGCTCAAAATACGATGGTTCGACGCGTACGAGAGCGGCTAATAGCCGAGGCTATTGAGGCTATTGATCAGGGCGCTCAGCAGAAGGAAGTAGCGCGCCTATATAGGATCCCTGAATCCACCCTCAGCAGACGACGCCGTGGACAACAGGATCCACGACAAGCCCAAAAAAACACCCAGAAGTTAACTGACGGCCAGGAAGCCTTCGTCGCCGAGTGGGCTCTTGAGGAGGAAGCTGCAGGGCGTGCCCCAAGTCGTGCACAGCTAAGACGATTCGCACAAGCGATCCTGAACGAAGCCGGGCCCCCTGGGCGAGTTGGTGAGCGCTGGGTAGATCGGTTTTTTACCCGCAACCCCAGGGTAAAGGCCAAGTTAGGTACCTTATTAGAACGGTCTCGAGTCAAAGGATCTACCCGTGAGAGATTCCAGCATTTTTTTGATCGTTTGGAAGCTGTAATTAAGGACAAGAAGCTGGTACCTGCGAATATCGCCAATATGGACGAACATGGCATGCAAGAGACGGAAACTACGGTTGGGAAGGTGATTGGCGATGCCCTCACATCTCGGGCAGTCCTGACTGGCCCTGATCCAACGACCTGGGTCAGTATTATCGAGTGTGGTACCGCTGAGGGCAAGCGATTGACGCCCGTAGTGATCTTTACGGGTGAAAATCTACAAGGCCAACACTTCCCGGATAACTTCAAGGAACTACCAGTCCTCAAGACCTGGAAGTACGACTGTACGCCCACAGGCTGGAGCAATAGCAAAATAGCTCTTATGTGGCTCAAGGAAGTATATCTTCCTCAAACAAAGCCCCAAAGGAAGGACGATTGGCGCCTATTAATCCTCGACAAACACGCTACTCATATCGACGAAGACTTTATGCTTCTAGCTAAAAGAAACCGCGTACACCTACTATACTTGCCTTCACACACTTCTCACAAGACCCAGCCACTCGACCGGTCTGTCTTTTCGGCTTTGAAGTCCTATTTTCGCCAAAGAACCCTCGAATTGGCTTCCTTCACAGCCTCAGCACCTATCAACAAGCAACGTGTCACGGCACGGCGGTAGGCGCTGAGGCCCTATGGGTGCGTGACCATACTATAACCCACTATAGAATTGCAGCCTGACGGCTTGTAATTCTGGCATCCTTTTGGAAGGTGTGGTGCAGCGGTAGTGGGTGTTGCTAAACGCCGTCACACAACGCTTCCTTTTTTGCTACCGGGACGCCTCAGCGCAGGGTATGTCAGCCCGGAATATCATATCCGGCTTCCGGAAGACTGGAATCTGGCCTTTCCAACCCGCTCGTATACTTGACGACCCCGAGGCGGTCCGGGACGAAGCTGCAAAACCAGTCCCCCCATCCACACCACCCCGGAAGACCCGGGCAACCCGGAACGACCTCTTCAATACACCTCAAGGTAGTCACGACGTCCGCAGGCAACAGGGCTTAGCCAAGACGGCCACTAGTCCCCGAGATAGGGTCGTCAGGACTATGTTGACGAAGGTAGGGAGGGCACTTGATCAGAAGAATACGGAAATCGCTGCTTTGAAGGCAAAAAACGACTTCTTAGCCAACGAGTTGGAATCCAAAAAACCCTATTCACGTAAAAGGGTCAAAATAGACGCCAACGACAGATTTGCTACTATTGACGAAATTGACGAGGCTCAAAAAGCTAGTCAAAAGCCTCCCAAGAAGAGATCTAAGAAGACCAAGTCCAGGCCTGCACACTTGGTCCAGGAAGCTGAAGAAATTATCGCCCGTGGGCTTGAGCAATATAGGGCGATTGACGAGGACTAGAATGTACTTTTTTCTATAGAATTTGGCCTACAATTGAGTATTTTGACGATTCTTGTGGTGGGCGGTGATGGTGGTGGGCGATTGCAAAGGGGGGCGATTGCATAAGTGGGTCGCCCTGTCTATCCCACATATAACTGCCCCTTTGTTTCCCTGAGACAGTGAAGAGCCGCCGACAATAACTTTGTTCCTGCCAGAACTCGAAGTGAAATACCCCAACAAGGTGAGGGGCGACATTGGGTTAGACGCCTTCGACATGTCTGGAGTTACTACTTTGACTCTAGTTAGAGTTAGATACAACCGCGGGAAAGTGGGTGAATTAACACTAACGTATTTTATAAGCGAATGCCCCATATAAGCGAATGCCCCACGCCCCACACAAATCAGCACCTCCACCTACAACACCGCTTTTTTCCACCACTCGAAATGCGGTCGCCGTCAAAAGAAGCCAGGCTAATCTTGGCCATTCAGGCTCTCGAAAAAGATACAGATCTTACTATTCGAGGCGCTGCTAAGATCTATCAAGTCGATCCTAAGACTCTTAGGCGCCGACGCGCCGGCCAGCCTTCACGACGCGATATTCCAGCCAACTCACGGAAACTTACGGATCTAGAGGAGAGTACGATTGTTCAGTATATAAGCGAGCTTTTCACACGCGCATTTCCTCCTCGGCTTCGTTTTGTGGAAGATATGGCTAACCGATTGTTACGCGAACGCGACGCGCCCCCTGTCGGTAAGCTCTGGGCTCACAACTTCGTCAAACGCCAACTAGAGCTCCGGACGCGTTTTTCGCGTAGATACGACTACCAGAGGGCTAAATGCGAAGATCCAGAGATTATTCGCGAGTGGTTTGCCCTAGTACATAACACCAAGGCCAAGTACGGCATCCTTGACGACGATATGTACAATTTCGATGAGACTGGCTTTATGATGGGTATGATTACTACTGGGATGGTTGTTACTACCTCTGATGGCTATGGGAAGGCTAAAAAAGTCCAACCTGGCAATCGTGAGTGGGCTACAGTTATCCAAGCAGTAAATGCTCAAGGCTGGGCTATCCCACCATTCATCCTCTTAAAAGGAAAATACCACCAGAAAGGCTGGTATGAATGTGGCCTTCCGGAGACCTGGTATATCGGAGTAACCGACAACGGCTGGACTACAAATACGAAAGGCCTAGATTTTATCAAACACTTCGATCTCCATACAACATCTCGTACAAAGGGGAGATACCGGCTCTTAATTCTTGACGGCCACGAAAGCCACCACTCCGACAATTTCGAGAACTACTGCAAGAAACATATCATTATTACACTCTGTATGCCTCCGCATTCCTCACATCTAGTCCAGCCATTAGATGTTGGTTGTTTTGGGCCATTGAAGAAGGCCTACGGCGATCAAATCGAGGGGTTAATGCGGATGTACATCACACATATCACCAAGGTGGATTTTCTCTATGCATTCAAAGAGGCATTTTTCATCGCCTTTATCGACCAAAACATCCAAGGAGCATTTGCTGGAGCTGGCCTTATACCGCATGATCCAGGCAGGGTACTTTCTAAGATGACTGTTCGGCTTCGAACTCCAACTCCGCCAGCCTCACCACCAAACACCGCACTACCTTGGCTATCTCAGACTCCACAAAACGCCCAAGAGGCTACCTCACAGAAGGAGCTTATTAAAGGCCGGATATCTAACCACCAAGGCAGCTCTCCGACACCTATGCTGACTGCTGTGGACCAATTGGCTAAAGGTACAATGGTTATGATGCATGAGGTGGCCCTGTTACGTACAGAGGTCTCGGCATTACGAAAGGCCAATGAGGAGCTTAGTAAGCTACGGAGGCTAAAAAAACACGTCTACGGCTTGGAGGGTCTCTTACTGTACAACAGGCACAGGATCTACTAGATCAGAAGGCCGTGGGTGAGCAGTTAGCCCAGGAAACAAGGCAAAGTGGTGGTAGTGCAAGGGGGCTCGTACGAAGGCTCGGTGTTGTGGTGTGTGTGGAAAGCCTGGCCATAATGCAAGAACCTGTCAGGAGGCTGGAGAATTGTCTGGTTTATCTATTCCTAGTTCAATTATTGTCATTTCCTAGTGTTGTGGTGGAATAGTTGTAGATAATTGTGGTAGAGTAGTGGGGCGTGGGGCATTCGCTTATATGGGGCATTCGCTTATATGGGGCATTCGCTTATAAAATACGTTACCCTAATCTACCTTGCCTGAGGTAATCCGTCCAGATCGAGCCTTATACGATACCTGTTGGAATCACCAGGTACCGGTACTGGAAGCAACAGGGCGTAACTGCACGCCGAAAACTGGTGGTTCAAGTGGTGGATTTGTTCATGTCTGTGTATCTAGAAGACAGAGGGTGGAAGTGGCCTACGGCCACTTATATAGAACCTATGGCCATGTGCCACCACAGCCACCTCCGTGTGGTTGACTAGCGCGTCATTTCAACAATACCAGAAGACTAATAACACAGTTATGCATGGTGAATATTAACTAGAAACCCAAATATCACACCATCATCGTACTAGCGGGTCGGTGGTTATTATGACAAGTTTACTTATGGATGAACTTTACTCGGAGGAACAAACGACAAGCATTGAAACGTCTGCAAAGTAATTTTGTGCTAACTAACGACCGATTAAGAGTGCGTGAAATTAAGAGTACGCTCGGGTACATGTTCCTCAACCGTAAACCCAACATCACACCATATTCCCGGTGAATTTTCTAAATGGGACGGCTGGTTACATCATATTTCCTCTCCCCAGTCAACGATCATTTCTGATGTCTGACAGCAGACCTTCATTGAGCAAATCCCAAAGAGGTGTGGCCAACAATACAAGCAACGAAGAATACCGACATCTCGCGAAATGAACCCCGGCCTGCGAAACAGACATGTCCCTTTCCTTCTCACTAACCTGCCTTCCTACCCATCTTTCACTGGACAATAATCACGTTACACCAAGCTCGTGTTCGCAACTAGACACCGTTTTCGGTTTCAACTCGAACGTCATCCGTTACTCTGCGCGGGAGAAACGCCACCTGGCCCATCTATCGGCCGTAAGTGTAAGAGAAGGTAGGTACGCCTGATCAAGGTGGTCACAATGCAGGCAAGAAGGTAGGGGAGCAATGACTTGTATTGGTGTAAGACTTCAACCTGGCCCTCGCAAAGGAAGATGGGCGAGGGCCATTGTTTATATACCTGCTCAGGGGTTCGGCCCGGGCATCAGTCTGTGGTCGTGGCGCCACGGCGTAGCGTATGCCAGCTGGCAGTGTTCTAGCCAGTTGGTGACAAGTGGTGGGCGCGCACCCTGTGCGCGCAGTTGGTGTTTGGGGTGTCCTTTTCCTTACAGTAAGCCCCTTTTGGCCACACCTAACACCGGCTTGCCGTTCAACTCGGCACTCTCAGTGACATGCTGCTCAGCCGTGGGCCGGACCGACGTCACAGTCACAGTCTCGGACTCGAGCCGGGCCGGTGATTCAAGTCGGACAACAGTCGACAATGCCTCACTCAAGGCTGTCAACAGTGCAAATATTTCAATGCAAATCAACGTAATCTAAATATAGACAAATCAAATAGAGCCAAAATATCGTTCAAACAAAGCAAATATGAAGTCGTAAATATTTGAATTGCTTTGATTATATTTGATAGATGTGGGGCATTTTCCCAGGCCATTTCCCCCCAGAATAAGGCATCAACGGCAAGTTCCGTGCCATGAAAAACTGCGTTTTAAGGGTAAAAATATCTCGAGAAATCTACCAAATGCAAGTCAAGGTGGATAGAGGCCCATTTTTTACCATGGTGCAGGGCACGAGCGGCAACTTCCGTGGCCAGGGAAAAGTGGACTTCCAGGGCGAAAACTCCGTTGTTGGAATTTGTGAAGCAGAAGGGCCTCGAAGGCTCTAGATAGAGACTTCGCCACCCACTTCGCTACCACAATAGTAGTATAAGAAGGGGCTTTCTGGCACTGCCAGAAAGCTAGAGAGAAGAACACACATCTGCAATTCATCACTTGAACCACCAGCTTTCGGCGTACAGTTACGCCCTGTTGATTCCAGTACCGGTACCCTGGTGAATCCAACATCTGTATTTGCATGGCAGGCTCAGTATTCCTGCAAAAATTGACCCAGGCCGCCGCAAACCTCGCCTATATGCCTACGCGACTGCAAACCTCGCCTTCTTACGCCTACATACTACTTCGAAGTTATTCTTACGATGTCAAGCCTTTGCGACAGTCAAGCGGGCTCCCCGGCGTCAAACCGGGCCGCGAGCCCCCCTCCTTTCGAATTCACCGCTTTCTTCGCCAGTCAGGCCACAGGCACCTTCGCGAGCCAACTCGAAGCCCTGAGGGCAGTCGACCTGAACACCCTACCTATTGACATAAATACCTAGATTTATATTCATTTAAGGGGAAGAAGAACAAGGTCTCAATATTATGGCCCTAGTAACTGCGTTCTTCGACTCGCATTACCCCCACATCGAGGGCCCTACCGTACCGTGTACAGCCGACCGCGACCGGTCCAACGATTACCTTACGGGGCATAACTACTACGTTGAGCCCGCCGCCAACAGATCAAAGTTTCAGCAATACCTTTAGGAAGTAGTCAAACCTATTAATAACATACTGGGTCGGTGGAATGACAGGAAAGACGACTTTCCACGCCTTACACGCATGGCCTTTAACACCCTTTCGATACCGGCGATACCGGCGGACTACGAGAGGCTATTTAGTATCGCTAAACTGATTACTGGGCTTCAAAGACACGGGCTTCAGGGTGGTGCCATTCACAAGCTTCTATGCCTTGTTAATTGGTAGCGAATGGCCTTTTTTTTGAAGCTAGATGTTGGGCATCACTGGCTTCCGGCGTCCCGGGTTGCAGAGTTTTATATGGCCCGGGCCGGATTAATTTTATTCAGATCCGGTTCAAATCAACCCAAGTGTGCAAATCAATCCAAACATGACTTTTTGGCTTCAAATACGGCCTGGTCCGGTTCAAACGAAGCAATTATAGGGTCCCGATTTGATTTGTTTGCGTTTTTGCCAGCCCTGACTTCACTAATAGCCCTCCACTACGTAGGTCGCCAGCGAGGAGTCGAATGATCTGGTCTGCAGCATGGGTCAATCACACCGGCAGTGTAGCGCAACACAATGCACCTGACAGAATTCGGCGCTTGAAGCCCGTTTATCTCCGTCGACGCGAATAGGCCGAAATGGCCGGTGGGTGTAACGTGCAGCGCCCCCAGCCACCCCTCTCGCCAGCCGACGACCCCGATCCTGCGGGGCGCGAGTGGTCGGTCGCGGCAAAGCCGAGAAGGGATTCCCTTGGTCCGGCGAGGTTTCTTCGTGCGCCTTATTCAGCAAAGATAACGATGGCCAAACCGGTGATGTAAACCACCCGCGCGCTTGGGAAGGGGTCAACAGGACATGCTGGAGTGGACGAGGCGTGCTGGGTGTGAGCTCAGGCATTCGGCATCCCGGAATTCCGATAGAGTGGCACACTTTGAACCCTTTGTAGGCGTCTTGTCTGGTTAATCAACATGCAGTCTGCTGAATCAGCCAACCCGCAAACAAGAAGCCATGATAAGGACCGCTGGACTCGAGAGGGGGATATAAAGAGGAGTAAGTTTTGGTTTTGTTGTTAAATCTTCCCGTCCGGTTCCCAAGTAAACCAAATCTGTCCGCAACGCTACATGCCAACTATTTCCCTTCTCTACCGTTCACGGCCTTGAAACATTCAACATGGGCTCCGGTGAGCCTCCAACTCGACTCACAGACAAATGATAGATCTCGAGGCCATACTGACACTAGAAACAGTCAGCCAAATCCCTCCCGCGCACGAGGGCGACTACCCGCCACGGGGCGATCTGCGCAAGATGATGGCGGCGCAGCCGCTGCCCGTCGTGGCCGCCGGGACAGTCGACCCCGCTTCCATGGCGGGCGACGCGCCAAGCCAGCGGGCGACTGCCGTGCTGAGCGCGTTCAACGCCGCCGTGGCCGCGGGTGATGCCGCGGCGCTCGCGAGCTGCTTCCTGGCCGAGCAGGCGTACTGGCGCGACCAGCTGGCGCTGACGTACCACCTGCGCAGCTTCACCACGCCCGCCGTCATCGCCGCGAGCCTCTTGGAGACCGAGGCGCTGAGGGGCGTGCCTGAGGGGTTCAAGCTCCAGGAGGAGGCGCGCTACATCCCCATATCGGAGACTCTAGTAAGCAGTAGCCCCCGTTGGCGACAGATACATGTCAGTGAGAGCTCGGCTGACGACGTGCTGATTAACCAACGCAGCAATTCATGTCGTGTCCGATTGCCTTCAAGACAACGTCGCCAGCGGCCACGGCGAGCGGAAGCATGCTACTAGTGCCCGTAAAAACAGACGGGGTAGTCGAGTGGAAGGTTTGGGTCCTGGTCACGGTGCTCGACAACTTCGACGTGCAGCCCGAGGACGAGTCGCTGCTTCAGTCCCCAGGCAGACAGCTCGACGGTCTAGAGACGATCGACACGGACGTCCTCATCATCGGGGGTGGGAATGCGTAAGTAAGGAGCCAACCAAAGCCTGTGAGTGTAGGTGCAGCCGAGGCTGACAGGCGCCACCTCTGTTGGCTCTAGTGCGGTCACTCTCGCCGCGCGCCTCAAGGCTCTCGGCGTTGAAAGCGTCATGATGGAGCGGAATGCCCGGCCCGGGGATAACTGGGCTCTCCGCTACGACAGCATGCGATTCCACCTCCCGACTTCGTCCTGCGAGCTGCCCTTCTTGTGTTAGTCATTGGCCTGTTGACCTAGTCTTTCGGTGAAAAACGAGCGGGTGTCTGACCATCACGGCCACCACTCCACTCTAGCTTACGGCGAAAAGCTCCAGACACCACACTTGCTCTTGCGCGATGAATTGGCAGAGCAAGTGAAGCGATATGTGGCGACATTCAACCTCGACGCCATCTACTCGGCCACGATCCGGTCCACAACCTACGACCCGGAAAAGAAGCAGTGGGAAGTGCGGTTCGAGACCCCCGATGCCCTGCGCACAGCCCTCGCGAAGCACGTCGTGCAAGCAACGGGAATCTCGTCGCAGAAGCCGTACCTCCCCCCGATGGCCGACAGCAGCCTGTACAAGGGCGTCAGCATCCACTCGGTGGCATACAAGAATGCCCACGAGCTGACAGGCGCCGGGGCCAAGGCAAGCTCTGTGACAAGCCACCCCACCCAGCTTGCACCATGCTGATAGAATCTAGTCGGTGCTAGTCATCGGCTCGGCCAACACGGCGTTCGACGTGCTGGGCGACTGCCACTCGGCCGGCCTCGACACAACCATGGTCGTTCGCTCACCTACCTACCTACTACCGGCCGATTACGTCTTCGACCCGCACGCCACGGGCGCCTACGACATCCACGGCGTAGCAATTGTAGACCGGCAGTTCAACACGATGCCGGCATGCGTGGACGGGCACCTCGTGCGGGGCCGGTTCGCGGCCATGGCGGCGCGGGAGCCGGAGCGGTACCGCGCGGTGGCGGCGGCGGGGTTCCCCGTGGTCGACAGCGCGCACCCCGACGCCAGCATCCTGCACAACCTGATCGAGCGCGGCGGCGGGCACTACATCGACGTCGGCGGGTCGGCACTGCTGGCCGAGCGCAATGTCGGCGTCAAGGCGGGCGTCGAGCCCGTCGCGTTCACGGCGACGGGGCTGCGCTTCTCGGACGGTAGCGAGCTGGACGCTGACGCCGTCATCTGGTGCACCGGGTTCAGCGACAAGAATGTGCGCGACACGGCGGCTGAGGTTCTCGGGGGCGGCGACGGGCCGGCTGCAGAGGGCAAGCTCGGTCCCCGCGAGATCGCTGCCAGGTTGGATGGCACGTGGGGCGTCGACGTCGAGGGCGAGATCCGCGGCATGTGGAAGCGCCAGAGCCGGCTCGACAGCTACTGGGTCATGGGCGGCCATACGCAGTACCACCGCTGGCACTCGCACACGCTCGCCATGCAGATCAAGGCGGCGGTCGACGGCTTCCTCCCGCCGGCATATCGGGACACGCCTGGAAAGTGAGGCTGTTTGTGTTTTGGGTGGTGAACATTGGACTGTTCCGTTGGGGTTTAGACTTTTCTTCCAGTGGAGTGCTTGCGTTAATCCGTACCAAGGTATTCGAACTCCCTAATTCCAGTACGGTAACTTTCTCGTCTCCGAGCCTCGTGGAAATTGTGGAACCGCGGCTCGCGAAAGATGGAAATGCTGAGAAAGGCAATATACATCATCTCTATATGGCGACAATGTGTCTGCATAGTAGCTTGGCGATGAATGGTTCCGAATCTGAGGGTTCCTCTGTCGTCGTCAATTGGGAGTTACGATGTAGCACGTTGGTTGCGGTGCACGATCATTACGTGTCCGCATTCCAGCGACCGGGGAGGTGTTAGCGTGCTGTGGAATAGTGGGTTTCCTGCAGAGCTAGGCCTGCTAAGACTGGTTCTGTCCCCATAAGCACCCTTGCACCCGATCCCATAGCGGGAAAGTGGTTTATCTTGGAGCTTGGAGCTTCAACGTCGACTGTCGGGCGCGAACGCGACTTTTGTGACCTGCATCCCACCTTGGCTTAACAATTGCGCAGCCTAAGCAAGCACAAACCCCGAAATTGCCACGAACTAACACTACGAGCCAACAATATGTCGAGACGACCACCGCGCGGCGAGTATATTGAGACGGTAGGAAACGCGCAGCCGAGGTCTGGTTAGCCATGTCCGCTAACCATTGCTTGGGCGTAGGACACGGGCAACAAGGTGGCTCGCAAAGCGACACTCGTCGGCACCCAGAACATCATTCTCGGCGGCAAGACAGTCATCCAGCCCGAAGTCATGATCCGCGGCGACCTCGTGCGATCCGTGCAGTCGGCGTCGGCGGCGTCGTCGTCGGGCGCCTCCGCTAACAACACGGCCGTCTCGATTGGGCGCTACTGCTTCCTCAGCCGAGCCAGCTGTCTGCGCCCTTCGGGCCGCTTCTACAAGGGTGCCTTCACCTACATGCCCCTGCGCATGGGCGACCACGTCTTCGTCGGCCACGGCTCTGTCGTCCAGGCCGCCTCGGTCGGCAGCCACGTCCACATCGGCGCCCGCGTCGTCGTCGGCGAGCTCGCCATCATCAAGGACTACGTGCGCGTCCTCGACGACTCCATCATCCCCCCCAACATGGTCATACCCAGCTTCAGCATTGTCGCCGGCCAGCCTGCGCGTGTCATTGGCGAAGTCCCCGAGGGCGGCCACGAGGCCTTTGAGCTCAGAGACCTATACAAGACGGTCGGCAACAACCCACACCCCGTTCCCACATGAGAATGGCGGAAAGAGTCAAGATATACACACATATATATATGGCGGGGGGGGCTCAGCGGTGTAGAGTCATGCCGGCCCTCTCGCTCACGTCATCCAAGACGCTAGCTGCCCGTATGCCGCGCCGCGAGACAGGACGGCCAGTGTATTGCGAGACTTTGGGGAGCAAGATTCATCTTGAAAATATGGCAGGCACGGTACCGTGCAGTGGTGTTTCTCTGCCTAGCTACAGCGGAGAGCGGATCAGGGCACCTGGGCGCGCCGGAGCATAGCTTCTCGCCAGCCTCGATTTGTCAGTTAGAACAGCAGCGTTTAGTTTGGTGTACGACAATCGCACATTATGCACAACCTGGCCGTGTGGTGAGTGCCACGGCCGCCTTTGTTCTTATGTCCCCACCTCCATAACCGACAAAGCTCAACAAGATTTTTGCCTCCACTCTCGACAAGGCTTCTTGTTTCGAATAAAGCAGCGCTAATAAAGACTGCTCCGACCTTTGGCCGGCTATCCCTATAACTTGTCTTTCGGTTTCCGCCCGTGCCTTGGTCTCTCCGAAGCAACTACAACCGCATTTATTACCACAAGCTCTTGGTTTTCCAGGGCCAACTTCAGGCCATTACCAGGTCCTCTTTAATTTTCGCAGTTTACTTTATCACGCTAGGCATGTATCCCACCCGCCACGTCGTCGACATCCACCTTGCCGTCGACATCCACCCTGCCGTCGACACCTGTAACTGTACGTGCGATTGCGGGGACTACATATCGCAGGGAGAGAGGGTTTGCGACTTTTGCAAAAAGTATTGCGCCTCGTGCCCGGCGCGCAGGTAGCACGCAGCGTCCTGCTTGCCACTCATGCCTTGACATATAAAAACTAATATAATAATAATTCGCACTCCTATCCTTTTCCGTCGACAGTACATGCCATCCAATGTTGTCTTGCTGTCGCACACGCAATAGCAACACCTCTTCCCTAGCTCCCGCTTAGTTGTACATATTTCTCGTCGGCCGCAACGGGGCTGTCCAGCTGCAGCCAGCTCGCTGCATTCATCTTCACGCTCTCTTCCAAGGTCGTCCAGCCGCTCGTCTGCCCGACCCAACTGAGCAGTTCCTCGCCGCGCTGATTCGGCACCTCGGTCTGGTCCCACCCGGTCTCCTTGGGCGCCCTCATCTCGTGCTCCGGGTACAGCGTGCGCAGGATCTCCCAGACCCTCCGCCAGCTGTACCGTGCGCCAAACACAAAGACGCGCTCCCTATCCACGCGCGGCGACGACGCCAGCACCGCTACGAACAGCCGCCCCGCGTCGCGACAGTCGACGTGCCACTGCGGCGCCATGGAATCCAGAACGGCGGCGTGCTTGCCCTCCCACACCCAGTGCACCATGCCGGCCGTCGACGGGATGCCCTGGTGGCGCGGGTCTAGCACCTCGCCGATGACGGTATCAAGTAGCAGCGTATTAAAGGCAAAGGCCGGCCTCGTGCGTCGCACCCACTCCCACACGCCGCGCTCCACCAGTGTCTTGACCGCCATGAACCCGGCCATGCCCTTGGCCTGCGGCGGGACGGCCGCGTCGCGCGCCAGCGCCACGGCCTCGTCGTTCCAGCTGTCCGCGCCCAGCACCACGCCGCGCCGGGCCGCGTCGGGCGTCCACGCGGCCCACGCCGACGCCGTCAGCGCAAACGATTTCACCGAAGCCTCGCGCGCCGCCGCCTCCAGCAGCGCCACCTGCCACTTCAGCTCCGCCGCTGCGGCCGCGTCCGCGTCCTGCGGCGCCATCTCGACGGCGCCGACCACGTGCGCGATCCCCGCCACGCCGCGCACCGCCGTGTCCCACGCCCCCGGCACCGCCACGTCGGGGACCTCTACCAGCTCGAAGAGTGGGGAGGGTTGGGGGCGCTGGCCGTGCCGTGCCGTGAAGAGTTCGGTCAGGTAGCTGCTCTTGGCGGCGCTGCGGACGGCGCCGCGCACCCGGTAGCCGGCGGCCAGCAGCTGGTCGGCGGCGTGCGACGCGATCAGCCCGTTGGCGCCCGTCACGAGGATCAGTGAGCCCCGCGGGATGGTGGGGTTGGAGAGGGTGATTTTGGAGGCCATGGTGTTTGGCGGTGATGGTGTTTGGTGGTGATGGTGTGCTGGTGGTGATGGTGTGCTGGTGGTGATGGTGTGCTGGTGGTGATGGTATTTGGTGGTGATGGTGTGCTGGTGGTGATGGTGTGCTGGTGATGATGGTGTGCTGGTGGTGATGGTGTGCTAGTAGTGATAATAGTGAGAAGACGGTCAAGGGACGGAATGGGAGTGAGAGTTTATGAAAAGGGGCAGCTACGCCACAGACTAACTAACGCGGCGAGCGATTCAGGGATGATTCTGTTTAGTGTTTCGTGGCTGTGCTAACAAACCGGAATCAGTGAACTAGTTGCGCTATCGAGTCGGATATAAAAGTACGTATCCCTAGGGTATTGCGCGGCGGATAAATACATTGACAACGCGCCAACATGCTTCCGAGTCTTCCCGGATGTAACCAGCCACGGAATCCGGAATCCGGAATCCGGGTGGGATTAGGATCAAGTCAAGGCCTGGTGTAACCCTTACAAATGCACTAGGCGTATGGGGAGGACGAATACTATAGATGACGCAGCAGTGTTGGTTGTCGCCGAAGCTTCAAGAACCCAACTCAGGGAGCATGCGTGCGCTCCTGCGGATTCTAGCGCTGACATAATTCGAGCTAACAGCCGACTGTTCCGTACAGCAGCTAACACGTAGGCCAGTGGAACGAGCTCAAGTGCCGATGAATGCGCACGCCCTGGGCTATAGTATGGTCTGGGACAGATGCGTAGGTATTATTCCGATCTACCCAACATAGCCTCGAAGTGCGGCGCGCAGGTGCGCAAATGCGCCCTGAAATCCAAACAACGCCAACAGCACAAGCCCCCTACGTCACCCACGCTACCCACCCACCCTACACCCGCTGATCCAACCAGTCATGCACGCGCGCGAACGTGCTCGGGGCTGAGAAGTGCAGCGTGAGGTCGTGGCCCGTGTTCCGCGGGACGAAGAAGGTGTAATCCGTCACATACGGAAACGCATCGGCATGCGACTTGGCCAGGATCGCCTCGCACGCAGCCAGCGGCTGCTGACACGTCAACCCATCCCTATCCGCCGACACGACCAGCACGGGCCCGGCAAACGCGGCGACCGCGGGCCCGACCAGCGCCGTGAACCCGCCAAACTCGCCCGTGGTCAGCGTGTCGTCACGCGCAAAGTCCGCCGCCGCCACGGCCGGGTCATACCCCCCGGCGTAGAACGCCGCCTGCCGCTCCGCCGCGCTGGCCTGCGCCACGTAGCCTGCCGGCAGGCCCGCGAAGCGCGTCGGGTCCACGACCGCCGCGCCGCCGAACTGCGCCGCCAGCAGCGACGCGAACGAGAAGGTCGTGCTGTACGCCGTCAGCACCAGCGCGTCGACCACGCCCGGGTGCAGGCTCGCCACCGCCGGCGCCAGGTACGAGCCGTACGAGTGGCCGACGAGCACGACGCGCGCGAAGCGCCTGCCACCGAACGCAGCGCGCAGGGCGGGCGGGGAAGAGCCGTCGCCGCGTGCTGCGGCAATGATCTGTCGGATTGTCTCGATGTGCATGGCCGGCTGCACGCCGGCCAGCGGGTCCGGCTTGCTCGACGCGCCGTGGCCGAGCCGGTCGAGCGCCAGCGTCGCGTACCCCCGCGCGCCGGCGTGCGCGTGCCAGTTGTACGCGCCGCCGCCGAGCCCGTAGCCCGCCCACATGGCCTTGTCGTACGTGATGCCGTGCAGCAGTATCTCGAGCGTGTCGGCGGCGCCGGGTGGCGAGGGATTGGAGGGGGTGCAGTACGTGCCGCGGATGGAAAAAGTGCCCGTGACGGCGGCCGTGCCGAGCGTGGCGGGTAGCGTGCCGTTCCAGACGCTCTTGATGAAGGCTACGCTAGCCGTAGCGTCGGCCGGGTCTGGCGGCGACTCGAAGACGAGGTTCTGGCTCGTGGCTGTGAGATTTAATGTCACGTCCGAGCATCTGTTGGTGGGTGAGGGCCCGTGGATGCTCCCGGCCGCGGCGGCGAGGGGCGTGCTGAGGAGGAGGAGACGTCGGAGCATGGTGCGAGCTGGGTGGATGAGTATGTGTATGTGTTACAGAAAACGGTGCCTGTGGTTTGTGTTCAAGGTGAAAGGTGGTACTTATACGGGGGGATCTTGACCGGCGGCAGCTCCCTCGTAAAGGCGACCTTGCTAATTCCGTAATACTGCTTACCTCGCCTCGTATCACCAATACTCCATTTATGTCTGACACTACTCACCGTCAACCTCATCCCGTGCTTGCATGGTCACCAGTGTGTACACGGTCTTTGCATATCTCTTGCTCCCTGGTGAACCGGCAAAACCATGCAGGGGAGCTGAAAGACAGGATCATGAAGCCATGGCTTTTAAGGGGAGCGAATTGTGTGTTACGGATAGAAAACAAGCAGCCCAGCCGCCGGACAGCAGAGGTTCCTCGGATGGGCCGGTGAAGGATTTGTCGCCGCCTTTTTGGTCTGTGCATTTGTCAGCCGCCCCTGAGCCTTTTGCGCTTCCGGCATGGCTACCGCAATTTGATTAGAGGCGTGGTTCTTGTGTATGGCGGCATGCAGCTAGACAGAGTGGATCAACATGTAACGCAAGACTCCTGGATGCTGCCGACGTTATTCCTTCTTGCCTGCCGAGGTATATAAGGCACTACTACTTGTGGATATGTGCACCAACGCGGCGTCCCCTTAGAAATATCAATAGAAATATCACGGCTCTAGGCGCTAGAAAAAATGTCGATCATCTCCGGTTTGTCAGGATACGCTTTGTAATCCTTCTGTGGGCATAGGTTGACTAATTGCCTGTTTAAAGGGCTATTTGCTTCATTCATGGCCCTGCTCAGGGACGTGACGGAAAAGACCGAGCAACGAGGATCTCGTAGAGACAGGCCGCTTAGTCTAGTGATTACGACGTCTCGAACGACGCAGGCTGGTGGAGTGACTGGTGGAGTGATTGGTGCTGACTGCATCTTGCGACCCGATCGGGGCCAGCTAACCGACGGGGTCGTTGCTACAGGGCTGCCGATCTGTTTAAATATTGCACCGACGGCTGGTTATATGACTAATATCTCCACCGCGAGGTCGTTGGCCATTTTGTGATGTCACGCAGTTCCTAGGACTAGAGAGAGTAAGCTGTGCCTTTTCAGCTCTGTCTTTGACTTGTGGGGCTTTATGACTCCTCAGTAGTTACAATGTAATCGCCATGAAGTTGCTAAATATGTGCTCGTTGAAGGGATAGTTATTGATTATAGGGGGGGGGGGTTGATTGTAATAAATCACAGCATGCATCTATTACCACCAGCTCTCACCACTTGTTTTCACGGCATCACTACCTCATGCCAGCCTTTCGCTGTTCTTCTGCTGTTCTTCCGCTGTTCTTCTGCTGTTCTTCCGCTGTTCTTCTGCTGTTCTTCCGCTGTTCTTCCGCTGTTCGTTACTGGCCCCAGCAAGGATTTGATTCTAGTGTCCTTGGGGAGCATCTCCCGCCACACCTCTGCGTCCACGTTCCCGGGTCTATATAGGGTGGCGATGTGTGCCATCAATACGACGACTCTGTGCACGGATTCGCTGTCGCGCCCGGCGAGGCGGCATCGCCCGTCAAGGGCCTGTTGGCCGTATTTATTTGCCATGCGCCAGACACCAAACAGGCCGTTCAACGCCGCTAGAGTCTCGTACCTCATCAAAAACATTTCGTCCACTGGTGCCGTGGCCGGGGAGATGGGGGGCAGATGAGGTATGACTAGATTGTCGACTGACTGCGTGTTCAAGTTTCCTGACAGTCTCGCTATCTGGCCTAGGAATTGATCAAATTCCTAAGAGAAAATCACCTGATATCGTATCTAAGCGAAATGGTAACACCAGCGAGGGGGCCCTAGAAATAAATGAAGGACTGGGGTGACGCGAGTTGAGATAGCTGACAGTACAACGGGCTAGGCAAAAGTCTATCGATCTGGAGATGATACGGTCGACGTCGATACCGTTTGCTTTCAACAAGCTCCCGCGCGCTGTCAGGATATACCCCGTGGCTTGTTGGAAACGTCCGAGTGACACGAGCCTATGTGCTTCGTCGGATGCGAGGCCCACTGATTCCAAGTTTACGCGGGGAACTTCGGCGAGAAGTTCCTGGATCCTAGAATGTTCAAGACTGGAGTTAGCAAAGCGCGTGCGTTGAGCTTGTAGACGTCTTGGTCCAGTTGAATACTTGGCGTCAGGCTGCTAGTCACAATGCTATACAGCATCTCAATCGCGGGTGTCATTTTGTCCTTATCGACAAGTTCGACGGCTCTTCTCAGCTTCCGGTTGAGAAATTCCTGTTGGGGCGTGGCTCTTCTGTGCGGCAAGTCCGCACTTGGTTTGGTCTTTACTAATGCACGGCCATTCCACTCAACCCCTGTGCGGGGATTCCGTATTGATGGCGCGGCATGTGGTCCTTCAGATATTGCAGGAATATTGCGAATCCAGGAAAGCACCTAGTCGTTGTTCCTTGCCGGAAAGGCAACGTTGAATAGTGATGCGAGATCTTCGTCTATCCGACCTAGGTCAATCTCGTCAGACTCGGGAGTAGCGGCATCTGTATCAACACCACCCCTGACAGTTGACGCGGAGTTGATCGTGGAGCCACGAGTAGATAGCTTGGTTGCCACTGTCCTGACCCCAAACGAGATACCACTCGCCATGTCAATGAGATTTGCCGTTTCGTTCAATGTCGATTTAAATACCGGAACTTGCTCCGCTTCACTTCTTTTAGCGTTGTTGAGAGACTTTGAAATGCTGAGATGCTGCCAGATAACAGATGTTACGGTACGGCCGAACTATGGTCCGTGGTACCGCAACCATGCCCTGGCTGCAGGCTCCACCCTGTAACCCCACGCCCCCAAATCGCCACCCTGTAACCCCACGCCCCTAAATCGAGCCCCACTCTTCCCAATTGGGACTACCCCAATTTCCCCTCCCCACCACGAAACCACGGCCTGCAGGAACCGCAGGCTTCTTCTTTTCCTTTTCCTTTCCTTAGCTTAGCTATTTTACGAATACAGTCATTCCTACTTGCAGCCTTGACTCTCATACATGCCTCCCTTCACAATAGATACAGCTCCAGGTTATGTGTAGAGGACTCACTTGGCTAGCAAGATGACGGGGAGATTCAGGCAAGAAACATAGGTGCCGATGCAGTTGCGAAGATGGCGGATTTCTTCGTCCTGCTTGGAGGTTTAATACCTCCGCGTCTTCTCCAGCATGCGTCGCTTCTTGCTCATCTCGCCAAAGATGATACGCAGGCAATTAAGAGTCTTGACGGTGCTCTCCAGAATACGTTCGAGGCTTGCAGTGCGCCACCACTTGGACACGGCGGCGGGCAGGGTGCCCTTGGACGACCCAATCTCGGTGCTGAGCACGGCGAGGGCATAACTCAGAGCGTCGAGAGCGTCGAGCTCGCCCCGGAAGCCCGCGACAATGCTGTCGACCCTTTGGATGCCCTGTATCATGGACCGGAGCGACGCAACACCCCTACCCACTTCGTAAATCAGCTTTACGCAGCCCGCCGCGGCTGTGGCGATGGTGATGGGTTCCATTTGGGTGTCGCGATGTCAGTGTCGAGGGTTGTCAAAGGGTGGAAGTGGGGAGAAATTACTCACCAGCCAGAGCCTTGCCCATCGTCTGCTGGACACGCCGAAGATGCTGGTGCCGGCGCCGGTGCTGGTGGGAATGCAGAGATGCCTGGGGCCGTCCAACACCCGACCAAATCCCAAAGGAGGTACGAGCATCTTATGCAAGGACCCGCACAAGGTTGACTTCCAATGTGGTTGTCCGATCGGCTCACGCTTAATTACAGGTGGGGATTGAATGGTCCGTAACAATGTTGAATATTGGCGCTTATGATCGCTACTCAAAAAAGCTATGTCACTTTGGTGACAGACTAACTATAGAAGTCACTCCTAGAATAGACGAAACAAAACAAAACATCATGAATCCATATCCTGTTAAACCGCACACAGTCTGTCGACGCCAAACTCCGAGAATGGCTCGCCCTGTCCCAAGAAAGCGGGTTTCCCATCCGCCAGGTACTCAGTCGTACAAGTAGGTCGGGGGATGGAGCGTGTAGATCGGCAGCCCCCTGTGCTTCGTCTTGGTCGAACTGTAGAAGCTCTCTAGGTCGGCAAGATCCTGCTTCTACACGCGGTACCTCCTCAGCTTGGCGTGGTAGTTCATGACCGAATTCTTATTCGACCTTCCCCAGCGGACGGAACCGGCCTCGACCAAGCCGGCGAACTCGTGGCGCAGGCCCAGGATGTGGCCTAGCTCGTGGGCGAGGACGTTGGCGAGGTACTTGATGTGGGGCCGGGCGAGGGCTGCCTGGTATATGCACAGCGTGCGAGCCTCGGCCGGGCCGCGGTTGGGGAAGAAGGAGCTCGCCAGGGGATTGATGCCGCCGTCTTCCATGTATACAACCTTGAAGGTGGCTTCGTGGCCGGGGCACGCGTGCTCAAAGGTCACGCCCTTGCTCCTCCACATGAGCGCTGCCTCGACCAGCTTGGCCGAGACGAAGGCGGCCAGGTTTGGGTCCGAGAAAGTCTTGGCGCAGAAGACGTATCGCACCGTCGAACCGGGCACCCATCGCGGAATGCTGGAGTCAATTCCGACTCGGAGATGGGTGCTGCTTTGACTGTCTGGTGGCGGCGAGCTGCACTGATGGCACCAGCTGCTAGCTTGGAGTCCCGTACCGGCTGACGGACCCTCGGCCCGTGTCCGAGTGTACCGAGTGACTGGATGTGGATTACATTATTAGTAGGAGAGCCAACTATGATGTCAAACGGGAGGGGGGGGGGGGGGTAGATCCATACCATCCATGCTAAGGTAATACCGATGAGGGAGAATGCGATTGATAGCTGGTGTTAGCTGGCAAGAGTATGAAGGCAAGCCGGGATCTGTAGCTGTGCGCCTCGAAAAAACGTGCAGGAAATGTCTTGGACTGCTGAAGAAATAGAACCAAAGGTTGCATTGCTGAATGTCTTTAGATAGTTGGTGGAGAGAATATGTCGGTTTTAAATTTCTATTGAGAATCTAGATGTAGGTCAGGTAGGGGTGACTTGTTTCTTGCGTCGAACGTAGAGCTGCCGCATGCAAGATCTACTGTCCAATCGCGCTACAAACACAATAGGGGGCCTGACTGCCCTGATGCGGAGAGCTCTACAACAAATTACTAATTTTTGGTTTAAAAGACCCCTGTTTATTGTAACGGCCTTAGCGCTTGAAGGAGGCAATGTGAACCTGGTCGGTACACTGGACTACCTGCAGAAGGCGCCTGACTGGGGGCCCCGCTTGTCGAGGACAATCAGACGGTGTCCGGTGCGGGGCTCTTGGCACCAGGGAAACGGAAGGACGGCCAATCAGGGGTGGCCCAGTGCCAAGAAGGGTCTTGGCACCAGGCAAATGGCCCGGCACGCTAGCAGTGCCCGGCACTAGGTAGCTCCTTCTTGTCGGGCTGCGCTCTTACGGAGGTGCCTTTCAAAAGTTTTGCGCAATGCCAAGCCAGCCACACCCCTTTAGCTGAATGATCAGCGACCACACCACATCTGGTTTGGCCACGTAATCTTACCCCTCAACCCCGCTTCCACAGCTCAACAGTCAACACAACGATCAAGATGTCGCCAAATACAGATATTTCCATGCGTGCGCTTATAGTTACCCTCAAATCTCCTATTGTGGGCCTTTCTTCGGCCGATGTCTTTGCACAAACCGGGGTTTCCGTTAGTACCGTCAATCGAATATATGCCAGGGCTATTGAGCGTGGATTTGATCCAAATATACGGCCCTTAATTATTAAGGATGAATGGGTTGAAGATGCCCCTCGCTCTGGCCGTCCACGAAAACACACCCCCGAAAATACCGAGAAGGTTATCGCCAAGGTTCGCAAAGATCGATATGGCCGTGAGAAATCCTGTGCTATCTGGCCGGTGAGCTCAGTACCGAGGGCCTCGACATCTCAGCTATCACAATCTGGAGGATCCTCAAATTAGCAGGATTCAACAAAACGAAGCCAACGAGGAAGCCTGGATTGACGAAGAAGATGAAGGAGGAACGACTGAAGTGGTGTCTTGATCATAAAGATTGGACTTTAGAAGATTGGAAACGTGTTATTTGGTCTGATGAAACTTCTATTGTATTACTTCATCGCCGAGGAGGATATCGTATTTGGAGGAAAGCTGATGAGCGTTTTCTTAAAAGCTGTATTCGTGAACGGTGGAAAGGATATTCGGAGTTTATGTTTTGGGGTTGCTTTTCGTACGATCAAAAGGGGCCTTGCCATTGTTGGCTTCCGGAAACAAAGGCTGAAAAGGAGCAAGCTGAGAAGGATCTTGAGGAATGGAATAAGGAGTTGGAACCAATAATGCGTGAAGAGTGGGAGTTGGATACCAAAATGGGAAGGCTCTCTTTGGTTACGAAACGAGGCAGAAAACCACAATGGCGATGGAACAAAGCGAACGGCAAACTCGTACGAGAATCCAAGGGAGGCATCGACTGGTATCGCTATCAAACCAAGATCCTTATACCAAAGCTTATCCCTTTCGCCAAAAGCTGTGGGCCGAATACGCTTGTTCAGGAGGATAAGGCTGGCGCACACGCTCATCGCGCTCAACAGCGTATATACGATATCCATCAGGTACTCCGCCTCCTCTGGCCAGGTAACTCACCTGATCTTAATATGATAGAGCCTTGTTGGTTCTGGATGAAGAGAGAAACAACCAAAAAGGGAGCCCCAAAAAGCAGGGCTGAGGCTATTCGAGCATGGGGACATTGCTGGAACGAAAAACTTACTCAGCAGCGTATTCAAGCCTGGATTGAAAGGATTGTTGAGCATATACAACAGGTAATAAAGTGCGAAGGAGGTAACGAGTATCGAGAGGCCCGGAAAAGAATAAGGAGCTAGGGGGCCAAGATGGCCAGGGTCGTATGTAATTAAAGAGGGTGGCTTTCTTGGCACTGCGCAAAACTTTTGAAAGGCACTTCCGTACTGGCCCGCCATAATTAAATAAATACGATGACCGTACCCACGGTCTTAGATAGTTCTTGCTCGGGTCTTCAAGCAAGCAATACACATTCACTGTACTCGTACACTTTGAGTGGCATTCCGATTTGACTGTATTACCCGTGCGATAGGAGCTTGTCCTTTGTTCTATCTTCATAATTACCAACCCCAGCATCCTGTGGAGCCCGTGCTCCCTTACAGACAGACGACCCTAACAGTCGAGTGGTTTGTAATAGGCAAATATGGTCTTGGCAGGCAGCGAACTAACAATATCGTAATAATTTTGCGATACTAGCAGCCACGCCATAGCCCTATAGACCGCATGCGTTACCGCTTGTCAGGGTCTTGGAATGAAGCCTTTGATCACGTGTGAGGTCGGGCGTTCGAGGTCACGGACGAGCGCCCGCTCTCTCTCTCCAAGTCCCCCCACCCCCCACAGACGGCTCCAGTCCTCCGACCAGCCCAAATCCGCAGATCGGTATCACCGCCTACCTATCACGACTCGACACTCGGCATGCCACGGAATTCCTGTGCCGCTTGTACAGTACTAGCACTCATCAGAGGGCTACATTCACTCATTGACAGCTTACCGTGATGTGCTGCACGGTGCACCGCCAGGGGTAATTGAGGGTATTCGCACTCAATTTCTGTAGTGTATTCAGACTTCTAATCACCTAATTACTAAGCGACTGACCTCAGCGGCCCGGCCTTTCCAATCGTGCCGTAGGGCCGCAGGCAGGCCTGATAATCAGTGCCCGCTTGTATCGCCGTCTTCCGGTCGCACTTCCTCTTCTGGCCGCGGGTCAGCCATCTTAACGCGTCGACAGACCAGATATGGAAGGAGTGAGGGTTGCCTGAAGGGTCTTGGTCGAGTTGGCCTTTGTTGGAATCACCAGGTACCGGTACTGGAAACAACAGGGCGTAACTGGACGTCGAAAACTGGTGGTTCAAGTGATGGGTTCGTTTATATCTGTGTATCTCGAAGACAGAGGGTGTAAGTGGCCTACGGCCACTCATATAGAATCTGTGGCCCTACGCCACCACAGCCACCTTCGTGGATAACTCTCCGTAGCTAACTAGCGCGTCATTCCAACAGCCTTCGTTGTGCTGATGCAAAAGTATCATTTGGAAGCTCATTTATTCCTCACCAGGAATCTGACAGAGTCAACAAACACAGTAGTTAATCACCCTGATATGTTTGAAGTGTACGTAATTAATCAACAACATTGGACTCATCAGTTAACGATCCATGATGAGCTGTATGTACAACGCGCATTCACAGGGCAACGGAAATGGAGCATTTGATGCATGGAGGTAAAGCTTGAATTATCTGAAAAGGTCTGTCTTTTTGTTTCCTTTGGGAGGGCCAAAAGTCTCTCCTTTATAGTTATGAACAGTGGCAAAATCTAGTGGCGAAGAATCAAGTGGCAGCTTGCAGGTCCTTCTTTTGCCCACTAATCCTTATTGTCGTGACAGTATGATTATATGAATGGGAAGTTTGTAAATTTCGGTAGGAGAACGAGGTGCCGCAGGGGACGTTCAATAATTAGAGACTTCTAATTAGCTTACCTCCGTAGAACCTGTTAAATAAGGCAGCGAACATGGATCGAACTCGTTCTAACGAACAAACACGGAAATATACTGAGAATTGAATGAGAATCAGGGAGAAACGAGGCTCTGGGATCCGCCCGCACAACGTATGTAGTGACTCAATCGGGTTAGTCCTGGCTTTCAGCTCGGGATTGGAGCGGCGAGCCAAGCCGCCAAAGACCAGGGGGACCAACAGGGGGACGCAGCAACCCCTCATCTCGACATCGCCGACTTGGCTGGCTTGACCAGCTCGGCAGTCAGGACCTGAAAGGCCACGACTTTGCCGGCCATGAGCGGCCCGCTGTTTGCGTCAACACGGTCCCCGTTCAGGGTGATCGACCCCGTCACCGAAGAGTACTACCGCGGCCCCGACCTGAGCAGCACCAGTGCCTCCAAGCGCAGCCAGGCCAAACGGCCCTCTAGCTTCTTCGCCATCTCGTACGTCTGGAGCGATTGGAAAGAGGACGTGAACGCGCCCCTCCCGAGTTGGGACTTGATCCGCAACCGCCTTCTTTATCTGTCAACAACAAACGTCTTCAGCGATTCCGCAGCCGCCTCGAGCCAGCCCGACGCATTCCGGTGCTGGATCGACTGCAAATGCATCGACCAGGCCTCGGCCACTGACAAGGCATACTGGTAGGCCATATTCACATCATCTGGAGTTCATGATATTGACTAAACGAAACAAGGGTTCCCCGTATGAACCAAGTCTTCTTTAATTCCCGGTGTACCATCCTCCTCCTCCGACACTTTGACCTCACGGGCATCTTCGAACTGCACCGAATCACAAAATGCCGCTTCTCCGAGAGCGGCGGGGCCAACGGGACGAGCGGGGGAGATGGCAACCCCCAGCATCGATGTCTCTTCGATCCGAGCTGCATATCCCTCGTTGCCCCCATTCCCGAGATACTCGAGGCCCTCTGCCTGGAAACACTGGCGGCGCTTTGGAATGGGGCGTGGAGGAAGCGGGCTTGGATTTTCCAGGAAATACTTTTGTCGGAGCGATACATACTGTCGTGGGGAGACGCGGCCATGATCGCCTACATCGACCTCGAGACCATTGGGTACATTGCCGCGTTCCTCCAGTCCCGCCACCCCGAGGCCCGGTGGCTCCACGAGTTCTGGACGTGGTGCAAGCAGTGCGCCTACATCCGCCAGTTCTACGCTGAGAACTGCGACATGGAGGCCACCATTTTTCAACTGGCCGAGAACCTGGAGGCCACGCTGCCCTGCGACAAGTACTACGCCCTGTGCGGCGTGCTGGGGCTCGATGGAATTTCGTACGACCCGATGCACACCGAGAGCCAGGCGCTGGACAACATCGTGTCTGCGCTGACGAGGCAGGGCCGCATGGGCTGGATGTACGCCATCCCTCCGAGCATCAACGAGGGCGTCCTGTTTTCTCCGCAGAGCATGGCCCCTTTCGTCTTGACGAGGAAGAAGCGGCAAAAGTCGGCCGATGTCCGCGAACCTTTCTTCTCCAACCAGCTGCTGGGAGTGCTCGCCGTGGAGCTCGGCTCGGTCAACGGCGAAACCAATTTCGACCAGCTCCTGCGGCAGATTCACAGCCTGGAAGATTCCATATCGCAATTCGCGCGGGGTCCTAACCGGCGACAGAACTTTCTGAAAGAGTGCTACACCACGGCAAGCTCAATCCAACGTCAATTCCCGAGCATACTGTTCAGGCTCGGCTACGACATCGTCGGCCCGCTCTGCGAGGCCAACCTGCTTCGAGTGCTCTTCCGCACGCTCGACAGGTCGGGATTGAATGCTAGCCTCTTTGAAAAAAATCTCGACTGCTGCCTGTGGTTCGTCGTCATCCGGCTATGCTTCATCTCGTCGGCCGAGATGGAGCACATTGGCGATCCAGAGGCTCGCCAAGTCGTTTGGATTTCTGCGCAGCACCTGCAGGCCCTCTGCCACAAGCTCTGCTCCCAGACCTGGAAGATACTGCAGTGGCAAAGGGCGCACGATCCCACAAAGCCAATCCCTGTCAACTCGGAGCCGCGGCTCGCAGCCTTTAACGGAACCCTCCCCACCTTTGGCAAGTCCGTTTGGTCGGTACAGACGAAGCAGTCGACCGCTTCGTTGACGTTCATTGCTGGGGAGCTTCAGCCACTAGTCCCGGACAACTTCAACAACCCCAACAGCCCAATAAGTCCCATGGCTTCCATGATGTCAATCGACTCCAAAACAGAATTCAAGCCTACAGGGATAGCCAGCTTGAGCCCGAATGCGTCGCTCCTGAGATCGGAGTTCTCGGACACGTCGCTGTGCTTTTATGGGCTCACGTATCAAATCGGGAGAGCCCCCTACTCGCTAGAGACTTACAAGTCCGCCTTCCACGACAGCGTTGACGAACGCGACGCTTCGGATGATTTTTACGACAGGCTTAAGCTCGGGATGAAATCCATGTCGCGACTCAAGGGCTCATCGAGCGGCAACCGGCTGTCTTTGAGCCAGACCAAGAGGTCGAGGTTTCTAACCTTTCAGCGGAGAGACAGAATGGGGCCGCCGCGGGCTCTGTCGCCTTTTCCTGGCGACCCCTACGGCCTCGGGCTCCCTGCGCTGCGGACCACGAGCCCGCCCCTGCTCTACCCCCAATACGGGCCCGGGACGCCTCAGTCGTTTACTTACCCAAACGCACCCACTTATCCCACCACTTACCCCAACGCGCCCAATTACCTCCCGGCCCCCTATAACATGTCCGGGGCCAACTACCGGCCGCCGGAGGAACTGCGGCCCCAAGCGCCCCCTTTTCCCTATGGCGACGCACCGCAGTACGAGAGATATCCCACACCGTTTTCTTACCAGGCGATAACTCCTTCACCACCACCTCCGACAGTCGCGGGTCCGTCAACCCATCATTTCATTGCCGAGCTTGACGCCACAACCACGGGCCCCCCGCCCCCAAAGTCGCCGCCGTACACTCCGCCTCGCAAGGTTGATTTCGTTCAAGACATGCCCAAGATGGCAGAGCTGCGAGAAATGTTTCCCAGCCTGAGTCCGGGGATTCTTCTGGGGATTGTTGAGAAGCACGGGCCGAAGTAAGTGCCGTACTCATGTAAACAAAAAGATGGTTTCTGACGAGAAGGAACCAGCCTCGAAGCCGTCCTCGACGACTGCTTCAAAAAGGTGGCAGAGAGCCCCGGCCCGAGCGGCTCCCAGGCCCACGATGCCCAGTCCGAGTGAGTCCTGCTATCCAATCACTCGACCGCCGATGCTGACTAAGATTGCAGTCTCAACCCAGCCCAATGGGACCAAGTATTCCGCGAGGTTGAGACGCAGATGTACATGATGGCGGCAAAGTCGAAACCGTCCGCCTCGTCTTCTGGCGATGGCGACGCCGCAAAGGGCAAAGATATCGACAGGCTAGCCGCTCTCCCGCAGCCGACCACGTCCGCCGAGAGCGACACCACAAAGGGCAAGGCTGTCGATAGGACAGCCGCTTTGCCGAAGCTAACTTTGTCCGCATTCCCGCCGCCGCTAACGCCCGACATGATCGCACCGTCGCCTGTTGCTAGAGAAAGCCCTCTGCCCTCTCAACAAAAGCCGATAAGTGAACTGTCAAAGGCTGCCAGAACGGCGGTTCAGTCGAAATTGGCTGCAAAAGCGAAGGAGCAGAAAACAAACACGGAAATGGAAAATCCGCCGTCACTTTCACCTTCGCCAGAACTACACAAGAAGGAATCTTACGACACGCTGTACGACGCGCCGCGCGAAGTGCCAGCGCCATTGGCAAGCCCATTGGAACCAACAAAGCCAGAAGAGCCAGCCAAGACAGAACAGCCAGCCAAGACAGAACAGCCAGCCAAGACAGAACAGCCAGCCAAGACAGAACAGCCAGCCAAGACAGAACAGCCAGCCAAGACAGAACAGCCGGCCAAGACAGAACAGCCGGCCAAGACAGAACAGCCGGCCAAGACAGAACAGCCGGCCCAGATGGACCTGCTAATGGACCTGATCGACCTTTCGGACCCTACTTCTCATCCTATCCCAGGGAGCGAGCCGCTATCACCGGCGAAACCCGTCTCCCCGGCCAAGCCCGTGTCGTATCACGTAGATTTGCTTAGCCTGATAGACTGAGATGGCCTTGTATTATATTACTAGATGGGGCGGCAGTTGTATTGAAAGAAATAGGATCATCAGAGAGTATTTAGGTGTATTTCGTGCTGACGTCCTCTAGCTCAGCACTGACTTGATTCTGTAATGAACAACCTTTGAACCCAACTGGATGCAGGTGACGGTCCAAGACCAGTTAGTTCCAGGCGGTTTGGCCGAGCTGAGCGACAATGAACGTCTTGGCACTCGCGCGCAAATGGGCTGAAAACGCGATGGCAATCATGAGCAATGGCTGGGCCGCCCGGGTCGGGCCCTGAAAAACTGTCGATAGAACGGGTTGTTTTTTCCAAGTTCCTAGGCCGAAGGCCAGAAGCTACGAATGCCGGATCAATCTCCCAATGCGGGGTCAACCCTAACCCTACACTAACTCCCCTGGCGGGGCTTTCAGCCCAGAATACCGCCACTCAACTGACAGCGCGGAATATTGTGTTGGCGCCTCATTGCTGATGCACGAACTGATAAGGCAAAACACTAATGAAGCGCCAAGCATGCGGTCAAAGTCGGTGGCTGGGACTAAGGCATCCAATGTAATTGTCACATTTTTGTGGTCGTGGCAGACACACGCAGTCGTGGCGTTTTGGTCATGGTTCACATTATCGAAATACTTAAGTTGGCTGCGGACGCCCACGAAGTCGGTAGTCAAAAACAAGGCCCGTCACTATTTCCAGCTACACTCGGCTGGCAATGTTTGCTTCATACTTGAGCCTCGAGCCAAACACTACACAGCCATGTCTGGCGGCGAGGGAGGATTTTATGGTTAGCTGGGTGCGCGGAAACGTGGCTATTAATGCCAGCCGAGCAATGGTGTCGACCGGCTCGACAAGGCGATCGCGGGTAAAGGGCCGCTGGCCGTGCCGAGCGGGCCGCCGCTCAGCTGCGCTGGCGATCGGCAGACGGTCAAGTGCAAGGCGGCGCTCTAGCTGGAGTTTACTGTGAGTAGAGCCTGGCCATGTTCACCCCTTTTTGCTCTTCTTTTGCCGTCTTGTGCTATGCTGACATTGCGCCACAGCTGCAATTCGGCTGCGGCCGCTGGTCGTTTGAGGATCGCAACGTCAAGCAGCCCACGCTGGATTGCCTCGTGTAAGTTGCACACCCCACCCAGTGCCGTGCTTGTCTCCTACTTGTTTATTGTGCCAAAGACATGATAAAAAAACATGAATAGAAATGAGTGAAAAGAACCGGCCGCTAGTCATTACCACAAAAACCTGCCTTTAGGATCTCGTTGTCCTCCGCCACATGGTGAAAGACGAGGCCAACCCGCGGAAATTCACGGCCAATCTTGCCGGCCCCAACAGCGTCGGGAAATTCCATCACACCCCCTGTGGTTTCCCTTCGCGGACAGGGCCAGCGGCATGGTAGTGCCCTACAAGGCGGCCGTCACTGTTACACTGTAGCCATCTAGAGACTGAGGGGTCTTGCTCGTCTTTCGAATTGGTTTCCTTTTTCCGCTTCCTTTAGGAGGTGATGGCACTACGCTGTTCACATGCTGCTGTGGACTCGTGGAGGAGTTCCGGCGTTCCTCGGGGGAATTAATGAGTCGGCGGGATGCTATTTTGAAGACTGATCAGGTCCCTAGGTACCCACAAAACCCACGATTTCTCAATATTTACCTGCCCAGCTGCGAACACACTCTGTTCTCATACAACACTACGTAAGGTCGTGATAACGATGTATAATTATGTACAGGCCGGGTCCAGCAACCGAGCAGGCTCAGTTCAGCCGCGTCAGCGTGATGTCGTCGACCCAGATATTATCGACGCCGCCTGCGCTGCCCGTGACGCCGCTGACCTGCCCGCCGCCCGACAGCTGTAGCTGCAGCCACGACGACGCGGGCGTGAAGGTGATGGTGCGGCGGACCCACGTGTTGGCGGGCAGCGGCTGCAGGCTGGCCTCGCTGGCGGGCGTCATGTAGGCGCCGGGGTAGGCGTAGAGGTAGAAATTGGTCGCGGCGGCCGTGTTGTCGTGCAGCAGCCAGGCGCTGAGCGTGTACTGGCGGCCGGGCTCGATGCCGAGGATGACGCGGCTGAGCACGATGCTGCCGCCGTTGATGTTGGCGTACTTGACGTGGTAGCCCCAGCTGCCGGTGTGCGGGTGCTGCGTCGACAGCTCCGTCGGCAGGATGGGGCTTTGTGGGACGGACCAGTTGCCGTACGTGCCCGACTCGAAGCCGCCGTCGTACAGCACGTCGACGCCGATGCTGGGCGTTGGCGAAGGCACCTGTCCGACCGTGTACGTGCTTGTCTGGCAGTCGGCGTTGAAGGTGCACAGCACGTTGGCCGTCTGCAGGCACGAGAACAGGCTGGTGAGGGTCGACGTGGCCACGTCCAAGTTCAGGGGGGTGGCTGCCGTCGAGGTCGGGAAGCATGCGTTGGCCGTGGGGTTGGGCGCGTTGCCGTAGGCGGTCAGGGCCGCTGAGCATAGGCGCAGAGACGACGACATTAAGCGCGAGTTGAAGTTGGCGGGCAGGCTGCTGAGCTTCTGGCAGCTCGAGGGGAGGATGTCTTGGTAGCACTGCGCCGGCCCGGCCAGCGTCGGCCCGGGGGGGCAGCTGGTGATGGTCGTCAGAGGGGGACCTGCGGGGGTGGTTGGCGTCGTGGAGGTCGTCGAGGGGACGGATGAGCTGCTCGGCGCAGAAGAGCTGGGGGCCTCGGTCGTAGTTGACGCCTCGACGGATGAGCTGGGGACAGGCGCCAAGCTGGAGACTGGTGCCGAGCTGGAGACTGGCGCTGAGCTGGGGACAGGTGCCGAGCTGCTCGGGACAGAGACATGTGCTGTTGACGAAGCAACAGCGGTTGAAGAAGCTGAAGACACAACGCTGGACACAACGCTGGACACAACGCTGGACAAAACGCTGGACGGGACAGTGGACGAGACGACCACGGATGATGCTGACGACAAGACGACACTAGACGATGCGGCGGAAGAGACAACGCTAGATGATATCGTCGAGAAGACAGTGTCGGACGTGGGCAAAGAGACGAGGCTTGACGGCACCGACGACGAAATAACGCTGAGAGCGACAGTGGACGACACAATCTCGGAGGATGCCGACGAGGGAAAGACAGAATCCGAGGAAGCCGACGAAGAAAAGACAGAAGCCGAGAAAGCCGACGCCGAGATGGCGGACGTGGCTTTGCATCTTCCCTTCCTCGGCGCCGCCAAGACGGAGGCGGAAAACAGAGGCAGCAACGCCAAGAGCCGGAGGCTGAAACGAGTGTGAACCATTGCGGAGGAATAAGGCCGGAAACGGCAACAATATCTAAACGAGTGGCTGCAAAGGTGATGCAGAAGAAAAGCCACAAACGCCCACGGGAAGCAGGATTCGCCGCCCTTTATTGTCTTCTCCCCTTTTGCCCTCCGTTTAAATTTGTTGGCCTAGCCTGGGCCTAGAATATGCAGGTACGGATCCCAATAGATAGTGTCAACAGTAGCGCAGGGCGCTATGCCCCGTGTATGGATGCAAGACTGCAAATCGCCCGGGCTCAACTCCACACCAGCGTCGCATCTCCACCCAACCTTGACTCTTGGGAATGCGTTGCAACCAAGACTGCTTCGCTATTGGTCAACCCCACCGCGCCTCGTAGGCTTATCCTCGCTAATCACCCAGTGATCTACCTTGACGGGCACACACGACTGCTCCACCAGCAGCGCAAGCTAGGCTAGGTTGGAACCTGTTCACGCATGAGGACCTATTGCAATTTTATTCCATGAGCTGTGCGCGCCGAGGTCAAGCCCGGTCAGACTCGAACGCCAATGTGCCTCTGTGCCCCAGATCCGCGCGACGGGATGTGTGTTTCTCCTTGCATCGCAGCCCTTGCACACCTAACCCAGTAGATCTCGAGTCAACATTATTGCAACCGCAGAGCCAGGGTAGTGCTGATGTTCCCTAAATTAATTCCTAATTCATGGTTGTGAATTAGGTCTGGACATGACCTAGCTAGGCTGCTTGAAACAATCCGCATGAGAACGAAGGCGGGAATCTGGCCATCGAACAGTTGGAGAAAATGACGCCGATGGTTACCTATCCAGCCTAATGCTACAAGTGTGGTTCTTAATGAATACCGATTTCCTCAGGGCTCATGTGAGCTGCGTGGTTGGTGGTTATTACTTATAGAACTAACGTTGACGGGTACCAGTGAATGGAATCATCCCTATGATCATGATGGCACTCGGGGTTCAAATGTCGTGAGGTTTGAATCGAGAGCCAACTGTTACAACCGTGACTACATGGTCCAAGATCACATGCAATTAAATAATTCTATCAAATACGTGGTGAGGTTACGCAACTCGTCCTCAGTCACCCCAGCACATAGTCAGCATGCTCATCCTATCGCTACCTCAAAGTTTGGTACACACACCGCTCTTGTGGCCGGTCTGCGGCTCGGACTCCTAAACCGACACTCGGATCAGACCCTGTTCCCAGCGGCCGCCAGCCCGTCACTGACGAGAAACGAAATCCAGAACACCGAAATCGCCCATTTCGTCTCCGAGGCCCGAGGATACGCGCCCGCGACCCGACTATACGCGACCCGGGTCCGGATCAAAAATGAGCAGGCTCGAAGCTTAGCACGACACCAGAAGGGTTGCATCTGAGATAAGCAGCGCGGCTGTTTGAGCAGTGGCAGGTAGTATTGCCGGACGTTGCTCGGCAGCTAGTAATGAATCCGGTGGCCCAATAATTGTGAGCCCATAATTATCACGCACGCACAACTTGGTGGCTTGACAAAGCCCGGAATGCCCGGAGGGCGGCCCCCATGGGGACGCATGCAACGCCGTGTTGAGGGGTACATGCTGCAATATTGGACGGTGGAGGCTTGAGTCGGGCGGCGATCTGACTGGACCACCGCCGCGCACATACATGACGCCTTGCTTGATTCCATGTGCCGCGCGGGAAAGGACGTCATACGCCATGCTCATACTGTTCTCTCCACTCTCCGGCCCGTCAGTCGGATAACACATACGAATGAGACTGATATTTCCGGTTCAAATTGTAATTGTTAGCAGTTTCATAATCTATAAGGGGCGTTGCAAACATTCCACGTTGTGTAGTAACACAGGCTCTGTGCTCTCGTCTTCTCCTTATCGTCTAGCAAGAGTGCATGAAGCTGTTCACGACGATGCATCTCAAACACCTCTCCATCCTGGCGGCGCCATGCATCGCCGCTGCCTCGTCGATCCTCTTCTCGGGCGGCACCATCGTGGCCTTTGACCGCACCTCGGAGAGCCTGAAGGTGATCCGCAACGGCTCAGTGCTGGTGACGGACGACCGCATCACCAACATCGTGGCCGGCGCGCCGACCTTCAAGCTGCGCAACGACACCGAGGTGGTCGACATCTCGGGCAAGATCATCACGCCCGGCTTCGTCGACACGCACAAGCACGGCTGGCAGACGGCCTTCAAGACGCTCGCCAGCAACACGTCGCTGCTCGAGTACTTCTACCGCTACGGCGAGTTCGCGGTCGCGGGGCTGCTGACGGCCGACGACGTGTACGTCGGCCAGCTGGCGGGCATCTACGAGGCCCTCAACGGCGGCGTCACCACCATCCTCGACCACGCGCACCACACGTGGTCCAACGCGACCGCCGAGGCCGGCCTGCGGGCGTCCATCGACTCGGGCGCGCGCGTCTTCTGGGCCTACGCGTTCCACAACATCCCCGCCGTCAACTATCTCATTCCCGAGCAGCTGGCCAACTTCGCCGATATCGCGCGCAACGCCTCCTTTGCCAACACGCCGACGTCGCTCGGAATCGCCTACGACGCCTTCTCGGGCAACAAGAACACGGCCGAGGTGGCCGCCGTGGTGGCCCTCGCGCAGCAGTTCAACGCGTCCGTGCTGACGACACACTCGCTGCAAGGCCCGTGGGGCAACGACAACTCGCCCGAGGACCTGCAGGCCGCAGGGATCCTCAACACTTCGATCCCGGTCGTCTTCTCGCACGCGTCGTTCCTGACAGCGGCGGACGCGACGCTGCTGCGCTCGACCAACCAGTTCGTATCCGTGACGCCCGAGTCCGAGATGCACTACGGCCACGTGCACCCGCACAGCCACCTGGTGCTGGACCAGGCCGCGCTGGGCGTCGACACGCACTTCACGTATTCCGGCGACATCCTCACGCAGGCGCGCCTGTGGCTGCAGAGCGTGCGCCGCACCCTGTACAGCGAGGTGCTGGGCCGCTGGCAGGTGCCGCCGAACAACCCGATGAGCGCGGCGCAGGCGTTCCTGCTGGCGACACGTCACGGCGGGCTGGCGCTGCGGCGCGACGATATTGGCGTTATTGCCAAGGGCGCGAAAGCGGACCTCGTCGTGTGGGACGGCAAGACGTCGCCGGCGCTGCTGGGGTGGAACGACCCGGTGGCGGCGGTTATTCTGCACGCGAGCGTGGGCGACATCGAGCACGTGCTGGTGGACGGGCGGTGGAAGAAGCGCGACGGCAAGATCGTGGTGCCGGGGTATGCCAAGGTGCAGCAGCGGTTCTTGGCGAGTGCGAGGCGCATCCAGAACGAGCTGATCGCCGCCGACACGTCGGTGCCGCAGCCGGGCACCATCTGGGATCTCAGCGGGTTTTTTGTGGGCGAGGCGCTGACCGTCGACACGCTGAGGCCTTACGACAACGTGACGGGCTATGGTGAGCTGTTTCTGGACAAGTTTTGAGGATATGTGTGAGGGATGGCAGCTGTGGTGGTCTGTGTTTTTGTACTCGGGGAGGCGGATATAATTCTCAATTACATAGCCATCGATATCGGTTGCCAACACAATTCTCCAAATTAGGTTATTTCTCACAGCACATTGGCCAGTGAATGGAGTGGACTTTCGTTGGCTGTGGTTCGTGCTTCAGTTCGCTTCCACGGTGCGCACGAGGATGCGAGTAGGTGGTCTCGGTATTCGATCGTCGCGCATGTCGCTTTCATTAAATCCGTAAAATGCAGGGCACCGAGCATGCTAATTACTGCGCATATGAGAAATGTGAATATCAGGGCAAAAAGCAAAAAAGAAAAAAAGGATTGATATTTTTCAAGTCTCGGTTGGAATCAAACCAATGGGTTCGGAGGCTAAACCGCGTGTCGAGTCGGAAGAATTTGCGAGTTTTGACCCGCTAAGCGTGTGCTGGCTGCGCTAGCGTTGTTTTTTGCACACGTTGTTCCGAGCTTGGAAACTATGGCCAGCAACGCGTCCTATATGGTCAGTTGTCCGGCGTGCACTGTCAGCTGGTGGGTGCGGCTTTTTCATCTCATCTTCCTTGACGCGTTGCCTGGATGCCTCGCCACCGTGGACGCGTCTGTGACCCGAGCCTTTTCTGCTCCTGCTTGCCCCTCGCGCACCCCGGTTTTTTAGTGTTCAGCTTCTTGTCTGGTGACTGCGGCTCTACTTGTAGCGTGAAAAAGTGACTGGTGCAACTGTTCAGCTACCATCAGGTTGCGTGGTGCAGGGTATGTAGTTGTGGTCTATCGCCATCTAGCCCGGTCCCGGAGCTGTTAAAAGAGCTTTGGTTTGTACTTTAGCGTGTCGTGCGCATGTGCGAAATACGGAGCAGGGAAACTTGACTTTGAAACAAGGAATTGAACAAGATATATGAGCCGGGGCTTACCTTCTAAACCAACGTCACCTCCTGGGGTTCTCCCGGCCACTTGCCCTGGAAAATGTTCCCAGTGTATAGGTCCGTCCTGTGACAAGCGCCTGAACCCGTGGCTTCCAGGATTAGAACTATCTCCTATTCGTCAGGCTTGCCGACGCGTAGATAGTACCTGTCTTGTGAATCGGGGTGATTGGCCCTCAAATCGGTCAGCTGCGCCTTTGTCGCCTTCTTTATCGTCGCCCTCACCGTCGCATCCGCCATCGTCTTTATCGCCTCCGCCATCGTCTTCATCGTCTTCATCGTCTTCATCGTCTGTATCACCGACTCCGCGCTCGTCTGTGAGGATAGGATGCTTGTCATCCCACGCTGCGCCGCTGATAATAGGCGCGGTGACAAGGAGCTTGGTAGGGTCAGCTCTAGCGCAAGACAACAGCCGTAAGATTTCTAGCTAGTGGGACGGGTCATGGTAATACCCCTGTCGTGGCGCACTTCCTCGTGCCCTGTAGTCTGAGATTCGGAGTCGCCTGGGACGCCAGCGGCTCTAGCGGCGGCTTCAAGGTCGGCAAGGCAAGCGCCGAGCAGCCAATTCCTGGACAAGTTCGTTCCTAGGAAGTGTTAGACTCAAACTCTATTCATTCCTCTCTCCTATCCCGGGACCCTGCGAGGACCTATCCAGGGGCCCTGCTTTCCTCGCAGCTACTCTCAACCCTTCGTGCCTTCCAAGTCTGCGACATTGATTCTCGGCCTCAGGTTTTCTCGCAGCTGCTAGCGCCTCTGGGACTGCTCACAATCCGGCTTTTCAGAGTCTCGACCTCCGCTTTAATTGGCCGAGCTTGGCAATCTCATTCTCCGCAACGATGGCGCCCGAACACATTGCCGCAGACACGCCAGTGGTGCGCTCCCGCTCGCCACTGACGAGACCCGCCCCAGTATCAGGGCGGCCGCACCTGCTACGGGACGAGCCGTCGTTCCCCATCTTCGGCCACTTCCCTGCCGAGATCCGCTGCAACATCTGGGCGCAGGCTGTCGAGCCGCGGGTGTTGCGCATCAACCTCCACACTCAAACCGAGGTCGACGGCGGTGCCCCGACCCCGGCACCCCGCAACGCCATCCACACACTGCCAGTCATCACTGCTACGCCTGCGCTGACGCGGACCCTGCGCGCCGCCTTGAACGTGTCGCTGGCCTGCATCGAGGCCAACATGGAGATGCGCCGGGCGTCGCCCGACACGATGTCGCTGCTGCTGCCCGGCGCGCGCCGCACCGTCCAGGTGCCCTACTGCCGCCGCCGCGACATCATCTGCTTCGAGTCCCTCTCGCGCCCTGGTTGATCAAGTGCAGCCCGTGCCCGCCGCCGCAGCCGCCGTTCCCCGTCGGCGTGTTGGGCATCGACGTCGGCCCCATCAGCCCCAAAGAGGCCGTCATCGCCGTCAACGCCGCCATCTACTTCCGCTGCCGCCGCCTCCACCTCGTCCACGGCGGGCTCGACTTTGCCGCCCCCGAGACCACCACTATTTGGGAAATTAGGTCGCCACTCCACACGGACAGCAACAGCATCGCTTACGTCCATAACGGCCAGGTCGACGTCGTCGAGCAGCAGCCTCTCCATTACGAGGACAAGATCTTTGACCCATCCGTGTCAATCAAAATGAGGCTGTTCATCTTCCACAAGGTCTTCAAGTGGAGCTATATTGGGCCGAAAAAGGCAAAGACCGCTCGGCTGGGGATGGGCCAGCTGGGCATGTAGGAGGCAGGTATGTTGCGCCGTGTATGTGTCCGGTTTAGCATTGTGGGCTTTGGTAATAGTGTGCAAAAGGGACGGTTTGAACGGGAAATGGATTGGGTTTGGCTGATGGCTGCAAAAAAAAAAAAACCGGCTTCTGTTGCCTTGACTGACCGCCATTCCCTTGCCAAGTGGTGAGTGTCATGGGGTGCGGAACGGGGCGGATATTCGGGATGATTTGGGATAACCGACGGTGATGGTGGTGCTTTTTGCCCGTGTGTTGTGTTTGGTCTGAACTCGGAGTTTTGGATTCTGGGGGTTGGAATTGGATCTGGAACTTACGAACCGTTATGATTTTATTGCGCCGACAAAGGGATAACTGCTACACAAAATACGCACTTCAGGTTGCAAACACGTTGGCCCGCTTCTTCATCCGCCGAATAGTGTCCGCCGAATAGTGCCGATTGTTGCACGCGAGACAAGACAGCCGTGTTTACTTGGTCACGCCTGCCTCTGCAGGCTTCGTCTGTTGTGCTGCGAGAAAACACGTGCCAGCCTCGGATTTCGTCTGATCTTTTTTTTCTCGGCCGTGTCACTCTTGTCGAGTTGTGTCACTTGGCCGCAGACCTTAATTCACGGCCTTTGCGGCTCGGCTCCATTTTCGCCTCTCGCAACCTAGCAGTCCACCGTCGTTTCTCGTCGTAGGAACCATCGCCAACAACGCCGTTCAAGATGATGAACGCGCGGCTCGCCAGAGTCCTGCTGGATCTTTTCGTGTTTGGCAGCTGCGCCGTCGCCGTCGCCGTCGCCGTCGCCGTCGCCAGCTCTAGCTCTAGCTCGCGAAACGAAATCGCGACCAACGACGTCCTCGAAAAGCGCTCGGGAGGTACGTATTCCAGGTTGACTGTCGAGGCTATTGACAAAAGGAGCTAATTGGCGTTGTTGACCAGGCCTCTTCTGCGGCGTCTTCAACACGGCCGACAAGCACAATATCATGGAGAACCTCTACTGGATGCGCAACAACCTCGGCAAGTGCACTACCCCGGCGCGGACCTGTCGGCGGTTCTCATGCATCAACACCAGCGGCGTATACGTAAGTGTTAAATACCCCTTTCTTCCCAATGCCGGTCCACGTCTAACCGGGTGCCGGCGGTGATTGCTAACATGACTGTCTGTCAGGTGTGCAACGACCGCGACCAGGACCTCACCATCGACTGCGGCGTGGAAGCGCCAGGTCTCGCCGACACACCCGCCGTGCAGTGCTGTACTGCCGCCCACAGCGGCATCTCGGGCCAGCAGTTTAGCGATGACGGCACGTGGTAAGTTTATACTTGATTGATGAAAGATATACAAACGGATAATTACATCTCTAATGTATGAGGCAGGAACGTGATCATTGCTTTCGCGGACTGCAACCACGACTGGGACGCTGATCGGCCTTCCATGGGCCCGCCGGACGATATCTGGGGCCCCAACGGCGCGTGTCTCTGCTGCTGAGTTGCTGCAAGTGTTTTCGTGTCTGGATTCTTAGATAGTTAGGGCATGGAAACCATAAATGTGGCTACAGAATCCGATGAACCACTATCCACCGTCATCGCGTTCCTGGTTCCGTCTATGCCCCTGTCTCTTGTAATAGCGGGTTGGAAGCGGTGAATTCGAAACGTTTCGGCGTGCAGTGGGACATACTGGGCTCTGTTCTCGGTATTTTCTTTCCAGCCTGTACCAGCTTGTTTGACACTGACGATGTGTGTCGCGTTCTTTGTTTGCCTCTGTTCCCCTGGGTTTCTAAAGTCTCTGAAGCAGTCCCAGGATCGTTTGTTTGCGGCCATCTCCGACAGGCAATCGAGTGGTGGCCATGGAGTCGGCCATGGCTCTCTACGATCTGTATCGCTCGGCTGGCCTTCAGCGGCCATCAATTTAACGGTCCGGTAGATCGATTTTATTGCATCTCACAGTCTCTCAACCCACCCTCTCCTCGCCATCTAGCTTCAAAAAAATACCGCCATCGCAATGAACAATCTATTTATTCGGGTCCTTTTTGGTCTTCTCGCTCTCGGCGGCTGCATCATTGCTGAGCCCTTTACGTCGCTAAAGCCACTCTTGGAAAGCGATATCGGCGTCCACGACGCGACCTACGGCTCTTTGGAAAAGCGTATGAGCAGTACGTTTTCCCAGAATAACAAGCAGCCACGGCTAGTTGAGCCTGACAACGACTAGTCATGCAATGCCGAGCTTTCAATACGGCCGACTTCTCCGACACGGAAGAAAATCTTCAATGGATGTTGAACGGCATGGCCGCTCGCCAATAGATGTGCATCACGCCCGCCCAGACCCGTCGGAGATACTCCTGCATCAATACAAGTGGTGTTTATATACGATTTTTTTATTTGTTTCTATTATTTTCCTGTCTCTCCGTGTGGGGGCCTCCCCGAAAAACTCAAAAATTGACACGGAGATGTGACACTAGCTATGCAATGACGACGATCACGACTTGTCGATCACATGCTTTCATATAGTCCGCCTCGGCGTGGAGATGTATTTTAAATGCTGCAAAATCACTGAGGGCATCTCGGGAAAGACAGGTGGCGACAACACTACCTACTGCATGGACCTTGCATATGCTAACTGCAACCACAACTGGGACGCCGACCGCCCGTCTCCGGGGCTGCCCGACGATAAATGGGGCCCCAACGGCCCTTGCGGTTCATAATTTGGTCAATGATGTTGAGGGGCCGTTCTATGGTCCGAGGAGGAACGGATTCACGGGTCGTGTTTACAGCCCACGGGCTACCCAATGGGGGGGACGTGAGGTCAGCTCTCGTGCATAGCTTGCTGAACGGCAGAACGATGGGGGGGCTGGCGGCTTGGAACAAACGGGTGAAGCGTAACTAGATCATTTTGGAAGAAATAAAGATGCTAGAGATTCTCTTCTTGTCTCCTTTATCCCGACTCTTTCGGCCTGTGCTAATGTTTCTGCGTAACGTGATACAGAAATCAGGATCCATCGGGGTTTAAATGAAAGGTGGAATAGAATCTTGAACAGAGGTAGCGGCGAAGTCGGCCTTTTAGACTCTTTGGGAGCCTGTTCGGGACCCCTGAGCTTACACCGCCAGTCGACCAGCTCGTTGAACTAGCCCAAATATTGACATCGTGGCTTGGCGCCCAAAATTGTGTCAAATTGGACTATCATCACGGACGGAGACTGCTAATTTCTAATACTGAATTAGCAGGATTGAGGATGAAATGTCGGCGGGTTGCGCGATCCCGTAGCGAGCCAACGAACGACGAGATATCCCCCGCTAGTGGGGTGGCAAACAAACAAGAAGAACCCGTAGATAGGGGAAATTAGAGCATGGATTGCTAGGAAATGGCCGCATTTCACATGCAAAGACAAGTGATAGCTTTCTACAAACGAGGCCGCGCGGCTAGCCTTGTGCGGCCATATATTTAGAAGTCCTCCCATGCTGCTCTGCTCCATTCCGCATCTCACAGTCCCAGCCTTCCAATCCGCTGTCTTTTCAACCATCTGATATCTAGACAACGAACGGCTACCGATAGCAGCATACAATGAACGCACTGTTTCTTCGGGTCCTTCTGGGCCTTCTTGCTTTTGGCAGCTGCATTACCGCCGGGCCTGTGGCCACGCCATCCCTAAAGCCACTCTCGCTGAGAACCAACACAACCGACAACTCCGCAGGTGCGTCTTTCCGCGGAGAAGGCGTAGCTGACTGCTGACACCAAACAGGCCTCTTCTGCGGAATCTTCAACACGGCGAACACGCAGGACACAGACGATAATATATCCTGGTTGAAGAACAACGTCGGCACCTGCTTCACGCCCGCCCAGACATGTCGGCGGCATTCTTGCATCAACACAAGTGGAGTCTACGTATGTTTCTTCTCTTCGCGCTCTTTTTTCTTTCACTTCGTGGGCGGGGTTTCCATACCATACATGCTCTTGACCAGCCCCACAAAGGCATAATTAGGTGACGACCTGGCAGCTAATAGTGAGGGGGCAACGTACCTAGGTCTGCAATGACAACAACCACGACATCACCCTCTCGTGTGCCAATGACGTCGTCCCTCGCCTCGACGATGTTATCGTGCACTGCTGCAATGGCGCCAAGAGCGGCATATCTGGCCAGAAGTTCAGCGATGACGGCACCTGGAATGCCATAATTGCTTACGGGAATTGCAACCACAACTGGGATGCCGATCGCCCGTCCATGGGACCACCCGATGACATATGGGGCCCCAACGGTGCTTGCAACAAGATAGCTGTGACTGGTGTAGGGTAAGCGTCTAGGTCTTTCTTGCTCTTTTGGTATTTCCGACAGGCAGCTTACAGATTATTAGAAGTGGCGTTCCGTGATTGTGATGGGTCTCGCCAAAGGGCGATGCAGGACTGGAGGCTTGCAGCGAACAGATCAAGGCCGAAGTGTTTTTGGAAGAAAGAGGGATGCTAGAGACTGCCTTCCCGTAGGCTTTCTCTCCCGGTGGTTACGTGGCAGTTTCTCTAGGTAGATACCTAACTAATTATTACACCGATGGAGACCGCCGATTTGTAACATCCATTACATGACCCCAAAACCGACAACAAGAGTTTCCATTTCCTCCTTCGGAGCTGAGCATTTGCCGCCTTAAGCCGAGCCAGACTGAGCCGGGCTCAGCGAGAGGCCATTTTTTGGGCTACCCCGGTTGTACTTGCCGTGGTTTGAAAATGGTATTCTGAGCCCAATTTCAAGACACTGGCGCCCCGCAACCTGGCCACCCCGTCTCTTTTTTCCCCTTCGCCCTCTCCGGCCTTAGCTCGCGGTACAGCGCGTCAGTCTCGTGCACAGCAGCAGCCGCCTCATCCGGCTCTCCGGCCTGCGCGAGGAACAGCGACTTCAGGAATAGTGTGCGCGCCCGCTCGCCCTGGAAGTACTTGCCGCCGGCGGGGAAGTAGCGCAGCGCCGTGTCGAACATCATCCTGCAAAATTACAGTCAGCAATGCAAATTCGTTTCAGTAATTAGGTACCTTGGGTGCCTAGTCACAGAATTGTCGCAGCTCAAGACCCCGAGTGCATTTTAGCAAGCCAGTCGATTTCTTCACCGCGGCCTGCGGCATGGAGAATGGCAATGCGTAGGCAGTCTAGCCTGCGGACCAATATCATAGAGCTCTTCGTGTCCTCCTTCGAGCCGCAGATATAGGTTAACTATTGCAGCAGGGTGTTAGCCGAGGTTTCATCAAGAGCTTCAAGATCTACGCCGGAATTTGGAGCGTGGAAGAAGGACTTTGCCGAGGAATCTCGACTTGTTACCAGCACGGAACCTAGACCTCGCGAAGGGGTATACTAACAAGCCGAGGGTGCACACGGAAGATGCAACAGTCGCCATCATGAAATCACAATCATGCGAACCTCGACGGACTCGCGGGGTGTGCTGCCGATGACACTAGCAGAGGATGACACTAGCAGAGCCCCCGAGGGACCACGGAGGGGTGGTACATCAGTAAGCTTACGAGTAACGGTTAGAGTAACGGTTGGAGTGGACCTTTCCCCCCACTCTCGACCGAGCGGCGGAGGCGTAAGAAGACGACCGTCTACATGCAGGTCAATATATCGCGACTCAAGTTACGGCCGCTAATTGAGGACTAGGGAAAAGCTCAAAGAGACTAGGTCTAGAATAATCAAGGTCGACTACTAAGACGAGGACACCGTCAAGAAGGCAGCGCAAGATTTGCTGCAGGAAGACATTAAGCTCGATGTCTTGGTAAACTCTGGCGGTCTGCAATGTAGTTTCTGGCTAGCTGTTGCCATCTTCCACCAAACCGCTGATCTCCGAGTGTCTATACAGGTATCGGAGTTCAGCCTCAAAAGTGGAATGCACAAAAACGGCACAGGGAGAATCATCTACATCACATCCGACTCGGGGAGCATTGGCTGTGAGACACATTCCATATCTAGGGTTGACATTAATACCCTTGCTAACAACGTCGCCGTCCCTAACCCCTCGGGAAACGTCATCGGCTATCGCATGGCAAAGTCCGCGGCCAACCAACAGGTCAAGACACTGGCCATCGACTTCAAGCGAGGCGGCATCCCCGTCAGCACCTTGGCATTCGAGCCAGGGTTCATTAAGACACGTCTATCAGGAGACACTAATATTGTCGAGTCTTGCCCGGGAACGGTGGACATTATCGAGAGGATGGCGCCCGACATGCCTGGGGCCTTTCTCGACTGGCAGGGCAACACGGTTCCTTGGTAGATCGCTTGATTTTGTTGATGAAGATTTAGGAAGGAGGTAGTACCTCCCGAGATGTCAAAGGACTTGATTAGCAGGGTAATTAACGTGATTCTGCCTTTGGTTCGGTCTTTCTTTGGCGGGCATTAACGGGAGTGCAGAAGCATGAAAGTGCAACACCCACAAGAATAAACCGGTGTAGAATGTAGAATGAGCGTAGAGACCCCTCAAGCGCACAGGACTAGTGGGGGCGGGTGCTTTGGTCAAGTTAAACATGGACCACGGTCTCCATCCAACGTAAGACCTGCCTCCGTCCGAGCTCATCTACTGTTTACCGCAGCAGACTGCACAGTGCGCGACCACGGGGCAATCTGTCGCCTTCACTGCACCAGACCGTGAAGCAAGAGCCAGCCCGCCATTTGCCAAACCTGCGACGCTTGTCCGCCGCCAAGACTAGGTCCAAAATTGGTGAGCTTGACTCTAAAGACGAAGACACCACAAAGGCAGCCAAGGACTTCCTGTAGCAACCTAGACATCAAGCTGCATGTATTTGTCAAATCTGGCGGTCCGGGAATTATTTCTCTGGTCTGTTGTGCCGCCAAACAAGCCGACGGCATGCTGTATTTGCAAGGTATCACAGCCCAGCCCCAGAAATGGGACGTACACGAGGCAGATGACTTGATGGAGCAATTCCAGGTCACGGCGGTGCCTCTAACCCAGAGCCACGTTTGATTGAATCCGACGACAACTTCCAGCGGAAGTCGGGGATCGAGTCTTACTTTTTACGGAGCTCAGTGGGTAGACGTCGCTCCTTCCTGCCAAGCGCAGTAATTTTACCGGTAGGACTGTGATTAATTAGGACATGATTTCACGTAATTAATGGCATCCCAGCAACCAAAACCCTCGTACTAGAATCATCACGGCCACGACTTTGTTCCTTCCTCACCCCCCTAGGCCCTGCCCCACACCTTGCATGTTCTCGTACCTTTTAGGGACAGGACCACTTTCCTTGCACTTCTTCTCTACAATAAAACCCAAAATCTTCTTCGGTGTGAGTGCCGCCTTCCTCTCTGCTTTCGTCGCGCACCTCACCCCGCCTCGAATCCCAATCCCAATCGCAAGCACCAATTCTTCTTCCATCTTCTAGCGTCTACAAGTCGCGGGCATTATTTCTCTACTCTACCCGGTTTGACACGTGGAATTTGCCACATTTTCGGTCCTCGCTTTGTCAAAGCGAAGTAACTATCCGGAATGGCTTCCCCCGAAGTCGACACACTCGGCCTAGACCCCGCAGAAGACAAATCGCTTTTGAAAGCTGCTCGCAACTTTTCCAACCACTTCAAAAGGCCTGGCCCTGTCGACGAGAGAGTTACCAAGGCATTATGGTGGATCGTGGTAAAGGAATTCGAATCCAAGGCCCCAAAACTGGGGGAAAATGAAAAATTTCCCAGCTGGGTCAACAACAAGTGGTCAGCCAATGACATCCGCGCTACACTGCACGCCGAATTCAAGGGGTTCCTAGGCGAAAACACGGCCTAAGAGCTCAAGCTCAAGAAAATCACTGAAATTTTGGGCTTGCCTTCCTGGGCCATTCTTTGCCTCTACTTCGGCTCAATCATTTTGACGTCCCCCTCTGCCGCCATGTCGCTGACAAGTTGGCTGAAGAACGCCAATGATGATAACAACGACGTTCACTCGTCCCTCCAAACTGTTTATAAAAACCTGTTGGAGGTTTACACGGGCCGCCTTTCTATGGTTGGCGAGAAGCACGCGAATCACGCACATCTTGTATTCGCACGATCAGATGCTCTCCATGTTTTCAAGGATTGCGACTTCGTTAAAGCGACATCGCTGTCTGAGAGTAAGTTCTCCTTTTACGCGCTGGCTATTCACTAGAATATCTCTAATTGCTTTTCATTTCAGCTGGCAGTTCCGCTTCAGCATCAGAACCCTCCAAGCTCAAACATGAATTCGAAGACACTGTCCAGGATCCTATATTCACTGGACCTGCCACTGTGGCTGCCAGTGACCCAAGCTTGGAACAAGGAGCATGATAGCATTCTCCTCCCTGGCTTTCGAGACGGCCGAGTTATAGACCCCAATCACGAGAAATTGGCTATCGACACCAGAGACACCAAAGCCACAGACACTTCGTCTCGGAAGCGTTCGCGCTGCTCTGTCTCACCTCCTCCGATGCCTTGCCTCACCCCGGACAATTCTTGGAATTCACCACAAGATCACCTAGCAGGCAACCATTTGAACAAGAAGGCAAAGACAGCAGGCCGAGTCGCACTAATAGACAATTCGATCAAAGACCTACATCTACATGTCCCCAATGGCGAGGCCGCTGGCTATACCATAAATACAATTCTGCAGTGGCTCCTATCCCATGTGCCCGAGTCCGCTACAATCAATCCCGCTTTGATTTCAACTCAAGAAGGTGATCGGTCAGGCCTGGCAGACCTTTTCAAGTCTCACTTGACGGAGATCAACAACTTCATTCTCCCGATCGTTGTCCCGATTGGAATTGGAAGAGCAAATAGAAAGAAAGAGCAATGGGTTGTGGCAAAGGTAGATATTAAGGCTCGGAAAGTATTCGTCATGGATTCGAAAGCTTCTAATACACACCTACGGGAAGTCAAGAAGATCATTGAATCGTTCATCAAACAGTCCTTGCCAGGAAACGAGACTGAAGATGTATGGAGTGTCTGGGCTGTAGAACAACTCGCTTGCACCCAGGATCAAGACATCGAAAACAACGGCGGGTTGTATGCCGTAGTTACGGCAATCCGCCTTGTTTGCGGCTCTAGTCTGGAAAGCGCCGTCTTTCCAACGACCGTCAAACGGTGGCTCCGTTCATTGTCTCATAAACGCGAGAATGTAGCGATATATTTCGAAGACGCTCTTGCTTCTCTCGAACCGACACTAGAGGAGGCAAATCGCGAGCAAAACCTACCCGAAATGCCCGATCTTGACTCTGACTTCTCGAGGCCGGGGAGCGCAGTACCACAAACCATGAAGACGGCCGAAATGATACCGCGGATCAACGACATCACGCATGGTGCGCGTGAGATGGAGGCTTATGCAAGAGATCTCCGCCGCATTGCAGGGCGTCTGATGCGCTGTGCTAAAGGTCACAAACAAGCGGCCCTGGACTTGAAAAGGTCCAAAGATTCGATAAAGGAATCTCTAACCGAAAGGTTGAACATCCTCCAAAATATAAAGACGGTTTGTCAAGAGATCAATTCCTGGCTAGAACATCTCAACAACAAGATTACTAAGTTAGCTTACCCAGATTTGGCCAGGCCCCACTTTTGGCCCGGGCGCCGCCCGCACTTACACAACGCAACGCATGACATTTGAAGCTATAGAAAAAGGTCAAATCAACTAATTACAATGCAACTTTCGTCTTCTTCTTCATCTTCCGAGCCCTCTGGTTTGTCTGAACTGTCAATATCGCGCCCAGCTGCCCTCTGTGCCTTGCGAATGTCCTCAATCGTAGCAAACTTGGAATTCGGGCTCAATTGGACCTTCTTCTTCTTGCTGCCTTTCTTGTTCTCAATTTCGGCCTTGAGAGCTTCATTCTCACGTCGTAGCTTAGCCAATTCGAAGTCCTTGATGTTGAATGCCTTTTCGATCTTCCTGAATAGCGTACGGCGAGTGCGGCGAGCCGCCGAATGTATGTTCAATTTCGCCAGGGAGACCGTGAGCTCCGTGACCTTTTGAGGAGTCTTCTAGACGCCGTATTTATCATATACCTGTTGCTGCAGGTAAGCTAATGACCTGGCTTCCTCCAGGGCCTGTGAAGCTGTATTTGTGGTGCCTTGGTTCCTGTTTTCTAGCAACAACTTGCTTCGCAGGGGCTTTTGCTTGTTGACAGGCCACAACCCGGCGGCATGCCAACCTACCTTGCAGTTGCTGGGCTGAAATGCGGTTTTCCGGGCTTTTAAATAACAAAGCAACATAAGCCGGCGCCCTAGAACCGTGCTGTGCGATAACGTCGGCCTGCTATTGAGCTCCTTCCTGTATGCCCTCTTCAGGACTGAGAAGACAGTCAAATCGAGAGGTTGAAGAACATGAGAAGCGTGTGGAGGTAAATAAAGAAGGTAGATGTTGTTTTGGAAGCATGACCACATATAATCATCGGTGGTATGACTGCCGTGGCCGTCAATAATAAGTAGTCGTTTTTCTCCGTTGGCTGGCCGGGTCCTAGGAATGAAGACCTTCTGAAGCCATTCCAATGCCCTTGCATCGTCAATCCAGCCTTTTTCCTGGCTTGTGAAGTGCCAACCAACGAAGGATTTGAGATTTTCTGGGTAGTGTTGTTGTTGAACGGTCTTTCCTTTCATAATGACCGCAGGAGGTAGGGACTGGCCAGTTGCAGAGATACATTCCACGAAGGTAGTCCAGCTGCGAGATCCGGGTTGTTCCTTCATCAACACCTTGTTTTCTGAGCTTCCTATGACCTGGCCGTTGGAACCCTGGCCTTCAAGAATGCCTGTCTCATCTTTATTCTAATGGTGCTCGGGCTTGATGCCCCGAATAACCGGGAGGGCCAGGTATTCGAACCAGGCCGTCACGGCTGCCTTCGTAGCTCCGTTGAGGCGCACCGAGTCGATCCGCTGTGCTCTCTGGGTCCTAATGGTCGGGTTCCGGGTCATGAAATGCCGCACCCACTTCACCCCGATCTCGTCAGGCTTCCCGAGCTCCCGGGCCAGCCGGCGGGCGAATTCCCTAACCTGCGCATGCGTAGGAGGCAGGCCGAGGGCACCCTGCATGACGATCCACTCGGTCAAACGCTCTTCCACAGGCTTATCTAGAGTCTGAATGTGTTCAAACGCAATGCAACGGGCTTTTGTGCCGGCCAGCCGGTGCCGAAGTGTACTCCTCGGCACACAATATTTTGCTGCCGCCTGACGCACACTGCTGCCGTCTCGCACAAACTTCATCGCGGTCAGCCTCTCCAATTCGTCGTATTCAGGCATGGTAAATAGAGGATTGATTGAGCTCTCGATTAACCAAGAAATGGAAGAATTTGGTCTTGTTTTGAGGAAGTTGCGGTGTGATGAAGAAAAATCGGTCAATCACCCTTGGTGTAAGTGCATGGTGGCTTGCGCATGGGCCAAATGTAGGGCCTGGCCAAATCTGGGTTAGTTAACTTAGTGCCGAGGAATTTTACACCAACATAGAAGCGAGATGCACCACTGATGCGGACAAATTTTCTGAGCTTTCGGAACTTGTCCCCGCGATGGCAGCTCTACCTGGCTTCAATGCTAAAATGCACGGGATATTTTCCAAGCAAGGCGAATCCTTGATGTCTATTTGTCGATACTGGAAGGAACGCGAGGAGCTTACCTTTGACGCTGAAGACCGCATTCTAGCGTCACAACAGATGGTCGGAGACTGCATAAGCTGTTTAGACCGCGCAATTGTCGAAAGCGAAGAGAAAGCGAAAATTCCCAAGTAATTCACTGAGCTGAAGGCGGTTGGAATGGACTGGCGGGGGGTTCCGTACTCTTCCCCTTCATACGCGATATTAGGTACCTTAGGTCTAGGTACATTTCCGTAGTCACCAACGCTGAGTTCCTAATCTTCATTCTGTCCCGTCTTAATCTTGTCAATATCGGCCATACCGTGGCAGAGGCTCAGGAGACCATTGGTGAGCCGACCATACTGAGCCCAACGCCGTAAACACAATCCTGTAGATCCCGACTTCCAGAGGAAACCAGCCATGCTGAATTTCGGGCCGCCAGTTCCGCCATCTAATGGATGTAACATTTCGGAAAACCGGCTGTCACAGGCAATGCTAAGTTTAACGCCTTCATTTCGGCTCTCTCAATACGCACTACTAAGCAAGCGCGTCATGCTGAGTTTAGGGCCGCCAGTTCGGCCATGTTATAAATGTAACAGCCGGAAAACCGACTGCCACAGGCAACGAAATTTAACGTCCTTAGTTCGGCCCTCTACCTACGCACTGCTAGGGAGCAAGAGCGTCACACCGGTCACTGAGTTTAGAGCCGCCAGTTCGGCCAGATGCAACAGCCAGAAAACCGACCGTCACAGGCCATGCTCACTCTAACGCCATCAGCTTGTGCGAGGTAGGTTTAACGCCGTCCCAGGGCGGTGACGAGAATGCGCGGTGACGTAGCTTCGTGCAGCGACTCCCCTCACTAAAAATCCCGAGCTAGCCTGGGGGATCTGGGGTTCGGTGGTGTTCGTCCCTCTTCCTCGATTTTTTCAGGTTCCTGGCATCTTTGGACACCACCTGCCGTCAATGTGTATTCATTTCTAGAGTGCACGACGTGGATCGGTGTGACAGATCTGTGATGTAGCAGGTGTTGGTTGCTCTGTGGAACGGCTCAGAGTACGAGACCGGACAAACTGGCGTGTGCGAGGAGGCAAAGGTCGAGATCCCAACTGGTTTGAGCCTGGGAGGGTTCGAAATGATAGGGTAAACTGTCTGAGAGGTCTGCATGTCGACGTGAGTTAGCATTTTGGCTAGGAAATCTCGAATATGGCGAGAACAAGCAAGAACCGAGAGGAAGATCCAAGTGATGAGCTGACAAGAGCAGTCAAAGAAACATACAATGTAGGCCTGGTAGATCCATAGCCCTGCCATATTGCTTGGCTATCGGCCGAGGGGGATGGTCTCGTTGAAACTACACTGCGCCTTCTCGTGAAGCTGCGGGGAAATTACTCGACTGATCACTGTCCTGCACAGGTCTCCCTTGCAGAAAGGTCGATTTTTTCCGAGACTCGCCATCTCGAAGAATTGGGCGTGCAAAACTAGCTCCCAAACGCTCGTTCGTGATGTGGCTAGGAAAATAAGAAAAGAAGGCGAGCGGACTCGATTGGTAGCCAGTTGCAATTCGAAAATGGGGGTGTCGGCTGGATTATCGTGGAACGAGATTCTCGATTTGGTGAAGAGCGAAGAAACACCTGGAAAGCGAAAAGTTGGAAATCAGGAACTGAACGACGTGGCTGTCTCCCTGGTCTCTCTCCACGGAAGTGCGATGCCCACCCCACTTCCCTCACGCAAGCTCCATGACCTCTCTCCGCCTAAACTCTCGACTAGCTTTGGCTCTTCCATTGTGATCCTTGACTAGATCAAGCTGACATTTCGCTGGCACCAAGTTGCGACATTATACACACGTTGGGACCGGAACACAAAACGTAGGTGATGCACGCACCACAATCATTGACATTTTGCACGTTTTCCAACCACAGAATTTAGCCTTCGTCAGCGTGATCTAGTCTTTGAGATGGTATCCAGCAGCTAACGGGTTCAACTTGAAGAAACTAGCCGCGTCTCGCCAACACGCGAGCCATTCGCCAGTTCGCAATGGGACTGGGGCTTCTGAAGCGACTCGTCCAACTGAATATCCGGGGCGGGGTCGCAGGCCATAACGCAAAATGCATTCGCCGCGGCGGTTCGGCGACGGGAGGTGTCGTGATTGGACGACGACAAAAGTCGGTGTTGGAGCGGGAGAGGCCTCGGCTCGGCGTTGGGAGCCTGGCTGCTTGATGTTCATCGCCGAAGCAAGGATGTGCACTAACAGCCGATGGTGTCGTTCTCTACACAAAGGCGTTAGCGAGAGGCTAAGGTCTCTCCTTGGCGCGAGCCTCACGCACGGGCCCCATATCTCCGGTTTGTGCTCTGCGGTCTGCTTATTTGCCCATATTCCATCGCCGAATTCCGAGGCCTGGCAAGGGTTTCTTGGTATTCGTGTCGGGGCTTTGAACCGCCAGGCCGGCAGGAACGCGCTCCGTTGGCCGATGCGCTGCAATCCTCGATATCAATAAGAAGGAAAATGAGCCCTGGGCATTTCCCAGTTCCTGTTGACGGCGCTGTGGTTCTTCTTCCTCGTCTCTGTCTGCGCTTGTTCTCCCTTGATCATTGGCAGTCTTCCTGCTCTCCCTCTCCCTCCCTCCTCTCGCCGTCTCGTTGTGCTTGGTCACTTCCCCTGTCACTTCCCTAATTAACCTATTAGTCGAACAATCGAACTCGAGAAAGGGGCCACGATGTCCGTCCAGACCCAGACCCAGAGCACCACTACAAATCCAGTACCAACCGGTCCTCGAGAAGACCAAGCCGCAGATTCAGATGGCGTGGCCGGTACTGCCACATTGACAGAGACCAAGCCTCCCCTTGTGCCACAGGTCGACCAGCCAGCGGCCAAGGGCTGGAAGTTTTGGATGGTGTTCCCACCGCTGTGCGTGGCCACTCTGCTCATAGCACTCGAGTCGACCGTGACGTCGACAGCGCTACCCGAGATTGCCGCCGCACTCAATTCGGGCGACAACTACGTCTGGTTCCTCAACGGTTACCTCCTAACAGCGTAAGTTGCACCCCCCATTTCATTATCCAGCGCCAATTGTGATCAAATGAAAGGCGCAAGACCTAGCAATCACAATAGTCACAACAATTCGCTGACGCGCCACCCCAGAACAATCTTCCTCCCCCTCTACGGCCAATTCGCCGACGTCTTCGGCCGGCGCTGGCCGACCATATTCGGCGTGGCCGTTTTCACGCTCGGCAGCGGGATCAGCGGCGGCGCACACTCAACAGGGGCTATGATCGCAGGGCGGCTGGTGCAGGGGCTCGGCGCGGCGGGCATCACGTCCATGACGCAGATCATCGTTGGCGACCTGGTGCCGGCGCGCGAGCGCCCCAAGCACATGGGCGTCGTGTTCGCCGTGTTCGGCGTCGGCACCACGCTGGGCCCGCCCGTCGGCGGCGTCATCGTCGCCCACGACTGGCGCTGGGTGTTCTGGCTCAACCTGCCTGTCGGCGCCGTCACGCTCGTCATGCAGTTTCTGTTCTTGAAGGTCGCCTATGTCAGGCGCGCGACGTTCCGCGAGCGCATGCGCAGCATCGACTGGCTGGGCAATTTGCTGCTGGGCGCGTCGGTCGTGGCCGTGTTGACCGCGCTGTCGTGGGCCGACGTGCGGTACCCGTGGAGCTCCTGGCGGGTTATCGTGCCGCTCGTCGTGGGATTTGCCGGGTTTCTCGGGTTTCACGTGTATGAGATGTCGCCATGGTGTGCGCCGGTGCCGGCCATTGCGCCGTACATGTGGGCGAGCCGCGCCAGCGCCGTCGGGCTGGTGCTGAGCTTCCTCCAGTCCATGCTCATCTACTGGCGCACCTATTTCTTGCCGCTTTACTTCCAGGCCGTGCTTCTGGCGAGTCCAGCCAGGTCTGGTGCTCTACTGTTACCGACCATCCTCATGGGCATCCCCGCGGCCATCATCGGCGGTGGCTGGCTGTCGCGGTCTGGCCGGTACAAGCCGATCCATTTCTTCGGGTTCGCCTCCACGGCGCTGGCGACGGGACTTTACATTGACTTTGGAAGAGGCTCGTCGCTGGCCAAGGTGGTGCTGTATCAGATCGTGTGCGGGCTCGGCGGCGTCCTGCTGTCGGCCATGGTGCCAGCAATCCAGGCGGCACACCCGCAGTCGCGCGTGGCGGCGGCGACGTCGACGTGGAACTTTTATCGCTCGTTCGGGGCCATCTGGGGCATCACAATCCCGGCGGCCGTGTTCAACTCGCGGATGGCAGCCGAGGTGCAGGCTCGTGTGTCTGACCCGAGGGTGCGCGCGCTGATCGGGTCGGGCGACGCATATGCCCGCGTCTCAAGCGCTTTCATCTCGTCGCTGCCTGAGCCCGTGCAGAGCCAGGTGGTCGATGCGTACCGCGAGACGCTCAGGCTGGTGTGGATCGTGTGTCTGGCCTTTTCGGTGCTCGCGCTGCTGCTCGTCTTTGCCGAGCCCGAGATCCCGCTAAAGGAGACGCTTGTGTCCGATTACCAGCTCGAGGGTGCGCAGAAGAGCCAGGATGACAAGGAGGTGGGCATTGCGACGCCACTATCGGGTCTAGAGGCTGAGGCCAAGTAGGAGCAGGGCTGCAGATGTTCGAATGCCACTGCCGTCGAGGGATGACACCCGGGTTGGACCAGAACGTTTAATCAGAACAAAAGCCATACTTTTGTTACACCCTCTGGTGTCTTCAATCCTGTGCCAAAAAAAGGTTGCGCAAAACGACTTGTCGAGAATGATGGAAGTTGAAGACGATTTTTCGGTGCTGGTGCAACTTTTTGTGACAATATAACTTGCGGTATTTTCAATATCAACTCGTGCAGCACAATCTGCCACACTTCGAACTTGCCGACCCAAATCTTTCGTTTGAACCAGGTGACTTCTGAACACACCTGTGACGTCAAAACTATCCGTCGTCACATCATGGCGCGCCGCCGGCTCGCTTTCAACTCTTGCCTGATCTCCCTAATAATCCCATACGCCGTCTCCTCGCGAGCAAGCAGCGACTGCTGCGACACGTCGTGGACAAGACTCTGTGGGACTACACACCCTGGAATATCCGCCTGGCCGCCGCCACTGCTACACATGATGCCCACCAGCAGCGCGCCCATGACATCCAGCGTCTCCTCGACCAGCTCGAGCGCCATGCGTAGCTGCAGGACGGGGAAGTCGTCGAGCGAGCACGTCATGGCCGTGATGGTGGGGAGACACAGAGGCGGAACAGCGCTGCGATTACTCTGCGAAGCCGCTGCCGTGGCCGCGCTGAAAGCACCCTGTATCGCGCGCAGCCGGTCAATGAAGAGCTCCGTCACGCGGATGTAGCACGAGTAGATGATCAGCGCCGTGCCCGCGTCGAGGGCCGGCGGTGTCGCTGCCGCCGTGTGCATAGGCAGGTCGCGGCTGCTCGTCCCGTGCAGCTTGCGCAGCGCCTTGAGGAAGTGCACTGACAGCACGATTGTCCTGTCGAACTCGTTGATGGTGGCTGGCTGGCCGCTGTTGTCGGAGCCCTTGTTCAGGGGTAAGTCTTGGTTGGGGTTCTGGTTGGCGTGGTTGAAGAGCTTGATGTTTATCTCGGCAAGCTTTTGCAGCCATTCGCCGTCGGCCTTGCCAGGGGACTGCTCCTGTCCTTGACTTGTTGGAACTGCCGGAGAGGCATAACCAGTGAAGGTGCCTGAGGTGTGAGAACTGTCGACGCTGCGCACCGAACCACTTGCGGATTGATGCTCGTGACTTTGGAGCATGTCGTCGTCCCCTCTGTTGGCTGGGGTGGTCATGGGTGTCTCGGCAACAAGTCGCTGGAAGATGCAGACATTGTCCCCGCCCATTGCAGATGCGGCTCGTTGTATCGATGATTGTCGAAAGTCGGCAGTAGAGAAAGCGCTCACCCAGTTGATGCTGGAAGAGTCAGACGCATGGGAGCTAGGTTCATGGCCAAGTCCGATGAAAGAGCCTGAAGTGTTACCATGGCCTTGGCGGGTTGCCCCGTCGATCCAGCTTGTCGTTTCGACGCCATCAAAGAATTGGTAGCTGTGTCTCTCACTGGATGCATCCGGCATATCATGCATTGCCTGGTGCAGGTTGTCCGCTGCCTCACTTGAAGTTGCAGGAGCCTCCGACGGGGTAGCATGGGAACTGCCGATACCTGAATCGGGGCGAGGAACGGCCAGGGCGGAATTTAACTGGCGCGCCAGCGGCCTCCCGCGGCGATTTCGCATCGAAGGACTCGACGCGCATGTTGCGCTTGCCCTGACACATCGCACACAGGGGCCGTCGTCATGGCGCTGGCAGCTCAGCTTCTGCGCGTGGCAGCGGTCGCACGCCCGGCGGAGGACTGGCTCTGCTTTCACCCAGTTGCTATCAGCACGTGGCAGCGCGCGCGGGTCGTGTATGGGAAACAAACCAGACATGGCGGGCATGTGTGTGGTGGGGGGGTGGTTGTTAGGGAAAGAAAAGAAGCTGATATTTGGCGGCAGGCCCTGGCGTAAGTCATCGTGAGGGGCTGTTTTGGGGGCCAGTCGCATCGGTGGACGGAGAAGCGGGACGCCGGGTGCCGTGCTGACTTAATCACCAACATGCCAAATTTTGTGTCCTTCAGGGACTAGAGTCTAGGGATTAGGCCATAAACAAAGTGGAGTCTCACACGTTGACTTTCATACCAAAAGCAAAATTTTGCAAAAAATGAGAACCGACACGAGACCAAGCAATGCATCATTAAACTCGGTGCACACGATTTCGTATGGCAAGCCCGGCTTTCGTGCACGACAGTGGCCTCCCCGGCCAGGTTCCACAGGTACAATCACGGCCAGCTTCATGTATGATTCTCCGAAAAAAGAAGGGAGGGGATGCGGAAGTCTGTCTATGCGAGCCTATAGATTAAACAAATCTGCACCGGTATCTGACTGTTTTAACAATTCCTTAGCTGCCAAGACAAGGATGCCAAATCGCTTCTTTTGTCAAAAACTGTTCAGGACACGCAAAATGCAGACAACCGAGCGACGGGTTCCTGCGGAGAGCTACTCTGCCAGGGACAAGATTAGGCCCACGGCTGTTGTCAACTGTCAATAATCATGACAGTCTGCGACCACGGTGGCGGACGACGCTGCCCAAATCTGGATCGAATAAACAGTTTGATAAAACAACGGCTTAAAATGGTGAGTGAGAAGACATGCCGAGAGGTTTGACAAGCGAGAAGAGCATAAGCGGGCATCGTGGGTGTGGCGTGTGCTATCTTTCGGTATAATTTTGGTGGGATTAGAGTAAGTGACTGGGGCTTCCAAGGTGAGTGTCATTCTTGCTATGTCATCTGAAACTCGTGACATCTCAAATGAGTTGTTGTTAGTAAGATGAGAACCCATATGTTTGTCGTTGAGGGTTGGAGTGGTTGAAAGCGGAAGAGAGAAAAGTTGAGAACCAAGAAATGACTTACCCCTCGTCTCTCACAGCCAATTTGGGGGCTTCGCTTACGTTACTGCTAGCGCCCTGCTTTCAAGACTATTTTCTAATGTCGCCAACGGTTACTCCTTCTCGTTCAAGACCAGTGCCGCATAAAGCCAAGGCGAGATGGAGGCTAGGCGCACCCACTCCGCGCAGGTCCCGAGGCATCTCTCGGCTTGTGGGGAGTCAGTTGACGCCAAGCTCTGAAAGTCCTGTTCAGATCTGGAGGGTTCTGAGACCCTGGTGAGATAACGCCCATGGTCCATCATTCTCTTTCCTCTCAGGTTTGCATCATTGGCTCATATTTGATTTCTCTGTCATTCGCCTCCACCATCTGTGGCGTTTGGTTAGTTGCCACTCCCACTCACACAGGACCGAGAATCCTTTTGCTGAAGTTGGGTTGTGGCTGGTTGGCGACGTGATTGGTCCGCCGGCAGGGTCTCGCATCCCGCTTGTAGTCAAACCCCCGTGTCATAATGTTATCTCTGCGATCCCCGGCACTTGCCCCTGGCCCCGGACAATTAGTAAATAAGCACCCCATACTAGTTCTCGATCTGGAGAGCGGAGCGACCCGCGGTCGCCCCAACCTTTTCAGTTCCTGGCCGACTCTCGCAACACTCCATCTGCCCTTTATCTTCCCCTCAATTTTATCTTCCCCTCAATCCCGCCCCTGCAGCAGGCGTGTGATGCAAGCTGTATGGAAGGCGGGACGTCTTCTAGAAGAAAATCCCTCAGATCGGGTGTATCGGCATTTGGCCCCTCGAGTTCAGTTCCTGCATCGCGGGTTGTTGACAAGTGCGTCAACTAATTGTGAATTTGACGTTGTAATCAATTCAGTCATCACCCCCACTGCGTCACTAATGCGGCGTCGAGTTGGAGGGCAGAGTCCGCGCCGGCCGCCCCAACCCACACACCACGCTGAACAGCACTATGCTGAACAGCACCATGCTGAACAGCTTCTGATAGCACGGACATGGTGGCCCAAGATCGCCAATGCTCTCTCGTCCAGGGTCGCAACAGCCGGCAAACGCCTGCCTAAAAACCGCTGGGCGGCTCTTGGCGGCTCTTGGCGCGCGCTTGGCAATGGAGCGCGGCCGCACAGCTCCTTATCTGGCCTGGGAGCTGCCCGAACGGGGAGGTCGCATGCGAGTGCCGTGCCACTGTAGCCAACTACTCCCGGTGTAGCCAACTACTCCCGGGCTACCCTACCTACTATTAGTCGAGAACTAGTCCAGATAGCACGTAGCCAGTCCAACTACCGGGAAGCGAGCCTCTCCAGACTCCACTCTTGGCCTCCAGCCTTTGCCAGTTGCCACCACAATGTCACGCATTAGACTCTACAACTACTCGGTACGCATGCCACGTCGAGCCTAGGCCCCCGACCTTAGGCAGATTCTGTTGTTGTATGGGCACACTCCGAGGAGCATGTGGCTGGCCATGCCACGGGGGGCGAGGGTTAGGCGGCCTATGAGGTCTGTTTGCATCTCCATCTAGAGCTTTTACCCCCAACAAAGACCTGCCTCGTCTTCACATCTACCCGCGGTCTATCCCGCAGCTAGAGCCACAACCGGCCGGCCTAGCAGCGGATCGGGAAGGAAGCTGAGGCCTGGCCTTGGTGTAACCCATAGCATCACATCATTGCTCAGGACGTCACTTTGCCCGAGAGACCTAGAGGAGGTGATGATGGACCTTCCAGAAACTGTCGGGACGCCGACGTGGCAGACTGGGTGATATCAGCTTGGTTATAGCATAAAAGGGGCCCTGTACCGTCGTCCTTTGTTGCCGTGGAATCAGACACGTCGATCTCCTGGAATCCCTCAGCCTGTGGTGCAGCAAATAGATTGCATCTTCATCTATCTCACCCGTCTTTGTCGATTGATCTGTGCGACCTGCCCAACATGTGGTTCCAGAACCTTGCTCTGTCGGCTCTGCTGGCCGCCCCAGCCCTCGCAGCTGTCGCCGTCGAAGCCAGGCCGGCGCTCACGGCCTTCAGCTGCGGCACGCGGGAGCCGACCGAGTCCGAGTTCAGGCTCGCGTCTATCCTCGCGGCCCACGAGGAGGCCCAGGGCAACCTCACTGCCCGTGCCACCATCAACATTGATGTCTACGTCCATGTTGTGGCCTCGTCGACATCCCTGAGCGGCGGATACCTGACTGTGAGTTTCTCCAATACTGACCGGGAGACAGTCTCAGGGGCTTACCAAACATACAGCAAGCGTCCGTCAACAGCCAGATCTCCACCCTGAACACGGCCTATGCTCCCCACGACATTGCCTTTGTGCTCAAGGGCACCGACTGGACTGTCAACTCCAACTGGGCGAGCGACGGCAACGGCTATGAGCTCACCATGAAGAAGGCGCTCCGCAAGGGCACCTACAAGACGCTCAACCTGTATTTCCTCAAGGATATGGGCTCCAACCTCGGATATTGCTACTTCCCGTAAGACTCCTCGCTGTTTCTTGGAAGGTGATCTGGTGCTGACCGACGGACACAGCACCACCGTCACGACCGGATCCAACAACTACTACCTGGACGGCTGCACTATTCTCTACACGACTGTCCCTGGCGGCTCGCTTGCCAACTACAACCTGGGACACACCGCCACCCACGAGATTGGCCATTGGTAAGCACCCGTGAATTTTCTCTGGCAGAGAGAAGAAAGCTGACTAACGGTGATCAACCACAGGTTCGGTCTTTACCACACCTTCCAGGGTGGTTGCACGGGCAGCGGCGACTACATTGCCGACACCCCCGCGCAGGCCAGCGCCTCGAGTGGCTGCCCGACTGGCCGTGATTCGTGCCCCTCGCAAGCTGGGTATGCCCCCTTTCCTCCCTTCCACCCCCAAGCACACGGTACCGAACTCGGCTAACTTGCGCAGTGTCGACCCCATCCACAACTACATGGACTATTCCTACGAGTGGGTTTCCACCCCTGACCATAGCCCTACTGCTCAGTCGCTAACTCTGCCCTAGCACCTGCTACACGCAGTTCACGCCCAATCAGAAGACGCGCATGTTCACCTACTACAACACCTACCGCGCTTAGAAGAAGCCTTGTGCGTGTGTTGGCAGTGGCATTTTTATGATATATGACAATTCGTGGGGTGGATTTGAAGAAGTGAGAGAGACGGAGTGCAGGTAGTTGAGACGTGCTTGTATCTATCTAGCTTGATAATTAGAGTCAAAGGGGATTTTGCTTCATAATTGCTCTGCACATGTCTCGGCACATGTCTCAGCACATGTCTCGTTTCTGTATGTTACAGCCAAGCATAAGTCTCAAAGTCTTGCCTATCGGATCCGTGCTCATTGGACTCGCACCTGTTTGGTCTGTACCGTCTCCGTGGCAAGCCAGGCTGTCATTGGACAACGGTATTATACTACCACGCACAACACGTGCGCCACGCGTGAGCTGAAAATCGCTCACAACATCAAATCCTATATAAAATACCAGCATCAGCCAAGTGGCTATAGATATGGATGGCAATCTCGACGACTCCCCACGGCCTGAGCAAGCCAGGTTTGTCATTGGCATCGACTGCGGGGCGACCTCCGCTAGTAACTACAAATCTACCCAAGGATTCTCGCAAAGCATTGTTCTGACTCCTCTTTGCAGAAATTGCCTGGGCCATTGCCACCTCCTCTCGCCGCTCATGTCCCGACATCAGAGCACTTTCTGGTCAAAGCCGGCATATAAGTGGTTCTTCTCCCTCAGCGGACAACCTCGCTGCCTCTCTGCACGAATTGGCTCGCGCTACTGTCTCGGACATCGAGGACTACCATGGATTCAGCCCATACCATCCAGCACCATCGCTGCAGGATGCCGCCATCAAGTTTGGCATCGCACTTACTGCCGAAGGCAGCGAAGAAGTCTGTGTCGACGTCATCGAGCGTCATGGCGACGAAAGCAGCCGCCATCACAACCGCGTGGCGTGGGGGGTCGCGGCCGACATCGTCGTGACACATCCTGCGGTGAATTGCTTCTCTGAAATTACCCTATTGACCACATCACGTTTCTGATCTCCCTTGAAAGCAGCAGACGGCGGATGATGCAGCCAAGGCCCATTTAGTCGAGGCAGTAACCGCAGCCTTTGCTGCACGGCTGCACGTCGGCAGCGTTTCTCTCGCAAGCAACCTGGAAGCGTGCGCGCAGTACACGGTTGACGCCGCTGCGGAGCATGACACGTCAGGGGACGGTTATAACATGTTGACACAGGGAGAGTGCTTTGTTGTGGTCGATGCCGGGGAGAGCGCTGTGGTAGGTGGCACACCAGTCAGTCCGAGATCATCAGAGGGGGGCTGATTCAGGGAATATTTCCAGACTGCAGCAGCATTCCAGGCTAATCTAGACGCCACGGTGCCCTCACCCCATCGGCCGCACGCCTCGCAGGTGACGGCTGCAGCTGGTGAGAGCCCCTTTTCCCCGTAGTAGTTGGTTGGTGTATTATTTCTAACAAGATACGGCGAAAAGAATCCAGGTCTGGCTCGGCACTGATCGACAACGAGTTTCTCACAATTGTGCAGACGCGGCTTTCTCCGGAAGACTACGCGAAGCTGTGTAGCATGGGCGGAAGAGAGCCCGGGACTCGGCGCGACAACGGTCTGCGCCGACTTCTGCAGCAGTTCGCTGTCTTCAAAGACGAGTTCGCCGGCTTCGAGGCAACCCACCTATTTCCTGGCGCCTGGATCGATTTACCCCGGGGGATTGGCGAAGAGGACCGCCTAGACCAGGGAGTCAGGCAGGGCCGTCTTCTCATTACCGGGTATGATAGCCATGTTGATTGATGACCGGGATTACATGTTGACGTTAACTCGACAGCAACTGCATGGAGAATGTGTTTAGAGGCACCCTGGAAGGGCTGTTCGATATAGTCCGCCGACAGCTCGAGCAGCTCGATGACAGGGGGCTGAAAGCGACGGTTTGTTCAACACCCCATCCATCCAAGCACTATTTATTTTTTGCCCAGATTTCCGCTCCCTTCTCTCTTTGCACTGTACCTCAACCGATTGACCCGATTGACCAACTTGACCGCGCAGAAGCTGTTCATGTACGGTGGGCTCTCCGACAGCCAGTACATCGTCAGTCAAGTGCAGAGTCTGTGTGCATCTCGCGCAGACCTTGAACATTTTGTCGGGAGCAAAAGGCAAGTTCGAAGTTCTTAATTTAGCACTGTTCATGGGATGCTAATTGTGTGGTAATAACCCGACCTAACTAAATGACGGGCGACTAGCTCGGCCGCTGCTAGCATCGGTGCCGCAGCCCTGGGCCTACGAGGGGCCGTCACGTCCGGATCGAGTTTCCAGTGCACATGATTACCATAATAGTCTGCGGAGAGTCTGACATGCCCTAGAAATATCTCCATCATGCCGAGTGCCTTTCGGCGAGGCAAGTTTCTGTAGCCCAGAGCCAAACACACTTTATTGCGTATCGAAGTTAAATGCTAATCAGAGTTAAGAACGCGCACACTGTATCCCTTCACCGAGGCTTTTTTTGTGTACATACACATACTCGCAATTACGGTGAGAACGGGACTCCGTACGTCAGTTCTGACGGGATTCCGGGCGGCGGCTCTGACGGGAAGTCGGCCGACAGTTCTGCCAAATACTCGGGCGACAGTACTGACGAGGAGTCGCTCCACAGGCTAGCAGTGGAGCTGGCGTCCCAAGCACTAACCCCGACCCTGCGCCGCAAGCCCCTGACAAACTTGCCCCTTCGCTCGACGAACCAGCCGGCCCTGCTCAACTGCACCTGTTGGACTGCCAAATTCCATGCCTCCTCATCCCTAGAATCACCGGTCTCAAATTCGCGCAGGCTCGCCCACGGGTCATCGGGATCCTCCTTATCATCATCCGCGAGATTGGATTGGGTGATGATGAAGTGCTCTCCACGATTCCCAGGCTTATGCCATTCCAACAGCTTAGCCATAATGAGGCTGTAGCACGTGTTGCGCTCCATCCACAGGTCGGCGAGCTGCAGGTGGTGCATCTCGCGTGGGCTGAGCAGGATATTGCTGTCGATGTCCGGCATCAGCTGTATTAACAGGTGGTCGAGGCCGCAGGGCAGGAACGTCGCGAGAATGTTGACGTGTGATGACAGCGGGAAGATGGCCACGTAGGAAAGCGACTTGATTGTGGGCGGGATCAGGCGAGGCGTGCCTGGGGGCGCCTCGCTGTCGCATCCAAGGAGGCCTGGCAGGATCGAGGGCGGCCGTCGCAGAAAGAATTCGTACGTTCTATATACGGGAGTGAACGAGCCCTCGTTTAGAAGAAGGTGGGTCCAGGGGCGGATGGTGAACAGCTTGCTGGCGGGCGCCGTCTGGGAGGCAGGTGAAGAAGCATCAGCTGCCCCTTGCTTTGGCGAGGAAGACGTGGCGGCATTCAGCTGCGCACGGGTCGCCGCGGGCCGCGCCAGCGACAAGATGTTCACCGTGTTCATGTCAAAGGTCCAGGCATCACCTTCCCAAACGGCCCTCGACAGCAGGCTGCCGAGCGTGTCGGGCATTGCGATCACGATGAAGGTGCGCGGATCCACGACGCCAAACACCAAGTCCCACCTGAGGCGCCTCTCTCAGTACAAGCCCATTTCGGGTCATGGTCATATACACACGCGTGCTCAACGTTGAACAGAAGAGGAATGCTTACAGCCAGTCGTAGCTTATTTTGGCCTCGAGGCTAGAAGACGCCGCATAGCCGTCGAGCTCGCTCGCAGAAACCAAAGCCAGAGGACTCTTGCCCAAGTCACGGACGATCAGGGTCAGCGAGTCGACGTGGCGGGCGAGGTCATGATGGCGCAGAAAGCACAGCAGCGGGAAGTTTTCGAGGCGATCGTCAACGTCTGGGGGGGGCTCGGCGATCATGCCTAGAAACTCGACGACCCACACGACGTGGCTGAAAAGAATGGGCAGGGCAATGTCGCGCCAGCGCTTGGAGACGAGTGACATGTTCTTCAGCGGCGTCTCGGCGCGTTGCAGCATTTCGTACGCCGGCTGGTCGTGCAAGCGGGTGTGGGACGGCGGCTTAGGCGTGCAGCTGAGGATGCCACGCATCAGCTCCACTGGTAGAATGTCGATAATTGATCCCACGGCCGTGGTCTCGGCCTGCAACTCGATCTTGGACTCCATTGCGAGCGAGGCTAGCGGTTGGGAATATGATGATGTGGGGGGTTGTTTGGTGGGAACTGGGTTCTCTTTTTTTTCGACCTTTCCGGATGATGATGCTATTGCGTCGACGAGGAGAGCGCGCCAGACGAGTGGAGACCAGAAATCCCGGGGGCCAGAAACCTCTAGTTACGCTAATTATTTATCGCGAAGCTGAATGGGAGCAGAAACAAGGCTGACTGAACTGGCCTAGCTAGATGGCCGAACCCAGGGATCAATGGATGGCTGCCTTCAAATGGCTAGGTGGTCAGTGAAGGCTGAAGATGCCATGTCAAACTTCGTGTTCCGTTCCGAGTTGGGGGGGAGAGCCCCGCACAGATAGGTGGGTATATGGGTAAGGTGAGTTTGTGGGTGTAGAGCATTGGGTCAGAAAGTTCCGGTAAGCGCCATGTATAATTACGCTGGAATTTCAGATTACATTTGGGTGGTATACCTGGGTAAGGAATCGCGCCTTGGGTGCTAGCGCCAGGTACGGCTCATCCATGTCGAAGTAAAGCAGCCAAACGCCACCCTCATAGACGCTGCCCGGAGGCCCCTGCATGGCGACCTTCTAGAAGAACATATTAGTCTCACTAACGTAGACGTCTATGTGTGGGTGCGGGTTAGCAACCAGCTGCTGCATCTCGGTCAGAATTCGATAGGTGCGCATGGCCGATGGTTGCGATCGAGGCCAACGAAAGCCCGCGCTGCTCCTGATGGTACCGCAACGCGGCCTGCAACTCTACAAACGTGTCGCCCTCATGTGCATGCGCCTTGCGAGGTGGGAACTCGTCTTGGTCACTACTTCGGGCGTCGCTTCGGTCTGCGACTCAGTGAAGCGGCCATAGCCTTCTCGCGCGGCAAATGGTTGCTGATATTCCCTCCGAGGGGCGGCCGCCGGGCCGCCGATATAGCGTCCACCATGGCCTGCTCAAGCGACGTCGGTTTGAACTTGTAACCGTTGGTGAGGAAAGACAGCTTGGCGCGTCCAGTGAAGCTACTGTTGTGACCAAGATCGAACGAATCAACGACAATGCCGTCGCGAAGAAACTGCTCACACATTTTCGACGGTTGGTGGTCTTGATCCGAGCTCGTGTCGCTGCCGTCTGAAATACACAGGATACGCTTCTTGGCATTTGGAAATGTCTCCGCGTACTCTTGTAAGTGGTTGTGGGCAAGTGCCAGCGCGTCCCATAGTGCAGTGTCACCATCGCCGTTCAGCTCCAGCACCGTCGACCCGAAATTCTTCACATCGTGCGTCAGCCGCTGCGCCACGTGTGCCTTGGTGCTATAGGTAATGAGCTCCATGTGCATCGAGTACTTGTACGCGAGGATCTCATCGACGAAATGGCCGAAAATCTGCTTGAGAAGACAGCCGTGACCGAGCGGGGTCCCCCCGCTCGGGATTGTATGGCTCAGCACGGACTTTGAGTACTGGCGGCTGGTAGAATCCGGTCCGGATGCCGAGAGACGGCATACCGCCACTAATACCGGCATCAACCTTGACAGTTTGGGGCCGGTCCTCGTAATTCACGCAGAACGGCTCATCGCCAAGCCTGCCGGTGCATAATTGACTGTTGAGAACATCTGAGAGCTTATTCGCCCATTTTTAACACCGAAATCCGTTAGCAACTTGGCATGTCTTGCCGTGTAGACAATCCCTAATTACGGCTGACTTACATGGCCATCCATGTACCAAATACAAAGTTGTCGCCGACGTCCCTGCCCGAATGAGATAACCGGAAATCTGGCCAAGTCGGGGAAACATTTGTTTCGGCCAGGTACCGCCATACCTTGAACAGAATAGACCTACCGTAACTGTAGGGTCTCTCTTTACCCAGTACGAAAAGGCAGGCGCCTGATTGTCTTCGCCTCTGTAAACCTTGATGAGGCAGAATTCCGGATTTGAGCTTGAGCTGGCACCTCGTCGACCATTTCCACTGGCTGAGAGGCCGGGGCCGGGATTTGGAAGTATGATCCGCATATTCGCGCCCCGGGAAATCTTGAGACTGGAGAAGGGTTTATTGGAGGCCTCCAGAACCTTTCCTCCAATAACCGAAAGAGAGAAGGTGGGATAAAGGCCGCGGAGTTTGCGGAAAACTAATTCGTACACCTTTGCTAGTGGTAAATCTACCGGTGCACTCAAGTTCAATTCGGATTGGGGAGTTTGTAATGTGAACGTGATGTGTGAGTTGGTGCTTGGATTAGATCGGGGTCCCGATGTAGCAAAGGTTTCCAATATATCGGTCCCGTCTCCCCACAATTAGACCTGCCGCAACTTTAGTTAGTTAAGGGTGAGATTGGTCTCCCCGAGCACCGACCTAGGACCGGGAAATTAATCCATTGTCGATGCGCAACCATTCGCGGATTGCGGAGTGCTCATAGGTGTGCCCATCCGCAGTGCTGACAGGGTCCGAGAACAATTCCTGCGTCATGGGGCAGCGCAATTCCTGTGGTACGCCAAGGTCGAGTGCAGTCGAAATAAATTTCATGCTGGTATCAGACTCATACTTCTCGCCCGACAAAGCAACGGGGAGCGGACTGCCATCCTTCCAGGTCCAGGGAGCCAACTTTTCAGAGTCTTTGACGCAACAAGCCCGATACAAGAGAAGCTTAGCGAGCTGAGCTTTGTAATTCAAAAGTTGTGCAATGGCAATCCGCAGCCCCTTTGCAGCTTTTGCACTGGCCTCCTGTTGTAACCTTGCAGCTCTAGAGGCGGGCTCCCGCGCGGCGGCTTCAAGCCGCCTCATGTGAATCCTCAGCTCCGCGAGCTTGAGCCTCGCCACATTGAATACTAGGTTAGTGGAAACTTCCATCCGCAGCCTGTGGTCTCCTGAAGTGACACGAACTGTCATGATAATATCTTCAATCGATTCGTGGGCAAAGAAAACCCTCTCGCACTCGCTCAAGGTGCCGTAATCCGATCCGTCAAAGTGAATATCTCTCAGAAGCATCATGTCCTCGTCTATGATCTACTTTGAAGACTCTCCCATCTCAGAGTCACTTTCGCCGAGCCGCTGTTGAGTCGTCATGCTCCTGCTGTAGTCTAGGCAGACCATGATGATCTCATCGGGCGCTTCGTTGGAGCTGTGGCACGTGGGGGGAACGGCCAAATCACCCTCAAAGATGGCAGTGCCATCGCCGGTGCGCCTCACAAGGATGGGCTTAAGAAGGTGCTCAGCCATTGCAACGTCGACGGTGCACTCGCCCCTGCGCGTCGGCCGGAACATGAGAGAGTCACGGCCCGGGTCGCCGCCACATCCCTAGGGCCCCAGGTACACAGCCAGAAGCCCATCCTAGTCCAGAGTCAAGCTGTTGCTAGCCGCGTAGCCAATAGCGCCGGCCGTCCGACCAATAATTTCGCCAATTCGGCGTCTGTTCAACAGACGCCGAATTGTGTCGCCTGCAGGAGGTCACTCAAATCTCTGCCTGTAATCATCCCGCTCTCGTTGCCGTTGTCCTTGTACTTGTAGTTGGCGTAGAGGACATCCATGTCAAACACGATGTTCTCCGAGACGAGGCCGCCACCTAGCAGAGCGGCACGCTTACTGCGGCCATCGAACAGATTCGGCGTCTTCGAAAACAAGGCCTTGTTGAGCTCGGCATCGCTGAACTGTATGAGTCGTGCCCACACGGCGTTGAAGCAACCCAGCTCCACCAGCCCAATGCTCGTGTTGACGGGGAACTGGATTAGCTCAGCTGCCTCATAGTTGCGTAACTTTACGGCCTTCATGGCTTCCATGTAGGGGAGCATGGCCTCGTCAGTGGAATCTAGCTCGAGCTCCTGGGCCTTGCACCACAGTATGCCAAGGAAAAGACGGGAGCCTTACAAAGTCCGGCTGGGGATTTGGGCGACAGTGGAAGTCGACATGACCTTGGTGACGAGGCCGTGGCAGGCCTGGATGAGCGCTGCACACTCTTCGGCCCCGGGGATTCTGCCTTCCAGGATGATATGCATAGCACGGATGGCGGGAGGGAACTTGGTGAGAATGTGCAGCACGTGCAGCACACTATCATGGCGGCTGCGTGTGTTGACCAGATGGCTGAAGACCCATAGGCTAGATAGGAACATTGCCATACCTCGCTCGGTCTGGGGGTTTGTCGGCAGCTCCCAGTGGCTTTCATTCAAGTAAATCCCATCCAATCCCAGTCTCGCCTGTGGTGCCGACGAAGTCCCGACTTGGCGTGCAACAGCGTAAAGGGTCAGGACGCCATCCGTGACTAGGCCCGTGAGACCGAGCTCCTCGATAGATAGCTCGGGGAATCTTGTTTTAATTAGCGACTCGGCAGTATGTTGGTCCAGTACAGAGATGAGAGACTTATTGGCGGCATCAGCCTCGTCATTGTTGCCGTCATGGTGAATTGGGTGACGGCTCGAAGAGCAAATCGAAACAATAGCGGGTGACGAGCATATAGTATTCGCATGCCCTCCATCTCCAATCTTTGCGGCTCTATGGGGTCGAGCTCTAAAGAAGACGAGCTTTTTACTATTAACAGTAAAGTCAAATTTTATGCCGTATACGGCCTCGACGGCTACCAGAATGGCGGTTTTGTTGGAATCACAGCTGATCGAGAATAGCTCGATAATATTCCGCGAATGTATGATCAGAACATGATTTGAATTGTTCAAATTCTGTGGGTCGGCCTTCAAGACATGGCCTGCCTGAATGGCCCTCGCCAAGGAGCAGTTGCATTCCTCATGGTCAGTGGCCTTTTCAACAGCAGAACTGTCGTGGAGACCGAGATGCTCAGCACTCGCCGGCGGACCTCGCGGAGAGTTGTCTTTTTGGAAAAGACCACTGGGAGCACAGGAATACTATCGATATTCTTTGTGCTCTTTGCGAGAGAGGGGGGTCAAGACTCTGATCTCAATGCTGTCATTGCGGCTATTCATCGGGTCGTACTGGAGGGTTGATGACACAGGTACCATTGTCTCAGCCTCGGATGCATCACTATTAATAGAGGTAGAAGGGGTGTGCAGTTCGACGGTAAAGACATTCTCTCGGTCGGGATGGAGAACAAGGCTGCCGACAGAATCTTCCGGGTCTAGCAGCAGACCGGTGGGGGAGTTGAGACGCAGATTAAGAAGCCAACTACCGATCTTCATACCACATCTGTCCAGACGACGAGCGATTTCGCCTCGAAATTGCCCGGCCAGATTGTCGGGCGCAAAAGGCACCAAGAGTCTCTCGGCCGTGTCGGCAGCCGACAACACACCCTCCGATCTAGGTGGATTAGAGCCGATGAACGTGACGTTGTATCGCTCCATCCTACCTAGCAGGGAAGGGGAAAACGGACGGTCGGGCCTTGAAGTGGTGTGATAATTTTGACGCGATTGCCTGCGACGTGCGACGACAAGGAAGTGACGACGAGGAAGTGACGACGAGGAAGTGACGACAAGGAAGTGACGACAAGGAAGTGACGACAAGGAAGTGACAGGAAGTGACGACAAGGAAGTGACAGGAAGTGACGACAAGGAAGTGACGACAGGGAAGGGTTGAAAGGTAAGTAGTGCAAGAAGTTAGATTCGGAGATTTGGGCAAGCGAACAGAGAAAAGCAGGAAGAGCTGCCCAGGCTTTGTGCGATATATAGATTAAGGTTAGCCACGAAAAAAAAAGAAGAAAAGCCAATACCCGGCGGAAGCACGAAGCACGAGTCCAACACGAAAGGTTCTCGGATCCGGCTGACTTCAACTAGCGCATCACATGCTAGCCGCTCTGCTCCACACATCTCAACTTGAACAGCCCGAAGCCGTCGAGGTTCGGCACAACCATAGATTTGCTACCCGATGACACGTACACCGGGAAGACTCAGGCCGTGCCGTGGCGTCAAACGCAATCTGCCGGCACGAGTACAAATAGAACAAGAATTCTGCAATTGACGAAAGGGCCAAATCCCCCAGATCAACTTGAATTAATTGAATACTGTTGCACGTGTTCGTAGTTGACAGCGCATTGAATTGTCTGTCTAAAAAGTCTAGAGATACAGGAAAAGAAGGCCCTGTTTATACCCAAAAAGTAAACAAAGGAAATCTAGTAGTACTAGGGAGTGAGCGTCGTAGAGGGCCTTCTTAAGGTTCAATTTGGTTGAGGCTCGGATGTGACGCAAAGTGGCTTAAATCTAGGCGACGTCATCCATTCATTCAGATCAAAGAGATGGTCCCGCCCGCCCGTGACGGATACCAATCAGCCAACAAAACCTGCCCTCGCATCAGCCCGTGCACGTACGCCGGCCCACAGAGAAGTTTCCACAAGCTTCAGGCCGCACAACAAAAAGCGACCTCGAGCCGTTCACCATGACGACCCAGTCGCCAACGGCCGCCGACTCTGGAACCGAGCCAAGATGTTTCCCCGTGGTGGTCGCCAGGCGGCGGTAGCGCGACTTGCGGCGCACAGCATCGATGAATTGGCGCGCCATGTCCTTCTCCTTGTCTAAGCTGTCTCCGCTAAGGCCAAGGTGGGCCTCATACAGCGCCTGCTAGCGGTCCTGCTCGCGCCTGTCATGGAGGGGCTTCTGGTCGAACGTCAGGGCGCCCACCAGCGTCATCCACATCACTTCTCTCATGTCTGCAGAGCTGTCGGGGTACTGTGCCTAAAACGTGGGCTTACCCCCTTAGGTTCGCGTTCCTTGGCACGTGGCATTTTGCATGGGCAAGAAATGAATCTGCGACATCAGAGATCGACAGAATTCAAGGAATCCTATTTCGAAGGCGACTCCGCTCGGCAAACCCGACAAGGCGCGATGCTTCTATATCACGGATGCCTGGTTTGGCGAGCGGCAATTCACACTGTGACGGAGGGTGACGGATGCGGATGCAGAGACCAAAGAATTCCCTGTAAATACGGGCATCTGCAGGTTTGACAAGAAAGCAACCCGCGTTCACCTGACGGCGTGTTTGCTGCCCATTTCCGACACGGAGTCAGCTCTCACCAAATCTGGTAAATGCGCGTCGACAGAAAAATTGGACGACTACGTCAAACCGATATCTCGCACAGAACTTGCTAGCTTGCTCTCGGTCTATAATTGTTTCACTGTCTCTAGCTGCACGGAATGCCGCCTCGCTTCAACCTGTCGGGCCTCGCTGGCCCGACGCCGGCCTCTATCCTGACAGTCGCCTTGGCTCCGAGCCTTCGGAACGTTGGTCCCGAAATCCTCGTTGTTTGCGTCCAAGCAGGTCCGCACGCCACAGCCTACACAAGCAAGTCTCGCAGCGCGGCTGAGCCTGAAGCGCCACGCACGCTGGTATGGCTTGCAGCGGCGACACGATGGAGTCGTACAGAAGTCGAGCCTGCTGCGTCCCGTGTCTTTTGTTGAGATGGACAAGGTGGAAAAGTCGATTATGGACACGCTGGGCCCAGCACGACACCCTGACCATCGTCGAGGGCCGTGTTAGCCGTGTTGACCACCTCGTCCTCTTGCTAACGTGTGGGCTGCATTTTGAGGGGCACAACACCGACGATCTAATGAAGAGCGAGATCCCAGTCTTGACCTATGACCGTGCAACTCGACAATTCACGAAGAAGACGGGCACGGACGATGCGGTGCAGCCGACAGCTACTACCAATGCTCATAGTGCTGCAGAGCCCAGCGGCGACGCCAAAGACAAGTTCAAAGTCCGCGTCTTCTCCGCACCCACCGAGCGGCGCCGCTGGGTGGTGGACAAGTATGACGGCAACCCCCACCCCCAGGGTGCTACGAGTGGTGACTCTGTTGGTGATCCCCTCCTCCCCGCTCTTCAGCAGATGTTGCCGCTGGGCCTCGAAACGTTGCATTTCAGAGGCCCCATGTCGTTTGCCACAGACCCGTGGTGCCAGGTCGACTCTGTCTTCGAAGGCGTCGATGCTATTTGGGCGGCGCTTTGAGAAGAAGTGTAACTCTGGGGTGATTGACCCGATGCGGCAGATGTGGATGTACAAAACTTACTGGCCATTTATGAGGTCTCTCCAATCCCCGTCCCACCCGTCTTTATATGATTGCTAGCCATAGTACACTCAACTCTGGATGAAAAACAACTATCTGATGACCTAGAACTCGTCAACCATCGAACGCAGCATGTGCTTAACGATGCGCCCATGGCCCGCCCTGTCGCCCACGATCAATGACCTTCGCTTTACCGGGATTGAACCTGAACTAGTCTAGGTCTAGAGGGGTGTTGAAGTTCTGCAGCCCGGTATTGCCTGCGCGGCAGTTGGAGACGCCATGCATACTTGAAAATTTGGGGCAACGGCATGAAGGGGCAGTCAATATGCGAAAGGGATGCGCCGCAATATATTGCCCCTCCCGACTCCCGCAAAGACCTTCCCAGAACAGCCGAACGTGATGACTTATCACGGGATCAATCAATCACTGACTGGCAGCGTGGTGGCCCGCCCGAGCCTTGTCGACGTCGCTTTGGTCCCGGTGGGACATGCCTATTCCGGCCGCGCCTGGAACTGCTGTTCGTGGGTGCACACAGATCACGTCGTGCCCATGTGGCTGTCAGCCCCTGCTCCCGAATCCCATGTCAAGAGCAAAAACAAGAAGAGGAAGCCTTTTGGCGGTTGGCAGCTGTCAAAGCAGAGTTGCACGCACCCCCGCGCGTCCCTAGTTGAGTTTCAATTGCTACTCTGGCCTGGTCCACGAGGGCGCTTATCTCTGATAAGGACTTCTCTTTGAAAACAATGACGTGAAGGGCTGGCTCCGTGCAACTGTTTACAACTAGAGCTGCTGCTGACACGTTACAGGACAAGGTGTGAGCTTTTCTCTTGCGGCGCTGGGGCCCGAGAGCACACAGGGCAAGCTCGGGGGGAAGGGAGGGAACCAGGCAGCATTCCACTCCTCCTATTACAAGCGTCGACGAACCGGAATTGAAGATGCAGGCTCCTCGGACTTTTGCTTTCTTGTCGGAATATCGCATGCGCCACAGCAGTCGGTGAGATCCAACGGGCAAAAAACGAAACTTTTTTCTCTGGGGATCCCCTGGTGCCGGTGGCGCAAGTATAAGAACCCACCGGGGTGTAACACAGCATAGGGCCAGAATTACTGTGTCAAGCCCGAACAGGCCAATAGAACAAACCTCATGTCACTCCCCGGTGGCCCAGTTAGGTGGGTGCGCGTGCGCCAAGCTTCCTCCCGACCACCACAGCCGCTGCGCCGCCGTTGGACCGGGGCTGGGGGAGGGCGATGGAGAACCGAAAACCCGGGTGCGCGATGGAAATTGGAAAGGGATTTAGGATACTGCGCCATACCACCAGCCAGGGGCCGGGGGGGGAGCAGCATCCAGGATTTCTGCGGGGGTCCAGAAGAAGAGAAACAGACTCGCTACATCATAGGGCGCTACATAAGGCGCAAAGAGGTGCCCAAAAAGGGAACCAGAATGGGAGTCTGCTGACAGGACCCTCCAGCCAAGCCAACCCCTGTGCTGTGCCCTTCCTCTCCGCTCCCTCATTCCGGGGGGCGCCCAGCTGCCAATATGCACACGCGTATTCGTCTTTCCCAAACCGGACACTCACTGGGAGGGAGCTGGGCCATTACATGTAACAATGCGTGGACGGCGTAGCAGCTCCCACTGTCGACTGGCACCATCCATTCGTGTTGTGTCATGCCACCGCTGACAACAGGCAGCATGGGACACGCACTCACTCACACGGAAAGAGGAAAAAGGAGGGATGAAGGATTATCCACCGACCACAACACCGCCCCTTATCAAGCCGGAGCGCGCTACCGGACCGCGGGGGTGCCGCCTCATCAATATATATAAGGTGTGTGAGGTGATCCCGCCTTGGTTGTCGACATTCCCGCCCCATCCACCGGCTGCTCCCAGATCGCCATCCCACGGGTGTGCGTGTATACTCTTGTTGCCATTACACAAAGTAGCTACCTCCCTAATCCGAGCATCCACAGCCGGGACAACATCCTCCGTCGGTCCCAGCACCATGGCGATCCTCTCGGCTGTTTCCGTGGCCACCCTGCTGCTGGCGAGCCCGTCGTACGCCGCGTACACGCTCAAGCGCGACTATTCGGGGACCAACTTCACCAAGGGCTTTGAGTTCCGCACGGCAAGTCTTGCCCGTCTTCCCGTCCGAACACGGGGTCTGGAGCTTACCTCAACTGGTGGCAAAAACAGGCGGCCGACTATCCCGGGTCGGGCGACCCGACGGGCGGGTTCGTCAACTACATCAGCCAGTCGGCGGCGACCAGCAAGGGCCTGGCCAAGGTGGTCAACGGGCAGGTGTGGCTGGGCGCCGACTCGACCAACAAGGTGTCGACGTCGTCGCAGGGCCGCGACAGCGTGCGCCTCGAGTCGGTCGACTCGTTTACCTACGGCCTGCTGATCGCCGACATGGCCCACATGCCCGGCAACGCCTGCGGCATCTGGCCTGCGTAGTGAGTTGCTCGCCTTTTCAGTCATATTCTCGGCAACCATGGACTAACGGGACAACAGCTGGACATACAACTTTGACGAAGGTGAGCTTTTGCGCGCCAGTGTCTCTGGTTAGGCGAGCAACCTACTCACCCCGTGGCTAGACCCGTACGGCGAGATCGACATCGTTGAGGGCGTCATGAATCAGCCGAACAACATTGTGTCGCTGCACAGCTGCGGCGCGTGCTCGTTCAACTTTAACAACCAGCCCGGCACGGACCCGCGGTCTAACTGCAACCTGGGCGGCGAGTCCAACGGCTGTCCCGAGACGGACAACACCAACTAGTGAGTTTTGCCTCGCCTCCCGCCACCCCCTTTCCCTCTAAGGGTTTTCTAAGAGAAACAGCGACGGCTGCGGCAACACGGGCCCGTCGGGCTCGTACGGCGACAAGTTCAACGCGGCGGGCGGCGGCATCTACGCGACCGAGGTGACGGCGTCGTCGCTCAAGATCTGGTACTTCCCGCGGGCGTCGATTCCTGCAGACATCACGGCCGGCAAGCCCGATCCGACCAAATGGCCCGCGCCCTTCCTCGACGCCGAGCAGTCCAATGGCGGGTGCAACGTCGGCAAGTTCTACAAGAAGCAGTCGATTGTGAGTTTTCATTGTCTCTTTTCTTTTCGTCCATGGCTGCTTATGGCTGATGTTTGTGCCAGATCATCAACATCACTTTTTGCGGCGCCAGCATCGACCAGGACACGTGGGACTCCGCGTCGACGTGCAAGTCCAAGGCGTCGAGCTGCAAGGCCTTTGTCGCCAACAACCCGTCGGCCTTTAGCGAGGCGTATTGGCTGTTCAACTACATCCAGCTATATCAGAAGTGAGCGGTTCTGTGTCTGCGGGTGGGCACTGGGGGAGACTCTGGCTGAGAGAGTGCAGTGCGTGTCGTGTTTATTGGAGGGGTCTTGTTGTTGTACATATTCGCTTCTGCGGCCGTGATCGGCAAGTACATGTTCCCGTTCAGGTGATGTTCCCACACACACAAATTCACGCGCATTCTTGGCACCTATAGAGGCCACCAGCAGCATCTTATCACGTGCGGTGGCTCTCAAGTCAGAGCCACACCTCTACCTAGATCTTACCTGCTATTTGCCACTCCATCGAGGATGATGACAGTGAAATCTCTACCATGGAGCCAGACCCGTCATCCTCGCATACTGACCGGATTTTGTCTATGGATTCCCTGGAGCTGATGCAGGTGTCTGAGCCTGGCGAACCCCGACTCTTGAGACCAAGGGGGATTCGGTCGACGGGGTCGTCGTTCGATCAAGCCAAGCCAGGTCATGCGACGGCTCCTTCCACCTCTCTCTGCAGCACATGTAGTGCCGCAACTTTTCAAGGATATTCAAGACAGAAAACATCTCTGAGCTCGATGCTAATTCGGGCCATCTGATTTGCCGCCTACCCGTCACGAGCGCCGATTGCAAGCTGTGCCCCTTGTTAGACAGCGTGGCAACAGATCCTGAAATTGCCAAGAAGTTCGCCGAGGGCAGCCAGCCATCAACCAGTCTGCTTGGCCTCTTTGCTTTTTCGAGCAAAGTCACTCTGAATCTATGACACCCAACCTCGTGTACCGACTCTGTCTGGTTGGCAGTTCTGCCAGCAAAGGCCTGGATACCGAAGCTGGGAGCGGCGCGGTCTGCCCTTCATCATGCAGTCAACCACGATGGGAGGAGCTCCAGCCGCCCGAATACTCTACTAGTAGGTCGACTTCACCCCTGTTCGCTATTGGCTGGATTACTGTGCCTCTCACCACGGCGAGACTTGCACTGCCATGCACCGCGCCCCCGTCGCCGGCTTTCGGGTCATCGACTGCCTTACCCGGGACATCATAAGTGGGACATTGGCGGGCGAGCAAACATACGCTGCTCTGAGTTACGTCTGGGGTTCTGACTCTACGTCTTTCCTCACCGTCACAGCAGGGGACGGTCGATTGCCTGACGACGTGCCCCGGGTTGTTGAGGACGCTATGGAAGCTACGCTCCAGCTGGGGTTCAGGTTCTTATGGGTAGATCGCTACTGCATCCGCCAGGACCGGCCATTGGAGAAGCACGAGCAGATAAAGAAGATGGGCGACATCTACGAGCAGGCTGTCGTGACTATTGTCGCCGCCGCCGGGACTCGGGCGCACATGGCCTCCCGAGTGTCCGGGACACCCCGCGAGTGTTGTACCAGGACATCACCGTCGGTGGCCAATCCTTGTCCGTCGCCTCGACCAACGTCAGCGCCAGGATCCAGCAGTCGAGATGGAACACACGTGGCTGGACCTATCAGGAGTCGCTGCTCTCTCGCCGCCGGCTCGTCTTCACTGACAGCCAGGTCTACTTCCAGTGCACTCCATGAGCTGCTTTGAGACTCTGTCCATCCACCTTGACGATCTCCACGACCAACAGAGCGGTCGCTTCCGAGACACGACCGTCCCTCGCGTATTCCTACCCTGAGCCCCTCCGATCCCCTCGCCCACATCTCGCTGTGGGTCTCCCGGTTTTAACGGAGGTCCTTCTCTTTCGAGAGCGACGCGCTGGACGCCTTCCAGGGAATTCTCAGAGTGGCCGAGGCGAAGGGATGGATCCGCGGCAACATATGCGGCCTCCCGCTCCCGAATCGGACACCGGCCGACTCGGCATGCCTGGCAAATTTCCTGTCGTGGCAGTCGTCGTCCTTTGGAAAGCTCAGCCGGCGCGCCGAGTTCCCCAACTGGTCGTGGGTCGGATGGAGGCTGCATTCAGAGTGGCAGAGCATCACCGTCTTCGGCCGCTTTCTCCTCGGGGACCACATCTCACTCGAACGTCAGCCACTACCCTTGACTGCTTGGCTAGAGCATTTCACTTCCACCGTGGACATCACCCATGTCGGGGGGCTTGCGTTGGTTTTGAATCCGAGCACAGGTTGCTATTAACGACTCTGCGTTGCAGCGGTCCGGATAAGTTACGATTCTAAACTAGAGCCGCCCCATCTAGAGGCGATGGGTTGGAGGAGAGAGAAAATCAGAATCGAGTGATGGATACCTTGGCACGCCACAGACTGAGGTGGACTTTGCTGCAGAAATAGTGCTTGCTCGACTTGTCCACAATGACGCCCAGCTTCCCAAGTCCCGAGTCCCGAGTCCCGAGTCCCGACCTCGGGAGAATGCTTGATTTGGCTTAGCGATGGCTTGGCCTTCAATAGTCTGCGCTAGATCGCTGCCCGATTTCTCAGCCTCAGCCGCAGTTACTAGTATCTGGGCAGTGTTCAAGCGACAGCCCACCAATTCCCCACTAACAAGTAGGCGGCTCCGCACCTAGTCAGCGGAGCGACCGGAAATAGACGTTGTTTAGTAGGAAAATTAAAGATATTGTAATAGGTAGAAGACGGGAAGATAACGACGTTACGAAATAGGGAAAACCACTCGGGAACGTAAGCATTGGCAAAGCTAGTATGGGAGAGACCCTTTATAGACAGGTAGTTTTACAGTCTTGGAGGTCCGTCAGGCCCGTCGTCGGAGTCGTTTGACGCAGCCTCAAACTAACTGCAGCTGAAAGTCACAAAAGAACAGCAAACTGCCCGTGTAACTCCAAAGTCGCCATGTCATATGTAAGCCACCGATGCCACAACATACAGCAGATGATACAAGACGCGCTGGTAGAGATGGTCGATTCTTATTCCTAAGGGCGGTCCATCTCGTTTCAGAGACAGGCCAAGGCAAACTTGCCTCACCAGACCAATGCTATGCAGAGCTAGATGCCAGATGAAGATATTTGCCAGGGAAATCCTAAACGGTAACTCAAACCGCCGTCGCTATAAAAACGCGTAAATATCGAGAATAGAGTATCGCTCCCAGGTCCCAACTACAAATGCCGGCCGACATGCTCCCTTACCGACAACAGCGACACTGGCGATGTCTGCCACCTCCTAGACTTTCTGCGGTGGGAGGGCGGCGAGGGTGCCGACGAAGCCATTGCACATGATGGTGTTGGGGATCGCAATCTGCAAGCCGCGCTCGTCGTCTGTGTTCGTTGCAAGACCTTGCGTCAGCCATCTTCGCTTCTCCATGCCCAATACTACGTAAGGGGCAGGGTGCGATTGGAACTTTGGGGAGGGGCGAGCATACTCAAGTCGATGGTGCTGTAATGCACTTCACCATTATTGTTCTTGCAGTTGCAAGTGACGACGGTCGAGTGCTCGCCGTGGTTGAAGCACTCGTTGCAGGTCGCGCCCGCGTAGCCGCTGGTTGGTTATCACAGGAGTCAGCGCTGGAGTTGAGACATGATTACGACTTGTCGGCACTCACGGCACGTTGTTCTCGGCGAAGGTCAGGGCGCCGTCCACGTTGTTCAGGCACAGGTTCAGCACGTCAATCTGGGAAGCCCAAGGGTCCGACATGTTGGGGCAGGTGGCGATGTAGAGGCCGTAGTCGAGGATCATGCTGTTTCAGAGTTACGTGTCAGCGGGTGCCTCAGGTGTGGGAAAGTGGTGTGCGATATTCTGGGGGTCCTACTATTCGCCTTGGACGCAGAAGTCCTTGAAGTGGTAGCCGCTCACGAGGCCCACGAGGACGAGGCCAAAGAGGGCGAGGCCAAAGAGGAGGACGTCCATGAGAAACATGTTGGGTTGTTGGTCAGATGTTCCGCAAAGATAGAGTGACTAGACAGGCGATAATCTTGAAATTAAAACGACAAAGGCAATTCGAAACGCGGACTTGGGTTGCTCATCTAGGCTGAGGATCGAGAGGAGGGGCAGAGACTGGGGAAGTTTCGCGGGGTTATATAGCCGTATCCCGGACTACCGTCTGGAGCCATCTCGGCCGTCAGAGTCACGAGAGTAGTTACTGAAAGAGGGCTTGAGCCCCGAGAAGTCCGGCAACCGCCGTTAAGCCTGTCGTCTGAAGCCATCTCGACCTTCAAAGTCACAAGACGAGAGTATCAGAAGGACAGTTGTGGGCGCACTACTTTATGTACAACTAGCTGACTGGCCAGTCAATGACGTCTCTTCTACTGGCCGTTGGGATGTCTGACCTGTGCGGGTATGCTGTTGCATCTTCTGAAGGCTTGTTATCTCTAAAGGGCTGTTGACGTAGTTTGCTGGTTTACTCTGAAGTGTCTGGGAAACCTTAAGTACCTTGGGCAAAGTGTGGGAATGCAGCGCACTTCCATTTGGTTTCCATGGCTTTACCTGCCTATAGGGACAGGTCGAACCCTGAACCCCCAAACTGGCCAAAAATTGAGTGTGCGTTTAAAGTTGCAGTTTAAAGGGTTGATGCCCCTATTGCGCTTCGTTCACGGCTCAGGTTGTTTGCATCCATAATTACCCCGTGTTTGGAGGCAGTTGACCCCTTGATCAGACACAATCAATTTTGTGTCACAGAGGCTAGAGCCACCGCCACCGCCTCCGAAGATCTGGATGCTTGGCGCTTGGAGAATTCAATTGTGCATCCGCGGCTCGGCGACCAAACGGATGGGGTTGGGCGTTCTAGAACCGCGCCGGCGGCTCAGCCGCATGTTTATTGTCGGCATTGTGCCTTGCGTCGCTCGGGTGTGCGCTGTAATCCGTTTGGTGCAGTGGAATCGGGCAAGCAATTCGAGCGCGCACATGGCGCTAGTTGCTGGGTGCATAGCGCGCGCAGCCCAACTCAGCCCTAGTGCACCCGGCTTGTGCACGCTGCGGGGCATGAAGATTGGCTGATCGCGACTGAAACCACAAGCCGCCAAGCAGCACTGCCCCGCCCATTGACGTCGATGAAGCGCAGCTGGCCAGTGCCGACAAGCAAGAACCGGCGCCAAGCAAAGAGTCGCCCGAGGATTTAATGCCCAGGCCCCGCGTCCACTGTCGGCTTTCTTTTGCGAAAGTGGTCAAGTTCAAAGAACTGAAGACATCTTTTACCCGACTATCAGCAATTCTTGGACAATCTCCGTCGCCGTCCATTCTCCGCAGCGTCACCGACACAACTAAAACCCCTAATCCAAACCCTAACCCTCCAACATGGCGCTTCAGCTCCCTCCAGTACCGCAGCCGCTCGGCCTTAACCACCCAACGGCCGACCTGCTGCTCGCGCGGCAGACCGAAACCATCATCCTACGGGAAAAGGTCATGAGTCTCTCCGGAGACAGCTTCGACATCTCTCTTCAGAGCGGACAACCCATCCTGCGGGTGCAGGGCAGCGTGTTTTCCTTTTCGGGGCGCAAGACGGTCATGAACCTCAACAACCAGCCCGTCTTTGACATCAAGAAGGAGCACCTGCACATCCACGCCACCTATGCCGCCGTCGACCCCAACGGCAACCCCCTGCTCGAGGTCAAGAGCAGCTTCAAGCGTGCGTCTTCTTGATTACGTCCCCCGCCCGGAGTCATAGACGCTAACAAAACGCAGTCATCGGCAGCAAGGCGCGCGCAACGTTTGTCAACAAGTACACAGGCCAGCAGGAGTCGTTCCTGATGCAGGGCAACTGGTTCGACAGCCGCGCCGACATTGTGCACGAGAAGACGGGCATGGTGGTCGGCAACATCAACCGCAAGCTGCTCAGCGGCCGCGACATCCTGTTTGGCCAGCAGACGTACGCCCTGACGGTTGCCCCGGGCGTCGACATGAGTTTGATGGTGGCGAGTGAGTGCACCGCTCCTTTTCCCCTTGCCTAAAAGATATGCAGAAAACAAGCGGCTGACGATTCGTGCAATTTAGTGTGCATCTGCATGGACGAGAAGAACAACGAGGGCAAGGGCGGCGGCATTCTCGGCCTGATTTAATTACCTATGTGGAGGATAGCAGAGAGGAAGGATGACATTTGGGCCGTGAGCGTTGGCATGTGCGATGCGAGTTGGTGCAAGACTGGTTATACCCCCTGGTTCAAGAATTTTATTGCGTTTGAATTTATTGTTTTGTTTTAATACCGACTCTGAGTTCTAATTGCAAGATTGTCGTGAGCGAACCTTGGCCCGGAGGCTTCAGGCCCAGTCCACGCACGTCCTTGCGTAAATTCAGCGATCGGTGATTTGATCCGAGACCCAGCGCGCGCCTGAAAATTCGGAGCCGTGACGTCACGGAGATGGTGGGCTGTCATCAATACGCACGAGATCGTTCCTTCCAGATGCCCCGCATGCCGATCAAGGTACGGGGTAAGCGCCGCCTGACATGATGGCGGGAATAGGTCCGGAAAGAGATTTACGTGTGTTGCTGAGCATGGGTGTAGTTGCCAGATACGGATTCGTCGACGGGACATGCACGTCGGCGTCCACAGCCCCCAAGTCTCTGGCTCTCGGATGCTCTGCCATCAGCACTGGGAGTGGAGATGTCCACCATCAGCTTCATGGTGACGTGGAAAAAGATAGAGAATTTGCACGGGAAATAACATGATTAAAATGCAAAGAATCCAGCAGCCACACTTGGTGCAATCTCCCCACGCGTCCAACCGCAGCAGCCGACAATGTCGACCACGCCCGAACAGAACCGGCGACGGGATGGCGTCTACTTCCAGACCGTGTTTCGGTACAGCTCCAAGGTGTACGACTTCTTCGGCATCTCGCCGTCGTCAACCCCGAGCAGCCTGAGCCGCCTACTCACTCGCGAGAGCGGCCGCGGCGAAGCCACCGTTCCCGGGCCAGCCGGCACCGCTAGCATCGACACGACCAGCAACAGGGTCCGCATCAGCCGGCGCCATATAGACAGCTCCACTGCCAGCGAGCCCGTAGCTGCGTCTGAACTGCCAACCGTCCTTCCAGTCCAAAACGGCCATGTCATTATTCCAGCTCCCGGCCGAATATCGCCCCCGGCGGCAAATCGGCACCAAGCTGCCGCGCACGCACATCTCAACGGGTTGAGTTCACCACGGTATTTCCCCTCGCCCCGGCGGTCGCGTACGCACTCGTGGGCGTGGCGTCGCAGCCATCCAAACCCAAGGTTAAAGTTAGACGAGAGCAAGACGCGCAAGACGAGGCGGCGAGGAATGCTACGCGCGCTGGTGCAGGATTTCGGGACGTTTTGGTACGTCTGTCAGGATCGTGACACAGTTTGCACTGTTCTTTGTGGTCTCTCTTTGTCTCACTTGTTCACTTTCACTCACTTTCACTCACTCTCACTCACTCTCACTCACTCACTCTCACTCTCACTCTCAAGTGTCTTTCTCATACAAGAGTCTTATATAAGCACTCACTTGAGTCCATACGTTTAACTCATTACACTATCAATTCACTTGCTTATACTCTCATTCTTGGTCTCATTCTCACTCTCATCTTCACTCTCATCTTCACGCTCATCTTTACTTTCATTCTCATTCTCGCACATGAAAATCTAATTCCACAAGACTTATAATTATCACTCGCTCGCTCAATCACTCACTCACCCACTCGCCCACTCACTCACTCGCGCGGTTTTTCATCACATTACTCCCCAATCACGCACACTTGCCCGCACAAGACACGCAAACCAACCATACACGCAAACCAACCATACACACAAAGCTTCCACACACAAAACCACCCGCAGCCAACACTTCACTAACATGAAAAAGGTTCACCTACCCCTTCAACCTCGGCCTGATAGCACTAACCCTACACCTCCTCCCGCCACGGCTCCACTTCCCCGGCCTCTTCGGCCTCACGCGGGGGGTATTCATCGCCGAGCTGGCCCTGTTCGCATTGTTCTCACTCGTCTGCATCACTCGTCTGGTTCTCACCCTCTTCGCGTCTTGCGAGGAGCTCTGCTGCCCCTTGACAACCCGGCGCCGGGATGCGAACGCGCCAGTGCGGGGTGTCAGGGGTGCCGACGAGGCGGCGGTGGGCCGCGACATGGTAGGCTGCTTCGCGCTCTGGCCTGCGGCGTGGCTGACGCTGGTCGCGTTCGCGGTCGTGGTCGTGGCGCCTGGAAGCGGCGTGGACGGGGCGGCTGCTGCTGCCGCCGCTATCAGCAGTTCTGGGAATGGCCATCATGCATGCAGGCTGGAAGACGGGGCGAGCTCTGCAGGGCCGTGCCGTTCGGCGTCGTCCCACCGGCTGGCGCTCGCGGCGTGCGGCGCGTGGTGGGCCGGCGCGGGCTGGACCGGCGCGAGCACCGTGTATGTGGCGGCGACACTGTTTTCGCCGTCTCGGCCGCGGCCAAGACCCGCGACGCCCGAGGGCCGGTTCGCGCCTTCGCTGGCGCTGCTGCAGTGCACCGTGGCCGCGGCGACGGTTGCGCTCGTTGGTGGGCTGCTAGTCCTGGAGCTGGGCGCCCCGGGGAACAGGCCCGGCCCGGTGATTGGCGGCGCGGGGACACGAGTGGTTTCAGGGGCAGCGGCAATACCGCGGGGGCTTGTTGCGCCCGTCGTGGTGTTTTCGATTTGCGCGGTGGGCGCTGCGCTGCTCGTGGCCCTCGCTGTAGATGCCGTGCTGGTGCACGAGCTGGTGCTCGTCACGGGCTGGCCACCGCCTGCGCAGACAGCCACGGTCTTCTTGCTTGTCGGGCCGTTCGCCCTCTGTGCAGCGGCACTGCAGTTGCTCGGCGACGCTGTCAACACCGTGTATGGCGGTGCCGTGGGCGGCGGGCTTGACGTCGTCGAAGCGGACCCATTCTCAGTCATAGCCACCATTGCACTGCCGCTAGACATGGTGTGCATTTTGCTGGCGCTGCTGCTGACTGGCGCGGCCGTCGTCTGGCTGGTGCTCGCCATTGTCGCCGCCCTCTACCGTGCTGGGCGTGGAGAATTGGCGTGGCACCCGAGCTGGAATTTCGTCGTGTTTCCCGCGGCTGCACTTGCCATCTCCATGCTGCGCTTCGGCGTCGAGCTGCAGTCCTTTTTCTTTGGTGTCTTTGGCTGCGTGCTGCTTGTGTTTAGTGTTGTGGTGTTTTGTGCCGACATTCTCTTTACTCTTAGGTGGACTCTCAGGGGCAAGATGCTGGTTTACAGGGTGCGTTCGTAGCTCCCGGGCCAAAGCAGAGGAGGTGCGTAGTAGTAATACTAGACCTTGGTACGGAAGTCTCTTGTTTGCTCCGCTACTCTCTCACGATGCTATTATTACAGAAAGCCGACGGCGCGCTGCAGTTGACGTGCTCGTCTGCACGTTGCCGCCGCCGGATCCCCTCCCCCGCCGGTGGACAGACAGAAACAACCTGAATTTTTCGTCCATATTGACCTGGCCACGGATGAAAGAAAGCCCATTATACCTTCTCCGCCTCGATGACGGCGACGTGCTTCTCGCTCTCCTCCTCGTGTATGGCCGTGCGCTTGGATGCCACCGCAGTGCTCTGCTCCAGGGCTTGTCTGTCCTCGAACACTGAGTTGCGGGTGTGTGGTTAGCATGGTACTGGGAGCGGTGCTGAAGCCGCAACTAGAAAACTCACAAAATGCGAGCTCCTCGAGGGAGCGGCCGGACGTCTCGGGCCAGAGGAACCAGATCAGGATGGCCTCGACACAGATCCAGCAGCAGTATGTAAGCAGGTACTTCCAGCCAATGGCTAGCGTGCCTAGGAGAGGTGGCCGTGTTAGCGTCACAGTTTCAGCGGGAGGAAGAATTCATTCTGCACATACCAATGGGGTTGACGTTGGTGCCAAAGAACTGCGCGGCCTTGCCCCAGAACTGGAAGATGGCGATGCCGCGAGCGCGTTGGGCGTAGGGGAAGATCTCAATCAGGTAGGCTGAGAGTGGAGGCACACGGTTAGCACGCTATGGCTTTGGCACCTTGCGAGTCTGAGGGGTGGCATACTGTAAGTCAGCGCGTTGAAGCACAGATTGTAGGCCGGGCTGTAGGCGTAGATCCAGAAGAGCGACATCTTGGCGGCCACGTCCGACTTGTTTTGGATGAAGACGGCGGTGCAGATGGTCCAGCTGACGTAGACGGCCAGGATAGACAGGATGCCCGTCAGGTACATGGTGCGGCGGCGGAAGCGCATGACGACGAGGGCGGCGCTGACGCCGCATATGAGCGACCAGCACTGGTTGCCCAAGTTGTACTTGGTCTGGAAGCTGGGGTCAGTATAGCCAATGAGCTTGAGCACGTCGCCGAGGAAGTACGAGATGACGACGTTGCCCGACAGCTGCGTGAAGAGGCCGAGCAGCGATCCGATGACGAGACGGCGCCGCATGCCCGCGGTGCGCACCATGTCCAGCCACGATCGCTTCGAGTGTTCCATCTCAATCTCCAGCGTGGTGCGGATCTCGGCAATCTCGGCCATGACAAACTCTGATTGCGAGTTGCCCTCGGCGTGGTACTTGATCAGAATCGCCTTGGCGTCCTCGAACCGGTCCTTGCTGATGAGGAACCGTGGCGACTCTGGTAGGAAGAAGACGAAGGCGATCTGCAGCAGCGACGGCGCCATTTGGAGCAGAGACGGGATCCGCCACGACCAGTCGTTCTCAATGTTCTGCGTCCCAAAGGTGCAGCCCGCGGCCACGATGGCTCCGATGAAGTAGCAGGCGTTGAACAGCGACGTCAGGATAGGTCTTTCCTTGGGGTAGCCCAGCTCGCCGATCAGGCACGAGCCAGCAACAATGGCATACGGCAGACCAAAGCCGATGATGCCACGAGCTATGATGTACATGGGGCCTGTTTGTCATTGTCAGCCATGTATTCCATCTCGTCTTCGGACCCCGTTCTAGAATCTTGCCCACTCACCATTTGTAGCAAAACCCTGGATCAGAGTGCCGATCACCATGACCCACGAGCCAAACATGATGCACCACCGACGGCCGAATGTGTCGTTGACCAGAGGAATCAGGGGGAGACCGATAACGGAACCAAGTGGCAGGGCAGAGGCGAGGATGCCATTGTAGGCGCCGGTTGGGTTTCCAAAGTCTGGGCGGCAAGTCAGAAAAATGGGCAAACAGATGGTGCAGGCAGAGAGCACACTTACAGTGTTTCCAGGCGGGCAGCAGCTGGGCAGAGTTGATGATCTGCGAGTCGAATCCAGAAGTCATCTCGATGCCGATGACACAGGGGAATAGCAGCAGGTACATGGTCCGCAGGTGACGCTTCTTGTACCAGGGGACGGGGTCATCCATCGCCAGGCGATGGATGTAGTTGTCCCCGACATCGCTAGCGCCGGCAACCATGTTTGCTGGCTGGGTGGTTGCTGGTCGGGTTGTTTGGGCAGAGTCTCAAGCAAGGCGACAAGGCGGCCTGTTGCTCTTGGGCAGAAGTGCTGCGGAGTGGCAGCTTGGGGGCGTGACAAGAGAATCCAACCGCAGGCTCCGGGGGACGTTTGAGAGAGAGGCGAGGACTCAACAGGGCATATAAAGCACCGACGCGGAGCGTGGCAGGCGAGGAGCCCGCTCGGAGACGGCCTGGCATCCTGAGTGGAGGTGGACCCGGCCAGTCGGAGATGGGGTCATGCAAGCAGCTTCTAGGTCGTCGAGGACCGACTCAACTGGTCTGCCTTTGAGCCCATATTCATCCACATATTGCTCAAACACGCATCCCCACGGGGAGGGGCTCCGGGGCGACAAATGGGGCGGCGAGGGCCAAAGTGGTTCGGACCGAGAAGGCCTTGTGCATGGCCGTCCAAGGCGAGACTCCGCTCCAATACGGGGCCAGATAGCCAGAGGGGCAGCTGGTATGGATATCCGCGCGCCTTTTTTCTCTTCCCTCTTCCCTTGTTTGCCCCGACCCTCGGTTAGGCTCAGTCGACGTTGCGGCACTCGCTAGGGGGTGCAGTTGGGGCGGCCAGGCGGGAGGCTTTAGCCGGGATCGACACAAAGCCGCAGTGGTGGGTGGGTTGCCATCTCTGGGCGCGCGCAGGTGGCGTTAGGACAAGAGATGGGCTGGCGTGCCACGGTGGGAGCGGTGCGAAGCCAAGACGCAGGCTCGGCCAAAGGGGCAGTCAGTAGTTCGGGATCCAGTGCTTGGCACACATTCCTCCAACGACGACGATCGGGGTATTTGTCCGTATTTAATATTCTGCGCTATCCCTATCGTGCTTACACTCCCATGTCATGTCGCGAGCCCTTCGCATCTCGGGCCCCTTTTTGAGGCGGAACCTGTCGATTAACCTGTGCGCGTGGGGAGGCCATCGCGAGTGGGAGCAGAGGTCCTACACGACGCGGAGCCTGGCTGATAATAACGGGCGCTGCAAATGGCGAAAGCACTGAAGCAACAGGCGGGAAGAAAGTTGGGTCGCTTCTTTTTCTTTTGCGCGCAGGCTAATTCTTGGCCTCTATGGCCGCAAATCCAATTTACCGTTGCCGGCTGGGCGGGGATAAATTGGCGTGGCAATTTGTTCGGTTCGGCGTAATTAATGTCTTTCGGCCACATCCCGCGTCGGCTGCTCCCTCGTAGGCTCGCACCTTTTCCGCTCCCCCATGGCCAAGTCCTTCGAGAAGCACGCTCGCCCAGGCGTCGCTAGGGGCTTGTTCTCGTGGTAAGCTTTGTGGCGCCTCCATCAGAGGAAAAAAACCGATCGCCCAGCATCGCCAAGGTCTTGGGAGCCGACGTCAGCGTGCACCTCCTACCTTTCGCTTCGAAGGTGACGAGTTTGTTGTGTGTTGGATGCACATTCACATTTTGTTTGACTGCACTTCTCATTATTCGTCCTACCTGAGGTAGGCACAGAGCCCAATCTAAGCTTCGGAAATGTGAGTGGACCACTGGGGCACCGGGTGAGGAGAGGAAAGAGCGAGCCAGCGGCGAGGTCAGAGATGGCAAGCAGCAGGGGCGGCACGTCGGACAACCGGCACCAGAAAGACTGCCGCCCTTGGCAGGTCCCTGACAGCAGCCTCCCACCTTGGCTTACATCAACCCACACAAAACGGATAAAGTCTTGGGGCATCACTAGCGCTACTACCCTGCAACGACGACGCTCCAAGCTGGACATGTTGACCACCAAGGAAGCGAATTCCAAGAGCACTGCCAGTAAGCCCAAGGATACAGGAAGCTCAGTTTAGAAAGTGTTAGGAGACACGGGCAGGCAGAACGACCCGGTACTTCCGTTTTTTATTTTCTGCGCAACCTATTCGTGGATACATACGGCATGCAGTTTACCCTAGTGTCTGAACAAATTATACCCCACCCATCCGCGTCCATTCTCACAGGATCCTCCTACCTTTGAGTACTAAATCCGCGGACTTGATGTAAGCTGCGGCCACTATCGGCACACTGCCAATATCGAAGAGGCGAGTCCCAGGAATAGTCAGCGATGCCCATATCGTCCCGTGCGAGAGCATGTCCCCCCCAGATTGAGCCGATATCAGATCATAAAACACTCATCTGCCTTAGCGACATCAACTCAGCAAGGTCCGCAGTCGTCGAACCACGGGCAGATGTTGTCGCAGACATCTGGCAGACAGACAGATGCACCCTCCGTTTACGCAGATCCCATTGCCCCGCAAACGGCCGCGTCGCGCTGGAGTGCTGCAAATATGCCAGGCAAGCCCACCGGTGCGGTACCGGGAGCCGGGGCGGGGGCGGCAAGGATGCCTGCGGCGGTAAGGGAGAGGAGGAGGTTTGTGATGGAAAATTGCATTGTGCAGGTAGGCGAGTGTGACTTTGAAGGCTAGTGGTTCTGTCAAGGCTCAACTTGGACAACGAGATGTGCTGTCCGTACATGGTACCCCTGGTCTATAATGCTGGCTGGGAAAAGTGTCTATTATATAGATAGGCGGTCGCCATGTAGTCAACTCCTGGTGAAGCCGTCAAGACGGTTCTATCATCACGACTCGAAGGATAGGTAGCTGCACCAGGTGAGGGTCATCGGCACATTACCATGCTGTCAGATGAGACGGGGAGCCTTACGAGGAGTCGTGCCGGTGTTCCACCAGTCTGGAAAGAAAATTGAAGCTCCGTGTCCGTTAAATCCACAAGGCCGGCAGTTCGTTCAGCAATGTCATTTCAGCTACATCGACCCCAGCAGCCGTAGCAACCAACTAGTAGCGGAGGCAAAACAACAAAAAATAGCAATACAGCCAGCTCATGCATTTTTAGTTTTAATGGCGAGCGTCTACTGGTTATGTCCTCAAGGAAAGCGCCTTGATACGGATGTATTGGTTCACAAAGTCTCCAGGTGGTCTATTTCAACCTGAACTTCTCCGCGAACCAATATCCCCGGGAAAGCTCTCCTCTACGGGAAAAGAAAAGGAGAGATGCCAAGATCACTGACGGCGTGGTTCTGCACAAGTTCACAAGCTGCAAGAAACGCAACCGTGAGCTTCGGTTCCTCTGATGATGTTTCGCCCCTAGGAGTGTGTGGCCACACCGGGGAAGCAAACACATGCACGAAATTAATTTAATTACCTTATACCAAGCAGCCGAAATGTGCCTCCCCGCACTTTAAGGCGAGGTGACAATCACCCAAGAGAACTCGAGAAATCTCTAACCCATGAAAATGTCGGGTCGAGCATGTGCGGGTAGAGAGGTGCTGGGGTCGCAAACATTCTGTTTGAGCCCGGAATGACAGGCGCGAAGTCTAGGCCCCAACACCGAGTGCAGCTAATTTACCAGGTCTGCCTGCCACTCGACCGGGGTGGTTGTCAGATCGTACTGATGTGAGCATCGCATGAATGAACAACCTGCCTCGCGAAAGTCTCGGGGTAATTGATTGGTGAAGCGGACCATTTAAATATCGATCACGGCGAAAACTCGTTTACAGATTGACAATCCCAGACTCGCGTAGCTGAGAGGGTCACAGCTCGCTAAATCCAAGTTTATCTACTAGGACCAATCAAGACATCTTGGTCCGGGTACTTAAGATGGCAGAATACTAGTGCTCGAGGTGACCTTGTCTACGTACGCTATGGCCGCATGGGTTTTACACCTGTGTATGAACAAGGTTGGTGTGCACAAGTTCAAATTCACCACTCGTCGAAACCTAGCCGCTAGAGACAAAAGAAGTCAGCTAAACAAAAGCTTGTAAACAGACAGCGACATGAGCGCCTGCCGCGGTGGATTTCACTGGGAAGACGGATGAGAAAGAAGCCAAGCGTTCATCTTTTCCTTAGAAATTTCAACCAATGTAGTGAGATTCTGTTTGTTTTCATTCGCTTACACCAGCTACTACCGCATTTCCTCACTTTATATCTGCGGGGGAGAAATTGTGTAGGTACCTAGGCAGTCCATCTGAGTCTCAAGTTCATGGAAATCTCACTCGTTTTTCATACTCGTTTTTCATTCTTTGTGAAATTGAAAGGCAACAAACCCTAAAATCTTGCGATTTCACTCTCACTCAACCACTCACTCAGGAGTCACGCTTCAGGTCATGTGGTTTTCGCCACACACCCAGCCCCCCACCCGAGGGACTTGGCCTGGGCCTGACAGCAGCTTTGGGTCAACCTCACTTCGGGTTGAAGCGACGTTCAAACCGCCTGCGCTACGTGCCCACAACAACCGCCACCATGGCCCAGCAGCCGCTTCCGCCGTTTGTGCTATCAGCTAGACTGGAGACGACGTTTCCCAGTGCTGGGCAGACGGGCCACGTGATTCACGGCATGCCAGGTTCAGAGCCTGGTGATAGTTTAGGTGAGGTGGCTGACCAGTCTGCGGCAGTCTTGTCCCGACAGGAGCGGTGGCAGCGCGAACGCGCTATCGGAGTGGGCGGTTATGGGTCCCTCTGGCTCGGGCGCTGCGTCAGCGGCGAAATGGGGATTGGGGCACTGCGCGCCGTCAAGGAGATGTTGACAGTCGCTCCGCACTCCACCCGCGAGTCGCCGCGCGAGAGGCTGAGGGTCAATCGCGAGCTCGAGGCCATTGTGTGGTTTTCGCATAGGAGAGCAAGTCCCCGGTATTAATTAATTCGGAGATCATCAAGGTACCGCTGTCAGAGGCACAAATCGTCATGCTACCCTGGTCAGTATGTATAAACATCTTGTAGCTGTCCAGCGCACATTCTTTGCCTCTCCCCACGCTGATATGATCCTCAGATCCTGGCCTTGCACTCGGCGCCGCACCCGTCACCTGGAAGGGTGCAGATCTCAGAGGACACGGCGCGCAGACTAGGGCTCTCACCGGGTGTCCCAAACAACATGCTGCCCTTCTCACTCCCGCAACGCTGCCGCCAGGTCTTCGTGATCGTCGTTTCTCATGGGCATGCTTTGTCCAACATTCCACCCAGGCGCTGACTGGCGAGATCTGGTGTAATCTACAAGATCTGTATTCTTCCGCAACTAACTCGAGGAAGGTCAGTGTTGCTAGCGTAAATGGCGTCGGCTTCCTAAAATATATCAAGCTCGGTTTGGCCTATACTCGCGGCGATCTCAAGGTCGGTCGGACACTTCAAGATGTCTGCCAATTCGGTCAAATCGTCCGGCGGGGTGATTCCGTCTTTTGTGACAACCAACTTATGCCGCTTGATGGTCAGCAAAGTTTGCGAATGGTTGATTTGACAGTTCAAGATTTCGGCTCCGAGTGTCTCTTTGGAGCTATCGGTCCAAAACAGACGCCAAATTTTGGGACACCGATGGCTTGAGGTATTTTTGGATAAAAAGGGTGGTTATTTGATGTCAGCCTTGTCACGCGAACGCTGTATCTAATCTAATTAGCCGAGTCTTGTGTCGTCATTCTCATGTGCTCACACCCAACTGGGCTCGTCTGAGGCAAGCGCTGATTAGATTTAGTCCCTTTCTCTTTCTGGCCGTGCGTGATCGCCCGCAGAGGTAAGCGATCCACATCCCGTACAGGTGGGGAAGTTATGAGAGGTGCAGACTGCATTGACTAGTCTAGTTCTGGCCCATGCGACGATCTGGGAGAGGAGGAAGAAGATAAATAAAGTAGTGCCCTAGGTGGCTGAACTAAGGGAGCCCAGTGGCCTGCGCTGAGGAGCTCCAGGTGACCAGCACAGAAGTGATATAAGCTAATATCAACGCAGGATCGAGTTTAGGGGGACGAGGGTCAAGGCTGCGGCCCAAGGCGGCGAGCTTGTAATTAGTGATAGATGACAGCTCAACCGGACAACATCAAGTCGGAAAGGTCGGCGGGAAGTGCTAAGGAGGGACAATCAACACTAGAATAGTTAAATTATCAACACGACGAAGACGACGAAGATTATGGTAGGAGTAAACAAGTAACAGCTCTCTCGGTCATGGTTGATCATCACGCCGTCCATGCCCACTTTGCGTCTTCCATATCGCCCCCATGACTTCGCTCGGGGATCCTCTCGGGCCTAGAATTTTCCAGCGCGTGGTAGAGCCTAGAGGCATCGACGCCGCGCCGCCGCACTAGTTCACGGCGGGCAGGTAGCTGCCCCGGCCACGTAACATCGCTGATGCGGACTCCTTCCATCGGCCAGGCGGTGGTGGTGGTGGCGGGGCCGCCGCCGCTGCTGCTGCTGCTGCTGCCGCCGGCATGCTGGTATTCGTCGCCAGTGGCAGAACCACTCGCCCCCTCGGAGCTGCCCGTGCGAGAACCCGAGCTCGATGCTCTGTTTCTTTGTTTGCCACATGTGGCAGACGTGAAACTGGCAGGCGTGGACCCGCTACTGGAAGCGCCCGCTACAGAGGCCGGCCTGCGGGCCTGGTGCTTTCGAACCCTGGCTGCCGATGCCGGGCCGCGCATCTCGCATTGCTGTTGATAATTTTGCAGCTGCCGCTCAAGGTGGGCTATGTACCCTTCGAGTGAAAGGCCTGATAACGGCGATCCGTAGTCAGCTTTGCACAGTTCTGTACCTTGCAGAGAGATGGAAATGAGATGTGAATGGCGGGAGACAGGGGAAGCATACGGTAGTCCCTCGTGGCAATGTCTGGGTCCAATCTGGGTCCCTTGCTGCGCTTGCTGCCCAGTGTTGAGTTTGTGCCAGAGCAGCGTTGTTCATCCGCATGGTTATTGGGCCGGCGGGCTCGGTGCGGAGAGGACGAACCTGGCTCAACGTGGTGTGACATTTTGGGAATTCGGGAATCCTGTCTGCTGGGACCTGGTTCGCGGGTGTAAGTCGAGCTGTTTATTGGGGACGAGGGGACTGTTAAATGCGTATGGACGAGCCAAGAAAAAAAAAAAAAGATGGACGTGCACGGAATGCGGACTTTAATGGACTTGGGGGCCGCTCCTGCATATGCACATGGGGGCAGACATATGCAGTTGGCGGCTTTGTGGAGGATGGTGTTTGGGGCGGAGAGCGTGGACAAGGGCTGAAAAAGAAGAGCAGGAAAAAAAGTCCGAGTGTCTCAGCCCCATCAGGATCCTGTTGGAGACTTGGCGGCATCCCAAGTGTACGGCGAAGCGTATTCTTGTCCTAGTGAGAGCGCTTGCAAAAAATCCGCCGTATCGGTTTTCTCGCAAGACCATTCCTAAACGAGGTATTGGCCGCATCCTGCCTACACGGCGTAGCAAATGTCAAACCCTGAGGCCAAGCTTGACCGACACCGTTTCAATACCGCACGTGCCTTTATCATCCGACAGTGTGCCGTCGATGCAATGAGGAACAGGGAGGCGGTCATGGTGTGCAGCAACGGTCAATTCCAGATTCTTGAGCGAGTCTTTGAGGGAGAAGTGGAAGTTGATGGTGTTAATTATTACGTGGTACCTCGTCGGGAGTTTTCCTGTGACCCTGTCATGCATAAACAAGTAGCATGGAATCGTGTCTTTGCAAAAGCAAAAAAAAGGAGAACGATTACAAATTCGTGTAATGGCCGCCCCTCGTCTAATCCGCATCGCGCAAGCGAACGAGCTTGCCGGAGATGGATCAGCGAGGACTGCGGTCCGTATACGGCTTATACGCGATCCGCAGCGGCGGATGCCCGCTAGCGGCTGGCCAGCACATGGCAATATCCCAGACCACAAACCCGGGATACCACGAGTAGCCGTCGTCAGAGACTGGCAGCCTCTCGGATGTGCCCAAGAAGATTAGTGTCTTGGCTGAGAGCGTACATATTCCTCAGGACGAATGGTTGCACCACGCCACCACCGTCCTCCTCCAATGCCGCAGCAACTGTATACGGCCGCGAGTCATTTGTGACTGCATTGGGTACGTCGGCGATGCCGACGTGGTGTCCCGCAGCTGTTGTTGGTGAATTTGATTAGAAAATCACTCAAAACTGCCCCCTGCATCACTGTCCAGGCGGCATTGAACCTTTCGCGGTTGCAGAGGCAGGGACATTGTCAGTTTGGATTCTCCATTGTTCGCCAAGTTTTCATTTACGCGCGCGCGTCATGCTTTTCCCTCTTACATGACTAACTTGGACCGCAATGCGTTTCTTGACCGTAATTGGTGAGCAAGTGATATGCTGTGACGTTGAGTTGAGTCCGGACAATGGTGGCTTCACCGCTCAAGTCAGGGGCTTGAGATTTCCAGCCACACAGCCCACACATGTATCCCAAACAAGATCAAGGTGAACAAGGGATTCACAGGTAACCCGAGCTCATACAGTATAAACCAGAGATCCGACATTTTAATTCATGCTCCGCAGTTAGATCGCGGTTGATATCGGAAACGGCCCGAACTAGTTGAGTTGTTGGCCGAGAACTGCGTGGCATCTCGGAGCCTGGTCGCCCCTCCTGCCCACATCACGAGAAATCACGCAGCAGCCTAGCGGTAGCACAGCCGCAGCCCAGCCCGTTCCCCGAACTAGTTAGCCAGACACACTACAGCCCTAATAGACAGCTGCACTAAATTCAAGATACTGCTTGAATACGGTGCTCCAGTTCCTGCCCAACAAACCCAAAGATTGAGTGTGGCGGACTTGCATCGTGCGAAATGACAAAGATAAGATTGTTTCTAAAAGCAACGTCATATTGATCCAAGAGCTGAGCAGTAATGTGATTTAGCGGTTTGTGAACAAGTCAGATGAAACAAATCGAGGAAGTAAATTAGAGGAGATAACAGAAGTCTCGACAAAAACAAGACATGAAAGTAAACAGCCTATCAGCATTCACCTCAGATCCCTAAGACAGTGCTCAAGCCTTGTTGTCGTCCTCGGTACAGCGGCAATTGGTGCCACTGTGGAAACATTTCTCGCAGAGCCACCTGCTTGAGATCCTGTTGTTCTTGGTAACAACGCTGAAATCGGCCTGGTCGCTCGCCCGCTGCTCTTTCTCGGCCTCGTCTTGAGGCTCCTCCTCGTCGTCATCCTTGTCATCATCGTCGCCACCCTGGCGCCACCTTGCCCGAGTGTTGAAGTACTTCGCCGAGCTGTACCGCTCTCCCAACCGCTTGGCCACATCATTAGCCTCACCGAGGCTCACCAGTCTGCGCTTACCAGTGCCACCCGGAAGCTGGTTCTGCATAAACTCCGAGCACACCTTCCACACCAGCTCGGCATCCGACTCTTTCCTCTCAACCGCCAACTTCTTCTTCTTCTCTGAATAGGAAATAAGCTCCTCAGGCTTACGCTCGACCAGAGAGCTAGCCTTGGCCATATCATTCCGTGAGGGCAGTTGAGGCACACGCGGTGCATGGAACAGCATAGTGGTGATGCGGTCGCGCGCCACTTCGGCCGGTGTGCGGCCGACAGCATTCTCGCGCCACAACAAAGCTGGGCACGCGGTGAGCAGAGCGCGTGTAAGGGGTGCGGAACCGGCCATGACAGCCGTGTGCAACACCGTGTCTCCGGCGCCATCGAGAATTTGGAGCTGCTGCTGCCCACCGAGGCGGAGCAGGAGGCCGAGCGTGGCCAGCCAATCTGCTTCGGTTTTGTAATAGTTTGCCCGGGCTGAGTAGAGGCCCCCCGATGCCGTTGCCGAGACGAAGGCGTGTAGCGGCGTCTGGCCACTTTTACTGTTGCCATAATTGTCAGTGTTGGCCTGAAGGTTCGTGCGCGAGACGAAGAGGTGCGGGAGCAAGTCCTTGTCGAAGAGTTGGACGAGCTTCTCAAGCTGCTTGGCACGCGGTAAGCCGGACACAGCAGTGTGAAGTAGGTTGCCGCCGGTTTTGTTGTGCACCGACTGGTCGGCGCCAGCATCGATCAGCAGCCGCACGAAGTCAGTGCGGCCGAAGTGACAGGCCGTCATGAGCGGCGTCTCGCCGTCCGAGTTCTTAACCTCAAGCGTCTCCGGGTGCGCCTGGATGATGTAGCTGATGAGTTTGTTGGCATCGGGGCCTGGGCGGGCCATAACGGGGAGGTGGAGGACAATTTCGTCTGTGCGCAGTGGGCTGTCAGTGTCTGGGATACAATTAGGATGGGAATTGGGAAGGTAGTTACGTACTCTGCGCGCCGAGCCATTGAGAGACGGCCCTCTCCAAACCTCCCGGGGCCTGGCTGAGGTGCTTCAGTCTCGGATCTGCCAGGGCAGCTTTGGAATTGCAAAACTCGGCGTAGTGCCTGAATGGTGCATCACCAAAGAACCACTCGACCGATTCGATGCTGACGGCAAGGGCAGCGTTCAGAAGCGGTGGTGCTTTAGTCCCAGTGGCTCTGACCACAAGGGCCCGACCGGCGTTGGCCCAGTCCTTTCTGTTTTCCGCTGTCAGTCTCGCGTCGAACTAGTCATGTTATAGCAGCAAGGTTGACATACCTTTTCTTGCCATAGACAGTTAAGCCCTGGTAGAACTTGGGCTTCTCCTTCATCTCCACGCCGCTCTTCTTCACCAGATGCGCGAGCGGAATGCCGGCGCCCGTCCGCTTGATGATCTCGGCTAGCATCTGCGTCTTCCCATTCTCCACCGCAAATTGAAACTCCCTCTCGGGGAAGTTGAACAATCCGGTTACTGGTGTGTCCTCGTCTTCGTCGCCCTCAAGCTTGCGAGACGCAAAGTGCTCTCCCCAGTCCAGCAGCGTCTTGAGTCCGGCGTGGTCATCGTGATGCATCACGAACTCCAGCAGCCCCGCCGTGCCACAGGCAGCAATTGGCTTTCCAGCATTGCTGTCTTTGTCAGTGTGGAACGTCTGGCAGTTCCAGAGCAACATTTCCAGTGGCCGCGTGCGCGACTTGACCTGCATGGAAACTTGGCCAATGTTGTCAATGGTGAACTTTTTGTCGACATTTCGCGAGACGATGCGCGGCTCCGAGTCGTCATCGTCATCCTCATCATCTTCCTCCGAGTCATACTCTTCGTCGTCATCCCCGTCTCTGTTGGATTGCTCCATGTGGAACCGTTTGTTCTCCTTCTCGGCGGGCGAGTACTGGGCCTCAGCAATGTCGAGCGCGGCTCTGGCAACGGCGACGTGTCCTCGGAGGAAGGCTATTGACACGGGGCTGCTATTCGTGTTGTCTTTAACGGCAATCTTGAGCGGTGGCTCAGTTTGATCCTTATCCCAGCAGGTCGTAGTGAGATATTTGATCTTTTCCAGGTCGCCTGCCCAAGCGGCCTCAAATCTGTTCCCGTATTAGCCGGCCGTCGCTCTCAATGCGAGGCTGACAGAAAAGTAAACTCACAGCTCCTGATATGCCTGACGGCTCTTCTCGGTGACGTCGGTTGTGTTGTGGAAAGTGAGGGAGTACTTGTAGGCCCCTTTTACATCGTCAATTGTCGGCCGGCCGCGATTGTAGCTGTTGTTCTCGTAGAACCCTGTCTTGATGTCGGGGTGGAGTTCCTTGAAAGTTTTGGCTCCCTTTTCCAAAAGCAAGGCCTCGATCTTTTCCATCACAGCCAGAGCCTCCTCAATCGCCTGTTTCTTTTCGGCCACCCCTCTTTGCTCTTCGAATTTCTTGACCTCTTCTTTGTATTTCTTCATCGCTTCCTCGTGCGACTTCTTCTGGGTCTTGACATCCTCAGAAGCTAGCCAATAGAGATACGAGCCAGTATCCAGGCTGGCCAAGTACTCGTCCATGCCTTGCTGCAGCTCGGGTGCTGATTGTGAGAACTTTTCCCCAGCATACTTGCGCAAGTTCTCAATGTACTCGCGGACCACGTCCAGCGCCGTCTCGCCCTTTTTATGGCCCCTCTGCCAATCTTCCCTGACCAGCTGGTACGAGATGGGCGTCATGGTGTTGGGGTCAGCGCCCCCTTCGAGCAGCCGCAACGCCACGTCCGGCTCGGGGGAGCTGCGCAGCGCAACCATAAGCGGCTGCTCCACTGATCGGTGGTACAGGACCTTGTTCTGCTCATAGGACTGCAGCTGTTTCTCGAGGCTAGGCGAGAATTTGGCCGCGCGGAGCCAGCTCTCGAAGTCAATGTCTGGGTTGGCGCCTGCCTCGAGCAGTTTCATGACGAGAATGCTGTCGCGGTTTCCGATGGCCGTATGCAGCGGTGACACGGCCGAAGGGCTCCAGTAGCTACTACCCAGGATCAGATGGTTCAGCGCCGCCTTGACGCCCGACTTGTCGAGCTCCCAGAGCGTGTCGATCATCTCAGTCTCGGCGTGCTCGACGTAGCGGTGGAAGGCAGTGCAGCTGTGAAGATCAGCCTGCGAAGAGCTGGCGCCGAGTCGTAGGAGTAGCCGGGCCATAGACTTGGCCTTCTCGAGAGGCAAGCCGAGTGCAAGAGCAAGTGTGAGAATGGCATTGGTTGGCTCCTTGTCGCTATTTAGGAACTTGACAGGAAGGATTGCGTCGGCACCGAACTATTTTCATAACACGTCAGCATTCGAATTAGTAAATAGTGGTATTTGCATCAGCAGCTCTTACCTCGCAGAGGATGCTCACGACCTCCTCGTGACCACCGGCAATGGCAAAGTGCAATGGCGAGCACGGGATGTCCCAGGACAAGACATCAATCTTGTAGAAGTCGGGCTCGTCCAAGGCCTCTTCAGGCACAATGTCCTTGCCGACTTCCCGGTCGTCCTTCTTGACCTTGACAAATGAGCCAGTCGCAATAGAGGCGGAGTCAACTTCCGTCTCGTCGCCGTCAAGCAATTCGGCGTCCGAGTCCGAGGCCATTTCCGAATCCGGCTCATCGCTATCGTCCTCGTCATCTCCTTCTCTATGGTCTCCCTCTCCCTTTTCACCGGCCTTCTTCGCGTGTTGAGCCCCGGTGTCATGGTTGCCACCGCCAAACTTGGCCGCTCTGAGTTGGGTCTGCTGCTCCTCGTATTCTTCTTCATTTGCCGTGCTCTTCTCCATCAGGATCTTAACCATCTCCGCCTTGCCTCCCTCGGCGGCCAGATGCAATGCCGTGCGTCCATCCGCTAACCGTGCCGTGATGCGCGCGCCGCCGTCAACAAGGCAGCGCACAACCTCGGGCGTAGAGCTCATGACGGCAAGATGTAATGGCGAACGGCCTGTGTAGTCGCGCTTGTTGGGGTTCGCGTCCTCCTGCGCAAGCCAACTCTTGACGTCTTCAACGTCTCCGTCGATGATGCTATGGCACAGCCGCGCCGTGTTGCCAATGTAGGCCATGTCGGTCCAGTCGTCATCGGTCAGGGGGTTGAACGACCCGATCTGCTGGCGCCCAGGGTTGTCGATCAGGAACAACACCTTGCCCGAGATGTAGATCTCGGCCTCCTTCTCAGCCGCCTCCTTCTCCTCGGGCGTCACCGGGGCTGGGCAGGAACCGCAGCAGTCCTCAATGACGTCCTCAACGCGTCCAAAAAAGGCCGGGTGGCGATGAAGGTAGACCTCGCGCTCCTTGGGCTGGTTCCACTCAGCATTGAGGAGCAGGTCGCGTGTGTAGCATAGCTTCTCGATCTTCTTGGCGTGGAACTTCTCGCCGTAGGGCACTGTGAAGGTGTGGTAGTTGGAAACATCACCTTCGTCGACCCAGTCGGCCACCTCGTCCTCATAGTGATCCTTGATATTGCCACCGAGACGTCCGTAGTAGGCCGTGCTCTGGAAGGTGGGCCGGCCGCGCTCCTGGCGCCGCTTATTCATGTAGGTTTCGCGGGCCGACGATGTGGGCAGACGTTCGAGGACGAGCAGGCGGGCAAGTCCAAGCGTGCGTTGGAAAGACCTCTCAAAGATTGTGGGATCGATACGGCTGCGCTCGAGATCCGGCCAGTAGACCTCAAAATTGCGGTGGCTGTACTTGGACAGCCGGTTCTCATATGAAGGGCTGCGGCGACTGAGGTCGATGTGGTTGATCTGCGTGATGTAGCTGCCGAGGGCACGGGGAGTGACATAAACCTGTTTGCCATCGTAGGCGCCACCAGCGGCGTCAATGTCGAAGCCGGTCAGGATCTCGCCAACGGACTTGTAGACGCGCAAGACAATCTATAGTCTCGGGAGTCAGAGTTATCTTCACAGCCAGGGTTGAATGGGTTGAGGAATGAAGGTGAAAGGATGGCATGCCTGAACATGGCGAGTAGGGTACTGCGAGACAATGGTGATGGCGTATTTGGTACGAACGACAGTGACCTCAGTCAGGATGGCATCGCGAATCGCTCGCTCAATCTCTTTGATCTTGTCAATTGCCTCGTCGTGCGTCAAGCCGTAGAGAAACAAGTCAACGTCCGAGGCGGGGCAGAACTTCTCATGGTAGTATTCCCGCAACTTGCGCTTGGTGGTGTTGAACTCGGCTGGGACGGGCACAAGGCAGTTGACGACAGAAGAACCGGCAGCCACGACGTTGTCCCAATTGAGGTCAGCGAGAGAAGACTCTGAAAAAATTGCGAAATTCTTCTTGAACTCTTTGATAGAGCCCACGACTGCAGGCGAGCCATGAGGACGGCGCTTGTCTGCCGGGAGGGGCATGATGTAACAACTCTTTTCCTCGTCGGTCTCATGCTCGAGGTCGCGGGCACGCGTGGTGATGAGCTTGGTGTTTTGGTTGAACAGGGGAAGAACATTGAGATGGGGGTCCTCGAGGGCGGGATTGGCACGGTCTTGGGCGAAGACGGTGCGGAGCTCGGCCTCGTACTGGCGGAAGGGTTTCAAGATGTCCGACATGGAGACCTCTGGATGGGCAGCAATGTACCCGGCCAGGTCCTTGGGGGGGACCGGCAAGTCCTGCATCTTGGGCATGGTCATGTTTGAGGTTGGCGGCGGTGAGGTGAGCGGGGAATTGTGATACAATGAGATTGACGGTAGAGAAGAACTGGGCAGTTGAACTGAGCAGCACTAATTAACTGGACAGAAAAAATCAAGGGACGGAAAGGCTGCTGGTCCAAGAAGTTGACAGCTCAGGAAAATTGATCGTCGAGTTGTTTTATATTTAATTGTGCGCTCTCCTGACCGACATTTCCCCCGCCAACGCGCTTGCCTCCTATTAGAATTAGTCTTGGCATCGTGGCGACGAAAACAGGCAGACGACGCGCTACAAGGTTGGAAACCGCGTTTTGGCAGCGCGCCTGCCTGCAAGCGTGGGTCCGTTCAACACGAAGGCATGTGACTTTCTCCATCTCGAAAATGCCCTGCCGCTGGCTGCCTGTCGATGCCACATCGTAAAGGCTGTGAGTCAGACCAAGCCAGGCAATTGCTCAGCCCCAAACTTTTTCATCAAAATGCTGTGGGGGAATTAGCGCCAGGGTGCCAAGGCCGGTGCCTGATCGAGCATCGCAGGTTTGCTGCTAGCGAATCAGACGAGGGCCACGAGGCTCGGATTTTTCTGGGGCAGTAGGCTAGCCCAAATTAGGCTTAGACATACAGCCACCTGGGCCTCGACATGCCCCATTCCCATTGGTGCCCGGCCATTGACTTGAAAGTCGAAAATGTCACCCGTGACAACCAAATTGGACCATCACATCGAGTCAAAGACAAGAGGCCATGGAGGATGAAAAGTCAAGCCAGGGGCAAGATGCCATTTCCCAAAACATTTGCGCATTGATGAAAGAATAAATTCGACTAAATACAGGTAATTAGTTGCTAGACACCGCCGACGCGACCAACGAGATCTCGGACGCGTAGTTGCAGGACTGCGACCCGCTGCCGTTTTTGATCTCGCCCAGCTCGTAAACACAAGGCACCGGCTCCCCGGTCTCCCGGGGATGGCCACCACGCTGAATGCGAAGTCGGTGTAGCAGTGGGGGCAGCTTTGCCTGTTTGTTATAAGTGCAAAGTTGATGGGTTAGCCTGGTAAATAACTGGTTTCTGTCTCTTTGGTTCGTCTGGTAGTTGGGTATTGACGTAAGGGAGACAACGAACGACATGTGAATACTTACACAGCACCAAATTGCGTACTGTGCAAATAACGACATCCAACCTGGTGGAAAAGCGCGCACTGGAGCCGCTCATGCATCTTGGACTGCCCGCCCGGTAGGCGCTTAGTGTAGCCCTCCATGGCCGCGACAGAGACCGAGAATGACGCTATCTGGTCCTCGGTCGGCGGTAATGAAGTCGGCCATGTACGGGATCAGGAATGGATACTCCTGGCCCATCTGCAGTGGCGGCAGATGGAGTCGGCATGCACGAGGGTGTGACCAATCTCGTAGAGTGTCCGCAGCGTTGCCGTGTTTCCGGGCGCCATTAATGGTATCAAGATGTCTTGCCGCTTCATTGTCAAACGGCTTCTCCTGACGTCGGTGATCGTTCCGACACCGCGTTCATCCACACCCTTTAGCGATGATGGGTGCGCCAACCTTGAACCGCGTGTCCGAAAATCCACGCCCCGATGCCAGGCTGAAGGGCCTCACTAGTCCGGCGGCTATTTTCCGCAAGAGTTTAGAGATATCGGCCCTATTTTCTTGCCTCCGTAAGATTTCGCATATATCCTTGGACTTTGGGAGGGTGTATTTGCTCGAAGGCGGCGGCACCAGCACAAGCGGCTGATAGTCACCCGGCTGAGAGTCGTGAGTCCTAGGGCTGTGTTTGCGACCAGACTTAGGTTCAGCAGTGCGGGGAGTGGGCCTTGAGCTTGGCGAAGAACAGGGCGGCACTCCCGCTCTCCCGTTGGGGTCGAGCGATGACTGTTTGTTGCCCATTCTCGATATTGCACCAACGGCGCAAAAGAAACATGGCGAAGTAGTCGAGGGCGATTATGGGACGAGCGAAGGGGAAATTCTTTACCGACCAGCGTCCGTCGCGTCTCATGGACTCAAGGTCCCCAGCCTGGATTTCTCAGCCGGGATTTCTCGGCAGGGAATTTTCAAAACGTTCACAAGACCAAGAGGGGAAGCTTGTTAGACCTTGTGGCGCCAATTTGTCAGTTTGCCCTGTTAAATTATAGTTATACGCGCGGAGACGCCGACGCCGATGCCAAGATCAAGCTTTGTAATTGTTACCGTGTATCTAGTCGGGAAAGAGGTTGTCTTTAGACGTCCAGCATTCTCTCACCAACTCAGTTTGGGTTGGTTTTTGTGATTTTCTGGCCGAGATAGAAATTGGGGAGATATTGAGTGTACGAAGGCTGGGGCAAACAGAAAGGGCCACCCTCCACAGTAGCCAAGTTTTAAACTCCCACAGCATAAATAGCCCTGAAGACCTTTATCTCCTTGCGCTATGAAAGACTGGCTTGTTGGCTAGGCAGCTGGCGTGCAAGGCTTAACCAATTCTAGAATGTGACGTCCTAAATCTTTCACTGGTGAGGGCGACCCTTTCTTATCGCCCAAGCCTTCGTGTTATGGAGCGGCAATTTGAAGATGGCCAGAAGACCTTTGGCCGGGTTTCTCAAAATATCAAGAGGAAAAAACTTCTGAACGCTGGTGCGGAAGTGAGAAGTTCTAAATTTAAAGGACAACGGGTAGTTATTCTAAATGTAAGCCAAGGTTCTACCTACTTTCGAGGCAGGTGATAGCCTCCGGTACGCCTTACCCTGAAGGTCTCCAGGTCGCCGGGTATTGCAGGCAACCAGCCAATTAAAGGCTAGTAGGTCACTAGAGCTGTTGGTTGTCAATTAACCAAGCTGGACCAATAATGTCTTGGACTCAAACAAAGCGACCAAGCAACAACCCAGCTGTTTCAGCAGTAGCGTGGCTCAGCAGCGGAGTTTGTCTGGGACACGTACCCGCGTGCGCCCAGGAATACAGTGGCGCTGTTGTCACAAGCGGGTCTCCACGAAGACTCGAAATTCAAAAGCACGAACAGTCTCCACGCCGTGGAGACCATGGAGAAGGATAACGCAAGCAATATTCAACAAACAAGCATCCAAGCAGCCCGGTTAGCTCAGTTTGGTTAGCAGCGCCGTACTAATACCGTCGAAAGATAGTATCTGGTTATGCGAACGTCAACAGTTCAATCCCGTTACTGAGCAAGCAAGTTTCTTCTTTTTGCTTTGGTCGTCGATAGATTGCCCCCTTTTTTGTCTTTGCGTTTTATGCGGGATCAGCCTTGATGTATGTTGCGATGGCGGAGAGTACCCATGTAAAAATGTTGCTTTGATATGCTGCCCAGTTCTCATGATGAGTTCAAGTTCCTTGCGTATGGGTCTGTGTCGCATCGTTATGGTCCGCTAATTATTTGACAGGTTTGTCGAGGCGGACGACATGGCCGCCGATTACCTACCTAAAGGTAGGCAGGGGGAGAACCACACTGGTCGACGCCCAGAAGGCTGAGGGTCGCACAGGGGTGCGGGGTTTGCAACTTATCGCGGTTCCTACAGCATTGCGTGCTCCCGGTATTACGGGCCTGGCCTGGTGTGACGTCTTCACCGCGGTGGGTTTGGTGTTGAGGCCACGAGCCCGAGTGGCCGCCGAGCGAGACTGACTTCACCCCTTGAAACCGTGGACCAATTGCGGCTCGCAGTGTGACCAGTCACACATGGAAGAAGATTGCGTGACCCAAACGGCGCGGTGGTGTAGGCAGCTGGAGATCAGAACGGCCGTGACGTGATTAGCTGGTCGGCCGTGTCCTGGGCGAATCGAAAGCTGGGCGACTCCTTGTTCCCGTGTCACTCTTCTTCCAGACTCCGATCGGCAGATAGGCACCCCCTGGCGCATTTTAAATCAGACACGTAGCCCGCCGGTAGGAGACAAGCAAGACATGGGCCTCGGGAAGCGGCATTGGCGTGATCATTCCTGTGCGACGGCGACGGGAGAAGCCCGGACAGCCTGGGCAGCCTAGGCAGTTGACGGTTGGGGTGTGAAACGGCCGAGTGAAGCGCGGGCTGATTCCAGCACATGGTTCTACCCATCAACTTGTAGGAACCCTACAGCCAGGTGTGACAGCGCCCCGGCAGATTATTTGGAATTTGCAGATGATTTGGAATATTCGCGCTCGACGAGTCGAGCGTCACCTCGCAATCCCGCCCGTTCTGGCACTGGACGCTGCACAACCCCGGTCGGCCCCAGCCCTGTCTCTTTAGACACACAGCGTCGAGCGGCGACGAGACAGGTTTGGAATCATCTACAGGATGCTGGCAGCCGATGACCGTCGGCGAAGCAGAGACAGGCTATGGGCCCATCATGGCGTCTTGTCAAACTTGTCAGGTAGCTCAACTTCACGGTAAGCGTCACGCAGTGAGCCTGTGGGATACAATTGCGTGCTACGGCCGCATAGATAAGGTAGGTAGCCAGAGACTGCAACTGTCCTGGAAACGGAGATACAGCGGGGAGCGGGGAGTGGGCCCAGACTCCCAGAATGGATGGGAGGCGGCGGGAGCTTCCAGAAAGGGAAGTCTGGACTCTGGCTCTGGAGTTTGGAGTTCGGACGGTGAGGTGACAGTGGGGAAGCGCGCAAACTCCCGTCCCCGCCTACTGCATACTGTACTGCACTAACCTGGAAAACCAGTGGAGCGTTACACGGGGGGCCGGCCTGTCTGTCCCTACCTGCATCTTGTGTCTGCGAATCTGTTTAAAGAAGAAAATTCGAATGGGCTTCGCCCGGGCATCCGAGCCTCAGGTCAGTGGCATAGCTGCTGTACCTTGATAGCTACGACAAAAAACTATCCTTGATGGATGTCGGGCCTAGACTGCAGACAAAAGGCCCAAAACGGCAGCGACGTCTCGCGATCCTAGTCCTCAGGCTTCAAGGTTTACGCAAGTGGAGAGGTTCTCCCCCAACAATTGGAACCCTTGTGTCGTCAGACTGTGCCTGCCTGCCTGCCTACCTACTTGCCTGGTCGGCCGAGACCAGTCGTCGCTTTCATGATTTCGCTCCATCCCCAGTTCGAATTCGCCCATCCTGGCCGGTGCTGCAGTTCTGTCCCTGGAGACGGGGAGGTAGCCAGATATTGGGAGGCGCGAGCGAGTGATCCTTCCATTTCAGATGGGGAGATGAGCTCGCCACCGCCGCCACAGACACTCCTTAGCGGGGCGATTACATTTTTTCCGCCTCTTACCGAATACAATCTCGTGTCGGTGGATAGCCGTTCCCCACTAACGACTCCTACGCACCCTATCCATGGAGTCCTCCACGACGCCCATGAGGTCGGTGACGGCGACGACAGCTCCGCCCACGACCACGACCACAACCGCAAGGGCCATGAATCAGACGGCTCTAGTGAGTCCTCGCCCCCGCGGTGTCTGATCCCCAACAGCTCTGCCGACTGGGAAGCCAGAAAGAGCATCATCAAGGAGTACTACATGGATCAGAATCTTATTCTCAACGACGTCATCAACATCATGCAGGAGCAGCACAGGTTCAAAGCCACGTATGTCACTGCATTGCTTTGCTTCTGCGGCGCCGCATTCTCGTCAGCATTCGCTAACGGCGCGCCCCAGTGCGAGAATGTACAAGGGCCAGTTCGCCAAGTGGAAGTGGACCAAGTACAACAAGTCGGGGAAGCCCGGCGCCACAAAGCCGCCGTGCTCGAGGACAGCACGGAGAAAGGGGGTGATGGCTCGGTCCGAGAGCCGCGACGTTGAACGCGCCCCCCGGGACTGCCGCCCGCCCAAGCAATACCTCACCACCCAAGAATACCTCCCGTGCCAGGAATACCACTCGTCGACATCCCCCAGCCTACTTCCGTTGCTGTATCAAAACGATGAAGCATTCCAGCTAGAGGTAGCTTTGAGCGCCTACAGTGCCTACATCTCTGCATGGTGCCAGCGGAAGACGCCGTGGAGGACCGAGTCCTACCCTAGCGGGGCCGCAGCCCGGAAGGTCTCGATTTTGCAGCAGTTCAACATCGCCTCCAATCACTTCAACTCTGGTCGGCCCGAAAAGGGGGGAAATGCCCTGCGGCAGGCCTTTCGAAAGGTCGAAGATGCCGTGGCAAACGAGCTCGATGTCGAGGCCATCTGGGACTGCTGTCTCGCTGTGCCACAGCTCGCTCTAAGCAGAGGCTGGGCGGACATCTTGGTCATGTTTACCGAATACCTCTACGAAATAGCGAGCGTGAAGAAGCCGGGACACCCCATCACCCAGGTTGCAATGAATATCTACAGGCTCGCCAGGCAGTCCGACAAGTGTGCGCTGCAGTCTTACATCGCACACGGCTGGCGGCTCTGGGTCAACCTCGTCACTCAACTTCGAGGGAGCCAGGACTACGTGACAATCCACCTGAAGCGTGGCTACGTGATCCTCATGAATCCCGAAATGTCGATCGTGGCCACGTTGCTCGAGGACTTCGAGGGGTCGGTGCGAAGCTCGCTGGCCACGGAGGGCGAGGTGAGCACGACGAACCGGATCCTCGAGCTCGAGCAGCTGCTGGTGCGCATGTACATCCCGCTGTTCTCGGCCGAGTCGACCATGCGGGCCCGCGTCATGCTGTCGGGGGTCGTACAGCGGCTTAGGGACAAGCACGGTAACAAGAACGTGCCGCAGCCGTGCTGGGACTATGTGGACCGGTACGAGTTCTTTAGCGCCCACCACTTCCTCGCATCCATCGAAGACCACATGGGCGAGCACGAGAAGGCGGCCGACTACCGCCGTAGGAGCCTCGAGTCTCCCAAGGACCGTTTCTGGTACCAGACGGCCCAGCGGCTGTGCGACTACCTACAGTCGCAACCCCAGTCTCTGGACCGTGCCGAGGAGGCTGAGACAATCTTGCGGCAAACTCGAGAACTGACGTGGTTGGCGGATTAGGGAGCAACATGGCAAAGTCTGGTGGTCTAGTCCGATGCTGGCTAGGGATGATGTTACGATACGACGGCGGCCCGGGGAGGTATTTTGGGTTTAATTTGACGACGCTTGGGTTTAGAACAGAACCATTACTGTAATGTTTGTGAATACCTATTGGCTTTTACTGGGCATGGATTTGGGGTGGCATTTGTCCCTTGGTGTTTCTGATCTTTCAACGTTGTAGGGGTTTCCAGGGGCAATAAAACCAGGAAAATGGGTGGGCTATGGCGGCTGCCAGCTTTGGATAGCTTGCGCCCTACAAAACTAATATTTATCTCTGTCTCGTTATCGGAATTTATACGTGTCTGGAGTTGCAGTTATTCTCCAAGATGTCCAGCAAATCTAAATCACTCTAGAACTTCCAAAATGATACTATCTACTTAGCCCTCGCCGTTAACCCTATCAATCCCGTCTTCCTTGAAAATATCACCTCATTTAATGAACTTTTTTACATCAAGTTCAGTAAATTGTAAACTTTTAATCAAATTCACCAACGCGCCCTGATTAATGACAGATCGAAGCAGAACTTAACGACTAATTAATTAGGCTCCTGAGAGCATGTCATAGTACCATTGCCAGAATTAGTATATGTCAGAAATCCAACAAAATAGCTTGTATGTCGTCACTGCAAAGGTCTCCAGCCGCGGATTATGGTACCTCCTGAATATTTTATACATTTCTTTGGCTATCACCGAACCTCGAACGAGTCGGCTAGAGCGAGAGGAGTGAAATTATATGGCCAATGCCCTCAGGCTCTGCCTCTAGAACCCGACTCATGATGCGATGAGCTCCTAAAACAACAGGGCAGCATCAATACAAATCTGAACTGGTACGCCCCGCTACCTCACTCTAGCCGAATGGCTCGCCACTCTGTACTCCACCGCATAAGGGGCGTAGGAAACAGCCATTACATGACCCCAAAACCGACAACAAGAGTTTCCATTTCCTCCTTCGGAGCTGAGTAGTTGCCGCCTTAAGCTGAGCCAGGCTGAGCGAGAGGTCATTTTTTGGGCTACCCCGGTTATACTTACCGTGGTTTGAAAATGGCATTCTGAGCCCAATTTCGGGACACTGGCGCCCCGCCACCTGGCCACCCTGTCTCTTTTTTCCCACCCTACCGGAGTAAACGATTCCCGGCTTACCTAGAAATGAATTGGAAGGATGGAAAGGATGGCGCAGCCATAGTTGCCTGGTGTAAATCTATGCCGAACAAGCTTGTGAATACGAGGATGAGTTCTTCATTAGAGAGTAGAGCAGGTGCTACAGCAGCTGCCTATTGAGGGGCAAGAGAACCAAACGCCGATCTAATAACGCGTATGAAGGATACCTAGACAGACATATAACGCTCTCGTGATTTCGGCTAATCAGTAGCAAAGAGCCGTGACAGGGGTCTTACAAGCTAAAGACATTAAGATGGCATATAGGCAACCGTGCTAAGCCCCTAAAGACTTCAACTTCCTAGGCATGCGAGATTAAAGGTTCCATAAGAGGGGCTGCCTTATTCGTAGATCCGCTCGTACAGTCCTACCCGTCGGGCAATCCCCTTAGAACTATCTTTTATCTGCCTCAATGCTCAAAAGCGAGGCAATCCGGGGAGACAATCGAGCGTGACGCTAGGTAATACAAGGAATTAGTCTACCTTGAGGCTAGAAGAATTTGCGGGCACTACGGAGATTTACTATCTTCGAGAAATAATTAGGCCGCGTAAGAGGTTAACTGATTTCATTAAGGTAGCTCCTCTTCGAGAGTGTAAGAGAAGGCAGGTACGCCTGATCAAGGTGGTCACAATGGGAGCAACAAGCAGGGCGAGCAATGACTAGTATTGGCGTAAGACTTCAACCTGGCCTGAGCTAAAGAGGTGTGCGAAGGCCATGGTCTATATACACGTGAAAGGGGTTACGAGTCATCCTTGCGTGGCCAAGGTGGTAGTGGCGATAGTGCGTGGCCCTGTTAGCGGTGGCGATAGTGGCGATGGTGGCGAGGGTGGTCCTGGTGGCGGTGGCCATGGTGGCTACGAGGGTGGTTTCCTTACAGAGAGGTCAAAACGAAAATAATACTTCGAGGATCGGGTGAACTGAAAGTAGTGACCTATCGCGAGGAGCTGAATTTCGTAGTTTTAGGGAAATTCGCCTACTCTCCTTAAGGCTGGCCCTAGGAGCCCAATATATTATATTAGTCCGTCGTCCTTAAATCTAACTTATATCGATCTATAGTCCGTTGCTGCTGTGTAATGGTCAATAAATTATAGTTAATACGTAACTGGTCACCGTATTGCTTTATTTTCTTCTTTTACTTCTCACTAGGATCTACTCCCGCTTACTTCCCCCACTCCTTTCTCGCCGTTCCCTCCCCTGGGGCCCCTCTCTGCTGTAAGGAAAGGACAACCCGAACACCAGCCGCGCGCACAGGGTGCGCGCTCACCACCTGTTACCAACTGGCCGGAACACTGCCAGTTGGCACAAGCCATTACGCCACGCCATGGCGCCCCGGGCCTGAGCCCCTGAGCACGTATATAAACAGTGGCCCTCGCCCACCTTCCTTTGCGAGGGCCAGGTTGAAGTCTCACATCAATACTACTCATTGCTCGCCCACCTTCTTACCTGCATTGTGACCACCTTGATCCGGCGTACCTGCCTTCTCTTAGATCTGCCTCCTGTTCCTCTCTCCCCTTCTCTCCTCGCCCTCTATTCCTGCTCTTACTCTACTTATTATTACTATAGGTAAATTAAGATTATGTCTAACTCCCGCACGCCTGACGTACCATTATAGCCTTAGGCCGCGGATTCTTATGGCGGTCGGATTAGGCGGACGTTGAGCGTTAACGCTCACCATTACGTAGTGTTACGAATCCTTGTTGAAATGCGCAATAGTGGGGCACGCTCAGTTTGGTGTGGACCAATCAGGAGCGTGCCATGGAAGGAACCAATTAGGAGTGTCCCTGGGTCCTGAGGTTCGGGACCACTTAAGGTCGGGAACGCGGGACAGTGGGACCATTGTTATTGGTTACACTGTTAGATATATACGATGACCGTACCCACCGTCTTAGATAGTTCTTGCTTGATTCTTCAAGCAAGCAATACACATTCACCGCACTCATACACTTTGAGTGGCATTCCAATTTGACTGTATTACCCGTGGGATAGGAGCTTGCCCTTTGTTCTATCTTCATAATTACCAACCCCAGCATTCTGTGGAGCCCGTGCTCCCTTACAGACAGACGACCCTAACAGTCGAGTGGTTTGTAATAATATGCGGTTAGCTCCGTATAAAATGCTATCGTAGTTTCTTGATTAAAAGAACCTTTGGGGGCTATACTACGCACCTATGAAGAGCCCAAACGGGTGACGGGCTTTTCTCTTTACGAAATTGCCTTCCCGTAAACACGGATATTCAAAGTCGCTTTGCCGAACCGCGCGTACCACCTTGCGCCCATGCACCAACTGCTATACAACTATTAGAACTACTCAGGAACTAGGGCGAGGTGCAGCTATAGTAACTTAGAGGAATCTAGCCTACATATTGTCCTTGCATCGACTCTCCATTGAGAAAGCAGGTACCATTTCATGATTCCTCACTATGTACCAGCGTTAATTAGACTTATATCTATGAATATGGGTGGATTTGTCGCTGCTAAGAACTACGCAGGCGACACTGCGAGTGGTATATAACACAGTTATATCGCTATAGAGCCGGACGGTCGATGCCGTATAGCTTGGTTTCTGAGGATAATGAAGGAGAACGAGTAAGGTTTGAATTTGGTAAGTAAAGACTATAATGTTTTCGGCAATCGCACCGCCCGTAAACTCGATACGTTATGTTCCATAATGAAGAGTGGCAGCGCCATGGGAGGGGAGCTTGCGATCGACGGGTTGTGTTATTTTGAGACGTGTTGCTAATATATGGACTTGGCCATTTGGAACCCAGGGGTAAACACTGACCTCTAAGTTCTTATACGTCTATTCGTTCATATGTCTTATATATCCTCTTCTGGTCCTGGACTGGCAGGACGAGGCGGCACTGTCCTATCATTGCGCGTATCGGCCCAATCGGCCACCGCCTCCCTCGATTTGCTCCTGCCTACGCCTTTCTGCGGAAAATATCAGCATCTATACCGAATCACGCTTTGGCGACTCTCGCTCAACTTTATGCTTAATTATAAAGGGGAATAATAACTTACTTCGCAGTTCCACCGTCGCCGTAGTATAGGCCTGGATCTCCTCTTTACTTAAAACGCGCAACATAATGACAAGGTCGTCGCGGACCTCAAAGCGCTCCTTCCCGATTATTAACGCTTCTAGGTTGACAAATCTGCGGTTTATCTTAGTCCATCGGGCCTCCGTAGGAACGTCTTTCTTTATCTTATCATCCTTATGAGGAGTAACGCCTGGTCGGGTTGGGTTGGGGCCCTCTGGAAATTTTGGCGTCGGCTTTTTGAGAATACCTTTGATGGGCTTCTTTACTTCACCGTCGCGCTTGGGTGGCATGACGATTTCACGGTATGGATTTGGCCGCCCCAGGCTCCGGTCTCTATTTTAGTCGCTCTCGATGTCATCATCTCCGCCGCTAGAGAGAACATCAGAGTGGCCGTGGTAGTCCTGACGCTCAGGCTCAGAGAGACGTATACGGCTTCCGGTATCGTAATTCTTGCGACCACGACGCCTCCAGCCATCAAACTCGGAGTAGGTGCTTGGCCGCTCCTCTAGGCGTGCTGGAGTCCCATCGGCGCTTTCGTTGTCCCAATCTCGGCGAGGGCCAGAGCTGCCAGGCCGCGGTCCCCGCGTTCTTTGTGGACGTGCAGAGTCTAAATCGTATCTTGCCAACTCCGATGGCCTTGTGTACTCATAGTTATCGACATCGCCCTTGTTGGTGTTTTCGGAGCCCTGTTGTGGCATGGCTGAGTTAGACCCCTTTGGTATTAAGCGAGGCGATATTGGAGATCCTGTCTCTTGTGTTGGCTGCTCGAAACAACCCCTCCTTTGTTTTGGCAGCAGAGCCTCGCGACCTGATTGCTCAAAGTGCGAGCTGAAAACTACGTTCTATACTGGTTACGGATGGGCAACATAATGTCGGTGGGCTGTACCTATGACTCATCAGATGGCAGCCCCTATCCACATGATGGATTCCTCTTTGGCATCGTTGCCTGGGTCTTTTTGGGGGGACACACACGCACTACGTCTTCATTTATTTCTTCCTCTCTTCTTAGTAGAAGTCTGTAGGCGCCAGCGCAAATGTACTGCTGCAGTAATGTATTATATTTCACTAAGTTACCATGTGCATTTCTCTTTCCCTTTTACTCGTCCTTTATATCAAGTATTGAATCACTTGATAATTACCTCTGACAAAACCTACCTGCCGCTCCCATAGTGCCATGCTTCTGGTCCTTCTCCTGCTGCTGCTTGTGGTGGTAGCACATGTTCCACATTTGTAGATGGACATATCTCTTGATCTTACGACATGTCAGTACCTTATCTAACTTCAATTGATACTATCATGGACAACCTGCGATTTCATGAGCTTCAACACTTGTGTTAAATTTAACTTGAACTGATTCTGTGAAACACCATCTGCACAGTTTCGCCTGGTCGCTGACGCCGCCGATGATGCAGCCCAAGGACAAGGTCGACATCACGACGGAACGGCCGGCACTGCGCGGCCATTGTCAACCACAGGAGTCTGGAGCTGCTGGAGGGTCTGACCGGGTATGTGCAAGAGGCGTGACAGGCAGGGAAGGATTCTTGGGTGGTACTCTGCATACTACTCCGTAGTGCCAGTAGGATTACGCTATAGTAGTAGTTCCAAGTAGGATAGGAAGCCAACGTCAATACCGCGGCGTACTCCGCTTGAACACCCGCATATTTGTTCATGAAGTCGAAAACGTTCCCCCCCCTCCCCCCGCTAGAGAGTTAACTGAGCAAAGCACTGCTGGCAGTGAGTGTGGTAGGTTCCGCTTCTGTCAGTGTGTGACATAGTTCCAATTTCTTGGGATCGCCAAAGTGTTTATGGTTCCCAAATGTCTCAACTCTCACTCTCATCGCCACCCCTGTTTTTTCGGTCGTGGGGATGCTTTTTGAACATTTTGTCGTGTAATTTGTGCAACTATCGCCACCTCCTGCCACTACGGTAACCCACAACATTAATGCGTACCCCGTCAAGATTGAAGGGAGCCCGTTGTTGGTGATCACGCGAGGATCGGTCCGCTTTTAGCAAGATCCCGATGCGTAAAGTTGAGTTGTTAGCCGGCGGGATGGTACTATACTAGTGTATTCTATATGTGTAAGGGGTCGCTGACAAGCATCCCCCTGGGCTCTGCGAGTTTTCACTAATAAGACACAAGCTCCGCCGCGCCGAGCTAGCCATTTAGTGCTAACGAAAATGCGTCACGGACACAAGGGTGGCAAGTTACGGCTCATGGGGGGCCATAGGGTCAGCTAGGCATTCGGGGGTTTACGTTAGTGTTTGTCAAACCACACTGCCTTTTTACACTCATCATTTGGATCACGAGAAGGGCATTGGGTACTGGATAATCAGTACCGTGTGGTTGGTAGTTGGCTGATGGGTTTGCATCCTGTTGGAGCTGAGATGTCTTTACCCAACCAGGCGACGTTCTCCCCCAGCCCCCGAGAAAAACCTCTCGAGTCTAGTCTTGAGTCTATCAACACATGACAACCACTCTTGCTCCCCTTCTCTCTATGTAGTCTAAAGCAGCACGCAGTTCAGTATCCACCAAGTAATGACATGTAAAACGACGTGTCTATAGTTCGCTCAAGAACCCCAGTCTTTTTCTCAAATACGCACGCCCATTCACACATTCCCCTCGACGCACTTCCTAATAAAGCCCACAAGCGGCATGACCCACTCCTTGCTGATGGGCACGTAGTGGCCGCCGGGGTGGACGATAACGAGGGGGTCCTGGCAGCGGTCGACGAGGGCCTGGCTGCGGGTCTCGTCGACGACCGTGTCGAGGCTGCCGATGAAGTGCAGCGTGGGCGTGGCGATCTTGGCCGGCTCGTACAGCCAGCGCAGGTCCTCGGGCGGCGCGTAGAAGCCCGAATACACTACGGCGAACTTGAGCGGCCGCCGGCTGTTGGCCCGCCGCACCGCCGACACCCATGCCGCGTGCTCGGGCGGCGGCGGCCGTAGTCCCTGCCCCATAGTCTCGATCTCCATCGCTGCCGCGAGCATCGCCGCCATGCTTCCGCCCTGGCTGAACCCGACTACACCGTCAATGACGGGCTCATCGCTCTCCTCACCCGGCTGCTGCTGCTGCTGCTGCTGCGCTTCCGACTCACCCGCTGTCGCTGTCGCAGGCGGCGGCGCGTTTGCCTCGGCCATGACGGCAGCGAGGTGGTCCATGCCGCGGTCGAGCAGGCGATACGAGCCGCTGGCGTCGTCCTTGCGGAACCAGGCCCAGGCGTTCATGGCATCATCGTCACCGTCTACGGCAGCGGCAGAGCTGGGCTCGTACCCGGGGATGTCGCGCGGCGACAGCCGGATAGGCCCCGTGGGGTACAGCAGGGCGGGGACGAGATTCAGGGGCGCGAGGGCCTTTGCCAGCATCTTCTCGAGCGCGCGCGTCTTGGCGCGGAACAGCGCGCCCGACTGTGTGTAGCCTAGGCCCCGCCGTTCATCAGCGGTGCCGTTTTGTTGTGTCATATTGTGTCATGTCATGATGCATGCAGGAGTGCTGTGTATCCGCATGTCCGGACGAAGTTCCGCTGTGGGAGAGGTGAGACGAGACATGAGCAACTAACCATGCAGCATCAATATCCTAACCTCCTTCTTGCTCGGCTTAATACTGCTGCCGCCGCCATTGCTCTTCTGGTGCTTTGAGGCGAGTGGCGGTTGCTTCGCTTCGGCGGCTGTCCTCTGCAGTGGCGCAGTTGGAGCTTGGCCATCGTCACCCATTGCGACACCTGTGGTAAGCCAAACTCTGCTGAGATGAGAAATGTGCGTCTTTTGGCTGTTGGAGAAAGATTCCCCCGCTGCTGTTGTGAGGCTACGCAGCATGAGCTCATGGACTGTATAGGCGTGGTTTGCGATGTTGTTGCCCCTTGAGTGATGACCGGAGTGTTTTCGGCTTTCGGGGGACCTTGGGCTCGGAAAGCTTAGCAATCTGAGAGCAATTCTGGGCCTCAAGCTCGGATTGCGGGGCTCAACATACATCCACCCGATCAAGAAACCTGCAGCCATTATAGGGGAACAAACTGAGCAAAAGCCAGGACAAGAGGACAGAGCCAGTGGCAAAAACATCTCTGTATTTTTTAATATGGCATATTTTACGGAAAATCACGAAAGAGGCAGAGACGGGCGATGGCAGTGCAACACCAACGACACCCAACACCCAACGGCCCCTCACAAAGTAATGTGTATCGATACAACAAAGATAGCTATTAAGATGGAATGTAACCTCTACTGATTCCCAACATATCGAGGAGAATCAAGACGATCTCTCAATGCGGGCGCCCAGCAACGTGTTAAATATTTAATCTATGCCAGTGCGAAAACATCCACATCAATTGAGAAAATGATTGTGAATGTCGATTTTAACACGTTGAAAATCAACATGTTAACTGGCAAGTGAGCAAAGTGCTATCCCTCGGATCGGTCGGGAAAGGGAGGAAGGGAGGAATGGGGTAGGAGCTGTCACTGTATTGATTGCAATATTGGTGCCAAAAGGAGACACTAACGTGGTGAGCACATGGGATCTCGGACTCGGAAGCCAAGGGGTATCGATTCGCGGCCAAACGCATGCATGCATGTGCAGTGGACGGTCTGGTTGTTCCAATCCCCAACCCACACAAAGCCCGACCGTCCACGCCTGTCAGTGATACAAGTGCAGAGGGATCCGAGACAGCTCAATTGACGCCGGCTGCTGCTCTATGATACAATGCCGACCTCTTGGGTCAACTCTCGGGGGTGATCGTGCAAGAAAATGTTGGGCTGTTCTCGTCTCTATCATCACACCGCCACCATTTCGACACGGCTTCGTCTAATGGGCGCCCGACTTGGCCCGCGGATTTCTCGGGTCGTTCTTGAACTCGTCGGCTAATAACGAGGGGGAACCTGTCAGTACGCGGCACACGGAAGCCGACACCAAGGGATGCGTGATGCATACAGTTCATCATGGCGTTTTGCGCAGCGTTGACACCGTAGGCGATGACCAGACCTATGTCCCACATCGCGTCAGTCAGTCAACTACCCGCGACCGAGGCGAATTGGGATCATCTAGACAGGCAGCGTCGAGCCGGCGACGGCTGCATCAGGGCTCTCGGGGGCGAGACGCAGACATACCGGCAATGAAGAAGGGAGCCATGGGCCTCACTGCGCGAATTTGAATTGTCAGCACAAAGACACCACGCCAGGTGTCGCGGCAGCATCAATTGGTTGACGTACACACTGGCGTCGGGAACTTCTTGAGGGGTGTGATCCCGAGCCACGACATCTTGACGGTATCTGTGGTTGGTGACGGTGGAAGATTCGATTGGATTGGGCTGATGGAAGAGAGGTTGAGGTCATGGAAAACAGTGTTTTTCGCAAGCTCGGCTTCGGAAGCTGTTGCTTGCCGGACGGTGGAGTCGACTGTGGAAACTAGACGTGCAGTTGCGGCCTGGAACTTCAGGCAGCACGTTGGGCCCTTCAAAAACGGTTAGCGAGACCGGAGGCCGAGGCAATGTTTCTCCGGCCTACTCTAGCGACACGCCGCAGCAGAGATCGCGTTTCGCATCCGGTTTTCCATACCAAATTAAGCTTAAAATATGGAGATAATTCCTGCACCAAATCAAACATCATGACAGCCTCTACTCTAAACATGAGATGGTAAATATTGCAGCTTGAATAAGGCTGGAAGTCACTGGCAAGCCCTCACCCCCCGAAAGGTGTGCTGGAGGCTATGGCCACCCCTAGACAGGTGACATCACTCCCCGCATTTCCTCCAGGCTTGGCCAAGCGATAGGTGGTCTGAACGCTGTGGGCCGCCCCAAGGAACCTCCTGCGGAATGAGCTGCTACTGCTGAGAGCGTTGTCATTGGCACACCATCCAGCAGCATCACCTCCTCCCCATGAGCAGCTTCGTGCATCCGCAAAGCCGTTCCTTTCACGAGTGCGGGGTGAGAGAAGACTGTTCCATCGACCAATTAACCTGCATATCTCCCCTTCTTCCCTGAGTTCTCACTGCTTCTCACCCTCCTTTCGGCTCTAGAAGTAACCTCAGTTCGGGAGTACTGAGACTCGCAGCTGTCTTGCTGTGCTGTGCTGTGCCGCACCTGCCTGACTGTGCTTCCCCTCAGCTCGTGATCTTCGCAAGCTACCCCAAACGGAAATCACCTTCTGCCTCTGCCGTGCGCTTCTGCTGCACTGCCCGCACCTCGCGCTCCCTAGAACCGGCCGTGTCCGTCCAGAACACAACCACCCGGAACGAACACTCTTTGTTGTCAGTCAATTGCTTAGTCGGAACGGCACCGCCTTCTTTGGGCACCCATTCTCGCAACTTGCGAGGTTTTTTTTTTACGACCATCAAATACCTCTCCTCAATACTGCCCAAGATGCTTTCGCAACGCGTTATCCGCACCGCCGCTCGGCAAACCCCGACGATCCGTGCCTTTAGCACGTCGCTGGCGGCCCAGCAGCCAGACCCCAAGCAGCATACGCCGTCCCTCGGCGACATTGAACCAGAGCAGCACGAGGCATTCAACAGCCGGCAGAAGCAGTTCCGGGCACAGCTTGCGGAGGCACAGAAGCAGCGGGAAGCCAGTGCGTTGTTCAAGTCATCCCCTTCACCTCCGCCCTCTTCTCCCTTGGCCCGTGGCCTGGGATCGCTAAGCACAGCGGCGGGAGCAGGAAATGCCGCGCGCTCAGCTGAGACGGACCAGGCCGGGCGCAAGGCCGGGCCACTGACCAATTTGATTTACGGCACCAAGGAAGGCCGCGAGATGGACGCGCAGATCGAAGCAAGCTTTAGCCAGGTACTGGCCCGCGGCAAGTACGTCCACTCGATCGTCTTCCACGAGGTCAAACCCGAGAATATCGACGAGTACGTCGCCCTGGTGGGCGAGTGGTACCCGCGCATGGCCAGCATGCCAGAGAATAAGGTTCATCTGGTTGGGAGCTGGCGGACTGAGGTGGGCGACTGCAATACGTTTGGTGAGCTCCCTCCGAACTGCCTTACAGTATATACCTCACCATAGCCTCGCGGCAAGCTAACCCGGTTTGCCTCCTGCAGTCCACATCTGGGAATACCAACGCTACCAAGGCTACCACGCCTCGATGCACTCCATCGCGCAGCATCCCGAGTACCCCGAATTTGACCGCAAGCTGCGGGCCCTGATCACGAGCAAGAACAGCTCGCTGATGCAGGAGTTCAGCTTCTGGCCCACGACGCCGCCGCGCCAGCTGGGCGGCCTGTTCGAGCTGCGGTCGTACACGCTGCACCCGGGCAACCTGCTCGAGTGGGAGACGCACTGGCGGCGCGGGCTCAAGGCGCGGCGCGAGGTCATGGAGGGCGTCGGCGCGTGGTTTGTCCAGATTGGCGACCTCAACACGGTCCACCACCTGTGGCAGTTTGCCGACCTCGAGGAGCGCAAGATCCGCCGTGAGAAGAGCTGGGGCATAGAGGGTTGGGCCGACACGGTGCACAAGACGGTGCCCCTTATTCAGGAGATGAAGAGCCGCATCTTGATCCCCATGCCCTGGTCGCCAGTGGCTTAAAGCGTGAGTTGCCCACACTATGTGTGGCTCACCGCTGGGAAGCCTAGGACACTGAAGTGGAGTGAACTGTGGGGTTGTCGTGTGTGAAGCCTAGGATTTTAGCGGGTTTGGGATTTGGCACGTGGATTAACTTGATAACTACGACGTTGGCAGCCGGCTTTAGCACGCTTTTTTGCCTCAATTGTCCCGTTGCAAGTTGCAAGGAATTGGTATTTGTATATTTGGCAGCAGAGCAGTATATACCTCTAGCATGCAAATCTTCTGCACGGGTATCGTTTGGATATCAATTCGTGGGTGTTTATTCGTATTACATAGCGTCTGCCCGTAAAAGCCGCCAACGACGGTACTGCCGAAACACCACAGCAGAAACACCACAACAAAAACAAGTCAAACGCCGCAATGCCTGAAACAACAGATAAACCCCTTGGTATAGTACGTCCTGTCCAACTCCAGCCAGCTTGAGCAGCAGTCGTCGTAGTAGTACCTGTCGTAGTCGCCGTCGTCTTCGGCGCCGTCGAAGCCGCCACCACTGCCAAACGGCCTCGCCGGGCGGCGGCATACCACAACGGCGGCGGCGGTATTCCTGCTCCCGCCGTCATCGCCAGGACATCTCGACCGCTAGTCCTCCAGCTCCTCGCCCATGACGGCGGCGAGGTTCCGCCTCGCCACGCCGAGCGTGTGCCCTAGCGCCGTGAGCTTCGCCGACAGCGACATCAGGCTCGGGTCCGCGCTCTCGACGCGCACTTTTTCCCGCACGAACACGTCCACCTCCTTCCGGCCGGCACCGCCGAGGTCGGGACTGCTGCTATGCGTTGCTGTGGCTGGGACGGGGGCGTGCTTGCTCCCTTCGCCATCGCCGCCGCTGCTCCAGCAGCAGAAGCCAAACACGCGGTCCGACTCGTCGTGCTCAAGCCGCCGCGCCGTGCCAATCGCCAGCGCCAGCTTGGTGCCAAAGTTGACGGGCGCGTCCGCCGGCTCCAGGCTGCGCAGCCACAGCACCAGGCAGCTGTCCTGGATGCTCAGGAAGAAGCTCAGCGCCGGAGTCACTTCAGCCATGTGCGGCAGATAAGGCAGCGGGGGCGTAAAGTGCGACGCTGCCACTGACCGCGTCGTCCACGACGGGTCCGCCGACATCAGAGGCGCGCCCTTGAGCACCGCCGAGGCTTCGCTGAGCGACTGTGAGAGCAGCCGCAACTGGGCCGCAAGGAACTGCGGCGACGAGACGGGGCCGTTGTTGTTGCTGTTCTTGGCGCCGGCAGGAGGGGATGATGCCGTGTCGGAGGAAGGGTAGGGGTATGAGTACGAGAGTGTGAGATTGAGCAGGTCGATCGAGTTCGTCAGGAGCGTGTGCAGCAGTGTCAGGGGCCACAGGTGGATGGGGTGGTCTAGGCTGATGGTCAGGGTCTGGTGCGGCAGCGTGCGCATGCGGAGGTAGATGGTCTAAGAGGCAGCGAGGTGGGCGCGAGTTAGTACGAGGGTCAAGCCAGCCACCATCTGCTTTTAAGGGGGGGGGGGCAAACATGCCCCTTTCACGATGCGCGTCCCCACGCGCGTGATGTGCCCCTTGACGATCTCGTTCCTGGGCGTGCTGAGCACCAGAGTGCTCCCAGGGTCGATGGGCGCCAAGAGCGCATAGCAGTCCTCGAGGCCGTGCTTGAGGTTGGTCAGGGTTTCGTGCAGCTCTTGGACGAGCCAGTCGAGTTCCCGTTTCTGCTTCGGCGGCGGCGGCGGCGCAAGCGGAGACTCGATTAGCACCCACGATTCCAGCATATCGGCGGCCATGGCAGCTCGTTCGTCCTCTGTCGTCCCTGGGGTTGGATGGCCGCGGCCGGGAGAGATGGGGGCTGTCGACTTACCTGGGATACCTCGACGGCGGCTTTAAGCTGGTCTGGCGCAACAGGAGGCCAGATTTCTACAGACATGGTGGCTATTGTCGTTGACTCTTGCGAGCCGGGCAGGCACCCATCTTCCGGGGTGGTGCTCGAGAAATCGTGTTCAGATGGCTATTGCTTACTGTGTACTGATGGGATGAGATGGGAGAATAAACGGTGCCTGGAGATGGCTAAGGTCCGTAGTGGGTGTGGTGACGTGTAGTGATAGCTTCAGGCCGTCAGCCTCGTCTAGACTAGAAGGGGCAGGCGGTGAGATGTTCTCCAATGCTCACTAGCAAAGTTCCGAGTCTGGGGGGCAGCTGGGGGCCCACCTACCCCACCTCTGCAATCTTTTCCTGTCTCTAGCTTCCCGCGTCGGTTTGTTTCCCGAGCGACCCTAAACTAGAAGTCTGATCCAACTTAACTAAACACCACACGAATCGCTCACGACACGAGCCGCTGGCAACACTCTCAGCGGCACCGCATATCATTTTCTGATGGTGAACCCTTATCTATGAAATCGAGTCCCCTGAGGCGGCGATCACCTACCTAAAATCGGAGACACTCGTTATAGTTGTCTCTTTCGCCGTATTGCACCTGCGCGCCGACTGAGCTCCACTAAGCAACGTATTCTCGCCTAGTGACGGCATGGATACCGGCGAGGAGACGACATTATCCAACCGGCCGAATACAAAGCTGCTTCCTATTCCCAAAGGTTTGTCTCTTCCGCGCCGCACCGTACGCCCCCCACTACCCTTCCTTTGTACCACCGTGCGCCTCCCGCACCCACGCTCTCCTTCCCGCCCTTCTTGAGCTCTGTCTGCGTCTCCATAGATCAAGCCAAACAAACCTCTGTCTGACACTCTTTTTTGGTGAAGGGTTTCGAATCCAGAAGCGTCCTCTGCCGCGCCAGTCCCTCTCGCACCCCGTGTCGCGCGATGGAGTCCCAGACGCCGACGGCTACATGCCGGGCCCCCGCGCGTCGCACACAGTGGTCATCAACGTGGCGGCCAAGACGCCATTCATGAGCCTCGTAAAGCGCGTGCGCAAGGCTCTCGAGAATGGGCCGGAAAAGACAAAGGGGCTGTCGCTGGCGGCGCGCATGGCGGCACTACAGGCCGTGCAACGGAACGACAGCAACAGCGCCCGGGCGAATGGCGGGTCGGCTTCGTCTACTGGGATTCTTACCGACTCGCTTGACGACGTGGTCATGGTCGCCACGGGCCGCGCGATCCAGAAAGCGGTCGAGGTCGGCGCCTTCTTCACGCGCGAGAAGGAGTTACTGGTGGTGCCGCGCACGCGGTCGCTTGCAGTCATCGACGACATTGTCTTGGACGACGACGCCCTCAGTGGCGGCGAGGCGGACCAGGAGGACAAGGTACGCGTGCGCAACACCAGCGCTCTCGAGATCGGCGTCCGCTGGCGTTTGTCTTGATCGACCGGCCTACCAAACTAGTGTGACTAGCCTTTTGTTCCATTGGACAACGGCTACGTAATACCACTTTGATAAAACATACATCGCCCCACAAACGGCGGCGGTCTCCGAATGACATTTATAGCATAACGCAGCTTCTGAAGTGTGACGACGGGTGGGAGTGATGCTTGATCTCGATGGCGTTTTGGTTGGGTCGTCCATTTTGAGATTTCATCCGTCTCCGAAAAGGCGGTATCGAATCGATGTCGTCAACACAAGATGGAATGGTGGATGTTTGAGCTTGCTGCTACACCGGAAATGGGGAAATTGGGGGTGCATTTGGAATATTTTTTGTTTGCAGGACAAATCTGTATGTTCTTGCAAGGGGTGGTTTCGCAAGTATTTCACGACATGAAAGCATTGTCTACTAGGTTTTCACCAGGTTGAGAACAGTCACTCAAGATACCCAAGCCTGATCAGAGGGCCTAAAAATCATTTATCTGAACGACGGCTGCAGCTGTCTGTATGTGCCAGTACGAATCGCACCACCCCTGGTACCTTATTCCGAGGTGAGGCTATCGGCTGCTCTGTATGATCCTGTAGCCACTTTAGATTAGTCGATTCTCATCTGTTGCCGCTGCCAATATGCGGCAGTAAGAGCTAAAGCCACTTGATTGCGAAAACTCGTAGCGTGACGACAAACAGACTCAACGACCTATTGTAGACGTTGACATGCTTCCGAAACACTAGCCGCGTCACGTCCTAGTGTTTGGTGATCGTCGTCTCTGTCCTGGCGTTCAGCGTCCAGGCGGCCACCACCTGGGCCTGCCGCGCTGATCTGCTCTCAACGGCCTCAGCCGCCGCGGCCAAGAAAAAAAAAACGAAGCAGCGGCAGAGAAGCGGACACCAGGTCACGGAACGAACTGCATTGCTGTAAACCTGCCGAACCTGTTTCCCTTGAAGATCTCGAAACAGTGGCTTTTCCCAAGAGGGCGAGATGTCAGGCGAGTTAAAGGCTGCGAGCACCAAGACAGCAGAGACACCTATGCAGGTTCGCTCAACGCGGCCAGGTAGATCAAGACATTTGGTTTCACCATTGCTGTGCACTGCATGCATGTACGCCGACTTGACGTTTCGTTCCGGCCGGCCACGATCTTTGCGGACTCGGGGACCCGCGCAGCGCTTGTGCACGCACGCCAGCCGTTGCGAATACTGCGTTCTACTCCACGTATCAGAAAAGAAAAGATGAAGGGATGAAAAAGCATATTCTCAGCTGAGTCTCAGTCTCGCCGTTTCCTCGATGCGGAGAGCCGCCACGAAGCCCGGACCTGAAACACGCGCTCGTACGGCGAGGCCTGAAGCGCAGGCCTGTTGTGCGGCTACGCCTTCGGATGCCACCCCCGCGCGCGCATGACTTGCGCCACGTCGCTCCCGGACAAGACGAGTGCGGCAGTGAGTAGAAGAGCGAAAAACAGGCAGTAGAATTGAGAGAGGCTGTCAATGTCGAATACCTCCCTGCCGGACCCCGGATCATGGAGGGGGCCGCCTGCCCGTGGCGGCTCTAGGCTGACTTTGTGGAAGAATTCCACCGGAGTGCCTGTGTCGCTGTTTGGGAAGCCGTTTTTGGCAGGTTGAACCCGCTAATCTCGGCACCCCCACAAGTACGCAGAGCTCAGGCTACTGGCTAGTACAAACCCCACCATTTTCAGCAGACCGGTTCCTCCAACAGGCCCGGCTTCACGTAGTCCCAGCCCCACGCTTCACCATGGCGTCAATCACATCGAGGTCGACGACATCTCCGTCGGTGTCGGCTTCATCGGCAATTCCGTCGGTGTCTACCGTGCCTACTTCGGTAAGGCCGACGAAAGATAGCGATCCCCCGGCTGTGCGATTCACCAAGACGTAAGATCTCTTCGACGCAATTAACGACGCAATTGCTCACACGAATAGGGATTCCCTCACCGTCACAAGTATAGTATTGCCCTTTTGTTTCTATATAGCATACTAATTGTTTAGACATCTCTCCTAGTCATTTCACCAAAATCGATCGTGCTCGAGAGAAGCAAGGCCGCAAGTTCCGCTTTCGCGATTACGATAGCAATTCTCGGATCTTTATTATCACAATCACAACTGTACCTTCATGAGCAACTCCATAACCCGCTATATGACGAGTTTTCCGCGTAGATATAAAATATGGGTTTGAAGTGGAGTTGGAAAAATATCGACGCCGTTACACTCCCAGGCTATTCTGGACAAGACTGTAAAGAGGGTGATTCGGCTGGTGGCCCAAGGCCTCAACGAGCCGCTAAATTAGCCTGGCTAATACTCATATCGAGGCAGGATTCTCTCAGTCTTTGGGGGAATTGCATATAGCTATACGGCGGTGGTTTTCTATATCGAACCACGAGGTTAAGATTGTTCTTCTTACTAAGTTCAACGGTACCACAATCCTTTAGAGAGGTAGGAAGAAGAGGTGTAGGTTCGCCCTGGAGCTATCACAATATAATAGTCTCTTCAATACCCAGTACCTATACTCCGACAAAGCATCACCATTACCCGAAACACTACGACCAACCCGACATCGTATAATGTCACTAACGGCGCATTAGTACTGTCGTTCCGGCTTCTCTTCCTTAGAGATCCGGGCCCTGGGGAGGAAGACTTCATTTTCAGCGTTCAAGAACTGGAGCGGTACGCGGAAAATATCTGGCTTCAAGTGTAAATTAGCAGAAGTGTAGATTAGTAGCCAATTAAATTCGGCATAGCCAACCAGTCAAAAACGGCAGCCCCGATAGCGACGCAGGAATTCCAAGAGAGATGAGAGATCGGGCTCGCGGAATAATTTCGGGTCAATCCCACGTCATCATTTATTACGGTAGAGCAATCTATAGATCGGAAATACGGTTGTGCTTCGGGTACTAGGAGGTTCAATATAGCCCGTATAAATAACGAGAGAAAAAATGACTCTCGGCTGGACATGTATTTTGCGCGAGTTGGCGTATTTCGACTTATGAGAAGACGTCCATTGTATGATTGGTGTATCACGATTCACGATTTGGAGCCCCACAGAGAAGAGTCCCACATACTGGCCAGACCCTTTTGATCGCGGGGAGGAGGTGCATGGTCCCAACGAAGAAAGGGTCCTGGGGGGCCGCCACGGCCCCATCTATAGTCGCACAGGCATTCTGGTTTGCACGCCCCAACTACCCGTTGTTGGCGGAGGCAGCTACCGAGGGATATGGAACTTGGTGAACACAAGGGCGGGAGGGTTTCTTCACGAGCACGATGGCTTGATTGCGGCCCCAGTTGTTGGTCGGATGGCAGACTGATGGCTTGATGGCGTCACCGCCGCAGCAGTTTGCCGTGCGCTGTGGCTGTCAGGTGTTTCAATTCCTGCATGCCATTGCGCAAGTGGCAGAGCCACCCGTTGAACCGCCGCCGGTCTGGCGTGAACACGCGAGAGTCGTGGCTTCATCTCTTTTGCCGTTGGGAGTTTGTCAAACAACGGTGCCGCTGGCCGATTCAAGTCGTCAGGTTTGCAAGCCGTCTCGATATTTAAGATTCCAACCCTTCACACAGAAGTCAAACCTGAAAGCTCTTGTTGGTCCTAAGTTTGAGATTCGAGATTCGAGATTCCGGAATGTAACACCAGGACTGGGGTGCCCATCGTCGCAGTGTCTCTCCTCGCTTAGATCTCCTCCCATTCGCAGTTTAGCTCCCCCCCTTTGCAAGGTCCACCTCCTCCCGACGCAGGTACCCAGCGTTGGAATGGCGCCGCACGGGTTCCCCCGTCTCAGACAGCAGCCAATCACTAGCGCAGCGCGTTGGGCACCCTAGTCACGAAAGCAAATTGCACAAATTTCACTATGCGTGCAGTGCAGAGAGACGTCTGTCGCCACGGTTGGAACTGGGGAGCGCCGCGAACTATCGATCAATTTGCAGTGCTGCGCTGCGCGGCGATATTTAACTAGCAGACGCCTTGTACTACCAAGGTAGACAATTAACCACTCACGCAGAATCGGAATCCCCATTATGTGCCTCGAGGATAATGATCACAGACCCGACATCTGAGGCACGGCCAACTGGGGTGTGTTTTGGATGAATTCGAACCCGGTCACCTGAGTCAGTAAGTCGGCTCAGGACGGAGGGGTGGGCGAGAAACTTCTGTCCATTGTCCAAGACCGCTGGAAAGGTGTTCCTGGGGAAGTCAATGTGCAAAATGCCTGAATGGGGGCCTGTAATTTCCCACATCGAGGTAACTGGTACCTGCGGGGGCGACTGGTTGGCTGGCGATCTGTTCCGGGGAGCCGTACTCTCTACCTCGCCCGCCCGTTCGTCCGTTCGCTTGCTCCTTCCCCCAAAGTTGTCCATCAGCATTGTTAGTGATCTGCGACCAGATTAGTGACCAACGTAGCAGGAGTGCTGGGCGCCAGCCGTGAAAGTCGGGGGACTTGTGATGGAGATGGAGCTTGGGCCCCTGTCAACCAGACGATGCAGGTACCACCCACAAATCAAAGCGCCAATTGGGTGAAGATGAGGGAAGGCGTGCGGTACGTACCTTGTATTGCGAAAGACGCCCAGACGAGCCAATCCGGTGCCGGCTCATTTGCGCTTGGCAGATCAGAACGCAATCTGCGCCTCTCCCCCAGATATCGTGGCTTGCTTCCCTTGTTCTCCCTCCCTCTCCTCCTTCACCTCACACACCAGACCCTACTTCGGACTTCGTTGGCAAAGTTCACTTCTGGGCTCTACTCTGCACGTCCAATTCCGACCTTGAGTACTCGAAGTATTCAGTCCGTCATTCTTTCCGATACTCGCTACCTGCGCATCCCCAATTCTCACCACATACTCACCACAGACCACATTAACCAGCGCCAAGGCCGCGTGGTATACACGAGCAACGTTAAACACCCGCTTCCAGTCGCACAACACCAAGCCAACTTAGCCCGCGAAGGAACGACTGCGAGAGAGCATCCAACCCTTGCATGTTAGGATATCGACCTAGACGTTGACTCTCTTTATCTTGTTGAATAGTGACAGGGGATGCTTTCCAGTGTCATTGGGGTTAAGAACGAAACACCATCTCTCCTAAACCCAGGATCCTGCTCAAAAGACTCTTTTGGCTCGCGCTTCCAGGGCTCAGTATCATCCATTCATCCGGACAATCATCAGCGAGAGGGGAAATAGGATTGCGACTTGGGTCGCCGGTATCCATCCGTCTATCATCAAACCTGGTCTCTGTTACAGCATCTTGTCATAAACATCTCCAACAATGCATCTCTCAGCCATCATCACGGCGGCGCTGCTACCGCTTCTGGCACTTGCCGCCGACCCGGCCAGCACCGTTACCAGCACCAGCTACACGACCCTCACTAAGACGCTCACCCTGCAGCGAGCTGCGGTTGCGACGTCCTCCGTACCCTACAGTAACAGCACTATCACCTCGTTCACTTCCTCGGGCCCTTCGGCAACGCAGTCGACCTCTCTCGTAGCGGCAACCACCTCGACCAAGTCGGGTGCGTCGAGCTTTAACGCCGCCCACGCCGTGGTCGTGGCTGCTGCCGGTGTGGTTGTTGCTGTGTTCCTCTAAACGCCACTAATCGCGTGCCGGGGACGAACTCATGGGCCGACAACTCGCCTACGAGACCGGCTGAGAACCGAGGTGGTCCTCAGCCAACTGCAACCACGAACACTTCGATGCGCACATCATTTCAGCCTTTTCCTTTGTCAGCCCAGGATGCTTTTCGGGTGGTCAAGCCGAATGGGGTGTTTGTTCGCCTCGACAGTGTTCGCTTGACGACGTGAACATCAATTCCAAGTCGGCCACCCCTTTCGGCAACCAGAACACGTTTCGGTTGCCCATGAATACTTGCCAACGGCCACCGTGTCTTGCCAGACCCGACAAGTAACAAAAGTTATTCGATTCGCCCCCGCTGTAACGACCTTTAATCCTCTCGTTCTCGGGGTTGAGGCGCGCGCGCAGACAGGTGCAGGAGGCGGCTCAAATTGTTTGAGTAATCTTCGGGAATGCCTCAAAAAAACCTCCGGGCTGTCTCACTCAGTCTCGACCCCCGCCACTTTGATAATTTCGCTTCGTTCTACCAGCTCCACGGCCACGCGCAAGCCAGGAAGCGCCCGATTTTTTCCCGCTTGCCCGTCATCATCATTATTATTTTCGCCGCTTGCGGCTTCACGCGCAACCCTTGATACCCATCTTCATTTTCTTCTTCTTTCCGCGCACAGGGGAGGGAACGGTTCACGCCAACTCTCTTGCGCGCGCGGCCTTCTTTTCGTCTTGTTTATAACAAACGCAAGGGAATCTCGGGCGAAAGCGTGGCTGGTGGCTTCGCTGGCTGGACTTGGAAGGACGGATCTCAATGGATCTCTACTTTTGACCTTTTTATTCTTCTCTTCTGATTCAGGAGCGTTTACCATTTTATGAGGGGGGGTGTGTTTGGTTGGTTGTGGCAAAAGGACATTTACACATTTTACCTTTTTTTTCTTCTCCTTTTCGCCTTTTCTTGTTTTCTTCACGTTTCTGTGCCTGATGACGAAACGAGATGCAATGTGACGCGACGGACCGCAGCGTACCTAACATAACCTTTGGCTTTATTTTTGGCCCCAACTTCCAAAACCGACGTCGATATCCTGCCGCCTTTCTGGGATGTTTAAAAGGGGTCTGGATGTACAACGGGGAGGGGGTGACGATGGGGATGAAGGGGACGCGGAGACAGGAGGACGGTGATGATCGATGAAGTTGAAGGGAGCGAGCGTGTGAGAATTGACTGGCGTGATGGCCGTCACCTATATTTTCGTGCCCTGTTTTCCGTCTTTGTACTTTTCACTTTTCTTCCTCCGGTGCGTCGAGACTCTAGCATTTTCCTGTTTATCTTCGTTAGCATGATGTCGCAGTATCTATCTCGCCCTAGTAATTTACTTAATGGATTCGAAATTCTTCTCGATGTGGGCCAAGAACGACGCCACCGGTTCGCTAGACGGTGTTATGTTGCACATTAAACTTCCATAACTGGTACTTGCTTTTCGCTTTCGAGGGTGGCAAGCCGAGGTCCGGCTGCCCATGCGGCGCGGATGCGCTGCGAATGCGATGGCACGTCACCAACCACACACACTTTTTGGGCCCATTGACAGGATCCACAACACCGCTCGGCCCTTGCGCCCACGTGCATTGCATTTGCAGTAGGTACTACAAGCAAGTACAGATTTGATGAATGTCAGTTTTCTTTACCAAATTAAACTGCATTCCAGAGAGGTCTTTATCAGCATGGAATGGCACTGTACACTGCACCTGACGTTCTTGTTGGCTGTACATCGTATCCGCGCCCGGAAACCCAAACAGTCTGCCCTGCTGTTGCTCCTTCGCGAGGGAATGAATGCCCGCCAATCTAGATCGAGATATCCGAGCGCTGCGCTGCCGAAACGGGAGCTGGGAAGAGCAGCAGCGGGAGGTCCAACTTCAACGGCACAGGCGCCCTGGACGGCAGGGCGAGTTGAGGCTCAATTTACAGGGCAGCTCGCCGCTGCGGTCAGCAGGCGGGGAAATTGCGCATTCCCTGTAGGCGATCTTTCAAGTCGGAAAACCGTCCCGGAAATCAAGGTCGGCTCTCTTCGAACAATATTGATCTTCGTTGCTGAAAAGAACGCACACAATAGAGGCTCTGCTTGACAGAGGCAGATGGACACGATAATCCAAAAATCGATTGCTACGAACATCCTCCTCAATTGATATTTCGCACAATCATTTCTTCTCCGTGGCACCACTCGCAAGCGGCAATCACAGCGAGAGAAAAAAAAAAAGAGTAGAGTGGGGTTATCAAAAATTCTGGTCTCAATGGATCCGAAGGACAATCGATAGTCGGTTGCGCCGCGGTGTGCAATGCAGGCTCCCAACAATGGAGCAGGGGAATCTTGAGCTCCCTGCCCCGAACCCAGGTAAGTACGAAGAAGAAAAGAAGACGACGAGGAAGAGGGAGGGGAGCGACGCGCTTAAATAGAAGGTATGGTTGGTACGTGCACGACTACAAAAATTGGTGAATCCACTATGGCCCACTCCACCAGTGGGTCCACCGCCCGCTGCCCGCCTGATGCCAAACCGCCTGACTGCAAAGCGGATCCACCGCGATGATGATGTCAAGCAAACACACTGCTGAGCAAAGGAGGAAGGGACGATAGAGAGCAATTTTACGGCCGAGATGGAGAGGGGCGAGGACTTCAGTTTTCCTCCTTTCTTCTCTGTCACCCTTGGTGCAGAGTCCAGAGACAGCCTGACAGAGCGTGGCAAAGCTCAGGTTCTGATGTGTAAGACGGCCTCGGAAGTGACCAAAGCATCACGACCAAGCCATCACAACAAGATACAGATATTTGTCTTGACCTAGAAAATGCCAATGTTCTTTTATCCAAGCCATCCATGCGGAAGTGAATGCCTGCGTGATCCAATCCTCGCTCGATATCCTACCATGTTGCGCATCAAACCCTACCTAAAAGGCACCCGCCTCAGACATGCGACTATCACAAGCATCCACACACGCGCCACAACGCCAGATTGGACTTTCTAAAGCAATATCGCACTTGAACTGCACCTTCTAGAACATGCAACTCCCAGAAGGCACATAGTCAGATAAAGCAGCGCACACTACAACCTCGAGGTTGCCGCCACGACGACGTAGTTTGTCCTGAACAAATCGATCGATACCGTCTACCTAGAAAGTAAGGCAGGTAACTACGATAGCCCAGTACCACAAACAACCCGTGAGAAAGATATCCGCCAAAACCACGGCGGAGAAAGAAGGTAAGAACAGCAAAAGAAAACCACCCAACAAATACGATACAAATGTGCCATTTTGTTTTTCTCCGACGTCTCCCAAAGACACAACCACCAGTAGTCGGTCAGTTCATCGTATAACGACGACGGTGGAAAGAAAAACTCGCAAACTCATCAGATCGGACCTCTTGCTCCCGGCCATGGTATCTCTTCATCTTATCACAATCTGCCCAAAATCGCCATAACCTCATCCCTTCCCGTTCCTTCTTTTTTCTTTATTTGTTATCACCTTGTTTCTCTGCAAACATCCCTCGCCCATCATGGACCTGTACCCCAGACTGACAGACACGCAGCCGCCCAGTGGGGTCTGGGTATGGAAGGATTGCAGATACCGAGCGTCCGGGCGAGCAACACACGTATAAAAAGCTACCCCCTACGAATCAAAACCGAAACACAGCCAGAGTGCTCGCAAACGTGGCAAAGTTCTCGTGCCAAAACGCCAAGTCGGCGCCCTCGCGCGTGACCATGCTGACGCTGCCGACCGTGTTGAGGTTGTAGACGCCGACGGCGGCCGAGTCGCGCTCGACGACGACCGCCGTGGCCGTCGCATTGTCGCCACTCTCAGACCCCGTCTCGGACACGGTGACCTCGACGGGGAACGGGCCCACAGAAAAAATGCGCGCCTGGCAGCTCTCGCCCGAGGCGGTGGTGCTGCACGTCGTGTTGTAGTTGTGGAAGAAGCTGTACAGGCCGGCGCCGAACACGACCACGTTGCGCGACCCCAGCACGCGCAGGCCCCAGGCCATGGCGCACGGCGGCGGCGGGCCAGTGGGTGCGGCGGCGGCTGCGGCGGCCGCAATGTCAGAGCCGTCGTACTCCGTGTACCCGCGGCAGTCGACGTCAAAGTCGGGGTCCCAGAGGTCCGTGTTGCGCTGGTAGAAGGGGTTGGGCGCGGGGGGGTTGGGCTGGTAGTAGGGGGTCTCGGTCTGGATCTGGCCCATCCAGACGTCGGACGCGTTGACCAGTTGGTACTGATAAAGGGCGTGGTGCTCGACGGCGGTGGCGACCAGCCAGACGCGGCTGCCCTCGACCAGCAGGCCGCGACCGGCAAACACGCTAATCTGTGTGCTATTATAATCCTCGAGGTCGTGGTCGGCCACCCACAGCCAGCTGTTCTCGACGTAGAGATTCGCCGCCGTCTTGGTGATGTGGACGCTCATGTACGCGGCGACGCAGTCGAGGTCGACAAAGTTGGTCTTTTCGGGCGTCGTAGGACAGTCGGCCAGCTGCAGCCCCGAGCCCGCGAAGCCTCCGACGCGGACGTGCACGTCCCAGAGACCCGAGGGCCGGCCGCCGGCGCTGCATTCATTCGCTCCTGCAGCTGGCGTGTTGAGGTTATATTCGACCAACACGGCCCCTGCGGCTGCTCCCTGCGTCGACACGATGATGTCGCTCATTTCCACCCATCCTATCTCGCCGGGCATGCCGATCTTCACCACAGGGTATGGGCTGTTCGAGTCCGAGTACTTCGCCCCAGTTCCCATTATCACGGCCGCTAGAGCCTCGCCGACGATGCGGGTGTTTGCGGGTACGTAGACAGTGTCGCTCACTTTGTAGAATCCGGCATCAAGAAACGCAATGGCTGAGTTGTTAGTTGACACGGCCAGGAAGAGGCTGTTTAGGGCCGCAGTATCGTCCGTCACCCCGTCTCCAGCCGCACCGAAGCCCCGTGCCGACAGAAAAGCTGACGCCGGGTGCGATTCGTACTGGGGCTTGGACCTTTCATAATACTTGTTTCCGACCTTGAGGGATGGCGGCTGGTAGAAGTAGCTGGGGTTGCGGCCCTCGAAGAGTTCCGGACCTTGCGGTGCGTAAAGATTGCCCTGCAGAAAAAAAAAGTCAGCAAAAGCAAGACCGGGCCGCAAAAGTCAAACTCACCCTAGCATAGCCCAAGTCGTAGACGGTGCCGGATGGATCTCCAAGAAGGAGGACCTGCTCGCCCGGCCCTTCAAGGACGGTGGGAACAAATGTGTATTCCACATTTTCGACCATCAGCGAGCCCCTGCCGGTGGTGTTGCCGGGGTTGCGTCCAGTGACCAGCGCCTTTGAGACGTTGATGAACTTGCTGTCGAGCAGGGTAATAGACCCGACATCGGTGGTCGACATGTTGATGCCGACGTCGCAGTTGATGAAGTTGAGCGATTTGTAGGTCCAGCCCCAGTTCCAGATCTGCAGGATTGCCGTCCTCGACCCGTAAAAGGTCAGGTTCCGCATCGTGTACTGCTGGTTGCCGAAGCGGGCGCCGTACTCGCCGCCGTAGAAGACGAGATCGTTCATCAGCCCGCCGCTGCCCTCTTCCATGAATATGCCCGTGTGGTTGTTCCCCGGCCGGGTCGAGAGCCTGAACACGCAGTTCTGGATCGATGTTGCCTGGGCCGACGGCCAGTGGATAGCATTTACCGTGCCGGGGATGTCGGTCGTGTCAAAGACCAGATTGCGGACTTGCCTGAAGAAGACATCTGTGCTCTTGAAGTTGAGGACTAGTCGGGTTCTAGTCAGCTAAAAGGGCCCGACGGGGGATCACGAGGTGGCAACAAGCTACATACAGCCGTTGTCCAGATAGGGGTCGGCATCCAGGAGCCCATTTGCAGTAGACGGAAAGCTCGAGGTTCCTTTGAGGACGGGCATGTCGTTAGGGTCGCCGATGATCTGGGTGTAATAATAGTCGACTATGGGGTTGCTGATGAGATACGTGCCGGGCGGGAAGTAAACAACGGCAGGCGTCAAGGTAGATCCGACGCACGAATAGCCGCCACCGCAGCGACTGCCTGAGCTGATGGCTGCGTTGACGGCCGCGGTGTCGTCGGCGACTGGCCAGAGTTAGAGTTCCATTATCATATCACGTTTTGTCCTGTCCCAGGAAAGTTTCGTAGTGACGATTCTTACCTCCATCACCTCTGGCGCCAAAGTCCTGGACGTTCCTAAAGACGGCGTAGCTCTTGTCTGGGTTGAACGAGGCGCGGCCGCGGTGCTGGATGTCGGCCATCCAAAAGGTCGCCTGGGCGACCGAGGCCACGGCAAGAACAAAGGCGACCAAGAAGCCCATTGTCAGGGAAGGTGTCCAAGGGGCGTCGCACGACAAACCAAATATGTATAGAATCCTAAAGAGGCCGAGGGTCACGTTAATAAAAAGGGAGAGAATGAGATTGGTAGTCCCGTAAGACGAAATGGTAAGGAGTTTTGCGCAAAACGATAGAGGACAGTCCGACAATGTGTGTGCGCGCATGTGTATAGCCTGGGAAGGTACCTGTGCGAGGCGAGAGGGGTGTGTTAACAAACCGCAGGAAAGACGCGGGGCAATAGGGGTGTTACCGTAAGCACGAGTACCTTACTGTACCGAGTACAGTATCGCCTTCCGTCCCATCCCTCCACCTGCCGCCTCCAGGACAGCAACCATGCCCGGCCGTCCCCTCCCGTTGGCAAGGCGCAAGGACGAAGCCATGGATTTGGGGCCGGATAGTTGGCAAAGGATGCAGGTGCGTATTAAGCAATTTTGCAGAGTGATACGGGCTGGCTTATAGACTGACAAACGAGACGACCCAAATATCCCAATACTCAATCCCCTCTCACCGTCGTCGTCATGCTCAGTATATTTCCGTCCCCCACCACAAGGCTTGCTTCCTCTAGCCGTTGGACGATCGGGCACTAGACATGGCGAAGTCACGTTGGAAACGCGGTGCACTTGCATACGCACGGCTTTCCGAGTTCTGCAGGTACCTAGGCCATGAGGCAACACTTGTTTGGTCTGGTACCCGCTGGGTTGTGGACTTGATGGTCTGCTGCCCTGGGCGTCTCGCGTAGATACTTAGTGCAGTACTTCTGGTCGAGTATCTCTGGTAGGCACAAGGTCCATCGAATATCGATTGATGCGAGATTGTGGCCGACACAAAGATGCCGCGAGCAATGTCAGTCAGCAGATAGGAGATTGCGGGAAACACCTGAGACGAGCGGCCACCGAAGCCGAGGCACCTTTTGGGGTATCGTGGGACATGCAGGCTCTCTGTGTGTGCGCAGCCGTCTCGAGACTGGTTTTTGTCACGATGGGATATGATGGCTTGACGTCGTGGGGACGCGGCCGACTTATGTAAGTCGGGCAGCGGGCCATGGCCGTTGCACTGCGGGGCACGGACCTGGATGTGAACCCATCAAGATTTAGCAGATCTAGCACTTAAATTTGTATAATTCTGTTAGTGTCTGTTTAGGCAGTGTATTCACTCCCTGCCCACCACAACGTCCACTCCATTTGCAACTTCCACGTTCCTAATCTCGACAAACGCTCAAGTTCCATACCACTCCCGCCAGTGTCAAGCGCCAAAGTACTCCGTAGATGTCACTGAACGTCTAGCTTCCTCTTCGCTTGCTCGGGAGATCTCGCCGGCATCAAGTGGTTCGAGGGCCTCGCCTCTGCAGGTGTACTGTACGCATATTCGCCAATTGGGTGCAAAGTCACCGACGGGGTCTTTGTCGCGAGCCGTGCCCTCCAATCCATGTCCCGCAACCCGCATGGATTCCCGTCTCTATTTCTTTCTCGTTCTCCCGTTTCCTGTGTAGGCTTCTAGATAAGCTCCAAGAACAAAGAAGGCGATCAGGTACTATAATACTAGCAAATATCTCGTGGTCCGCCTCCCAACCCTGCTCATGTGTCTTCATGTATCTGTCTATGGGACACCAAACACCACTGCCACAATGGATAGAAGCAGCCCATCCAAGCCTACGGAAAATGAATTAGGCCAAAACTTCTCAGCATGGCACAAGATCGTGAGCCCTCCCCCAGTCAAGTGGGGATCCGGGAAAATGCGCTTCTCGTCAGACGCAGCAGCGCCGTGGTGGTGCAGTGAAACAGGGGTCGCTGTCATTTCTAGACTGGCTCGCTGGCGACAGCGATGATGGCGACGATTATTTGTCTGGTGGCTGCATTGTTGTCTAGGCAGACAGATCCAACTCGTCCACGACATGTCGCCCATCGCGGCGCTCATTCTCCCTACTCCCGAACGGCACGAAATTGTGGTCTTCACAGATTAGTCCTACCTCCCAGACAGTCTTAGGTTACGTTATACTTCTCGCCGTGTTTCATGTCACTGTCAGTGGTCTCTGGCCCTGTGATGGCCGGTCCCAACTCTACCTTCGTGTCATTTCATCACAATAGCATTCACTAGCCGTCGCCTTCCTATAACTGACACCCGCAGTATAGAGCCCAGCGCTGCCGGCCTCCAACTCCTCTGCTTGATGCTCCTTGCTTCTAATACTGGGGGTCCGACACAATCTCCCAGCCATTGTTTCGACGTCATTCTAAACGCACATTTCACTGAGGCAGGCCTCGTTCCGGTGATAAAACTCGCCTCTACGGAGCCCAAAGCTAGCTATTTTATTATTGTATGTTCAGAATATACGCTTCGTCCTAGCTCTCGGGTCTTACCACTTGCTTCTGGCCCTCTACCAACGCCGCCCGCAGTACAGGATTGCTGACACAAGCCAAGGCCGGCCACAGCTCGTCATATATCACATATATTTTCTGCTCCCGGCACGATGCATAGAACAATCGAGTCGCTCTTCGTGGTCTTGGCGTTACTCCTAGGCTCGGTTGTCTCCCTGGCTCCCTCGGACTCTGGTGCTAGCCCACCTGCCTCACCACACAAAGTACCATTCCAGCTTCCCCACAACCTGATCCCCGTCGCGGCCGGTTCTTTTCCCGGCATTGCTCTTGTTGAACCGGCTTCGGGCCCGGTTTCGACCTCGGCCCCGTACACGGCTTCGCATTCGGCGTCCCACTCGACTTCGCATTCAGCCACGCATGCGACTTCGCATTCGGCTTCTTGTTCGACGTCACATTCGACTTCGACTCCGATTTTAACTTTGGCTTCGACTTTGGCTTCGACTTCGGCTTCGACTTCGGCTTCTGCTACGGCAACACCGACCTCGGCAGCTGGCACCGGTCGGCCTTCCATACCTCTGTTTATCAGCACTTCTCTTCTGGCCGCTTTTTTGTGGTACTACTGAGCGGGATCTTCTTGGCTCTCGTGGAGATGGCTATGTATGGCAGGAAGTGAAGAAAGCGCACGTGGGTAAGCCAGTTCTATGATAAACTAACAGTTTTGGCGAGATCGGTTGTTTTTGGGGAAATTGGAACCAACCTGGCCACTGACGCGGTGTATTATAGCAATATGTCCTGGGTAGGACCTGGGGCTAGGACTCAAGACTAAGGAACAAGGACTAAGGATTACGGTACGAGTCAAGTCTTGGTTACAATTTAAACATCGGATGCAGGAACTGAAGTCCGCTTCTCTCCAACCCTTGCTCATACTAATGCCTTGATTGAGAGCCAACATGTCATGTAAAAAATTGGAATGACTAGTCTAACATTGGTTGATTTCGGAAAGGAAATTCGTGTCGCCCCTATGGTATTATGGGCTCTGTACCTCATTGTAGGAATCACCAGGGTACCGGTACTGGAAACAGCATGGCGCGCTGCGCGCCGTAAGGTGGTGGTTCAAGTGATGGATTCGGTTTTTGTCTTTCTCTCTTTTTATCTATCTGAACAGGTGGGCGTAGGCCAATATATATGCATCTGTCAGGCCCGCTCCTCCACAGACGTTGCTGTGGCCAGGAATGCGGAGCCGCATTCCTTGGATCAGCGCGTCATTCCAGTATGTTATTCCAACACTCATAAATGCCCTTTCGGTAAGGTATGAGTCGTAATATAATGGTCATTTTAGTTGTTGCCCTCACACAGATAGATACAAGAACCCGGAGTTCAGCGAACTCAGCTACCAGGCCTAGCCTTTTGTACCGTATGCGAGTGTGTGTAGCTAAACTCGGCCCATAAACATGACGGAAACCTCCACCGAAACGCTGCGCGCCGCATCTCATCTCAAGTTCCGTCACAGACACGCTTGATAGCTGGCAGAGCAATGACTATAGCCTCATAAATACTCAATGAGTCACTGGGCTTGACTGGCCTGTCTTCGCCCCTTTTGCCTCCTCGAATTCGTGTAGCCTTCTTGGCCAGCATAAAAATGGCGATGATCACGATTTCTCTTCTTCTTTATCACGGCATCAAAAACCACAACACTCGAACTTATCTAAACCTTACGCTCGATACCCCGGCATCTCAGCAATTCTACAAAAAGGTTAGTCGCGTCGAGTTTCTTGAATTTGCTTGATATTTCTCTACATTTTCCCATCCGCCTCCCGGACCGCAAATAGAGACAGGTAAGACTTCCCAAGACGCCCTTTTACTGAACATCGGCATGGACACCACCAACCCAGTAGTGGACTATTCCTTGTTTTGGGCGCAATTCTGGCAGCTTCACTCGTCTTCTGATGCTGTTGCAAAAAAATTTTCCCTTCTATGACACTCATTCCCCCATCTCGTGCCTAAACATGCTTTGCCTAACTCCGCCGCTAACACAAGGCATCTGAATATATTACTGTAAAACACAGCGTACGTCATGGGACCGGCTGAGATTTTCTCCGTCGTTATCTTGGTTCTTGCAGTCATTGTGAGTTTGGGGTGGATACTCCGCTTGTGGTGGGAGCCCAGACGAGACCAAAGGCAGAGCCGTGGTCATCGGTACACGGGGGGTCGACACTACGCCGGACAACGGACTCGGAGGTATGGGCGAGGGAGGGTTCTTGGCAGATTTGAACGCGACGGGACCACATTCATTCTGTTTGAGGGGGCAGGGAGAGCCCCTACACGTCCACCCAGGGCCTTCATCCGCCAAAACGGCAGCCAGGAGGCCCTGATCATCGATGCGGAACCACCCTAATCTGTCTGTCTCCACTATCCTCGCTAGAGCTAGGGAGAGACCACTCGCTACTTACTCTGCCAACAAACTCTAACACACTGTTGCTGTTTTGGATCATGCATACCAGCCTCGAGAGAGTACCTGCTCACCATGACTTACAGGACTTGCTCAAAGTATTTGATATCCGTCTTTATCTCGGCCTCGGCCCTTACCGACTTCACGATGGCTTGCTCTCGTTTCCGGGGGCAGCTCCAAACTCCAGCTCCCCAGTTCATTATACTCGGAATCCTTCTATCTGTCGCCATGATTACCATCATAACCGTCCTGGCCGTTAAACAACCGTCAGCCGTGGGTCTCCGAGACCACTTTCCCCCGGGCGGCTACACCATTATAGTCACAGAAATCACCACTACCGTCACGAAAGCGAATGCCATGCGGGCTCTGCCCATCACCGAGACGGCCTTCGAGATTACTGATGAACGGCTGCCTGGGCACCAGTCCCCGCCACCGCAGCGCTGCAACAAGCAGGAGGACACCTGTGTCACCGCCCATCATTCTACGCATCCGCCGAACAACCATACCACAGTCCCAAAACACACTTCAACAAAGACTATCAGGGGTCCCCCCGCACACATGCTAATCCCGGTTTCCGCCATGTGGGATAGGGTGCACCTCACTCCAGAGCAGCCCTCAGACCAAGCTACCAGTCTCACTCCAGCCCCCGACCACCCCTCGAGCTCAGCCGGAACCACCACAACACTCACCTACTTCGAACCCACCACAACACTCACCTTCTTCTCGCCCCTCTCAGGCCCGGACCAATCATCCTCCGCAGACGATTTCAGCCACCCCACGACGTGGAACATGCCGATCCCGATTTCCACCCCAGACCCGACAACAGCACTCACCTACTTCCCCTCCCTCCCAGGCCCGGACCAATCCTCCTCCACAAAAGACCTCACCTCCGCGCTCCCCCACCACGCCAGCAGCAAGAGCAGCAGCGACACGACACTGATCCCCGTGCCGTCCAGCAGCTACCAGACGCCCAAGGCTGAGAAGTCCCCAGCAACGGTCCTGACCGTGATCCCCGTCGCAGACCCGCCGCCCGGCGACGTGCCGGTCACCGCCTGCCCGCCGTGCGGCACTGCGGCCGTCTATGGGTTTGCCACGCCGGATCCGGACTCTGACTCTGAGGATTCGGACTGGCAGGCGAGCGGCGGCGGCGGTGGTAGGAAGAATAAAATGAGATGGTCTGCGTTGGGGGCCGCCGTGGTGGCTATTGGCGCGGCCGTGGCGTTGCTGCCGGGGGCGCCGGCGGTGTGAAGGGGTTTGTGTCTTTTTGTTTCTCTTTCTCTTCATAATTCTCCTCTCCGTCTTCCAGAGGCCTTGTTAAGCTTGGGAAACGCCGTTTTACCGTTTTACTGTTGGGGCTACTGGCGGCGGTGCTTCGATATTTCTCTTGTGTATTATTATCCCTCCGTTTCCGCTCCTGTGAGTCTGTGCGGATGGTGAAAACGGATCTTTTTCTCTATCTGCAACATGTTCTCCCCCTTTTCATCTTCTATTTTCGATGTTTGCAGTTGCTTAATTTCAGCTATCAAGAAACCACCCCATGTCCTTCTACTCTGCCGCCGCCGTGCAGAAAGGCGGGGATTTGCAGCCACCTCTCTATGTTACGGCGTTATTTAGAGCCACAAGAAAAGAAAAAGAAAAAAGCCCTACTGCAACCATGAGCCGCAACCGGACATGCCGCCAGGGTTGGATGGAAGGAAAACGGGGCGGCGGCGGCGGCGGCGGCGGCGGCAGTGTTACCCGAGATTCACATAAAGGGGATGAGTTTGTTTATTACAATTTTTTTTTTGAGATGCCGGAAATTTATGTCTTTGGTCGAGATCCGGCACTGTTTTCTCGCCCCGCCCCTGCACGGGTCTTAACCGCGGATGGGGGCCGAAAAGGAACAAGGGGGAGGCTTGGGTTTCACGCGGCGGGACGGGACGTACAATACATGCGTCAACCGCAGCGGGCCACGCGAACTCTACTGAAAAGGGAAATTGATAGAAGAAGCGGCCCCCAAATTTTGACGGGGCTCGTTAATAAACTTGACACAATCGGCAAGGCTTCCCAAGCTAGTTAGTTGGTGAGTTGTGTTTAGTTGTGCAATGTAAATGGTTCGGTCAATGCCAAAGTGTCCTTTTGATCCCTCAGATCCTTTGGATAGCAAACTTGCTGGTATACGTGACGTGATGTGGCGCAGAACGGGTAGCGCTGTACCACTGCATGTTCCCGTGCTCGGTGACTAAAGTAGACGACCAATAGACTTTTGTCGAAGGACTGGATATGGGGCACTAGCTGGGAGACTGTGTATCGCTTTGATAACGTCCGAGAGAAGGGCAGCAGTGTTAGGCGTCTCGGGTGCATATCGGGCAGCTGAAGTAAATAGCTCAGCTGAAATAGCATCACATGGTCAATTGTCGTGGACCAAAAATATGACCGGAATCAGATCAATTGTATAGAAATAAGGCTGCAATACGCTAATGACGACAAAGACAAAGCAGACCTGGAATGCATCTTGTTTACATGCAAGTAGATAATCCTTCTGAAACTCCAAGCTTGTATATACGAGGTATAAATAAGTTCCCCTCCCCAATTGGCGGGTATCAGGAGACGAGAGCAAACACACAAGGGGCATGTCCGCTTAGACATCGTGGCCTGTAGTCAAAGTAAGGTTAGCTCTATGTTTGCATGTGAAGTGAGAACATATAGGGGGGTTTGCTTACGGCCGAGCTGCTTGCCGCGCTTGGAGACCTCGCGGGCGTGGTACTGCTTGATCTTGGCCAGGCGGGCCTCTTCCTCGGCCTCGAGCTCGAGCCTGCGCACGTGCTCGCGGGCTTGGCGGACGCTCTCGCGAGCGGCCAGCAGGGCGCGGTCGGCGTCTCTCTCGGCAGTCTCGGCGCTCATGACGCGCTCGCGAGCCTGCACGATGCTGGGGTCCATCTCGCCCATGGAGCCGTTGCCAAAGGTGCGCTGCAGCAGGCTGCGGTGGCCGCTGCTGGTGTGGCTGGCATCAGTGGAATGGCGGTTGAGGCCGCTCTCGTGCGAGCCCGTGGTGGTATGGGTGGGAGTCGGGGAGGGGGAGCGCCGGCTGCCGAACAGGCCGTGGTGGCGCTTGGGGCGCTCCTCGACGGGAACCGGCTCGGGAACCGGCTCCTGGACGGGCTCATCTGGGTGGCGGGAGAAGAGAGGCATGTTGAAGTAGAGTAGCTGTTGTTGTTGTTTTGGTAAAATAAAACGGGCTTGGGTCTTGGACGGTTGTGATTGGTGCTTGTTCTCAGGAGAACTTGGTGTCTTTGTAGGACGTCAAAGAGGTTTTTCGATGAGGAGGAAAATGACACCCAAGCAAAGAGAGGATAGCGCCCTATTTGAAGACCATCTTGCCCTCATCTGTCATCGCGTCGACACCCTCTTGCAAACCGGATTTTGGCGACGATGATGTTCCCCTCGATGATTGCCGCAGGCATGACGTCAGGGCATGGCATTGGACCCTGGATGCAGTTGGCCGGGCCAATGACAGGCAGCTATGACGGAGGGGGCGCTCAGGTCGAGCCAATATGATGATGCGTGGAGGGTCTTCCATCTCCTGCCTCTAAACAACTTACTTTTAATTGCATTTGCGGCTGGAGGGCATTCCGGCAATTTCTGCCAGTGCATGCCAGTATTGCGGTGATGCCATCGCGTCTGTGTTGGAACAGCACAGAAGCAGCGGGAGCAGCCCACTGGACTCCATACGTATCTGTATACGGATAGCTACTCAGCAGTGTAATTTATTAAATAACTCATACCTCACGCAGGCGTAGGTGTAGATGTAGGGTAGATATGCAGCCACGCGATGCCTCGAGCAGTAATGCCGTGAACTGGTTACATTGCGGACTGTTCGTGTTGTGCGCGTGCGCGTGCGCGGTTGTGCAGACTCCAGCCGAGTAACCAACTCGAAGACACACATCGAAGGACCGAAGAATGGAAAGCAATAATGGAAAGACTTGGACAGTCCGTTGGCGGAACTCCTGCGCTGCCCGCAATGGGAACCCTGTCCACCTTCAAATGCCGTTGGGGACTCGATGACCAACTTGCCCGTTGGCGCTTGCCCAAGATCCGCTTGCAGACGCGCAGCCATCCCAACAGAACCTGACGGCCTAGGATTCTCGGTCAGTCTCGACTCGGTGTCCGTACCCCGAGGACCCCACCTTCATGTCTAAAATACGAATCACGTGCATTCTTGGCCTAGCGTCACTTGTCAACGGTAGCGTCTAGACCCCACTGTGACTGCCAAGACCCACCCACTTTGCGCGTCAAGCTTCTTTCTGCCACTCAAATTTACATGCAACTGTGCATACACGCGCCAATCCTTCCACTTTCCTGCACCAAACGCAACGCCAGGTTCTGCTTTTGCACAGCACACACTACCTTCTAACCTTCAACTTCACCTTGGCTATCGCACTCAGGTCATTCTCGGTTCGGTGTTGGCTGTCGCTCGCTGTTGATGTTGGCGAATTATCTTCGCTCCTCTTGGCTTGCGTGGCCTGCGTAGTCACTGCACCGTCCACGATGCCCCCCTCCCGATCGAGGTCGCGCGAGGCCCTGCCACATGCCGCCGACCGCTTGCGCTCTCGCACTTCTCGCTCGCCAACCCCTCACTCGAACTATTCCCGCTCCCCTTCCTCAGATGGTGGCCGGATCGCCAACGACCGTGGCCCCCGCGCACGCTCGCCTCGAAGGAATGGCCAGTATCGAAGCACTAGTCGCAGTCCCAGCCGTAGCCGCTCTCTTTCTCGCAGCCCCAGCCGTGGACGTAGCTTTTCGCCCAGCAAGAACAGAAGCCGTGGCCGCGATAGTCGTACCCGCAGTAGATCTCGGAGCAATACTCCTTCCGTCCCTGCCCGGAAGAGCACCAAGGCAAGGCATCCTATCTCTCATTTCACCCCTCCAAGTCCTCTAAGCCCGACCCCCTCAAGGTCCCATAACCTGGTCCCCCGTACCCTGGCCCCCAACACCGACCGGCAGGCATTGTCTAACTAGTCCTAGGTCGTGGTTGAGCGCCTCACCAAGAATGTCAAGGAAGACCATCTGCGCGAGATTTTCGGCCAGTACGGCGAAATTGAGGATTTGGACCTGCCCATGAGTCGATGCAAGTATCTCCCGCCTGCTTGATGCGAGGCGCGCCCCGACGCGACCTGGTCATGCGGCCACATTCCTTGCTAATACTCTCTCCGATATGCAGTTGGAACCAACCGTGGCACCGCCTACATCCTCTTTGTCCACGAGGCCGGTGCCGAGGCTGCCATTGCCAGTATGCACGAAGCTCAACTCGACGGCGCCGCAATCAACGTTTCCATCGTGCTGCCTCGCCGAAAGCTGTCGCCGCATCCTCCTACTGCCCGTCGGGGTGCCAACTTTGACCCTCGTAACCCTCCGCCTAACTCGAGATCTGGGCCTGCCGGTGGTGCTCCCTTTGGCAATCCTGCCGGTTCCGGTGGTCGTGGTCGACGTTTCTCCCCCCCTGCAGGTGGATCGGCACGGTTCGGGCCTCGTTCCGACACTTATAGGCCACGGTCTATGTCTAGGTCAAGATCAAGGTCCCCACCTCCGGCACCCGCCACCGCTAACCGCAGATATCGTTCCAGGTCTAGGTCTTACTCACCCAGATCTCGCTCTAGAACCCCTGCCGGCCGAGGCGGCCGAAACAGAGGCGGCGGCAGACAGCATGACAGAGAGCGCCGCAGAAGTTTTAGCCGTGGTAGCTACGACAGCTACGACAAGCGTAGTCGTAGCCGAAGCCGGGACTGGGACCGGAGATGAATGGGAGAAATGGACAAATCTGTGGCGTCGGAAAACGGACGACACGGGGATTTTCGGAGTTAAGGCGTTTTTTTAGGGGCGGGATAGGGTCGGAAAACATCTAACGGACGGAACCGACTTTACCCCCTTTCCCCAACCACGTGGTACCTGGCCGCCTACAATGCGCCAGGCCCGGGCTCATGGCCTCGAGATGACGGATCATCCCGCTGCAGCATTCCGACTGCATGCCACACCTAGGCCTGGCCTGGGCCCTCGCCTACCGTGTGGCTCTTGTGGTTTTAGATGTATACATAGGTTTGGGTGAATTAACTGTCATCGAGCCCGCCCTGCTTCTGTTGCTTACACTGCCCAACAGGTTGCGTCGATGAACAGACAACACCATAATGAATCATTTCTCGGTATCGTCATTTCTCGGTACCGACTTTAAAGTGCTGGGCGTGGATGCGAGTTTTAGGGTTGGTTTACCTGACAGCGTGCTGCAATGCCGCCTCTTGCCCGGTTGTGTGGGTTTGGCGGCGATTCCTATTGACTCGGGGACCAATCACCTCGAATGGCCAGAATATCAAGCCTCGCCGTTTGCTGCCGTTTGCAGCTTTTTGTTAGCGCCGTAATCCTTCTGGCCCCCACAATTTCTTGGCCAGGACGTGATTCATTTGCATTTCTTCGCACACCCGCACACACACACCTGCACTTACGCCCTTGCATATGACGATGGCAAGCGCCTCATTCTTATCACGTGTCGCCTGTCCTCTGTCCAGCATCGCGCATGTTCCAGGTCCATGGGACGGGGCGTACAGCGGTGCTCTTCTGTCTCACCTCCACACCACCACCAGCCCTACCAACCGGCATCCCGGGTCAAGAGCCTTGCAATCTGGACCCGTGGCTATGCTGTCCACGCGGGACCGGTGCGTCCTAGAACCCACCCCCCCTTTCCAGCTTCCTCTTCTTTGCCCCCCACAAGTTGTCGATGTCTTCTTAACCTGCATGTAGACCACCACATACTCGGCCCATAGATTCCAGTCGGTGGGTCAAAATGGGGTCCACTTCGGCACCTTGCCACCACAGCGTCAAGACGAGTGTAACTGCTCAATTGGGCGTCGACTACTTCTGCTATCCACTTCTGCTACCCACTTCTATACCCAAGACCTCTTAGGTCGGCATAGCTTTGCGTAACAGCCTTGCTTGTGACACTAGCTGCACTATACTGAACTTGAAGTTGGCCCTGTGCCCGAGGCTGGCATCGTTTCGCCCAAACACGTATCGGCCTTCCTATTAACACCAAGTATCACGCCATGTAGAGGCAATGGCGAAAAAGCCTTACCGCAACTGCTGTCTCATACGGGCTCGGAGACGTGGAAAAGCATTTCCCGGTGTGGATGAGCCATGTGGTGGTGACCTTGCAGAGGTCGCTTACACGTGCCTCTATCTCGGCATCGGATTCCATTATTTTTTTCCACCGACTGGTCAAAAAACACCGCGGAGAACGACATCTTACTACAAGAAAGGTGCGGTCAGGCCGCAGTCGACGCGGGTGTTGGTTTAATCCGTCGTTGGACCGGTATCTTCTGATTCTCACGCCCGAGGTTGCCGGGATTCCCGTGCAGATTTAGAAGCCAAATAACCTGTTAGACCATGCAGGCCCGCCCCGCACCATCTTGGCGGAGGCAGCGGCTCCGTCGCGGCTAGGGCCCGTCGCCGGATCTACTGTGTACTAGTCGTCGACCTAGAGTGGCTTCGCGGCTATGCGGCTCTCGTGAGCCTTGGACTCGGGACGACAGGCATGTGCACATCTCCAACTGCCTTCCATTGTCATCTGTGGCTGCAATATCCCGTGCAAACCGCTCTTCCAAGTCCAAGGGACAGGAGGTACCGGTCTTCTAGAAGTGCTCTTGCTGACATGTGGTCAGCCTAACGTTCTCCCTTCTCTGCCTCGATCCGTTGAGACCGACGCAGAAGCCTGGCTGGCTTTCGAGACGTGATCAGAAGCATGCAGTTTTTTTTTTGGCTCTGGTTCGCGACCTTTGGAGGCCGAGACGGTCTGTATCTAGTTTTCCGGGGTATGCATGGGTCCTGGCTAATCCTTCCTGCCCAGGAATCCGTTGATGAATACGGGTTGCGAGTCTGCGGATGGATTGATCGAGCGTCGTGCGTCTTTGGACACCTTAGGTATTAAGCTGTTGGGCCTACAGGCTCAGGTTGGTCAATCAACCCCGCCGAGTCCGCTCAGCTCTTGTTACACCAAAACGGCCTCGCTGTCAATTCAAGCCACCCATGCGCGCTAAAGGCCCCTGCATCGCCCGTCTCACCCTCTCTTCTTGTCACCTCACTGGACTAATCCTGAAGCGGCCTATCCACACCTCTGGTAGCTCTGTCTCTCTCTCTCTCTCCTGCTGCTTATCCTCGGCCTTGTTCAGTTTTATTCCAAGACCGTGTCCGTCTCCCACACGACTGGGACTGGGACTGGGACTCGGACGGGGACGGGGACGGGGACGACGGCTTTGCACACATCAGCCTAGACATGCACGTACGCCATAGCCTCGTTGCGTTGCGTTGCGCCGCAAGCAAGCAAGCAATCCAATCTATTCCACCGCACTCATACGGCTAGGCTGGGCGTTGAGTCGTCATGTCAGCCTCCAAGTGGTCTTTTCTTGCCTTCTCTTCCCTCGCACCGCTGCGGCGCACCCAAACTCCGACCACCAGACGGCACTTGGCTGCTGCCATCTCTCTTTCTGTCTCTTTCCAACCGAACAACCAACACACCCCTGCTGCACGCGTTTCTTAGCTGCACCCGGGACTGACTCTGTGCACTCGTCGTCCTATGACGTTAATTCTTTGGCTTCGTCGCCAGGTGAGTCGACACCGCCACTTGCTGGATGGAGCCCGTACCCAAGCCGGCTCTTACCCAAGACAGATCCTTCGTTTCAACCTCATGCTCTCCGTCTGGCGGAGAGCGGGCGCACAACTTAGCACTCTGCCTGAGTGATGTTACACGGGCCATGACAAACCTCGTAGACTTACACCGACCCGACGTCTTGATAGGTTGTTGGGACTTGCACTCTCCTTTCTGCCTCTCCTTTCTGCCTCTCCTTCAAGTGAAGCTCTCATTTCTATATTAGTAGCCATGGCCTTCGGCTGTATCATCTCGACTATCGTCAGAGATCCCATCTTCTTCACCATCACACATCTAGCCAGCCCATTGCCTTGTTCCGCTGGCATCTCTGGTCTGAGGACATCCGTTCAACTCGGCATTCTCCAGCCTCGATCAAGGAGGCTCTTCTTCAAAACCGGTGATCATGATTCCCCACAGCGTTACTCTGCAATCCCCTCTGCATCTTCGTCTCCGTCGTCAACATCATGACCATGAGGACGAGGGCGGTCATGGCGGATTCAGTCCGTACGACGGCTACCTCCCCTTCAGCCTTGGCACCGAAGTCTCGGGGCTCCTTCCCCCGGCAAGATCACCGCCTAGCCCAAACCTAGAGCTTCCTAGTCCGTTCCCAGGGAAACCATACGCATGTCCTCAACCTCCCCGTCCGCCTACCCCAGGCCCGAACCCGCGGCCGCCACCGCTCGCACCGCGACCAAACGTTCCTTCGCCTCCCCCCACGCCTTAGTATCCTTACAAGGCAGTGGGCTCGGCGGGAAGGACCCGAGGAGTGCTCGCGGGTGAGCTTACCTGCATCTTTAGCGAATACCCGATCCAGCCTATTGCATATTTATTACATCAAGGCAGCGTTCACTGACGAAACACATAGCCTGGTTTGCGCTGCCGCGTTGAGCTGGTCTTGTTGCGGTGTTGTAAGCCAGGTCGCCAGCTGGTCCTCCACTCAGGGGGCCTGGTTTACGACGAACCGAGCACAGGCTCCGACTCAGTTGTGGAGGGAGCAAAGAAGGTGGACAGCTCGAGTCCCTTTCCCAATCTCCAGGTGTTTGTTATCACCGGGATATGAATCATAGAACCGCCACCCCTTATATTTACCTCGCCACCTTCTCGAAGCCACTCAATTTGTTCCGCGCGTTTTACCACGGCCGCTCCCGCCGTCGCACTGGTCCCCACGATTCCACTGGCGGACTTTCCATGGAATTAGCAGAAGTATGACTACGCCAAGTTGTCTGTTTCGGCCGCCTTGATGCCATACGCGCTCAACTTGCAGGACAATTATTGGTCAGGCGTCGTCCTCATCAAGCAGCCGCTGCACCATCATGCTCACCTCATTTGGCACGCACGCCGTCTGACTCTTGGAGGGAAAAACGTGCGATTCAGTCGACGGCTAATAGGGTTGCCTACATCTACGATAAAATGCTCCGGTCTTCTTAGGCATTCCCCCGGTTCTACCGCAACCCCGGGTCCCGGCTCCACTCCCGACCCTTAAGCAACGGCCGAACCCCATTGGTTCCCGCCGAGTCCGCTCCCACCCCCGCCGTATTCCACATCGTGTTTAAATTGCAGCCTGGATAAGCCGCATATTTGCACTTGCATCTCCCTGGTTCTCGCGTTTCCTTTGTCCCCGAATAGAAGCATGTCGCGGCCGACGCCA